ATGGTTTTTCTCGAGTTGCGGCGGGGACCTGGGTTATGTTCTCGACTTACGCCGGGGATGGCCCTTCCAAACACGAGTTTCTTCAGTGACGTCAGGACTCCTGTCTAGTAACGAGGGACACCTCAGGAATCTCTTCGAGGCTTGGCAGGGCAAAAGGGACGCTTCTCGAGGTGAGGCAGGGCACCCAAGGACCCTTTCCAGTAGCCACAGGGATTTTGGGATTCCTATCAGTATTCAAGAGGAGTCAGGCATCGTCACCTTTTGAAGCAATGAACTCCGCGTGCCTCTCGAGGTGTCAGCGGGATGTGAGGCATTCCGTCAAAATGAGGCAGGGACCTAGGGCTTTCTCTAAGGTCTCCACAGGGGATTCAGACATCCCTTCATGTTGTGAGATGAAAGACGAGCCTGTATTCAAGCCACTGCAAGGAAATCCGGCCTCCTTTCAAGTTAGGGCTTCTCGCTGTATATTCCCCTTGAGGCAGCAAACTCGGGGTCCCTCCCACATACCTATTGCTGAGAGAATCCTCCTCCTGAGGTGCTTCTGGGAAGTTGGCATACGTCTTGAGCCTAAGCCAGGGAATCAGCTCGCATCTCGAGACGATTTGGGGTACATGGAGCATTCCTCGAGTTGCTGTGCTGAAGTTGGTGTTCCTCTAGACTTGGGACAGTGTTCTCGGGGCATCTCTGGAGTTGCCTGAAGGAAGTCGAGCCACCGGTCGTGTTGAATGGGGAACGGGGAATGGCTCTGGAGTCAATGCAGGGGAATCGGGCCTCATCTCGAGTTGATTTGGGGCACATGGAGCTGCTTTGCGTTGCTGGGGTGACCTCAGGGTCCGTCTAGACTGGTGACAGTGTTCTTGGGGACTGTCTCGAGATCCATTAAGCAAGTCGAAGCTCCTGACTTGTTTAAATGGGATCACGGAATAGCTCTGCATGCACTGCAGGGGAATGGGGCCTCATCTCGCCTCTAGGGGGAAGTCTCATGGTTTTTCTCGAGTTGCGGCGGGGACCTGGGGTATGTTCTCGACTTACGGCGGGGATGGCCCTTCAAAACACGAGTTTCTTCAGTGACGTCAGGACTCCTGTCTAGTAACGAGGGACACCTCAGGAATCTCTTCGAGGCTTGGCAGGGCAAAAGGGACGCTTCTCGAGGTGAGGCAGGGCACCCAAGGACCCTTTCCAGTAGCCACAGGGATTTTGGGATTCCTATCAGTATTCAAGAGGGGTCAGGCATCGTCACCTTTTGAAGAAATGAACTCCGCGTGCCTCTTGATGTGTCAGCGCGATGTGAGGCATTCCGTCAAAATGAGGCAGGGACCTAGGGCTTTCTCTAAGGTCTCCACAGGGGATTCAGACATCCCTTCATGTTGTGAGATGAAAGACGAGCCTGTATTCAAGCCACTGCAAGGAAATCCGGCCTCCTTTCAAGTTAGGGTTTCTCGCTGTATATTCCCCTTGAGGCAGCAAACTCGGGGTCCCTCCCACATACCTATTGCTGAGAGAAGCCTCCTCCTGAGGTGCTTCTGGGAAGTTGGCATACGTCTTGAGCCAAAGCCAGGGAATCAGCTCTCATCTCGAGACGGTTTGGGGTACACGGAGCATTCCTCGAGTTGCTGTGCTGAAGTTGGTGTTCCTCTAGACTTGGGACAGTGTTCTCGGGGCATCTCTGGAGTTGCCTGAAGGAAGTCGAGCCACCGGTCGTGTTGAATGGGGAACGGGGAACGGCTCTGGAGTCAATGCAGGGGAATCGGGCCTCATCTCGAGTTGATTTGGGGCACATGGAGCTGCTTTGCGTTGCTGGGGTGACCTCAGGGTCCGTCTAGACTGGTGACAGTGTTCTTGGGGACTGTCTCGAGATCCATTAAGCAAGTCGAAGCTCCTGACTTGTTTGAATGGGATCACGGAATAGCTCTGCATGCACTGCAGGGGAATGGGGCCTCATCTCGCCTCTAGGGGGAAGTCTCATGGTTTTTCTCGAGTTGCGGCGGGGACCTGGGGTATGTTCTCGACTTACGGCGGGGATGGCCCTTCAAAACACGAGTTTCTTCAGTGACGTCAGGACTCCTGTCTAGTAACGAGGGACACCTCAGGAATCTCTTCGAGGCTTGGCAGGGCAAAAGGGACGCTTCTCGAGGTGAGGCAGGGCACCCAAGGACCCTTTCCAGTAGCCACAGGGATTTTGGGATTCCTATCAGTATTCAAGAGGAGTCAGGCATCGTCACCTTTTGAAGCAATGAACTCCGCGTGCCTCTCGAGGTGTCAGCGCGATGTGAGGCATTCCGTCAAAATGAGGCAGGGACCTAGGGCTTTCTCTAAGGTCTCCACAGGGGATTCAGACATCCCTTCATGTTGTGAGATGAAAGACGAGCCTGTATTCAAGCCACTGCAAGGAAATCCGGCCTCCTTTCAAGTTAGGGCTTCTCGCTGTATATTCCCCTTGAGGCAGCAAACTCGGGGTCCCTCCCACATACCTATTGCTGAGAGAAGCCTCCGCCTGAGGTGCTTCTGGGAAGTTGGCATACGTCTTGAGCCTAAGCCAGGGAATCAGCTCGCATCTCGAGACGTTTTGGGGTACACGGAGCATTCCTCGAGTTGCTGTGCTGAAGTTGGTGTTCCTCTAGACTTGGGACAGTGTTCTCGGGGCATCTCTGGAGTTGCCTGAAGGAAGTCGAGCCACCGGTCGTGTTGAATGGGGAACGTGGAATGGCTCTGGAGTCAATGCAGGGGAATCGGGCCTCATCTCGAGTTGATTTGGGGCACATGGAGCTGCTTTGCGTTGCTGGGGTGACCTCAGGGTCCGTCTAGACTCGTGACAGTGTTCTTGGGGACTGTCTCGAGATCCATTAAGCAAGTCGAAGCTCCTGACTTGTTTGAATGGGATCACGGAATAGCTCTGCATGCACTGCAGGGGAATGGGGCCTCATCTCGCCTCTAGGGGGAAGTCTCATGGTTTTTCTCGAGTTGCGGCGGGGACCTGGGGTATGTTCTCGACTTACGGCGGGGATGGCCCTTCAAAACACGAGTTTCTTCAGTGACGTCAGGACTCCTGTCTAGTAACGAGGGACACCTCAGGAATCTCTTCGAGGCTTGGCAGGGCAAAAGGGACGCTTCTCGAGGTGAGGCAGGGCACCCAAGGACCCTTTCCAGTAGCCACAGGGATTTTGGGATTCCTATCAGTATTCAAGAGGAGTCAGGCATCGTCACCTTTTGAAGCAATGAACTCCGCGTGCCTCTTGATGTGTCAGCGCGATGTGAGGCATTCCGTCAAAATGAGGCAGGGACCTAGGTCTTTCTCTAAGGTCTCCACAGGGGATTCAGACAGCCCTTCATGTTGTGAGATGAAAGACGAGCCTGTATTCAAGCCACTGCAAGGAAATCCGGCCTCCTTTCAAGTTAGGATTTCTCGCTGTATATTCCCCTTGAGGCAGCAAACTCGGGGTCCCTCCCACATACCTATTGCTGAGAGAAGCCTCCTCCTGAGGTGCTTCTGGGAAGTTGGCATACGTCTTGAGCCTAAGCCAGGGAATCAGCTCGCATCTCGAGACGGTTTGGGGTACACGGAGCATTCCTCGAGTTGCTGTGCTGAAGTTGGTGTTCCTCTAGACTTGGGACAGTGTTCTCGGGGCATCTCTGGAGTTGCCTGAAGGAAGTCGAGCCACCGGTCGTGTTGAATGGGGAACGGGGAATGGCTCTGGAGTCAATGCAGGGGAATCGGGCCTCATCTCGAGTTGATTTGGGCACATGGAGCTGCTTTGCGTTGCTGGGGTGACCTCAGGGTCCGTCTAGACTGGTGACAGTGTTCTTGGGGACTGTCTCGAGATCCATTAAGCAAGTCGAAGCTCCTGACTTGTTTGAATGGGATCACGGAATAGCTCTGCATGCACTGCAGGGGAATGGGGCCTCATCTCGCCTCTAGGGTTAAGTCTCATGGTTTTTCTCGAGTTGCGGCGGGGACCTGGGTTATGTTCTCGACTTACGGCGGGGATGGCCCTTCCAAACACGAGTTTCTTCAGTGACGTCAGGACTCCTGTCTAGTAACGAGGGACACCTCAGGAATCTCTTCGAGGCTTGGCAGGGCAAAAGGGACGCTTCTCGAGGTGAGGCAGGGCACCCAAGGACCCTTTCCAGTAGCCACAGGGATTTTGGGATTCCTATCAGTATTCAAGAGGAGTCAGGCATCGTCACCTTTTGAAGCAATGAACTCCGCGTGCCTCTCGAGGTGTCAGCGGGATGTGAGGCATTCCGTCAAAATGAGGCAGGGACCTAGGGCTTTCTCTAAGGTCTCCACAGGGGATTCAGACATCCCTTCATGTTGTGAGATGAAAGACGAGCCTGTATTCAAGCCACTGCAAGGAAATCCGGCCTCCTTTCAAGTTAGGGCTTCTCGCTGTATATTCCCCTTGAGGCAGCAAACTCGGGGTCCCTCCCACATACCTATTGCTGAGAGAAGCCTCCGCCTGAGGTGCTTCTGGGAAGTTGGCATACGTCTTGAGCCTAAGCCAGGGAATCAGCTCGCATCTCGAGACGATTTGGGGTACATGGAGCATTCCTCGAGTTGCTGTGCTGAAGTTGGTGTTCCTCTAGACTTGGGACAGTGTTCTCGGGGCATCTCTGGAGTTGCCTGAAGGAAGTCGAGCCACCGGTCGTGTTGAATGGGGAACGGGGAATGGCTCTGGAGTCAATGCAGGGGAATCGGGCCTCATCTCGAGTTGATTTGGGGCACATGGAGCTGCTTTGCGTTGCTGGGGTGACCTCAGGGTCCGTCTAGACTGGTGACAGTGTTCTTGGGGACTGTCTCGAGATCCATTAAGCAAGTCGAAGCTCCTGACTTGTTTGAATGGGATCACGGAATAGCTCTGCATGCACTGCAGGGGAATGGGGCCTCATCTCGCCTCTAGGGGGAAGTCTCATGGTTTTTCTCGAGTTGCGGCGGGGACCTGGGGTATGTTCTCGACTTACGGCGGGGATGGCCCTTCAAAACACGAGTTTCTTCAGTGACGTCAGGACTCCTGTCTAGTAACGAGGGACACCTCAGGAATCTCTTCGAGGCTTGGCAGGGCAAAAGGGACGCTTCTCGAGGTGAGGCAGGGCACCCAAGGACCCTTTCCAGTAGCCACAGGGATTTTGGGATTCCTATCAGTATTCAAGAGGGGTCAGGCATCGTCACCTTTTGAAGAAATGAACTCCGCGTGCCTCTTGATGTGTCAGCGCGATGTGAGGCATTCCGTCAAAATGAGGCAGGGACCTAGGGCTTTCTCTAAGGTCTCCACAGGGGATTCAGACAGCCCTTCATGTTGTGAGATGAAAGACGAGCCTGTATTCAAGCCACTGCAAGGAAATCCGGCCTCCTTTCAAGTTAGGGTTTCTCGCTGTATATTCCCCTTGAGGCAGCAAACTCGGGGTCCCTCCCACATACCTATTGCTGAGAGAAGCCTCCTCCTGAGGTGCTTCTGGGAAGTTGGCATACGTCTTGAGCCAAAGCCAGGGAATCAGCTCTCATCTCGAGACGGTTTGGGGTACACGGAGCATTCCTCGAGTTGCTGTGCTGAAGTTGGTGTTCCTCTAGACTTGGGACAGTGTTCTCGGGGCATCTCTGGAGTTGCCTGAAGGAAGTCGAGCCACCGGTCGTGTTGAATGGGGAACGGGGAACAGCTCTGGAGTCAATGCAGGGGAATCGGGCCTCATCTCGAGTTGATTTGGGGCACATGGAGCTGCTTTGCGTTGCTGGGGTGACCTCAGGGTCCGTCTAGACTGGTGACAGTGTTCTTGGGGACTGTCTCGAGATCCATTAAGCAAGTCGAAGCTCCTGACTTGTTTGAATGGGATCACGGAATAGCTCTGCATGCACTGCAGGGGAATGGGGCCTCATCTCGCCTCTAGGGGGAAGTCTCATGGTTTTTCTCGAGTTGTGGCGGGGACCTGGGGTATGTTCTCGACTTACGGCGGGGATGGCCCTTCAAAACACGAGTTTCTTCAGTGACGTCAGGACTCCTGTCTAGTAACGAGGGACACCTCAGGAATCTCTTCGAGGCTTGGCAGGGCAAAAGGGACGCTTCTCGAGGTGAGGCAGGGCACCCAAGGACCCTTTCCAGTAGCCACAGGGATTTTGGGATTCCTATCAGTATTCAAGAGGGGTCAGGCATCGTCACCTTTTGAAGCAATGAACTCCGCGTGCCTCTCGAGGTGTCAGCGCGATGTGAGGCATTCCGTCAAAATGAGGCAGGGACCTAGGGCTTTCTCTAAGGTCTCCACAGGGGATTCAGACATCCCTTCATGTTTTGAGATGAAAGACGAGCCTGTATTCAAGCCACTGCAAGGAAATCCGGCCTCCTTTCAAGTTAGGGCTTCTCGCTGTATATTCCCCTTGAGGCAGCAAACTCGGGGTCCCTCCCACATACCTATTGCTGAGAGAATCCTCCTCCTGAGGTGCTTCTGGGAAGTTGCCATACGTCTTGAGCCTAAGCCAGGGAATCAGCTCTCATCTCGAGACGATTTGGGGTACACGGAGCATTCCTCGAGTTGCTGTGCTGAAGTTGGTGTTCCTCTAGACTTGGGACAGTGTTCTCGGGGCATCTCTGGAGTTGACTGAAGGAAGTCGAGCCACCGGTCGTGTTGAATGGGGAACGGGGAATGGCTCTGGAGTCAATGCAGGGGAATCGGGCCTCATCTCGAGTTGATATGGGGCACATGGAGCTGCTTTGCGTTGCTGGGGTGACCTCAGGGTCCGTCTAGACTGGTGACAGTGTTCTTGGGGACTGTCTCGAGATCCATTAAGCAAGTCGAAGCTCCTGACTTGTTTGAATGGGATCACGGAATAGCTCTGCATGCACTGCAGGGGAATGGGGCCTCATCTCGCCTCTAGGGGGAAGTCTCATGGTTTTTCTCGAGTTGCGGCGGGGACCTGGGGTATGTTCTCGACTTACGGCGGGGATGGCCCTTCCAAACACGAGTTTCTTCAGTGACGTCAGGACTCCTGTCTAGTAACGAGGGACACCTCAGGAATCTCTTCGAGGCTTGGCAGGGCAAAAGGGACGCTTCTCGAGGTGAGGCAGGGCACCCAAGGACCCTTTCCAGTAGCCACAGGGATTTTGGGATTCCTATCAGTATTCAAGAGGAGTCAGGCATCGTCACCTTTTGAAGCAATGAACTCCGCGTGCCTCTCGAGGTGTCAGCGCGATGTGAGGCATTCCGTCAAAATGAGGCAGGGACCTAGGGCTTTCTCTAAGGTCTCCACAGGGGATTCAGACATCCCTTCATGTTGTGAGATGAAAGACGAGCCTGTATTCAAGCCACTGCAAGGAAATCCGGCCTCGTTTGAAGTTAGGGCTTCTCGCTGTATATTCCCCTTGAGGCATCAAACTCGGGGTCCCTCCCACATACCTATTGCTGAGAGAAGCCTCCTCCTGAGGTGCTTCTGGGAAGTTGGCATACGTCTTGAGCCTAAGCCAGGGAATCAGCTCGCATCTCGAGACGATTTGGGGTACACGGGGCATTCCTCGAGTTGCTGTGCTGAAGTTGGTGTTCCTCTAGACTTGGGACAGTGTTCTCGGGGCATCTCTGGAGTTGCCTGAAGGAAGTCGAGCCACCGGTCGTGTTGAATGGGGAACGGGGAATGGCTCTGGAGTCAATGCAGGGGAATCGGGTCTCATCTCGAGTTGATTTGGGGCACATGGAGCTGCTTTGCGTTGCTGGGGTGACCTCAGGGTCCGTCTAGACTGGTGACAGTGTTCTTGGGGACTGTCTCGAGATCCATTAAGCAAGTCGAAGCTCCTGACTTGTTTGAATGGGATCACGGAATAGCTCTGCATGCACTGCAGGGGAATGGGGCCTCATCTCGCCTCTAGGGGGAAGTCTCATGGTTTTTCTCGAGTTGCGGCGGGGACCTGGGGTATGTTCTCGACTTACGGCGGGGATGGCCCTTCCAAACACGAGTTTCTTCAGTGACGTCAGGACTCCTGTCTAGTAACGAGGGACACCTCAGGAATCTCTTCGAGGCTTGGCAGGGCAAAAGGGACGCTTCTCGAGGTGAGGCAGGGCACCCAAGACCCTTTCCAGTAGCTACAGGGATTTTGGGATTCCTATCATTATTCAAGAGGAGTCAGGCATCGTCACCTTTTGAAGCAATGAACTCCGCGTGCCTCTCGAGGTGTCAGCGCGATGTGAGGCATTCCGTCAAAATGAGGCAGGGACCTAGGGCTTTCTCTAAGGTCTCCACAGGGGATTCAGACATCCCTTCATGTTGTGAGATGAAAGACGAGCCTGTATTCAAGCCACTGCAAGGAAATCCGGCCTCCTTTCAAGTTAGGGCTTCTCGCTGTATATTCCCCTTGAGGCAGCAAACTCGGGGTCCCTCCCACATACCTATTGCTGAGAGAAGCCTCCTCCTGAGGTGCTTCTGGGAAGTTGGCATACGTCTTGAGCCTAAGCCAGGGAATCAGCTCTCATCTCGAGACGATTTGGGGTACACGGAGCATTCCTCGAGTTGCTGTGCTGAAGTTGGTGTTCCTCTAGACTTGGGACAGTGTTCTCGGGGCATCTCTGGAGTTGCCTGAAGGAAGTCGAGCCACCGGTCGTGTTGAATGGGGAACGGGGAATGGCTCTGGAGTCAATGCAGGGGAATCGGGCCTCATCTCGAGTTGATTTGGGGCACATGGAGCTGCTTTGCGTTGCTGGGGTGACCTCAGGGTCCGTCTAGACTGGTGATAGTGTTCTTGGGGACTGTCTCGAGATCCATTAAGCAAGTCGAAGCTCCTGACTTGTTTGAATGGGATCACGGAATAGCTCTGCATGCACTGCAGGGGAATGGGGCCTCATGTCGCCTCTAGGGGGAAGTCTCATGGTTTTTCTCGAGTTGCGGCGGGGACCTGGGGTATGTTCTCGACTTACGGCGGGGATGGCCCTTCAAGACACGAGTTTCTTCAGTGACGTCAGGACTCCTGTCTAGTAAAGAGGGACACCTCAGGAATCTCTTCGAGGCTTGGCAGGGCAAAAGGGACGCTTCTCGAGGTGAGGCAGGGCACCCAAGGACCCTTTCCAGTAGCCACAGGGATTTTGGGATTCCTATTATTATTCAAGAGGAGTCAGGCATCGTCACCTTTTGAAGCAATGAACTCCGCGTGCCTCTCGAGGTGTCAGCGGGATGTGAGGCATTCCGTCAAAATGAGGCAGGGACCTAGGGCTTTCTCTAAGGTCTCCACAGGGGATTCAGACATCCCTTCATGTTGTGAGATGAAAGACGAGCCTGTATTCAAGCCACTGCAAGGAAATCCGGCCTCCTTTCAAGTTAGGGCTTCTCGCTGTATATTCCCCTTGAGGCAGCAAACTCGGGGTCCCTCCCACATACCTATTGCTGAGAGAAGCCTCCTCCTGAGGTGCTTCTGGGAAGTTGCCATACGTCTTGAGCCTAAGCCAGGGAATCAGCTCTCATCTCGAGACGATTTGGGGTACACGGAGCATTCCTCGAGTTGCTGTGCTGAAGTTGGTGTTCCTCTAGACTTGGGACAGTGTTCTCGGGGCATCTCTGGAGTTGCCTGAAGGAAGTCGAGCCACCGGTCGTGTTGAATGGGGAACGGGGAATGGCTCTGGAGTCAATGCAGGGGAATCGGGCCTCATCTCGAGTTGATATGGGGCACATGGAGCTGCTTTGCGTTGCTGGGGTGACCTCAGGGTCCGTCTAGACTGGTGATAGTGTTCTTGGGGACTGTCTCGAGATCCATTAAGCAAGTCGAAGCTCCTGACTTGTTTGAATGGGATCACGGAATAGCTCTGCATGCACTGCAGGGGAATGGGGCCTCATCTCGCCTCTAGGGGGAAGTCTCATGGTTTTTCTCGAGTTGCGGCGGGGACCTGGGGTATGTTCTCGACTTACGGCGGGGATGGCCCTTCCAAACACGAGTTTCTTCAGTGACGTCAGGACTCCTGTCTAGTAACGAGGGACACCTCAGGAATCTCTTCGAGGCTTGGCAGGGCAAAAGGGACGCTTCTCGAGGTGAGGCAGGGAACCCAAGGACCCTTTCCAGTAGCCACAGGGATTTTGGGATTCCTATCAGTATTCAAGAGGAGTCAGGCATCGTCACCTTTTGAAGCAATGAACTCCGCGTGCCTCTCGAGGTGTCAGCGGGATGTGAGGCATTCCGTCAAAATGAGGCAGGGACCTAGGGCTTTCTCTAAGGTCTCCACAGGGGATTCAGACATCCCTTCATGTTGTGAGATGAAAGACGAGCCTGTATTCAAGCCACTGCAAGGAAATCCGGCCTCGTTTGAAGTTAGGGCTTCTCGCTGTATATTCCCCTTGAGGCATCAAACTCGGGGTCCCTCCCACATACCTATTGCTGAGAGAAGCCTCCTCCTGAGGTGCTTCTGGGAAGTTGGCATACGTCTTGAGCCTAAGCCAGGGAATCAGCTCGCATCTCGAGACGATTTGGGGTACACGGGGCATTCCTCGAGTTGCTGTGCTGAAGTTGGTGTTCCTCTAGACTTGGGACAGTGTTCTCGGGGCAACTCTGGAGTTGCCTGAAGGAAGTCGAGCCACCGGTCGTGTTGAATGGGGAACGGGGAATGGCTCTGGAGTCAATGCAGGGGAATCGGGCCTCATCTCGAGTTGATTTGGGGCACATGGAGCTGCTTTGCGTTGCTGGGGTGACCTCAGGGTCCGTCTAGACTGGTGACAGTGTTCTTGGGGACTGTCTCGAGATCCATTAAGCAAGTCCAAGCTCCTGACTTGTTTGAATGGGATCACGGAATAGCTCTGCATGCACTGCAGGGGAATGGGGCCTCATCTCGCCTCTAGGGGGAAGTCTCATGGTTTTTCTCGAGTTGCGGCGGGGACCTGGGGTATGTTCTCGACTTACGGCGGGGATGGCCCTTCAAAACACGAGTTTCTTCAGTGACGTCAGGACTCCTGTCTAGTAACGAGGGACACCTCAGGAATCTCTTCGAGGCTTGGCAGGGCAAAAGGGACGCTTCTCGAGGTGAGGCAGGGCACCCAAGGACCCTTTCCAGTAGCCACAGGGATTTTGGGATTCCTATCAGTATTCAAGAGGAGTCAGGCATCGTCACCTTTTGAAGCAATGAACTCCGCGTGCCTCTCGAGGTGTCAGCGCGATGTGAGGCATTCCGTCAAAATGAGGCAGGGACCTAGGGCTTTCTCTAAGGTCTCCACAGGGGATTCAGACATCCCTTCATGTTGTGAGATGAAAGACGAGCCTGTATTCAAGCCACTGCAAGGAAATCCGGCCTCCTTTCAAGTTAGGGCTTCTCGCTGTATATTCCCCTTGAGGCAGCAAACTCGGGGTCCCTCCCACATACCTATTGCTGAGAGAAGCCTCCTCCTGAGGTGCTTCTGGGAAGTTGGCATACGTCTTGAGCCTAAGCCAGGGAATCAGCTCGCATCTCGAGACGATTTGGGGTACACGGGGCATTCCTCGAGTTGCTGTGCTGAAGTTGGTGTTCCTCTAGACTTGGGACAGTGTTCTCGGGGCATCTCTGGAGTTGCCTGAAGGAAGTCGAGCCACCGGTCGTGTTGAATGGGGAACGGGGAATGGCTCTGGAGTCAATGCAGGGGAATCGGGCCTCATCTCGAGTTGATTTGGGCACATGGAGCTGCTTTGCGTTGCTGGGGTGACCTCAGGGTCCGTCTAGACTGGTGACAGTGTTCTTGGGGACTGTCTCGAGATCCATTAAGCAAGTCGAAGCTCCTGACTTGTTTGAATGGGATCACGGAATAGCTCTGCATGCACTGCAGGGGAATGGGGCCTCATCTCGCCTCTAGGGTTAAGTCTCATGGTTTTTCTCGAGTTGCGGCGGGGACCTGGGTTATGTTCTCGACTTACGGCGGGGATGGCCCTTCCAAACACGAGTTTCTTCAGTGACGTCAGGACTCCTGTCTAGTAACGAGGGACACCTCAGGAATCTCTTCGAGGCTTGGCAGGGCAAAAGGGACGCTTCTCGAGGTGAGGCAGGGCACCCAAGGACCCTTTCCAGTAGCCACAGGGATTTTGGGATTCCTATCAGTATTCAAGAGGAGTCAGGCATCGTCACCTTTTGAAGCAATGAACTCCGCGTGCCTCTCGAGGTGTCAGCGGGATGTGAGGCATTCCGTCAAAATGAGGCTGGGACCTAGGGCTTTCTCTAAGGTCTCCACAGGGGATTCAGACATCCCTTCATGTTGTGAGATGAAAGACGAGCCTGTATTCAAGCCACTGCAAGGAAATCCGGCCTCCTTTCAAGTTAGGGCTTCTCGCTGTATATTCCCCTTGAGGCAGCAAACTCGGGGTCCCTCCCACATACCTATTGCTGAGAGAAGCCTCCGCCTGAGGTGCTTCTGGGAAGTTGGCATACGTCTTGAGCCTAAGCCAGGGAATCAGCTCGCATCTCGAGACGATTTGGGGTACATGGAGCATTCCTCGAGTTGCTGTGCTGAAGTTGGTGTTCCTCTAGACTTGGGACAGTGTTCTCGGGGCATCTCTGGAGTTGCCTGAAGGAAGTCGAGCCACCGGTCGTGTTGAATGGGGAACGGGGAATGGCTCTGGAGTCAATGCAGGGGAATCGGGCCTCATCTCGAGTTGATTTGGGGCACATGGAGCTGCTTTGCGTTGCTGGGGTGACCTCAGAGTCCGTCTAGACTGGTGACAGTGTTCTTGGGGACTGTCTCGAGATCCATTAAGCAAGTCGAAGCTCCTGACTTGTTTGAATGGGATCACGGAATAGCTCTGCATGCACTGCAGGGGAATGGGGCCTCATCTCGCCTCTAGGGGGAAGTCTCATGGTTTTTCTCGAGTTGCGGCGGGGACCTGGGGTATGTTCTCGACTTACGGCGGGGATGGCCCTTCAAAACACGAGTTTCTTCAGTGACGTCAGGACTCCTGTCTAGTAACGAGGGACACCTCAGGAATCTCTTCGAGGCTTGGCAGGGCAAAAGGGACGCTTCTCGAGGTGAGGCAGGGCACCCAAGGACCCTTTCCAGTAGCCACAGGGATTTTGGGATTCCTATCAGTATTCAAGAGGAGTCAGGCATCGTCACCTTTTGAAGCAATGAACTCCGCGTGCCTCTCGAGGTGTCAGCGGGATGTGAGGCATTCCGTCAAAATGAGGCAGGGACCTAGGGCTTTCTCTAAGGTCTCCACAGGGGATTCAGACATCCCTTCATGTTGTGAGATGAAAGACGAGCCTGTATTCAAGCCACTGCAAGGAAATCCGGCCTCCTTTCAAGTTAGGGCTTCTCGCTGTATATTCCCCTTGAGGCAGCAAACTCGGGGTCCCTCCCACATACCTATTGCTGAGAGAAGCCTCCGCCTGAGGTGCTTCTGGGAAGTTGGCATACGTCTTGAGCCTAAGCCAGGGAATCAGCTCGCATCTCGAGACGATTTGGGGTACATGGAGCATTCCTCGAGTTGCTGTGCTGAAGTTGGTGTTCCTCTAGACTTGGGACAGTGTTCTCGGGGCATCTCTGGAGTTGCCTGAAGGAAGTCGAGCCACCGGTCGTGTTGAATGGGGAACGGGGAATGGCTCTGGAGTCAATGCAGGGGAATCGGGCCTCATCTCGAGTTGATTTGGGGCACATGGAGCTGCTTTGCGTTGCTGGGGTGACCTCAGGGTCCGTCTAGACTGGTGACAGTGTTCTTGGGGACTGTCTCGAGATCCATTAAGCAAGTCCAAGCTCCTGACTTGTTTGAATGGGATCACGGAATAGCTCTGCATGCACTGCAGGGGAATGGGGCCTCATCTCGCCTCTAGGGGGAAGTCTCATGGTTTTTCTCGAGTTGCGGCGGGGACCTGGGGTATGTTCTCGACTTACGGCGGGGATGGCCCTTCAAAACACGAGTTTCTTCAGTGACGTCAGGACTCCTGTCTAGTAACGAGGGACACCTCAGGAATCTCTTCGAGGCTTGGCAGGGCAAAAGGGACGCTTCTCGAGGTGAGGCAGGGCACCCAAGGACCCTTTCCAGTAGCCACAGGGATTTTGGGATTCCTATCAGTATTCAAGAGGAGTCAGGCATCGTCACCTTTTGAAGCAATGAACTCCGCGTGCCTCTCGAGGTGTCAGCGCGATGTGAGGCATTCCGTCAAAATGAGGCAGGGACCTAGGGCTTTCTCTAAGGTCTCCACAGGGGATTCAGACATCCCTTCATGTTGTGAGATGAAAGACGAGCCTGTATTCAAGCCACTGCAAGGAAATCCGGCCTCCTTTCAAGTTAGGGCTTCTCGCTGTATATTCCCCTTGAGGCAGCAAACTCGGGGTCCCTCCCACATACCTATTGCTGAGAGAAGCCTCCGCCTGAGGTGCTTCTGGGAAGTTGGCATACGTCTTGAGCCTAAGCCAGGGAATCAGCTCGCATCTCGAGACGATTTGGGGTACATGGAGCATTCCTCGAGTTGCTGTGCTGAAGTTGGTGTTCCTCTAGACTTGGGACAGTGTTCTCGGGGCATCTCTGGAGTTGCCTGAAGGAAGTCGAGCCACCGGTCGTGTTGAATGGGGAACGGGGAATGGCTCTGGAGTCAATGCAGGGGAATCGGGCCTCATCTCGAGTTGATTTGGGGCACATGGAGCTGCTTTGCGTTGCTGGGGTGACCTCAGGGTCCGTCTAGACTGGTGACAGTGTTCTTGGGGACTGTCTCGAGATCCATTAAGCAAGTCCAAGCTCCTGACTTGTTTGAATGGGATCACGGAATAGCTCTGCATGCACTGCAGGGGAATGGGGCCTCATCTCGCCTCTAGGGGGAAGTCTCATGGTTTTTCTCGAGTTGCGGCGGGGACCTGGGGTATGTTCTCGACTTACGGCGGGGATGGCCCTTCAAAACACGAGTTTCTTCAGTGACGTCAGGACTCCTGTCTAGTAACGAGGGACACCTCAGGAATCTCTTCGAGGCTTGGCAGGGCAAAAGGGACGCTTCTCGAGGTGAGGCAGGGCACCCAAGGACCCTTTCCAGTAGCCACAGGGATTTTGGGATTCCTATCAGTATTCAAGAGGAGTCAGGCATCGTCACCTTTTGAAGCAATGAACTCCGCGTGCCTCTCGAGGTGTCAGCGCGATGTGAGGCATTCCGTCAAAATGAGGCAGGGACCTAGGGCTTTCTCTAAGGTCTCCACAGGGGATTCAGACATCCCTTCATGTTGTGAGATGAAAGACGAGCCTGTATTCAAGCCACTGCAAGGAAATCCGGCCTCCTTTCAAGTTAGGGCTTCTCGCTGTATATTCCCCTTGAGGCAGCAAACTCGGGGTCCCTCCCACATACCTATTGCTGAGAGAAGCCTCCTCCTGAGGTGCTTCTGGGAAGTTGGCATACGTCTTGAGCCTAAGCCAGGGAATCAGCTCGCATCTCGAGACGATTTGGGGTACACGGGGCATTCCTCGAGTTGCTGTGCTGAAGTTGGTGTTCCTCTAGACTTGGGACAGTGTTCTCGGGGCATCTCTGGAGTTGCCTGAAGGAAGTCGAGCCACCGGTCGTGTTGAATGGGGAACGGGGAATGGCTCTGGAGTCAATGCAGGGGAATCGGGCCTCATCTCGAGTTGATTTGGGCACATGGAGCTGCTTTGCGTTGCTGGGGTGACCTCAGGGTCCGTCTAGACTGGTGACAGTGTTCTTGGGGACTGTCTCGAGATCCATTAAGCAAGTCGAAGCTCCTGACTTGTTTGAATGGGATCACGGAATAGCTCTGCATGCACTGCAGGGGAATGGGGCCTCATCTCGCCTCTAGGGTTAAGTCTCATGGTTTTTCTCGAGTTGCGGCGGGGACCTGGGTTATGTTCTCGACTTACGGCGGGGATGGCCCTTCCAAACACGAGTTTCTTCAGTGACGTCAGGACTCCTGTCTAGTAACGAGGGACACCTCAGGAATCTCTTCGAGGCTTGGCAGGGCAAAAGGGACGCTTCTCGAGGTGAGGCAGGGCACCCAAGGACCCTTTCCAGTAGCCACAGGGATTTTGGGATTCCTATCAGTATTCAAGAGGAGTCAGGCATCGTCACCTTTTGAAGCAATGAACTCCGCGTGCCTCTCGAGGTGTCAGCGGGATGTGAGGCATTCCGTCAAAATGAGGCTGGGACCTAGGGCTTTCTCTAAGGTCTCCACAGGGGATTCAGACATCCCTTCATGTTGTGAGATGAAAGACGAGCCTGTATTCAAGCCACTGCAAGGAAATCCGGCCTCCTTTCAAGTTAGGGCTTCTCGCTGTATATTCCCCTTGAGGCAGCAAACTCGGGGTCCCTCCCACATACCTATTGCTGAGAGAAGCCTCCGCCTGAGGTGCTTCTGGGAAGTTGGCATACGTCTTGAGCCTAAGCCAGGGAATCAGCTCGCATCTCGAGACGATTTGGGGTACATGGAGCATTCCTCGAGTTGCTGTGCTGAAGTTGGTGTTCCTCTAGACTTGGGACAGTGTTCTCGGGGCATCTCTGGAGTTGCCTGAAGGAAGTCGAGCCACCGGTCGTGTTGAATGGGGAACGGGGAATGGCTCTGGAGTCAATGCAGGGGAATCGGGCCTCATCTCGAGTTGATTTGGGGCACATGGAGCTGCTTTGCGTTGCTGGGGTGACCTCAGAGTCCGTCTAGACTGGTGACAGTGTTCTTGGGGACTGTCTCGAGATCCATTAAGCAAGTCGAAGCTCCTGACTTGTTTGAATGGGATCACGGAATAGCTCTGCATGCACTGCAGGGGAATGGGGCCTCATCTCGCCTCTAGGGGGAAGTCTCATGGTTTTTCTCGAGTTGCGGCGGGGACCTGGGGTATGTTCTCGACTTACGGCGGGGATGGCCCTTCAAAACACGAGTTTCTTCAGTGACGTCAGGACTCCTGTCTAGTAACGAGGGACACCTCAGGAATCTCTTCGAGGCTTGGCAGGGCAAAAGGGACGCTTCTCGAGGTGAGGCAGGGCACCCAAGGACCCTTTCCAGTAGCCACAGGGATTTTGGGATTCCTATCAGTATTCAAGAGGAGTCAGGCATCGTCACCTTTTGAAGCAATGAACTCCGCGTGCCTCTCGAGGTGTCAGCGGGATGTGAGGCATTCCGTCAAAATGAGGCAGGGACCTAGGGCTTTCTCTAAGGTCTCCACAGGGGATTCAGACATCCCTTCATGTTGTGAGATGAAAGACGAGCCTGTATTCAAGCCACTGCAAGGAAATCCGGCCTCCTTTCAAGTTAGGGCTTCTCGCTGTATATTCCCCTTGAGGCAGCAAACTCGGGGTCCCTCCCACATACCTATTGCTGAGAGAAGCCTCCGCCTGAGGTGCTTCTGGGAAGTTGGCATACGTCTTGAGCCTAAGCCAGGGAATCAGCTCGCATCTCGAGACGATTTGGGGTACATGGAGCATTCCTCGAGTTGCTGTGCTGAAGTTGGTGTTCCTCTAGACTTGGGACAGTGTTCTCGGGGCATCTCTGGAGTTGCCTGAAGGAAGTCGAGCCACCGGTCGTGTTGAATGGGGAACGGGGAATGGCTCTGGAGTCAATGCAGGGGAATCGGGCCTCATCTCGAGTTGATTTGGGGCACATGGAGCTGCTTTGCGTTGCTGGGGTGACCTCAGAGTCCGTCTAGACTGGTGACAGTGTTCTTGGGGACTGTCTCGAGATCCATTAAGCAAGTCGAAGCTCCTGACTTGTTTGAATGGGATCACGGAATAGCTCTGCATGCACTGCAGGGGAATGGGGCCTCATCTCGCCTCTAGGGGGAAGTCTCATGGTTTTTCTCGAGTTGCGGCGGGGACCTGGGTTATGTTCTCGACTTACGGCGGGGATGGCCCTTCAAAACACGAGTTTCTTCAGTGACGTCAGGACTCCTGTCTAGTAACGAGGGACACCTCAGGAATCTCTTCGAGGCTTGGCAGGGCAAAAGGGACGCTTCTCGAGGTGAGGCAGGGCACCCAAGGACCCTTTCCAGTAGCCACAGGGATTTTGGGATTCCTATCAGTATTCAAGAGGGGTCAGGCATCGTCACCTTTTGAAGCAATGAACTCCGCGTGCCTCTTGATGTGTCAGCGCGATGTGAGGCATTCCGTCAAAATGAGGCAGGGACCTAGGGCTTTCTCTAAGGTCTCCACAGGGGATTCAGACAGCCCTTCATGTTGTGAGATGAAAGACGAGCCTGTATTCAAGCCACTGCACGGAAATCCGGCCTCCTTTCAAGTTAGGGTTTCTCGCTGTATATTCCCCTTGAGGCAGCAAACTCGGGGTCCCTCCCACATACCTATTGCTGAGAGAAGCCTCCTCCTGAGGTGCTTCTGGGAAGTTGGCATACGTCTTGAGCCAAAGCCAGGGAATCAGCTCTCATCTCGAGACGGTTTGGGGTACATGGAGCATTCCTCGAGTTGCTGTGCTGAAGTTGGTGTTCCTCTAGACTTGGGACAGTGTTCTCGGGGCATCTCTGGAGTTGCCTGAAGGAAGTCGAGCCACCGGTCGTGTTGAATGGGGAACGGGGAACGGCTCTGGAGTCAATGCAGGGGAATCGGGCCTCATCTCGAGTTGATTTGGGGCACATGGAGCTGCTTTGCGTTGCTGGGGTGACCTCAGGGTCCATCTAGACTGGTGACAGTGTTCTCTGGGACTGTCTCGAGATCCATTAAGCAAGTCGAAGCTCCTGACTTGTTTGAATGGGATCAGGGAATAGCTCTGCATGCACTGCAGGGGAATGGGGCCTCATCTCGCCTCTAGGGGGAAGTCTCATGGTTTTTCTCGAGTTGCGGCGGCGACCTGGGGTATGTTCTCGACTTACGGCGGGGATGGCCCTTCCAAACACGAGTTTCTTCAGTGACGTCAGGACTCCTGTCTAGTAACGAGGGACACCTCAGGAATCTCTTCGAGGCTTGGCAGGGCAAAAGGGACACTTCTCGAGGTGAGGCAGGGCACCCAAGGACCCTTTCCAGTAGCCACAGGGATTTTGGGATTCCTATCAGTATTCAAGAGGAGTCAGGCATCGTCACCTTTTGAAGCAATGAACTCCGCGTGCCTCTCGAGGTGTCAGCGCGATGTGAGGCATTCCGTCAAAATGAGGCAGGGACCTAGGGCTTTCTCTAAGGTCTCCACAGGGGATTCAGACATCCCTTCATGTTGTGAGATGAAAGACGAGCCTGTATTCAAGCCACTGCAAGGAAATCCGGCCTCGTTTCAAGTTAGGGCTTCTCGCTGTATATTCCCCTTGAGGCAGCAAACTCGGGGTCCCTCCCACATACCTATTGCTGAGAGAAGCCTCCTCCTGAGGTGCTTCTGGGAAGTTGGCATACGTCTTGAGCCTAAGCCAGGGAATCAGCTCGCATCTCGAGACGATTTGGGGTACACGGGGCATTCCTCGAGTTGCTGTGCTGAAGTTGGTGTTCCTCTAGACTTGGGACAGTGTTCTCGGGGCATCTCTGGAGTTGCCTGAAGGAAGTCGAGCCACCGGTCGTGTTGAATGGGGAACGGGGAATGGCTCTGGAGTCAATGCAGGGGAATCGGGTCTCATCTCGAGTTGATTTGGGGCACATGGAGCTGCTTTGCGTTGCTGGGGTGACCTCAGGGTCCGTCTAGACTGGTGACAGTGTTCTTGGGGACTGTCTCGAGATCCATTAAGCAAGTCGAAGCTCCTGACTTGTTTGAATGGGATCACGGAATAGCTCTGCATGCACTGCAGGGGAATGGGGCCTCATCTCGCCTCTAGGGTTAAGTCTCATGGTTTTTCTCGAGTTGCGGCGGGGACCTGGGGTATGTTCTCGACTTACGGCGGGGATGGCCCTTCCAAACACGAGTTTCTTCAGTGACGTCAGGACTCCTGTCTAGTAACGAGGGACACCTCAGGAATCTCTTCGAGGCTTGGCAGGGCCAAAGGGACGCTTCTCGGGGTGAGGCAGGGCACCCAAGGACCCTTTCCAGTAGCCACAGGGATTTTGGGATTCCTATCAGTATTCATGAGGAGTCAGGCATCGTCACCTTTTGAAGCAATGAACTCCGCGTGCCTCTCGAGGTGTCAGCGGGATGTGAGGCATTCCGTCAAAATGAGGCAGGGACCTAGGGCTTTCTCTAAGGTCTCCACAGGGGATTCAGACATCCCTTCATGTTGTGAGATGAAAGACGAGCCTGTATTCAAGCCACTGCAAGGAAATCCGGCCTCCTTTCAAGTTTGGGTTTCTCGCTGTATATTCCCCTTGAGGTAGCAAACTCGGGGTCCCTACCACATACCTATTGCTGAGAGAAGCCTCCTCCTGAGGTGCTTCTGGGAAGTTGGCATACGTCTTGAGCCTAAGCCAGGGAATCAGCTCGCATCTCGAGACGATTTGGGGTACACGGGGCATTCCTCGAGTTGCTGTGCTGAAGTTGGTGTTCCTCTAGACTTGGGACAGTGTTCTCGGGGCATCTCTGGAGTTGCCTGAAGGAAGTCGAGCCACCGGTCGTGTTGAATGGGGAACGGGGAATGGCTCTGGAGTCAATGCAGGGGAATCGGGCCTCATCTCGAGTTGATTTGGGGCACATGGAGCTGCTTTGCGTTGCTGGGGTGACCTCAGGGTCCGTCTAGACTGGTGACAGTGTTCTTGGGGACTGTCTCGAGATCCATTAAGCAAGTCGAAGCTCCTGACTTGTTTGAATGGGATCACGGAATAGCTCTGCATGCACTGCAGGGGAATGGGGCCTCATCTCGCCTCTAGGGGGAAGTCTCATGGTTTTTCTCGAGTTGCGGCGGGGACCTGGGGTATGTTCTCGACTTACGGCGGGGATGGACCTTCCAAACACGAGTTTCTTCAGTGACGTCAGGACTCCTGTCTAGTAACGAGGGACACCTCAGGAATCTCTTCGAGGCTTGGCAGGGCAAAAGGGACGCTTCTCGAGGTGAGGCAGGGCACCCAAGGACCCTTTCCAGTAGCCACAGGGATTTTGGGATTCCTATCAGTATTCAAGAGGAGTCAGGCATCGTCACCTTTTGAAGCAATGAACTCCGCGTGCCTCTCGAGGTGTCAGCGGGATGTGAGGCATTCCGTCAAAATGAGGCAGGGACCTAGGGCTTTCTCTAAGGTCTCCACAGGGGATTCAGACATCCCTTCATGTTGTGAGATGAAAGACGAGCCTGTATTCAAGCCACTGCAAGGAAATCCGGCCTCCTTTCAAGTTAGGGCTTCTCGCTGTATATTCCCCTTGAGGCAGCAAACTCGGGGTCCCTCCCACATACCTATTGCTGAGAGAAGCCTCCGCCTGAGGTGCTTCTGGGAAGTTGGCATACGTCTTGAGCCTAAGCCAGGGAATCAGCTCGCATCTCGAGACGATTTGGGGTACATGGAGCATTCCTCGAGTTGCTGTGCTGAAGTTGGTGTTCCTCTAGACTTGGGACAGTGTTCTCGGGGCATCTCTGGAGTTGCCTGAAGGAAGTCGAGCCACCGGTCGTGTTGAATGGGGAACGGGGAATGGCTCTGGAGTCAATGCAGGGGAATCGGGCCTCATCTCGAGTTGATTTGGGGCACATGGAGCTGCTTTGCGTTGCTGGGGTGACCTCAGGGTCCGTCTAGACTGGTGACAGTGTTCTTGGGGACTGTCTCGAGATCCATTAAGCAAGTCGAAGCTCCTGACTTGTTTGAATGGGATCACGGAATAGCTCTGCATGCACTGCAGGGGAATGGGGCCTCATCTCGCCTCTAGGGGGAAGTCTCATGGTTTTTCTCGAGTTGCGGCGGGGACCTGGGGTATGTTCTCGACTTACGGCGGGGATGGCCCTTCAAAACACGAGTTTCTTCAGGGACGTCAGGACTCCTGTCTAGTAACGAGGGACACCTCAGGAATCTCTTCGAGGCTTGGCAGGGCAAAAGGGACGCTTCTCGAGGTGAGGCAGGGCACCCAAGGACCCTTTCCAGTAGCCACAGGGATTTTGGGATTCCTATCAGTATTCAAGAGGGGTCAGGCATCGTCACCTTTTGAAGCAATGAACTCCGCGTGCCTCTTGATGTGTCAGCGCGATGTGAGGCATTCCGTCAAAATGAGGCAGGGACCTAGGGCTTTCTCTAAGGTCTCCACAGGGGACTCAGACAGCCCTTCATGTTGTGAGATGAAAGACGAGCCTGTATTCAAGCCACTGCAAGGAAATCCGGCCTCCTTTCAAGTTAGGGTTTCTCGCTGTATATTCCCCTTGAGGCAGCAAACTCGGGGTCCCTCCCACATACCTATTGCTGAGAGAAGCCTCCTCCTGAGGTGCTTCTGGGAAGTTGGCATACGTCTTGAGCCAAAGCCAGGGAATCAGCTCTCATCTCGAGACGGTTTGGGGTACACGGAGCATTCCTCGAGTTGCTGTGCTGAAGTTGGTGTTCCTCTAGACTTGGGACAGTGTTCTCGGGGCATCTCTGGAGTTGCCTGAAGGAAGTCGAGCCACCGGTCGTGTTGAATGGGGAACGGGGAATGGCTCTGGAGTCAATGCAGGGGAATCGGGCCTCATCTCGAGTTGATTTGGGCACATGGAGCTGCTTTGCGTTGCTGGGGTGACCTCAGGGTCCGTCTAGACTGGTGACAGTGTTCTTGGGGACTGTCTCGAGATCCATTAAGCAAGTCGAAGCTCCTGACTTGTTTGAATGGGATCACGGAATAGCTCTGCATGCACTGCAGGGGAATGGGGCCTCATCTCGCCTCTAGGGTTAAGTCTCATGGTTTTTCTCGAGTTGCGGCGGGGACCTGGGGTATGTTCTCGACTTACGGCGGGGATGGCCCTTCCAAACACGAGTTTCTTCAGTGACGTCAGGACTCCTGTCTAGTAACGAGGGACACCTCAGGAATCTCTTCGAGGCTTGGCAGGGCAAAAGGGACGCTTCTCGAGGTGAGGCAGGTCACCCAAGGACCCTTTCCAGTAGCCACAGGGATTTTGGGATTCCTATCAGTATTCAAGAGGAGTCAGGCATCGTCACCTTTTGAAGCAATGAACTCCGCGTGCCTCTCGAGGTGTCAGCGGGATGTGAGGCCTTCCGTCAAAATGAGGCAGGGACCTAGGGCTTTCTCTAAGGTCTCCACAGGGGATTCAGACATCCCTTCATGTTGTGAGATGAAAGACGAGCCTGTATTCAAGCCACTGCAAGGAAATCCGGCCTCCTTTCAAGTTAGGGCTTCTCGCTGTATATTCCCCTTGAGGCAGCAAACTCGGGGTCCCTCCCACATACCTATTGCTGAGAGAAGCCTCCTCCTGAGGTGCTTCTGGGAAGTTGGCATACGTCTTGAGCCTAAGCCAGGGAATCAGCTCGCATCTCGAGACGATTTGGGGTACACGGGGCATTCCTCGAGTTGCTGTGCTGAAGTTGGTGTTCCTCTAGACTTGGGACAGTGTTCTCGGGGCATCTCTGGAGTTGCCTGAAGGAAGTCGAGCCACCGGTCGTGTTGAATGGGGAACGGGGAATGGCTCTGGAGTCAATGCAGGGGAATCGGGCCTCATCTCGAGTTGATTTGGGGCACATGGAGCTGCTTTGCGTTGCTGGGGTGACCTCAGGGTCCGTCTAGACTGGTGACAGTGTTCTTGGGGACTGTCTCGAGATCCATTAAGCAAGTCGAAGCTCCTGACTTGTTTGAATGGGATCACGGATTAGCTCTGCATGCACTGCAGGGGAATGGGGCCTCATCTCGCCTCTAGGGGGAAGTCTCATGGTTTTTCTCGAGTTGCGGCGGGGACCTGGGGTATGTTCTCGACTTACGGCGGGGATGGCCCTTCCAAACACGAGTTTCTTCAGTGACGTCAGGACTCCTGTTTAGTAACGAGGGACACCTCAGGAATCTCTTCGAGGCTTGGCAGGGCAAAAGGGACGCTTCTCGAGGTGAGGCAGGGCACCCAAGGACCCTTTCCAGTAGCCACAGGGATTTTGGGATTCCTATTATTATTCAAGAGGAGTCAGGCATCGTCACCTTTTGAAGCAATGAACTCCGCGTGCCTCTCGAGGTGTCAGCGCGATGTGAGGCATTCCGTCAAAATGAGGCAGGGACCTAGGGCTTTCTCTAAGGTCTCCACAGGGGATTCAGACATCCCTTCATGTTGTGAGATGAAAGACGAGCCTGTATTCAAGCCACTGCAAGGAAATCCGGCCTCCTTTCAAGTTAGGGCTTCTCGCTGTATATTCCCCTTGAGGCAGCAAACTCGGGGTCCCTCCCACATACCTATTGCTGAGAGCAGCCTCCTCCTGAGGTGCTTCTGGGAAGTTGCCATACGTCTTGAGCTTAAGCCAGGGAATCAGCTCTGATCTCGAGACGATTTGGGGTACACGGAGCATTCCTCGAGTTGCTGTGCTGAAGTTGGTGTTCCTCTAGACTTGGGACAGTGTTCTCGGGGCATCTCTGGAGTTGCCTGAAGGAAGTCGAGCCACCGGTCGTGTTGAATGGGGAACGGGGAATGGCTCTGGAGTCAATGCAGGGGAATCGGGCCTCATCTCGAGTTGATTTGGGGCACATGGAGCTGCTTTGCGTTGCTGGGGTGACCTCAGGGTCCGTCTAGACTGGTGACAGTGTTCTTGGGGACTGTCTCGAGATCCATTAAGCAAGTCGAAGCTCCTGACTTGTTTGAATGGGATCACGGAATAGCTCTGCATGCACTGCAGGGGAATGGGGCCTCATCTCGCCTCTAGGGGGAAGTCTCATGGTTTTTCTCGAGTTGCGGCGGGGACCTGGGGTATGTTCTCGACTTACGGCGGGGATGGCCCTTCAAAACACGAGTTTCTTCAGTGACGTCAGGACTCCTGTCTAGTAACGAGGGACACCTCAGGAATCTCTTCGAGGCTTGGCAGGGCAAAAGGGACGCTTCTCGAGGTGAGGCAGGGCACCCAAGGACCCTTTCCAGTAGCCACAGGGATTTTGGGATTCCTATCAGTATTCAAGAGGGGTCAGGCATCGTCACCTTTTGAAGCAATGAACTCCGCGTGCCTCTTGATGTGTCAGCGCGATGTGAGGCATACCGTCAAAATGAGGCAGGGACCTAGGGCTTTCTCTAAGGTCTCCACAGGGGATTCAGACAGCCCTTCATGTTGTGAGATGAAAGACGAGCCTGTATTCAAGCCACTGCACGGAAATCCGGCCTCCTTTCAAGTTAGGGTTTCTCGCTGTATATTCCCCTTGAGGCAGCAAACTCGGGGTCCCTCCCACATACCTATTGCTGAGAGAAGCCTCCTCCTGAGGTGCTTCTGGGAAGTTGGCATACGTCTTGAGCCTAAGCCAGGGAATCAGCTCGCATCTCGAGACGATTTGGGGTACACGGGGCATTCCTCGAGTTGCTGTGCTGAAGTTGGTGTTCCTCTAGACTTGGGACAGTGTTCTCGGGGCATCTTTGGAGTTGCCTGAAGGAAGTCGAGCCACCGGTCGTGTTGAATGGGGAACGGGGAATGGCTCTGGAGTCAATGCAAGGGAATCGGGTCTCATCTCGAGTTGATTTGGGGCACATGGAGCTGCTTTGCGTTGCTGGGGTGACCTCAGGGTCCGTCTAGACTGGTGACAGTGTTCTTGGGGACTGTCTCGAGATCCATTAAGCAAGTCGAAGCTCCTGACTTGTTTGAATGGGATCACGGAATAGCTCTGCATGCACTGCAGGGGAATGGGGCCTCATCTCGCCTCTAGGGTTAAGTCTCATGGTTTTTCTCGAGTTGCGGCGGGGACCTGGGGTATGTTCTCGACTTACGGCGGGGATGGCCCTTCCAAACACGAGTTTCTTCAGTGACGTCAGGACTCCTGTCTAGTAACGAGGGACACCTCAGGAATCTCTTCGAGGCTTGGCAGGGCCAAAGGGACGCTTCTCGAGGTGAGGCAGGGCACCCAAGGACCCTTTCCAGTAGCCACAGGGATTTTGGGATTCCTATCAGTATTCATGAGGAGTCAGGCATCGTCACCTTTTGAAGCAATGAACTCCGCGTGCCTCTCGAGGTGTCAGCGGGATGTGAGGCATTCCGTCAAAATGAGGCAGGGACCTAGGGCTTTCTCTAAGGTCTCCACAGGGGATTCAGACATCCCTTCATGTTGTGAGATGAAAGACGAGCCTGTATTCAAGCCACTGCAAGGAAATCCGGCCTCCTTTCAAGTTTGGGTTTCTCGCTGTATATTCCCCTTGAGGCAGCAAACTCGGGGTCCCTACCACATACCTATTGCTGAGAGAAGCCTCCTCCTGAGGTGCTTCTGGGAAGTTGGCATACGTCTTGAGCCTAAGCCAGGGAATCAGCTCGCATCTCGAGACTATTTGGGGTACACGGGGCATTCCTCGAGTTGCTGTGCTGAAGTTGGTGTTCCTCTAGACTTGGGACAGTGTTCTCGGGGCATCTCTGGAGTTGCCTGAAGGAAGTCGAGCCACCGGTCGTGTTGAATGGGGAACGGGGAATGGCTCTGGAGTCAATGCAGGGGAATCGGGCCTCATCTCGAGTTGATTTGGGGCACATGGAGCTGCTTTGCGTTGCTGGGGTGACCTCAGGGTCCGTCTAGACTGGTGACAGTGTTCTTGGGGACTGTCTCGAGATCCATTAAGCAAGTCGAAGCTCCTGACTTGTTTGAATGGGATCAGGGAATAGCTCTGCATGCACTGCAGGGGAATGGGGCCTCATCTCGCCTCTAGGGGGAAGTCTCATGGTTTTTCTCGAGTTGCGGCGGGGACCTGGGGTATGTTCTCGACTTACGGCGGGGATGGCCCTTCAAAACACGAGTTTCTTCAGGGACGTCAGGACTCCTGTCTAGTAACGAGGGACACCTCAGGAATCTCTTCGAGGCTTGGCAGGGCAAAAGGGACGCTTCTCGAGGTGAGGCAGGGCACCCAAGGACCCTTTCCAGTAGCCACAGGGATTTTGGGATTCCTATCAGTATTCAAGAGGGGTCAGGCATCGTCACCTTTTGAAGCAATGAACTCCGCGTGCCTCTTGATGTGTCAGCGCGATGTGAGGCATTCCGTCAAAATGAGGCAGGGACCTAGGGCTTTCTCTAAGGTCTCCACAGGGGATTCAGACAGCCCTTCATGTTGTGAGATGAAAGACGAGCCTGTATTCAAGCCACTGCAAGGAAATCCGGCCTCCTTTCAAGTTAGGGTTTCTCGCTGTATATTCCCCTTGAGGCAGCAAACTCGGGGTCCCTCCCACATACCTATTGCTGAGAGCAGCCTCCTCCTGAGGTGCTTCTGGGAAGTTGCCATACGTCTTGAGCCTAAGCCAGGGAATCAGCTCTCATCTCGAGACGATTTGGGGTACACGGAGCATTCCTCGAGTTGCTGTGCTGAAGTTGGTGTTCCTCTAGACTTGGGACAGTGTTCTCTGGGCATCTCTGGAGTTGCCTGAAGGAAGTCGAGCCACCGGTCGTGTTGAATGGGGAACGGGGAATGGCTCTGGAGTCAATGCAGGGGAATCGGGCCTCATCTCGAGTTGATTTGGGGCACATGGAGCTGCTTTGCGTTGCTGGGGTGACCTCAGGGTCCGTCTAGACTGGTGACAGTGTTCTTGGGGACTGTCTCGAGATCCATTAAGCAAGTCGAAGCTCCTGACTTGTTTGAATGGGATCAGGGAATAGCTCTGCATGCACTGCAGGGGAATGGGGCCTCATCTCGCCTCTAGGGGGAAGTCTCATGGTTTTTCTCGAGTTGCGGCGGGGACCTGGGGTATGTTCTCGACTTACGGCGGGGATGGCCCTTCCAAACACGAGTTTCTTCAGTGACGTCAGGACTCCTGTCTAGTAACGAGGGACACCTCAGGAATCTCTTCGAGGCTTGGCAGGGCAAAAGGGACGCTTCTCGAGGTGAGGCAGGGCACCCAAGGACCCTTTCCAGTAGCCACAGGGATTTTGGGATTCCTATCAGTATTCAAGAGGAGTCAGGCATCGTCACCTTTTGAAGCAATGAACTCCGCGTGCCTCTCGAGGTGTCAGCGGGATGTGAGGCATTCCGTCAAAATGAGGCAGGGACCTAGGGCTTTCTCTAAGGTCTCCACAGGGGATTCAGACATCCCTTCATGTTGTGAGATGAAAGACGAGCCTGTATTCAAGCCACTGCAAGGAAATCCGGCCTCCTTTCAAGTTAGGGCTTCTCGCTGTATATTCCCCTTGAGGCAGCAAACTCGGGGTCCCTCCCACATACCTATTGCTGAGAGAAGCCTCCGCCTGAGGTGCTTCTGGGAAGTTGGCATACGTCTTGAGCCTAAGCCAGGGAATCAGCTCGCATCTCGAGACGATTTGGGGTACATGGAGCATTCCTCGAGTTGCTGTGCTGAAGTTGGTGTTCCTCTAGACTTGGGACAGTGTTCTCGGGGCATCTCTGGAGTTGCCTGAAGGAAGTCGAGCCACCGGTCGTGTTGAATGGGGAACGGGGAATGGCTCTGGAGTCAATGCAGGGGAATCGGGCCTCATCTCGAGTTGATTTGGGGCACATGGAGCTGCTTTGCGTTGCTGGGATGACCTCAGGGTCCGTCTAGACTGGTGACAGTGTTCTTGGGGACTGTCTCGAGATCCATTAAGCAAGTCGAAGCTCCTGACTTGTTTGAATGGGATCACGGAATAGCTCTGCATGCACTGCAGGGGAATGGGGCCTCATCTCGCCTCTAGGGGGAAGTCTCATGGTTTTTCTCGAGTTGCGGCGGGGACCTGGGGTATGTTCCCGACTTACGGCGGGGATGGCCCTTCAAAACACGAGTTTCTTCAGTGACGTCAGGACTCCTGTCTAGTAACGAGGGACACCTCAGGAATCTCTTCGAGGCTTGGCAGGGCAAAAGGGACGCTTCTCGAGGTGAGGCAGGGCACCCAAGGACCCTTTCCAGTAGCCACAGGGATTTTGGGATTCCTATCAGTATTCAAGAGGAGTCAGGCATCGTCACATTTTGAAGCAATGAACTCCGCGTGCCTCTCGAGGTGTCAGCGCGATGTGAGGCATTCCGTCAAAATGAGGCAGGGACCTAGGGCTTTCTCTAAGTTCTCCACAGGGGATTCAGACATCCCTTCATGTTGTGAGATGAAAGACGAGCCTGTATTCAAGCCACTGCAAGGAAATCCGGCCTCCTTTCAAGTTAGGGCTTCTCGCTGTATATTCCCCTTGAGGCAGCAAACTCGGGGTCCCTCCCACATACCTATTGCTGAGAGAAGCCTCCTCCTGAGGTGCTTCTGGGAAGTTGGCATACGTCTTGAGCCTAAGCCAGGGAATCAGCTCGCATCTCGAGACGATTTGGGGTACACGGGGCATTCCTCGAGTTGCTGTGCTGAAGTTGGTGTTCCTCTAGACTTGGGACAGTGTTCTCGGGGCATCTCTGGAGTTGCCTGAAGGAAGTCGAGCCACCGGTCGTGTTGAATGGGGAACGGGGAATGGCTCTGGATTCAATGCAGGGGAATCGGGTCTCATCTCGAGTTGATTTGGGTCACATGGAGCTGCTTTGCGTTGCTGGGGTGACCTCAGGGTCCGTCTAGACTGGTGACAGTGTTCTTGGGGACTGTCTCGAGATCCATTAAGCAAGTCGAAGCTCCTGACTTGTTTGAATGGGATCACGGAATAGCTCTGCATGCACTGCAGTGGAATGGGGCCTCATCTCGCCTCTAGGGGGAAGTCTCATGGTTTTTCTCGAGTTGCGGCGGGGACCTGGGGTATGTTCTCGACTTACGGCGGGGATGGCCCTTCCAAACACGAGTTTCTTCAGTGACGTCAGGACTCCTGTCTAGTAACGAGGGACACCTCAGGAATCTCTTCGAGGCTTGGCAGTTCAAAAGGGACGCTTCTCGAGGTGAGGCAGGGCACCCAAGGACCCTTTCCAGTAGCCACAGGGATTTTGGGATTCCTATCATTATTCAAGAGGAGTCAGGCATCGTCACCTTTTGAAGCAATGAACTCCGCGTGCCTCTCGAGGTGTCAGCGCGATGTGAGGCATTCCGTCAAAATGAGGCAGGGACCTAGGGCTTTCTCTAAGGTCTCCACAGGGGATTCAGACATCCCTTCATGTTGTGAGATGAAAGACGAGCCTGTATTCAAGCCACTGCAAGGAAATCCGGCCTCGTTTCAAGTTAGGGCTTCTCGCTGTATATTCCCCTTGAGGCAGCAAACTCGGGGTCCCTCCCACATACCTATTGCTGAGAGAAGCCTCCTCCTGAGGTGCTTCTGGGAAGTTGGCATACGTCTTGAGCCTAAGCCAGGGAATCAGCTCTCATCTCGAGACGATTTGGGGTACACGGAGCATTCCTCGAGTTGCTGTGCTGAAGTTGGTGTTCCTCTAGACTTGGGACAGTGTTCTCGGGGCATCTCTGGAGTTGCCTGAAGGAAGTCGAGCCACCGGTCATGTTGAATGGGGAACGGGGAATGGCTCTGGAGTCAATGCAGGGGAATCGGGCCTCATCACGAGTTGATTTGGGGCACATGGAGCTGCTTTGCGTTGCTGGGGTGACCTCAGGGTCCGTCTAGACTGGTGACAGTGTTCTTGGGGACTGTCTCGAGATCCATTAAGCAAGTCGAAGCTCCTGACTTGTTTGAATGGGATCACGGAATAGCTCTGCATGCACTGCAGGGGAATGGGGCCTCATCTCGCCTCTAGGGGGAAGTCTCATGGTTTTTCTCGAGTTGCGGCGGGGACCTGGGGTATGTTCTCGACTTACGGCGGGGATGGCCCTTCAAAACACGAGTTTCTTCAGTGACGTCAGGACTCCTGTCTAGTAACGAGGGACACCTCAGGAATCTCTTCGAGGCTTGGCAGGGCAAAAGGGACGCTTCTCGAGGTGAGGCAGGGCACCCAAGGACCCTTTCCAGTAGCCACAGGGATTTTGGGATTCCTATCAGTATTCAAGAGGAGTCAGGCATCGTCACCTTTTGAAGCAATGAACTCCGCGTGCCTCTCGAGGTGTCATCGGGATGTGAGGCATTCCGTCAAAATGAGGCAGGGACCTAGGGCTTTCTCTAAGGTCTCCACAGGGGATTCAGACATCCCTTCACGTTGTGAGATGAAAGACGAGCCTGTATTCAAGCCACTGCAAGGAAATCCGGCCTCCTTTCAAGTTAGGGCTTCTCGCTGTATATTCCCCTTGAGGCAGCAAACTCGGGGTCCCTCCCACATACCTATTGCTGAGAGAAGCCTCCGCCTGAGGTGCTTCTGGGAAGTTGGCATACGTCTTGAGCCTAAGCCAGGGAATCAGCTCGCATCTCGAGACGATTTGGGGTACATGGAGCATTCCTCGAGTTGCTGTGCTGAAGTTGGTGTTCCTCTAGACTTGGGACAGTGTTCTCGGGGCATCTCTGGAGTTGCCTGAAGGAAGTCGAGCCACCGGTCGTGTTGAATGGGGAACGGGGAATGGCTCTGGAGTCAATGCAGGGGAATCGGGCCTCATCTCGAGTTGATTTGGGGCACATGGAGCTGCTTTGCGTTGCTGGGGTGACCTCAGGGTCCGTCTAGACTGGTGACAGTGTTCTTGGGGACTGTCTCGAGATCCATTAAGCAAGTCGAAGCTCCTGACTTGTTTGAATGGGATCACGGAATAGCTCTGCATGCACTGCAGGGGAATGGGGCCTCATCTCGCCTCTAGGGGGAAGTCTCATGGTTTTTCTCGAGTTGCGGCGCGGACCTGGGGTATGTTCTCGACTTACGGCGGGGATGGCCCTTCAAAACACGAGTTTCTTCAGTGACGTCAGGACTCCTGTCTAGTAACGAGGGACACCTCAGGAATCTCTTCGAGGCTTGGCAGGGCAAAAGGAACGCTTCTCGAGGTGAGGCAGGGCACCCAAGGACCCTTTCCAGTAGCCACAGGGATTTTGGGATTCCTATCAGTATTCAAGAGGGGTCAGGCATCGTCACCTTTTGAAGCAATGAACTCCGCGTGCCTCTTGATGTGTCAGCGCGATGTGAGGCATTCCGTCAAAATGAGGCAGGGACCTAGGGCTTTCTCTAAGGTCTCCACAGGGGATTCAGACATCCCTTCATGTTGTGAGATGAAAGACGAGCCTGTATTCAAGCCACTGCAAGGAAATCCGGCCTCCTGTCAAGTTTGGGTTTCTCGCTGTATATTCCCCTTGAGGCAGCAAACTCGGGGTCCCTCCCACACACCTATTGCTGAGAGAAGCCTCCTCCTGAGGTGCTTCTGGGAAGTTGGCATACGTCTTGAGCCTAAGCCAGGGAATCAGCTCGCATCTCGAGACGATTTGGGGTACACGGGGCATTCCTCGAGTTGCTGTGCTGAAGTTGGTGTTCCTCTAGACTTGGGACAGTGTTCTCGGGGCATCTCTGGAGTTGCCTGAAGGAAGTCGAGCCACCGGTCGTGTTGAATGGGGAACGGGGAATGGCTCTGGAGTCAATGCAGGGGAATCGGGCCTCATCTCGAGTTGATTTGGGGCACATGGAGCTGCTTTGCATTGCTGGGGTGACCTCAGGGTCCGTCTAGACTGGTGACAGTGTTCTTGGGGACTGTCTCGAGATCCATTAAGCAAGTCGAAGCTCCTGACTTGTTTGAATGGGATCACGGAATAGCTCTGCATGCACTGCAGGGGAATGGGGCTTCATCTCGCCTCTAGGGGGAAGTCTCATGGTTTTTCTCGAGTTGCGGCGGGGACCTGGGGTATGTTCTCGACTTACGGCGGGGATGGCCCTTCAAAACACGAGTTTCTTCAGTGACGTCAGGACTCCTGTCTAGTAACGAGGGACACCTCAGGAATCTCTTCGAGGCTTGGCAGGGCAAAAGGGACGCTTCTCGAGGTGAGGCAGGGCACCCAAGGACCCTTTCCAGTAGCCACAGGGATTTTGGGATTCCTATCAGTATTCAAGAGGAGTCAGGCATCGTCACCTTTTGAAGCAATGAACTCCGCGTGCCTCTCGAGGTGTCAGCGGGATGTGAGGCATTCCGTCAAAATGAGGCAGGGACCTAGGGCTTTCTCTAAGGTCTCCACAGGGGATTCAGACATCCCTTCATGTTGTGAGATGAAAGACGAGCCTGTATTCAAGCCACTGCAAGGAAATCCGGCCTCCTTTCAAGTTAGGGCTTCTCGCTGTATATTCCCCTTGAGGCAGCAAACTCGGGGTCCCTCCCACATACCTATTGCTGAGAGAAGCCTCCTCCTGAGGTGCTTCTGGGAAGTTGGCATACGTCTTGAGCCTAAGCCAGGGAATCAGCTCGCATCTCGAGACGATTTGGGGTACACGGAGCATTCCTCGAGTTGCTGTGCTGAAGTTGGTGTTCCTCTAGACTTGGGACAGTGTTCTCGGGGCATCTCTGGAGTTGCCTGAAGGAAGTCGAGCCACCGGTCGTGTTGAATGGGGAACGGGGAACGGCTCTGGAGTCAATGCAGGGGAATCGGGCCTCATCTCGAGTTGATTTGGGGCACATGGAGCTGCTTTGCGTTGCTGGGGTGACCTCAGGGTCCGTCTAGACTGGTGACAGTGTTCTTGGGGACTGTCTCGAGATCCATTAAGCAAGTCGAAGCTCCTGACTTGTTTGAATGGGTTCACGGAATAGCTCTGCATGCACTGCAGGGGAATGGGGCCTCATCTCGCCTCTAGGGGGAAGTCTCATGGCTTTTCTCGAGTTGCGGCGGGGACCTGGGTTATGTTCCCGACTTACGGCGGGGATGGCCCTTCCAAACACGAGTTTCTTCAGTGACGTCAGGACTCCTGTCTAGTAACGAGGGACACCTCAGGAATCTCTTCGAGGCTTGGCAGGGCAAAAGGGACGCTTCTCGACGTGAGGCAGGGCACCCAAGTACCCTTTCCAGTAGCCACAGGGATTTTGGGATTCCTATCAGTATTCAAGAGGAGTCAGGCATCGTCACCTTTTGAAGCAATGAACTCCGCGTGCCTCTCGAGGTGTCAGCGGGATGTGAGGCATTCCGTCAAAATGAGGCAGGGACCTAGGGCTTTCTCTAAGGTCTCCACAGGGAATTCAGACATCCCTTCATGTTGTGAGATGAAAGACGAGCCTGTATTCAAGCCACTGCAAGGAAATCCGGCCTCCTTTCAAGTTAGGGTTTCTCGCTGTATATTCCCCTTGAGGCAGCAAACTCGGGGTCCCTCCCACATACCTATTGCTGAGAGAAGCCTCCTCCTGAGGTGCTTCTGGGAAGTTGGCATACGTCTTGAGCCTAAGCCAGGGAATCAGCTCGCATCTCGAGACGATTTGGGTTACACGGGGCATTCCTCGAGTTGCTGTGCTGAAGTTGGTGTTCCTCTAGACTTGGGACAGTGTTCTCGGGGCATCTCTGGAGTTGCCTGAAGGAAGTCGAGCCACCAGTCGTGTTGAATGGGGAACGGGGAATGGCTCTGGAGTCAATGCAGGGGAATCGGGCCTCATCTCGAGTTGATTTGGGGCACATGGAGCTGCTTTGCGTTGCTGGGGTGACCTCAGGGTCCGTCTAGACTGGTGACAGTGTTCTTGGGGACTGTCTCGAGATCCATTAAGCAAGTCGAAGCTCCTGACTTGTTTGAATGGGATCACGGAATAGCTCTGCATGCACTGCAGGGGAATGGGGCCTCATCTCGCCTCTAGGGGGAAGTCTCATGGTTTTTCTCGAGTTGCGGCGGGGACCTGGGGTATGTTCTCGACTTACGGCGGGGATGGCCCTTCCAAACACGAGTTTCTTCAGTGACGTCAGGACTCCTGTCTAGTAACGAGGGACACCTCAGGAATCTCTTCGAGGCTTGGCAGGGCAAAAGGGACGCTTCTCGACGTGAGGCAGGGCACCCAAGTACCCTTTCCAGTAGCCACAGGGATTTTGGGATTCCTATCAGTATTCAAGAGGAGTCAGGCATCGTCACCTTTTGAAGCAATGAACTCCGCGTGCCTCTCGAGGTGTCAGCGGGATGTGAGGCATTCCGTCAAAATGAGGCAGGGACCTAGGGCTTTCTCTAAGGTCTCCACAGGGAATTCAGACATCCCTTCATGTTGTGAGATGAAAGACGAGCCTGTATTCAAGCCACTGCAAGGAAATCCGGCCTCCTTTCAAGTTAGGGTTTCTCGCTGTATATTCCCCTTGAGGCAGCAAACTCGGGGTCCCTCCCACATACCTATTGCTGAGAGAAGCCTCCTCCTGAGGTGCTTCTGGGAAGTTGGCATACGTCTTGAGCCTAAGCCAGGGAATCAGCTCGCATCTCGAGACGATTTGGGTTACACGGGGCATTCCTCGAGTTGCTGTGCTGAAGTTGGTGTTCCTCTAGACTTGGGACAGTGTTCTCGGGGCATCTCTGGAGTTGCCTGAAGGAAGTCGAGCCACCGGTCGTGTTGAATGGGGAACGGGGAATGGCTCTGGAGTCAATGCAGGGGAATCGGGCCTCATCTCGAGTTGATTTGGGGCACATGGAGCTGCTTTGCGTTGCTGGGCTGACCTCAGGGTCCGTCTAGACTGGTGACAATGTTCTTGGGGACTGTCTCGAGATCCATTAAGCAAGTCGAAGCTCCTGACTTGTTTGAATGGGATCACGGAATAGCTCTATATGCACTGCAGGGGAATGGGGCCTCATCTCGCCTCTAGGGGGAAGTCTCATGGTTTTTCTCGAGTTGCGGCGGGGACCTGGGGTATGTTCTCGACTTACGGCGGGGATGGCCCTTCCAAACACGAGTTTCTTCAGTGACGTCAGGACTCCTGTCTAGTAACGAGGGACACCTCAGGAATCTCTTCGAGGCTTGGCAGGGCAAAAGGGACGCTTCTCGAGGTGAGGCAGGGCACCCAAGGACCCTTTCCAGTAGCCACAGGGATTTTGGGATTCCTATCAGTATTCAAGAGGAGTCAGGCATCGTCACCTTTTGAAGCAATGAACTCCGCGTGCCTCTCGAGGTGTCAGCGCGATGTGAGGCATTCCGTCAAAATGAGGCAGGGACCTAGGGCTTTCTCTAAGGTCTCCACAGGGGATTCAGACATCCCTTCATGTTGTGAGATGAAAGACGAGCCTGTATTCAAGCCACTGCAAGGAAATCCGGCCTCGTTTCAAGTTAGGGCTTCTCGCTGTATATTCCCCTTGAGGCAGCAAACTCGGGGTCCCTCCCACATACCTATTGCTGAGAGAAGCCTCCTCCTGAGGTGCTTCTGGGAAGTTGGCATACGTCTTGAGCCTAAGCCAGGGAATCAGCTCTCATCTCGAGACGATTTGGGGTACACGGAGCATTCCTCGAGTTGCTGTGCTGAAGTTGGTGTTCCTCTAGACTTGGGACAGTGTTCTCGGGGCATCTCTGGAGTTGCCTGAAGGAAGTCGAGCCACCGGTCATGTTGAATGGGGAACGGGGAATGGCTCTGGAGTCAATGCAGGGGAATCGGGCCTCATCTCGAGTTGATTTGGGGCACATGGAGCTGCTTTGCGTTGCTGGGGTGACCTCAGCGTCCGTCTAGACTGGTGACAGTGTTCTTGGGGACTGTCTCGAGATCCATTAATCAAGTCGAAGCTCCTGACTTGTTTGAATGGGATCACGGAATAGCTCTGCATGCACTGCAGGGGAATGGGGCCTCATCTCGCCTCTAGGGGGAAGTCTCATGGTTTTTCTCGAGTTGCGGCGGGGACCTGGGGTATGTTCTCGACTTACGGCGGGGATGGCCCTTCAAAACACGAGTTTCTTCAGTGATGTCAGGACTCATGTCTAGTAACGAGGGACACCTCAGGAATCTCTTCGAGGCTTGGCAGGGCAAAAGGGACGCTTCTCGAGGTGAGGAAGGGCACCCAAGGACCCTTTCCAGTAGCCACAGGGATTTTGGGATTCCTATCAGTATTCAAGAGGAGTCAGGCATCGTCACCTTTTGAAGCAATGAACTCCGCGTGCCTCTCGAGGTGTCATCGGGATGTGAGGCATTCCGTCAAAATGAGGCAGGGACCTAGGGCTTTCTCTAAGGTCTCCACAGGGGATTCAGACATCCCTTCACGTTGTGAGATGAAAGACGAGCCTGTATTCAAGCCACTGCAAGGAAATCCGGCCTCCTTTCAAGTTAGGGCTTCTCGCTGTATATTCCCCTTGAGGCAGCAAACTCGGGGTCCCTCCCACATACCTATTGCTGAGAGAAGCCTCCGCCTGAGGTGCTTCTGGGAAGTTGGCATACGTCTTGAGCCTAAGCCAGGGAATCAGCTCGCATCTCGAGACGATTTGGGGTACATGGAGCATCCTCGAGTTGCTGTGCTGAAGTTGGTGTTCCTCTAGACTTGGGACAGTGTTCTCGGGGCATCTCTGGAGTTGCCTGAAGGAAGTCGAGCCACCGGTCGTGTTGAATGGGGAACGGGGAATGGCTCTGGAGTCAATGCAGGGGAATCGGGCCTCATCTCGAGTTGATTTGGGGCACATGGAGCTGCTTTGCGTTGCTGGGGTGACCTCAGGGTCCGTCTAGACTGGTGACAGTGTTCTTGGGGACTGTCTCGAGATCCATTAAGCAAGTCGAAGCTCCTGACTTGTTTGAATGGGATCACGGAATAGCTCTGCATGCACTGCAGGGGAATGGGGCCTCATCTCGCCGCTAGGGGGAAGTCTCATGGTTTTTCTCGAGTTGCGGCGCGGACCTGGGGTATGTTCTCGACTTACGGCGGGGATGGCCCTTCAAAACACGAGTTTCTTCAGTGACGTCAGGACTCCTGTCTAGTAATGAGGGACACCTCAGGAATCTCTTCGAGGCTTGGCAGGGCAAAAGGGACGCTTCTCGAGGTGAGGCAGGGCATCCAAGGACCCTTTCCAGTAGCCACAGGGATTTTGGGATTCCTATCAGTATTCAAGAGGAGTCAGGCATCGTCACCTTTTGAAGCAATGAACTCCGCGTGCCTCTCGAGGTGTCAGCGGGATGTGAGGCCTTCCGACAAAATGAGGCAGGGACCTAGGGCTTTCTCTAAGGTCTCCACAGGGGATTCAGACATCCCTTCATGTTGTGAGATGAAAGACGAGCCTGTATTCAAGCCACTGCAAGGAAATCCGGCCTCCTTTCAAGTTAGGGCTTCTCGCTGTATATTCCCCTTGAGGCAGCAAACTCGGGGTCCCTCCCACATACCTATTGCTGAGAGAAGCCTCCTCCTGAGGTGCTTCTGGGAAGTTGCCATACGTCTTGAGCCTAAGCCAGGGAATCAGCTCGCATCTCGAGACGATTTGGGGTACACGGAGCATTCCTCGAGTTGCTGTGCTGAAGTTGGTGTTCCTCTAGACTTGGGACAGTGTTCTCGGGGCATCTCTGGAGTTGCCTGAAGGAAGTCGAGCCACCGGTCGTGTTGAATGGGGAACGGGGAATGGCTCTGGAGTCAATGCAGGGGAATCGGGCCTCATCTCGAGTTGATTTGGGGCACATGGAGCTGCTTTGCGTTGCTGGGGTGACCTCAGGGTCCGTCTAGACTGGTGACAGTGTTCTTGGGGACTGTCTCGAGATCCATTAAGCAAGTCGAAGCTCCTGACTTGTTTGAATGGGATCATGGAATAGCTCTGCATGCACTGCAGGGGAATGGGGCCTCATCTCGCCTCTAGGGGGAAGTCTCATGGTTTTTCTCGAGTTGCGGCGGGGACCTGGGGTATGTTCTCGACTTACGGTGGGGATGGCCCTTCCAAACACGAGTTTCCTCAGTGACGTCAGGACTCCTGTCTAGTAACGAGGGACACCTCAGGAATCTCTTCGAGGCTTGGCAGGGCAAAAGGGACGCTTCTCGAGGTGAGGCAGGGCACCCAAGGACCCTTTCCAGTAGCCACAGGGATTTTGGGATTCCTATCAGTATTCAAGAGGAGTCAGGCATCGACACCTTTTGAACCAATGAACTCCGCGTGCCTCTCGAGGTGTCAGCGGGATGTGAGGCATTCCGTCAAAATGAGGCAGGGACCTAGGGCTTTCTCTAAGGTCTCCACAGGGGATTCAGACATCCCTTCATGTTGTGAGATGAAAGACGAGCCTGTATTCAAGCCACTGCAAGGAAATCCGGCCTCCTTTCAAGTTAGGGCTTCTCGCTGTATATTCCCCTTGAGGCAGCAAACTCGGGGTCCCTCCCACATACCTATTGCTGAGAGAAGCCTCCTCCTGAGGTGCTTCTGGGAAGTTGCCATACGTCTTGAGCCTAAGCCAGGGAATCAGCTCGCATCTCAAGATGATTTGGGGTACACGGAGCATTCCTCGAGTTGCTGTGCTGAAGTTGGTGTTCCTCTAGACTTGGGACAGTGTTCTCGGGGCATCTCTGGAGTTGCCTGAAGGAAGTCGAGCCACCGGTCGTGTTGAATGGGGAACGGGGAATGGCTCTGGAGTCAATGCAGGGGAATCGGGCCTCATCTCGAGTTGATTTGGGGCACATGGAGCTGCTTTGCGTTGCTGGGGTGACCTCAGCGTCCGTCTAGACTGGTGACAGTGTTCTTGGGGACTGTCTCGAGATCCATTAAGCAAGTCAAAGCTCCTGACTTGTTTTAATGGGATCACGGAATAGCTCTGCATGCACTGCAGGGGAATGGGGCCTCATCTCGCCTCTAGGGGGAAGTCTCATGGTTTTTCTCGAGTTGCGGCGGGGACCTGGGGTATGTTCTCGACTTACGGCGGGGATGGCCCTTCAAGACACGAGTTTCTTCAGTGACGTCAGGACTCCTGTCTAGTAACGAGGGACACCTCAGGAATCTCTTCGAGGCTTGGCAGGGCAAAAGGGACGCTTCTCGAGGTGAGGCAGGGCACCCAAGGACCCTTTCCAGTAGCCACAGGGATTTTGGGATTCCTATCAGTATTCAAGAGGAGTCAGGCATCGTCACCTTTTGAAGCAATGATCTCCGCGTGCCTCTCGAGGTGTCAGCGGGATGTGAGGCATTCCGTCAAAATGAGGCAGGGACCTAGGGCTTTCTCTAAGGTCTCCACAGCGGATTCAGACATCCCTTCATGTTGTGAGATGAAAGACGAGCCTGTATTCAAGCCACTGCAAGGAAATCCGGCCTCCTTTCAAGTTAGGGCTTCTCGCTGTATATTCGCCTTGAGGCAGCAAACTCGGGGTCCCTCCCACATACCTATTGCTGAGAGAAGCCTCCTCCTGAGGTGCTTCTGGGAAGTTGGCATACGTCTTGAGCCTAAGCCAGGGAATCAGCTCGCATCTCGAGACGATTTGGGGTACACGGAGCATTCCTCGAGTTGCTGTGCTGAAGTTGGTGTTCCTCTAGACTTGGGACAGTGTTCTCGGGGCATCTCTGGAGTTGCCTGAAGGAAGTCGAGCCACCTGTCGTGTTGAATGGGGAACGGGGAATGGCTCTGGAGTCAATGCAGGGGAATCGGGCCTCATCTCGAGTTGATTTGGGGCACATGGAGCTGCTTTGCGTTGCTGGGGTGACCTCAGGGTCCGTCTAGACTGGTGACAGTGTTCTTGGGGACTGTCTCGAGATCCATTAAGCAAGTCGAAGCTCCTGACTTGTTTGAATGGGATCACGGAATAGCTCTGCATGCACTGCAGGGGAATGGGGCCTCATCTCGCCTCTAGGGGGAAGTCTCATGGTTTTTCTCGAGTTGCGGCGGGGACCTGGGGTATGTTCTAGACTTACGGCGGGGATGGCCCTTCAAAACACGAGTTTCTTCAGTGACGTCAGGACTCCTGTCTAGTAACGAGGGACACCTCAGGAATCTCTTCGAGGCTTGGCAGGGCAAAAGGGACGCTTCTCGAGGTGAGGCAGGGCACCCAAGGACCCTTTCCAGTAGCCACAGGGATTTTGGGATTCCTATCAGTATTCAAGAGGAGTCAGGCATCGTCACCTTTTGAAGCAATGAACTCCGCATGCCTCTCGAGGTGTCAGCGCGATGTGAGGCATTCCGTCAAAATGAGGCAGGGACCTAGGGCTTTCTCTAAGGTCTCCACAGGGGATTCAGACATCCCTTCATGTTGTGAGATGAAAGACGAGCCTGTATTCAAGCCACTGCAAGGAAATCCGGCCTCCTTTCAAGTTAGGGCTTCTCGCTGTATATTCCCCTTGAGGCAGCAAACTCGGGGTCCCTCCCACATACCTATTGCTGAGAGAAGCCTCCTCCTGAGGTGCTTCTGGGAAGTTGGCATACGTCTTGAGCCTAAGCCAGGGAATCAGCTCGCATCTCGAGACGATTTGGGGTACACGGAGCATTCCTCGAGTTGCTGTGCTGAAGTTGGTGTTCCTCTAGACTTGGGACAGTGTTCTCGGGGCATCTCTGGAGTTGCCTGAAGGAAGTCGAGCCACCGGTCGTGTTGAATGGGGAACGGGGAATGGCTCTGGAGTCAATGCAGGGGAATCGGGCCTCATCTCGAGTTGATTTGGGGCACATGGAGCTGCTTTGCGTTGCTGGGGTAACCTCAGGGTCCGTCTAGACTGGTGACAGTGTTCTTGGGGACTGTCTCGAGATCCATTAAGCAAGTCGAAGCTCCTGACTTGTTTGAATGGGGTCACGGAATAGCTCTGCATGCACTGCAGGGGAATGGGGCCTCATCTCGCCTCTAGGGGGAAGTCTCATGGTTTTTCTCGAGTTGCGGCGGGGACCTGGGGTATGTTCTCGACTTACGGCGGGGATGGCCCTTCAAAACACGAGTTTCTTCAGTGACGTCAGGACTCCTGTCTAGTAACGAGGGACACCTCAGGAATCTCTTCGAGGCTTGGCAGGGCAAAAGGGACGCTTCTCGAGGTGAGGCAGGGCACCCAAGGACCCTTTCCAGTAGCCACAGGGATTTTGGGATTCCTATCAGTATTCAAGAGGAGTCAGGCATCGTCACCTTTTGAAGCAATGAACTCCGCGTGCCTCTCGAGGTGTCAGCGGGATGTGAGGCATTCCGTCAAAATGAGGCAGGGACCTAGGGCTTTCTCTAAGGTCTCCACAGGGGATTCAGACATCCCTTCATGTTGTGAGATGAAAGACGAGCCTGTATTCAAGCCACTGCAAGGAAATCCGGCCTCCTTTCAAGTTAGGGCTTCTCGCTGTATATTCCCCTTGAGGCAGCAAACTCGGGGTCCCTCCCACATACCTATTGCTGAGAGAAGCCTCCTCCTGAGGTGCTTCTGGGAAGTTGGCATACGTCTTGAGCCTAAGCCAGGGAATCAGCTCGCATCTCGAGACGATTTGGGATACACGGAGCATTCCTCGAGTTGCTGTGCTGAAGTTGGTGTTCCTCTAGACTTGGGACAGTGTTCTCGGGGCATCTCTGGAGTTGCCTGAAGGAAGTCGAGCCACCGGTCGTGTTGAATGGGGAACGGGGAATGGCTCTGGAGTCAATGCAGGGGAATCGGGCCTCATCTCGAGTTGATTTGGGGCACATGGAGCTGCTTTGCGTTGCTGGGGTGACCTCAGGGTCCGTCTAGACTGGTGACAGTGTTCTTGGGGACTGTCTCGAGATCCATTAAGCAAGTCGAAGCTCCTGACTTGTTTGAATGGGATCACGGAATAGCTCTGCATGCACTGCAGGGGAATGGGGCCTCATCTCGCCTCTAGGGGGAAGTCTCATGGTTTTTCTCGAGTTGCGGCGGGGACCTGGGGTATGTTCCCGACTTACGGCGGGGATGGCCCTTCCAAACACGAGTTTCTTCAGTGACGTCAGGACTCCTGTCTAGTAACGAGGGACACCTCAGGAATCTCTTCGAGGCTTGGCAGGGCAAAAGGGACGCTTCTCGAGGTGAGGCAGGGCACCCAAGGACCCTTTCCAGTAGCCACAGGGATTTTGCGATTCCTATCAGTATTCAAGAGGAGTCAGGCATCGTCACCTTTTGAAGCAATGAACTCCGCATGCCTCTCGAGGTGTCAGCGGGATGTGAGGCATTCCGTCAAAATGAGGCAGGGACCTAGGGCTTTCTCTAAGCTCTCCACAGGGGATTCAGACATCCCTTCATGTTGTGAGATGAAAGACGAGCCTGTATTCAAGCCACTGCAAGGAAATCCGGCCTCCTTTCAAGTTAGGGCTTCTCGCTGTATATTCCCCTTGAGGCAGCAAACTCGGGGTCCCTCCCACATACCTATTGCTGAGAGAAGCCTCCTCCTGAGGTGCTTCTGGGAAGTTGGCATACGTCTTGAGCCTAAGCCAGGGAATCAGCTCGCATCTCGAGACGATTTGGGGTACACGGAGCATTCCTCGAGTTGCTGTGCTGAAGTTGGTGTTCCTCTAGACTTGGGACAGTGTTCTCGGGGCATCTCTGGAGTTGCCTGAAGGAAGTCGAGCCACCGGTCGTGTTGAATGGGGAACGGGGAATGGCTCTGGAGTCAATGCAGGGGAATCGGGCCTCATCTCGAGTTGATTTGGGGCACATGGAGCTGCTTTGCGTTGCTGGGGTGACCTCAGGGTCCGTCTAGACTGGTGACAGTGTTCTTGGGGACTGTCTCGAGATCCATTAAGCAAGTCGAAGCTCCTGACTTGTTTGAATGGGATCACGGAATAGCTCTGCATGCACTGCAGGGGAATGGGGCCTCATCTCGCCTCTAGGGGGAAGTCTCATGGTTTTTCTCGAGTTGCGGCGGGGACCTGGGGTATGTTCTCGACTTACGGCGGGGATGGCCCTTCCAAACACGAGTTTCTTCAGTGACGTCAGGACTCCTGTCTAGTAACGAGGGACACCTCAGGAATCTCTTCGAGGCTTGGCAGGGCAAAAGGGACGCTTCTCGAGGTGAGGCAGGGCACCCAAGGACCCTTTCCAGTAGCCACAGGGATTTTGGGATTCCTATCAGTATTCAAGAGGAGTCAGGCAGCGTCACCTTTTGAAGCAATGAACTCCGCGTGCCTCTCGAGGTGTCAGCGCGATGTTAGGCATTCCGTCAAAATGAGGCAGGGACCTAGGTCTTTCTCTAAGGTCTCCACAGGGGATTCAGACATCCCTTCATGTTGTGAGATGAAAGACGAGCCTGTATTCAAGCCACTGCAAGGAAATCCGGCCTCCTTTCAAGTTAGGGCTTCTCGCTGTATATTCCCCTTGAGGCAGCAAACTCGGGGTCCCTCCCACATACCTATTGCTGAGAGAAGCCTCCTCCTGAGGTGCTTCTGGGAAGTTGGCATACGTCTTGAGCCTAAGCCAGGGAATCAGCTCGCATCTCGAGACGATTTGGGGTACACGGAGCATTCCTCGAGTTGCTGTGCTGAAGTTGGTGTTCCTCTAGACTTGGGACAGTGTTCTCGGGGCATCTCTGGAGTTGCCTGAAGGAAGTCGAGCCACCGGTCGTGTTGAATGGGGAACGGGGAATGGCTCTGGAGTCAATGCAGGGGAATCGGGCCTCATCTCGAGTTGATTTGGGGCACATGGAGCTGCTTTGCGTTGCTGGGGTGACCTCAGGGTCCGTCTAGACTGGTGACAGTGTTCTTGGGGACTGTCTCGAGATCCATTAAGCAAGTCGAAGCTCCTGACTTGTTTGAATGGGATCACGGAATAGCTCTGCATGCACTGCAGGGGAATGGGGCCTCATCTCGCCTCTAGGGGGAAGTCTCATGGTTTTTCTCGAGTTGCGGCGGGGACCTGGGGTATGTTCTCGACTTACGGCGGGGATGGCCCTTCAAAACACGAGTTTCTTCAGTGACGTCAGGACTCCTGTCTAGTAACGAGGGACACCTCAGGAATCTCTTCGAGGCTTGGCAGGGCAAAAGGGACGCTTCTCGAGGTGAGGCAGGGCACCCAAGGACCCTTTCCAGTAGCCACAGGGATTTTGGGATTCCTATCAGTATTCAAGAGGAGTCAGGCATCGTCACCTTTTGAAGCAATGAACTCCGCGTGCCTCTCGAGGTGTCAGCGCGATGTGAGGCATTCCGTCAAAATGAGGCAGGGACCTAGGGCTTTCTCTAAGGTCTCCACAGGGGATTCAGACATCCCTTCATGTTGTGAGATGAAAGATGAGCCTGTATTCAAGCCACTGCAAGGAAATCCGGCCTCCTTTCAAGTTAGGGCTTCTCGCTGTATATTCCCCTTGAGGCAGCAAACTCGGGGTCCCTCCCACATACCTATTGCTGAGAGAAGCCTCCTCCTGAGGTGCTTCTGGGAAGTTGGCATACGTCTTGAGCCTAAGCCAGGGAATCAGCTCGCATCTCGAGACGATTTGGGGTACACGGAGCATTCCTCGAGTTGCTGTGCTGAAGTTGGTGTTCCTCTAGACTTGGGACAGTGTTCTCGGGGCATCTCTGGAGTTGCCTGAAGGAAGTCGAGCCACCGGTCGTGTTGAATGGGGAACGGGGAATGGCTCTGGAGTCAATGCAGGGGAATCGGGCCTCATCTCGAGTTGATTTGGGGCACATGGAGCTGCTTTGCGTTGCTGGGGTGACCTCAGGGTCCGTCTAGACTGGTGACAGTGTTCTTGGGGACTGTCTCGAGATCCATTAAGCAAGTCGAAGCTCCTGACTTGTTTGAATGGGATCACGGAATAGCTCTGCATGCACTGCAGGGGAATGGGGCCTCATCTCGCCTCTAGGGGGAAGTCTCATGGTTTTTCTCGAGTTGCGGCGGGGACCTGGGGTATGTTCTCGACTTACGGCGGGGATGGCCCTTCAAAACACGAGTTTCTTCAGTGACGTCAGGACTCCTGTCTAGTAACGAGGGACACCTCAGGAATCTCTTCGAGGCTTGGCAGGGCAAAAGGGACGCTTCTCGAGGTGAGGCAGGGCACCCAAGGACCCTTTCCAGTAGCCACAGGGATTTTGGGATTCCTATCAGTATTCAAGAGGAGTCAGGCATCGTCACCTTTTGAAGCAATGAACTCCGCGTGCCTCTCGAGGTGTCAGCGCGATGTGAGGCATTCCGTCAAAATGAGGCAGGGACCTAGGGCTTTCTCTAAGGTCTCCACAGGGGATTCAGACATCCCTTCATGTTGTGAGATGAAAGACGAGCCTGTATTCAAGCCACTGCAAGGAAATCCGGCCTCCTTTCAAGTTAGGGCTTCTCGCTGTATATTCCCCTTGAGGCAGCAAACTCGGGGTCTCTCCCACATACCTATTGCTGAGAGAAGCCTCCTCCTGAGGTGCTTCTGGGAAGTTGGCATACGTCTTGAGCCTAAGCCAGGGAATCAGCTCGCATCTCGAGACGATTTGGGATACACGGAGCATTCCTCGAGTTGCTGTGCTGAAGTTGGTGTTCCTCTAGACTTGGGACAGTGTTCTCGGGGCATCTCTGGAGTTGCCTGAAGGAAGTCGAGCCACCGGTCGTGTTGAATGGGGAACGGGGAATGGCTCTGGAGTCAATGCAGGGGAATCGGGCCTCATCTCGAGTTGATTTGGGGCACATGGAGCTGCTTTGCTTTGCTGGGGTGACCTCAGGGTCCGTCTAGACTGGTGACAGTGTTCTTGGGGACTGTCTCGAGATCCATTAAGCAAGTCGAAGCTCCTGACTTGTTTGAATGGGATCACGGAATAGCTCTGCATGCACTGCAGGGGAATGGGGCCTCATCTCGCCTCTAGGGGGAAGTCTCATGGTTTTTCTCGAGTTGCTCCGGGGACCTGGGGTATGTTCACGACTTACGGCGGGGATGGCCCTTCAAAACACGAGTTTCTTCAGTGACGTCAGGACTCCTGTCTAGTAACGAGGGACACCTCAGGAATCTCTTCGAGGCTTGGCAGGGCAAAAGGGACGCTTCTCGAGGTGAGGCAGGGCACCCAAGGACCCTTTCCAGTAGCCACAGGGATTTTGGGATTCCTATCAGTATTCAAGAGGAGTCAGGCATCGTCACCTTTTGAAGCAATGAACTCCGCGTGCCTCTCGAGGTGTCATCGGGATGTGAGGCATTCCGTCAAAATGAGGCAGGGACCTAGGGCTTTCTCTAAGGTCTCCACAGGGGATTCAGACATCCCTTCACGTTGTGAGATGAAAGACGAGCCTGTATTCAAGCCACTGCAAGGAAATCCGGCCTCCTTTCAAGTTAGGGCTTCTCGCTGTATATTCCCCTTGAGGCAGCAAACTCGGGGTCCCTCCCACATACCTATTGCTGAGAGAAGCCTCCTCCTGAGGTGCTTCTGGGAAGTTGGCATACGTCTTGAGCCTAAGCCAGGGAATCAACTCTCATCTCGAGACGGTTTGGGGTACACGGAGCATTCCTCGAGTTGCTGTGCTGAAGTTGGTGTTCCTCTAGACTTGGGACAGTGTTCTCGGGGCATGTCTGGAGTTGCCTGAAGGAAGTCGAGCCACCGGTCGTGTTGAATGGGGAACGGGGAATGGCTCTGGAGTCAATGCAGGGGAATCGGGCCTCATCTCGAGTTGATTTGGGCACATGGAGCTGCTTTGCGTTGCTGGGGTGACCTCAGGGTCCGTCTAGCCTGGTGACAGTGTTCTTGGGGACTGTCTCGAGATCCATTAAGCAAGTCGAAGCTCCTGACTTGTTTGAATGGGATCACGGAATAGCTCTGCATGCACTGCAGGGGAATGGGGCCTCATCTCGCCTCTAGGGGGAAGTCTCATGGTTTTTCTCGAGTTGCGGCGGGGACCTGGGGTATGTTCTCGACTTACGGCGGGGATGGCCCTTCAAAACACGAGTTTCTTCAGTGACGTCAGGACTCCTGTCTAGTAACGAGGGACACCTCAGGAATCTCTTCGAGGCTTGGCAGGGCAAAAGGGACGCTTCTCGAGGTGAGGCAGGGCACCCAAGGACCCTTTCCAGTAGCCACAGGGATTTTGGGATTCCTATCAGTATTCAAGAGGAGTCAGGCATCGTCACCTTTTGAAGCAATGAACTCCGCGTGCCTCTCGAGGTGTCAGCGCGATGTGAGGCATTCCGTCAAAATGAGGCAGGGACCTAGGGCTTTCTCTAAGGTCTCCACAGGGGATTCAGACATCCCTTCATGTTGTGAGATGAAAGATGAGCCTGTATTCAAGCCACTGCAAGGAAATCCGGCCTCCTTTCAAGTTAGGGCTTCTCGCTGTATATTCCCCTTGAGGCAGCAAACTCGGGGTCCCTCCCACATACCTATTGCTGAGAGAAGCCTCCTCCTGAGGTGCTTCTGGGAAGTTGGCATACGTCTTGAGCCTAAGCCAGGGAATCAGCTCGCATCTCGAGACGATTTGGGGTACACGGAGCATTCCTCGAGTTGCTGTGCTGAAGTTGGTGTTCCTCTAGACTTGGGACAGTGTTCTCGGGGCATCTCTGGAGTTGCCTGAAGGAAGTCGAGCCACCGGTCGTGTTGAATGGGGAACGGGGAATGGCTCTGGAGTCAATGCAGGGGAATCGGGCCTCATCTCGAGTTGATTTGGGGCACATGGAGCTGCTTTGCGTTGCTGGGGTGACCTCAGGGTCCGTCTAGACTGGTGACAGTGTTCTTGGGGACTGTCTCGAGATCCATTAAGCAAGTCGAAGCTCCTGACTTGTTTGAATGGGATCACGGAATAGCTCTGCATGCACTGCAGGGGAATGGGGCCTCATCTCGCCTCTAGGGGGAAGTCTCATGGTTTTTCTCGAGTTGCGGCGGGGACCTGGGGTATGTTCTCGACTTACGGCGGGGATGGCCCTTCAAAACACGAGTTTCTTCAGTGACGTCAGGACTCCTGTCTAGTAACGAGGGACACCTCAGGAATCTCTTCGAGGCTTGGCAGGGCAAAAGGGACGCTTCTCGAGGTGAGGCAGGGCACCCAAGGACCCTTTCCAGTAGCCACAGGGATTTTGGGATTCCTATCAGTATTCAAGAGGAGTCAGGCATCGTCACCTTTTGAAGCAATGAACTCCGTGTGCCTCTCGAGGTGTCAGCGGGATGTGAGGCATTCCGTCAAAATGAGGCAGGGAGCTAGGGCTTTCTCTAAGGTCTCCACAGGGGATTCAGACATCCCTTCATGTTGTGAGATGAAAGACGAGCCTGTATTCAAGCCACTGCAAGGAAATCTGGCCTCCTTTCAAGTTAGGGCTTCTCACTGTATATTACCCTTGAGGCAGCAAACTCGGGGTCCTTCCCACATACCTATTGCTGAGAGAAGCCTCCTCCTGAGGTGCTTCTGGGAAGTTGGCATACGTCTTGAGCCTAAGCCAGGGAATCAGCTCTCATCTCGAGACGATTTGGGGTACACGGAGCATTCCTCGAGTTGCTGTGCTGAAGTTGGTGTTCCTGTAGACTAGGGGCAGTGTTCTCGGGGCATCTCTGGAGTTGCCTGAAGGAAGTCGAGCCACCGGTCGTGTTGAATGGGGAACGGGGAATGGCTCTGGAGTCAATGCAGGGGAATCGGGCCTCATCTCGAGTTGATTTGGGGCACATGGAGCTGCTTTGCTTTGCTGGGGTGACCTCAGGGTCCGTCTAGACTGGTGACAGTGTTCTTGGGGACTGTCTCGAGATCCATTAAGCAAGTCGAAGCTCCTGACTTGTTTGAATGGGATCACGGAATAGCTCTGCATGCACTGCAGGGGAATGGGGCCTCATCTCGCCTCTAGGGGGAAGTCTCATGGTTTTTCTCGAGTTGCTGCGGGGACCTGGGGTATGTTCACGACTTACGGCGGGGATGGCCCTTCAAAACACGAGTTTCTTCAGTGACGTCAGGACTCCTGTCTAGTAACGAGGGACACCTCAGGAATCTCTTCGAGGCTTGGCAGGGCAAAAGGGACGCTTCTCGAGGTGAGGCAGGGCACCCAAGGACCCTTTCCAGTAGCCACAGGGATTTTGGGATTCCTATCAGTATTCAAGAGGAGTCAGGCATCGTCACCTTTTGAAGCAATGAACTCCGCGTGCCTCTCGAGGTGTCATCGGGATGTGAGGCATTCCGTCAAAATGAGGCAGGGACCTAGGGCTTTCTCTAAGGTCTCCACAGGGGATTCAGACATCCCTTCACGTTGTGAGATGAAAGACGAGCCTGTATTCAAGCCACTGCAAGGAAATCCGGCCTCCTTTCAAGTTAGGGCTTCTCGCTGTATATTCCCCTTGAGGCAGCAAACTCGGGGTCCCTCCCACATACCTATTGCTGAGAGAAGCCTCCGCCTGAGGTGCTTCTGGGAAGTTGGCATACGTCTTGAGCCTAAGCCAGGGAATCAGCTCGCATCTCGAGACGATTTGGGGTACATGGAGCATTCCTCGAGTTGCTGTGCTGAAGTTGGTGTTCCTCTAGACTTGGGACAGTGTTCTCGGGGCATCTCTGGAGTTGCCTGAAGGAAGTCGAGCCACCGGTCGTGTTGAATGGGGAACGGGGAATGGCTCTGGAGTCAATGCAGGGGAATCGGGCCTCATCTCGAGTTGATTTGGGGCACATGGAGCTGCTTTGCGTTGCTGGGGTGACCTCAGGGTCCGTCTAGACTGGTGACAGTGTTCTTGGGGACTGTCTCGAGATCCATTAAGCAAGTCGAAGCTCCTGACTTGTTTGAATGGGATCACGGAATAGCTCTGCATGCACTGCAGGGGAATGGGGCCTCATCTCGCCTCTAGGGGGAAGTCTCATGGTTTTTCTCGAGTTGCGGCGCGGACCTGGGGTATGTTCTCGACTTACGGCGGGGATGGCCCTTCAAAACACGAGTTTCTTCAGTGACGTCAGGACTCCTGTCTAGTAACGAGGGACACCTCAGGAATCTCTTCGAGGCTTGGCAGGGCAAAAGGAACACTTCTCGAGGTGAGGCAGGGCACCCAAGGACCCTTTCCAGTAGCCACAGGGATTTTGGGATTCCTATCAGTATTCAAGAGGAGTCAGGCATCGTCACCTTTTGAAGCAATGAACTCCGCGTGCCCCTTGATGTGTCAGCGCGATGTGAGGCATTCCGTCAAAATGAGGCAGGGACCTAGGTCTTTCTCTAAGGTCTCCACAGGGAATTCAGACAGCCCTTCATGTTGTGAGATGAAAGACGAGCCTGTATTCAAGCCACTGCAAGGAAATCCGGCCTCCTTTCAAGTTAGGGTTTCTCGCTGTATATTCCCCTTGAGGCAGCAAACTCGGGGTCCCTCCCACATACCTATTGCTGAGAGAAGCCTCCTCCTGAGGTGCTTCTGGGAAGTTGGCATACGTCTTGAGCCTAAGCCAGGGAATCAACTCTCATCTCGAGACGGTTTGGGGTACACGGAGCATTCCTCGAGTTGCTGTGCTGAAGTTGGTGTTCCTCTAGACTTGGGACAGTGTTCTCGGGGCATGTCTGGAGTTGCCTGAAGGAAGTCGAGCCACCGGTCGTGTTGAATGGGGAACGGGGAATGGCTCTGGAGTCAATGCAGGGGAATCGGGCCTCATCTCGAGTTGATTTGGGCACATGGAGCTGCTTTGCGTTGCTGGGGTGACCTCAGGGTCCGTCTAGACTGGTGACAGTGTTCTTGGGGACTGTCTCGAGATCCATTAAGCAAGTCGAAGCTCCTGACTTGTTTGAATGGGATCACGGAATAGCTCTGCATGCACTGCAGGGGAATGGGGCCTCATCTCGCCTCTAGGGTTAAGTCTCATGGTTTTTCTCGAGTTGCGGCGGGGACCTGGGGTATGTTCTCGACTTACGGCGGGGATGGCCCTTCCAAACACGAGTTTCTTCAGTGACGTCAGGACTCCTGTCTAGTAACGAGGGACACCTCAGGAATCTCTTCGAGGCTTGGCAGGGCAAAAGGGACGCTTCTCGAGGTGAGGCAGGGCACCCAAGGACCCTTTCCAGTAGCCACAGGGATTTTGGGATTCCTATCAGTATTCATGAGGAGTCAGGCATCGTCACCTTTTGAAGCAATGAACTCCGCGTGCCTCTCGAGGTGTCAGCGGGATGTGAGGCATTCCGTCAAAATGAGGCAGGGACCTAGGGCTTTCTCTAAGGTCTCCACAGGGGATTCAGACATCCCTTCATGTTGTGAGATGAAAGACGAGCCTGTATTCAAGCCACTGCAAGGAAATCCGGCCTCCTTTCAAGTTTGGGTTTCTCGCTGTATATTCCCCTTGAGGCAGCAAACTCGGGGTCCCTCCCACACACCTATTGCTGAGAGAAGCCTCCTCCTGAGGTGCTTCTGGGAAGTTGGCATACGTCTGGAGCCTAAGCCAGGGAATCAGCTCGCATCTCGAGACGATTTGGGGTACACGGGGCATTCCTCGAGTTGCTGTGCTGAAGTTGGTGTTCCTCTAGACTTGGGACAGTGTTCTCGGGGCATCTCTGGAGTTGCCTGAAGGAAGTCGAGCCACCGGTCGTGTTGAATGGGGAACGGGGAATGGCTCTGGAGTCAATGCAGGGGAATCGGGCCTCATCTCGAGTTGATTTGGGGCACATGGAGCTGCTTTGCATTGCTGGGGTGACCTCAGGGTCCGTCTAGACTGGTGACAGTGTTCTTGGGGACTGTCTCGAGATCCATTAAGCAAGTCGAAGCTCCTGACTTGTTTGAATGGGATCACGGAATAGCTCTGCATGCACTGCAGGGGAATGGGGCCTCATCTCGCCTCTAGGGGGAAGTCTCATGGTTTTTCTCGAGTTGCGGCGGGGACCTGGGGTATGTTCTCGACTTACGGCGGGGATGGCCCTTCCAAACACGAGTTTCTTCAGTGACGTCAGGACTCCTGTCTAGTAACGAGGGACACCTCAGGAATCTCTTCGAGGCTTGGCAGGGCAAAAGGGACGCTTCTCGAGGTGAGGCAGGGCACCCAAGGACCCTTTCCAGTAGCCACAGGGATTTTGGGATTCCTATCAGTATTCAAGAGGAGTCAGGCATCGTCACCTTTTGAAGCAATGAACTCCGCGTGCCTCTCGAGGTGTCAGCGCGATGTGAGGCATTCCGTCAAAATGAGGCAGGGACCTAGGGCTTTCTCTAAGGTCTCCACAGGGGATTCAGACATCCCTTCATGTTGTGAGATGAAAGACGAGCCTGTATTCAAGCCACTGCAAGGAAATCCGGCCTCCTTTCAAGTTAGGGCTTCTCGCTGTATATTCCCCTTGAGGCAGCAAACTCGGGGTCCCTCCCACATACCTATTGCTGAGAGAAGCCTCCGCCTGAGGTGCTTCTGGGAAGTTGGCATACGTCTTGAGCCTAAGCCAGGGAATCAGCTCGCATCTCGAGACGGTTTGGGGTACATGGAGCATTCCTCGAGTTGCTGTGCTGAAGTTGGTGTTCCTCTAGACTTGGGACAGTGTTCTCGGGGCATCTCTGGAGTTGCCTGAAGGAAGTCGAGCCACCGGTCGTGTTGAATGGGGAACGGGGAATGGCTCTGGAGTCAATGCAGGGGAATCGGGCCTCATCTCGAGTTGATTTGGGGCACATGGAGCTGCTTTGCGTTGCTGGGGTGACCTCAGGGTCCGTCTAGACTGGTGACAGTGTTCTTGGGGACTGTCTCGAGATCCATTAAGCAAGTAGAAGCTCCTGACTTGTTTGAATGGGATCACGGAATAGCTCTGCATGCACTGCAGGGGAATGGGGCCTCATCTCGCCTCTAGGGGGAAGTCTCATGGTTTTTCTCGAGTTGCGGCGGGGACCTGGGGTATGTTCTCGTCTTACGGCGGGGATGGCCCTTCAAAACACGAGTTTCTTCAGTGACGTCAGGACTCCTGTCTAGTAACGAGGGACACCTCAGGAATCTCTTCGAGGCTTGGCAGGGCAAAAGGGACGCTTCTCGAGGTGAGGCAGGGCACCCAAGGACCCTTTCCAGTAGCCACAGGGATTTTGGGATTCCTATCAGTATTCAAGAGGAGTCAGGCATCGTCACCTTTTGAAGCAATGAACTCCGCGTGCCTCTCGAGGTGTCAGCGGGATGTGAGGCCTTCCGTCAAAATGAGGCAGGGACCTAGGGCTTTCTCTAAGGTCTCCACAGGGGATTCAGACATCCCTTCATGCTGTGATATGAAAGACGAGCCTGTATTCACGCCACTGCAAGGAAATCCGGCCTCCTTTCAAGTTAGGGCTTCTCGCTGTATATTCCCCTTGAGGCAGCAAACTCGGGGTCCCTCCCACATACCTATTGCTGAGAGAAGCCTCCTCCTGAGGTGCTTCTGGGAAGTTGGCATACGTCTTGAGCCTAAGCCAGGGAATCAGCTCGCATCTCGAGACGATTTGGGGTACACGGAGCATTCCTCGAGTTGCTGTGCTGAAGTTGGTGTTCCTCTAGACTTGGGACAGTGTTCTCGGGGCATCTCTGGAGTTGCCTGAAGGAAGTCGAGCCACCGGTCGTGTTGAATGGGGAACGGGGAACGGCTCTGGAGTCAATGCAGGGGAATCGGGCCTCATCTCGAGTTGATTTGGGGCACATGGAGCTGCTTTGCGTTGCTGGGGTGACCTCAGGGTCCGTCTAGACTGGTGACAGTGTTCTTGGGGACTGTCTCGAGATCCATTAAGCAAGTCGAAGCTCCTGACTTGTTTGAATGGGTTCACGGAATAGCTCTGCATGCACTGCAGGGGAATGGGGCCTCATCTCGCCTCTAGGGGGAAGTCTCATGGTTTTTCTCGAGTTGCGGCGGGGACCTGGGGTATGTTCTCGACTTACGGCGGGGATGGCCCTTCCAAACACGAGTTTCTTCAGTGACGTCAGGACTCCTGTCTAGTAACGAGGGACACCTCAGGAATCTCTTCGAGGCTTGGCAGGGCAAAAGGGACGCTTCTCGACGTGAGGCAGGGCACCCAAGGACCCTTTCCAGTAGCCACAGGGATTTTGGGATTCCTATCAGTATTCAAGAGGAGTCAGGCATCGTCACCTTTTGAAGCAATGAACTCCGCGTGCCTCTCGAGGTGTCAGCGGGATGTGAGGCATTCCGTCAAAATGAGGCAGGGACCTAGGGCTTTCTCTAAGGTCTCCACAGGGAATTCAGACATCCCTTCATGTTGTGAGATGAAAGACGAGCCTGTATTCAAGCCACTGCAAGGAAATCCGGCCTCCTTTCAAGTTAGGGTTTCTCGCTGTATATTCCCCTTGAGGCAGCAAACTCGGGGTCCCTCCCACATACCTATTGCTGAGAGAAGCCTCCTCCTGAGGTGCTTCTGGGAAGTTGGCATACGTCTTGAGCCTAAGCCAGGGAATCAGCTCGCATCTCGAGACGATTTGGGTTACACGGGGCATTCCTCGAGTTGCTGTGCTGAAGTTGGTGTTCCTCTAGACTTGGGACAGTGTTCTCGGGGCATCTCTGGAGTTGCCTGAAGGAAGTCGAGCCACCGGTCGTGTTGAATGGGGAACGGGGAATGGCTCTGGAGTCAATGCAGGGGAATCGGGCCTCATCTCGAGTTGATTTGGGGCACATGGAGCTGCTTTGCGTTGCTGGGGTGACCTCAGGGTCCGTCTAGACTGGTGACAGTGTTCTTGGGGACTGTCTCGAGATCCATTAAGCAAGTCGAAGCTCCTGACTTGTTTGAATGGGATCACGGAATAGCTCTGCATGCACTGCAGGGGAATGGGGCCTCATCTCGCCTCTAGGGGGAAGTCTCATGGTTTTTCTCGAGTTGCGGCGGGGACCTGGGGTATGTTCTCGACTTACGGCGGGGATGGCCCTTCCAAACACGAGTTTCTTCAGTGACGTCAGGACTCCTGTCTAGTAACGAGGGACACCTCAGGAATCTCTTCGAGGCTTGGCAGGGCAAAAGGGACGCTTCTCGAGGTGAGGCAGGGCACCCAAGGACCCTTTCCAGTAGCCACAGGGATTTTGGGATTCCTATCAGTATTCAAGAGGAGTCAGGCATCGTCACCTTTTGAAGCAATGAACTCCGCGTGCCTCTCGAGGTGTCAGCGCGATGTGAGGCATTCCGTCAAAATGAGGCAGGGACTTAGGGCTTTCTCTAAGGTCTCCACAGGGGATTCAGACATCCCTTCATGTTGTGAGATGAAAGACGAGCCTGTATTCAAGCCACTGCAAGGAAATCCGGCCTCGTTTCAAGTTAGGGCTTCTCGCTGTATATTCCCCTTGAGGCAGCAAACTCGGGGTCCCTCCCACATACCTATTGCTGAGAGAAGCCTCCTCCTGAGGTGCTTCTGGGAAGTTGGCATACGTCTTGAGCCTAAGCCAGGGAATCAGCTCTCATCTCGAGACGATTTGGGGTACACGGAGCCTTCCTCGAGTTGCTGTGCTGAAGTTGGTGTTCCTCTAAACTTGGGACAGTATTCTCGGGGCATCTCTGGAGTTGCCTGAAGGAAGTCGAGCCACCGGTCATGTTGAATGGGGAACGGGGAATGGCTCTGGAGTCAATGCAGGGGAATCGGGCCTCATCTCGAGTTGATTTGGGGCACATGGAGCTGCTTTGCGTTGCTGGGGTGACCTCAGGGTCCGTCTAGACTGGTGACAGTGTTCTTGGGGACTGTCTCGAGATCCATTAAGCAAGTAGAAGCTCCTGACTTGTTTGAATGGGATCACGGAATAGCTCTGCATGCACTGCAGGGGAATGGGGCCTCATCTCGCCTCTAGGGGGAAGTCTCATGGTTTTTCTCGAGTTGCGGCGGGGACCTGGGGTATGTTCTCGTCTTACGGCGGGGATGGCCCTTCAAAACACGAGTTTCTTCAGTGACGTCAGGACTCCTGTCTAGTAACGAGGGACACCTCAGGAATCTCTTCGAGGCTTGGCAGGGCAAAAGGGACGCTTCTCGAGGTGAGGCAGGGCACCCAAGGACCCTTTCCAGTAGCCACAGGGATTTTGGGATTCCTATCAGTATTCAAGAGGAGTCAGGCATCGTCACCTTTTGAAGCAATGAACTCCGCGTGCCTCTCGAGGTGTCAGCGGGATGTGAGGCCTTCCGTCAAAATGAGGCAGGGACCTAGGGCTTTCTCTAAGGTCTCCACAGGGGATTCAGACATCCCTTCATGCTGTGATATGAAAGACGAGCCTGTATTCACGCCACTGCAAGGAAATCCGGCCTCCTTTCAAGTTAGGGCTTCTCGCTGTATATTCCCCTTGAGGCAGCAAACTCGGGGTCCCTCCCACATACCTATTGCTGAGAGAAGCCTCCTCCTGAGGTGCTTCTGGGAAGTTGGCATACGTCTTGAGCCTAAGCCAGGGAATCAGCTCGCATCTCGAGACGATTTGGGGTACACGGAGCATTCCTCGAGTTGCTGTGCTGAAGTTGGTGTTCCTCTAGACTTGGGACAGTGTTCTCGGGGCATCTCTGGAGTTGCCTGAAGGAAGTCGAGCCACCGGTCGTGTTGAATGGGGAACGGGGAACGGCTCTGGAGTCAATGCAGGGGAATCGGGCCTCATCTCGAGTTGATTTGGGGCACATGGAGCTGCTTTGCGTTGCTGGGGTGACCTCAGGGTCCGTCTAGACTGGTGACAGTGTTCTTGGGGACTGTCTCGAGATCCATTAAGCAAGTCGAAGCTCCTGACTTGTTTGAATGGGTTCACGGAATAGCTCTGCATGCACTGCAGGGGAATGGGGCCTCATCTCGCCTCTAGGGGGAAGTCTCATGGTTTTTCTCGAGTTGCGGCGGGGACCTGGGGTATGTTCTCGACTTACGGCGGGGATGGCCCTTCCAAACACGAGTTTCTTCAGTGACGTCAGGACTCCTGTCTAGTAACGAGGGACACCTCAGGAATCTCTTCGAGGCTTGGCAGGGCAAAAGGGACGCTTCTCGACGTGAGGCAGGGCACCCAAGGACCCTTTCCAGTAGCCACAGGGATTTTGGGATTCCTATCAGTATTCAAGAGGAGTCAGGCATCGTCACCTTTTGAAGCAATGAACTCCGCGTGCCTCTCGAGGTGTCAGCGGGATGTGAGGCATTCCGTCAAAATGAGGCAGGGACCTAGGGCTTTCTCTAAGGTCTCCACAGGGAATTCAGACATCCCTTCATGTTGTGAGATGAAAGACGAGCCTGTATTCAAGCCACTGCAAGGAAATCCGGCCTCCTTTCAAGTTAGGGTTTCTCGCTGTATATTCCCCTTGAGGCAGCAAACTCGGGGTCCCTCCCACATACCTATTGCTGAGAGAAGCCTCCTCCTGAGGTGCTTCTGGGAAGTTGGCATACGTCTTGAGCCTAAGCCAGGGAATCAGCTCGCATCTCGAGACGATTTGGGTTACACGGGGCATTCCTCGAGTTGCTGTGCTGAAGTTGGTGTTCCTCTAGACTTGGGACAGTGTTCTCGGGGCATCTCTGGAGTTGCCTGAAGGAAGTCGAGCCACCGGTCGTGTTGAATGGGGAACGGGGAATGGCTCTGGAGTCAATGCAGGGGAATCGGGCCTCATCTCGAGTTGATTTGGGGCACATGGAGCTGCTTTGCGTTGCTGGGGTGACCTCAGGGTCCGTCTAGACTGGTGACAGTGTTCTTGGGGACTGTCTCGAGATCCATTAAGCAAGTCGAAGCTCCTGACTTGTTTGAATGGGATCACGGAATAGCTCTGCATGCACTGCAGGGGAATGGGGCCTCATCTCGCCTCTAGGGGGAAGTCTCATGGTTTTTCTCGAGTTGCGGCGGGGACCTGGGGTATGTTCTCGACTTACGGCGGGGATGGCCCTTCCAAACACGAGTTTCTTCAGTGACGTCAGGACTCCTGTCTAGTAACGAGGGACACCTCAGGAATCTCTTCGAGGCTTGGCAGGGCAAAAGGGACGCTTCTCGAGGTGAGGCAGGGCACCCAAGGACCCTTTCCAGTAGCCACAGGGATTTTGGGATTCCTATCAGTATTCAAGAGGAGTCAGGCATCGTCACCTTTTGAAGCAATGAACTCCGCGTGCCTCTCGAGGTGTCAGCGCGATGTGAGGCATTCCGTCAAAATGAGGCAGGGACTTAGGGCTTTCTCTAAGGTCTCCACAGGGGATTCAGACATCCCTTCATGTTGTGAGATGAAAGACGAGCCTGTATTCAAGCCACTGCAAGGAAATCCGGCCTCGTTTCAAGTTAGGGCTTCTCGCTGTATATTCCCCTTGAGGCAGCAAACTCGGGGTCCCTCCCACATACCTATTGCTGAGAGAAGCCTCCTCCTGAGGTGCTTCTGGGAAGTTGGCATACGTCTTGAGCCTAAGCCAGGGAATCAGCTCTCATCTCGAGACGATTTGGGGTACACGGAGCCTTCCTCGAGTTGCTGTGCTGAAGTTGGTGTTCCTCTAAACTTGGGACAGTATTCTCGGGGCATCTCTGGAGTTGCCTGAAGGAAGTCGAGCCACCGGTCATGTTGAATGGGGAACGGGGAATGGCTCTGGAGTCAATGCAGGGGAATCGGGCCTCATCTCGAGTTGATTTGGGGCACATGGAGCTGCTTTGCGTTGCTGGGGTGACCTCAGGGTCCGTCTAGACTGGTGACAGTGTTCTTCGGGACTGTCTCGAGATCCATTAAGCAAGTCGAAGCTCCTGACTTGTTTGAATGGGATCACGGAATAACTCTGCATGCACTGCAGGGGAATGGGGCCTCATCTCGCCTCTAGGGGGAAGTCTCATGGTTTTTCTCGAGTTGCGGCGGGGACCTGGGGTATGTTCTCGACTTACGGCGGGGATGGCCCTTCAAAACACGAGTTTCTTCAGTGATGTCAGGACTCATGTCTAGTAACGAGGGACACCTCAGGAATCTCTTCGAGGCTTGGCAGGGCAAAAGGGACGCTTCTCGAGGTGAGGAAGGGCACCCAAGGACCCTTTCCAGTAGCCACAGGGATTTTGGGATTCCTATCAGTATTCAAGAGGAGTCAGGCATCGTCACCTTTTGAAGCAATGAACTCCACGTGCCTCTCGAGGTGTCAGCGGGATGTGAGGCATTCCGTCAAAATGAGGCAGGGACCTAGGGCTTTCTCTAAGGTCTCCACAGGGAATTCAGACATCCCTTCATGTTGTGAGATGAAAGACGAGCCTGTATTCAAGCCACTGCAAGGAAATCCGGCCTCCTTTCAAGTTAGGGTTTCTCGCTGTATATTCCCCTTGAGGCAGCAAACTCGGGGTCCCTCCCACATACCTATTGCTGAGAGAAGCCTCCTCCTGAGGTGCTTCTGGGAAGTTGGCATACGTCTTGAGCCTAAGCCAGGGAATCAGCTCGCATCTCGAGACGATTTGGGTTACACGGGGCATTCCTCGAGTTGCTGTGCTGAAGTTGGTGTTCCTCTAGACTTGGGACAGTGTTCTCGGGGCATCTCTGGAGTTGCCTGAAGGAAGTCGAGCCACCGGTCGTGTTGAATGGGGAACGGGGAATGGCTCTGGAGTCAATGCAGGGGAATCGGGCCTCATCTCGAGTTGATTTGGGGCACATGGAGCTGCTTTGCGTTGCTGGGGTGACCTCAGGGTCCGTCTAGACTGGTGACAGTGTTCTTGGGGACTGTCTCGAGATCCATTAAGCAAGTCGAAGCTCCTGACTTGTTTGAATGGGATCACGGAATAGCTCTGCATGCACTGCAGGGGAATGGGGCCTCATCTCGCCTCTAGGGGGAAGTCTCATGGTTTTTCTCGAGTTGCGGCGGGGACCTGGGGTATGTTCTCGACTTACGGCGGGGATGGCCCTTCCAAACACGAGTTTCTTCAGTGACGTCAGGACTCCTGTCTAGTAACGAGGGACCCCTCAGGAATCTCTTCGAGGCTTGGCAGGGCAAAAGGGACGCTTCTCGAGGTGAGGCAGGGCACCCAAGGACCCTTTCCAGTAGCCACAGGGATTTTGGGATTCCTATCAGTATTCAAGAGGAGTCAGGCATCGTCACCTTTTGAAGCAATGAACTCCGCGTGCCTCTCGAGGTGTCAGCGCGATGTGAGGCATTCCGTCAAAATGAGGCAGGGACCTAGGGCTTTCTCTAAGGTCTCCACAGGGGATTCAGACATCCCTTCATGTTGTGAGATGAAAGACGAGCCTGTATTCAAGCCACTGCAAGGAAATCCGGCCTCGTTTCAAGTTAGGGCTTCTCGCTGTATATTCCCCTTGAGGCAGCAAACTCGGGGTCCCTCCCACATACCTATTGCTGAGAGAAGCCTCCTCCTGAGGTGCTTCTGGGAAGTTGGCATACGTCTTGAGCCTAAGCCAGGGAATCAGCTCGCATCTCGAGACGATTTGGGGTACATGGAGCATCCTCGAGTTGCTGTGCTGAAGTTGGTGTTCCTCTAGACTTGGGACAGTGTTCTCGGGGCATCTCTGGAGTTGCCTGAAGGAAGTCGAGCCACCGGTCGTGTTGAATGGGGAACGGGGAATGGCTCTGGAGTCAATGCAGGGGAATCGGGCCTCATCTCGAGTTGATTTGGGGCACATGGAGCTGCTTTGCGTTGCTGGGGTGACCTCAGGGTCCGTCTAGACTGGTGACAGTGTTCTTGGGGACTGTCTCGAGATCCATTAAGCAAGTCGAAGCTCCTGACTTGTTTGAATGGGATCACGGAATAGCTCTGCATGCACTGCAGGGGAATGGGGCCTCATCTCGCCTCTAGGGGGAAGTCTCATGGTTTTTCTCGAGTTGCGGCGCGGACCTGGGGTATGTTCTCGACTTACGGCGGGGATGGCCCTTCAAAACACGAGTTTCTTCAGTGACGTCAGGACTCCTGTCTAGTAACGAGGGACACCTCAGGAATCTCTTCGAGGCTTGGCAGGGCAAAAGGGACGCTTCTCGAGGTGAGGCAGGGCACCCAAGGACCCTTTCCAGTAGCCACAGGGATTTTGGGATTCCTATCAGTATTCAAGAGGAGTCAGGCATCGTCACCTTTTGAAGCAATGAACTCCACGTGCCTCTTGATGTGTCAGCGCGATGTGAGGCATTCCGTCAAAATGAGGCAGGGACCTAGGTCTTTCTCTAAGGTCTCCACAGGGGATTCAGACAGCCCTTCATGTTGTGAGATGAAAGACGAGCCTGTATTCAAGCCACTGCAAGGAAATCCGGCCTCCTTTCAAGTTTGGGTTTCTCGCTGTATATTCCCCTTGAGGCAGCAAACTCGGGGTCCCTCCCACACACCTATTGCTGAGAGAAGCCTCCTCCTGAGGTGCTTCTGGGAAGTTGGCATACGTCTTGAGCCTAAGCCAGGGAATCAGCTCGCATCTCGAGACGATTTGGGGTACACGGGGCATTCCTCGAGTTGCTGTGTTGAAGTTGGTGTTCCTCTAGACTTGGGACAGTGTTCTCGGGGCATCTCTGGAGTTGCCTGAAGGAAGTCGAGCCACCGGTCGTGTTGAATGAGGAACGGGGAATGGCTCTGGAGTCAATGCAGGGGAATCGGGCCTCATCTCGAGTTGATTTGGGGCACATGGAGCTGCTTTGCGTTGCTGGGGTGACCTCAGGGTCCGTCTAGACTGGTGACAGTGTTCTTGGGGACTGTCTCGAGATCCATTAAGCAAGTCGAAGCTCCTGACTTGTTTGAATGGGATCACGGAATAGCTCTGCATGCACTGCAGGGGAATGGGGCCTCATCTCGCCTCTAGGGGGAAGTCTCATGGTTTTTCTCGAGTTGCGGCGGGGACCTGGGGTATGTTCTCGACTTACGGCGGGGATGGCCCTTCCAAACACGAGTTTCTTCAGTGACGTCAGGACTCCTGTCTAGTAACGAGGGACACCTCAGGAATCTCTTCGAGGCTTGGCAGGGCAAAAGGGACGCTTCTCGAGGTGAGGCAGGGCACCCAAGGACCCTTTCCAGTAGCCACAGGGATTTTGGGATTCCTATCAGTATTCAAGAGGAGTCAGGCATCGTCACCTTTTGAAGCAATGAACTCCGCGTGCCTCTCGAGGTGTCAGCGGGATGTGAGGCATTCCGTCAAAATGAGGCAGGGACCTAGGGCTTTCTCTAAGGTCTCCACAGGGGATTCAGACATCCCTTCATGTTGTGAGATGAAAGACGAGCCTGTATTCAAGCCACTGCAAGGAAATCCGGCCTCCTTTCAAGTTAGGGCTTCTCGCTGTATATTCCCCTTGAGGCAGCAAACTCGGGGTCCCTCCCACATACCTATTGCTGAGAGAAGCCTCCGCCTGAGGTGCTTCTGGGAAGTTGGCATACGTCTTGAGCCTAAGCCAGGGAATCAGCTCGCATCTCGAGACGGTTTGGGGTACATGGAGCATTCCTCGAGTTGCTGTGCTGAAGTTGGTGTTCCTCTAGACTTGGGACAGTGTTCTCGGGGCATCTCTGGAGTTGCCTGAAGGAAGTAGAGCCACCGGTCGTGTTGAATGGGGAACGGGGAATGGCTCTGGAGTCAATGCAGGGGAATCGGGCCTCATCTCGAGTTGATTTGGGGCACATGGAGCTGCTTTGCGTTGCTGGGGTGACCTCAGGGTCCGTCTAGACTGGTGACAGTGTTCTTGGGGACTGTCTCGAGATCCATTAAGCAAGTAGAAGCTCCTGACTTGTTTGAATGGGATCACGGAATAGCTCTGCATGCACTGCAGGGGAATGGGGCCTCATCTCGCCTCTAGGGGGAAGTCTCATGGTTTTTCTCGAGTTGCGGCGGGGACCTGGGGTATGTTCTCGACTTACGGCGGGGTTGGCCCTTCAAAACACGAGTTTCTTCAGTGACGTCAGGACTCCTGTCTAGTAACGAGGGACACCTCAGGAATCTCTTCGAGGCTTGGCAGGGCAAAAGGGACGCTTCTCGAGGTGAGGCAGGGCACCCAAGGACCCTTTCCAGTAGCCACAGGGATTTTGGGATTCCTATCAGTATTCAAGAGGAGTCAGGCATCGTCACCTTTTGAAGCAATGAACTCCGCGTGCCTCTCGAGGTGTCAGCGGGATGTGAGGCCTTCCGTCAAAATGAGGCAGGGACCTAGGGCTTTCTCTAAGGTCTCCACAGGGGATTCAGACATCCCTTCATGTTGTGAGATGAAAGACGAGCCTGTATTCAAGCCACTGCAAGGAAATCCGGCCTCCTTTCAAGTTAGGGCTTCTCGCTGTATATTCCCCTTGAGGCAGCAAACTCGGGGTCCCTCCCACATACCTATTGCTGAGAGAAGCCTCCTCCTGAGGTGCTTCTGGGAAGTTGGCATACGTCTTGAGCCTAAGCCAGGGAATCAGCTCGCATCTCGAGACGATTTGGGGTACACGGAGCATTCCTCGAGTTGCTGTGCTGAAGTTGGTGTTCCTCTAGACTTGGGACAGTGTTCTCGGGGCATCTCTGGAGTTGCCTGAAGGAAGTCGAGCCACCGGTCGTGTTGAATGGGGAACGGGGAATGGCTCTGGAGTCAATGCAGGGGAATCGGGCCTCATCTCGAGTTGATTTGGGGCACATGGAGCTGCTTTGCGTTGCTGGGGTGACCTCAGGGTCCGTCTAGACTGGTGACAGTGTTCTTGGGGACTGTCTCGAGATCCATTAAGCAAGTCGAAGCTCCTGACTTGTTTGAATGGGATCAGGGAATAGCTCTGCATGCACTGCAGGGGAATGGGGCCTCATCTCGCCTCTAGGGGGAAGTCTCATGGTTTTTCTCGAGTTGCGGCGGGGACCTGGGTTATGTTCTCGACTTACGGCGGGGATGGCCCTTCCAAACACGAGTTTCTTCAGTGACGTCAGGACTCCTGTCTAGTAACGAGGGACACCTCAGGAATCTCTTCGAGGCTTGGCAGGGCAAAAGGGACGCTTCTCGACGTGAGGCAGGGCACCCAAGTACCCTTTCCAGTAGCCACAGGGATTTTGGGATTCCTATCAGTATTCAAGAGGAGTCAGGCATCGTCACCTTTTGAAGCAATGAACTCCGCGTGCCTCTCGAGGTGTCAGCGCGATGTGAGGCATTCCGTCAAAATGAGGCAGGGACCTAGGGCTTTCTCTAAGTTCTCCACAGGGAATTCAGACATCCCTTCATGTTGTGAGATGAAAGACGAGCCTGTATTCAAGCCACTGCAAGGAAATCCGGCCTCCTTTCAAGTTAGGGTTTCTCGCTGTATATTCCCCTTGAGGCAGCAAACTCGGGGTCCCTCCCACATACCTATTGCTGAGAGAAGCCTCCTCCTGAGGTGCTTCTCGGAAGTTGGCATACGTCTTGAGACTAAGCCAGGGAATCAGCTCGCATCTCGAGACGATTTGGGGTACACGGGGCATTCCTCGAGTTGCTGTGCTGAAGTTGGTGTTCCTCTAGACTTGGGACAGTGTTCTCGGGGCATCTCTGGAGTTGCCTGAAGGAAGTCGAGCCACCAGTCGTGTTGAATGGGGAACGGGGAATGGCTCTGGAGTCAATGCAGGGGAATCGGGCCTCATCTCGAGTTGATTTGGGGCACATGGAGCTGCTTTGCGTTGCTGGGGTGAACTCAGTGTCCGTCTAGACTGGTGACAGTGTTCTTGGGGACTGTCTCGAGATCCATTAAGCAAGTCGAAGCTCCTGACTTGTTTGAATGGGATCACGGAATAGCTCTGCATGCACTGCAGGGGAATGGGGCCTCATCTCGCCTCTAGGGGGAAGTCTCATGGTTTTTCTCGAGTTGCGGCGGGGACCTGGGGTATGTTCTCGACTTACGGCGGGGATGGCCCTTCCAAACACGAGTTTCTTCAGTGACGTCAGGACTCCTGTCTAGTAACGAGGGACACCTCAGGAATCTCTTCGAGGCTTGGCAGGGCAAAAGGGACGCTTCTCGAGGTGAGGCAGGGCACCCAAGGACCCTTTCCAGTAGCCACAGGGATTTTGGGATTCCTATCAGTATTCAAGAGGAGTCAGGCATCGTCACCTTTTGAAGCAATGAACTCCGCGTGCCTCTCGAGGAGTCAGCGGGATGTGAGGCATTCCGTCAAAATGAGGCAGGGACCTAGGGCTTTCTCTAAGGTCTCCACAGGGGATTCAGACATCCCTTCATGTTGTGAGATGAAAGACGAGCCTGTATTCAAGCCACTGCAAGGAAATCCGGCCTCCTTTCAAATTTGGGTTTCTCGCTGTATATTCCCCTTGAGGCAGCAAACTCGGGGTCCCTACCACATACCTATTGCTGAGAGAAGCCTCCTCCTGAGGTGCTTCTGGGAAGTTGGCATACGTCTTGAGCCTAAGCCAGGGAATCAGCTCGCATCTCGAGACGATTTGGGGTACACGGGGCATTCCTCGAGTTGCTGTGCTGAAGTTGGTGTTCCTCTAGACTTGGGACAGTGTTCTCGGGGCATCTCTGGAGTTGCTTGAAGGAAGTCGAGCCACCGGTCGTGTTGAATGGGGAACGGGGAATGGCTCTGGAGTCAATGCAGGGGAATCGGGCCTCATCTCGAGTTGATTTGGGGCACATGGAGCTGCTTTGCGTTGCTGGGGTGACCTCAGGGTCCGTCTAGACTGGTGACAGTGTTCTTGGGGACTGTCTCGAGATCCATTAAGCAAGTCGAAGCTCCTGACTTGTTTGAATGGGATCACGGAATAGCTCTGCATGCACTGCAGGGGAATGGGGCCTCATCTCGCCTCTAGGGGGAAGTCTCATGGTTTTTCTCGAGTTGCGGCGGGGACCTGGGGTATGTTCTCGACTTACGGCGGGGATGGCCCTTCCAAACACGAGTTTCTTCAGTGACGTCAGGACTCCTGTCTAGTAACGAGGGACACCTCAGGAATCTCTTCGAGGCTTGGCAGGGCAAAAGGGACGCTTCTCGAGGTGAGGCAGGGCACCCAAGGACCCTTTCCAGTAGCCACAGGGATTTTGGGATTCCTATCAGTATTCAAGAGGAGTCAGGCATCGTCACCTTCTGAAGCAATGAACTCCGCGTGCCTCTCGAGTTGTCAGCGCGATGTGAGACATTCCGTCAAAATGAGGCAGGCACCTAGGGCTTTCTCTAAGGTCTCCACAGAGGATTCAGACATCCCTTCATGTTGTGAGATGAAAGACGAGCCTGTATTCAAGCCACTGCAAGGAAATCCGGCCTCCTTTCAAGTTAGGGCTTCTCGCTGTATATTCCCCTTGAGGCAGCAAACTCGGGGTCCCTCCCACATACCTATTGCTGAGAGAAGCCTCCTCCTGAGGTGCTTCTGGGAAGTTGGCATACGTCTTGAGCCTAAGCCAGGGAATCAGCTCGCATCTCGAGACGATTTGAGGTACACGGAGCATTCCTCGAGTTGCTGTGCTGAAGTTGGTGTTCCTCTAGACTTGGGACAGTGTTCTCGGGGCATCTCTGGAGTTGCCTGAAGGAAGTCGAGCCACCGGTCGTGTTGAATGGGGAACGGGGAATGGCTCTGCAGTCAATGCAGGGGAATCGGGCCTCATCTCGAGTTGATTTGGGGCACATGGAGCTGCTTTGCGTTGCTGGGGTGACCTCAGGGTCCGTCTAGACTGGTGACAGTGTTCTTGGGGACTGTCTCGAGATCCATTAAGCAAGTCGAAGCTCCTGACTTGTTTGAATGGGATCACGGAATAGCTCTGCATGCACTGCAGGGGAATGGGGCCTCATCTCGCCTCTAGGGGGAAGTCTCATGGTTTTTCTCGAGTTGCGGCGGGGACCTGGGTTATGTTCTCGACTTACGGCGGGGATGGCCCTTCAAAACACGAGTTTCTTCAGTGACGTCAGGACTCCTGTCTAGTAACGAGGGACACCTCAGGAATCTCTTCGAGGCTTGGCAGGGCAAAAGGGACGCTTCTCGAGGTGAGGCAGGGCACCCAAGGACCCTTTCCAGTAGCCACAGGGATTTTGGGATTCCTATCAGTATTCAAGAGGAGTCAGGCATCGTCACCTTTTGAAGCAATGAACTCCGCCTGCCTCTCGAGGAGTCAGCGGGATGTGAGGCATTCCGTCAAAATGAGGCAGGGACCTAGGGCTTTCTCTAAGGTCTCCACAGGGGATTCAGACATCCCTTCATGTTGTGAGATGAAAGACGAGCCTGTATTCAAGCCACTGCAAGGAAATCCGGCCTCCTTTCAAATTTGGGTTTCTCGCTGTATATTCCCCTTGAGGCAGCAAACTCGGGGTCCCTACCACATACCTATTGCTGAGAGAAGCCTCCTCCTGAGGTGCTTCTGGGAAGTTGGCATACGTCTTGAGCCTAAGCCAGGGAATCAGCTCGCATCTCGAGACGATTTGGGGTACACGGGGCATTCCTCGAGTTGCTGTGCTGAAGTTGGTGTTCCTCTAGACTTGGGACAGTGTTCTCGGGGCATCTCTGGAGTTGCTTGAAGGAAGTCGAGCCACCGGTCGTGTTGAATGGGGAACGGGGAATGGCTCTGGAGTCAATGCAGGGGAATCGGGCCTCATCTCGAGTTGATTTGGGGCACATGGAGCTGCTTTGCGTTGCTGGGGTGACCTCAGGGTCCGTCTAGACTGGTGACAGTGTTCTTGGGGACTGTCTCGAGATCCATTAAGCAAGTCGAAGCTCCTGACTTGTTTGAATGGGATCACGGAATAGCTCTGCATGCACTGCAGGGGAATGGGGCCTCATCTCGCCTCTAGGGGGAAGTCTCATGGTTTTTCTCGAGTTGCGGCGGGGACCTGGGGTATGTTCTCGACTTACGGCGGGGATGGCCCTTCCAAACACGAGTTTCTTCAGTGACGTCAGGACTCCTGTCTAGTAACGAGGGACACCTCAGGAATCTCTTCGAGGCTTGGCAGGGCAAAAGGGACGCTTCTCGAGGTGAGGCAGGGCACCCAAGGACCCTTTCCAGTAGCCACAGGGATTTTGGGATTCCTATCAGTATTCAAGAGGAGTCAGGCATCGTCACCTTCTGAAGCAATGAACTCCGCGTGCCTCTCGAGTTGTCAGCGCGATGTGAGACATTCCGTCAAAATGAGGCAGGCACCTAGGGCTTTCTCTAAGGTCTCCACAGGGGATTCAGACATCCCTTCATGTTGTGAGATGAAAGACGAGCCTGTATTCAAGCCACTGCAAGGAAATCCGGCCTCCTTTCAAGTTAGGGCTTCTCGCTGTATATTCCCCTTGAGGCAGCAAACTCGGGGTCCCTCCCACATACCTATTGCTGAGAGAAGCCTCCTCCTGAGGTGCTTCTGGGAAGTTGGCATACGTCTTGAGCCTAAGCCAGGGAATCAGCTCGCATCTCGAGACGATTTGAGGTACACGGAGCATTCCTCGAGTTGCTGTGCTGAAGTTGGTGTTCCTCTAGACTTGGGACAGTGTTCTCGGGGCATCTCTGGAGTTGCCTGAAGGAAGTCGAGCCACCGGTCGTGTTGAATGGGGAACGGGGAATGGCTCTGGAGTCAATGCAGGGGAATCGGGCCTCATCTCGAGTTGATTTGGGGCACATGGAGCTGCTTTGCGTTGCTGGGGTGACCTCAGGGTCCGTCTAGACTGGTGACAGTGTTCTTGGGGACTGTCTCGAGATCCATTAAGCAAGTCGAAGCTCCTGACTTGTTTGAATGGGATCACGGAATAGCTCTGCATGCACTGCAGGGGAATGGGGCCTCATCTCGCCTCTAGGGGGAAGTCTCATGGTTTTTCTCGAGTTGCGGCGGGGACCTGGGTTATGTTCTCGACTTACGGCGGGGATGGCCCTTCAAAACACGAGTTTCTTCAGTGACGTCAGGACTCCTGTCTAGTAACGAGGGACACCTCAGGAATCTCTTCGAGGCTTGGCAGGGCAAAAGGGACGCTTCTCGAGGTGAGGCAGGGCACCCAAGGACCCTTTCCAGTAGCCACAGGGATTTTGGGATTCCTATCAGTATTCAAGAGGAGTCAGGCATCGTCACCTTTTGAAGCAATGAACTCCGCGTGCCTCTCGAGGTGTCAGCGGGATGTGAGGCATTCCGTCAAAATGAGGCAGGGACCTAGGGCTTTCTCTAAGGTCTCCACAGGGGATTCAGACATCCCTTCATGTTGTGAGATGAAAGACGAGCCTGTATTCAAGCCACTGCAAGGAAATCCGGCCTCCTTTCAAGTTAGGGCTTCTCGCTGTATATTCCCCTTGAGGCAGCAAACTCGGGGTCCCTCCCACATACCTATTGCTGAGAGAAGCCTCCTCCTGAGGTGCTTCTGGGAAGTTGGCATACGTCTTGAGCCTAAGCCAGGGAATCAGCTCTCATCTCGAGACGATTTGGGGTACACGGAGCATTCCTCGAGTTGCTGTGCTGAAGTTCGTGTTCCTCTAGATTTGGGACAGTGTTCTCGGGGCATCTCTGGAGTTGCCTGAAGGAAGTCGAGCCACCGGTCGTGTTGAATGGGGAACGGGGAATGGCTCTGGAGTCAATGCAGGGGAATCGGGCCTCATCTCGAGTTGATTTGGGGCACATGGAGCTGCTTTGCGTTGCTGGGGTGACCTCAGGGTCCGTCTAGACTGGTGACAGTGTTCTTGGGGACTGTCTCGAGATCCATTAAGCAAGTCGAAGCTCCTGACTTGTTTGAATGGGATCACGGAATAGCTCTGCATGCACTGCAGGGGAATGGGGCCTCATCTCGCCTCTAGGGGTAAGTCTCATGGTTTTTCTCGAGTTGCGGCGGGGACCTGGGGTATGTTCTCGACTTTCGGCGGGGATGGCCCTTCAAAACACGAGTTTCTTCAGTGACGTCAGGACTCCTGTCTAGTAACCAGGGACACCTCAGGAATCTCTTCGAGGCTTGGCAGGGCAAAAGGGACGCTTCTCGAGGTGAGGCAGGGCACCCAAGGACCCTTTCCAGTAGCCACAGGGATTTTGGGATTCCTATCAGTATTCAAGAGGAGTCAGGCATCGTCACCTTTTGAAGCAATGAACTCCGCGTGCCTCTCGAGGTGTCAGCGGGATGTGAGGCATTCCGTCAAAATGAGGCAGGGACCTAGGGCTTTCTCTAAGGTCTCCACAGGGGATTCAGACATCCCTTCATGTTGTGAGATGAAAGACGAGCCTGTATTCAAGCCACTGCAAGGAAATCCGGCCTCCTTTCAAATTTGGGTTTCTCGCTGTATATTCCCCTTGAGGCAGCAAACTCGGGGTCCCTACCACATACCTATTGCTGAGAGAAGCCTCCTCCTGAGGTGCTTCTGGGAAGTTGGCATACGTCTTGAGCCTAAGCCAGGGAATCAGCTCGCATCTCGAGACGATTTGGGGTACACGGGGCATTCCTGGAGTTGCTGTGCTGAAGTTGGTGTTCCTCTAGACTTGGGACAGTGTTCTCGGGGCATCTCTGGAGTTGCTTGAAGGAAGTCGAGCCACCGGTCGTGTTGAATGGGGAACGGGGAATGGCTCTGGAGTCAATGCAGGGGAATCGGGCCTCATCTCGAGTTGATTTGGGGCACATGGAGCTGCTTTGCGTTGCTGGGGTGACCTCAGGGTCCGTCTAGACTGGTGACAGTGTTCTTGGGGACTGTCTCGAGATCCATTAAGCAAGTCGAAGCTCCTGACTTGTTTGAATGGGATCACGGAATAGCTCTGCATGCACTGCAGGGGAATGGGGCCTCATCTCGCCTCTAGGGGGAAGTCTCATGGTTTTTCTCGAGTTGCGGCGGGGACCTGGGGTATGTTCTCGACTTACGGCGGGGATGGCCCTTCCAAACACGAGTTTCTTCAGTGACGTCAGGACTCCTGTCTAGTAACGAGGGACACCTCAGGAATCTCTTCGAGGCTTGGCAGGGCAAAAGGGACGCTTCTCGAGGTGAGGCAGGGCACCCAAGGACCCTTTCCAGTAGCCACAGGGATTTTGGGATTCCTATCAGTATTCAAGAGGAGTCAGGCATCGTCACCTTCTGAAGCAATGAACTCCGCGTGCCTCTCGAGGTGTCAGCGCGATGTGAGACATTCCGTCAAAATGAGGCAGGCACCTAGGGCTTTCTCTAAGGTCTCCACAGGGGATTCAGACATCCCTTCATGTTGTGAGATGAAAGACGAGCCTGTATTCAAGCCACTGCAAGGAAATCCGGCCTCCTTTCAAGTTAGGGCTTCTCGCTGTATATTCCCCTTGAGGCAGCAAACTCGGGGTCCCTCCCACATACCTATTGCTGAGAGAAGCCTCCTCCTGAGGTGCTTCTGGGAAGTTGGCATACGTCTTGAGCCTAAGCCAGGGAATCAGCTCGCATCTCGAGACGATTTGAGGTACACGGAGCATTCCTCGAGTTGCTGTGCTGAAGTTGGTGTTCCTCTAGACTTGGGACAGTGTTCTCGGGGCATCTCTGGAGTTGCCTGAAGGAAGTCGAGCCACCGGTCGTGTTGAATGGGGAACGGGGAATGGCTCTGGAGTCAATGCAGGGGAATCGGGCCTCATCTCGAGTTGATTTGGGGCACATGGAGCTGCTTTGCGTTGCTGGGGTGACCTCAGGGTCCGTCTAGACTGGTGACAGTGTTCTTGGGGACTGTCTCGAGATCCATTAAGCAAGTCGAAGCTCCTGACTTGTTTGAATGGGATCACGGAATAGCTCTGCATGCACTGCAGGGGAATGGGGCCTCATCTCGCCTCTAGGGGGAAGTCTCATGGTTTTTCTCGAGTTGCGGCGGGGACCTGGGGTATGTTCTCGACTTACGGCGGGGATGGCCCTTCAAAACACGAGTTTCTTCAGTGACGTCAGGACTCCTGTCTAGTAACGAGGGACACCTCAGGAATCTCTTCGAGGCTTGGCAGGGCAAAAGGGACGCTTCTCGAGGTGAGGCAGGGCACCCAAGGACCCTTTCCAGTAGCCACAGGGATTTTGGGATTCCTATCAGTATTCAAGAGGAGTCAGGCATCGTCACCTTTTGAAGCAATGAACTCCGCGTGCCTCTCGAGGTGTCAGCGGGATGTGAGGCATTTCGTCAAAATGAGGCAGGGACCTAGGGCTTTCTCTAAGGTCTCCACAGGGGATTCAGACATCCCTTCATGTTGTGAGATGAAAGACGAGCCTGTATTCAAGCCACTGCAAGGAAATCCGGCCTCCTTTCAAGTTAGGGCTTCTCGCTGTATATTCCCCTTGAGGCAGCAAACTCGGGGTCCCTCCCACATACCTATTGCTGAGAGAAGCCTCCTCCTGAGGTGCTTCTGGGAAGTTGGCATACGTCTTGAGCCTAAGCCAGGGAATCAGCTCTCATCTCGAGACGATTTGGGGTACACGGAGCATTCCTCGAGTTGCTGTGCTGAAGTTCGTGTTCCTCTAGATTTGGGACAGTGTTCTCGGGGCATCTCTGGAGTTGCCTGAAGGAAGTCGAGCCACCGGTCGTGTTGAATGGGGAACGGGGAATGGCTCTGGAGTCAATGCAGGGGAATCGGGCCTCATCTCGAGTTGATTTGGGGCACATGGAGTTGCTTTGCGTCCTCAGGGTCCGTCTAGAATGGTGACAGTGTTCTTGGGGACTGTCTCGAGATCCATTAAGCAAGTCGAAGCTCCTGACTTGTTTGAATGGGATCACGGAATAGCTCTGCATGCACTGCAGGGGAATGGGGCCTCATCTCGCCTCTAGGGGGAAGTCTCATGGTTTTTCTCGAGTTGCGGCGGGGACCTGGGGTATGTTCTCGACTTACGGCGGGGATGGCCCTTCCAAACACGAGTTTCTTCAGTGACGTCAGGACTCCTGTCTAGTAACGAGGGACACCTCAGGAATCTCTTCGAGGCTTGGCAGGGCAAAAGGGACGCTTCTCGAGGTGAGGCAGGGCACCCAAGGACCCTTTCCAGTAGCCACAGGGATTTTGGGATTCCTATCAGTATTCAAGAGGAGTCAGGCATCGTCACCTTTTGAAGCAATGAACTCCGCGTGCCTCTCGAGGTGTCAGCGCGATGTGAGGCATTCCGTCAAAATGAGGCAGGGACCTAGGGCTTTCTCTAAGGTCTCCACAGGGGATTCAGACATCCCTTCATGTTGTGAGATGAAAGACGAGCCTGTATTCAAGCCACTGCAAGGAAATCCGGCCTCCTTTCAAGTTAGGGCTTCTCGCTGTATATTCCCCTTGAGGCAGCAAACTCGGGGTCCCTCCCACATACCTATTGCTGAGAGAAGCCTCCTCCTGAGGTGCTTCTGGGAAGTTGGCATACGTCTTGAGCCTAAGCCAGGGAATCAGCTCGCATCTCGAGACGATTTGGGGTACACGGAGCATTTCTCGAGTTGCTGTGCTGAAGTTGGTGTTCCTCTAGACTTGCGACAGTGTTCTCGGGGCATCTCTGGAGTTGCCTGAAGGAAGTCGAGCCACCGGTCGTGTTGAATGGGGAACGGGGAATGGCTCTGGAGTCAATGCAGGGGAATCGGGCCTCATCTCGAGTTGATTTGGGGCACATGGAGCTGCTTTGCGTTGCTGGGGTGACCTCAGGGTCCGTCTAGACTGGTGACAGTGTTCTTGGGGACTGTCTCGAGATCCATTAAGCAAGTGGAAGCTCCTGACTTGTTTGAATGGGATCACGGAATAGCTCTGCACGCACTGCAGGGGAATGGGGCCTCATCTGGCCTCTAGGGGGAAGTCTCATGGTTTTTCTCGAGTTGCGGCGGGGACCTGGGGTATGTTCTCGACTTACGGCGGGGATGGCCCTTCAAAACACGAGTTTCTTCAGTGACGTCAGGACTCCTGTCTAGTAACGAGGGACACCTCAGGAATCTCTTCGAGGCTTGGCAGGGCAAAAGGGACGCTTCTCGAGGTGAGGCAGGGCACCCAAGGACCCTTTCCAGTAGCCACAGGGATTTTGGGATTCCTATCAGTATTCAAGAGGAGTCAGGCATCGTCACCTTTTGAAGCAATGAACTCCGCGTGCCTCTCGAGGTGTCAGCGCGATGTGAGGCATTCCGTCAAAATGAGGCAGGGACCTAGGGCTTTCTCTAAGGTCTCCACAGGGGATTCAGACATCCCTTCATGTTGTGAGATGAAAGACGAGCCTGTATTCAAGCCACTGCAAGGAAATCTGGCCTCCTTTCAAGTTAGGGCTTCTCGCTGTATATTCCCCTTGAGGCAGCAAACTCGGGGTCCCTCCCACATACCTATTGCTGAGAGAAGCCTCCTCCTGAGGTGCTTCTGGGAAGTTGGCATACGTCTTGAGCCTAAGCCAGGGAATCAGCTCGCATCTCGAGACGATTTGGGGTACACGGAGCATTCCTCGAGTTGCTGTGCTGAAGTTGGTGTTCCTCTAGACTTGGGACAGTGTTCTCGGGGCATCTCTGGAGTTGCCTGAAGGAAGTCGAGCCACCGGTCGTGTTGAATGGGGAACGGGGAATGGCTCTGGAGTCAATGCAGGGGAATCGGGCCTCATCTCGAGTTGATTTGGGGCACATGGAGCTGCTTTGCGTTGCTGGGGTGACCTCAGGGTCCGTCTAGACTGGTGACAGTGTTCTTGGGGACTGTCTCGAGATCCATTAAGCAAGTCGAAGCTCCTGACTTGTTTGAATGGGATCACGGAATAGCTCTGCATGCACTGCAGGGGAATGGGGCCTCATCTCGCCTCTAGGGGGAAGTCTCATGGTTTTTCTCGAGTTGCGGCGGGGACCTGGGGTATGTTCTCGACTTACGGCGGGGATGGCCCTTCAAAACACGAGTTTCTTCAGTGACGTCAGGACTCCTGTCTAGTAACGAGGGACACCTCAGGAATCTCTTCGAGGCTTGGCAGGGCAAAAGGGACGCTTCTCGAGGTGAGGCAGGGCACCCAAGGACCCTTTCCAGTAGCCACAGGGATTTTGGGATTCCTATCAGTATTCAAGAGGAGTCAGGCATCGTCACCTTTTGAAGCAATGAACTCCGCGTGCCTCTCGAGGTGTCAGCGCGATGTGAGGCATTCCGTCAAAATGAGGCAGGGACCTAGGGCTTTCTCTAAGGTCTCCACAGGGGATTCAGACATCCCTTCATGTTGTGAGATGAAAGACGAGCCTGTATTCAAGCCACTGCAAGGAAATCCGGCCTCCTTTCAAGTTAGGGCTTCTCGCTGTATATTCCCCTTGAGGCAGCAAACTCGGGGTCCCTCCCACATACCTATTGCTGAGAGAAGCCTCCTCCTGAGGTGCTTCTGGGAAGTTGCCATACGTCTTGAGCCTAAGCCAGGGAATCAGCTCGCATCTCGAGACGATTTGGGGTACACGGAGCATTCCTCGAGTTGCTGTGCTGAAGTTGGTGTTCCTCTAGACTTGGGACAGTGTTCTCGGGGCATCTCTGGAGTTGCCTGAAGGAAGTCGAGCCACCGGTCGTGTTGAATGGGGAACGGGGAATGGCTCTGGAGTCAATGCAGGGGAATCGGGCCTCATCTCGAGTTGATTTGGGGCACATGGAGCTGCTTTGCGTTGCTGGGGTGACCTCAGGGTCCGTCTAGACTGGTGACAGTGTTCTTGGGGACTGTCTCGAGATCCATTAAGCAAGTCGAAGCTCCTGACTTGTTTGAATGGGATCACGGAATAGCTCTGCATGCACTGCAGGGGAATGGGGCCTCATCTCGCCTCTAGGGGGAAGTCTCATGGTTTTTCTCGAGTTGCGGCGGGGACCTGGGGTATGTTCTCGACTTACGGTGGGGATGGCCCTTCCAAACACGAGTTTCCTCAGTGACGTCAGGACTCCTGTCTAGTAACGAGGGACACCTCAGGAATCTCTTCGAGGCTTGGCAGGGCAAAAGGGACGCTTCTCGAGGTGAGGCAGGGCACCCAAGGACCCTTTCCAGTAGCCACAGGGATTTTGGGATTCCTATCAGTATTCAAGAGGAGTCAGGCATCGACACCTTTTGAACCAATGAACTCCGCGTGCCTCTCGAGGTGTCAGCGGGATGTGAGGCATTCCGTCAAAATGAGGCAGGGACCTAGGGCTTTCTCTAAGGTCTCCACAGGGGATTCAGACATCCCTTCATGTTGTGAGATGAAAGACGAGCCTGTATTCAAGCCACTGCAAGGAAATCCGGCCTCCTTTCAAGTTAGGGCTTCTCGCTGTATATTCCCCTTGAGGCAGCAAACTCGGGGTCCCTCCCACATACCTATTGCTGAGAGAAGCCTCCTCCTGAGGTGCTTCTGGGAAGTTGGCATACGTCTTGAGCCTAAGCCAGGGAATCAGCTCGCATCTCGAGATGATTTGGGGTACACGGAGCATTCCTCGAGTTGCTGTGCTGAAGTTGGTGTTCCTCTAGACTTGGGACAGTGTTCTCGGGGCATCTCTGGAGTTGCCTGAAGGAAGTCGAGCCACAGGTCGTGTTGAATGGGGAACGGGGAATGGCTCTGGAGTCAATGCAGGGGAATCGGGCCTCATCTCGAGTTGATTTGGGGCACATGGAGCTGCTTTGCGTTGCTGGGGTGACCTCAGCGTCCGTCTAGACTGGTGACAGTGTTCTTGGGGACTGTCTCGAGATCCATTAAGCAAGTCAAAGCTCCTGACTTGTTTGAATGGGATCACGGAATAGCTCTGCATGCACTGCAGGGGAATGGGGCCTCATCTCGCCTCTAGGGGGAAGTCTCATGGTTTTTCTCGAGTTGCGGCGGGGACCTGGGGTATGTTCTCGACTTACGGCGGGGATGGCCCTTCAAGACACGAGTTTCTTCAGTGACGTCAGGACTCCTGTCTAGTAACGAGGGACACCTCAGGAATCTCTTCGAGGCTTGGCAGGGCAAAAGGGACGCTTCTCGAGGTGAGGCAGGGCACCCAAGGACCCTTTCCAGTAGCCACAGGGATTTTGGGATTCCTATCAGTATTCAAGAGGAGTCAGGCATCGTCACCTTTTGAAGCAATGATCTCCGCGTGCCTCTCGAGGTGTCAGCGGGATGTGAGGCATTCCGTCAAAATGAGGCAGGGACCTAGGGCTTTCTCTAAGGTCTCCACAGCGGATTCAGACATCCCTTCATGTTGTGAGATGAAAGACGAGCCTGTATTCAAGCCACTGCAAGGAAATCCGGCCTCGTTTCAAGTTAGGGCTTGTCGCTGTATATTCGCCTTGAGGCAGCAAACTCGGGGTCCCTCCCACATACCTATTGCTGAGAGAAGCCTCCTCCTGAGGTGCTTCTGGGAAGTTGGCATACGTCTTGAGCCTAAGCCAGGGAATCAGCTCGCATCTCGAGACGATTTGGGGTACACGGAGCATTCCTCGAGTTGCTGTGCTGAAGTTGGTGTTCCTCTAGACTTGGGACAGTGTTCTCGGGGCATCTCTGGAGTTGCCTGAAGGAAGTCGAGCCACCGGTCGTGTTGAATGGGGAACGGGGAATGGCTCTGAAGTCAATGCAGGGGAATCGGGCCTCATCTCGAGTTGATTTGGGGCACATGGAGCTGCTTTGCGTTGCTGGGGTGACCTCAGGGTCCGTCTAGACTGGTGACAGTGTTCTTGGGGACTGTCTCGAGATCCATTAAGCAAGTCGAAGCTCCTGACTTGTTTGAATGGGATCACGGAATAGCTCTGCATGCACTGCAGGGGAATGGGGCCTCATCTCGCCTCTAGGGGGAAGTCTCATGGTTTTTCTCGAGTTGCGGCGGGGACCTGGGGTATGTTCTCGACTTACGGCGGGGATGGCCCTTCAAAACACGAGTTTCTTCAGTGACGTCAGGACTCCTGTCTAGTAACGAGGGACACCTCAGGAATCTCTTCGAGGCTTGGCAGGGCAAAAGGGACGCTTCTCGAGGTGAGGCAGGGCACCCAAGGACCCTTTCCAGTAGCCACAGGGATTTTGGGATTCCTATCAGTATTCAAGAGGAGTCAGGCATCGTCACCTTTTGAAGCAATGAACTCCGCATGCCTCTCGAGGTGTCAGCGCGATGTGAGGCATTCCGTCAAAATGAGGCAGGGACCTAGGGCTTTCTCTAAGGTCTCCACAGGGGATTCAGACATCCCTTCATGTTGTGAGATGAAAGACGAGCCTGTATTCAAGCCACTGCAAGGAAATCCGGCCTCCTTTCAAGTTAGGGCTTCTCGCTGTATATTCCCCTTGAGGCAGCAAACTCGGGGTCCCTCCCACATACCTATTGCTGAGAGAAGCCTCCTCCTGAGGTGCTTCTGGGAAGTTGGCATACGTCTTGAGCCTAAGCCAGGGAATCAGCTCGCATCTCGAGACGATTTGGGGTACACGGAGCATTCCTCGAGTTGCTGTGCTGAAGTTGGTGTTCCTCTAGACTTGGGACAGTGTTCTCGGGGCATCTCTGGAGTTGCCTGAAGGAAGTCGAGCCACCGGTCGTGTTGAATGGGGAACGGGGAATGGCTCTGGAGTCAATGCAGGGGAATCGGGCCTCATCTCGAGTTGATTTGGGGCACATGGAGCTGCTTTGCGTTGCTGGGGTAACCTCAGGGTCCGTCTAGACTGGTGACAGTGTTCTTGGGGACTGTCTCGAGATCCATTAAGCAAGTCGAAGCTCCTGACTTGTTTGAATGGGGTCACGGAATAGCTCTGCATGCACTGCAGGGGAATGGGGCCTCATCTCACCTCTAGGGGGAAGTCTCATGGTTTTTCTCGAGTTGCGGCGGGGACCTGGGGTATGTTCTCGACTTACGGCGGGGATGGCCCTTCCAAACACGAGTTTCTTCAGTGACGTCAGGACTCCTGTCTAGTAACGAGGGACACCTCAGGAATCTCTTCGAGGCTTGGCAGGGCAAAAGGGACGCTTCTCGAGGTGAGGCAGGGCACCCAAGGACCCTTTCCAGTAGCCACAGGGATTTTGGGATTCCTATCAGTATTCAAGAGGAGTCAGGCATCGTCACCTTTTGAAGCAATGAACTCCGCGTGCCTCTCGAGGTGTCAGCGGGATGTGAGGCATTCCGTCAAAATGAGGCAGGGACCTAGGGCTTTCTCTAAGGTCTCCACAGGGGATTCAGACATCCCTTCATGTTGTGAGATGAAAGACGAGCCTGTATTCAAGCCACTGCAAGGAAATCCGGCCTCCTTTCAAGTTAGGGCTTCTCGCTGTATATTCCCCTTGAGGCAGCAAACTCGGGGTCCCTCCCACATACCTATTGCTGAGAGAAGCCTCCTCCTGAGGTGCTTCTGGGAAGTTGGCATACGTCTTGAGCCTAAGCCAGGGAATCAGCTCGCATCTCGAGACGATTTGGGATACACGGAGCATTCCTCGAGTTGCTGTGCTGAAGTTGGTGTTCCTCTAGACTTGGGACAGTGTTCTCGGGGCATCTCTGGAGTTGCCTGAAGGAAGTCGAGCCACCGGTCGTGTTGAATGGGGAACGGGGAATGGCTCTGGAGTCAATGCAGGGGAATCGGGCCTCATCTCGAGTTGATTTGGGGCACATGGAGCTGCTTTGCGTTGCTGGGGTTACCTCAGGGTCCGTCTAGACTGGTGACAGTGTTCTTGGGGACTGTCTCGAGATCCATTAAGCAAGTCGAATCTCCTGACTTGTTTGAATGGGATCACGGAATAGCTCTGCATGCACTGCAGGGGAATGGGGCCTCATCTCGCCTCTAGGGGGAAGTCTCATGGTTTTTCTCGAGTTGCGGCGGGGACCTGGGGTATGTTCCCGACTTACGGCGGGGATGGCCCTTCAAAACGCGAGTTTCTTCAGTGACGTCAGGACTCCTGTCTAGTAACGAGGGACACCTCAGGAATCTCTTCGAGGCTTGGCAGGGCAAAAGGGACGCTTCTCGAGGTGAGGCAGGGCACCCAAGGACCCTTTCCAGTAGCCACAGGGATTTTGGGATTCCTATCAGTATTCAAGAGGAGTCAGGCATCGTCACCTTTTGAAGCAATGAACTCCGCGTGCCTCTCGAGGTGTCAGCGGGATGTGAGGCATTTCGTCAAAATGAGGCAGGGACCTAGGGCTTTCTCTAAGGTCTCCACAGGGGATTCAGACATCCCTTCATGTTGTGAGATGAAAGACGAGCCTGTATTCAAGCCACTGCAAGGAAATCCGGCCTCCTTTCAAGTTAGGGCTTCTCGCTGTATATTCCCCTTGAGGCAGCAAACTCGGGGTCCCTCCCACATACCTATTGCTGAGAGAAGCCTCCTCCTGAGGTGCTTCTGGGAAGTTGGCATACGTCTTGAGCCTAAGCCAGGGAATCAGCTCTCATCTCGAGACGATTTGGGGTACACGGAGCATTCCTCGAGTTGCTGTGCTGAAGTTCGTGTTCCTCTAGATTTGGGACAGTGTTCTCGGGGCATCTCTGGAGTTGCCTGAAGGAAGTCGAGCCACCGGTCGTGTTGAATGGGGAACGGGGAATGGCTCTGGAGTCAATGCAGGGGAATCGGGCCTCATCTCGAGTTGATTTGGGGCACATGGAGCTGCTTTGCGTCCTCAGGGTCCGTCTAGACTGGTGACAGTGTTCTTGGGGACTGTCTCGAGATCCATTAAGCAAGTCGAAGCTCCTGACTTGTTTGAATGGGATCACGGAATAGCTCTGCATGCACTGCAGGGGAATGGGGCCTCATCTCGCCTCTAGGGGGAAGTCTCATGGTTTTTCTCGAGTTGCGGCGGGGACCTGGGGTATGTTCTCGACTTACGGCGGGGATGGCCCTTCCAAACACGAGTTTCTTCAGTGACGTCAGGACTCCTGTCTAGTAACGAGGGACACCTCAGGAATCGCTTCGAGGCTTGGCAGGGCAAAAGGGACGCTTCTCGAGGTGAGGCAGGGCACCCAAGGACCCTTTCCAGTAGCCACAGGGATTTTGGGATTCCTATCAGTATTCAAGAGGAGTCAGGCATCGTCACCTTTTGAAGCAATGAACTCCGCGTGCCTCTCGAGGTGTCAGCGCGATGTGAGGCATTCCGTCAAAATGAGGCAGGGACCTAGGGCTTTCTCTAAGGTCTCCACAGGGGATTCAGACATCCCTTCATGTTGTGAGATGAAAGACGAGCCTGTATTCAAGCCACTGCAAGGAAATCCGGCCTCCTTTCAAGTTAGGGCTTCTCGCTGTATATTCCCCTTGAGGCAGCAAACTCGGGGTCCCTCCCACATACCTATTGCTGAGAGAAGCCTCCTCCTGAGGTGCTTCTGGGAAGTTGGCATACGTCTTGAGCCTAAGCCAGGGAATCAGCTCGCATCTCGAGACGATTTGGGGTACACGGAGCATTCCTCGAGTTGCTGTGCTGAAGTTGGTGTTCCTCTAGACTTGGGACAGTGTTCTCGGGGCATCTCTGGAGTTGCCTGAAGGAAGTCGAGCCACCGGTCGTGTTGAATGGGGAACGGGGAATGGCTCTGGAGTCAATGCAGGGGAATCGGGCCTCATCTCGAGTTGATTTGGGGCACATGGAGCTGCTTTGCGTTGCTGGGGTGACCTCAGGGTCCGTCTAGACTGGTGACAGTGTTCTTGGGGACTGTCTCGAGATCCATTAAGCAAGTGGAAGCTCCTGACTTGTTTGAATGGGATCACGGAATAGCTCTGCACGCACTGCAGGGGAATGGGGCCTCATCTGGCCTCTAGGGGGAAGTCTCATGGTTTTTCTCGAGTTGCGGCGGGGACCTGGGGTATGTTCTCGACTTACGGCGGGGATGGCCCTTCAAAACACGAGTTTCTTCAGTGACGTCAGGACTCCTGTCTAGTAACGAGGGACACCTCAGGAATCTCTTCGAGGCTTGAGAGGGCAAAAGGGACGCTTCTCGAGGTGAGGCAGGGCACCCAAGGACCCTTTCCAGTAGCCACAGGGATTTTGGGATTCCTATCAGTATTCAAGAGGAGTCAGGCATCGTCACCTTTTGAAGCAATGAACTCCGCCTGCCTCTCGAGGTGTCAGCGCGATGTGAGGCATTCCGTCAAAATGAGGCAGGGAACTAGGGCTTTCTCTAAGGTCTCCACAGGGGATTCAGACATCCCTTCATGTTATGAGATGAAAGACGAGCCTGTATTCAAGCCACTGCAAGGAAATCTGGCCTCCTTTCAAGTTAGCGCTTCTCGCTGTATATTCCCCTTGAGGCAGCAAACTCGGGGTCCCTCCCACATACCTATTGCTGAGAGAAGCCTCCTCCTGAGGTGCTTCTGGGAAGTTGGCATACGTCTTGAGCCTAAGCCAGGGAATCAGCTCGCATCTCGAGACGATTTGGGGTACACGGAGCATTCCTCGAGTTGCTGTGCTGAAGTTGGTGTTCCTCTAGACTTGGGACAGTGTTCTCGGGGCATCTCTGGAGTTGCCTGAAGGAAGTCGAGCCACCGGTCGTGTTGAATGGGGAACGGGGAATGGCTCTGGAGTCAATGCAGGGGAATCGGGCCTCATCTCGAGTTGATTTGGGGCACATGGAGCTGCTTTGCGTTGCTGGGGTAACCTCAGGGTCCGTCTAGACTGGTGACAGTGTTCTTGGGGACTGTCTCGAGATCCATTAAGCAAGTCGAAGCTCCTGACTTGTTTGAATGGGGTCACGGAATAGCTCTGCATGCACTGCAGGGGAATGGGGCCTCATCTCACCTCTAGGGGGAAGTCTCATGGTTTTTCTCGAGTTGCGGCGGGGACCTGGGGTATGTTCTCGACTTACGGCGGGGATGGCCCTTCAAAACACGAGTTTCTTCAGTGACGTCAGGACTCCTGTCTAGTAACGAGGGACACCTCAGGAATCTCTTCGAGGCTTGGCAGGGCAAAAGGGACGCTTCTCGAGGTGAGGCAGGGCACCCAAGGACCCTTTCCAGTAGCCACAGGGATTTTGGGATTCCTATCAGTATTCAAGAGGAGTCAGGCATCGTCACCTTTTGAAGCAATGAACTCCGCGTGCCTCTCGAGGTGTCAGCGGGATGTGAGGCATTCCGTCAAAATGAGGCAGGGACCTAGGGCTTTCTCTAAGGTCTCCACAGGGGATTCAGACATCCCTTCATGTTGTGAGATGAAAGACGAGCCTGTATTCAAGCCACTGCAAGGAAATCCGGCCTCCTTTCAAGTTAGGGCTTCTCGCTGTATATTCCCCTTGAGGCAGCAAACTCGGGGTCCCTCCCACATACCTATTGCTGAGAGAAGCCTCCTCCTGAGGTGCTTCTGGGAAGTTGGCATACGTCTTGAGCCTAAGCCAGGGAATCAGCTCGCATCTCGAGACGATTTGGGATACACGGAGCATTCCTCGAGTTGCTGTGCTGAAGTTGGTGTTCCTCTAGACTTGGGACAGTGTTCTCGGGGCATCTCTGGAGTTGCCTCAAGGAAGTCGAGCCACCGGTCGTGTTGAATGGGGAACGGGGAATGGCTCTGGAGTCAATGCAGGGGAATCGGGCCTCATCTCGAGTTGATTTGGGGCACATGGAGCTGCTTTGCGTTGCTGGGGTGACCTCAGGGTCCGTCTAGACTGGTGACAGTGTTCTTGGGGACTGTCTCGAGATCCATTAAGCAAGTCGAAGCTCCTGACTTGTTTGAATGGGATCACGGAATAGCTCTGCATGCACTGCAGGGGAATGGGGCCTCATCTCGCCTCTAGGGTGAAGTCTCATGGTTTTTCTCGAGTTGCGGCGGGGACCTGGGGTATGTTCCCGACTTACGGCGGGGATGGCCCTTCAAAACACGAGTTTCTTCAGTGACGTCAGGACTCCTGTCTAGTAACGAGGGACACCTCAGGAATCTCTTCGAGGCTTGGCAGGGCAAAAGGGACGCTTCTCGAGGTGAGGCAGGGCACCCAAGGACCCTTTCCAGTAGCCACAGGGATTTTGGGATTCCTATCAGTATTCAAGAGGAGTCAGGCATCGTCACCTTTTGAAGCAATGAACTCCGCATGCCTCTCGAGGTGTCAGCGGGATGTGAGGCATTCCGCAAAATGAGGCAGGGACCTAGGGCTTTCTCTAAGCTCTCCACAGGGGATTCAGACATCCCTTCATGTTGTGAGATGAAAGACGAGCCTGTATTCAAGCCACTGCAAGGAAATCCGGCCTCCTTTCAAGTTAGGGCTTCTCGCTGTATATTCCCCTTGAGGCAGCAAACTCGGGGTCCCTCCCACATACCTATTGCTGAGAGAAGCCTCCTCCTGAGGTGCTTCTGGGAAGTTGGCATACGTCTTGAGCCTAAGCCAGGGAATCAGCTCGCATCTCGAAACGATTTGGGGTACACGGAGCATTCCTCGAGTTGCTGTGCTGAAGTTGGTGTTCCTCTAGACTTGGGACAGTGTTCTCGGGGCATCTCTGGAGTTGCCTGAAGGAAGTCGAGCCACCGGTCGTGTTGAATGGGGAACGGGGAATGGCTCTGGAGTCAATGCAGGGGAATCGGGCCTCATCTCGAGTTGATTTGGGGCACATGGAGCTGCTTTGCGTTGCTGGGGTGACCTCAGGGTCCGTCTAGACTGGTGACAGTGTTCTTGGGGACTGTCTCGAGATACATTAAGCAAGTCGAAGCTCCTGACTTGTTTGAATGGGATCACGGAATAGCTCTGCATGCACTGCAGGGGAATGGGGCCTCATCTCGCCTCTAGGGGGAAGTCTCATGGTTTTTCTCGAGTTGCGGCGGGGACCTGGGGTATGTTCTCGACTTACGGCGGGGATGGCCCTTCAAAACACGAGTTTCTTCAGTGACGTCAGGACTCCTGTCTAGTAACGAGGGACACCTCAGGAATCTCTTCGAGGCTTGGCAGGGCAAAAGGGACGCTTCTCGAGGTGAGGCAGGGCACCCAAGGACCCTTTCCAGTAGCCACAGGGATTTTGGGATTCCTATCAGTATTCAAGAGGAGTCAGGCAGCGTCACCTTTTGAAGCAATGAACTCCGCGTGCCTCTCGAGGTGTCAGCGCGATGTTAGGCATTCCGTCAAAATGAGGCAGGGACCTAGGGCTTTCTCTAAGGTCTCCACAGGGGATTCAGACATCCCTTCATGTTGTGAGATGAAAGACGAGCCTGTATTCAAGCCACTGCAAGGAAATCCGGCCTCCTTTCAAGTTAGGGCTTCTCGCTGTATATTCCCCTTGAGGCAGCAAACTCGGGGTCCCTCCCACATACCTATTGCTGAGAGAAGCCTCCTCCTGAGGTGCTTCTGGGAAGTTGGCATACGTCTTGAGCCTAAGCCAGGGAATCAGCTCGCATCTCGAGACGATTTGGGGTACACGGAGCATTCCTCGAGTTGCTGTGCTGAAGTTGGTGTTCCTCTAGACTTGGGACAGTGTTCTCGGGGCATCTCTGGAGTTGCCTGAAGGAAGTCGAGCCACCGGTCGTGTTGAATGGGGAACGGGGAATGGCTCTGGAGTCAATGCAGGGGAATCGGGCCTCATCTCGAGTTGATTTGGGGCACATGGAGCTGCTTTGCGTTGCTGGGGTGACCTCAGGGTCCGTCTAGACTGGTGACAGTGTTCTTGGGGACTGTCTCGAGATCCATTAAGCAAGTCGAAGCTCCTGACTTGTTTGAATGGGATCACGGAATAGCTCTGCATGCACTGCAGGGGAATGGGGCCTCATCTCGCCTCTAGGGGGAAGTCTCATGGTTTTTCTCGAGTTGCGGCGGGGACCTGGGGTATGTTCTCGACTTACGGCGGGGATGGCCCTTCAAAACACGAGTTTCTTCAGTGACGTCAGGACTCCTGTCTAGTAACGAGGGACACCTCAGGAATCTCTTCGAGGCTTGGCAGGGCAAAAGGGACGCTTCTCGAGGTGAGGCAGGGCACCCAAGGACCCTTTCCAGTAGCCACAGGGATTTTGGGATTCCTATCAGTATTCAAGAGGAGTCAGGCATCGTCACCTTTTGAAGCAATGAACTCCGCATGCCTCTCGAGGTGTCAGCGGGATGTGAGGCATTCCGTCAAAATGAGGCAGGGACCTAGGGCTTTCTCTAAGCTCTCCACAGGGGATTCAGACATCCCTTCATGTTGTGAGATGAAAGACGAGCCTGTATTCAAGCCACTGCAAGGAAATCCGGCCTCCTTTCAAGTTAGGGCTTCTCGCTGTATATTCCCCTTGAGGCAGCAAACTCGGGGTCCCTCCCACATACCTATTGCTGAGAGAAGCCTCCTCCTGAGGTGCTTCTGGGAAGTTGGCATACGTCTTGAGCCTAAGCCAGGGAATCAGCTCGCATCTCGAGACGATTTGGGGTACACGGAGCATTCCTCGAGTTGCTGTGCTGAAGTTGGTGTTCCTCTAGACTTGGGACAGTGTTCTCGGGGCATCTCTGGAGTTGCCTGAAGGAAGTCGAGCCACCGGTCGTGTTGAATGGGGAACGGGGAATGGCTCTGGAGTCAATGCAGGGGAATCGGGCCTCATCTCGAGTTGATTTGGGGCACATGGAGCTGCTTTGCGTTGCTGGGGTGACCTCAGGGTCCGTCTAGACTGGTGACAGTGTTCTTGGGGACTGTCTCGAGATCCATTAAGCAAGTCGAAGCTCCTGACTTGTTTGAATGGGATCACGGAATAGCTCTGCATGCACTGCAGGGGAATGGGGCCTCATCTCGCCTCTAGGGGGAAGTCTCATGGTTTTTCTCGAGTTGCGGCGGGGACCTGGGGTATGTTCTCGACTTACGGCGGGGATGGCCCTTCCAAACACGAGTTTCTTCAGTGACGTCAGGACTCCTGTCTAGTAACGAGGGACACCTCAGGAATCTCTTCGAGGCTTGGCAGGGCAAAAGGGACGCTTCTCGAGGTGAGGCAGGGCACCCAAGGACCCTTTCCAGTAGCCACAGGGATTTTGGGATTCCTATCAGTATTCAAGAGGAGTCAGGCATCGTCACCTTTTGAAGCAATGAACTCCGCGTGCCTCTCGAGGTGTCAGCGCGATGTGAGGCATTCCGTCAAAATGAGGCAGGGACCTAGGGCTTTCTCTAAGGTCTCCACAGGGGATTCAGACATCCCTTCATGTTGTGAGATGAAAGACGAGCCTGTATTCAAGCCACTGCAAGGAAATCCGGCCTCCTTTCAAGTTAGGGCTTCTCGCTGTATATTCCCCTTGAGGCAGCAATCTCGGGGTCCCTCCCACATACCTATTGCTGAGAGAAGCCTCCTCCTGAGGTGCTTCTGGGAAGTTGGAATACGTCTTGAGCCTAAGCCAGGGAATCAGCTCGCATCTCGAGACGATTTGGGGTACACGGAGCATTCCTCGAGTTGCTGTGCTGAAGTTGGTGTTCCTCTAGACTTGGGACAGTGTTCTCGGGGCATCTCTGGAGTTGCCTGAAGGAAGTCGAGCCACCGGTCGTGTTGAATGGGGAACGGGGAATGGCTCTGGAGTCAATGCAGGGGAATCGGGCCTCATCTCGAGTTGATTTGGGGCACATGGAGCTGCTTTGCGTTGCTGGGGTGACCTCAGGGTCCGTCTAGACTGGTGACAGTGTTCTTGGGGACTGTCTCGAGATCCATTAAGCAAGTCGAAGCTCCTGACTTGTTTGAATGGGATCACGGAATAGCTCTGCATGCACTGCAGGGGAATGGGGCCTCATCTCGCCTCTAGGGGGAAGTCTCATGGTTTTTCTCGAGTTGCGGCGGGGACCTGGGGTATGTTCTCGACTTACGGCGGGGATGGCCCTTCAAAACACGAGTTTCTTCAGTGACGTCAGGACTCCTGTCTAGTAACGAGGGACACCTCAGGAATCTCTTCGAGGCTTGGCAGGGCAAAAGGGACGCTTCTCGAGGTGAGGCAGGGCACCCAAGGACCCTTTCCAGTAGCCACAGGGATTTTGGGATTCCTATCAGTATTCAAGAGGAGTCAGGCATCGTCACCTTTTGAAGCAATGAACTCCGTGTGCCTCTCGAGGTGTCAGCAGGATGTGAGGCATTCCGTCAAAATGAGGCAGGGAGCTAGGGCTTTCTCTAAGGTCTCCACAGGGGATTCAGACATCCCTTCATGTTGTGAGATGAAAGACGAGCCTGTATTCAAGCCACTGCAAGGAAATCTGGCCTCCTTTCAAGTTAGGGCTTCTCACTGTATATTACCCTTGAGGCAGCAAACTCGGGGTCCCTCCCACATACCTATTGCTGAGAGAAGCCTCCTCCTGAGGTGCTTCTGGGAAGTTGGCATACGTCTTGAGCCTAAGCCAGGGAATCAGCTCGCATCTCGAGACGATTTGGGGTACACGGAGCATTCCTCGAGTTGCTGTGCTGAAGTTGGTGTTCCTCTAGACTTGGGACAGTGTTCTCGGGGCATCTCTGGAGTTGCCTGAAGGAAGTCGAGCCACCGGTCGTGTTGAATGGGGAACGGGGAATGGCTCTGGAGTCAATGCAGGGGAATCGGGCCTCATCTCGAGTTGATTTGGGGCACATGGAGCTGCTTTGCTTTCCTGGGGTGACCTCAGGGTCCGTCTAGACTGGTGACAGTGTTCTTGGGGACTGTCTCGAGATCCATTAAGCAAGTCGAAGCTCCTGACTTGTTTGAATGGGATCACGGAATAGCTCTGCATGCACTGCAGGGGAATGGGGCCTCATCTCGCCTCTAGGGGGAAGTCTCATGGTTTTTCTCGAGTTGCTGCGGGGACCTGGGTATGTTCACGACTTACGGCGGGGATGGCCCTTCAAAACACGAGTTTCTTCAGTGACGTCAGGACTCCTGTCTAGTAACGAGGGACACCTCAGGAATCTCTTCGAGGCTTGGCAGGGCAAAAGGGACGCTTCTCGAGGTGAGGCAGGGCACCCAAGGACCCTTTCCAGTAGCCACAGGGATTTTGGGATTCCTATCAGTATTCAAGAGGAGTCAGGCATCGTCACCTTTTGAAGCAATGAACTCCGCGTGCCTCTCGAGGTGTCACCGCGATGTGAGGCATTCCGTCAAAATGAGGCAGGGACCTAGGGCTTTCTCTAAGGTCTCCACAGGGGATTCAGACATCCCTTCATGTTGTGAGATGAAAGACGAGCCTGTATTCAAGCCACTGCAAGGAAATCCGGCCTCGTTTCAAGTTAGGGCTTCTCGCTGTACATTCCCCTTGAGGCAGCAAACTCGGGGTCCCTCCCACATACCTATTGCTGAGAGAAGCCTCCTCCTGAGGTGCTTCTGGGAAGTTGGCATACGTCTTGAGCCTAAGCCAGAGAATCAGCTCGCATCTCGAGACGATTTGGGGTACACGGAGCATTCCTCGATTTGCTGTGCTGAAGTTGGTGTTCCTCTAGACGTGGGACAGTGTTCTCGGGGCATCTCTGGAGTTGCCTGAAGGAAGTCGAGCCACCGGTCTTGTTGAATGTGGAACGGGGAATGGCTCTGGAGTCAATGCAGGGGAATCGGGCCTCATCTCGAGTTGATTTGGGGCACATGGAGCTGCTTTGCGTTGCTGGGGTGACCTCAGGGTCCGTCTAGACTGGTGACAGTGTTCTTGGGGACTGTCTCGAGATCCATTAAGCAAGTCGAAGCTCCTGACTTGTTTGAATGGGATCACGGAATAGCTCTGCATGCACTGCAGGGGAATGGGGCCTCATCTCGCCTCTAGGGGGAAGTCTCATGGTTTTTCTCAAGTTGCGGCGGGGACCTGGGGTATGTTCTCGACTTACGGCGGGGATGGCCCTTCAAAACACGAGTTTCTTCAGTGACGGCAGGACTCCTGTCTAGTAACGAGGGACACCTCAGGAATCTCTTCGAGGCTTGGCAGGGCAAAAGGGACGCTTCTCGAGGTGAGGCAGGGCACCCAAGGACCCTTTCCAGTAGCCACAGGGATTTTGGGATTCCTATCAGTATTCAAGAGGAGTCAGGCAGCGTCACCTTTTGAAACAATGAACTCCGCGTGCCTCTCGAGGTGTCAGCGCGATGTGAGGCATTCCATCAAAATGAGGCAGGGACCTAGGTCTTTCTCTAAGGTCTCCACAGGGGATTCAGACATCCCTTCATGTTGTGAGATGAAAGACGAGCCTGTATTCAAGCCACTGCAAGGAAATCCGGCCTCCTTTCAAGTTAGGGCTTCTCGCTGTATATTCCCCTTGAGGCAGCAAACTCGGGGTCCCTCCCACATACCTATTGCTGAGAGAAGCCTCCTCCTGAGGTGCTTCTGGGAAGTTGGCATACGTCTTGAGCCTAAGCCAGGGAATCAGCTCGCATCTCGAGACGATTTGGGGTACACGGAGCATTCCTCGAGTTGCTGTGCTGAAGTTGGTGTTCCTCTAGACTTGGGACAGTGTTCTCGGGGCATCTCTGGAGTTGCCTGAAGGAAGTCGAGCCACCGGTCGTGTTGAATGGGGAACGGGGAATGGCTCTGGAGTCAATGCAGGGGAATCGGGCCTCATCTCGAGTTGATTTGGGGCACATGGAGCTGCTTTGCGTTGCTGGGGTGACCTCAGGGTCCGTCTAGACTGGTGACAGTGTTCTTGGGGACTGTCTCGAGATCCATTAAGCAAGTCGAAGCTCCTGACTTGTTTGAATGGGATCACGGAATAGCTCTGCATGCACTGCAGGGGAATGGGGCCTCATCTCGCCTCTAGGGGGAAGTCTCATGGTTTTTCTCGAGTTGCGGCGGGGACCTGGGGTATGTTCTCGACTTACGGCGGGGATGGCCCTTCAAGACACGAGTTTCTTCAGTGACGTCAGGACTCCTGTCTAGTAACGAGGGACACCTCAGGAATCTCTTCGAGGCTTGGCAGGGCAAAAGGGACGCTTCTCGATGTGAGGCAGGGCACCCAAGGACCCTTTCCAGTAGCCACAGGGATTTTGGGATTCCTATCAGTATTCAAGAGGAGTCAGGCATCGTCACCTTTTGAAGCAATGAACTCCGCATGCCTCTCGAGGTGTCAGCGGGATGTGAGGCATTCCGTCAAAATGAGGCAGGGACCTAGGGCTTTCTCTAAGCTCTCCACAGGGGATTCAGACATCCCTTCATGTTGTGAGATGAAAGACGAGCCTGTATTCAAGCCACTGCAAGGAAATCCGGCCTCCTTTCAAGTTAGGGCTTCTCGCTGTATATTCCCCTTGAGGCAGCAAACTCGGGGTCCCTCCCACATACCTATTGCTGAGAGAAGCCTCCTCCTGAGGTGCTTCTGGGAAGTTGGCATACGTCTTGAGCCTAAGCCAGGGAATCAGCTCGCATCTCGAGACGATTTGGGGTACACGGAGCATTCCTCGAGTTGCTGTGCTGAAGTTGGTGTTCCTCTAGACTTGGGACAGTGTTCTCGGGGCATCTCTGGAGTTGCCTGAAGGAAGTCGAGCCACCGGTCGTGTTGAATGGGGAACGGGGAATGGCTCTGGAGTCAATGCAGGGGAATCGGGCCTCATCTCGAGTTGATTTGGGGCACATGGAGCTGCTTTGCGTTGCTGGGGTGACCTCAGGGTCCGTCTAGACTGGTGACAGTGTTCTTGGGGACTGTCTCGAGATCCATTAAGCAAGTCGAAGCTCCTGACTTGTTTGAATGGGATCACGGAATAGCTCTGCATGCACTGCAGGGGAATGGGGCCTCATCTCGCCTCTAGGGGGAAGTCTCATGGTTTTTCTCGAGTTGCGGCGGGGACCTGGGGTATGTTCTCGACTTACGGCGGGGATGGCCCTTCCAAACACGAGTTTCTTCAGTGACGTCAGGACTCCTGTCTAGTAACGAGGGACACCTCAGGAATCTCTTCGAGGCTTGGCAGGGCAAAAGGGACGCTTCTCGAGGTGAGGCAGGGCACCCAAGGACCCTTTCCAGTAGCCACAGGGATTTTGGGATTCCTATCAGTATTCAAGAGGAGTCAGGCATCGTCACCTTTTGAAGCAATGAACTCCGCGTGCCTCTCGAGGTGTCAGCGCGATGTGAGGCATTCCGTCAAAATGAGGCAGGGACCTAGGGCTTTCTCTAAGTTCTCCACAGGGGATTCAGACATCCCTTCATGTTGTGAGATGAAAGACGAGCCTGTATTCAAGCCACTGCAAGGAAATCCGGCCTCCTTTCAAGTTAGGGCTTCTCGCTGTATATTCCCCTTGAGGCAGCAAACTCGGGGTCCCTCCCACATACCTATTGCTGAGAGAAGCCTCCTCCTGAGGTGCTTCTGGGAAGTTGGAATACGTCTTGAGCCTAAGCCAGGGAATCAGCTCGCATCTCGAGACGATTTGGGGTACACGGAGCATTCCTCGAGTTGCTGTGCTGAAGTTGGTGTTCCTCTAGACTTGGGACAGTGTTCTCGGGGCATCTCTGGAGTTGCCTGAAGGAAGTCGAGCCACCGGTCGTGTTGAATGGGGAACGGGGAATGGCTCTGGAGTCAATGCAGGGGAATCGGGCCTCATCTCGAGTTGATTTGGGCACATGGAGCTGCTTTGCGTTGCTGGGGTGACCTCAGGGTCCGTCTAGACTGGTGACAGTGTTCTTGGGGACTGTCTCGAGATCCATTAAGCAAGTCGAAGCTCCTGACTTGTTTGAATGGGATCACGGAATAGCTCTGCATGCACTGCAGGGGAATGGGGCCTCATCTCGCCTCTAGGGGGAAGTCTCATGGTTTTTCTCGAGTTGCGGCGGGGACCTGGGGTATGTTCTCGACTTACGGCGGGGATGGCCCTTCCAAACACGAGTTTCTTCAGTGACGTCAGGACTCCTGTCTAGTAACGAGGGACACCTCAGGAATCTCTTCGAGGCTTGGCAGGGCAAAAGGGACGCTTCTCGAGGTGAGGCAGGGCACCCAAGGACCCTTTCCAGTAGCCACAGGGATTTTGGGATTCCTATCAGTATTCAAGAGGAGTCAGGCATCGTCACCTTTTGAAGCAATGAACTCCGCGTGCCTCTCGAGGTGTCAGCGGGATGTGAGGCATTCCGTCAAAATGAGGCAGGGACCTAGGGCTTTCTCTAAGGTCTCCACAGGGGATTCAGACATCCCTTCATGTTGTGAGATGAAAGACGAGCCTGTATTCAAGCCACTGCAAGGAAATCCGGCCTCCTTTCAAGTTAGGGCTTCTCGCTGTATATTCCCCTTGAGGCAGCAAACTCGGGGTCCCTCCCACATACCTATTGCTGAGAGAAGCCTCCTCCTGAGGTGCTTCTGGGAAGTTGGCATACGTCTTGAGCCTAAGCCAGGGAATCAGCTCGCATCTCGAGACGATTTGGGGTACACGGAGCATTCCTCGAGTTGCTGTGCTGAAGTTGGTGTTCCTCTAGACTTGGGACAGTGTTCTCGGGGCATCTCTGGAGTTGCCTGAAGGAAGTCGAGCCACCGGTCGTGTTGAATGGGGAACGGGGAATGGCTCTGGAGTCAATGCAGGGGAATCGGGCCTCATCTCGAGTTGATTTGGGGCACATGGAGCTGCTTTGCGTTGCTGGGGTGACCTCAGGGTCCGTCTAGACTGGTGACAGTGTTCTTGGGGACTGTCTCGAGATCCATTAAGCAAGTCGAAGCTCCTGACTTGTTTGAATGGGATCACGGAATAGCTCTGCATGCACTGCAGGGGAATGGGGCCTCATCTCGCCTCTAGGGGGAAGTCTCATGGTTTTTCTCGAGTTGCGGCGGGGACCTGGGGTATGTTCTCGACTTACGGCGGGGATGGCCCTTCCAAACACGAGTTTCTTCAGTGACGTCAGGACTCCTGTCTAGTAACGAGGGACACCTCAGGAATCTCTTCGAGGCTTGGCAGGGCAAAAGGGACGCTTCTCGAGGTGAGGCAGGGCACCCAAGGACCCATTCCAGTAGCCACAGGGATTTTGGGATTCCTATCAGTATTCAAGAGGAGTCAGGCATCGTCACCTTTTGAAGCAATGAACTCCGTGTGCCTCTCGAGGTGTCAGCGGGTTGTGAGGCAATCCGTCAAAATGAGGCAGGGACCTTAGGCTTTCTCTAAGGTCTCCACAGGGGATTCAGACATCCCTTCATGTTGTGAGATGAAAGACGAGCCTGTATTCAAGCCACTGCAAGGAAATCTGGCCTCCTTTCAAGTTAGGGCTTCTCGCTGTATATTACCCTTGAGGCAGCAAAATCGGGGTCCCTCCCACATACCTATTGCTGAGAGAAGCCTCCTCCTAAGGTGCTTCTGGGAAGTTGGCATAGGTCTTGAGCCTAAGCCAGGGAATCAGCTCTCATCTCGAGACGATTTGGGGTACACGGAGCATTCCTCGAGTTGCTGTGCTGAAGTTGGTGTTCCTCTAGACTTGGGACAGTGTTCTCGGGGCATCTCTGGAGTTGACTGAAGGAAGTCGAGCCACCGTTCGTGTTGAATGGGGAACGGGGAATGGCTCTGGAGTCAATACAGGGGAATCGGGCCTCATCTCGAGTTGATTTGGGGCACATGGAGCTGCTTTGCGTTGCTTGGGTGACCTCAGGGTCCGTCTAGACTGGTGACAGTGTTCTTGGGGACTGTCTCGAGATCCATTAAGCAAGTCGAAGCTCCTGACTTGTTTGAATGGGATCACGGAATAGCTCTGCATGCACTGCAGGGGAATGGGGCCTCATCTCGCCTCTAGGGGGAAGTCTCATGGTTTTTCTCGAGTTGCGGCGGGGACCTGGGGTATGTTCTCGACTTACGGCGGGGATGGCCCTTCAAAACACGAGTTTCTTCAGTGACGTCAGGACTCCTGTCTAGTAACGAGGGACACCTCAGGAATCACTTCGAGGCTTGGCAGGGCAAAAGGGAATCTTCTCGAGGTGAGTCAGGGCACCCAAGGACACTTTCCAATAGGCACAGGTATTTTGGGATTCCTATCAGTATTCAAGAGGAGTCAGGCATCGTCACCTTTTGAAGCAATGATCTCCGCGTGCCTCTCGAGGTGTCAGCGGGATGTGAGGCATTCCGTCAAAATGAGGCAGGGACCTAGGGCTTTCTCTAAGGTCTCCTCAGGGGATTCAGACATTCCTTCATGTTGTGAGATGAAAGACGAGCCTGTATTCAAGCCACTGCAAGGAAATCCGGCCTCCTTTCAAGTTAGGGCTTCTCGCTGTATATTCCCCTTGAGGCAGCAAACTCGGGGTCCCTCCCACATACCTATTGCTGAGAGAAGCCTCCTCCTGAGGTGCTTCTGGGAAGTCGGCATACGTCTTGAGCCTAAGCCAGGGAATCAGCTCGCATCTCGAGACGATTTGGGGTACACGGAGCATTCCTCGAGTTGCTGTGCTGAAGTTGGTGTTCCTCTAGGCTTGGGACAGTGTTCTCGGGGCATCTCTGGAGTTGCCTGAAGGAAGTCGAGCCACCGGTCGTGTTGAATGGGGAACGGGGAATGGCTCTGGAGTCAATGCAGGGGAATCGGGCCTCATCTCGAGTTGATTTGGGGCACATGGAGCTGCTTTGCGTTGCTGGGGTGACCTCAGGGTCCGTCTAGACTGGTGACAGTGTTCTTGGGGACTGTCTCGAGATCCATTAAGCAAGTCGAAGCTCCTGACTTGTTTGAATGGGATCACGGAATAGCTCTGCATGCACTGCAGGGGAATGGGGCCTCATCTCGCCTCTAGGGGGAAGTCTCATGGTTTTTCTCGAGTTGCGGCGGGGACCTGGGGTATGTTCTCGACTTACGGCGGGGATGGCCCTTCAAAACACGAGTTTCTTCAGTGACGTCAGGACTCCTGTCTAGTAACGAGGGACACCTCAGGAATCTCTTCGAGGCTTGGCAGGGCAAAAGGGACGCTTCTCGAGGTGAGGCAGGGCACCCAAGGACCCTTTCCAGTAGCCACAGGGATTTTGGGTTTCCTATCAGTATTCATGAGGAGTCAGGCATCGTCACCTTTTGAAGCAATGAACTCCGCGTGCCTCTCGAGGTGTCAGCGGGATGTGAGGCATTCCGTCAAAATGAGGCAGGGACCTAGGGCTTTCTCTAAGGTCTCCACAGGGGATTCAGACATCCCTTCATGTTGTGAGATGAAAGACGAGCCTGTATTCAAGCCACTGCAAGGAAATCCGGCCTCCTTTCAAGTTAGGGCTTCTCGCTGTATATTCCCCTTGAGGCAGCAAACTCGGGGTCCCTCCCACATACCTATTGCTGAGAGAAGCCTCCTCCTGAGGTGCTTCTGGGAAGTTGGCATACGTCTTGAGCCTAAGCCAGGGAATCAGCTCGCATCTCGAGACGATTTGGGGTACACGGAGCATTCCTCGAGTTGCTGTGCTGAAGTTGGTGTTCCTCTAGACTTGGGACAGTGTTCTCGGGGCATCTCTGGAGTTGCCTGAAGGAAGTCGAGCCACCGGTCGTGTTGAATGGGGAACGGGGAATGGCTCTGGAGTCAATGCAGGGGAATCGGGCCTCATCTCGAGTTGATTTGGGGCACATGGAGTTGCTTTGCGTCCTCAGGGTCCGTCTAGACTGGTGACAGTGTTCTTGGGGACTGTCTCGAGATCCATTAAGCAAGTCGAAGCTCCTGACTTGTTTGAATGGGATCACGGAATAGCTCTGCATGCACTGCAGGGGAATGGGGCCTCATCTCGCCTCTAGGGGGAAGTCTCATGGTTTTTCTCGAGTTGCGGCGGGGACCTGGGGTATGTTCTCGACTTACGGCGGGGATGGCCCTTCCAAACACGAGTTTCTTCAGTGACGTCAGGACTCCTGTCTAGTAACGAGGGACACCTCAGGAATCTCTTCGAGGCTTGGCAGGGCAAAAGGGACGCTTCTCGAGGTGAGGCAGGGCACCCAAGGACCCTTTCCAGTAGCCACAGGGATTTTGGGATTCCTATCAGTATTCAAGAGGAGTCAGGCATCGTCACCTTTTGAAGCAATGAACTCCGCGTGCCTCTCGAGGTGTCAGCGCGATGTGAGGCATTCCGTCAAAATGAGGCAGGGACCTAGGGCTTTCTCTAAGGTCTCCACAGGGGATTCAGACATCCCTTCATGTTGTGAGATGAAAGACGAGCCTGTATTCAAGCCACTGCAAGGAAATCCGGCCTCCTTTCAAGTTAGGGCTTCTCGCTGTATATTCCCCTTGAGGCAGCAAACTCGGGGTCCCTCCCACATACCTATTGCTGAGAGAAGCCTCCTCCTGAGGTGCTTCTGGGAAGTTGGCATACGTCTTGAGCCTAAGCCAGGGAATCAGCTCGCATCTCGAGACGATTTGGGGTACACGGAGCATTCCTCGAGTTGCTGTGCTGAAGTTGGTGTTCCTCTAGACTTGGGACAGTGTTCTCGGGGCATCTCTGGAGTTGCCTGAAGGAAGTCGAGCCACCGGTCGTGTTGAATGGGGAACGGGGAATGGCTCTGGAGTCAATGCAGGGGAATCGGGCCTCATCTCGAGTTGATTTGGGGCACATGGAGCTGCTTTGCGTTGCTGGGGTGACCTCAGGGTCCGTCTAGACTGGTGACAGTGTTCTTGGGGACTGTCTCGAGATCCATTAAGCAAGTGGAAGCTCCTGACTTGTTTGAATGGGATCACGGAATAGCTCTGCATGCACTGCAGGGGAATGGGGCCTCATCTGGCCTCTAGTGGGAAGTCTCATGGTTTTTCTCGAGTTGCGGCGGGGACCTGGGGTATGTTCTCGACTTACGGCGGGGATGGCCCTTCAAAACACGAGTTTCTTCAGTGACGTCAGGACTCCTGTCTAGTAACGAGGGACACCTCAGGAATCTCTTCGAGGCTTGGCAGGGCAAAAGTGACGCTTCTCGAGGTGAGGCAGGGCACCCAAGGACCCTTTCCAGTAGCCACAGGGATTTTGGGATTCCTATCAGTATTCAAGAGGAGTCAGGCATCGTCACCTTTTGAAGCAATGAACTCCGCGTGCCTCTCGAGGTGTCAGCGCGATGTGAGGCATTCCGTCAAAATGAGGCAGGGACCTAGGGCTTTCTCTAAGGTCTCCACAGGGGATTCAGACATCCCTTCATGTTTTGAGATGAAAGACGAGCCTGTAGTCAAGCCACTGCAAGGAAATCTGGCCTCCTTTCAAGTTAGGGCTTCTCGCTGTATATTCCCCTTGAGGCAGCAAACTCGGGGTCCCTCCCACATACCTATTGCTGAGAGAAGCCTCCTCCTGAGGTGCTTCTGGGAAGTTGCCATACGTCTTGAGCCTAAGCCAGGGAATCAGCTCGATCTCGAGACGATTTGGGGTACACGGAGCATTCCTCGAGTTGCTGTGCTGAAGTTGGTGTTCCTCTAGACTTGGGACAGTGTTCTCGGGGCATCTCTGGAGTTGCCTGAAGGAAGTCGAGCCACCGGTCGTGTTGAATGGGGAACGGGGAATGGCTCTGGAGTCAATGCAGGGGAATCGGGCCTCATCTCGAGTTGATTTGGGGCACATGGAGCTGCTTTGCGTTGCTGGGGTGACCTCAGGGTCCGTCTAGACTGGTGACAGTGTTCTTGGGGACTGTCTCGAGATCCATTAAGCAAGTCGAAGCTCCTGACTTGTTTGAATGGGATCACGGAATAGCTCTGCATGCACTGCAGGGGAATGGGGCCTCATCTCGCCTCTAGGGGGAAGTCTCATGGTTTTTCTCGAGTTGCGGCGGGGACCTGGGGTATGTTCTCGACTTACGGTGGGGATGGCCCTTCCAAACACGAGTTTCCTCAGTGACGTCAGGACTCCTGTCTAGTAACGAGGGACACCTCAGGAATCTCTTCGAGGCTTGGCAGGGCAAAAGGGACGCTTCTCGAGGTGAGGCAGGGCACCCAAGGACCCTTTCCAGTAGCCACAGGGATTTTGGGATTCCTATCAGTATTCAAGAGGAGTCAGGCATCGACACCTTTTGAACCAATGAACTCCGCGTGCCTCTCGAGGTGTCAGCGGGATGTGAGGCATTCCGTCAAAATGAGGCAGGGACCTAGGGCTTTCTCTAAGGTCTCCACAGGGGATTCAGACATCCCTTCATGTTGTGAGATGAAAGACGAGCCTGTATTCAAGCCACTGCAAGGAAATCCGGCCTCCTTTCAAGTTAGGGCTTCTCGCTGTATATTCCCCTTGAGGCAGCAAACTCGGGGTCCCTCCCACATACCTATTGCTGAGAGAAGCCTCCTCCTGAGGTGCTTCTGGGAAGTTGGCATACGTCTTGAGCCTAAGCCAGGGAATCAGCTCGCATCTCGAGATGATTTGGGGTACACGGAGCATTCCTCGAGTTGCTGTGCTGAAGTTGGTGTTCCTCTAGACTTGGGACAGTGTTCTCGGGGCATCTCTGGAGTTGCCTGAAGGAAGTCGAGCCACCGGTCGTGTTGAATGGGGAACGGGGAATGGCTCTGGAGTCAATGCAGGGGAATCGGGCCTCATCTCGAGTTGATTTGGGGCACATGGAGCTGCTTTGCGTTGCTGGGGTGACCTCAGCGTCCGTCTAGACTGGTGACAGTGTTCTTGGGGACTGTCTCGAGATCCATTAAGCAAGTCGAAGCTCCTGACTTGTTTGAATGGGATCACGGAATAGCTCTGCATGCACTGCAGGGGAATGGGGCCTCATCTCGCCTCTAGGGGGAAGTCTCATGGTTTTTCTCGAGTTGCGGCGGGGACCGGGGGTATGTTCTCGACTTACGGCGGGGATGGCCCTTCAAGACACGAGTTTCTTCAGTGACGTCAGGACTCCTGTCTAGTAACGAGGGACACCTCAGGAATCTCTTCGAGGCTTGGCAGGGCAAAAGGGACGCTTCTCGAGGTGAGGCAGGGCACCCAAGGACCCTTTCCAGTAGCCACAGGGATTTTGGGATTCCTATCAGTATTCAAGAGGAGTCAGGCATCGTCACCTTTTGAAGCAATGATCTCCGCGTGCCTCTCGAGGTGTCAGCGGGATGTGAGGCATTCCGTCAAAATGAGGCAGGGACCTAGGGCTTTCTCTAAGGTCTCCACAGCGGATTCAGACATCCCTTCATGTTGTGAGATGAAAGACGAGCCTGTATTCAAGCCACTGCAAGGAAATCCAGCCTCGTTTCAAGTTAGGGCTTGTCGCTGTATATTCGCCTTGAGGCAGCAAACTCGGGGTCCCTCCCACATACCTATTGCTGAGAGAAGCCTCCTCCTGAGGTGCTTCTGGGAAGTTGGCATACGTCTTGAGCCTAAGCCAGGGAATCAGCTCGCATCTCGAGACGATTTGGGGTACACGGAGCATTCCTCGAGTTGCTGTGCTGAAGTTGGTGTTCCTCTAGACTTGGGACAGTGTTCTCGGGGCATCTCTGGAGTTGCCTGAAGGAAGTCGAGCCACCGGTCGTGTTGAATGGGGAACGGGGAATGGCTCTGGAGACAATGCAGGGGAATCGGGCCTCATCTCGAGTTGATTTGGGGCACATGGAGCTGCTTTGCGTTGCTGGGGTGACCTCAGGGTCCGTCTAGACTGGTGACAGTGTTCTTGGGGACTGTCTCGAGATCCATTAAGCAAGTCGAAGCTCCTGACTTGTTTGAATGGGATCACGGAATAGCTCTGCATGCACTGCAGGGGAATGGGGCCTCATCTCGCCTCTAGGGGGAAGTCTCATGGTTTTTCTCGAGTTGCGGCGGGGACCTGGGGTATGTTCTCGACTTACGGCGGGGATGGCCCTTCAAAACACGAGTTTCTTCAGTGACGTCAGGACTCCTGTCTAGTAACGAGGGACACCTCAGGAATCTCTTCGAGGCTTGGCAGGGCAAAAGGGACGCTTCTCGAGGTGAGGCAGGGCACCCAAGGACCCTTTCCAGTAGCCACAGGGATTTTGGGATTCCTATCAGTATTCAAGAGGAGTCAGGCATCGTCACCTTTTGAAGCAATGAACTCCGCGTGCCTCTCGAGGTGTCAGCGGGATGTGAGGCATTCCGTCAAAATGAGGCAGGGACCTAGGGCTTTCTCTAAGGTCTCCACAGCGGATTCAGACATCCCTTCATGTTGTGAGATGAAAGACGAGCCTGTATTCAAGCCACTGCAAGGAAATCCGGCCTCCTTTCAAGTTAGGGCTTCTCGCTGTATATTCCCCTTGAGGCAGCAAACTCGGGGTCCCTCCCACATACCTATTGCTGAGAGAAGCCTCCTCCTGAGGTGCTTCTGGGAAGTTGGCATACGTCTTGAGCCTAAGCCAGGGAATCAGCTCGCATCTCGAGACGATTTGGGGTACACGGAGCATTCCTCGAGTTGCTGTGCTGAAGTTGGTGTTCCTCTAGACTTGGGACAGTGTTCTCGGGGCATCTCTGGAGTTGCCTGAAGGAAGTCGAGCCACCGGTCGTGTTGAATGGGGAACGGGGAATGGCTCTGGAGTCAATGCAGGGGAATCGGGCCTCATCTCGAGTTGATTTGGGGCACATGGAGCTGCTTTGCGTTGCTGGGGTGACCTCAGGGTCCGTCTAGACTGGTGACAGTGTTCTTGGGGACTGTCTCGAGATCCATTAAGCAAGTCGAAGCTCCTGACTTGTTTGAATGGGATCACGGAATAGCTCTGCATGCACTGCAGGGGAATGGGGCCTCATCTCGCCTCTAGGGGGAAGTCTCATGGTTTTTCTCGAGTTGCGGCGGGGACCTGGGGTATGTTCCCGACTTACGGCGGGGATGGCCCTTCAAAACACGAGTTTCTTCAGTGACGTCAGGACTCCTGTCTAGTAACGAGGGACACCTCAGGAATCTCTTCGAGGCTTGGCAGGGCAAAAGGGACGCTTCTCGAGGTGAGGCAGGGCACCCAAGGACCCTTTCCAGTAGCCACAGGGATTTTGGGATTCCTATCAGTATTCAAGAGGAGTCAGGCATCGTCACCTTTTGAAGCAATGAACTCCGCATGCCTCTCGAGGTGTCAGCGGGATGTGAGGCATTCCGTCAAAGTGAGGCAGGGACCTAGGGCTTTCTCTAAGCTCTCCACAGGGGATTCAGACATCCCTTCATGTTGTGAGATGAAAGACGAGCCTGTATTCAAGCCACTGCAAGGAAATCCGGCCTCCTTTCAAGTTAGGGCTTCTCGCTGTATATTCCCCTTGAGGCAGCAAACTCGGGGTCCCTCCCACATACCTATTGCTGAGAGAAGCCTCCTCCTGAGGTGCTTCTGGGAAGTTGGCATACGTCTTGAGCCTAAGCCAGGGAATCAGCTCGCATCTCGAGACGATTTGGGGTACACGGAGCATTCCTCGAGTTGCTGTGCTGAAGTTGGTGTTCCTCTAGACTTGGGACAGTGTTCTCGGGGCATCTCTGGAGTTGCCTGAAGGAAGTCGAGCCACCGGTCGTGTTGAATGGGGAACGGGGAATGGCTCTGGAGTCAATGCAGGGGAATCGGGCCTCATCTCGAGTTGATTTGGGGCACATGGAGCTGCTTTGCGTTGCTGGGGTGACCTCAGGGTCCGTCTAGACTGGTGACAGTGTTCTTGGGGACTGTCTCGAGATCCATTAAGCAAGTCGAAGCTCCTGACTTGTTTGAATGGGATCACGGAATAGCTCTGCATGCACTGCAGGGGAATGGGGCCTCATCTCGCCTCTAGGGGGAAGTCTCATGGTTTTTCTCGAGTTGCGGCGGGGACCTGGGGTATGTTCTCGACTTACGGCGGGGATGGCCCTTCAAAACACGAGTTTCTTCAGTGACGTCAGGACTCCTGTCTAGTAACGAGGGACACCTCAGGAATCTCTTCGAGGCTTGGCAGGGCAAAAGGGACGCTTCTCGAGGTGAGGCAAGGCACCCAAGGACCCTTTCCAGTAGCCACAGGGATTTTGGGATTCCTATCAGTATTCAAGAGGAGTCAGGCAGCGTCACCTTTTGAAGCAATGAACTCCGCGTGCCTCTCGAGGTGTCAGCACGATGTGAGGCATTCCGTCAAAATGAGGCAGGGACCTAGGTCTTTCTCTAAGGTCTCCACAGGGGACTCAGACATCCCTTCATGTTGTGAGATGAAAGACGAGCCTGTATTCAAGCCACTGCAAGGAAATCCGGCCTCCTTTCAAGTTAGGGCTTCTCGCTGTATATTCCCCTTGAGGCAGCAAACTCGGGGTCCCTCCCACATACCTATTGCTGAGAGAAGCCTCCTCCTGAGGTGCTTCTGGGAAGTTGGCATACGTCTTGAGCCTAAGCCAGGGAATCAGCTCGCATCTCGAGACGATTTGGGGTACACGGAGCATTCCTCGAGTTGCTGTGCTGAAGTTGGTGTTCCTCTAGACTTGGGACAGTGTTCTCGGGGCATCTCTGGAGTTGCCTGAAGGAAGTCGAGCCACCGGTCGTGTTGAATGGGGAACGGGGAATGGCTCTGGAGTCAATGCAGGGGAATCGGGCCTCATCTCGAGTTGATTTGGGGCACATGGAGCTGCTTTGCGTTGCTGGGGTGACCTCAGGGTCCGTCTAGACTGGTGACAGTGTTCTTGGGGACTGTCTCGAGATCCATTAAGCAAGTCGAAGCTCCTGACTTGTTTGAATGGGATCACGGAATAGCTCTGCATGCACTGCAGGGGAATGGGGCCTCATCTCGCCTCTAGGGGGAAGTCTCATGGTTTTTCTCGAGTTGCGGCGGGGACCTGGGGTATGTTCTCGACTTACGGCGGGGATGGCCCTTCAAAACACGAGTTTCTTCAGTGACGTCAGGACTCCTGTCTAGTAACGAGGGACACCTCAGGAATCTCTTCGAGGCTTGGCAGGGCAAAAGGGACGCTTCTCGAGGTGAGGCAGGGCACCCAAGGACCCTTTCCAGTAGCCACAGGGATTTTGGGATTCCTATCAGTATTCAAGAGGAGTCAGGCATCGTCACCTTTTGAAGCAATGAACTCCGCATGCCTCTCGAGGTGTCAGCGGGATGTGAGGCATTCCGTCAAAATGAGGCAGGGACCTAGGGCTTTCTCTAAGCTCTCCACAGGGGATTCAGACATCCCTTCATGTTGTGAGATGAAAGACGAGCCTGTATTCAAGCCACTGCAAGGAAATCCGGCCTCCTTTCAAGTTAGGGCTTCTCGCTGTATATTCCCCTTGAGGCAGCAAACTCGGGGTCCCTCCCACATACCTATTGCTGAGAGAAGCCTCCTCCTGAGGTGCTTCTGGGAAGTTGGCATACGTCTTGAGCCTAAGCCAGGGAATCAGCTCGCATCTCGAGACGATTTGGGGTACACGGAGCATTCCTCGAGTTGCTGTGCTGAAGTTGGTGTTCCTCTAGACTTGGGACAGTGTTCTCGGGGCATCTCTGGAGTTGCCTGAAGGAAGTCGAGCCACCGGTCGTGTTGAATGGGGAACGGGGAATGGCTCTGGAGTCAATGCAGGGGAATCGGGCCTCATCTCGAGTTGATTTGGGGCACATGGAGCTGCTTTGCGTTGCTGGGGTGACCTCAGGGTCCGTCTAGACTGGTGACAGTGTTCTTGGGGACTGTCTCGAGATCCATTAAGCAAGTCGAAGCTCCTGACTTGTTTGAATGGGATCACGGAATAGCTCTGCATGCACTGCAGGGGAATGGGGCCTCATCTCGCCTCTAGGGGGAAGTCTCATGGTTTTTCTCGAGTTGCGGCGGGGACCTGGGGTATGTTCTCGACTTACGGCGGGGATGGCCCTTCCAAACACGAGTTTCTTCAGTGACGTCAGGACTCCTGTCTAGTAACGAGGGACACCTCAGGAATCTCTTCGAGGCTTGGCAGGGCAAAAGGGACGCTTCTCGAGGTGAGGCAGGGCACCCAAGGACCCTTTCCAGTAGCCACAGGGATTTTGGGATTCCTATCAGTATTCAAGAGGAGTCAGGCATCGTCACCTTTTGAAGCAATGAACTCCGCGTGCCTCTCGAGGTGTCAGCGCGATGTGAGGCATTCCGTCAAAATGAGGCAGGGACCTAGGGCTTTCTCTAAGGTCTCCACAGGGGATTCAGACATCCCTTCATGTTGTGAGATGAAAGACGAGCCTGTATTCAAGCCACTGCAAGGAAATCCGGCCTCCTTTCAAGTTAGGGCTTCTCGCTGTATATTCCCCTTGAGGCAGCAAACTCGGGGTCCCTCCCACATACCTATTGCTGAGAGAAGCCTCCTCCTGAGGTGCTTCTGGGAAGTTGGAATACGTCTTGAGCCTAAGCCAGGGAATCAGCTCGCATCTCGAGACGATTTGGGGTACACGGAGCATTCCTCGAGTTGCTGTGCTGAAGTTGGTGTTCCTCTAGACTTGGGACAGTGTTCTCGGGGCATCTCTGGAGTTGCCTGAAGGAAGTCGAGCCACCGGTCGTGTTGAATGGGGAACGGGGAATGGCTCTGGAGTCAATGCAGGGGAATCGGGCCTCATCTCGAGTTGATTTGGGGCACATGGAGCTGCTTTGCGTTGCTGGGGTGACCTCAGGGTCCGTCTAGACTGGTGACAGTGTTCTTGGGGACTGTCTCGAGATCCATTAAGCAAGTCGAAGCTCCTGACTTGTTTGAATGGGATCACGGAATAGCTCTGCATGCACTGCAGGGGAATGGGGCCTCATCTCGCCTCTAGGGGGAAGTCTCATGGTTTTTCTCGAGTTGCGGCGGGGACCTGGGGTATGTTCTCGACTTACGGCGGGGATGGCCCTTCAAAACACGAGTTTCTTCAGTGACGTCAGGACTCCTGTCTAGTAACGAGGGACACCTCAGGAATCTCTTCGAGGCTTGGCAGGGCAAAAGGGACGCTTCTCGAGGTGAGGCAGGGCACCCAAGGACCCTTTCCAGTAGCCACAGGGATTTTGGGATTCCTATCAGTATTCAAGAGGAGTCAGGCATCGTCACCTTTTGAAGCAATGAACTCCGCGTGCCTCTCGAGGTGTCAGCGCGATGTGAGGCATTCCGTCAAAATGAGGCAGGGACCTAGGGCTTTCTCTAAGGTCTCCACAGGGGATTCAGACATCCCTTCATGTTGTGAGATGAAAGACGAGCCTGTATTCAAGCCACTGCAAGGAAATCCGGCCTCCTTTCAAGTTAGGGCTTCTCGCTGTATATTCCCCTTGAGGCAGCAAACTCGGGGTCCCTCCCACATACCTATTGCTGAGAGAAGCCTCCTCCTGAGGTGCTTCTGGGAAGTTGGAATACGTCTTGAGCCTAAGCCAGGGAATCAGCTCGCATCTCGAGACGATTTGGGGTACACGGAGCATTCCTCGAGTTGCTGTGCTGAAGTTGGTGTTCCTCTAGACTTGGGACAGTGTTCTCGGGGCATCTCTGGAGTTGCCTGAAGGAAGTCGAGCCACCGGTCGTGTTGAATGGGGAACGGGGAATGGCTCTGGAGTCAATGCAGGGGAATCGGGCCTCATCTCGAGTTGATTTGGGGCACATGGAGCTGCTTTGCGTTGCTGGGGTGACCTCAGGGTCCGTCTAGACTGGTGACAGTGTTCTTGGGGACTGTCTCGAGATCCATTAAGCAAGTCGAAGCTCCTGACTTGTTTGAATGGGATCACGGAATAGCTCTGCATGCACTGCAGGGGAATGGGGCCTCATCTCGCCTCTAGGGGGAAGTCTCATGGTTTTTCTCGAGTTGCGGCGGGGACCTGGGGTATGTTCTCGACTTACGGCGGGGATGGCCCTTCAAAACACGAGTTTCTTCAGTGACGTCAGGACTCCTGTCTAGTAACGAGGGACACCTCAGGAATCTCTTCGAGGCTTGGCAGGGCAAAAGGGACGCTTCTCGAGGTGAGGCAGGGCACCCAAGGACCCTTTCCAGTAGCCACAGGGATTTTGGGATTCCTATCAGTATTCAAGAGGAGTCAGGCATCGTCACCTTTTGAAGCAATGAACTCCGTGTGCCTCTCGAGGTGTCAGCGGGATGTGAGGCATTCCGTCAAAATGAGGCAGGGAGCTAGGGCTTTCTCTAAGGTCTCCACAGGGGATTCAGACATCCCTTCATGTTGTGAGATGAAAGACGAGCCTGTATTCAAGCCACTGCAAGGAAATCTGGCCTCCTTTCAAGTTAGGGCTTCTCACTGTATATTACCCTTGAGGCAGCAAACTCGGGGTCCCTCCCACATACCTATTGCTGAGAGAAGCCTCCTCCTGAGGTGCTTCTGGGAAGTTGGCATACGTCTTGAGCCTAAGCCAGGGAATCAGCTCGCATCTCGAGACGATTTGGGGTACACGGAGCATTCCTCGAGTTGCTGTGCTGAAGTTGGTGTTCCTCTAGACTTGGGACAGTGTTCTCGGGGCATCTCTGGAGTTGCCTGAAGGAAGTCGAGCCACCGGTCGTGTTGAATGGGGAACGGGGAATGGCTCTGGAGTCAATGCAGGGGAATCGGGCCTCATCTCGAGTTGATTTGGGGCACATGGAGCTGCTTTGCGTTGCTGGGGTGACCTCAGGGTCCGTCTAGACTGGTGACAGTGTTCTTGGGGACTGTCTCGAGATCCATTAAGCAAGTCGAAGCTCCTGACTTGTTTGAATGGGATCACGGAATAGCTCTGCATGCACTGCAGGGGAATGGGGCCTCATCTCGCCTCTAGGGGGAAGTCTCATGGTTTTTCTCGAGTTGCTGCGGGGACCTGGGGTATGTTCACGACTTACGGCGGGGATGGCCCTTCAAAACACGAGTTTCTTCAGTGACGTCAGGACTCCTGTCTAGTAACGAGGGACACCTCAGGAATCTCTTCGAGGCTTGGCAGGGCAAAAGGGACGCTTCTTGAGGTGAGGCAGGGCACCCAAGGACCCTTTCCAGTAGCCACAGGGATTTTGGGATTCCTATCAGTATTCAAGAGGAGTCAGGCATCGTCACCTTTTGAAGCAATGAACTCCGCGTGCCTCTCGAGGTGTCAGCGCGATGTGAGGCATTCCGTCAAAATGAGGCAGGGACCTAGGGCTTTCTCTAAGGTCTCCACAGGGGATTCAGACATCCCTTCATGTTGTGAGATGAAAGACGAGCCTGTATTCAAGCCACTGCAAGGAAATCCGGCCTCCTTTCAAGTTAGGGCTTCTCGCTGTATATTCCCCTTGAGGCAGCAAACTCGGGGTCCCTCCCACATACCTATTGCTGAGAGAAGCCTCCTCCTGAGGTGCTTCTGGGAAGTTGGCATACGTCTTGAGCCTAAGCCAGGGAATCAGCTCGCATCTCGAGACGATTTGGGGTACACGGAGCATTCCTCGAGTTGCTGTGCTGAAGTTGGTGTTCCTCTAGACTTGGGACAGTGTTCTCGGGGCATCTCTGGAGTTGCCTGAAGGAAGTCGAGCCACCGGTCGTGTTGAATGGGGAACGGGGAATGGCTCTGGAGTCAATGCAGGGGAATCGGGCCTCATCTCGAGTTGATTTGGGGCACATGGAGCTGCTTTGCGTTGCTGGGGTGACCTCAGGGTCCGTCTAGACTGGTGACAGTGTTCTTGGGGACTGTCTCGAGATCCATTAAGCAAGTCGAAGCTCCTGACTTGTTTGAATGGGATCACGGAATAGCTCTGCATGCACTGCAGGGGAATGGGGCCTCATCTCGCCTCTAGGGGGAAGTCTCATGGTTTTTCTCGAGTTGCGGCGGGGACCTGGGGTATGTTCTCGACTTACGGCGGGGATGGCCCTTCCAAACACGAGTTTCTTCAGTGACGTCAGGACTCCTGTCTAGTAACGAGGGACACCTCAGGAATCTCTTCGAGGCTTGGCAGGGCAAAAGGGACGCTTCTCGAGGTGAGGCAGGGCACCCAAGGACCCTTTCCAGTAGCCACAGGGATTTTGGGATTCCTATCAGTATTCAAGAGGAGTCAGGCATCGTCACCTTTTGAAGCAATGAACTCCGCATGCCTCTCGAGGTGTCAGCGGGATGTGAGGCATTCCGTCAAAATGAGGCAGGGACCTAGGGCTTTCTCTAAGGTCTCCACAGGGGATTCAGACATCCCTTCATGTTGTGAGATGAAAGACGAGCCTGTATTCAAGCCACTGCAAGGAAATCCGGCCTCCTTTCAAGTTAGGGCTTCTCGCTGTATATTCCCCTTGAGGCAGCAAACTCGGGGTCCCTCCCACATACCTATTGCTGAGAGAAGCCTCCTCCTGAGGTGCTTCTGGGAAGTTGGCATACGTCTTGAGCCTAAGCCAGGGAATCAGCTCGCATCTCGAGACGATTTGGGGTACACGGAGCATTCCTCGAGTTGCTGTGCTGAAGTTGGTGTTCCTCTAGACTTGGGACAGTGTTCTCGGGGCATCTCTGGAGTTGCCTGAAGGAAGTCGAGCCACCGGTCGTGTTGAATGGGGAACGGGGAATGGCTCTGGAGTCAATGCAGGGGAATCGGGCCTCATCTCGAGTTGATTTGGGGCACATGGAGCTGCTTTGCGTTGCTGGGGTGACCTCAGGGTCCGTCTAGACTGGTGACAGTGTTCTTGGGGACTGTCTCGAGATCCATTAAGCAAGTCGAAGCTCCTGACTTGTTTGAATGGGATCACGGAATAGCTCTGCATGCACTGCAGGGGAATGGGGCCTCATCTCGCCTCTAGGGGGAAGTCTCATGGTTTTTCTCGAGTTGCGGCGGGGACCTGGGGTATGTTCTCGACTTACGGCGGGGATGGCCCTTCCAAACACGAGTTTCTTCAGTGACGTCAGGACTCCTGTCTAGTAACGAGGGACACCTCAGGAATCTCTTCGAGGCTTGGCAGGGCAAAAGGGACGCTTCTCGAGGTGAGGCAGGGCACCCAAGGACCCTTTCCAGTAGCCACAGGGATTTTGGGATTCCTATCAGTATTCAAGAGGAGTCAGGCATCGTCACCTTTTGAAGCAATGAACTCCGTGTGCCTCTCGAGGTGTCAGCGCGAAGTGAGGCATTCCGTCAAAATGAGGCAGGGACCTAGGGCTTTCTCTAAGGTCTCCACAGGGGATTCAGACATCCCTTCATGTTGTGAGATGAAAGACGAGCCTGTATTCAAGCCACTGCAAGGAAATCCGGCCTCCTTTCAAGTTAGGGCTTCTCGCTGTATATTCCCCTTGAGGCAGCAAACTCGGGGTCCCTCCCACATACCTATTGCTGAGAGAAGCCTCCTCCTGAGGTGCTTCTGGGAAGTTGGCATACGTCTTGAGCCTAAGCCAGGGAATCAGCTCGCATCTCGAGACGATTTGGGGTACACGGAGCATTCCTCGAGTTGCTGTGCTGAAGTTGGTGTTCCTCTAGACTTGGGACAGTGTTCTCGGGGCATCTCTGGAGTTGCCTGAAGGAAGTCGAGCCACCGGTCGTGTTGAATGGGGAACGGGGAATGGCTCTGGAGTCAATGCAGGGGAATCGGGCCTCATCTCGAGTTGATTTGGGGCACATGGAGCTGCTTTGCGTTGCTGGGGTGACCTCAGGGTCCGTCTAGACTGGTGACAGTGTTCTTGGGGACTGTCTCGAGATCCATTAAGCAAGTCGAAGCTCCTGACTTGTTTGAATGGGATCACGGAATAGCTCTGCATGCACTGCAGGGGAATGGGGCCTCATCTCGCCTCTAGGGGGAAGTCTCATGGTTTTTCTCGAGTTGCGGCGGGGACCTGGGGTATGTTCTCGACTTACGGCGGGGATGGCCCTTCAAAACACGAGTTTCTTCAGTGACGTCAGGACTCCTGTCTAGTAACGAGGGACACCTCAGGAATCTCTTCGAGGCTTGGCAGGGCAAAAGGGACGCTTCTCGAGGTGAGGCAGGGCACCCAAGGACCCTTTCCAGTAGCCACAGGGATTTTGGGATTCCTATCAGTATTCAAGAGGAGTCAGGCATCGTCACCTTTTGAAGCAATGAACTCCGCATGCCTCTCGAGGTGTCAGCGGGATGTGAGGCATTCCGTCAAAATGAGGCAGGGACCTAGGGCTTTCTCTAAGCTCTCCACAGGGGATTCAGACATCCCTTCATGTTGTGAGATGAAAGACGAGCCTGTATTCAAGCCACTGCAAGGAAATCCGGCCTCCTTTCAAGTTAGGGCTTCTCGCTGTATATTCCCCTTGAGGCAGCAAACTCGGGGTCCCTCCCACATACCTATTGCTGAGAGAAGCCTCCTCCTGAGGTGCTTCTGGGAAGTTGGCATACGTCTTGAGCCTAAGCCAGGGAATCAGCTCGCATCTCGAGACGATTTGGGGTACACGGAGCATTCCTCGAGTTGCTGTGCTGAAGTTGGTGTTCCTCTAGACTTGGGACAGTGTTCTCGGGGCATCTCTGGAGTTGCCTGAAGGAAGTCGAGCCACCGGTCGTGTTGAATGGGGAACGGGGAATGGCTCTGGAGTCAATGCAGGGGAATCGGGCCTCATCTCGAGTTGATTTGGGGCACATGGAGCTGCTTTGCGTTGCTGGGGTGACCTCAGGGTCCGTCTAGACTGGTGACAGTGTTCTTGGGGACTGTCTCGAGATCCATTAAGCAAGTCGAAGCTCCTGACTTGTTTGAATGGGATCACGGAATAGCTCTGCATGCACTGCAGGGGAATGGGGCCTCATCTCGCCTCTAGGGGGAAGTCTCATGGTTTTTCTCGAGTTGCGGCGGGGACCTGGGGTATGTTCTCGACTTACGGCGGGGATGGCCCTTCCAAACACGAGTTTCTTCAGTGACGTCAGGACTCCTGTCTAGTAACGAGGGACACCTCAGGAATCTCTTCGAGGCTTGGCAGGGCAAAAGGGACGCTTCTCGAGGTGAGGCAGGGCACCCAAGGACCCTTTCCAGTAGCCACAGGGATTTTGGGATTCCTATCAGTATTCAAGAGGAGTCAGGCATCGTCACCTTTTGAAGCAATGAACTCCGTGTGCCTCTCGAGGTGTCAGCGGGATGTGAGGCATTCCGTCAAAATGAGGCAGGGAGCTAGGGCTTTCTCTAAGGTCTCCACAGGGGATTCAGACATCCCTTCATGTTGTGAGATGAAAGACGAGCCTGTATTCAAGCCACTGCAAGGAAATCTGGCCTCCTTTCAAGTTAGGGCTTCTCACTGTATATTACCCTTGAGGCAGCAAACTCGGGGTCCCTCCCACATACCTATTGCTGAGAGAAGCCTCCTCCTGAGGTGCTTCTGGGAAGTTGGCATACGTCTTGAGCCTAAGCCAGGGAATCAGCTCGCATCTCGAGACGATTTGGGGTACACGGAGCATTCCTCGAGTTGCTGTGCTGAAGTTGGTGTTCCTCTAGACTTGGGACAGTGTTCTCGGGGCATCTCTGGAGTTGCCTGAAGGAAGTCGAGCCACCGGTCGTGTTGAATGGGGAACGGGGAATGGCTCTGGAGTCAATGCAGGGGAATCGGGCCTCATCTCGAGTTGATTTGGGGCACATGGAGCTGCTTTGCGTTGCTGGGGTGACCTCAGGGTCCGTCTAGACTGGTGACAGTGTTCTTGGGGACTGTCTCGAGATCCATTAAGCAAGTCGAAGCTCCTGACTTGTTTGAATGGGATCACGGAATAGCTCTGCATGCACTGCAGGGGAATGGGGCCTCATCTCGCCTCTAGGGGGAAGTCTCATGGTTTTTCTCGAGTTGCGGCGGGGACCTGGGGTATGTTCTCGACTTACGGCGGGGATGGCCCTTCAAAACACGAGTTTCTTCAGTGACGTCAGGACTCCTGTCTAGTAACGAGGGACACCTCAGGAATCTCTTCGAGGCTTGGCAGGGCAAAAGGGACGCTTCTCGAGGTGAGGCAGGGCACCCAAGGACCCTTTCCAGTAGCCACAGGGATTTTGGGATTCCTATCAGTATTCAAGAGGAGTCAGGCATCGTCACCTTTTGAAGCAATGAACTCCGTGTGCCTCTCGAGGTGTCAGCGGGATGTGAGGCATTCCGTCAAAATGAGGCAGGGAGCTAGGGCTTTCTCTAAGGTCTCCACAGGGGATTCAGACATCCCTTCATGTTGTGAGATGAAAGACGAGCCTGTATTCAAGCCACTGCAAGGAAATCTGGCCTCCTTTCAAGTTAGGGCTTCTCACTGTATATTACCCTTGAGGCAGCAAACTCGGGGTCCCTCCCACATACCTATTGCTGAGAGAAGCCTCCTCCTGAGGTGCTTCTGGGAAGTTGGCATACGTCTTGAGCCTAAGCCAGGGAATCAGCTCGCATCTCGAGACGATTTGGGGTACACGGAGCATTCCTCGAGTTGCTGTGCTGAAGTTGGTGTTCCTCTAGACTTGGGACAGTGTTCTCGGGGCATCTCTGGAGTTGCCTGAAGGAAGTCGAGCCACCGGTCGTGTTGAATGGGGAACGGGGAATGGCTCTGGAGTCAATGCAGGGGAATCGGGCCTCATCTCGAGTTGATTTGGGGCACATGGAGCTGCTTTGCGTTGCTGGGGTGACCTCAGGGTCCGTCTAGACTGGTGACAGTGTTCTTGGGGACTGTCTCGAGATCCATTAAGCAAGTCGAAGCTCCTGACTTGTTTGAATGGGATCACGGAATAGCTCTGCATGCACTGCAGGGGAATGGGGCCTCATCTCGCCTCTAGGGGGAAGTCTCATGGTTTTTCTCGAGTTGCTGCGGGGACCTGGGGTATGTTCACGACTTACGGCGGGGATGGCCCTTCAAAACACGAGTTTCTTCAGTGACGTCAGGACTCCTGTCTAGTAACGAGGGACACCTCAGGAATCTCTTCGAGGCTTGGCAGGGCAAAAGGGACGCTTCTTGAGGTGAGGCAGGGCACCCAAGGACCCTTTCCAGTAGCCACAGGGATTTTGGGATTCCTATCAGTATTCAAGAGGAGTCAGGCATCGTCACCTTTTGAAGCAATGAACTCCGCGTGCCTCTCGAGGTGTCAGCGCGATGTGAGGCATTCCGTCAAAATGAGGCAGGGACCTAGGGCTTTCTCTAAGGTCTCCACAGGGGATTCAGACATCCCTTCATGTTGTGAGATGAAAGACGAGCCTGTATTCAAGACACTGCAAGGAAATCCGGCCTCCTTTCAAGTTAGGGCTTCTCGCTGTATATTCCCCTTGAGGCAGCAAACTCGGGGTCCCTCCCACATACCTATTGCTGAGAGAAGCCTCCTCCTGAGGTGCTTCTGGGAAGTTGGCATACGTCTTGAGCCTAAGCCAGGGAATCAGCTCGCATCTCGAGACGATTTGGGGTACACGGAGCATTCCTCGAGTTGCTGTGCTGAAGTTGGTGTTCCTCTAGACTTGGGACAGTGTTCTCGGGGCATCTCTGGAGTTGCCTGAAGGAAGTCGAGCCACCGGTCGTGTTGAATGGGGAACGGGGAATGGCTCTGGAGTCAATGCAGGGGAATCGGGCCTCATCTCGAGTTGATTTGGGGCACATGGAGCTGCTTTGCGTTGCTGGGGTGACCTCAGGGTCCGTCTAGACTGGTGACAGTGTTCTTGGGGACTGTCTCGAGATCCATTAAGCAAGTCGAAGCTCCTGACTTGTTTGAATGGGATCACGGAATAGCTCTGCATGCACTGCAGGGGAATGGGGCCTCATCTCGCCTCTAGGGGGAAGTCTCATGGTTTTTCTCGAGTTGCGGCGGGGACCTGGGGTATGTTCTCGACTTACGGCGGGGATGGCCCTTCAAAACACGAGTTTCTTCAGTGACGTCAGGACTCCTGTCTAGTAACGAGGGACACCTCAGGAATCTCTTCGAGGCTTGGCAGGGCAAAAGGGACGCTTCTCGAGGTGAGGCAGGGCACCCAAGGACCCTTTCCAGTAGCCACAGGGATTTTGGGATTCCTATCAGTATTCAAGAGGAGTCAGGCATCGTCACCTTTTGAAGCAATGAACTCCGCATGCCTCTCGAGGTGTCAGCGGGATGTGAGGCATTCCGTCAAAATGAGGCAGGGACCTAGGGCTTTCTCTAAGGTCTCCACAGGGGATTCAGACATCCCTTCATGTTGTGAGATGAAAGACGAGCCTGTATTCAAGCCACTGCAAGGAAATCCGGCCTCCTTTCAAGTTAGGGCTTCTCGCTGTATATTCCCCTTGAGGCAGCAAACTCGGGGTCCCTCCCACATACCTATTGCTGAGAGAAGCCTCCTCCTGAGGTGCTTCTGGGAAGTTGGCATACGTCTTGAGCCTAAGCCAGGGAATCAGCTCGCATCTCGAGACGATTTGGGGTACACGGAGCATTCCTCGAGTTGCTGTGCTGAAGTTGGTGTTCCTCTAGACTTGGGACAGTGTTCTCGGGGCATCTCTGGAGTTGCCTGAAGGAAGTCGAGCCACCGGTCGTGTTGAATGGGGAACGGGGAATGGCTCTGGAGTCAATGCAGGGGAATCGGGCCTCATCTCGAGTTGATTTGGGGCACATGGAGCTGCTTTGCGTTGCTGGGGTGACCTCAGGGTCCGTCTAGACTGGTGACAGTGTTCTTGGGGACTGTCTCGAGATCCATTAAGCAAGTCGAAGCTCCTGACTTGTTTGAATGGGATCACGGAATAGCTCTGCATGCACTGCAGGGGAATGGGGCCTCATCTCGCCTCTAGGGGGAAGTCTCATGGTTTTTCTCGAGTTGCTGCGGGGACCTGGGGTATGTTCACGACTTACGGCGGGGATGGCCCTTCAAAACACGAGTTTCTTCAGTGACGTCAGGACTCCTGTCTAGTAACGAGGGACACCTCAGGAATCTCTTCGAGGCTTGGCAGGGCAAAAGGGACGCTTCTTGAGGTGAGGCAGGGCACCCAAGGACCCTTTCCAGTAGCCACAGGGATTTTGGGATTCCTATCAGTATTCAAGAGGAGTCAGGCATCGTCACCTTTTGAAGCAATGAACTCCGCGTGCCTCTCGAGGTGTCAGCGCGATGTGAGGCATTCCGTCAAAATGAGGCAGGGACCTAGGGCTTTCTCTAAGGTCTCCACAGGGGATTCAGACATCCCTTCATGTTGTGAGATGAAAGACGAGCCTGTATTCAAGCCACTGCAAGGAAATCCGGCCTCCTTTCAAGTTAGGGCTTCTCGCTGTATATTCCCCTTGAGGCAGCAAACTCGGGGTCCCTCCCACATACCTATTGCTGAGAGAAGCCTCCTCCTGAGGTGCTTCTGGGAAGTTGGCATACGTCTTGAGCCTAAGCCAGGGAATCAGCTCGCATCTCGAGACGATTTGGGGTACACGGAGCATTCCTCGAGTTGCTGTGCTGAAGTTGGTGTTCCTCTAGACTTGGGACAGTGTTCTCGGGGCATCTCTGGAGTTGCCTGAAGGAAGTCGAGCCACCGGTCGTGTTGAATGGGGAACGGGGAATGGCTCTGGAGTCAATGCAGGGGAATCGGGCCTCATCTCGAGTTGATTTGGGGCACATGGAGCTGCTTTGCGTTGCTGGGGTGACCTCAGGGTCCGTCTAGACTGGTGACAGTGTTCTTGGGGACTGTCTCGAGATCCATTAAGCAAGTCGAAGCTCCTGACTTGTTTGAATGGGATCACGGAATAGCTCTGCATGCACTGCAGGGGAATGGGGCCTCATCTCGCCTCTAGGGGGAAGTCTCATGGTTTTTCTCGAGTTGCGGCGGGGACCTGGGGTATGTTCTCGACTTACGGCGGGGATGGCCCTTCAAAACACGAGTTTCTTCAGTGACGTCAGGACTCCTGTCTAGTAACGAGGGACACCTCAGGAATCTCTTCGAGGCTTGGCAGGGCAAAAGGGACGCTTCTCGAGGTGAGGCAGGGCACCCAAGGACCCTTTCCAGTAGCCACAGGGATTTTGGGATTCCTATCAGTATTCAAGAGGAGTCAGGCATCGTCACCTTTTGAAGCAATGAACTCCGCATGCCTCTCGAGGTGTCAGCGGGATGTGAGGCATTCCGTCAAAATGAGGCAGGGACCTAGGGCTTTCTCTAAGCTCTCCACAGGGGATTCAGACATCCCTTCATGTTGTGAGATGAAAGACGAGCCGGTATTCAAGCCACTGCAAGGAAATCCGGCCTCCTTTCAAGTTAGGGCTTCTCGCTGTATATTCCCCTTGAGGCAGCAAACTCGGGGTCCCTCCCACATACCTATTGCTGAGAGAAGCCTCCTCCTGAGGTGCTTCTGGGAAGTTGGCATACGTCTTGAGCCTAAGCCAGGGAATCAGCTCGCATCTCGAGACGATTTGGGGTACACGGAGCATTCCTCGAGTTGCTGTGCTGAAGTTGGTGTTCCTCTAGACTTGGGACAGTGTTCTCGGGGCATCTCTGGAGTTGCCTGAAGGAAGTCGAGCCACCGGTCGTGTTGAATGGGGAACGGGGAATGGCTCTGGAGTCAATGCAGGGGAATCGGGCCTCATCTCGAGTTGATTTGGGGCACATGGAGCTGCTTTGCGTTGCTGGGGTGACCTCAGGGTCCGTCTAGACTGGTGACAGTGTTCTTGGGGACTGTCTCGAGATCCATTAAGCAAGTCGAAGCTCCTGACTTGTTTGAATGGGATCACGGAATAGCTCTGCATGCACTGCAGGGGAATGGGGCCTCATCTCGCCTCTAGGGGGAAGTCTCATGGTTTTTCTCGAGTTGCGGCGGGGACCTGGGGTATGTTCTCGACTTACGGCGGGGATGGCCCTTCCAAACACGAGTTTCTTCAGTGACGTCAGGACTCCTGTCTAGTAACGAGGGACACCTCAGGAATCTCTTCGAGGCTTGGCAGGGCAAAAGGGACGCTTCTCGAGGTGAGGCAGGGCACCCAAGGACCCTTTCCAGTAGCCACAGGGATTTTGGGATTCCTATCAGTATTCAAGAGGAGTCAGGCATCGTCACCTTTTGAAGCAATGAACTCCGTGTGCCTCTCGAGGTGTCAGCGCGATGTGAGGCATTCCGTCAAAATGAGGCAGGGACCTAGGGCTTTCTCTAAGGTCTCCACAGGGGATTCAGACATCCCTTCATGTTGTGAGATGAAAGACGAGCCTGTATTCAAGCCACTGCAAGGAAATCCGGCCTCCTTTCAAGTTAGGGCTTCTCGCTGTATATTCCCCTTGAGGCAGCAAACTCGGGGTCCCTCCCACATACCTATTGCTGAGAGAAGCCTCCTCCTGAGGTGCTTCTGGGAAGTTGGCATACGTCTTGAGCCTAAGCCAGGGAATCAGCTCGCATCTCGAGACGATTTGGGGTACACGGAGCATTCCTCGAGTTGCTGTGCTGAAGTTGGTGTTCCTCTAGACTTGGGACACTGTTCTCGGGGCATCTCTGGAGTTGCCTGAAGGAAGTCGAGCCACCGGTCGTGTTGAATGGGGAACGGGGAATGGCTCTGGAGTCAATGCAGGGGAATCGGGCCTCATCTCGAGTTGATTTGGGGCACATGGAGCTGCTTTGCGTTGCTGGGGTGACCTCAGGGTCCGTCTAGACTGGTGACAGTGTTCTTGGGGACTGTCTCGAGATCCATTAAGCAAGTCGAAGCTCCTGACTTGTTTGAATGGGATCACGGAATAGCTCTGCATGCACTGCAGGGGAATGGGGCCTCATCTCGCCTCTAGGGGGAAGTCTCATGGTTTTTCTCGAGTTGCGGCGGGGACCTGGGGTATGTTCTCGACTTACGGCGGGGATGGCCCTTCCAAACACGAGTTTCTTCAGTGACGTCAGGACTCCTGTCTAGTAACGAGGGACACCTCAGGAATCTCTTCGAGGCTTGGCAGGGCAAAAGGGACGCTTCTCGAGGTGAGGCAGGGCACCCAAGGACCCTTTCCAGTAGCCACAGGGATTTTGGGATTCCTATCAGTATTCAAGAGGAGTCAGGCATCGTCACCTTTTGAAGCAATGAACTCCGTGTGCCTCTCGAGGTGTCAGCGCGATGTGAGGCATTCCGTCAAAATGAGGCAGGGACCTAGGGCTTTCTCTAAGGTCTCCACAGGGGATTCAGACATCCCTTCATGTTGTGAGATGAAAGACGAGCCTGTATTCAAGCCACTGCAAGGAAATCCGGCCTCGTTTCAAGTTAGGGCTTCTCGCTGTACATTCCCCTTGAGGCAGCAAACTCGGGGTCCCTCCCACATACCTATTGCTGAGAGAAGCCTCCTCCTGAGGTGCTTCTGGGAAGTTGGCATACGTCTTGAGCCTAAGCCAGAGAATCAGCTCGCATCTCGAGACGATTTGGGGTACACGGAGCATTCCTCGATTTGCTGTGCTGAAGTTGGTGTTCCTCTAGACTTGGGACAGTGTTCTCGGGGCATCTCTGGAGTTGCCTGAAGGAAGTCGAGCCACCGGTCGTGTTGAATGGGGAACGGGGAATGGCTCTGGAGTCAATGCAGGGGAATCGGGCCTCATCTCGAGTTGATTTGGGGCACATGGAGCTGCTTTGCATTGCTGGGGTGACCTCAGGGTCCGTCTAGACTGGTGACAGTGTTCTTGGGGACTGTCTCGAGATCCATTAAGCAAGTCGAAGCTCCTGACTTGTTTGAATGGGATCACGGAATAGCTCTGCATGCACTGCAGGGGAATGGGGCCTCATCTCGCCTCTAGGGGGAAGTCTCATGGTTTTTCTCGAGTTGCGGCGGGGACCTGGGGTATGTTCTCGACTTACGGCGGGGATGGCCCTTCAAAACACGAGTTTCTTCAGTGACGTCAGGACTCCTGTCTAGTAACGAGGGACACCTCAGGAATCTCTTCGAGGCTTGGCAGGGCAAAAGGGACGCTTCTCGAGGTGAGGCAGGGCACCCAAGGACCCTTTCCAGTAGCCACAGGGATTTTGGGATTCCTATCAGTATTCAAGAGGAGTCAGGCAGCGTCACCTTTTGAAGCAATGAACTCCGCGTGCCTCTCGAGGTGTCAGCGCGATGTGAGGCATTCCGTCAAAATGAGGCAGGGACCTAGGTCTTTCTCTAAGGTCTCCACAGGGGATTCAGACATCCCTTCATGTTGTGAGATGAAAGACGAGCCTGTATTCAAGCCACTGCAAGGAAATCCGGCCTCCTTTCAAGTTAGGGCTTCTCGCTGTATATTCCCCTTGAGGCAGCAAACTCGGGGTCCCTCCCACATACCTATTGCTGAGAGAAGCCTCCTCCTGAGGTGCTTCTGGGAAGTTGGCATACGTCTTGAGCCTAAGCCAGGGAATCAGCTCGCATCTCGAGACGATTTGGGGTACACGGAGCATTCCTCGAGTTGCTGTGCTGAAGTTGGTGTTCCTCTAGACTTGGGACAGTGTTCTCGGGGCATCTCTGGAGTTGCCTGAAGGAAGTCGAGCCACCGGTCGTGTTGAATGGGGAACGGGGAATGGCTCTGGAGTCAATGCAGGGGAATCGGGCCTCATCTCGAGTTGATTTGGGGCACATGGAGCTGCTTTGCGTTGCTGGGGTGACCTCAGGGTCCGTCTAGACTGGTGACAGTGTTCTTGGGGACTGTCTCGAGATCCATTAAGCAAGTCGAAGCTCCTGACTTGTTTGAATGGGATCACGGAATAGCTCTGCATGCACTGCAGGGGAATGGGGCCTCATCTCGCCTCTAGGGGGAAGTCTCATGGTTTTTCTCGAGTTGCGGCGGGGACCTGGGGTATGTTCTCGACTTACGGCGGGGATGGCCCTTCAAAACACGAGTTTCTTCAGTGACGTCAGGACTCCTGTCTAGTAACGAGGGACACCTCAGGAACCTCTTCGAGGCTTGGCAGGGCAAAAGGGACGCTTCTCGAGGTGAGGCAGGGCACCCAAGGACCCTTTCCAGTAGCCACAGGGATTTTGGGATTCCTATCAGTATTCAAGAGGAGTCAGGCATCGTCACCTTTTGAAGCAATGAACTCCGCATGCCTCTCGAGGTGTCAGCGGGATGTGAGGCATTCCGTCAAAATGAGGCAGGGACCTAGGGCTTTCTCTAAGCTCTCCACAGGGGATTCAGACATCCCTTCATGTTGTGAGATGAAAGACGAGCCTGTATTCAAGCCACTGCAAGGAAATCCGGCCTCCTTTCAAGTTAGGGCTTCTCGCTGTATATTCCCCTTGAGGCAGCAAACTCGGGGTCCCTCCCACATACCTATTGCTGAGAGAAGCCTCCTCCTGAGGTGCTTCTGGGAAGTTGGCATACGTCTTGAGCCTAAGCCAGGGAATCAGCTCGCATCTCGAGACGATTTGGGGTACACGGAGCATTCCTCGAGTTGCTGTGCTGAAGTTGGTGTTCCTCTAGACTTGGGACAGTGTTCTCGGGGCATCTCTGGAGTTGCCTGAAGGAAGTCGAGCCACCGGTCGTGTTGAATGGGGAACGGGGAATGGCTCTGGAGTCAGTGCAGGGGAATCGGGCCTCATCTCGAGTTGATTTGGGGCACATGGAGCTGCTTTGCGTTGCTGGGGTGACCTCAGGGTCCGTCTAGACTGGTGACAGTGTTCTTGGGGACTGTCTCGAGATCCATTAAGCAAGTCGAAGCTCCTGACTTGTTTGAATGGGATCACGGAATAGCTCTGCATGCACTGCAGGGGAATGGGGCCTCATCTCGCCTCTAGGGGGAAGTCTCATGGTTTTTCTCGAGTTGCGGCGGGGACCTGGGGTATGTTCTCGACTTACGGCGGGGATGGCCCTTCAAAACACGAGTTTCTTCAGTGACGTCAGGACTCCTGTCTAGTAACGAGGGACACCTCAGGAATCTCTTCGAGGCTTGGCAGGGCAAAAGGGACGCTTCTCGAGGTGAGGAAGGGCACCCAAGGACCCTTTCCAGTAGCCACAGGGATTTTGGGATTCCTATCAGTATTCAAGAGGAGTCAGGCATCGTCACCTTTTGAAGCAATGAACTCCGCGTGCCTCTCGAGGTGTCAGCGCGATGTGAGGCATTCCGTCAAAATGAGGCAGGGACCTAGGGCTTTCTCTAAGGTCTCCACAGGGGATTCAGACATCCCTTCATGTTGTGAGATGAAAGACGAGCCTGTATTCAAGCCACTGCAAGGAAATCCGGCCTCCTTTCAAGTTAGGGCTTCTCGCTGTATATTCCCCTTGAGGCAGCAAACTCGGGGTCCCTCCCACATACCTATTGCTGAGAGAAGCCTCCTCCTGAGGTGCTTCTGGGAAGTTGGAATACGTCTTGAGCCTAAGCCAGGGAATCAGCTCGCATCTCGAGACGATTTGGGGTACACGGAGCATTCCTCGAGTTGCTGTGCTGAAGTTGGTGTTCCTCTAGACTTGGGACAGTGTTCTCGGGGCATCTCTGGAGTTGCCTGAAGGAAGTCGAGCCACCGGTCGTGTTGAATGGGGAACGGGGAATGGCTCTGGAGTCAATGCAGGGGAATCAGGCCTCATCTCGAGTTGATTTGGGGCACATGGAGCTGCTTTGCGTTGCTGGGGTGACCTCAGGGTCCGTCTAGACTGGTGACAGTGTTCTTGCGGACTGTCTCGAGATCCATTAAGCAAGTCGAAGCTCCTGACTTGTTTGAATGGGATCACGGAATAGCTCTGCATGCACTGCAGGGGAATGGGGCCTCATCTCGCCTCTAGGGGGAAGTCTCATGGTTTTTCTCGAGTTGCGGCGGGGACCTGGGGTATGTTCTCGACTTACGGCGGGGATGGCCCTTCAAAACACGAGTTTCTTCAGTGACGTCAGGACTCCTGTCTAGTAACGAGGGACACCTCAGGAATCTCTTCGAGGCTTGGCAGGGCAAAAGGGACGCTTCTCGAGGTGAGGCAGGGCACCCAAGGACCCTTTCCAGTAGCCACAGGGATTTTGGGATTCCTATCAGTATTCAAGAGGAGTCAGGCATCGTCACCTTTTGAAGCAATGAACTCCGTGTGCCTCTCGAGGTGTCAGCTGGATGTGAGGCATTCCGTCAAAATGAGGCAGGGAGCTAGGGCTTTCTCTAAGGTCTCCACAGGGGATTCAGACATCCCTTCATGTTGTGAGATGAAAGACGAGCCTGTATTCAAGCCACTGCAAGGAAATCTGGCCTCCTTTCAAGTTAGGGCTTCTCACTGTATATTACCCTTGAGGCAGCAAACTCGGGGTCCCTCCCACATACCTATTGCTGAGAGAAGCCTCCTCCTGAGGTGCTTCTGGGAAGTTGGCATACGTCTTGAGCCTAAGCCAGGGAATCAGCTCGCATCTCGAGACGATTTGGGGTACACGGAGCATTCCTCGAGTTGCTGTGCTGAAGTTGGTGTTCCTCTAGACTTGGGACAGTGTTCTCGGGGCATCTCTGGAGTTGCCTGAAGGAAGTCGAGCCACCGGTCGTGTTGAATGGGGAACGGGGAATGGCTCTGGAGTCAATGCAGGGGAATCGGGCCTCATCTCGAGTTGCTTTGGGGCACATGGAGCTGCTTTGCTTTGCTGGGGTGACCTCAGGGTCCGTCTAGACTGGTGACAGTGTTCTTGGGGACTGTCTCGAGATCCATTAAGCAAGTCGAAGCTCCTGACTTGTTTGAATGGGATCACGGAATAGCTCTGCATGCACTGCAGGGGAATGGGGCCTCATCTCGCCTCTAGGGGGAAGTCTCATGGTTTTTCTCGAGTTGCTGCGGGGACCTGGGGTATGTTCACGACTTACGGCGGGGATGGCCCTTCAAAACACGAGTTTCTTCAGTGACGTCAGGACTCCTGTCTAGTAACGAGGGACACCTCAGGAATCTCTTCGAGGCTTGGCAGGGCAAAAGGGACGCTTCTCGAGGTGAGGCAGGGCACCCAAGGACCCTTTCCAGTAGCCACAGGGATTTTGGGATTCCTATCAGTATTCAAGAGGAGTCAGGCATCGTCACCTTTTGAAGCAATGAACTCCGTGTGCCTCTCGAGGTGTCAGCGCGATGTGAGGCATTCCGTCAAAATGAGGCAGGGACCTAGGGCTTTCTCTAAGGTCTCCACAGGGGATTCAGACATCCCTTCATGTTGTGAGATGAAAGACGAGCCTGTATTCAAGCCACTGCAAGGAAATCCGGCCTCGTTTCAAGTTAGGGCTTCTCGCTGTACATTCCCCTTGAGGCAGCAAACTCGGGGTCCCTCCCACATACCTATTGCTGAGAGAAGCCTCCTCCTGAGGTGCTTCTGGGAAGTTGGCATACGTCTTGAGCCTAAGCCAGAGAATCAGCTCGCATCTCGAGACGATTTGGGGTACACGGAGCATTACTCGATTTGCTGTGCTGAAGTTGGTGTTCCTCTAGACTTGGGACAGTGTTCTCGGGGCATCTCTGGAGTTGCCTGAAGGAAGTCGAGCCACCGGTCGTGTTGAATGGGGAACGGGGAATGGCTCTGGAGTCAATGCAGGGGAATCGGGCCTCATCTCGAGTTGATTTGGGGCACATGGAGCTGCTTTGCGTTGCTGGGGTGACCTCAGGGTCCGTCTAGACTGGTGACAGTGTTCTTGGGGACTGTCTCGAGATCCATTAAGCAAGTCGAAGCTCCTGACTTGTTTGAATGGGATCACGGAATAGCTCTGCATGCACTGCAGGGGAATGGGGCCTCATCTCGCCTCTAGGGGGAAGTCTCATGGTTTTTCTCGAGTTGCGGCGGGGACCTGGGGTATGTTCTCGACTTACGGCGGGGATGGCCCTTCAAAACACGAGTTTCTTCAGTGACGTCAGGACTCCTGTCTAGTAACGAGGGACACCTCAGGAATCTCTTCGAGGCTTGGCAGGGCAAAAGGGACGCTTCTCGAGGTGAGGCAGGGCACCCAAGGACCCTTTCCAGTAGCCACAGGGATTTTGGGATTCCTATCAGTATTCAAGAGGAGTCAGGCATCGTCACCTTTTGAAGCAATGAACTCCGCGTGCCTCTCGAGGTGTCAGCGGGATGTGAGGCATTCCATCAAAATGAGGCAGGGACCTAGGGCTTTCTCTAAGGTCTCCACAGGGGATTCAGACATCCCTTCATGTTGTGAGATGAAAGACGAGCCTGTATTCAAGCCACTGCAAGGAAATCCGGCCTCCTTTCAAGTTAGGGCTTCTCGCTGTATATTCCCTTTGAGGCAGCAAACTCGGGGTCCCTTCCACATACCTATTGCTGAGAGAAGCCTCCTCCTGAGGTGCTTCTGGGAAGTTGGCATACGTCTTGAGCCTAAGCCAGGGAATCAGCTCGCATCTCGAGACGATTTGGGGTACACGGAGCATTCCTCGAGTTGCTGTGCTGAAGTTGGTGTTCCTCTAGACTTGGGATAGTGTTCTCGGGGCATCTCTGGAGTTGCCTGAAGGAAGTCGAGCCACCGGTCGTGTTGAATGGGGAACGGGGAATGGCTCTGGAGTCAATGCAGGGGAATCGGGCCTCATCTCGAGTTGATTTGGGGCACATGGAGCTGCTTTGCGTTGCTGGGGTGACCTCAGGGTCCGTCTAGACTGGTGACAGTGTTCTTGGGGACTGTCTCGAGATCCATTAAGCAAGTCGAAGCTCCTGACTTGTTTGAATGGGATCACGGAATAGCTCTGCATGCACTGCAGGGGAATGGGGCCTCATCTCGCCTCTAGGGGGAAGTCTCATGGTTTTTCTCGAGTTGCGGCGGGGACCTGGGGTATGTTCTCGACTTACGGCGGGGATGGCCCTTCCAAACACGAGTTTCTTCAGTGACGTCAGGACTCCTGTCTAGTAACGAGGGACACCTCAGGAATCTCTTCGAGGCTTGGCAGGGCAAAAGGGACGCTTCTCGAGGTGAGGCAGGGCACCCAAGGACCCTTTCCAGTAGCCACAGGGATTTTGGGATTCCTATCAGTATTCAAGAGGAGTCAGGCATCGTCACCTTTTGAAGCAATGAACTCCGTGTGCCTCTCGAGGTGTCAGCGGGATGTGAGGCAATCCGTCAAAATGAGGCAGGGACCTAAGGCTTTCTCTAAGGTCTCCACAGGGGATTCAGACATCCCTTCATGTTGTGAGATGAAAGACGAGCCTGTATTCAAGCCACTGCAAGGAAATCTGGCCTCCTTTCAAGTTAGGGCTTCTCGCTGTATATTACCCTTGAGGCAGCAAAATCGGGGTCCCTCCCACATACCTATTGCTGAGAGAAGCCTCCTCCTAAGGTGCTTCTGGGAAGTTGGCATAGGTCTTGAGCCTAAGCCAGGGAATCAGCTCTCATCTCGAGACGATTTGGGGTACACGGAGCATTCCTCGAGTTGCTGTGCTGAAGTTGGTGTTCCTCTAGACTTGGGACAGTGTTCTCGGGGCATCTCTGGAGTTGACTGAAGGAAGTCGAGCCACCGTTCGTGTTGAATGGGGAACGGGGAATGGCTCTGGAGTCAATGCAGGGGAATCGGGCCTCATCTCGAGTTGATTTGGGGCACATGGAGCTGCTTTGCGTTGCTTGGGTGACCTCAGGGTCCGTCTAGACTGGTGACAGTGTTCTTGGGGACTGTCTCGAGATCCATTAAGCAAGTCGAAGCTCCTGACTTGTTTGAATGGGATCACGGAATAGCTCTGCATGCACTGCAGGGGAATGGGGCCTCATCTCGCCTCTAGGGGGAAGTCTCATGGTTTTTCTCGAGTTGCGGCGGGGACCTGGGGTATGTTCTCGACTTACGGCGGGGATGGCCCTTCAAAACACGAGTTTCTTCAGTGACGTCAGGACTCCTGTCTAGTAACGAGGGACACCTCAGGAATCACTTCGAGGCTTGGCAGGGCAAAAGGGAATCTTCTCGAGGTGAGTCAGGGCACCCAAGGACACTTTCCAATAGCCACAGGTATTTTGGGATTCCTATCAGTATTCAAGAGGAGTCAGGCATCGTCACCTTTTGAAGCAATGATCTCCGCGTGCCTCTCGAGGTGTCAGCGGGATGTGAGGCATTCCGTCAAAATGAGGCAGGGACCTAGGGCTTTCTCTAAGGTCTCCTCAGGGGATTCAGACATTCCTTCATGTTGTGAGATGAAAGACGAGCCTGTATTCAAGCCACTGCAAGGAAATCCGGCCTCCTTTCAAGTTAGGGCTTCTCGCTGTATATTCCCCTTGAGGCAGCAAACTCGGGGTCCCTCCCACATACCTATTGCTGAGAGAAGCCTCCTCCTGAGGTGCTTCTGGGAAGTCGGCATACGTCTTGAGCCTAAGCCAGGGAATCAGCTCGCATCTCGAGACGATTTGGGGTACACGGAGCATTCCTCGAGTTGCTGTGCTGAAGTTGGTGTTCCTCTAGGCTTGGGACAGTGTTCTCGGGGCATCTCTGGAGTTGCCTGAAGGAAGTCGAGCCACCGGTCGTGTTGAATGGGGAACGGGGAATGGCTCTGGAGTCAATGCAGGGGAATCGGGCCTCATCTCGAGTTGATTTGGGGCACATGGAGCTGCTTTGCGTTGCTGGGGTGACCTCAGGGTCCGTCTAGACTGGTGACAGTGTTCTTGGGGACTGTCTCGAGATCCATTAAGCAAGTCGAAGCTCCTGACTTGTTTGAATGGGATCACGGAATAGCTCTGCATGCACTGCAGGGGAATGGGGCCTCATCTCGCCTCTAGGGGGAAGTCTCATGGTTTTTCTCGAGTTGCGGCGGGGACCTGGGGTATGTTCTCGACTTACGGCGGGGATGGCCCTTCAAAACACGAGTTTCTTCAGTGACGTCAGGACTCCTGTCTAGTAACGAGGGACACCTCAGGAATCTCTTCGAGGCTTGGCAGGGCAAAAGGGACGCTTCTCGAGGTGAGGCAGGGCACCCAAGGACCCTTTCCAGTAGCCACAGGGATTTTGGGATTCCTATCAGTATTCATGAGGAGTCAGGCATCGTCACCTTTTGAAGCAATGAACTCCGCGTGCCTCTCGAGGTGTCAGCGGGATGTGAGGCATTCCGTCAAAATGAGGCAGGGACCTAGGGCTTTCTCTAAGGTCTCCACAGGGGATTCAGACATCCCTTCATGTTGTGAGATGAAAGACGAGCCTGTATTCAAGCCACTGCAAGGAAATCCGGCCTCCTTTCAAGTTAGGGCTTCTCGCTGTATATTCCCCTTGATGCAGCAAACTCGGGGTCCCTCCCACATACCTATTGCTGAGAGAAGCCTCCTCCTGAGGTGCTTCTGGGAAGTTGGCATACGTCTTGAGCCTAAGCCAGGGAATCAGCTCGCATCTCGAGACGATTTGGGGTACACGGAGCATTCCTCGAGTTGCTGTGCTGAAGTTGGTGTTCCTCTAGACTTGGGACAGTGTTCTCGGGGCATCTCTGGAGTTGCCTGAAGGAAGTCGAGCCACCGGTCGTGTTGAATGGGGAACGGGGAATGGCTCTGGAGTCAATGCAGGGGAATCGGGCCTCATCTCGAGTTGATTTGGGGCACATGGAGCTGCTTTGCGTTGCTGGGGTGACCTCAGGGTCCGTCTAGACTGGTGACAGTGTTCTTGGGGACTGTCTCGAGATCCATTAAGCAAGTCGAAGCTCCTGACTTGTTTGAATGGGTTCACGGAATAGCTCTGCATGCACTGCAGGGGAATGGGGCCTCATCTCGCCTCTAGGGGGAAGTCTCATGGTTTTTCTCGAGTTGCGGCGGGGACCTGGGGTATGTTCTCGACTTACGGCGGGGATGGCCCTTCAAAACACGAGTTTCTTCAGTGACGTCAGGACTCCTGTCTAGTAACGAGGGACACCTCAGGAATCTCTTCGAGGCTTGGCAGGGCAAAAGGGACGCTTCTCGAGGTGAGGCAGGGCACCCAAGGACCCTTTCCAGTAGCCACAGGGATTTTGGGATTCCTATCAGTATTCAAGAGGAGTCAAGCATCGTCACTTTTTGAAGCAATGAACTCCGTGTGCCTCTCGAGGTGTCAGCGCGATGTGAGGCATTCCGTCAAAATGAGGCAGGGACCTAGGGCTTTCTCTAAGGTCTCCACAGGGGATTCAGACATCCCTTCATGTTGTCAGATGAAAGACGAGCCTGTATTCAAGCCACTGCAAGGAAATCCGGCCTCGTTTCAAGTTAGGGCTTCTCGCTGTACATTCCCCTTGAGGCAGCAAACTCGGGGTCCCTCCCACATACCTATTGCTGAGAGAAGCCTCCTCCTGAGGTGCTTCTGGGAAGTTGGCATACGTCTTGAGCCTAAGCCAGAGAATCAGCTCGCATCTCGAGACGATTTGGGGTACACGGAGCATTCCTCGATTTGCTGTGCTGAAGTTGGTGTTCCTCTAGACTTGGGACAGTGTTCTCGGGGCATCTCTGGAGTTGCCTGAAGGAAGTCGAGCCACCGGTCGTGTTGAATGGGGAACGGGGAATGGCTCTGGAGTCAATGCAGGGGAATCGGGCCTCATCTCGAGTTGATTTGGGGCACATGGAGCTGCTTTGCGTTGCTGGGGTGACCTCAGGGTCCGTCTAGACTGGTGACAGTGTTCTTGGGGACTGTCTCGAGATCCATTAAGCAAGTCGAAGCTCCTGACTTGTTTGAATGGGATCACGGAATAGCTCTGCATGCACTGCAGGGGAATGGGGCCTCATCTCGCCTCTAGGGGGAAGTCTCATGGTTTTTCTCGAGTTGCGCTGGGGACCTGGGGTATGTTCTCGACTTACGGCGGGGATGGCCCTTCAAAACACGAGTTTCTTCAGTGACGTCAGGACTCCTGTCTAGTAACGAGGGACACCTCAGGAATCTCTTCGAGGCTTGGCAGGGCAAAAGGGACCCTTCTCGAGGTGAGGCAGGGCACCCAAGGACCCTTTCCAGTAGCCACAGGGATTTTGGGATTCCTATCAGTATTCAAGAGGAGTCAGGCATCGTCACCTTTTGAAGCAATGAACTCCGCGTGCCTCTCGAGGTGTCAGCGGGATGTGAGGCATTCCGTCAAAATGAGGCAGGGACCTAGGGCTTTCTCTAAGGTCTCCACAGGGGATTCAGACATCCCTTCATGTTGTGAGATGAAAGACGAGCCTGTATTCAAGCCACTGCAAGGAAATCCGGCCTCCTTTCAAGTTAGGGCTTCTCGCTGTATATTCCCCTTGAGGCAGCAAACTCGGGGTCCCTCCCACATACCTATTGCTGAGAGAAGCCTCCTCCTGAGGTGCTTCTGGGAAGTTGGCATACGTCTTGAGCCTAAGCCAGGGAATCAGCTCGCATCTCGAGACGATTTGGGGTACACGGAGCATTCCTCGAGTTGCTGTGCTGAAGTTGGTGTTCCTCTAGACTTGGGACAGTGTTCTCGGGGCATCTCTGGAGTTGCCTGAAGGAAGTCGAGCCACCGGTCGTGTTGAATGGGGAACGGGGAATGGCTCTGGAGTCAATGCAGGGGAATCGGGCCTCATCTCGAGTTGATTTGGGGCACATGGAGCTGCTTTGCGTTGCTGGGGTGACCTCAGGGTCCGTCTAGACTGGTGACAGTGTTCTTGGGGACTGTCTCGAGATCCATTAAGCAAGTCGAAGCTCCTGACTTGTTTGAATGGGATCACGGAATAGCTCTGCATGCACTGCAGGGGAATGGGGCCTCATCTCGCCTCTAGGGGGAAGTCTCATGGTTTTTCTCGAGTTGCGGCGGGGACCTGGGGTATGTTCTCGACTTACGGCGGGGATGGCCCTTCAAAACACGAGTTTCTTCAGTGACGTCAGGACTCCTGTCTAGTAACGAGGGACACCTCAGGAATCTCTTCGAGGCTTGGCAGGGCAAAAGGGACGCTTCTCGAGGTGAGGCAGGGCACCCAAGGACCCTTTCCAGTAGCCACAGGGATTTTGGGATTCCTATCAGTATTCAAGAGGAGTCAGGCATCGTCACCTTTTGAAGCAATGAACTCCGCGTGCCTCTCGAGGTGTCAGCGGGATGTGAGGCATTCCGTCAAAATGAGGCAGGGACCTAGGGCTTTCTCTAAGGTCTCCACAGGGGATTCAGACATCCCTTCATGTTGTGAGATGAAAGACGAGCCTGTATTCAAGCCACTGCAAGGAAATCCGGCCTCCTTTCAAGTTAGGGCTTCTCGCTGTATATTCCCCTTGAGGCAGCAAACTCGGGGTCCCTCCCACATACCTATTGCTGAGAGAAGCCTCCTCCTGAGGTGCTTCTGGGAAGTTGGCATACGTCTTGAGCCTAAGCCAGGGAATCAGCTCGCATCTCGAGACGATTTGGGGTACACGGAGCATTCCTCGAGTTGCTGTGCTGAAGTTGGTGTTCCTCTAGACTTGGGATAGTGTTCTCGGGGCATCTCTGGAGTTGCCTGAAGGAAGTCGAGCCACCGGTCGTGTTGAATGGGGAACGGGGAATGGCTCTGGAGTCAATGCAGGGGAATCGGGCCTCATCTCGAGTTGATTTGGGGCACATGGAGCTGCTTTGCGTTGCTGGGGTGACCTCAGGGTCCGTCTAGACTGGTGACAGTGTTCTTGGGGATTGTCTCGAGATCCATTAAGCAAGTCGAAGCTCCTGACTTGTTTGAATGGGATCACGGAATAGCTCTGCATGCACTGCAGGGGAATGGGGCCTCATCTCGCCTCTAGGGGGAAGTCTCATGGTTTTTCTCGAGTTGCGGCGGGGACCTGGGGTATGTTCTCGACTTACGGCGGGGATGGCCCTTCCAAACACGAGTTTCTTCAGTGACGTCAGGACACCTGTCTAGTAACGAGGGACACCTCAGGAATCTCTTCGAGGCTTGGCAGGGCAAAAGGGACGCTTCTCGAGGTGAGGCAGGGCACCCAAGGACCCTTTCCAGTAGCCACAGGGATTTTGGGATTCCTATCAGTATTCAAGAGGAGTCAGGCATCGTCACCTTTTGAAGCAATGAACTCCGTGTGCCTCTCGAGGTGTCAGCGGGATGTGAGGCAATCCGTCAAAATGAGGCAGGGACCTAAGGCTTTCTCTAAGGTCTCCACAGGGGATTCAGACATCCCTTCATGTTGTGAGATGAAAGACGAGCCTGTATTCAAGCCACTGCAAGGAAATCCGGCCTCCTTTCAAGTTAGGGCTTCTCGCTGTATATTCCCCTTGAGGCAGCAAACTCGGGGTCCCTCCCACATACCTATTGCTGAGAGAAGCCTCCTCCTGAGGTGCTTCTGGGAAGTTGGCATACGTCTTGAGCCTAAGCCAGGGAATCAGCTCGCATCTCGAGACGATTTGGGGTACACGGAGCATTCCTCGAGTTGCTGTGCTGAAGTTGGTGTTCCTCTAGACTTGGGACAGTGTTATCGGGGCATCTCTGGAGTTGCTTGAAGGAAGTCGAGCCACCGGTCGTGTTGAATGGGGAACGGGGAATGGCTCTGGAGTCAATGCAGGGGAATTGGGCCTCATCTCGAGTTGATTTGGGGCACATGGAGCTGCTTTGCGTTGCTGGGGTGACCTCAGGGTCCGTCTAGACTGGTGACAGTGTTCTTGGGGACTGTCTCGAGATCCATTAAGCAAGTCGAAGCTCCTGACTTGTTTGAATGGGTTCACGGAATAGCTCTGCATGCACTGCAGGGGAATGGGGCCTCATCTCGCCTCTAGGGGGAAGTCTCATGGTTTTTCTCGAGTTGCGGCGGGGACCTGGGGTATGTTCTCGACTTACGGCGGGGATGGCCCTTCCAAACACGAGTTTCTTCAGTGACGTCAGGACTCCTGTCTAGTAACGAGGGACACCTCAGGAATCTCTTCGAGGCTTGGCAGGGCAAAAGGGAAGCTTCTTGAGGTGAGGCAGGGCACCCAAGGACCCTTTCCAGTAGCCACAGGGATTTTGGGATTCCTATCAGTATTCAAGAGGAGTCAGGCATCGTCACCTTTTGAAGCAATGAACTCCGCGTGCCTCTCGAGGTGTCAGCGCGATGTGAGGCATTCCGTCAAAATGAGGCAGGGACCTAGGGCTTTCTCTAAGGTCTCCACAGGGGATTCAGACATCCCTTCATGTTGTGAGATGAAAGACGAGCCTGTATTCAAGCCACTGCAAGGAAATCCGGCCTCGTTTCAAGTTAGGGCTTCTCGCTGTACATTCCCCTTGAGGCAGCAAACTCGGGGTCCCTCCCACATACCTATTGCTGAGAGAAGCCTCCTCCTGAGGTGCTTCTGGGAAGTTGGCATACGTCTTGAGCCTAAGCCAGAGAATCAGCTCGCATCTCGAGACGATTTGGGGTACACGGAGCATTCCTCGATTTGCTGTGCTGAAGTTGGTGTTCCTCTAGACTTGGGACAGTGTTCTCGGGGCATCTCTGGAGTTGCCTGAAGGAAGTCGAGCCACCGGTCGTGTTGAATGGGGAACGGGGAATGGCTCTGGAGTCAATGCATGGGAATCGGGCCTCATCTCGAGTTGATTTGGGGCACATGGAGCTGCTTTGCGTTGCTGGGGTGACCTCAGGGTCCGTCTAGACTGGTGACAGTGTTCTTGGGGACTGTCTCGAGATCCATTAAGCAAGTCGAAGCTCCTGACTTGTTTGAATGGGATCACGGAATAGCTCTGCATGCACTGCAGGGGAATGGGGCCTCATCTCGCCTCTAGGGGGAAGTCTCATGGTTTTTCTCGAGTTGCGGCGGGGACCGGGGGTATGTTCTCGACTTACGGCGGGGATGGCTCTTCAAAACACGAGTTTCTTCAGTGACGTCAGGACTCCTGTCTAGTAACGAGGGACACCTCAGGAATCTCTTCGAGGCTTGGCAGGGCAAAAGGGACGCTTCTCGAGGTGAGGCAGGGCACCCAAGGACCCTTTCCAGTAGCCACAGGGATTTTGGGATTCCTATCAGTATTCAAGAGGAGTCAGGCATCGTCACCTTTTGAAGCAATGAACTCCGCGTGCCTCTCGAGGTGTCAGCGGGATGTGAGGCATTCCGTCAAAATGAGGCAGGGACCTAGGGCTTTCTCTAAGGTCTCCACAGGGGATTCAGACATCCCTTCATGTTGTGAGATGAAAGACGAGCCTGTATTCAAGCCACTGCAAGGAAATCCGGCCTCCTTTCAAGTTAGGGCTTCTCGCTGTATATTCCCCTTGAGGCATCAAACTCGGGGTCCCTCCCACATACCTATTGCTGAGAGAAGCCTCCTCCTGAGGTGCTTCTGGGAAGTTGGCATAGGTCTTGAGCCTAAGCCAGGGAATCAGCTCGCATCTCGAGACGATTTGGGGTACACGGAGCATTCCTCGAGTTGCTGTGCTGAAGTTGGTGTTCCTCTAGACTTGGGACAGTGTTATCGGGGCATCTCTGGAGTTGCCTGAAGGAAGTCGAGCCACCGGTCGTGTTGAATGGGGAACGGGGAATGGCTCTGGAGTCAATGCAGGGGAATCGGGCCTCATCTCGAGTTGATTTGGGGCACATGGAGCTGCTTTGCGTTGCTGGGGTGACCTCAGGGTCCGTCTAGACTGGTGACAGTGTTCTTGGGGACTGTCTCAAGATCCATTAAGCAAGTCGAAGCTCCTGACTTGTTTGAATGGGATCACGGAATAGCTCTGCATGCACTGCAGGGGAATGGGGCCTCATCTCGCCTCTAGGGGGAAGTCTCATGGTTTTTCTCGAGTTGCGGCGGGGACCTGGGGTATGTTCTCGACTTACGGCGGGGATGGCCCTTCAAAACACGAGTTTCTTCAGTGACGTCAGGACTCCTGTCTAGTAACGAGGGACACCTCAGGAATCTCTTCGAGGCTTGGCAGGGCAAAAGGGACGCTTCTCGAGGTGAGGCAGGGCACCCAAGGACCCTTTCCAGTAGCCACAGGGATTTTGGGATTCCTATCAGTATTCAAGAGGAGTCAGGCATCGTCACCTTTTGAAGCAATGAACTCCGCGTGCCTCTCGAGGTGTCAGCGGGATGTGAGGCATTCCGTCAAAATGAGGCAGGGACCTAGGGCTTTCTCTAAGGTCTCCACAGGGGATTCAGACATCCCTTCATGTTGTGAGATGAAAGACGAGCCTGTATTCAAGCCACTGCAAGGAAATCCGGCCTCCTTTCAAGTTAGGGCTTCTCGCTGTATATTCCCCTTGAGGCAGCAAACTCGGGGTCCCTTCCACATAACTATTGCTGAGAGAAGCCTCCTCCTGAGGTGCTTCTGGGAAGTTGGCATACGTCTTGAGCCTAAGCCAGGGAATCAGCTCGCATCTCGAGACGATTTGGGGTACACGGAGCATTCCTCGAGTTGCTGTGCTGAAGTTGGTGTTCCTCTAGACTTGGGATAGTGTTCTCGGGGCATCTCTGGAGTTGCCTGAAGGAAGTCGAGCCACCGGTCGTGTTGAATGGGGAACGGGGAATGGCTCTGGAGTCAATGCAGGGGAATCGGGCCTCATCTCGAGTTGATTTGGGGCACATGGAGCTGCTTTGCGTTGCTGGGGTGACCTCAGGGTCCGTCTAGACTGGTGACAGTGTTCTTGGGGACTGTCTCGAGATCCATTAAGCAAGTCGAAGCTCCTGACTTGTTTGAATGGGATCACGGAATAGCTCTGCATGCACTGCAGGGGAATGGGGCCTCATCTCGCCTCTAGGGGGAAGTCTCATGGTTTTTCTCGAGTTGCGGCGGGGACCTGGGGTATGTTCTCGACTTACGGCGGGGATGGCCCTTCCAAACACGAGTTTCTTCAGTGACGTCAGGACACCTGTCTAGTAACGAGGGACACCTCAGGAATCTCTTCGAGGCTTGGCAGGGCAAAAGGGACGCTTCTCGAGGTGAGGCAGGGCACGCAAGGACCCTTTCCAGTAGCCACAGGGATTTTGGGATTCCTATCAGTATTCAAGAGGAGTCAGGCATCGTCACCTTTTGAAGCAATGAACTCCGTGTGCCTCTCGAGGTGTCAGCGGGATGTGAGGCAATCCGTCAAAATGAGGCAGGGACCTAAGGCTTTCTCTAAGGTCTCCACAGGGGATTCAGACATCCCTTCATGTTGTGAGATGAAAGACGAGCCTGTATTCAAGCCACTGCAAGGAAATCTGGCCTCCTTTCAAGTTAGGGCTTCTCGCTGTATATTACCCTTGAGGCAGCAAAATCGGGGTCCCTCCCACATACCTATTGCTGAGAGAAGCCTCCTCCTAAGGTGCTTCTGGGAAGTTGGCATAGGTCTTGAGCCTAAGCCAGGGAATCAGCTCTCATCTCGAGACGATTTGGGGTACACGGAGCATTCCTCGAGTTGCTGTGCTGAAGTTGGTGTTCCTCTAGACTTGGGACAGTGTTCTCGGGGCATCTCTGGAGTTGCCTGAAGGAAGTCGAGCCACCGGTCGTGTTGAATGGGGAACGGGGAATGGCTCTGGAGTCAATGCAGGGGAATCGGGCCTCATCTCGAGTTGATTTGGGGCACATGGAGCTGCTTTGCGTTGCTGGGGTGACCTCAGGGTCCGTCTAGACTGGTGACAGTGTTCTTGGGGACTGTCTCGAGATCCATTAAGCAAGTCGAAGCTCCTGACTTGTTTGAATGGGATCACGGAATAGCTCTGCATGCACTGCAGGGGAATGGGGCATCATCTCGCCTCTAGGGGGAAGTCTCATGGTTTTTCTCGAGTTGCGGCGGGGACCTGGGGTATGTTCTCGACTTACGGCGGGGATGGCCCTTCAAAACACGAGTTTCTTCAGTGACGTCAGGACTCCTGTCTAGTAACGAGGGACACCTCAGGAATCTCTTCGAGGCTTGGCAGGGCAAAAGGGACGCTTCTCGAGGTGAGGCAGGGCACCCAAGGACCCTTTCCAGTAGCCACAGGGATTTTGGGATTCCTATCAGTATTCATGAGGAGTCAGGCATCGTCACCTTTTGAAGCAATGAACTCCGCGTGCCTCTCGAGGTGTCAGCGGGATGTGAGGCATTCCGTCAAAATGAGGCAGGGACCTAGGGCTTTCTCTAAGGTCTCCACAGGGGATTCAGACATCCCTTCATGTTGTGAGATGAAAGACGAGCCTGTATTCAAGCCACTGCAAGGAAATCCGGCCTCCTTTCAAGTTAGGGCTTCTCGCTGTATATTCCCCTTGAGGCAGCAAACTCGGGGTCCCTCCCACATACCTATTGCTGAGAGAAGCCTCCTCCTGAGGTGCTTCTGGGAAGTTGGCATACGTCTTGAGCCTAAGCCAGGGAATCAGCTCGCATCTCGAGACGATTTGGGGTACACGGAGCATTCCTCGAGTTGCTGTGCTGAAGTTGGTGTTCCTCTAGACTTGGGACAGTGTTATCGGGGCATCTCTGGAGTTGCTTGAAGGAAGTCGAGCCACCGGTCGTGTTGAATGGGGAACGGGGAATGGCTCTGGAGTCAATGCAGGGGAATTGGGCCTCATCTCGAGTTGATTTGGGGCACATGAAGCTGCTTTGCGTTGCTGGGGTGACCTCAGGGTCCGTCTAGACTGGTGACAGTGTTCTTGGGGACTGTCTCGAGATCCATTAAGCAAGTCGAAGCTCCTGACTTGTTTGAATGGGTTCACGGAATAGCTCTGCATGCACTGCAGGGGAATGGGGCCTCATCTGGCCTCTAGGGGGAAGTCTCATGGTTTTTCTCGAGTTGCGGCGGGGACCTGGGGTATGTTCTCGACTTACGGCGGGGATGGCCCTTCCAAACACGAGTTTCTTCAGTGACGTCAGGACTCCTGTCTAGTAACGAGGGACACCTCAGGAATCTCTTCGAGGCTTGGCAGGGCAAAAGGGAAGCTTCTCGAGGTGAGGCAGGGCACCCAAGGACCCTTTCCAGTAGCCACAGGGATTTTGGGATTCCTATCAGTATTCAAGAGGAGTCAGGCATCGTCACCTTTTGAAGCAATGAACTCCGCGTGCCTCTCGAGGTGTCAGCGCGATGTGAGGCATTCCGTCAAAATGAGGCAGGGACCTAGGGCTTTCTCTAAGGTCTCCACAGGGGATTCAGACATCCCTTCATGTTGTGAGATGAAAGACGAGCCTGTATTCAAGCCACTGCAAGGAAATCCGGCCTCCTTTCAAGTTAGGGCTTCTCGCTGTATATTCCCCTTGAGGCAGCAAACTCGGGGTCCCTCCCACATACCTATTGCTGAGAGAAGCCTCCTCCTGAGGTGCTTCTGGGAAGTTGGCATACGTCTTGAGCCTAAGCCAGGGAATCAGCTCGCATCTCGAGACGATTTGGGGTACACGGAGCATTCCTCGAGTTGCTGTGCTGAAGTTGGTGTTCCTCTAGACTTGGGACAGTGTTCTCGGGGCATCTCTGGAGTTGCCTGAAGGAAGTCGAGCCACCGGTCGTGTTGAATGGGGAACGGGGAATGGCTCTGGAGTCAATGCAGGGGAATCGGGCCTCATCTCGAGTTGATTTGGGGCACATGGAGCTGCTTTGCGTTGCTGGGGTGACCTCAGGGTCCGTCTAGACTGGTGACAGTGTTCTTGGGGACTGTCTCGAGATCCATTAAGCAAGTCGAAGCTCCTGACTTGTTTGAATGGGATCACGGAATAGCTCTGCATGCACTGCAGGGGAATGGGGCCTCATCTCGCCTCTAGGGGGAAGTCTCATGGTTTTTCTCGAGTTGCGGCGGGGACCTGGGGTATGTTCTCGACTTACGGCGGGGATGGCCCTTCCAAACACGAGTTTCTTCAGTGACGTCAGGACTCCTGTCTAGTAACGAGTGACACCTCAGGAATCTCTTCGAGGCTTGGCAGGGCAAAAGGGACGCTTCTCGAGGTGAGGCAGGGCACCCAAGGACCCTTTCCAGTAGCCACAGGGATTTTGGGATTCCTATCAGTATTCAAGAGGAGTCAGGCATCGTCACCTTTTGAAGCAATGAACTCCGCGTGCCTCTCGAGGTGTCAGCGCGATGTGCGGCATTCCGTCAAAATGAGGCAGGGACCTAGGGCTTTCTCTAAGGTCTCCACAGGGGATTCAGACATCCCTTCATGTTGTGAGATGAAAGACGAGCCTGTATTCAAGCCACTGCAAGGAAATCCGGCCTCCTTTCAAGTTAGGGCTTCTCGCTGTATATTCCCCTTGAGGCAGCAAACTCGGGGTCCCTCCCACATACCTATTGATGAGAGAAGCCTCCTCCTGAGGTGCTTCTGGGAAGTTGGCATACGTCTTGAGCCTAAGCCAGGGAATCAGCTCGCATCTCGAGACGATTTGGGGTACACGGAGCATTCCTCGAGTTGCTGTGCTGAAGTTGGTGTTCCTCTAGACTTGGGACAGTGTTCTCGGGGCATCTCTGGAGTTGCCTGAAGGAAGTCGAGCCACCGGTCGTGTTGAATGGGGAACGGGGAATGGCTCTGGAGTCAATGCAGGGGAATCGGGCCTCATCTCGAGTTGATTTGGGGCACATGGAGCTGCTTTGCGTTGCTGGGGTGACCTCAGGGTCCGTCTAGACTGGTGACAGTGTTCTTGGGGACTGTCTCGAGATCCATTAAGCAAGTCGAAGCTCCTGACTTGTTTGAATGGGATCACGGAATAGCTCTGCATGCACTGCAGGGGAATGGGGCCTCATCTCGCCTCTAGGGGGAAGTCTCATGGTTTTTCTCGAGTTGCGGCGGGGACCTGGGGTATGTTCACGACTTACGGCGGGAATGGCCCTTCAAAACACGAGTTTCTTCAGTGACGTCAGGACTCCTGTCTAGTAACGAGGGACACCTCAGGAATCTCTTCGAGGCTTGGCAGGGCAAAAGGGACGCTTCTCGAGGTGAGGCAAGGCACCCAAGGACCCTTTCCAGTAGCCACAGGGATTTTGGGATTCCTATCAGTATTCAAGAGGAGTCAGGCATCGTCACCTTTTGAAGCAATGAACTCCGTGTGCCTCTCGAGGTGTCAGCGCGATGTGAGGCATTCCGTCAAAATGAGGCAGGGACCTAGGTCTTTCTCTAAGGTCTCCACAGGGGATTCAGACATCCCTTCATGTTGTGAGATGAAAGACGAGCCTGTATTCAAGCCACTGCAAGGAAATCCGGCCTCGTTTCAAGTGAGGGCTTCTCGCTGTACATTCCCCTTGAGGCAGCAATCTCGGGGTCCCTCCCACATACCTATTGCTGAGAGAAGCCTCCTCCTGAGGTGCTTCTGGGAAGTTGGCATACGTCTTGAGCCTAAGCCAGAGAATCAGCTCGCATCTCGAGACGATTTGGGGTACACGGAGCATTCCTCGAGTTGCTGTGCTGAAGTTGGTGTTCCTCTAGACTTGGGACAGTGTTCTCGGGGCATCTCTGGAGTTGCCTGAAGGAAGTCGAGCCACCGGTCGTGTTGAATGGGGAACGGGGAATGGCTCTGGAGTCAATGCAGGGGAATCGGGCCTCATCTCGAGTTGATTTGGGGCACATGGAGCTGCTTTGCGTTGCTGGGGTGACCTCAGGGTCCGTCTAGACTGGTGACAGTGTTCTTGGGGACTGTCTCGAGATCCATTAAGCAAGTCGAAGCTCCTGACTTGTTTGAATGGGATCACGGAATAGCTCTGCATGCACTGCAGGGGAATGGGGCCTCATCTCGCCTCTAGGGGGAAGTCTCATGGTTTTTCTCGAGTTGCGGCGGGGACCTGGGGTATGTTCACGACTTACGGCGGGGATGGCCCTTCAAAACACGAGTTTCTTCAGTGACGTCAGGACTCCTGTCTAGTAACGAGGGACACCTCAGGAATCTCTTCGAGGCTTGGCAGGGCAAAAGGGACGCTTCTCGAGGTGAGGCAAGGCACCCAAGGACCCTTTCCAGTAGCCACAGGGATTTTGGGATTCCTATCAGTATTCAAGAGGAGTCAGGCATCGTCACCTTTTGAAGCAATGTACTCCGTGTGCCTCTCGAGGTGTCAGCGCGATGTGAGGCATTCCGTCAAAATGAGGCAGGGACCTAGGGCTTTCTCTAAGGTCTCCACAGGGGATTCAGACATCCCTTCATGTTGTGAGATGAAAGACGAGCCTGTATTCAAGCCACCGCAAGGAAATCCGGCCTCGTTTCAAGTGAGGGCTTCTCGCTGTACATTCCCCTTGAGGCAGCAATCTCGGGGTCCCTCCCACATACCTATTGCTGAGAGAAGCCTCCTCCTGAGGTGCTTCTGGGAAGTTGGCATACGTCTTGAGCCTAAGCCAGAGAATCAGCTCGCATCTCGAGACGATTTGGGGTACACGGTGCATTCCTCGAGTTGCTGTGCTGAAGTTGGTGTTCCTCTAGACTTGGGACAGTGTTCTCGGGGCATCTCTGGAGTTGCCTGAAGGAAGTCGAGCCACCGGTCGTGTTGAATGGGGAACGGGGAATGGCTCTGGAGTCAATGCAGGGGAATCGGGCCTCATCTCGAGTTGATTTGGGGCACATGGAGCTGCTTTGCGTTGCTGGGGTGACCTCAGGGTCCGTCTAGACTGGTGACAGTGTTCTTGGGGACTGTCTCGAGATCCATTAAGCAAGTCGAAGCTCCTGACTTGTTTGAATGGGATCACGGAATAGCTCTGCATGCACTGCAGGGGAATGGGGCCTCATCTCGCCTCTAGGGGGAAGTCTCATGGTTTTTCTCGAGTTGCGGCGGGGACCTGGGGTATGTTCTCGACTTACGGCGGGGATGGCCCTTCAAAACACGAGTTTCTTCAGTGACGTCAGGACTCCTGTCTAGTAACGAGGGACACCTCAGGAATCTCTTCGAGGCTTGGCAGGGCAAAAGGGACGCTTCTCGAGGTGAGGCAGGGCACCCAAGGACCCTTTCCAGTAGCCACAGGGATTTTGGGATTCCTATCAGTATTCAAGAGGAGTCAGGCATCGTCACCTTTTGAAGCAATGAACTCCGTGTGCCTCTCGAGGTGTCAGTGGGATGTGAGGCATTCCGTCAAAATGAGGCAGGGACCTAGGGCTTTCTCTAAGGTCTCCACAGGGGATTCAGACATCCCTTCATGTTGTGAGATGAAAGACGAGCCTGTATTCAAGCCACTGCAAGGAAATCTGGCCTCCTTTCAAGTTAGGGCTTCTCGCTGTATCTTACCCTTGAGGCAGCAAACTCGGGGTCCCTCCCACATACCTATTGCTGAGAGAAGCCTCCTCCTGAGGTGCTTCTGGGAAGTTGGCATACATCTTGAGCCTAAGCCAGGGAATCAGCTCTCATCTCGAGACGATTTGGGGTACACTGAGCATTCCTCGAGTTGCTGTGCTGAAGTTGGTGTTCCTCTAGACTTGGGACAGTGTTCTCGGGGCATCTCTGGAGTTGCCTGAAGGAAGTCGAGCCACCGTTCGTGTTGAATGGGGAACGGGGAATGGCTCTGGAGTCAATGCAGGGGAATCGGGCCTCATCTCGAGTTGATTTGGGGCACATGGAGCTGCTTTGCGTTGCTGGGGTGACCTCAGGGTCCGTCTAGACTGGTGACAGTGTTCTTGGGGACTGTCTCGAGATCCATTAAGCAAGTCGAAGCTCCTGACTTGTTTGAATGGGATCACGGAATAGCTCTGCATGCACTGCAGGGGAATGGGGCCTCATCTCGCCTCTAGGGGGAAGTCTCATGGTTTTTCTCGAGTTGCGGCGGGGACCTGGGGTATGTTCTCTACTTACGGCGGGGATGGCCCTTCAAAACACGAGTTTCTTCAGTGACGTCAGGACTCCTGTCTAGTAACGAGGGACACCTCAGGAATCTCTTCGAGGCTTGGCAGGGCAAAAGGGACGCTTCTCGAGGTGAGGCAGGGCACCCAAGGACACTTTCCAGTAGCCACAGGTATTTTGGGATTCCTATCAGTATTCAAGAGGAGTCAGGCATCGTCACCTTTTGAAGCAATGATCTCCGCGTGCCTCTCGAGGTGTCAGCGGGATGTGAGGCATTCCGTCAAAATGAGGCAGGGACCTAGGGCTTTCTCTAAGGTCTCCTCAGGGGATTCAGACATCCCTTCATGTTGTGAGATGAAAGACGAGCCTGTATTCAAGCCACTGCAAGGAAATCCGGCCTCCTTTCAAGTTAGGGCTTCTCGCTGTATATTCCCCTTGAGGCAGCAAACTCGGGGTCCCTCCCACATACCTATTGCTGAGAGAAGCCTCCTCCTGAGGTGCTTCTGGGAAGTTGGCATACGTCTTGAGCCTAAGCCAGGGAATCAGCTCGCATCTCGAGACGATTTGGGGTACACCGAGCATTCCTCGAGTTGCTGTGCTGAAGTTGGTGTTCCTCTAGACTTGGGACAGTGTTCTCGGGGCATCTCTGGAGTTGCCTGAAGGAAGTCGAGCCACCGGTCGTGTTGAATGGGGAACGGGGAATGGCTCTGGAGTCAATGCAGGGGAATCGGGCCTCATCTCGAGTTGATTTGGGGCACATGGAGCTGCTTTGCGTTGCTGGGGTGACCTCAGGGTCCGTCTAGACTGGTGACAGTGTTCTTGGGGACTGTCTCGAGATCCATTAAGCAAGTCGAAGCTCCTGACTTGTTTGAATGGGATCACGGAAAAGCTCTGCATGCACTGCAGGGGAATGGGGCCTCATCTCGCCTCTAGGGGGAAGTCTCATGGTTTTTCTCGAGTTGCGGCGGGGACCTGGGGTATGTTCTCGACTTACGGCGGGGATGGCCCTTCCAAACACGAGTTTCTTCAGTGACGTCAGGACTCCTGTCTAGTAACGAGGGACACCTCAGGAATCTCTTCGAGGCTTGGCAGGGCAAAAGGGACGCTTCTCGAGGTGAGGCAGGGCACCCAAGGACCCTTTCCAGTAGCCACAGGGATTTTGGGATTCCTATCAGTATTCATGAGGAGTCAGGCATCGTCACCTTTTGAAGCAATGAACTCCGCGTGCCTCTCGAGGTGTCAGCGGGATGTGAGGCATTCCGTCAAAATGAGGCAGCGACCTAGGGCTTTCTCTAAGGTCTCCACAGGGGATTCAGACATCCCTTCATGTTGTGAGATGAAAGACGAGCCTGTATTCAAGCCACTGCAAGGAAATCCGGCCTCCTTTCAAGTTAGGGCTTCTCGCTGTATATTCCCCTTGAGGCAGCAAACTCGGGGTCCCTCCCACATACCTATTGCTGAGAGAAGCCTCCTCCTGAGGTGCTTCTGGGAAGTTGGCATACGTCTTGAGCCTAAGCCAGGGAATCAGCTCGCATCTCGAGACGATTTGGGGTACACGGAGCATTCCTCGAGTTGCTGTGCTGAAGTTGGTGTTCCTCTAGGCTTGGGACAGTGTTCTCGGGGCATCTCTGGAGTTGCCTGAAGGAAGTCGAGCCACCGGTCGTGTTGAATGGGGAACGGGGAATGGCTCTGGAGTCAATGCAGGGGAATCGGGCCTCATCTCGAGTTGATTTGGGGCACATGGAGCTGCTTTGCGTTGCTGGGGTGACCTCAGGGTCCGTCTAGACTGGTGACAGTGTTCTTGGGGACTGTCTCGAGATCCATTAAGCAAGTCGAAGCTCCTGACTTGTTTGAATGGGATCACGGAATAGCTCTGCATGCACTGCAGGGGAATGGGGCCTCATCTCGCCTCTAGGGGGAAGTCTCATGGTTTTTCTCGAGTTGCGGCGGGGACCTGGGGTATGTTCTCGACTTACGGCGGGGATGGCCCTTCAAAACACGAGTTTCTTCAGTGACGTCAGGACTCCTGTCTAGTAACGAGGGACACCTCAGGAATCTCTTCGAGGCTTGGCAGGGCAAAAGGGACGCTTCTCGAGGTGAGGCAGGGCACCCAAGGACCCTTTCCAGTAGCCACAGGGATTTTGGGATTCCTATCAGTATTCATGAGGAGTCAGGCATCGTCACCTTTTGAAGCAATGAACTCCGCGTGCCTCTCGAGGTGTCAGCGGGATGTGAGGCATTCCGTCAAAATGAGGCAGGGACCTAGGGCTTTCTCTAAGGTCTCCACAGGGGATTCAGACATCCCTTCATGTTGTGAGATGAAAGACGAGCCTGTATTCAAGCCACTGCAAGGAAATCCGGCCTCCTTTCAAGTTAGGGCTTCTCGCTGTATATTCCCCTTGAGGCAGCAAACTCGGGGTCCCTCCCACATACCTATTGCTGAGAGAAGCCTCCTCCTGAGGTGCTTCTGGGAAGTTGGCATACGTCTTGAGCCTAAGCCAGGGAATCAGCTCGCATCTCGAGACGATTTGGGGTACACGGAGCATTCCTCGAGTTGCTGTGCTGAAGTTGGTGTTCCTCTAGACTTGGGACAGTGTTCTCGGGGCATCTCTGGAGTTGCCTGAAGGAAGTCGAGCCACCGGTCGTGTTGAATGGGGAACGGGGAATGGCTCTGGAGTCAATGCAGGGGAATCGGGCCTCATCTCGAGTTGATTTGGGGCACATGGAGCTGCTTTGCGTTGCTGGGGTGACCTCAGGGTCCGTCTAGACTGGTGACAGTGTTCTTGGGGACTGTCTCGAGATCCATTAAGCAAGTCGAAGCTCCTGACTTGTTTGAATGGGATCACGGAATAGCTCTGCATGCACTGCAGGGGAATGGGGCCTCATCTCGCCTCTAGGGGGAAGTCTCATGGTTTTTCTCGAGTTGCGGCGGGGACCTGGGGTATGTTCTCGACTTACGGCGGGGATGGCCCTTCAAAACATGAGTTTCTTCAGTGACGTCAGGACTCCTGTCTAGTAACGAGGGACACCTCAGGAATCTCTTCGAGGCTTGGCAGGGCAAAAGGGACGCTTCTCGAGGTGAGGCAGGGCACCCAAGGACCCTTTCCAGTAGCCACAGGGATTTTGGGATTCCTATCAGTATTCAAGAGGAGTCAGGCATCGTCACCTTTTGAAGCAATGAACTCCGCGTGCCTCTCGAGGTGTCAGCGGGATGTGAGTCATTCCGTCAAAATGAGGCAGGGACCTAGGGCTTTCTCTGAGGTCTCCACAGGGGATTCAGACATCCCTTCATGTTGTGAGATGAAAGACGAGCCTGTATTCAAGCCACTGCAAGGAAATTCAGCCTCCTTTTAAGTTAGGGCTTCTCGCTGTATATTCCCCTTGAGGCAGCAAACTCGGGGTCCCTCCCACATACCTATTGCTGAGAGAAGCCTCCTCCTGAGGTGCTTCTGGGAAGTTGGCATACGTCTTGAGCCTAAGCCAGGGAATCAGCTCGCATCTCGAGACGATTTGGGGTACACGGAGCATTCCTCGAGTTGCTGTGCTGAAGTTGGTGTTCCTCTAGACTTGGGACAGTGTTCTCGGGGCATCTCTGGAGTTGCCTGAAGGAAGTCGAGCCACCGGTCGTGTTGAATGGGGAACGGGGAATGGCTCTGGAGTCAATGCAGGGGAATCGGGCCTCATCTCGAGTTGATTTGGGGCACATGGAGCTGCTTTGCGTTGCTGGGGTGACCTCAGGGTCCGTCTAGACTGGTGACAGTGTTCTTGGGGACTGTCTCGAGATCCATTAAGCAAGTCGAAGCTCCTGACTTGTTTGAATGGGATCACGGAATAGCTCTGCATGCACTGCAGGGGAATGGGGCCTCATCTCGCCTCTAAGGGGAAGTCTCATGGTTTTTCTCGAGTTGCGGCGGGGACCTGGGGTATGTTCTCGACTTACGGCGGGGATGGCCCTTCAAAACACGAGTTTCTTCAGTGACGTCAGGACTCCTGTCTAGTAACCAGGGACACCTCAGGAATCTCTTCGAGGCTTGGCAGGGCAAAAGGGACGCTTCTCGAGGTGAGGCAGGGCACCCAAGGACCCTTTCCAGTAGCCACAGGGATTTTGGGATTCCTATCAGTATTCAAGAGGAGTCAGGCAGCGTCACCTTTTGAAGCAATGAACTCCGCGTGCCTCTCGAGGTGTCAGCGCGATGTGAGGCATTCCGTCAAAATGAGGCAGGGACCTAGGGCTTTCTCTAAGGTCTCCACAGGGGATTCAGACATCCCTTCATGTTGTGAGATGAAAGACGAGCCTGTATTCAAGCCACTGCAAGGAAATCCGGCCTCCTTTCAAGTTAGGGCTTCTCGCTGTATATTCCCCTTGAGGCAGCAAACTCGGGGTCCCTCCCACATACCTATTGCTGAGAGAAGCCTCCTCCTGAGGTGCTTCTGGGAAGTTGGCATACGTCTTGAGCCTAAGCCAGGGAATCAGCTCGCATCTCGAGACGATTTGGGGTACACGGAGCATTCCTCGAGTTGCTGTGCTGAAGTTGGTGTTCCTCTAGACTTGGGACAGTGTTCTCGGGGCATCTCTGGAGTTGCCTGAAGGAAGTCGAGCCACCGGTCGTGTTGAATGGGGAACGGGGAATGGCTCTGGAGTCAATGCAGGGGAATCGGGCCTCATCTCGAGTTGATTTGGGGCACATGGAGCTTCTTTGCGTTGCTGGGGTGACCTCAGGGTCCGTCTAGACTGGTGACAGTGTTCTTGGGGACTGTCTCGAGATCCATTAAGCAAGTCGAAGCTCCTGACTAGTTTGAATGGGATCACGGAATAGCTCTGCATGCACTGCAGGGGAATGGGGCCTCATCTCGCCTCTAGGGGGAAGTCTCATGGTTTTTCTCGAGTTGCGGCGGGGACCTGGGGTATGTTCTCGACTTACGGCGGGGATGGCCCTTCAAAACACGAGTTTCTTCAGTGACGTCAGGACTCCTGTCTAGTAACGAGGGACACCTCAGGAATCTCTTCGAGGCTTGGCAGGGCAAAAGGGACGCTTCTCGAGGTGAGGCAGGGCACCCAAGGACCCTTTCCAGTAGCCACAGGGATTTTGGGATTCCTATCAGTATTCAAGAGGAGTCAGGCATCGTCACCTTTTGAAGCAATGAACTCCGCGTGCCTCTCGAGGTGTCAGCGCGATGTGAGGCATTCCGTCAAAATGAGGCAGGGACCTAGGGCTTTCTCTAAGGTCTCCACAGGGGATTCAGACATCCCTTCATGTTGTGAGATGAAAGACGAGCCTGTATTCAAGCCACTGCAAGGAAATCCGGCCTCCTTTCAAGTTAGGGCTTCTCGCTGTATATTCCCCTTGAGGCAGCAAACTCGGGGTCCCTCCCACATACCTATTGCTGAGAGAAGCCTCCTCCTGAGGTGCTTCTGGGAAGTTGGCATACGTCTTGAGCCTAAGCCAGGGAATCAGCTCGCATCTCGAGACGATTTGGGGTACACGGAGCATTCCTCGAGTTGCTGTGCTGAAGTTGGTGTTCCTCTAGACTTGGGACAGTGTTCTCGGGGCATCTCTGGAGTTGCCTGAAGGAAGTCGAGCCACCGGTCGTGTTGAATGGGGAACGGGGAATGGCTCTGGAGTCAATGCAGGGGAATCGGGCCTCATCTCGAGTTGATTTGGGGCACATGGAGCTGCTTTGCGTTGCTGGGGTGACCTCAGGGTCCGTCTAGACTGGTGACAGTGTTCTTGGGGACTGTCTCGAGATCCATTAAGCAAGTCGAAGCTCCTGACTTGTTTGAATGGGATCACGGAATAGCTCTGCATGCACTGCAGGGGAATGGGGCATCATTTCGCCTCTAGGGGGAAGTCTCATGGTTTTTCTCGAGTTGCGGCGGGGACCTGGGGTATGTTCTCGACTTACGGCGGGGATGGCCCTTCAAAACACGAGTTTCTTCAGTGACGTCAGGACTCCTGTCTAGTAACGAGGGACACCTCAGGAATCTCTTCGAGGCTTGGCAGGGCAAAAGGGACGCTTCTCGAGGTGAGGCAGGGCACCCAAGGACCCTTTCCAGTAGCCACAGGGATTTTGGGATTCCTATCAGTATTCAAGAGGAGTCAGGCATCGTCACCTTTTGAAGCAATGAACTCCGCGTGCCTCTCGAGGTGTCAGCGCGATGTGAGGCATTCCGTCAAAATGAGGCAGGGACCTAGGGCTTTCTCTAAGGTCTCCACAGGGGATTCAGACATCCCTTCATGTTGTGAGATGAAAGACGAGCCTGTATTCAAGCCACTGCAAGGAAATCCGGCCTCCTTTCAAGTTAGGGCTTCTCGCTGTATATTCCCCTTGAGGCAGCAAACTCGGGGTCCCTCCCACATACCTATTGCTGAGAGAAGCCTCCTCCTGAGGTGCTTCTGGGAAGTTGGCATACGTCTTGAGCCTAAGCCAGGGAATCAGCTCGCATCTCGAGACGATTTGGGGTACACGGAGCATTCCTCGAGTTGCTGTGCTGAAGTTGGTGTTCCTCTAGACTTGGGACAGTGTTCTCGGGGCATCTCTGGAGTTGCCTGAAGGAAGTCGAGCCACCGGTCGTGTTGAATGGGGAACGGGGAATGGCTCTGGAGTCAATGCAGGGGAATCGGGCCTCATCTCGAGTTGATTTGGGGCACATGGAGCTGCTTTGCGTTGCTGGGGTGACCTCAGGGTCCGTCTAGACTGGTGACAGTGTTCTTGGGGACTGTCTCGAGATCCATTAAGCAAGTCGAAGCTCCTGACTTGTTTGAATGGGATCACGGAATAGCTCTTCATGCACTGCAGGGGAATGGGGCCTCATCTCGCCTCTAGGGGGAAGTCTCATGGTTTTTCTCGAGTTGCGGCGGGGACCTGGGGTATGTTCTCGACTTACGGCGGGGATGGCCCTTCAAAACACGAGTTTCTTCAGTGACGTCAGGACTCCTGTCTAGTAACGAGGGACACCTCAGGAATCTCTTCGAGGCTTGGCAGGGCAAAAGGGATGCTTCTCGAGGTGAGGCAGGGCACCCAAGGACCCTTTCCAGTAGCCACAGGTATTTTGGGATTCCTATCAGTATTCAAGAGGAGTCAGGCATCGTCACCTTTTGAAGCAATGAACTCCGCGTGCCTCTCGAGGTGTCAGCGGGATGTGAGGCATTCCGTCAAAATGAGGCAGGGACCTAGGGCTTTCTCTAAGGTCTCCACAGGGGATTCAGACATCCCTTCATGTTGTGAGATGAAAGACGAGCCTGTATTCAAGCCACTGCAAGGAAATCCGGCCTCCTTTCAAGTTAGGGCTTCTCGCTGTATATTCCCCTTGAGGCAGCAAACTCGGGGTCCCTCCCACATACCTATTGCTGAGAGAAGCCTCCTCCTGAGGTGCTTCTGGGAAGTTGGCATACGTCTTGAGCCTAAGCCAGGGAATCAGCTCGCATCTCGAGACGATTTGGGGTACATGGAGCATTCCTCGAGTTGCTGTGCTGAAGTTGGTGTTCCTCTAGACTTGGGACAGTGTTCTCGGGGCATCTCTGGAGTTGCCTGAAGGAAGTCGAGCCACCGGTCGTGTTGAATGGGGAACGGGGAATGGCTCTGGAGTCAATGCAGGGGAATCGGGCCTCATCTCGAGTTGATTTGGGGCACATGGAGCTGCTTTGCGTTGCTGGGGTGACCTCAGGGTCCGTCTAGACTGGTGACAGTGTTCTTGGGGACTGTCTCGAGATCCATTAAGCAAGTCGAAGCTCCTGACTTGTTTGAATGGGATCACGGAATAGCTCTGCATGCACTGCAGGGGAATGGGGCCTCATCTCGCCTCTAGGGGGAAGTCTCATGGTTTTTCTCGAGTTGCGGCTGGGACCTGGGGTATGTTCTCGACTTACGGCGGGGATGGCCCTTCAAAACACGAGTTTCTTCAGTGACGTCAGGACTCCTGTCTAGTAACGAGGGACACCTCAGGAATCTCTTCGAGGCTTGGCAGGGCAAAAGGGACGCTTCTCGAGGTGAGGCAGGGCACCCAAGGACCCTTTCCAGTAGCCACAGGGATTTTGGGATTCCTATCAGTATTCAAGAGGAGTCAGGCATCGTCACCTTTTGAAGCAATGAACACCGTGTGCCTCTCGAGGTGTCAGCGGGATGTGAGGCATTCCGTCAAAATGAGGCAGGGACCTAGGGCTTTCTCTAAGGTCTCCACATGGGATTCAGACATCCCTTCATGTTGTGAGATGAAAGACGAGCCTGTATTCAAGCCACTGCAAGGAAATCTGGCCTCCATTCAAGTTAGGGCTTCTCACTGTATATTACCCTTGAGGCAGCAAACTCGGGGTCCCTCCCACATACCTATTGCTGAGAGAAGCCTCCTCCTGAGGTGCTTCTGGGAAGTTGGCATACATCTTGAGCCTAAGCCAGGGAATCAGCTCGCATCTCGAGACGATTTGGGGTACACGGAGCATTCCTCGAGTTGCTGTGCTGAAGTTGGTGTTCCTCTAGACTTGGGACAGTGTTCTCGGGGCATCTCTGGAGTTGCCTGAAGGAAGTCGAGCCACCGGTCGTGTTGAATGGGGAACGGGGAATGGCTCTGGAGTCAATGCAGGGGAATCGGGCCTCATCTCGAGTTGATTTGGGGCACATGGAGCTTCTTTGCGTTGCTGGGGTGACCTCAGGGTCCGTCTAGACTGGTGACAGTGTTCTTGGGGACTGTCTCGAGATCCATTAAGCAAGTCGAAGCTCCTGACTAGTTTGAATGGGATCACGGAATAGCTCTGCATGCACTGCAGGGGAATGGGGCATCATCTCGCCTCTAGGGGGAAGTCTCATGGTTTTTCTCGAGTTGCGGCGGGGACCTGGGGTATGTTCTCGACTTACGGCGGGGATGGCCCTTCAAAACACGAGTTTCTTCAGTGACGTCAGGACTCCTGTCTAGTAACGAGGGACACCTCAGGAATCTCTTCGAGGCTTGGCAGGGCAAAAGGGACGCTTCTCGAGGTGAGGCAGGGCACCCAAGGACCCTTTCCAGTAGCCACAGGGATTTTGGGATTCCTATCAGTATTCAAGAGGAGTCAGGCATCGTCACCTTTTGAAGCAATGAACTCCGCGTGCCTCTCGAGGTGTCAGCGCGATGTGAGGCATTCCGTCAAAATGAGGCAGGGACCTAGGGCTTTCTCTAAGGTCTCCACAGGGGATTCAGACATCCCTTCATGTTGTGAGATGAAAGACGAGCCTGTATTCAAGCCACTGCAAGGAAATCCGGCCTCCTTTCAAGTTAGGGCTTCTCGCTGTATATTCCCCTTGAGGCAGCAAACTCGGGGTCCCTCCCACGTACCTATTGCTGAGAGAAGCCTCCTCCTGAGGTGCTTCTGGGAAGTTGGCATACGTCTTGAGCCTAAGCCAGGGAATCAGCTCGCATCTCGAGACGATTTGGGGTACACGGAGCATTCCTCGAGTTGCTGTGCTGAAGTTGGTGTTCCTCTAGACTTGGGACAGTGTTCTCGGGGCATCTCTGGAGTTGCCTGAAGGAAGTCGAGCCACCGGTCGTGTTGAATGGGGAACGGGGAATGGCTCTGGAGTCAATGCAGGGGAATCGGGCCTCATCTCGAGTTGATTTGGGGCACATGGAGCTGCTTTGCGTTGCTGGGGTGACCTCAGGGTCCGTCTAGACTGGTGACAGTGTTCTTGGGGACTGTCTCGAGATCCATTAAGCAAGTCGAAGCTCCTGACTTGTTTGAATGGGATCACGGAATAGCTCTGCATGCACTGCAGGGGAATGGGGCATCATTTCGCCTCTAGGGGGAAGTCTCATGGTTTTTCTCGAGTTGCGGCGGGGACCTGGGGTATGTTCTCTACTTACGGCGGGGATGGCCCTTCAAAACACGAGTTTCTTCAGTGACGTCAGGACTCCTGTCTAGTAACGAGGGACACCTCAGGAATCTCTTCGAGGCTTGGCAGGGCAAAAGGGACGCTTCTCGAGGTGAGGCAGGGCACCCAAGGACCCTTTCCAGTAGCCACAGGGATTTTGGGATTCCTATCAGTATTCAAGAGGAGTCAGGCATCGTCACCTTTTGAAGCAATGAACTCCGCGTGCCTCTCGAGGTGTCAGCGCGATGTGAGGCATTCCGTCAAAATGAGGCAGGGACCTAGGGCTTTCTCTAAGGTCTCCACAGGGGATTCAGACATCCCTTCATGTTGTGAGATGAAAGACGAGCCTGTATTCAAGCCACTGCAAGGAAATCCGGCCTCCTTTCAAGTTAGGGCTTCTCGCTGTATATTCCCCTTGAGGCAGCAAACTCGGGGTCCCTCCCACATACCTATTGCTGAGAGAAGCCTCCTCCTGAGGTGCTTCTGGGAAGTTGGCATACGTCTTGAGCCTAAGCCAGGGAATCAGCTCGCATCTCGAGACGATTTGGGGTACACGGAGCATTCCTCGAGTTGCTGTGCTGTAGTTGGTGTTCCTCTAGACTTGGGACAGTGTTCTCGGGGCATCTCTGGAGTTGCCTGAAGGAAGTCGAGCCACCGGTCGTGTTGAATGGGGAACGGGGAATGGCTCTGGAGTCAATGCAGGGGAATCGGGCCTCATCTCGAGTTGATTTGGAGCACATGGAGCTGCTTTGCGTTGCTGGGGTGACCTCAGGGTCCGTCTAGACTGGTGACAGTGTTCTTGGGGACTGTCTCGAGATCCATTAAGCAAGTCGAAGCTCCTGACTTGTTTGAATGGGATCACGGAATAGCTCTTCATGCACTGCAGGGGAATGGGGCCTCATCTCGCCTCTAGGGGGAAGTCTCATGGTTTTTCTCGAGTTGCGGCGGGGACCTGGGGTATGTTCTCGACTTACGGCGGGGATGGCCCTTCAAAACACGAGTTTCTTCAGTGACGTCAGGACTCCTGTCTAGTAACGAGGGACACCTCAGGAATCTCTTCGAGGCTTGGCAGGGCAAAAGGGATGCTTCTCGAGGTGAGGCAGGGCACCCAAGGACCCTTTCCAGTAGCCACAGGTATTTTGGGATTCCTATCAGTATTCAAGAGGAGTCAGGCATCGTCACCTTTTGAAGCAATGAACTCCACGTGCCTCTCGAGGTGTCAGCGGGATGTGAGGCATTCCGTCAAAATGAGGCAGGGACCTAGGGCTTTCTCTAAGGTCTCCACAGGGGATTCAGACATCCCTTCATGTTGTGAGATGAAAGACGAGCCTGTATTCAAGCCACTGCAAGGAAATCCGGCCTCCTTTCAAGTTAGGGCTTCTCGCTGTATATTCCCCTTGAGGCATCAAACTCGGGGTCCCTCCCACATACCTATTGCTGAGAGAAGCCTCCTCCTGAGGTGCTTCTGGGAAGTTGGCATACGTCTTGAGCCTAAGCCAGGGAATCAGCTCGCATCTCGAGACGATTTGGGGTACACGGAGCATTCCTCGAGTTGCTGTGCTGAAGTTGGTGTTCCTCTAGACTTGGGACAGTGTTCTCGGGGCATCTCTGGAGTTGCCTGAAGGAAGTCGAGCCACCGGTCGTGTTGAATGGGGAACGGGGAATGGCTCTGGAGTCAATGCAGGGGAATCGGGCCTCATCTCGAGTTGATTTGGGGCACATGGAGCTGCTTTGCGTTGCTGGGGTGACCTCAGGGTCCGTCTAGACTGGTGACAGTGTTCTTGGGGACTGTCTCGAGATCCATTAAGCAAGTCGAAGCTCCTGACTTGTTTGAATGGGATCACGGTATAGCTCTGCATGCACTGCAGGGGAATGGGGCATCATTTCGCCTCTAGGGGGAAGTCTCATGGTTTTTCTCGAGTTGCGGCGGGGACCTGGGGTATGTTCTCGACTTACGGCGGGGATGGCCCTTCAAAACACGAGTTTCTTCAGTGACGTCAGGACTCCTGTCTAGTAACGAGGGACACCTCAGGAATCTCTTCGAGGCTTGGCAGGGCAAAAGGGACGCTTCTCGAAGTGAGGCAGGGCACCCAAGGACCCTTTCCAGTAGCCACAGGGATTTTGGGATTCCTATCAGTATTCAAGAGGAGTCAGGCATCGTCACCTTTTGAAGCAATGAACTCCGCGTGCCTCTCGAGGTGTCAGCGCGATGTGAGGCATTCCGTCAAAATGAGGCAGGGACCTAGGGCTTTCTCTAAGGTCTCCACAGGGGATTCAGACATCCCTTCATGTTGTGAGATGAAAGACGAGCCTGTATTCAAGCCACTGCAAGGAAATCCGGCCTCCTTTCAAGTTAGGGCTTCTCGCTGTATATTCCCCTTGAGGCAGCAAACTCGGGGTCCCTCCCACATACCTATTGCTGAGAGAAGCCTCCTCCTGAGGTGCTTCTGGGAAGTTGGCATACGTCTTGAGCCTAAGCCAGGGAATCAGCTCGCATCTCGAGACGATTTGGGGTACACGGAGCATTCCTCGAGTTGCTGTGCTGTAGTTGGTGTTCCTCTAGACTTGGGACAGTGTTCTCGGGGCATCTCTGGAGTTGCCTGAAGGAAGTCGAGCCACCGGTCGTGTTGAATGGGGAACGGGGAATGGCTCTGGAGTCAATGCAGGGGAATCGGGCCTCATCTCGAGTTGATTTGGAGCACATGGAGCTGCTTTGCGTTGCTGGGGTGACCTCAGGGTCCGTCTAGACTGGTGACAGTGTTCTTGGGGACTGTCTCGAGATCCATTAAGCAAGTCGAAGCTCCTGACTTGTTTGAATGGGATCACGGAATAGCTCTTCATGCACTGCAGGGGAATGGGGCCTCATCTCGCCTCTAGGGGGAAGTCTCATGGTTTTTCTCGAGTTGCGGCGGGGACCTGGGGTATGTTCTCGACTTACGGCGGGGATGGCCCTTCAAAACACGAGTTTCTTCAGTGACGTCAGGACTCCTGTCTAGTAACGAGGGACACCTCAGGAATCTCTTCGAGGCTTGGCAGGGCAAAAGGGATGCTTCTCGAGGTGAGGCAGGGCACCCAAGGACCCTTTCCAGTAGCCACAGGTATTTTGGGATTCCTATCAGTATTCAAGAGGAGTCAGGCATCGTCACCTTTTGAAGCAATGAACTCCACGTGCCTCTCGAGGTGTCAGCGGGATGTGAGGCATTCCGTCAAAATGAGGCAGGGACCTAGGGCTTTCTCTAAGGTCTCCACAGGGGATTCAGACATCCCTTCATGTTGTGAGATGAAAGACGAGCCTGTATTCAAGCCACTGCAAGGAAATCCAGCCTCCTTTCAAGTTAGGGCTTCTCGCTGTATATTCCCCTTGAGGCATCAAACTCGGGGTCCCTCCCACATACCTATTGCTGAGAGAAGCCTCCTCCTGAGGTGCTTCTGGGAAGTTGGCATACGTCTTGAGCCTAAGCCAGGGAATCAGCTCGCATCTCGAGACGATTTGGGGTACACGGAGCATTCCTCGAGTTGCTGTGCTGAAGTTGGTGTTCCTCTAGACTTGGGACAGTGTTCTCGGGGCATCTCTGGAGTTGCCTGAAGGAAGTCGAGCCACCGGTCGTGTTGAATGGGGAACGGGGAATGGCTCTGGAGTCAATGCAGGGGAATCGGGCCTCATCTCGAGTTGATTTGGGGCACATGGAGCTGCTTTGCGTTGCTGGGGTGACCTCAGGGTCCGTCTAGACTGGTGACAGTGTTCTTGGGGACTGTCTCGAGATCCATTAAGCAAGTCGAAGCTCCTGACTTGTTTGAATGGGATCACGGAATAGCTCTGCATGCACTGCAGGGGAATGGGGCATCATTTCGCCTCTAGGGGGAAGTCTCATGGTTTTTCTCGAGTTGCGGCGGGGACCTGGGGTATGTTCTCGACTTACGGCGGGGATGGCCCTTCAAAACACGAGTTTCTTCAGTGACGTCAGGACTCCTGTCTAGTAACGAGGGACACCTCAGGAATCTCTTCGAGGCTTGGCAGGGCAAAAGGGACGCTTCTCGAGGTGAGGCAGGGCACCCAAGGACCCTTTCCAGTAGCCACAGGGATTTTGGGATTCCTATCAGTATTCAAGAGGAGTCAGGCATCGTCACCTTTTGAAGCAATGAACTCCGCGTGCCTCTCGAGGTGTCAGCGCGATGTGAGGCATTCCGTCAAAATGAGGCAGGGACCTAGGGCTTTCTCTAAGGTCTCCACAGGGGATTCAGACATCCCTTCATGTTGTGAGATGAAAGACGAGCCTGTATTCAAGCCACTGCAAGGAAATCCGGCCTCCTTTCAAGTTAGGGCTTCTCGCTGTATATTCCCCTTGAGGCAGCAAACTCGGGGTCCCTCCCACATACCTATTGCTGAGAGAAGCCTCCTCCTGAGGTGCTTCTGGGAAGTTGGCATACGTCTTGAGCCTAAGCCAGGGAATCAGCTCGCATCTCGAGACGATTTGGGGTACACGGAGCATTCCTCGAGTTGCTGTGCTGTAGTTGGTGTTCCTCTAGACTTGGGACAGTGTTCTCGGGGCATCTCTGGAGTTGCCTGAAGGAAGTCGAGCCACCGGTCGTGTTGAATGGGGAACGGGGAATGGCTCTGGAGTCAATGCAGGGGAATCGGGCCTCATCTCGAGTTGATTTGGAGCACATGGAGCTGCTTTGCGTTGCTGGGGTGACCTCAGGGTCCGTCTAGACTGGTGACAGTGTTCTTGGGGACTGTCTCGAGATCCATTAAGCAAGTCGAAGCTCCTGACTTGTTTGAATGGGATCACGGAATAGCTCTTCATGCACTGCAGGGGAATGGGGCCTCATCTCGCCTCTAGGGGGAAGTCTCATGGTTTTTCTCGAGTTGCGGCGGGGACCTGGGGTATGTTCTCGACTTACGGCGGGGATGGCCCTTCAAAACACGAGTTTCTTCAGTGACGTCAGGACTCCTGTCTAGTAACGAGGGACACCTCAGGAATCTCTTCGAGGCTTGGCAGGGCAAAAGGGATGCTTCTCGAGGTGAGGCAGGGCACCCAAGGACCCTTTCCAGTAGCCACAGGGATTTTGGGATTCCTATCAGTATTCAAGAGGAGTCAGGCATCGTCACCTTTTGAAGCAATGAACTCCGCGTGCCTCTCGAGGTGTCAGCGGGATGTGAGGCATTCCGTCAAAATGAGGCAGGGACCTAGGGCTTTCTCTAAGGTCTCCACAGGGGATTCAGACATCCCTTCATGTTGTGAGATGAAAGACGAGCCTGTATTCAAGCCACTGCAAGGAAATCCGGCCTCCTTTCAAGTTAGGGCTTCTCGCTGTATATTCCCCTTGAGGCATCAAACTCGGGGTCCCTCCCACATACCTATTGCTGAGAGAAGCCTCCTCCTGAGGTGCTTCTGGGAAGTTGGCATACGTCTTGAGCCTAAGCCAGGGAATCAGCTCGCATCTCGAGACGATTTGGGGTACACGGAGCATTCCTCGAGTTGCTGTGCTGAAGTTGGTGTTCCTCTAGACTTGGGACAGTGTTCTCGGGGCATCTCTGGAGTTGCCTGAAGGAAGTCGAGCCACCGGTCGTGTTGAATGGGGAACGGGGAATGGCTCTGGAGTCAATGCAGGGGAATCGGGCCTCATCTCGAGTTGATTTGGGGCACATGGAGCTGCTTTGCGTTGCTGGGGTGACCTCAGGGTCCGTCTAGACTGGTGACAGTGTTCTTGGGGACTGTCTCGAGATCCATTAAGCAAGTCGAAGCTCCTGACTTGTTTGAATGGGATCACGGAATAGCTCTGCATGCACTGCAGGGGAATGGGGCCTCATCTCGCCTCTAGGGGGAAGTCTCATGGTTTTTCTCAAGTTGCGGCGGGGACCTGGGGTATGTTCTCGACTTACGGCGGGGATGGCCCTTCAAAACACGAGTTTCTTCAGTGACGTCAGGACTCCTGTCTAGTAACGAGGGACACCTCAGGAATCTCTTCGAGGCTTGGCAGGGCAAAAGGGACGCTTCTCGAGGTGAGGCAGGGCACCCAAGGACCCTTTCCAGTAGCCACAGGGATTTTGGGATTCCTATCAGTATTCAAGAGGAGTCAGGCATCGTCACCTTTTGAAGCAATGAACTCCGCGTGCCTCTCGAGGTGTCAGCGCGATGTGAGGCATTCCGTCAAAATGAGGCAGGGACCTAGGGCTTTCTCTAAGGTCTCCACAGGGGATTCAGACATCCCTTCATGTTGTGAGATGAAAGACGAGCCTGTATTCAAGGCACTGCAAGGAAATCCGGCCTCCTTTCAAGTTAGGGCTTCTCGCTGTATATTCCCCTTGAGGCAGCAAACTCGGGGTCCCTCCCACATAACTATTGCTGAGAGAAGCCTCCTCCTGAGGTGCTTCTGGGAAGTTGGCATACGTCTTGAGCCTAAGCCAGGGAATCAGCTCGCATCTCGAGACGATTTGGGGTACACGGAGCATTCCTCGAGTTGCTGTGCTGAAGTTGGTGTTCCTCTAGACTTGGGACAGTGTTCTCGGGGCATCTCTGGAGTTGCCTGAAGGAAGTCGAGCCACCGGTCGTGTTGAATGGGGAACGGGGAATGGCTCTGGAGTCAATGCAGGGGAATCGGGCCTCATCTCGAGTTGATTTGGGGCACATGGAGCTGCTTTGCGTTGCTGGGGTGACCTCAGGGTCCGTCTAGACTGGTGACAGTGTTCTTGGGGACTGTCTCGAGATCCATTAAGCAAGTCGAAGCTCCTGACTTGTTTGAATGGGATCACGGAATAGCTCTGCATGCACTGCAGGGGAATGGGGCCTCATCTCGCCTCTAGGGGGAAGTCTCATGGTTTTTCTCGAGTTGCGGCGGGGACCTGGGGTATGTTCTCGACTTACGGCGGGGATGGCCCTTCAAAACACGAGTTTCTTCAGTGACGTCAGGACTCCTGTCTAGTAACGAGGGACACCTCAGGAATCTCTTCGAGGCTTGGCAGGGCAAAAGGGACGCTTCTCGAGGTGAGGCAGGGCACCCAAGGACCCTTTCCAGTAGCCACAGGGATTTTGGGATTCCTATCAGTATTCAAGAGGAGTCAGGCATCGTCACCTTTTGAAGCAATGAACTCCGCGTGCCTCTCGAGGTGTCAGCGCGATGTGAGGCATTCCGTCAAAATGAGGCAGGGACCTAGGGCTTTCTCTAAGGTCTCCACAGGGGATTCAGACATCCCTTCATGTTGTGAGATGAAAGACGAGCCTGTATTCAAGCCACAGCAAGGAAATCCGGCCTCCTTTCAAGTTAGGGCTTCTCGCTGTATATTCCCCTTGAGGCAGCAAACTCGGGGTCCCTCCCACATACCTATTGCTGAGAGAAGCCTCCTCCTGAGGTGCTTCTGGGAAGTTGGCATACGTCTTGAGCCTAAGCCAGGGAATCAGCTCGCATCTCGAAACGATTTGGGGTACACGGAGCATTCCTCGAGTTGCTGTGCTGAAGTTGGTGTTCCTCTAGACTTGGGACAGTGTTCTCGGGGCATCTCTGGAGTTGCCTGAAGGTAGTCGAGCCACCGGTCGTGTTGAATGGGGAACGGGGAATGGCTCTGGAGTCAATGCAGGGGAATCGGGCCTCATCTCGAGTTGATTTGGGGCACATGGAGCTACTTTGCATTGCTGGGGTGACCTCAGGGTCCGTCTAGACTGGTGACAGTGTTCTTGGGGACTGTCTCGAGATCCATTAAGCAAGTCGAAGCTCCTGACTTGTTTGAATGGGATCACGGAATAGCTCTGCATGCACTGCAGGGGAATGGGGCCTCATCTCGCCTCTAGGGGGAAGTCTCATGGTTTTTCTCGAGTTGCGGCGGGGACCTGGGGTATGTTCTCGACTTACGGCGGGGATGGCCCTTCAAAACACGAGTTTCTTCAGTGACGTCAGGACTCCTGTCTAGTAACGAGGGACACCTCAGGAATCTCTTCGAGGCTTGGCAGGGCAAAAGGGACGCTTCTCGAGGTGAGGCAGGGCACCCAAGGACCCTTTCCAGTAGCCACAGGGATTTTGGGATTCCTATCAGTATTCAAGAGGAGTCAGGCATCGTCACCTTTTGAAGCAATGAACTCCGCGTGCCTCTCGAGGTGTCAGCGGGATGTGAGGCATTCCGTCAAAATGAGGCAGGGACCTAGGGCTTTCTCTACGGTCTCCACAGGGGATTCAGACATCCCTTCATGTTGTGAGATGAAAGACGAGCCTGTATTCAAGCCACTGCAAGGAAATCCGGCCTCCTTTCAAGTTAGGGCTTCTCGCTGTATATTCCCCTTGAGGCAGCAAACTCGGGGTCCCTCCCACATACCTATTGCTGAGAGAAGCCTCCTCCTGAGGTGCTTCTGGGAAGTTGGCATACGTCTTGAGCCTAAGCCAGGGAATCAGCTCGCATCTCGAGACGATTTGGGGTACACGGAGCATTCCTCGAGTTGCTGTGCTGAAGTTGGTGTTCCTCTAGACTTGGGACAGTGTTCTCGGGGCATCTCTGGAGTTGCCAGAAGGAAGTCGAGCCACCGGTCGTGTTGAATGGGGAACGGGGAATGGCTCTGGAGTCAATGCAGGGGAATCGGGCCTCATCTCGAGTTGATTTGGGGCACATGGAGCTGCTTTGCGTTGCTGGGGTGACCTCAGGGTCCGTCTAGACTGGTGACAGTGTTCTTGGGGACTGTCTCGAGATCCATTAAGCAAGTCGAAGCTCCTGACTTGTTTGAATGGGATCACGGAATAGCTCTGCATGCACTGCAGGGGAATGGGGCCTCATCTCGCCTCTAGGGGGAAGTCTCATGGTTTTTCTCGAGTTGCGGCGGGGACCTGGGGTATGTTCTCGACTTACGGCGGGGATGGCCCTTCCAAACACGAGTTTCTTCAGTGACGTCAGGACTCCTGTCTAGTAACGAGGGACACCTCAGGAATCTCTTCGAGGCTTGGCAGGGCAAAAGGGACGCTTCTCGAGGTGAGGCAGGGCACCCAAGGACCCTTTCCAGTAGCCACAGGGATTTTGGGATTCCTATCAGTATTCAAGAGGAGTCAGGCATCGTCACCTTTTGAAGCAATGAACTCCGCGTGCCTCTCGAGGTTTCAGCGCGATGTGAGGCATTCCGTCAAAATGAGGCAGGGACCTAGGGCTTTCTCTAAGGTCTCCACAGGGGATTCAGACATCCCTTCATGTTGTGAGATGAAAGACGAGCCTGTATTCAAGCCACTGCAAGGAAATCCGGCCTCCTTTCAAGTTAGGGCTTCTCGCTGTATATTCCCCTTGAGGCAGCAAACTCGGGGTCCCTCCCACATACCTATTGCTGAGAGAAGCCTCCTCCTGAGGTGCTTCTGGGAAGTTGGCATACGTCTTGAGCCTAAGCCAGGGAATCAGCTCGCATCTCGAGACGATTTGGGGTACACGGAGCATTCCTCGAGTTGCTGTGCTGAAGTTGGTGTTCCTCTAGGCTTGGGACAGTGTTCTCGGGGCATCTCTGGAGTTGCCAGAAGGAAGTCGAGCCACCGGTCGTGTTGAATGGGGAACGGGGAATGGCTCTGGAGTCAATGCAGGGGAATCGGGCCTCATCTCGAGTTGATTTGGGGCACATGGAGCTGCTTTGCGTTGCTGGGGTGACCTCAGGGTCCGTCTAGACTGGTGACAGTGTTCTTGGGGACTGTCTTGAGGTCCATTAAGCAAGTCGAAGCTCCTGACTTGTTTGAATGGGATCACGGAATAGCTCTGCATGCACTGCAGGGGAATGGGGCCTCATCTCGCCTCTAGGGGGAAGTCTCATGGTTTTTCTCGAGTTGCGGCGGGGACCTGGGGTATGTTCTCGACTTACGGCGGGGATGGCCCTTCAAAACACGAGTTTCTTCAGTGACGTCAGGACTCCTGTCTAGTAACGAGGGACACCTCAGGAATCTCTTCGAGGCTTGGCAGGGCAAAAGGGACGCTTCTCGAGGTGAGGCAGGGCACCCAAGGACCCTTTCCAGTAGCCACAGGGATTTTGGGATTCCTATCAGTATTCATGAGGAGTCAGGCATCGTCACCTTTTGAAGCAATGAACTCCGCGTGCCTCTCGAGGTGTCAGCGGGATGTGAGGCATTCCGTCAAAATGAGGCAGGGACCTAGGGCTTTCTCTAAGGTCTCCACAGGGGATTCAGACATCCCTTCATGTTGTGAGATGAAAGACGAGCCTGTATTCAAGCCACTGCAAGGAAATCCGGCCTCCTTTCAAGTTAGGGCTTCTCGCTGTATATTCCCCTTGAGGCAGCAAACTCGGGGTCCCTCCCACATACCTATTGCTGAGAGAAGCCTCCTCCTGAGGTGCTTCTGGGAAGTTGGCATACGTCTTGAGCCTAAGCCAGGGAATCAGCTCGCATCTCGAGACGATTTGGGGTACACGGAGCATTCCTCGAGTTGCTGTGCTGAAGTTGGTGTTCCTCTAGGCTTGGGACAGTGTTCTCGGGGCATCTCTGGAGTTGCCGGAAGGAAGTCGAGCCACCGGTCGTGTTGAATGGGGAACGGGGAATGGCTCTGGAGTCAATGCAGGGGAATCGGGCCTCATCTCGAGTTGATTTGGGGCACATGGAGCTGCTTTGCGTTGCTGGGGTGACCTCAGGGTCCGTCTAGACTGGTGACAGTGTTCTTGGGGACTGTCTCGAGGTCCATTAAGCAAGTTGAAGCTCCTGACTTGTTTGAATGGGATCACGGAATAGCTCTGCATGCACTGCAGGGGAATGGGGCCTCATCTCGCCTCTAGGGGGAAGTCTCATGGTTTTTCTCGAGTTGCGGCGGGGACCTGGGGTATGTTCTCGACTTACGGCGGGGATGGCCCTTCAAAACACGAGTTTCTTCAGTGACGTCAGGACTCCTGTCTAGTAACGAGGGACACCTCAGGAATCTCTTCGAGGCTTGGCAGGGCAAAAGGGACGCTTCTCGAGGTGAGGCAGGGCACCCAAGGACCCTTTCCAGTAGCCACAGGGATTTTGGGATTCCTATCAGTATTCAAGAGGAGTCAGGCATCGTCACCTTTTGAAGCAATGAACTCCGCGTGCCTCTCGAGGTGTCAGCGCGATGTGAGGCATTCCGTCAAAATGAGGCAGGGACCTAGGGCTTTCTCTAAGGTCTCCACAGGGGATTCAGACATCCCTTCATGTTGTGAGATGAAAGACGAGCCTGTATTCAAGCCACTGCAAGGAAATCCGGCCTCCTTTCAAGTTAGGGCTTCTCGCTGTATATTCCCCTTGAGGCAGCAAACTCGGGGTCCCTCCCACATACCTATTGCTGAGAGAAGCCTCCTCCTGAGGTGCTTCTGGGAAGTTGGCATACGTCTTGAGCCTAAGCCAGGGAATCAGCTCGCATCTCGAGACGATTTGGGGTACACGGAGCATTCCTCGAGTTGCTGTGCTGAAGTTGGTGTTCCTCTAGACTTGGGACAGTGTTCTCGGGGCATCTCTGGAGTTGCCTGAAGGTAGTCGAGCCACCGGTCGTGTTGAATGGGGAACGGGGAATGGCTCTGGAGTCAATGCAGGGGAATCGGGCCTCATCTCGAGTTGATTTGGGGCACATGGAGCTGCTTTGCGTTGCTGGGGTGACCTCAGGGTCCGTCTAGACTGGTGACAGTGTTCTTGGGGACTGTCTCGAGATCCATTAAGCAAGTCGAAGCTCCTGACTTGTTTGAATGGGATCACGGAATAGCTCTGCATGCACTGCAGGGGAATGGGGCCTCATCTCGCCTCTAGGGGGAAGTCTCATGGTTTTTCTCGAGTTGCGGCGGGGACCTGGGGTATGTTCTCGACTTACGGCGGGGATGGCCCTTCCAAACACGAGTTTCTTCAGTGACGTCAGGACTCCTGTCTAGTAACGAGGGACACCTCAGGAATCTCTTCGAGGCTTGGCAGGGCAAAAGGGACGCTTCTCGAGGTGAGGCAGGGCACCCAAGGACCCTTTCCAGTAGCCACAGGGATTTTGGGATTCCTATCAGTATTCAAGAGGAGTCAGGCATCGTCACCTTTTGAAGCAATGAACTCCGCGTGCCTCTCGAGGTGTCAGCGGGATGTGAGGCATTCCGTCAAAATGAGGCAGGGACCTAGGGCTTTCTCTAAGGTCTCCACAGGGGATTCAGACATCCCTTCATGTTGTGAGATGAAAGACGAGCCTGTATTCAAGCCACTGCAAGGAAATCCGGCCTCCTTTCAAGTTAGGGCTTCTCGCTGTATATTCCCCTTGAGGCAGCAAACTCGGGGTCCCTCCCACATACCTATTGCTGAGAGAAGCCTCCTCCTGAGGTGCTTCTGGGAAGTTGGCATACGTCTTGAGCCTAAGCCAGGGAATCAGCTCGCATCTCGAGACGATTTGGGGTACACGGAGCATTCCTCGAGTTGCTGTGCTGAAGTTGGTGTTCCTCTAGACTTGGGACAGTGTTCTCGGGGCATCTCTGGAGTTGCCAGAAGGAAGTCGAGCCACCGGTCGTGTTGAATGGGGAACGGGGAATGGCTCTGGAGTCAATGCAGGGGAATCGGGCCTCATCTCGAGTTGATTTGGGGCACATGGAGCTGCTTTGCGTTGCTGGGGTGACCTCAGGGTCCGTCTAGACTGGTGACAGTGTTCTTGGGGACTGTCTCGAGATCCATTAAGCAAGTCGAAGCTCCTGACTTGTTTGAATGGGATCACGGAATAGCTCTGCATGCACTGCAGGGGAATGGGGCCTCATCTCGCCTCTAGGGGGAAGTCTCATGGTTTTTCTCGAGTTGCGGCGGGGACCTGGGGTATGTTCTCGACTTACGGCGGGGATGGCCCTTCAAAACACGAGTTTCTTCAGTGACGTCAGGACTCCTGTCTAGTAACGAGGGACACCTCAGGAATCTCTTCGAGGCTTGGCAGGGCAAAAGGGACGCTTCTCGAGGTGAGGCAGGGCACCCAAGGACCCTTTCCAGTAGCCACAGGGATTTTGGGATTCCTATCAGTATTCAAGAGGAGTCAGGCATCGTCACCTTTTGAAGCAATGAACTCCGCGCGCCTCTCGAGGTGTCAGCGCGATGTGAGGCATTCCGTCAAAATGAGGCAGGGACCTAGGGCTTTCTCTAAGGTCTCCACAGGGGATTCAGACATCCCTTCATGTTGTGAGATGAAAGACGAGCCTGTATTCAAGCCACTGCAAGGAAATCCGGCCTCCTTTCAAGTTAGGGCTTCTCGCTGTATATTCCCCTTGAGGCAGCAAACTCGGGGTCCCTCCCACATACCTATTGCTGAGAGAAGCCTCCTCCTGAGGTGCTTCTGGGAAGTTGGCATACGTCTTGAGCCTAAGCCAGGGAATCAGCTCGCATCTCGAGACGATTTGGGGTACACGGAGCATTCCTCGAGTTGCTGTGCTGAAGTTGGTGTTCCTCTAGGCTTGGGACAGTGTTCTCGGGGCATCTCTGGAGTTGCCAGAAGGAAGTCGAGCCACCGGTCGTGTTGAATGGGGAACGGGGAATGGCTCTGGAGTCAATGCAGGGGAATCGGGCCTCATCTCGAGTTGATTTGGGGCACATGGAGCTGCTTTGCGTTGCTGGGGTGACCTCAGGGTCCGTCTAGACTGGTGACAGTGTTCTTGGGGACTGTCTCGAGGTCCATTAAGCAAGTCGAAGCTCCTGACTTGTTTGAATGGCATCACGGAATAGCTCTGCATGCACTGCAGGGGAATGGGGCCTCATCTCGCCTCTAGGGGGAAGTCTCATGGTTTTTCTCGAGTTGCGGCGGGGACCTGGGGTATGTTCTCGACTTACGGCGGGGATGGCCCTTCAAAACACGAGTTTCTTCAGTGACGTCAGGACTCCTGTCTAGTAACGAGGGACACCTCAGGAATCTCTTCGAGGCTTGGCAGGGCAAAAGGGACGCTTCTCGAGGTGAGGCAGGGCACCCAAGGACCCTTTCCAGTAGCCACAGGGATTTTGGGATTCCTATCAGTATTCATGAGGAGTCAGGCATCGTCACCTTTTGAAGCAATGAACTCCGCGTGCCTCTCGAGGTGTCAGCGGGATGTGAGGCATTCCGTCAAAATGAGGCAGGGAACTAGGGCTTTCTCTAATGTCTCCACAGGGGATTCAGACATCCCTTCATGTTGTGAGATGAAAGACGAGCCTGTATTCAAGCCACTGCAAGGAAATCCGTCCTCCTTTCAAGTTAGGGCTTCTCGCTGTATATTCCCCTTGAGGCAGCAAACTCGGGGTCCCTCCCACATACCTATTGCTGAGAGAAGCCTCCTCCTGAGGTGCTTCTGGGAAGTTGGCATACGTCTTGAGCCTAAGCCAGGGAATCAGCTCGCATCTCGAGACGATTTGGGGTACACGGAGCATTCCTCGAGTTGCTGTGCTGAAGTTGGTGTTCCTCTAGACTTGGGACAGTGTTCTCGGGGCATCTCTGGAGTTGCCTGAAAGAAGTCGAGCCACCGGTCGTGTTGAATGGGGAACGGGGAATGGCTCTGGAGTCAATGCAGGGGAATCGGGCCTCATCTCGAGTTGATTTGGGGCACATGGAGCTGCTTTGCGTTGCTGGGGTGACCTCAGGGTCCGTCTAGACTGGTGACAGTGTTCTTGGGGACTGTCTCGAGATCCATTAAGCAAGTCGAAGCTCCTGACTTGTTTGAATGGGATCACGGAATAGCTCTGCACGCACTGCAGGGGAATGGGGCCTCATCTCGCCTCTAGGGGGAAGTCTCATGGTTTTTCTCGAGTTGCGGCGGGGACCTGGGGTATGTTCTCGACTTACGGCGGGGATGGCCCTTCAAAACACGAGTTTCTTCAGTGACGTCAGGACTCCTGTCTAGTAACGAGGGACACCTCAGGAATCTCTTCGAGGCTTGGCAGGGCAAAAGGGACGCTTCTCGAGGTGAGGCAATGCACCCAAGGACCCTTTCCAGTAGCCACAGGGATTTTGGGATTCCTATCAGTATTCAAGAGGAGTCAGGCATCGTCACCTTTTGAAGCAATGAACTCCGCGTGCCTCTCGAGGTGTCAGCGGGATGTGAGGCATTCCGGCAAAATGAGGCAGGGACCTAGGGCTTTCTCTAAGGTCTCCACAGGGGATTCAGACATCCCTTCATGTTGTGAGATGAAAGACGAGCCTGTGTTCAAGCCACTGCAAGGAAATCCGGCCTCCTTTCAAGTTAGGGCTTCTCGCTGTATATTCCCCTTGAGGCAGCAAACTCGGGGTCCCTCCCACATACCTATTGCTGAGAGAAGCCTCCTCCTGAGGTGCTTCTGGGAAGTTGGCATACGTCTTGAGCCTAAGCCAGGGAATCAGCTCGCATCTCGAGACGATTTGGGGTACACGGAGCATTCCTCGAGTTGCTGTGCTGAAGTTGGTGTTCCTCTAGGCTTGGGACAGTGTTCTCGGGGCATCTCTGGAGTTGCCTGAAGGAAGTCGAGCCACCGGTCGTGTTGAATGGGGAATGGGGAATGGCTCTGGAGTCAATGCAGGGGAATCGGGCCTCATCTCGAGTTGATTTGGGGCACATGGAGCTGCTTTGCGTTGCTGGGGTGACCTCAGGGTCCGTCTAGACTGGTGACAGTGTTCTTGGGGACTGTCTCGAGGTCCATTAAGCAAGTCGAAGCTCCTGACTTGTTTGAATGGGATCACGGAATAGCTCTGCATGCACTTCAGGGGAATGGGGCCTCATCTCGCCTCTAGGGGGAAGTCTCATGGTTTTTCTCGAGTTGCGGCGGGGACCTGGGGTATGTTCTCGACTTACGGCGGGGATGTCCCTTCAAAACACGAGTTTCTTCAGTGACGTCAGGACTCCTGTCTAGTAACGAGGGACACCTCAGGAATCTCTTCGAGGCTTGGCAGGGCAAAAGGGACGCTTCTCGAGGTGAGGCAGGGCACCCAAGGACCCTTTCCAGTAGCCACAGGGATTTTGGGATTCCTATCAGTATTCATGAGGAGTCAGGCATCGTCACCTTCTGAAGCAATGAACTCCGCGTGCCTCTCGAGGTGTCAGCAGGATGTGAGGCATTCCGTCAAAATGAGGCAGGGACCTAGGGCTTTCTCTAAGGTCTCCACAGGGGATTCAGACATCCCTTCATGTTGTGAGATGAAAGACGAGCCTGTATTCAAGCCACTGCAAGGAAATCCGGCCTCCTTTCAAGTTAGGGCTTCTCGCTGTATATTCCCCTTGAGGCAGCAAACTCGGGGTCCCTCCCACATACCTATTGCTGAGAGAAGCCTCCTCCTGAGGTGCTTCTGGGAAGTTGGCATACGTCTTGAGCCTAAGCCAGGGAATCAGCTCGCATCTCGAGACGATTTGGGGTACACGGAGCATTCCTCGAGTTGCTGTGCTGAAGTTGGTGTTCCTCTAGACTTGGGACAGTGTTCTCGGGGCATCTCTGGAGTTGCCTGAAGGAAGTCGAGCCACCGGTCGTGTTGAATGGGGAACGGGGAATGGCTCTGGAGTCAATGCAGGGGAATCGGGCCTCATCTGGAGTTGATTTGGGGCACATGGAGCTGCTTTGCGTTGCTGGGGTGACCTCAGGGTCCGTCTAGACTGGTGACAGTGTTCTTGGGGACTGTCTCGAGATCCATTAAGCAAGTCGAAGCTCCTGACTTGTTTGAATGGGATCACGGAATAGCTCTGCATGCACTGCAGGGGAATGGGGCCTCATCTCGCCTCTAGGGGGAAGTCTCATGGTTTTTCTCGAGTTGCGGCGGGGACCTGGGGTATGTTCTCGACTTACGGCGGGGATGGCCCTTCAAAACACGAGTTTCTTCAGTGACGTCAGGACTCCTGTCTAGTAACGAGGGACACCTCAGGAATCTCTTCGAGGCTTGGCAGGGCAAAAGGGACGCTTCTCGAGGTGAGGCAGGGCACCCAAGGACCCTTTCCAGTAGCCACAGGGATTTTGGGATTCCTATCAGTATTCAAGAGGAGTCAGGCATCGTCACCTTTTGAAGCAATGAACTCCGCGTGCCTCTCGAGGTGTCAGAGCGATGTGAGGCATTCCGTCAAAATGAGTCAGGGACCTAGGGCTTTCTCTAAGGTCTCCACAGGGGATTCAGACATCCCTTCATGTTGTGAGATGAAAGACGAGCCTGTATTCAAGCCACTGCAAGGAAATCCGGCCTCCTTTCAAGTTAGGGCTTCTCGCTGTATATTCCCCTTGAGGCAGCAAACTCGGGGTCCCTCCCACATACCTATTGCTGAGAGAAGCCTCCTCCTGAGGTGCTTCTGGGAAGTTGGCATACGTCTTGAGCCTAAGCCAGGGAATCAGCTCGCATCTCGAGACGATTTGGGGTACACGGAGCATTCCTCGAGTTGCTGTGCTGTAGTTGGTGTTCCTCTAGACTTGGGACAGTGTTCTCGGGGCATCTCTGGAGTTGCCTGAAGGAAGTCGAGCCACCGGTCGTGTTGAATGGGGAACGGGGAATGGCTCTGGAGTCAATGCAGGGGAATCGGGCCTCATCTCGAGTTGATTTGGAGCACATGGAGCTGCTTTGCGTTGCTGGGGTGACCTCAGGGTCCGTCTAGACTGGTGACAGTGTTCTTGGGGACTGTCTCGAGATCCATTAAGCAAGTCGAAGCTCCTGACTTGTTTGAATGGGATCACGGAATAGCTCTTCATGCACTGCAGGGGAATGGGGCCTCATCTCGCCTCTAGGGGGAAGTCTCATGGTTTTTCTCGAGTTGCGGCGGGGACCTGGGGTATGTTCTCGACTTACGGCGGGGATGGCCCTTCAAAACACGAGTTTCTTCAGTGACGTCAGGACTCCTGTCTAGTAACGAGGGACACCTCAGGAATCTCTTCGAGGCTTGGCAGGGCAAAAGGGATGCTTCTCGAGGTGAGGCAGGGCACCCAAGGACCCTTTCCAGTAGCCACAGGTATTTTGGGATTCCTATCAGTATTCAAGAGGAGTCAGGCATCGTCACCTTTTGAAGCAATGAACTCCACGTGCCTCTCGAGGTGTCAGCGGGATGTGAGGCATTCCGTCAAAATGAGGCAGGGACCTAGGGCTTTCTCTAAGGTCTCCACAGGGGATTCAGACATCCCTTCATGTTGTGAGATGAAAGACGAGCCTGTATTCAAGCCACTGCAAGGAAATCCGGCCTCCTTTCAAGTTAGGGCTTCTCGCTGTATATTCCCCTTGAGGCATCAAACTCGGGGTCCCTCCCACATACCTATTGCTGAGAGAAGCCTCCTCCTGAGGTGCTTCTGGGAAGTTGGCATACGTCTTGAGCCTAAGCCAGGGAATCAGCTCGCATCTCGAGACGATTTGGGGTACACGGAGCATTCCTCGAGTTGCTGTGCTGAAGTTGGTGTTCCTCTAGACTTGGGACAGTGTTCTCGGGGCATCTCTGGAGTTGCCTGAAGGAAGTCGAGCCACCGGTCGTGTTGAATGGGGAACGGGGAATGGCTCTGGAGTCAATGCAGGGGAATCGGGCCTCATCTCGAGTTGATTTGGGGCACATGGAGCTGCTTTGCGTTGCTGGGGTGACCTCAGGTTCCGTCTAGACTGGTGACAGTGTTCTTGGGGACTGTCTCGAGATCCATTAAGCAAGTCGAAGCTCCTGACTTGTTTGAATGGGATCACGGTATAGCTCTGCATGCACTGCAGGGGAATGGGGCATCATTTCGCCTCTAGGGGGAAGTCTCATGGTTTTTCTCGAGTTGCGGCGGGGACCTGGGGTATGTTCTCGACTTACGGCGGGGATGGCCCTTCAAAACACGAGTTTCTTCAGTGACGTCAGGACTCCTGTCTAGTAACGAGGGACACCTCAGGAATCTCTTCGAGGCTTGGCAGGGCAAAAGGGACGCTTCTCGAGGTGAGGCAGGGCACCCAAGGACCCTTTCCAGTAGCCACAGGGATTTTGGGATTCCTATCAGTATTCAAGAGGAGTCAGGCATCGTCACCTTTTGAAGCAATGAACTCCGCGTGCCTCTCGAGGTGTCAGCGCGATGTGAGGCATTCCGTCAAAATGAGGCAGGGACCTAGGGCTTTCTCTAAGGTCTCCACAGGGGATTCAGACATCCCTTCATGTTGTGAGATGAAAGACGAGGCTGTATTCAAGCCACTGCAAGGAAATCCGGCCTCCTTTCAAGTTAGGGCTTCTCGCTGTATATTCCCCTTGAGGCAGCAAACTCGGGGTCCCTCCCACATACCTATTGCTGAGAGAAGCCTCCTCCTGAGGTGCTTCTGGGAAGTTGGCATACGTCTTGAGCCTAAGCCAGGGAATCAGCTCGCATCTCGAGACGATTTGGGGTACACGGAGCATTCCTCGAGTTGCTGTGCTGTAGTTGGTGTTCCTCTAGACTTGGGACAGTGTTCTCGGGGCATCTCTGGAGTTGCCTGAAGGAAGTCGAGCCACCGGTCGTGTTGAATGGGGAACGGGGAATGGCTCTGGAGTCAATGCAGGGGAATCGGGCCTCATCTCGAGTTGATTTGGAGCACATGGAGCTGCTTTGCGTTGCTGGGGTGACCTCAGGGTCCGTCTAGACTGGTGACAGTGTTCTTGGGGACTGTCTCGAGATCCATTAAGCAAGTCGAAGCTCCTGACTTGTTTGAATGGGATCACGGAATAGCTCTTCATGCACTGCAGGGGAATGGGGCCTCATCTCGCCTCTAGGGGGAAGTCTCATGGTTTTTCTCGAGTTGCGGCGGGGACCTGGGGTATGTTCTCGACTTACGGCGGGGATGGCCCTTCAAAACACGAGTTTCTTCAGTGACGTCAGGACTCCTGTCTAGTAACGAGGGACACCTCAGGAATCTCTTCGAGGCTTGGCAGGGCAAAAGGGATGCTTCTCGAGGTGAGGCAGGGCACCCAAGGACCCTTTCCAGTAGCCACAGGTATTTTGGGATTCCTATCAGTATTCAAGAGGAGTCAGGCATCGTCACCTTTTGAAGCAATGAACTCCACGTGCCTCTCGAGGTGTCAGCGGGATGTGAGGCATTCCGTCAAAATGAGGCAGGGACCTAGGGCTTTCTCTAAGGTCTCCACAGGGGATTCAGACATCCCTTCATGTTGTGAGATGAAAGACGAGCCTGTATTCAAGCCACTGCAAGGAAATCCGGCCTCCTTTCAAGTTAGGGCTTCTCGCTGTATATTCCCCTTGAGGCATCAAACTCGGGGTCCCTCCCACATACCTATTGCTGAGAGAAGCCTCCTCCTGAGGTGCTTCTGGGAAGTTGGCATACGTCTTGAGCCTAAGCCAGGGAATCAGCTCGCATCTCGAGACGATTTGGGGTACACGGAGCATTCCTCGAGTTGCTGTGCTGAAGTTGGTGTTCCTCTAGACTTGGGACAGTGTTCTCGGGGCATCTCTGGAGTTGCCTGAAGGAAGTCGAGCCACCGGTCGTGTTGAATGGGGAACGGGGAATGGCTCTGGAGTCAATGCAGGGGAATCGGGCCTCATCTCGAGTTGATTTGGGGCACATGGAGCTGCTTTGCGTTGCTGGGGTGACCTCAGGGTCCGTCTAGACTGGTGACAGTGTTCTTGGGGACTGTCTCGAGATCCATTAAGCAAGTCGAAGCTCCTGACTTGTTTGAATGGGATCACGGAATAGCTCTGCATGCACTGCAGGGGAATGGGGCATCATTTCGCCTCTAGGGGGAAGTCTCATGGTTTTTCTCGAGTTGCGGCGGGGACCTGGGGTATGTTCTCGACTTACGGCGGGGATGGCCCTTCAAAACACGAGTTTCTTCAGTGACGTCAGGACTCCTGTCTAGTAACGAGGGACACCTCAGGAATCTCTTCGAGGCTTGGCAGGGCAAAAGGGACGCTTCTCGAGGTGAGGCAGGGCACCCAAGGACCCTTTCCAGTAGCCACAGGGATTTTGGGATTCCTATCAGTATTCAAGAGGAGTCAGGCATCGTCACCTTTTGAAGCAATGAACTCCGCGTGCCTCTCGAGGTGTCAGCGCGATGTGAGGCATTCCGTCAAAATGAGGCAGGGACCTAGGGCTTTCTCTAAGGTCTCCACAGGGGATTCAGACATCCCTTCATGTTGTGAGATGAAAGACGAGCCTGTATTCAAGCCACTGCAAGGAAATCCGGCCTCCTTTCAAGTTAGGGCTTCTCGCTGTATATTCCCCTTGAGGCAGCAAACTCGGGGTCCCTCCCACATACCTATTGCTGAGAGAAGCCTCCTCCTGAGGTGCTTCTGGGAAGTTGGCATACGTCTTGAGCCTAAGCCAGGGAATCAGCTCGCATCTCGAGACGATTTGGGGTACACGGAGGATTCCTCGAGTTGCTGTGCTGTAGTTGGTGTTCCTCTAGACTTGGGACAGTGTTCTCGGGGCATCTCTGGAGTTGCCTGAAGGAAGTCGAGCCACCGGTCGTGTTGAATGGGGAACGGGGAATGGCTCTGGAGTCAATGCAGGGGAATCGGGCCTCATCTCGAGTTGATTTGGAGCACATGGAGCTGCTTTGCGTTGCTGGGGTGACCTCAGGGTCCGTCTAGACTGGTGACAGTGTTCTTGGGGACTGTCTCGAGATCCATTAAGCAAGTCGAAGCTCCTGACTTGTTTGAATGGGATCACGGAATAGCTCTTCATGCACTGCAGGGGAATGGGGCCTCATCTCGCCTCTAGGGGGAAGTCTCATGGTTTTTCTCGAGTTGCGGCGGGGACCTGGGGTATGTTCTCGACTTACGGCGGGGATGGCCCTTCAAAACACGAGTTTCTTCAGTGACGTCAGGACTCCTGTCTAGTAACGAGGGACACCTCAGGAATCTCTTCGAGGCTTGGCAGGGCAAAAGGGATGCTTCTCGAGGTGAGGCAGGGCACCCAAGGACCCTTTCCAGTAGCCACAGGGATTTTGGGATTCCTATCAGTATTCAAGAGGAGTCAGGCATCGTCACCTTTTGAAGCAATGAACTCCGCGTGCCTCTCGAGGTGTCAGCGGGATGTGAGGCATTCCGTCAAAATGAGGCAGGGACCTAGGGCTTTCTCTAAGGTCTCCACAGGGGATTCAGACATCCCTTCATGTTGTGAGATGAAAGACGAGCCTGTATTCAAGCCACTGCAAGGAAATCCGGCCTCCTTTCAAGTTAGGGCTTCTCGCTGTATATTCCCCTTGAGGCATCAAACTCGGGGTCCCTCCCACATACCTATTGCTGAGAGAAGCCTCCTCCTGAGGTGCTTCTGGGAAGTTGGCATACGTCTTGAGCCTAAGCCAGGGAATCAGCTCGCATCTCGAGACGATTTGGGGTACACGGAGCATTCCTCCAGTTGCTGTGCTGAAGTTGGTGTTCCTCTAGACTTGGGACAGTGTTCTCGGGGCATCTCTGGAGTTGCCTGAAGGAAGTCGAGCCACCGGTCGTGTTGAATGGGGAACGGGGAATGGCTCTGGAGTCAATGCAGGGGAATCGGGCCTCATCTCGAGTTGATTTGGGGCACATGGAGCTGCTTTGCGTTGCTGGGGTGACCTCAGGGTCCGTCTAGACTGGTGACAGTGTTCTTGGGGACTGTCTCGAGATCCATTAAGCAAGTCGAAGCTCCTGACTTGTTTGAATGGGATCACGGAATAGCTCTGCATGCACTGCAGGGGAATGGGGCCTCATCTCGCCTCTAGGGGGAAGTCTCATGGTTTTTCTCAAGTTGCGGCGGGGACCTGGGGTATGTTCTCGACTTACGGCGGGGATGGCCCTTCAAAACACGAGTTTCTTCAGTGACGTCAGGACTCCTGTCTAGTAACGAGGGACACCTCAGGAATCTCTTCGAGGCTTGGCAGGGCAAAAGGGACGCTTCTCGAGGTGAGGCAGGGCACCCAAGGACCCTTTCCAGTAGCCACAGGGATTTTGGGATTCCTATCAGTATTCAAGAGGAGTCAGGCATCGTCACCTTTTGAAGCAATGAACTCCGCGTGCCTCTCGAGGTGTCAGCGCGATGTGAGGCATTCCGTCAAAATGAGGCAGGGACCTAGGGCTTTCTCTAAGGTCTCCACAGGGGATTCAGACATCCCTTCATGTTGTGAGATGAAAGACGAGCCTGTATTCAAGCCACTGCAAGGAAATCCGGCCTCCTTTCAAGTTAGGGCTTCTCGCTGTATATTCCCCTTGAGGCAGCAAACTCGGGGTCCCTCCCACATAACTATTGCTGAGAGAAGCCTCCTCCTGAGGTGCTTCTGGGAAGTTGGCATACGTCTTGAGCCTAAGCCAGGGAATCAGCTCGCATCTCGAGACGATTTGGGGTACACGGAGCATTCCTCGAGTTGCTGTGCTGAAGTTGGTGTTCCTCTAGACTTGGGACAGTGTTCTCGGGGCATCTCTGGAGTTGCCTGAAGGAAGTCGAGCCACCGGTCGTGTTGAATGGGGAACGGGGAATGGCTCTGGAGTCAATGCAGGGGAATCGGGCCTCATCTCGAGTTGATTTGGGGCACATGGAGCTGCTTTGCGTTGCTGGGGTGACCTCAGGGTCCGTCTAGACTGGTGACAGTGTTCTTGGGGACTGTCTCGAGATCCATTAAGCAAGTCGAAGCTCCTGACTTGTTTGAATGGGATCACGGAATAGCTCTGCATGCACTGCAGGGGAATGGGGCCTCATCTCGCCTCTAGGGGGAAGTCTCATGGTTTTTCTCGAGTTGCGGCGGGGACCTGGGGTATGTTCTCGACTTACGGCGGGGATGGCCCTTCAAAACACGAGTTTCTTCAGTGACGTCAGGACTCCTGTCTAGTAACGAGGGACACCTCAGGAATCTCTTCGAGGCTTGGCAGGGCAAAAGGGACGCTTCTCGAGGTGAGGCAGGGCACCCAAGGACCCTTTCCAGTAGCCACAGGGATTTTGGGATTCCTATCAGTATTCAAGAGGAGTCAGGCATCGTCACCTTTTGAAGCAATGAACTCCGCGTGCCTCTCGAGGTGTCAGCGGGATGTGAGGCATTCCGTCAAAATGAGGCAGGGACCTAGGGCTTTCTCTAAGGTCTCCACAGGGGATTCAGACATCCCTTCATGTTGTGAGATGAAAGACGAGCCTGTATTCAAGCCACTGCAAGGAAATCCGGCCTCCTTTCAAGTTAGGGCTTCTCGCTGTATATTCCCCTTGAGGCAGCAAACTCGGGGTCCCTCCCACATACCTATTGCTGAGAGAAGCCTCCTCCTGAGGTGCTTCTGGGAAGTTGGCATACGTCTTGAGCCTAAGCCAGGGAATCAGCTCGCATCTCGAGACGATTTGGGGTACACGGAGCATTCCTCGAGTTGCTGTGCTGAAGTTGGTGTTCCTCTAGGCTTGGGACAGTGTTCTCAGGGCATCTCTGGAGTTGCCGGAAGGAAGTCGAGCCACCGGTCGTGTTGAATGGGGAACGGGGAATGGCTCTGGAGTCAATGCAGGGGAATCGGGCCTCATCTCGAGTTGATTTGGGGCACATGGAGCTGCTTTGCGTTGCTGGGGTGACCTCAGGGTCCGTCTAGACTGGTGACAGTGTTCTTGGGGACTGTCTCGAGATCCATTAAGCAAGTCGAAGCTCCTGACTTGTTTGAATGGGATCACGGAATAGCTCTGCATGCACTGCAGGGGAATGGGGCCTCATCTCGCCTCTAGGGGGAAGTCTCATGGTTTTTCTCGAGTTGCGGCGGGGACCTGGGGTATGTTCTCGACTTACGGCGGGGATGGCCCTTCAAAACACGAGTTTCTTCAGTGACGTCAGGACTCCTGTCTAGTAACGAGGGACACCTCAGGAATCTCTTCGAGGCTTGGCAGGGCAAAAGGGACGCTTCTCGAGGTGAGGCAGGGCACCCAAGGACCCTTTCCAGTAGCCACAGGGATTTTGGGATTCCTATCAGTATTCAAGAGAAGTCAGGCATCGTCACCTTTTGAAGCAATGAACTCCGCGTGCCTCTCGAGGTGTCAGCGGGATGTGAGGCATTCCGTCAAAATGAGGCAGGGACCTAGGGCTTTCTCTAAGGTCTCCACAGGGGATTCAGACATCCCTTCATGTTGTGAGATGAAAGACGAGCCTGTATTCAAGCCACAGCAAGGAAATCCGGCCTCCTTTCAAGTTAGGGCTTCTCGCTGTATATTCCCCTTGAGGCAGCAAACTCGGGGTCCCTCCCACATACCTATTGCTGAGAGAAGCCTCCTCCTGAGGTGCTTCTGGGAAGTTGGCATACGTCTTGAGCCTAAGCCAGGGAATCAGCTCGCATCTCGAAACGATTTGGGGTACACGGAGCATTCCTCGAGTTGCTGTGCTGAAGTTGGTGTTCCTCTAGACTTGGGACAGTGTTCTCGGGGCATCTCTGGAGTTGCCTGAAGGTAGTCGAGCCACCGGTCGTGTTGAATGGGGAACGGGGAATGGCTCTGGAGTCAATGCAGGGGAATCAGGCCTCATCTCGAGTTGATTTGGGGCACATGGAGCTACTTTGCGTTGCTGGGGTGACCTCAGGGTCCGTCTAGACTGGTGACAGTGTTCTTGGGGACTGTCTCGAGATCCATTAAGCAAGTCGAAGCTCCTGACTTGTTTGAATGGGATCACGGAATAGCTCTGCATGCACTGCAGGGGAATGGGGCCTCATCTCGCCTCTAGGGGGAAGTCTCATGGTTTTTCTCGAGTTGCGGCGGGGACCTGGGGTATGTTCTCGACTTACGGCGGGGATGGCCCTTCAAAACACGAGTTTCTTCAGTGACGTCAGGACTCCTGTCTAGTAACGAGGGACACCTCAGGAATCTCTTCGAGGCTTGGCAGGGCAAAAGGGACGCTTCTCGAGGTGAGGCAGGGCACCCAAGGACCCTTTCCAGTAGCCACAGGGATTTTGGGATTCCTATCAGTATTCAAGAGGAGTCAGGCATCGTCACCTTTTGAAGCAATGAACTCCGCGTGCCTCTCGAGGTGTCAGCGGGATGTGAGGCATTCCGTCAAAATGAGGCAGGGACCTAGGGCTTTCTCTACGGTCTCCACAGGGGATTCAGACATCCCTTCATGTTGTGAGATGAAAGACGAGCCTGTATTCAAGCCACTGCAAGGAAATCCGGCCTCCTTTCAAGTTAGGGCTTCTCGCTGTATATTCCCCTTGAGGCAGCAAACTCGGGGTCCCTCCCACATACCTATTGCTGAGAGAAGCCTCCTCCTGAGGTGCTTCTGGGAAGTTGGCATACGTCTTGAGCCTAAGCCAGGGAATCAGCTCGCATCTCGAGACGATTTGGGGTACACGGAGCATTCCTCGAGTTGCTGTGCTGAAGTTGGTGTTCCTCTAGACTTGGGACAGTGTTCTCGGGGCATCTCTGGAGTTGCCAGAAGGAAGTCGAGCCACCGGTCGTGTTGAATGGGGAACGGGGAATGGCTCTGGAGTCAATGCAGGGGAATCGGGCCTCATCTCGAGTTGATTTGGGGCACATGGAGCTGCTTTGCGTTGCTGGGGTGACCTCAGGGTCCGTCTAGACTGGTGACAGTGTTCTTGGGGACTGTCTCGAGGTCCATTAAGCAAGTCGAAGCTCCTGACTTGTTTGAATGGCATCACGGAATAGCTCTGCATGCACTGCAGGGGAATGGGGCCTCATCTCGCCTCTAGGGGGAAGTCTCATGGTTTTTCTCGAGTTGCGGCGGGGACCTGGGGTATGTTCTCGACTTACGGCGGGGATGGCCCTTCAAAACACGAGTTTCTTCAGTGACGTCAGGACTCCTGTCTAGTAACGAGGGACACCTCAGGAATCTCTTCGAGGCTTGGCAGGGCAAAAGGGACGCTTCTCGAGGTGAGGCAGGGCACCCAAGGACCCTTTCCAGTAGCCACAGGGATTTTGGGATTCCTATCAGTATTCATGAGGAGTCAGGCATCGTCACCTTTTGAAGCAATGAACTCCGCGTGCCTCTCGAGGTGTCAGCGGGATGTGAGGCATTCCGTCAAAATGAGGCAGGGAACTAGGGCTTTCTCTAATGTCTCCACAGGGGATTCAGACATCCCTTCATGTTGTGAGATGAAAGACGAGCCTGTATTCAAGCCACTGCAAGGAAATCCGGCCTCCTTTCAAGTTAGGGCTTCTCGCTGTATATTCCCCTTGAGGCAGCAAACTCGGGGTCCCTCCCACATACCTATTGCTGAGAGAAGCCTCCTCCTGAGGTGCTTCTGGGAAGTTGGCATACGTCTTGAGCCTAAGCCAGGGAATCAGCTCGCATCTCGAGACGATTTGGGGTACACGGAGCATTCCTCGAGTTGCTGTGCTGAAGTTGGTGTTCCTCTAGACTTGGGACAGTGTTCTCGGGGCATCTCTGGAGTTGCCTGAAAGAAGTCGAGCCACCGGTCGTGTTGAATGGGGAACGGGGAATGGCTCTGGAGTCAATGCAGGGGAATCGGGCCTCATCTCGAGTTGATTTGGGGCACATGGAGCTGCTTTGCGTTGCTGGGGTGACCTCAGGGTCCGTCTAGACTGGTGACAGTGTTCTTGGGGACTGTCTCGAGATCCATTAAGCAAGTCGAAGCTCCTGACTTGTTTGAATGGGATCACGGAATAGCTCTGCACGCACTGCAGGGGAATGGGGCCTCATCTCGCCTCTAGGGGGAAGTCTCATGGTTTTTCTCGAGTTGCGGCGGGGACCTGGGGTATGTTCTCGACTTACGGCGGGGATGGCCCTTCAAAACACGAGTTTCTTCAGTGACGTCAGGACTCCTGTCTAGTAACGAGGGACACCTCAGGAATCTCTTCGAGGCTTGGCAGGGCAAAAGGGACGCTTCTCGAGGTGAGGCAATGCACCCAAGGACCCTTTCCAGTAGCCACAGGGATTTTGGGATTCCTATCAGTATTCAAGAGGAGTCAGGCATCGTCACCTTTTGAAGCAATGAACTCCGCGTGCCTCTCGAGGTGTCAGCGGGATGTGAGGCATTCCGGCAAAATGAGGCAGGGACCTAGGGCTTTCTCTAAGGTCTCCACAGGGGATTCAGACATCCCTTCATGTTGTGAGATGAAAGACGAGCCTGTGTTCAAGCCACTGCAAGGAAATCCGGCCTCCTTTCAAGTTAGGGCTTCTCGCTGTATATTCCCCTTGAGGCAGCAAACTCGGGGTCCCTCCCACATACCTATTGCTGAGAGAAGCCTCCTCCTGAGGTGCTTCTGGGAAGTTGGCATACGTCTTGAGCCTAAGCCAGGGAATCAGCTCGCATCTCGAGACGATTTGGGGTACACGGAGCATTCCTCGAGTTGCTGTGCTGAAGTTGGTGTTCCTCTAGGCTTGGGACAGTGTTCTCGGGGCATCTCTGGAGTTGCCTGAAGGAAGTCGAGCCACCGGTCGTGTTGAATGGGGAATGGGGAATGGCTCTGGAGTCAATGCAGGGGAATCGGGCCTCATCTCGAGTTGATTTGGGGCACATGGAGCTGCTTTGCGTTGCTGGGGTGACCTCAGGGTCCGTCTAGACTGGTGACAGTGTTCTTGGGGACTGTCTCGAGGTCCATTAAGCAAGTCGAAGCTCCTGACTTGTTTGAATGGGATCACGGAATAGCTCTGCATGCACTTCAGGGGAATGGGGCCTCATCTCGCCTCTAGGGGGAAGTCTCATGGTTTTTCTCGAGTTGCGGCGGGGACCTGGGGTATGTTCTCGACTTACGGCGGGGATGTCCCTTCAAAACACGAGTTTCTTCAGTGACGTCAGGACTCCTGTCTAGTAACGAGGGACACCTCAGGAATCTCTTCGAGGCTTGGCAGGGCAAAAGGGACGCTTCTCGAGGTGAGGCAGGGCACCCAAGGACCCTTTCCAGTAGCCACAGGGATTTTGGGATTCCTATCAGTATTCATGAGGAGTCAGGCATCGTCACCTTCTGAAGCAATGAACTCCGCGTGCCTCTCGAGGTGTCAGCAGGATGTGAGGCATTCCGTCAAAATGAGGCAGGGACCTAGGGCTTTCTCTAAGGTCTCCACAGGGGATTCAGACATCCCTTCATGTTGTGAGATGAAAGACGAGCCTGTATTCAAGCCACTGCAAGGAAATCCGGCCTCCTTTCAAGTTAGGGCTTCTCGCTGTATATTCCCCTTGAGGCAGCAAACTCGGGGTCCCTCCCACATACCTATTGCTGAGAGAAGCCTCCTCCTGAGGTGCTTCTGGGAAGTTGGCATACGTCTTGAGCCTAAGCCAGGGAATCAGCTCGCATCTCGAGACGATTTGGGGTACACGGAGCATTCCTCGAGTTGCTGTGCTGAAGTTGGTGTTCCTCTAGACTTGGGACAGTGTTCTCGGGGCATCTCTGGAGTTGCCTGAAGGAAGTCGAGCCACCGGTCGTGTTGAATGGGGAACGGGGAATGGCTCTGGAGTCAATGCAGGGGAATCGGGCCTCATCTCGAGTTGATTTGGGGCACATGGAGCTGCTTTGCGTTGCTGGGGTGACCTCAGGGTCCGTCTAGACTGGTGACAGTGTTCTTGGGGACTGTCTCGAGGTCCATTAAGCAAGTCGAAGCTCCTGACTTGTTTGAATGGGATCACGGAATAGCTCTGCATGCACTGCAGGGGAATGGGGCCTCATCTCGCCTCTAGGGGGAAGTCTCATGGTTTTTCTCGAGTTGCGGCGGGGACCTGGGGTATGTTCTCGACTTACGGCGGGGATGGCCCTTCAAAACACGAGTTTCTTCAGTGACGTCAGGACTCCTGTCTAGTAACGAGGGACACCTCAGGAATCTCTTCGAGGCTTGGCAGGGCAAAAGGGACGCTTCTCGAGGTGAGGCAGGGCACCCAAGGACCCTTTCCAGTAGCCACAGGGATTTTGGGATTCCTATCAGTATTCAAGAGGAGTCAGGCATCGTCACCTTTTGAAGCAATGAACTCCGCGTGCCTCTCGAGGTGTCAGCGCGATGTGAGGCATTCCGTCAAAATGAGGCAGGGACCTAGGGCTTTCTCTAAGGTCTCCACAGGGGATTCAGACATCCCTTCATGTTGTGAGATGAAAGACGAGCCTGTATTCAAGCCACTGCAAGGAAATCCGGCCTCCTTTCAAGTTAGGGCTTCTCGCTGTATATTCCCCTTGAGGCAGCAAACTCGGGGTCCCTCCCACATACCTATTGCTGAGAGAAGCCTCCTCCTGAGGTGCTTCTGGGAAGTTGGCATACGTCTTGAGCCTAAGCCAGGGAATCAGCTCGCATCTCGAGACGATTTGGGGTACACGGAGCATTCCTCGAGTTGCTGTGCTGAAGTTGGTGTTCCTCTAGACTTGGGACAGTGTTCTCGGGGCATCTCTGGAGTTGCCTGAAGGAAGTCGAGCCACCGGTCGTGTTGAATGGGGAACGGGGAATGGCTCTGGAGTCAATGCAGGGGAATCGGGCCTCATCTGGAGTTGATTTGGGGCACATGGAGCTGCTTTGCGTTGCTGGGGTGACCTCAGGGTCCGTCTAGACTGGTGACAGTGTTCTTGGGGACTGTCTCGAGATCCATTAAGCAAGTCGAAGCTCCTGACTTGTTTGAATGGGATCACGGAATAGCTCTGCATGCACTGCAGGGGAATGGGGCCTCATCTCGCCTCTAGGGGGAAGTCTCATGGTTTTTCTCGAGTTGCGGCGGGGACCTGGGGTATGTTCTCGACTTACGGCGGGGATGGCCCTTCAAAACACGAGTTTCTTCAGTGACGTCAGGACTCCTGTCTAGTAACGAGGGACACCTCAGGAATCTCTTCGAGGCTTGGCAGGGCAAAAGGGACGCTTCTCGAGGTGAGGCAGGGCACCCAAGGACCCTTTCCAGTAGCCACAGGGATTTTGGGATTCCTATCAGTATTCAAGAGGAGTCAGGCATCGTCACCTTTTGAAGCAATGAACTCCGCGTGCCTCTCGAGGTGTCAGAGCGATGTGAGGCATTCCGTCAAAATGAGTCAGGGACCTAGGGCTTTCTCTAAGGTCTCCACAGGGGATTCAGACATCCCTTCATGTTGTGAGATGAAAGACGAGCCTGTATTCAAGCCACTGCAAGGAAATCCGGCCTCCTTTCAAGTTAGGGCTTCTCGCTGTATATTCCCCTTGAGGCAGCAAACTCGGGGTCCCTCCCACATACCTATTGCTGAGAGAAGCCTCCTCCTGAGGTGCTTCTGGGAAGTTGGCATACGTCTTGAGCCTAAGCCAGGGAATCAGCTCGCATCTCGAGACGATTTGGGGTACACGGAGCATTCCTCGAGTTGCTGTGCTGTAGTTGGTGTTCCTCTAGACTTGGGACAGTGTTCTCGGGGCATCTCTGGAGTTGCCTGAAGGAAGTCGAGCCACCGGTCGTGTTGAATGGGGAACGGGGAATGGCTCTGGAGTCAATGCAGGGGAATCGGGCCTCATCTCGAGTTGATTTGGAGCACATGGAGCTGCTTTGCGTTGCTGGGGTGACCTCAGGGTCCGTCTAGACTGGTGACAGTGTTCTTGGGGACTGTCTCGAGATCCATTAAGCAAGTCGAAGCTCCTGACTTGTTTGAATGGGATCACGGAATAGCTCTGCATGCACTGCAGGGGAATGGGGCCTCATCTCGCCTCTAGGGGGAAGTCTCATGGTTTTTCTCGAGTTGCGGCGGGGACCTGGGGTATGTTCTCGACTTACGGCGGGGATGGCCCTTCAAAACACGAGTTTCTTCAGTGACGTCAGGACTCCTGTCTAGTAACGAGGGACACCTCAGGAATCTCTTCGAGGCTTGGCAGGGCAAAAGGGATGCTTCTCGAGGTGAGGCAGGGCACCCAAGGACCCTTTCCAGTAGCCACAGGTATTTTGGGATTCCTATCAGTATTCAAGAGGAGTCAGGCATCGTCACCTTTTGAAGCAATGAACTCCACGTGCCTCTCGAGGTGTCAGCGGGATGTGAGGCATTCCGTCAAAATGAGGCAGGGACCTAGGGCTTTCTCTAAGGTCTCCACAGGGGATTCAGACATCCCTTCATGTTGTGAGATGAAAGACGAGCCTGTATTCAAGCCACTACAAGGAAATCCGGCCTCCTTTCAAGTTAGGGCTTCTCGCTGTATATTCCCCTTGAGGCATCAAACTCGGGGTCCCTCCCACATACCTATTGCTGAGAGAAGCCTCCTCCTGAGGTGCTTCTGGGAAGTTGGCATACGTCTTGAGCCTAAGCCAGGGAATCAGCTCGCATCTCGAGACGATTTGGGGTACACGGAGCATTCCTCGAGTTGCTGTGCTGAAGTTGGTGTTCCTCTAGACTTGGGACAGTGTTCTCGGGGCATCTCTGGAGTTGCCTGAAGGAAGTCGAGCCACCGGTCGTGTTGAATGGGGAACGGGGAATGGCTCTGGAGTCAATGCAGGGGAATCGGGCCTCATCTCGAGTTGATTTGGGGCACATGGAGCTGCTTTGCGTTGCTGGGGTGACCTCAGGTTCCGTCTAGACTGGTGACAGTGTTCTTGGGGACTGTCTCGAGATCCATTAAGCAAGTCGAAGCTCCTGACTTGTTTGAATGGGATCACGGTATAGCTCTGCATGCACTGCAGGGGAATGGGGCATCATTTCGCCTCTAGGGGGAAGTCTCATGGTTTTTCTCGAGTTGCGGCGGGGACCTGGGGTATGTTCTCGACTTACGGCGGGGATGGCCCTTCAAAACACGAGTTTCTTCAGTGACGTCAGGACTCCTGTCTAGTAACGAGGGACACCTCAGGAATCTCTTCGAGGCTTGGCAGGGCAAAAGGGACGCTTCTCGAGGTGAGGCAGGGCACCCAAGGACCCTTTCCAGTAGCCACAGGGATTTTGGGATTCCTATCAGTATTCAAGAGGAGTCAGGCATCGTCACCTTTTGAAGCAATGAACTCCGCGTGCCTCTCGAGGTGTCAGCGCGATGTGAGGCATTCCGTCAAAATGAGGCAGGGACCTAGGGCTTTCTCTAAGGTCTCCACAGGGGATTCAGACATCCCTTCATGTTGTGAGATGAAAGACGAGGCTGTATTCAAGCCACTGCAAGGAAATCCGGCCTCCTTTCAAGTTAGGGCTTCTCGCTGTATATTCCCCTTGAGGCAGCAAACTCGGGGTCCCTCCCACATACCTATTGCTGAGAGAAGCCTCCTCCTGAGGTGCTTCTGGGAAGTTGGCATACGTCTTGAGCCTAAGCCAGGGAATCAGCTCGCATCTCGAGACGATTTGGGGTACACGGAGCATTCCTCGAGTTGCTGTGCTGTAGTTGGTGTTCCTCTAGACTTGGGACAGTGTTCTCGGGGCATCTCTGGAGTTGCCTGAAGGAAGTCGAGCCACCGGTCGTGTTGAATGGGGAACGGGGAATGGCTCTGGAGTCAATGCAGGGGAATCGGGCCTCATCTCGAGTTGATTTGGAGCACATGGAGCTGCTTTGCGTTGCTGGGGTGACCTCAGGGTCCGTCTAGACTGGTGACAGTGTTCTTGGGGACTGTCTCGAGATCCATTAAGCAAGTCGAAGCTCCTGACTTGTTTGAATGGGATCACGGAATAGCTCTTCATGCACTGCAGGGGAATGGGGCCTCATCTCGCCTCTAGGGGGAAGTCTCATGGTTTTTCTCGAGTTGCGGCGGGGACCTGGGGTATGTTCTCGACTTACGGCGGGGATGGCCCTTCAAAACACGAGTTTCTTCAGTGACGTCAGGACTCCTGTCTAGTAACGAGGGACACCTCAGGAATCTCTTCGAGGCTTGGCAGGGCAAAAGGGATGCTTCTCGAGGTGAGGCAGGGCACCCAAGGACCCTTTCCAGTAGCCACAGGTATTTTGGGATTCCTATCAGTATTCAAGAGGAGTCAGGCATCGTCACCTTTTGAAGCAATGAACTCCACGTGCCTCTCGAGGTGTCAGCGGAATGTGAGGCATTCCGTCAAAATGAGGCAGGGACCTAGGGCTTTCTCTAAGGTCTCCACAGGGGATTCAGACATCCCTTCATGTTGTGAGATGAAAGACGAGCCTGTATTCAAGCCACTGCAAGGAAATCCGGCCTCCTTTCAAGTTAGGGCTTCTCGCTGTATATTCCCCTTGAGGCATCAAACTCGGGGTCCCTCCCACATACCTATTGCTGAGAGAAGCCTCCTCCTGAGGTGCTTCTGGGAAGTTGGCATACGTCTTGAGCCTAAGCCAGGGAATCAGCTCGCATCTCGAGACGATTTGGGGTACACGGAGCATTCCTCGAGTTGCTGTGCTGAAGTTGGTGTTCCTCTAGACTTGGGACAGTGTTCTCGGGGCATCTCTGGAGTTGCCTGAAGGAAGTCGAGCCACCGGTCGTGTTGAATGGGGAACGGGGAATGGCTCTGGAGTCAATGCAGGGGAATCGGGCCTCATCTCGAGTTGATTTGGGGCACATGGAGCTGCTTTGCGTTGCTGGGGTGACCTCAGGGTCCGTCTAGACTGGTGACAGTGTTCTTGGGGACTGTCTCGAGATCCATTAAGCAAGTCGAAGCTCCTGACTTGTTTGAATGGGATCACGGTATAGCTCTGCATGCACTGCAGGGGAATGGGGCATCATTTCGCCTCTAGGGGGAAGTCTCATGGTTTTTCTCGAGTTGCGGCGGGGACCTGGGGTATGTTCTCGACTTACGGCGGGGATGGCCCTTCAAAACACGAGTTTCTTCAGTGACGTCAGGACTCCTGTCTAGTAACGAGGGACACCTCAGGAATCTCTTCGAGGCTTGGCAGGGCAAAAGGGACGCTTCTCGAGGTGAGGCAGGGCACCCAAGGACCCTTTCCAGTAGCCACAGGGATTTTGGGATTCCTATCAGTATTCAAGAGGAGTCAGGCATCGTCACCTTTTGAAGCAATGAACTCCGCGTGCCTCTCGAGGTGTCAGCGCGATGTGAGGCATTCCGTCAAAATGAGGCAGGGACCTAGGGCTTTCTCTAAGGTCTCCACAGGGGATTCAGACATCCCTTCATGTTGTGAGATGAAAGACGAGCCTGTATTCAAGCCACTGCAAGGAAATCCGGCCTCCTTTCAAGTTAGGGCTTCTCGCTGTATATTCCCCTTGAGGCAGCAAACTCGGGGTCCCTCCCACATACCTATTGCTGAGAGAAGCCTCCTCCTGAGGTGCTTCTGGGAAGTTGGCATACGTCTTGAGCCTAAGCCAGGGAATCAGCTCGCATCTCGAGACGATTTGGGGTACACGGAGCATTCCTCGAGTTGCTGTGCTGAAGTTGGTGTTCCTCTAGGCTTGGGACAGTGTTCTCGGGGCATCTCTGGAGTTGCCTGAAGGAAGTCGAGCCACCGGTCGTGTTGAATGGGGAACGGGGAATGGCTCTGGAATCAATGCAGGGGAATCGGGCCTCATCTCGAGTTGATTTGGGGCACATGGAGCTGCTTTGCGTTGCTGGGGTGACCTCAGGGTCCGTCTAGACTGGTGACAGTGTTCTTGGGGACTGTCTCGAGGTCCATTAAGCAAGTCGAAGCTCCTGACTTGTTTGAATGGGATCACGGAATAGCTCTGCATGCACTGCAGGGGAATGGGGCCTCATCTCGCCTCTAGGGGGAAGTCTCATGGTTTTTCTCGAGTTGCGGCGGGGACCTGGGGTATGTTCTCGACTTACGGCGGGGATGGCCCTTCAAAACACGAGTTTCTTCAGTGACGTCAGGACTCCTGTCTAGTAACGAGGGACACCTCAGGAATCTCTTCGAGGCTTGGCAGGGCAAAAGGGACGCTTCTCGAGGTGAGGCAGGGCACCCAAGGACCCTTTCCAGTAGCCACAGGGATTTTGGGATTCCTATCAGTATTCATGAGGAGTCAGGCATCGTCACCTTTTGAAGCAATGAACTCCGCGTGCCTCTCGAGGTGTCAGCGGGATGTGAGGCATTCCGTCAAAATGAGGCAGGGACCTAGGGCTTTCTCTAAGGTCTCCACAGGGGATTCAGACATCCCTTCATGTTGTGAGATGAAAGACGAGCCTGTATTCAAGCCACTGCAAGGAAATCCGGCCTCCTTTCAAGTTAGGGCTTCTCGCTGTATATTCCCCTTGAGGCAGCAAACTCGGGGTCCCTCCCACATACCTATTGCTGAGAGAAACCTCCTCCTGAGGTGCTTCTGGGAAGTTGGCATACGTCTTGAGCCTAAGCCAGGGAATCAACTCGCATCTCGAGACGATTTGGGGTACACGGAGCATTCCTCGAGTTGCTGTGCTGAAGTTGGTGTTCCTCTAGACTTGGGACAGTGTTCTCGGGGCATCTCTGGAGTTGCCTGAAGGAAGTCGAGCCACCGGTCGTGTTGAATGGGGAACGGGGAATGGCTCTGGAGTCAATGCAGGGGAATCGGGCCTCATCTGGAGTTGATTTGGGGCACATGGAGCTGCTTTGCGTTGCTGGGGTGACCTCAGGGTCCGTCTAGACTGGTGACAGTGTTCTTGGGGACTGTCTCGAGATCCATTAAGCAAGTCGAAGCTCCTGACTTGTTTGAATGGGATCACGGAATAGCTCTGCATGCACTGCAGGGGAATGGGGCCTCATCTCGCCTCTAGGGGGAAGTCTCATGGTTTTTCTCGAGTTGCGGCGGGGACCTGGGGTATGTTCTCGACTTACAGCGGGGATGGCCCTTCAAAACACGAGTTTCTTCAGTGACGTCAGGACTCCTGTCTAGTAACGAGGGACACCTCAGGAATCTCTTCGAGGCTTGGCAGGGCAAAAGGGACGCTTCTCGAGGTGAGGCAGGGCACCCAAGGACCCTTTCCAGTAGCCACAGGGATTTTGGGATTCCTATCAGTATTCATGAGGAGTCAGGCATCGTCACCTTTTGAAGCAATGAACTCCGCGTGCCTCTCGAGGTGTCAGCGGGATGTGAGGCATTCCGTCAAAATGAGGCAGGGTCCTAGGGCTTTCTCTAAGGACTCCACAGGGGATTCAGACATCCCTTCATGTTGTGAGATGAAAGACGAGCCTGTATTCAAGCCACTGCAAGGAAATCCGGCCTCCTTTCAAGTTAGGGCTTCTCGCTGTATATTCCCCTTGAGGCACCAAACTCGGGGTCCCTCCCACATACCTATTGCTGAGAGAAGCCTCCTCCTGAGGTGCTTCTGGGAAGTTGGCATACGTCTTGAGCCTAAGCCAGGGAATCAGCTCGCATCTCGAGACGATTTGGGGTACACGGAGCATTCCTCGAGTTGCTGTGCTGAAGTTGGTGTTCCTCTAGACTTGGGACAGTGTTCTCGGGGCATCTCTGGAGTTGCCTGAAGGAAGTCGAGCCACCGGTCGTGTTGAATGGGGAACGGGGAATGGCTCTGGAGTCAATGCAGGGGAATCGGGCCTCATCTCGAGTTGATTTGGGGCACATGGAGCTGCTTTGCGTTGCTGGGGTGACCTCAGGGTCCGTCTAGACTGGTGACAGTGTTCTTGGGGACTGTCTCGAGATCCATTAAGCAAGTCGAAGCTCCTGACTTGTTTGAATGGGATCACGGAATAGCTCTGCATGCACTGCAGGGGAATGGGGCCTCATCTCGCCTCTAGGGGGAAGTCTCATGGTTTTTCTCGAGTTGCGGCGGGGACCTGGGGTATGTTCTCGACTTACGGCGGGGATGGCCCTTCCAAACACGAGTTTCTTCAGTGACGTCAGGACTCCTGTCTAGTAACGAGGGACACCTCAGGAATCTCTTCGAGGCTTGGCAGGGCAAAAGGGACGCTTCTCGAGGTGAGGCAGGGCACCCAAGGACCCTTTCCAGTAGCCACAGGGATTTTGGGATTCCTATCAGTATTCAAGAGGAGTCAGGCATCGTCACCTTTTGAAGCAATGAACTCCGCGTGCCTCTCGAGGTGTCAGCGGGATGTGAGGCATTCCGTCAAAATGAGGCAGGGACCTAGGGCTTTCTCTAAGGTCTCCACAGGGGATTCAGACATCCCTTCATGTTGTGAGATGAAAGACGAGCCTGTATTCAAGCCACTGCAAGGAAATCCGGCCTCCTTTCAAGTTAGGGCTTCTCGCTGTATATTCCCCTTGAGGCAGCAAACTCGGGGTCCCTCCCACATACCTATTGCTGAGAGAAGCCTCCTCCTGAGGTGCTTCTGGGAAGTTGGCATACGTCTTGAGCCTAAGCCAGGGAATCAGCTCGCATCTCGAGACGATTTGGGGTACACGGAGCATTCCTCGAGTTGCTGTGCTGAAGTTGGTGTTCCTCTAGACTTGGGACAGTGTTCTCGGGGCATCTCTGGAGTTGCCAGAAGGAAGTCGAGCCACCGGTCGTGTTGAATGGGGAACGGGGAATGGCTCTGGAGTCAAGGCAGGGGAATCGGGCCTCATCTCGAGTTGATTTGGGGCACATGGAGCTGCTTTGCGTTGCTGGGGTGACCTCAGGGTCCGTCTAGACTGGTGACAGTGTTCTTGGGGACTGTCTCGAGATCCATTAAGCAAGTCGAAGCTCCTGACTTGTTTGAATGGGATCACGGAATAGCTCTGCATGCACTGCAGGGGAATGGGGCCTCATCTCGCCTCTAGGGGGAAGTCTCATGGTTTTTCTCGAGTTGCGGCGGGGACCTGGGGTATGTTCTCGACTTACGGCGGGGATGGCCCTTCCAAACACGAGTTTCTTCAGTGACGTCAGGACTCCTGTCTAGTAACGAGGGACACCTCAGGAATCTCTTCGAGGCTTGGCAGGGCAAAAGGGACGCTTCTCGAGGTGAGGCAGGGCACCCAAGGACCCTTTCCAGTAGCCACAGGGATTTTGGGATTCCTATCAGTATTCAAGAGGAGTCAGGCATCGTCACCTTTTGAAGCAATGAACTCCGCGTGCCTCTCGAGGTGTCAGCGCGATGTGAGGCATTCCGTCAAAATGAGTCAGGGACCTAGGGCTTTCTCTAAGGTCTCCACAGGGGATTCAGACATCCCTTCATGTTGTGAGATGAAAGACGAGCCTGTATTCAAGCCACTGCAAGGAAATCCGGCCTCCTTTCAAGTTAGGGCTTCTCGCTGTATATTCCCCTTGAGGCAGCAAACTCGGGGTCCCTCCCACATACCTATTGCTGAGAGAAGCCTCCTCCTGAGGTGCTTCTGGGAAGTTGGCATACGTCTTGAGCCTAAGCCAGGGAATCAGCTCGCATCTCGAGACGATTTGGGGTACACGGAGCATTCCTCGAGTTGCTGTGCTGAAGTTGGTGTTCCTCTAGGCTTGGGACAGTGTTCTCGGGGCATCTCTGGAGTTGCCAGAAGGAAGTCGAGCCACCGGTCGTGTTGAATGGGGAACGGGGAATGGCTCTGGAGTCAATGCAGGGGAATCGGGCCTCATCTCGAGTTGATTTGGGGCACATGGAGCTGCTTTGCGTTGCTGGGGTGACCTCAGGGTCCGTCTAGACTGGTGACAGTGTTCTTGGGGACTGTCTCGAGATCCATTAAGCAAGTCGAAGCTCCTGACTTGTTTGAATGGGATCACGGAATAGCTCTGCATGCACTGCAGGGGAATGGGGCCTCATCTCGCCTCTAGGGGGAAGTCTCATGGTTTTTCTCGAGTTGCGGCGGGGACCTGGGGTATGTTCTCGACTTACGGTGGGGATGGCCCTTCAAAACACGAGTTTCTTCAGTGACGTCAGGACTCCTGTCTAGTAACGAGGGACACCTCAGGAATCTCTTCGAGGCTTGGCAGGGCAAAAGGGACGCTTCTCGAGGTGAGGCAGGGCACCCAAGGACCCTTTCCAGTAGCCACAGGGATTTTGGGATTCCTATCAGTATTCAAGAGGAGTCAGGCATCGTCACCTTTTGAAGCAATGAACTCCGCGTGCCTCTCGAGGTGTCAGCGGGATGTGAGGCATTCCGTCAAAATGAGGCAGGGACCTAGGGCTTTCTCTAAGGTCTCCACAGGGGATTCAGACATCCCTTCATGTTGTGAGATGAAAGACGAGCCTGTATTCAAGCCACAGCAAGGAAATCCGGCCTCCTTTCAAGTTAGGGCTTCTCGCTGTATATTCCCCTTGAGGCAGCAAACTCGGGGTCCCTCCCACATACCTATTGCTGAGAGAAGCCTCCTCCTGAGGTGCTTCTGGGAAGTTGGCATACGTCTTGAGCCTAAGCCAGGGAATCAGCTCGCATCTCGAAACGATTTGGGGTACACGGAGCATTCCTCGAGTTGCTGTGCTGAAGTTGGTGTTCCTCTAGACTTGGGACAGTGTTCTCGGGGCATCTCTGGAGTTGCCTGAAGGTAGTCGAGCCACCGGTCGTGTTGAATGGGGAACGGGGAATGGCTCTGGAGTCAATGCAGGGGAATCGGGCCTCATCTCGAGTTGATTTGGGGCACATGGAGCTGCTTTGCGTTGCTGGGGTGACCTCAGGGTCCGTCTAGACTGGTGACAGTGTTCTTGGGGACTGTCTCGAGATCCATTAAGCAAGTCGAAGCTCCTGACTTGTTTGAATGGGATCACGGAATAGCTCTGCATGCACTGCAGGGGAATGGGGCCTCATCTCGCCTCTAGGGGGAAGTCTCATGGTTTTTCTCGAGTTGCGGCGGGGACCTGGGGTATGTTCTCGACTTACGGCGGGGATGGCCCTTCAAAACACGAGTTTCTTCAGTGACGTCAGGACTCCTGTCTAGTAACGAGGGACACCTCAGGAATCTCTTCGAGGCTTGGCAGGGCAAAAGGGATGCTTCTCGAGGTGAGGCAGGGCACCCAAGGACCCTTTCCAGTAGCCACAGGTATTTTGGGATTCCTATCAGTATTCAAGAGGAGTCAGGCATCGTCACCTTTTGAAGCAATGAACTCCACGTGCCTCTCGAGGTGTCAGCGGGATGTGAGGCATTCCGTCAAAATGAGGCAGGGACCTAGGGCTTTCTCTAAGGTCTCCACAGGGGATTCAGACATCCCTTCATGTTGTGAGATGAAAGACGAGCCTGTATTCAAGCCACTGCAAGGAAATCCGGCCTCCTTTCAAGTTAGGGCTTCTCGCTGTATATTCCCCTTGAGGCATCAAACTCGGGGTCCCTCCCACATACCTATTGCTGAGAGAAGCCTCCTCCTGAGGTGCTTCTGGGAAGTTGGCATACGTCTTGAGCCTAAGCCAGGGAATCAGCTCGCATCTCGAGACGATTTGGGGTACACGGAGCATTCCTCGAGTTGCTGTGCTGAAGTTGGTGTTCCTCTAGACTTGGGACAGTGTTCTCGGGGCATCTCTGGAGTTGCCTGAAGGAAGTCGAGCCACCGGTCGTGTTGAATGGGGAACGGGGAATGGCTCTGGAGTCAATGCAGGGGAATCGGGCCTCATCTCGAGTTGATTTGGGGCACATGGAGCTGCTTTGCGTTGCTGGGGTGACCTCAGGTTCCGTCTAGACTGGTGACAGTGTTCTTGGGGACTGTCTCGAGATCCATTAAGCAAGTCGAAGTTCCTGACTTGTTTGAATGGGATCACGGTATAGCTCTGCATGCACTGCAGGGGAATGGGGCATCATTTCGCCTCTAGGGGGAAGTCTCATGGTTTTTCTCGAGTTGCGGCGGGGACCTGGGGTATGTTCTCGACTTACGGCGGGGATGGCCCTTCAAAACACGAGTTTCTTCAGTGACGTCAGGACTCCTGTCTAGTAACGAGGGACACCTCAGGAATCTCTTCGAGGCTTGGCAGGGCAAAAGGGACGCTTCTCGAGGTGAGGCAGGGCACCCAAGGACCCTTTCCAGTAGCCACAGGGATTTTGGGATTCCTATCAGTATTCAAGAGGAGTCAGGCATCGTCACCTTTTGAAGCAATGAACTCCGCGTGCCTCTCGAGGTGTCAGCGCGATGTGAGGCATTCCGTCAAAATGAGGCAGGGACCTAGGGCTTTCTCTAAGGTCTCCACAGGGGATTCAGACATCCCTTCATGTTGTGAGATGAAAGACGAGGCTGTATTCAAGCCACTGCAAGGAAATCCGGCCTCCTTTCAAGTTAGGGCTTCTCGCTGTATATTCCCCTTGAGGCAGCAAACTCGGGGTCCCTCCCACATACCTATTGCTGAGAGAAGCCTCCTCCTGAGGTGCTTCTGGGAAGTTGGCATACGTCTTGAGCCTAAGCCAGGGAATCAGCTCGCATCTCGAGACGATTTGGGGTACACGGAGCATTCCTCGAGTTGCTGTGCTGTAGTTGGTGTTCGTCTAGACTTGGGACAGTGTTCTCGGGGCATCTCTGGAGTTGCCTGAAGGAAGTCGAGCCACCGGTCGTGTTGAATGGGGAACGGGGAATGGCTCTGGAGTCAATGCAGGGGAATCGGGCCTCATCTCGAGTTGATTTGGAGCACATGGAGCTGCTTTGCGTTGCTGGGGTGACCTCAGGGTCCGTCTAGACTGGTGACAGTGTTCTTGGGGACTGTCTCGAGATCCATTAAGCAAGTCGAAGCTCCTGACTTGTTTGAATGGGATCACGGAATAGCTCTTCATGCACTGCAGGGGAATGGGGCCTCATCTCGCCTCTAGGGGGAAGTCTCATGGTTTTTCTCGAGTTGCGGCGGGGACCTGGGGTATGTTCTCGACTTACGGCGGGGATGGCCCTTCAAAACACGAGTTTCTTCAGTGACGTCAGGACTCCTGTCTAGTAACGAGGGACACCTCAGGAATCTCTTCGAGGCTTGGCAGGGCAAAAGGGATGCTTCTCGAGGTGAGGCAGGGCACCCAAGGACCCTTTCCAGTAGCCACAGGTATTTTGGGATTCCTATCAGTATTCAAGAGGAGTCAGGCATCGTCACCTTTTGAAGCAATGAACTCCACGTGCCTCTCGAGGTGTCAGCGGGATGTGAGGCATTCCGTCAAAATGAGGCAGGGACCTAGGGCTTTCTCTAAGGTCTCCACAGGGGATTCAGACATCCCTTCATGTTGTGAGATGAAAGACGAGCCTGTATTCAAGCCACTGCAAGGAAATCCGGCCTCCTTTCAAGTTAGGGCTTCTCGCTGTATATTCCCCTTGAGGCATCAAACTCGGGGTCCCTCCCACATACCTATTGCTGAGAGAAGCCTCCTCCTGAGGTGCTTCTGGGAAGTTGGCATACGTCTTGAGCCTAAGCCAGGGAATCAGCTCGCATCTCGAGACGATTTGGGGTACACGGAGCATTCCTCGAGTTGCTGTGCTGAAGTTGGTGTTCCTCTAGACTTGGGACAGTGTTCTCGGGGCATCTCTGGAGTTGCCTGAAGGAAGTCGAGCCACCGGTCGTGTTGAATGGGGAACGGGGAATGGCTCTGGAGTCAATGCAGGGGAATCGGGCCTCATCTCGAGTTGATTTGGGGCACATGGAGCTGCTTTGCGTTGCTGGGGTGACCTCAGGGTCCGTCTAGACTGGTGACAGTGTTCTTGGGGACTGTCTCGAGATCCATTAAGCAAGTCGAAGCTCCTGACTTGTTTGAATGGGATCACGGTATAGCTCTGCATGCACTGCAGGGGAATGGGGCATCATTTCGCCTCTAGGGGGAAGTCTCATGGTTTTTCTCGAGTTGCGGCGGGGACCTGGGGTATGTTCTCGACTTACGGCGGGGATGGCCCTTCAAAACACGAGTTTCTTCAGTGACGTCAGGACTCCTGTCTAGTAACGAGGGACACCTCAGGAATCTCTTCGAGGCTTGGCAGGGCAAAAGGGACGCTTCTCGAGGTGAGGCAGGGCACCCAAGGACCCTTTCCAGTAGCCACAGGGATTTTGGGATTCCTATCAGTATTCAAGAGGAGTCAGGCATCGTCACCTTTTGAAGCAATGAACTCCGCGTGCCTCTCGAGGTGTCAGCGCGATGTGAGGCATTCCGTCAAAATGAGGCAGGGACCTAGGGCTTTCTCTAAGGTCTCCACAGGGGATTCAGACATCCCTTCATGTTGTGAGATGAAAGACGAGCCTGTATTCAAGCCACTGCAAGGAAATCCGGCCTCCTTTCAAGTTAGGGCTTCTCGCTGTATATTCCCCTTGAGGCAGCAAACTCGGGGTCCCTCCCACATACCTATTGCTGAGAGAAGCCTCCTCCTGAGGTGCTTCTGGGAAGTTGGCATACGTCTTGAGCCTAAGCCAGGGAATCAGCTCGCATCTCGAGACGATTTGGGGTACACGGAGGATTCCTCGAGTTGCTGTGCTGTAGTTGGTGTTCCTCTAGACTTGGGACAGTGTTCTCGGGGCATCTCTGGAGTTGCCTGAAGGAAGTCGAGCCACCGGTCGTGTTGAATGGGGAACGGGGAATGGCTCTGGAGTCAATGCAGGGGAATCGGGCCTCATCTCGAGTTGATTTGGAGCACATGGAGCTGCTTTGCGTTGCTGGGGTGACCTCAGGGTCCGTCTAGACTGGTGACAGTGTTCTTGGGGACTGTCTCGAGATCCATTAAGCAAGTCGAAGCTCCTGACTTGTTTGAATGGGATCACGGAATAGCTCTTCATGCACTGCAGGGGAATGGGGCCTCATCTCGCCTCTAGGGGGAAGTCTCATGGTTTTTCTCGAGTTGCGGCGGGGACCTGGGGTATGTTCTCGACTTACGGCGGGGATGGCCCTTCAAAACACGAGTTTCTTCAGTGACGTCAGGACTCCTGTCTAGTAACGAGGGACACCTCAGGAATCTCTTCGAGGCTTGGCAGGGCAAAAGGGATGCTTCTCGAGGTGAGGCAGGGCACCCAAGGACCCTTTCCAGTAGCCACAGGGATTTTGGGATTCCTATCAGTATTCAAGAGGAGTCAGGCATCGTCACCTTTTGAAGCAATGAACTCCGCGTGCCTCTCGAGGTGTCAGCGGGATGTGAGGCATTCCGTCAAAATGAGGCAGGGACCTAGGGCTTTCTCTAAGGTCTCCACAGGGGATTCAGACATCCCTTCATGTTGTGAGATGAAAGACGAGCCTGTATTCAAGCCACTGCAAGGAAATCCGGCCTCCTTTCAAGTTAGGGCTTCTCGCTGTATATTCCCCTTGAGGCATCAAACTCGGGGTCCCTCCCACATACCTATTGCTGAGAGAAGCCTCCTCCTGAGGTGCTTCTGGGAAGTTGGCATACGTCTTGAGCCTAAGCCAGGGAATCAGCTCGCATCTCGAGACGATTTGGGGTACACGGAGCATTCCTCCAGTTGCTGTGCTGAAGTTGGTGTTCCTCTAGACTTGGGACAGTGTTCTCGGGGCATCTCTGGAGTTGCCTGAAGGAAGTCGAGCCACCGGTCGTGTTGAATGGGGAACGGGGAATGGCTCTGGAGTCAATGCAGGGGAATCGGGCCTAATCTCGAGTTGATTTGGGGCACATGGAGCTGCTTTGCGTTGCTGGGGTGACCTCAGGGTCCGTCTAGACTGGTGACAGTGTTCTTGGGGACTGTCTCGAGATCCATTAAGCAAGTCGAAGCTCCTGACTTGTTTGAATGGGATCACGGAATAGCTCTGCATGCACTGCAGGGGAATGGGGCCTCATCTCGCCTCTAGGGGGAAGTCTCATGGTTTTTCTCAAGTTGCGGCGGGGACCTGGGGTATGTTCTCGACTTACGGCGGGGATGGCCCTTCAAAACACGAGTTTCTTCAGTGACGTCAGGACTCCTGTCTAGTAACGAGGGACACCTCAGGAATCTCTTCGAGGCTTGGCAGGGCAAAAGGGACGCTTCTCGAGGTGAGGCAGGGCACCCAAGGACCCTTTCCAGTAGCCACAGGGATTTTGGGATTCCTATCAGTATTCAAGAGGAGTCAGGCATCGTCACCTTTTGAAGCAATGAACTCCGCGTGCCTCTCGAGGTGTCAGCGCGATGTGAGGCATTCCGTCAAAATGAGGCAGGGACCTAGGGCTTTCTCTAAGGTCTCCACAGGGGATTCAGACATCCCTTCATGTTGTGAGATGAAAGACGAGCCTGTATTCAAGCCACTGCAAGGAAATCCGGCCTCCTTTCAAGTTAGGGCTTCTCGCTGTATATTCCCCTTGAGGCAGCAAACTCGGGGTCCCTCCCACATAACTATTGCTGAGAGAAGCCTCCTCCTGAGGTGCTTCTGGGAAGTTGGCATACGTCTTGAGCCTAAGCCAGGGAATCAGCTCGCATCTCGAGACGATTTGGGGTACACGGAGCATTCCTCGAGTTGCTGTGCTGAAGTTGGTGTTCCTCTAGACTTGGGACAGTGTTCTCGGGGCATCTCTGGAGTTGCCTGAAGGAAGTCGAGCCACCGGTCGTGTTGAATGGGGAACGGGGAATGGCTCTGGAGTCAATGCAGGGGAATCGGGCCTCATCTCGAGTTGATTTGGGGCACATGGAGCTGCTTTGCGTTGCTGGGGTGACCTCAGGGTCCGTCTAGACTGGTGACAGTGTTCTTGGGGACTGTCTCGAGATCCATTAAGCAAGTCGAAGCTCCTGACTTGTTTGAATGGGATCACGGAATAGCTCTGCATGCACTGCAGGGGAATGGGGCCTCATCTCGCCTCTAGGGGGAAGTCTCATGGTTTTTCTCGAGTTGCGGCGGGGACCTGGGGTATGTTCTCGACTTACGGCGGGGATGGCCCTTCCAAACACGAGTTTCTTCAGTGACGTCAGGACACCTGTCTAGTAACGAGGGACACCTCAGGAATCTCTTCGAGGCTTGGCAGGGCAAAAGGGACGCTTCTCGAGGTGAGGCAGGGCACCCAAGGACCCTTTCCAGTAGCCACAGGGATTTTGGGATTCCTATCAGTATTCAAGAGGAGTCAGGCATCGTCACCTTTTGAAGCAATGAACTCCGTGTGCCTCTCGAGGTGTCAGCGGGATGTGAGGCATTCCGTCAAAATGAGGCAGGGACCTAGGGCTTTCTCTAAGGTCTCCACAGGGGATTCAGACATCCCTTCATGTTGTGAGATGAAAGACGAGCCTGTATTCAAGCCACTGCAAGGAAATCCGGCCTCCTTTCAAGTTAGGGCTTCTCGCTGTATATTCCCCTTGAGGCAGCAAACTCGGGGTCCCTCCCACATACCTATTGCTGAGAGAAGCCTCCTCCTGAGGTGCTTCTGGGAAGTTGGCATACGTCTTGAGCCTAAGCCAGGGAATCAGCTCGCATCTCGAGACGATTTGGGGTACACGGAGCATTCCTCGAGTTGCTGTGCTGAAGTTGGTGTTCCTCTAGGCTTGGGACAGTGTTCTCGGGGCATCTCTGGAGTTGCCAGAAGGAAGTCGAGCCACCGGTCGTGTTGAATGGGGAACGGGGAATGGCTCTGGAGTCAATGCAGGGGAATCGGGCCTCATCTCGAGTTGATTTGGGGCACATGGAGCTGCTTTGCGTTGCTGGGGTGACCTCAGGGTCCGTCTAGACTGGTGACAGTGTTCTTGGGGACTGTCTCGAGGTCCATTAAGCAAGTCGAAGCTCCTGACTTGTTTGAATGGGATCACGGAATAGCTCTGCATGCACTGCAGGGGAATGGGGCCTCATCTCGCCTCTAGGGGGAAGTCTCATGGTTTTTCTCGAGTTGCGGCGGGGACCTGGGGTATGTTCTCGACTTACGGCGGGGATGGCCCTTCAAAACACGAGTTTCTTCAGTGACGTCAGGACTCCTGTCTAGTAACGAGGGACACCTCAGGAATCTCTTCGAGGCTTGGCAGGGCAAAAGGGACGCTTCTCGAGGTGAGGCAGGGCACCCAAGGACCCTTTCCAGTAGCCACAGGGATTTTGGGATTCCTATCAGTATTCATGAGGAGTCAGGCATCGTCACCTTTTGAAGCAATGAACTCCGCGTGCCTCTCGAGGTGTCAGCGGGATGTGAGGCATTCCGTCAAAATGAGGCAGGGACCTAGGGCTTTCTCTAAGGTCTCCACAGGGGATTCAGACATCCCTTCATGTTGTGAGATGAAAGACGAGCCTGTATTCAAGCCACTGCAAGGAAATCCGGCCTCCTTTCAAGTTAGGGCTTCTCGCTGTATATTCCCCTTGAGGCAGCAAACTCGGGGTCCCTCCCACATACCTATTGCTGAGAGAAGCCTCCTCCTGAGGTGCTTCTGGGAAGTTGGCATACGTCTTGAGCCTAAGCCAGGGAATCAGCTCGCATCTCGAGACGATTTGGGGTACACGGAGCATTCCTCGAGTTGCTGTGCTGAAGTTGGTGTTCCTCTAGGCTTGGGACAGTGTTCTCGGGGCATCTCTGGAGTTGCCGGAAGGAAGTCGAGCCACCGGTCGTGTTGAATGGGGAACGGGGAATGGCTCTGGAGTCAATGCAGGGGAATCGGGCCTCATCTCGAGTTGATTTGGGGCACATGGAGCTGCTTTGCGTTGCTGGGGTGACCTCAGGGTCCGTCTAGACTGGTGACAGTGTTCTTGGGGACTGTCTCGAGGTCCATTAAGCAAGTCGAAGCTCCTGACTTGTTTGAATGGGATCACGGAATAGCTCTGCATGCACTGCAGGGGAATGGGGCCTCATCTCGCCTCTAGGGGGAAGTCTCATGGTTTTTCTCGAGTTGCGGCGGGGACCTGGGGTATGTTCTCGACTTACGGCGGGGATGGCCCTTCAAAACACGAGTTTCTTCAGTGACGTCAGGACTCCTGTCTAGTAACGAGGGACACCTCAGGAATCTCTTCGAGGCTTGGCAGGGCAAAAGGGACGCTTCTCGAGGTGAGGCAGGGCACCCAAGGACCCTTTCCAGTAGCCACAGGGATTTTGGGATTCCTATCAGTATTCAAGAGGAGTCAGGCATCGTCACCTTTTGAAGCAATGAACTCCGCGTGCCTCTCGAGGTGTCAGCGCGATGTGAGGCATTCCGTCAAAATGAGGCAGGGACCTAGGGCTTTCTCTAAGGTCTCCACAGGGGATTCAGACATCCCTTCATGTTGTGAGATGAAAGACGAGCCTGTATTCAAGCCACAGCAAGGAAATCCGGCCTCCTTTCAAGTTAGGGCTTCTCGCTGTATATTCCCCTTGAGGCAGCAAACTCGGGGTCCCTCCCACATACCTATTGCTGAGAGAAGCCTCCTCCTGAGGTGCTTCTGGGAAGTTGGCATACGTCTTGAGCCTAAGCCAGGGAATCAGCTCGCATCTCGAGACGATTTGGGGTACACGGAGCATTCCTCGAGTTGCTGTGCTGAAGTTGGTGTTCCTCTAGACTTGGGACAGTGTTCTCGGGGCATCTCTGGAGTTGCCTGAAAGAAGTCGAGCCACCGGTCGTGTTGAATGGGGAACGGGGAATGGCTCTGGAGTCAATGCAGGGGAATCGGGCCTCATCTCGAGTTGATTTGGGGCACATGGAGCTGCTTTGCGTTGCTGGGGTGACCTCAGGGTCCGTCTAGACTGGTGACAGTGTTCTTGGGGACTGTCTCGAGATCCATTAAGCAAGTCGAAGCTCCTGACTTGTTTGAATGGGATCACGGAATAGCTCTGCACGCACTGCAGGGGAATGGGGCCTCATCTCGCCTCTAGGGGGAAGTCTCATGGTTTTTCTCGAGTTGCGGCGGGGACCTGGGGTATGTTCTCGACTTACGGCGGGGATGGCCCTTCAAAACACGAGTTTCTTCAGTGACGTCAGGACTCCTGTCTAGTAACGAGGGACACCTCAGGAATCTCTTCGAGGCTTGGCAGGGCAAAAGGGACGCTTCTCGAGGTGAGGCAGGGCACCCAAGGACCCTTTCCAGTAGCCACAGGGATTTTGGGATTCCTATCAGTATTCAAGAGGAGTCAGGCATCGTCACCTTTTGAAGCAATGAACTCCGCGTGCCTCTCGAGGTGTCAGCGCGATGTGAGGCATTCCGTCAAAATGAGGCAGGGACCTAGGGCTTTCTCTAAGGTCTCCACAGGGGATTCAGACATCCCTTCATGTTGTGAGATGAAAGACGAGCCTGTATTCAAGCCACTGCAAGGAAATCCGGCCTCCTTTCAAGTTAGGGCTTCTCGCTGTATATTCCCCTTGAGGCAGCAAACTCGGGGTCCCTCCCACATACCTATTGCTGAGAGAAGCCTCCTCCTGAGGTGCTTCTGGGAAGTTGGCATACGTCTTGAGCCTAAGCCAGGGAATCAGCTCGCATCTCGAGACGATTTGGGGTACACGGAGCATTCCTCGAGTTGCTGTGCTGAAGTTGGTGTTCCTCTAGGCTTGGGACAGTGTTCTCGGGGCATCTCTGGAGTTGCCTGAAGGAAGTCGAGCCACCGGTCGTGTTGAATGGGGAATGGGAAATGGCTCTGGAGTCAATGCAGGGGAATCGGGCCTCATCTCGAGTTGATTTGGGGCACATGGAGCTGCTTTGCGTTGCTGGGGTGACCTCAGGGTCCGTCTAGACTGGTGACAGTGTTCTTGGGGACTGTCTCGAGGTCCATTAAGCAAGTCGAAGCTCCTGACTTGTTTGAATGGGATCACGGAATAGCTCTGCATGCACTGCAGGGGAATGGGGCCTCATCTCGCCTCTAGGGGGAAGTCTCATGGTTTTTCTCGAGTTGCGGCGGGGACCTGGGGTATGTTCTCGACTTACGGCGGGGATGTCCCTTCAAAACACGAGTTTCTTCAGTGACGTCAGGACTCCTGTCTAGTAACGAGGGACACCTCAGGAATCTCTTCGAGGCTTGGCAGGGCAAAAGGGACGCTTCTCGAGGTGAGGCAGGGCACCCAAGGACCCTTTCCAGTAGCCACAGGGATTTTGGGATTCCTATCAGTATTCATGAGGAGTCAGGCATCGTCACCTTTTGAAGCAATGAACTCCGCGTGCCTCTCGAGGTGTCAGCAGGATGTGAGGCATTCCGTCAAAATGAGGCAGGGACCTAGGGCTTTCTCTAAGGTCTCCACAGGAGATTCAGACATCCCTTCATGTTGTGAGATGAAAGACGAGCCTGTATTCAAGCCACTGCAAGGAAATCCGGCCTCCTTTCAAGTTAGGGCTTCTCGCTGTATATTCCCCTTGAGGCAGCAAAATCGGGGTCCCTCCCACATACCTATTGCTGAGAGAAGCCTCCTCCTGAGGTGCTTCTGGGAAGTTGGCATACGTCTTGAGCCTAAGCCAGGGAATCAGCTCGCATCTCGAGACGATTTGGGGTACACGGAGCATTCCTCGAGTTGCTGTGCTGAAGTTGGTGTTCCTCTAGACTTGGGACAGTGTTCTCGGGGCATCTCTGGAGTTGCCTGAAGGAAGTCGAGCCACCGGTCGTGTTGAATGGGGAACGGGGAATGGCTCTGGAGTCAATGCAGGGGAATCGGGCCTCATCTCGAGTTGATTTGGGGCACATGGAGCTGCTTTGCGTTGCTGGGGTGACCTCAGGGTCCGTCTAGACTGGTGACAGTGTTCTTGGGGACTGTCTCGAGGTCCATTAAGCAAGTCGAAGCTCCTGACTTGTTTGAATGGGATCACGGAATAGCTCTGCATGCACTGCAGGGGAATGGGGCCTCATCTCGCCTCTAGGGGGAAGTCTCATGGTTTTTCTCGAGTTGCGGCGGGGACCTGGGGTATGTTCTCGACTTACGGCGGGGATGGCCCTTCAAAACACGAGTTTCTTCAGTGACGTCAGGACTCCTGTCTAGTAACGAGGGACACCTCAGGAATCTCTTCGAGGCTTGGCAGGGCAAAAGGGACGCTTCTCGAGGTGAGGCAGGGCACCCAAGGACCCTTTCCAGTAGCCACAGGGATTTTGGGATTCCTATCAGTATTCAAGAGGAGTCAGGCATCGTCACCTTTTGAAGCAATGAACTCCGCGTGCCTCTCGAGGTGTCAGCGCGATGTGAGGCATTCCGTCAAAATGAGGCAGGGACCTAGGGCTTTCTCTAAGGTCTCCACAGGGGATTCAGACATCCCTTCATGTTGTGAGATGAAAGACGAGCCTGTATTCAAGCCACTGCAAGGAAATCCGGCCTCCTTTCAAGTTAGGGCTTCTCGCTGTATATTCCCCTTGAGGCAGCAAACTCGGGGTCCCTCCCACATACCTATTGCTGAGAGAAGCCTCCTCCTGAGGTGCTTCTGGGAAGTTGGCATACGTCTTGAGCCTAAGCCAGGGAATCAGCTCGCATCTCGAGACGATTTGGGGTACACGGAGCATTCCTCGAGTTGCTGTGCTGAAGTTGGTGTTCCTCTAGACTTGGGACAGTGTTCTCGGGGCATCTCTGGAGTTGCCTGAAGGAAGTCGAGCCACCGGTCGTGTTGAATGGGGAACGGGGAATGGCTCTGGAGTCAATGCAGGGGAATCGGGCCTCATCTGGAGTTGATTTGGGGCACATGGAGCTGCTTTGCGTTGCTGGGGTGACCTCAGGGTCCGTCTAGACTGGTGACAGTGTTCTTGGGGACTGTCTCGAGATCCATTAAGCAAGTCGAAGCTCCTGACTTGTTTGAATGGGATCACGGAATAGCTCTGCATGCACTGCAGGGGAATGGGGCCTCATCTCGCCTCTAGGGGGAAGTCTCATGGTTTTTCTCGAGTTGCGGCGGGGACCTGGGGTATGTTCTCGACTTACGGCGGGGATGGCCCTTCAAAACACGAGTTTCTTCAGTGACGTCAGGACTCCTGTCTAGTAACGAGGGACACCTCAGGAATCTCTTCGAGGCTTGGCAGGGCAAAAGGGACGCTTCTCGAGGTGAGGCAGGGCACCCAAGGACCCTTTCCAGTAGCCACAGGGATTTTGGGATTCCTATCAGTATTCAAGAGGAGTCAGGCATCGTCACCTTTTGAAGCAATGAACTCCGCGTGCCTCTCGAGGTGTCAGAGCGATGTGAGGCATTCCGTCAAAATGAGTCAGGGACCTAGGGCTTTCTCTAAGGTCTCCACAGGGGATTCAGACATCCCTTCATGTTGTGAGATGAAAGACGAGCCTGTATTCAAGCCACTGCAAGGAAATCCGGCCTCCTTTCAAGTTAGGGCTTCTCGCTGTATATTCCCCTTGAGGCAGCAAACTCGGGGTCCCTCCCACATACCTATTGCTGAGAGAAGCCTCCTCCTGAGGTGCTTCTGGGAAGTTGGCATACGTCTTGAGCCTAAGCCAGGGAATCAGCTCGCATCTCGAGACGATTTGGGGTACACGGAGCATTCCTCGAGTTGCTGTGCTGAAGTTGGTGTTCCTCTAGACTTGGGACAGTGTTCTCGGGGCATCTCTGGAGTTGCCTGAAGGAAGTCGAGCCACCGGTCGTGTTGAATGGGGAACGGGGAATGGCTCTGGAGTCAATGCAGGGGAATCGGGCCTCATCTCGAGTTGATTTGGGGCACATGGAGCTGCTTTGCGTTGCTGGGGTGACCTCAGGGTCCGTCTAGACTGGTGACAGTGTTCTTGGGGACTGTCTCGAGGTCCATTAAGCAAGTCGAAGCTCCTGACTTGTTTGAATGGGATCACGGAATAGCTCTGCATGCACTGCAGGGGAATGGGGCCTCATCTCGCCTCTAGGGGGAAGTCTCATGGTTTTTCTCGAGTTGCGGCGGGGACCTGGGGTATGTTCTCGACTTACGGCGGGGATGGCCCTTCAAAACACGAGTTTCTTCAGTGACGTCAGGACTCCTGTCTAGTAACGAGGGACACCTCAGGAATCTCTTCGAGGCTTGGCAGGGCAAAAGGGACGCTTCTCGAGGTGAGGCAGGGCACCCAAGGACCCTTTCCAGTAGCCACAGGGATTTTGGGATTCCTATCAGTATTCAAGAGGAGTCAGGCATCGTCACCTTTTGAAGCAATGAACTCCGCGTGCCTCTCGAGGTGTCAGCGCGATGTGAGGCATTCCGTCAAAATGAGGCAGGGACCTAGGGCTTTCTCTAAGGTCTCCACAGGGGATTCAGACATCCCTTCATGTTGTGAGATGAAAGACGAGCCTGTATTCAAGCCACTGCAAGGAAATCCGGCCTCCTTTCAAGTTAGGGCTTCTCGCTGTATATTCCCCTTGAGGCAGCAAACTCGGGGTCCCTCCCACATACCTATTGCTGAGAGAAGCCTCCTCCTGAGGTGCTTCTGGGAAGTTGGCATACGTCTTGAGCCTAAGCCAGGGAATCAGCTCGCATCTCGAGACGATTTGGGGTACACGGAGCATTCCTCGAGTTGCTGTGCTGAAGTTGGTGTTCCTCTAGACTTGGGACAGTGTTCTCGGGGCATCTCTGGAGTTGCCTGAAGGAAGTCGAGCCACCGGTCGTGTTGAATGGGGAACGGGGAATGGCTCTGGAGTCAATGCAGGGGAATCGGGCCTCATCTGGAGTTGATTTGGGGCACATGGAGCTGCTTTGCGTTGCTGGGGTGACCTCAGGGTCCGTCTAGACTGGTGACAGTGTTCTTGGGGACTGTCTCGAGATCCATTAAGCAAGTCGAAGCTCCTGACTTGTTTGAATGGGATCACGGAATAGCTCTGCATGCACTGCAGGGGAATGGGGCCTCATCTCGCCTCTAGGGGGAAGTCTCATGGTTTTTCTCGAGTTGCGGCGGGGACCTGGGGTATGTTCTCGACTTACAGCGGGGATGGCCCTTCAAAACACGAGTTTCTTCAGTGACGTCAGGACTCCTGTCTAGTAACGAGGGACACCTCAGGAATCTCTTCGAGGCTTGGCAGGGCAAAAGGGACGCTTCTCGAGGTGAGGCAGGGCACCCAAGGACCCTTTCCAGTAGCCACAGGGATTTTGGGATTCCTATCAGTATTCATGAGGAGTCAGGCATCGTCACCTTTTGAAGCAATGAACTCCGCGTGCCTCTCGAGGTGTCAGCGGGATGTGAGGCATTCCGTCAAAATGAGGCAGGGTCCTAGGGCTTTCTCTAAGGACTCCACAGGGGATTCAGACATCCCTTCATGTTGTGAGATGAAAGACGAGCCTGTATTCAAGCCACTGCAAGGAAATCCGGCCTCCTTTCAAGTTAGGGCTTCTCGCTGTATATTCCCCTTGAGGCACCAAACTCGGGGTCCCTCCCACATACCTATTGCTGAGAGAAGCCTCCTCCTGAGGTGCTTCTGGGAAGTTGGCATACGTCTTGAGCCTAAGCCAGGGAATCAGCTCGCATCTCGAGACGATTTGGGGTACACGGAGCATTCCTCGAGTTGCTGTGCTGAAGTTGGTGTTCCTCTAGACTTGGGACAGTGTTCTCGGGGCATCTCTGGAGTTGCCTGAAGGAAGTCGAGCCACCGGTCGTGTTGAATGGGGAACGGGGAATGGCTCTGGAGTCAATGCAGGGGAATCGGGCCTCATCTCGAGTTGATTTGGGGCACATGGAGCTGCTTTGCGTTGCTGGGGTGACCTCAGGGTCCGTCTAGACTGGTGACAGTGTTCTTGGGGACTGTCTCGAGATCCATTAAGCAAGTCGAAGCTCCTGACTTGTTTGAATGGGATCACGGAATAGCTCTGCATGCACTGCAGGGGAATGGGGCCTCATCTCGCCTCTAGGGGGAAGTCTCATGGTTTTTCTCGAGTTGCGGCGGGGACCTGGGGTATGTTCTCGACTTACGGCGGGGATGGCCCTTCCAAACACGAGTTTCTTCAGTGACGTCAGGACTCCTGTCTAGTAACGAGGGACACCTCAGGAATCTCTTCGAGGCTTGGCAGGGCAAAAGGGACGCTTCTCGAGGTGAGGCAGGGCACCCAAGGACCCTTTCCAGTAGCCACAGGGATTTTGGGATTCCTATCAGTATTCAAGAGGAGTCAGGCATCGTCACCTTTTGAAGCAATGAACTCCGCGTGCCTCTCGAGGTGTCAGCGGGATGTGAGGCATTCCGTCAAAATGAGGCAGGGACCTAGGGCTTTCTCTAAGGTCTCCACAGGGGATTCAGACATCCCTTCATGTTGTGAGATGAAAGACGAGCCTGTATTCAAGCCACTGCAAGGAAATCCGGCCTCCTTTCAAGTTAGGGCTTCTCGCTGTATATTCCCCTTGAGGCAGCAAACTCGGGGTCCCTCCCACATACCTATTGCTGAGAGAAGCCTCCTCCTGAGGTGCTTCTGGGAAGTTGGCATACGTCTTGAGCCTAAGCCAGGGAATCAGCTCGCATCTCGAGACGATTTGGGGTACACGGAGCATTCCTCGAGTTGCTGTGCTGAAGTTGGTGTTCCTCTAGACTTGGGACAGTGTTCTCGGGGCATCTCTGGAGTTGCCAGAAGGAAGTCGAGCCACCGGTCGTGTTGAATGGGGAACGGGGAATGGCTCTGGAGTCAAGGCAGGGGAATCGGGCCTCATCTCGAGTTGATTTGGGGCACATGGAGCTGCTTTGCGTTGCTGGGGTGACCTCAGGGTCCGTCTAGACTGGTGACAGTGTTCTTGGGGACTGTCTCGAGATCCATTAAGCAAGTCGAAGCTCCTGACTTGTTTGAATGGGATCACGGAATAGCTCTGCATGCACTGCAGGGGAATGGGGCCTCATCTCGCCTCTAGGGGGAAGTCTCATGGTTTTTCTCGAGTTGCGGCGGGGACCTGGGGTATGTTCTCGACTTACGGCGGGGATGGCCCTTCCAAACACGAGTTTCTTCAGTGACGTCAGGACTCCTGTCTAGTAACGAGGGACACCTCAGGAATCTCTTCGAGGCTTGGCAGGGCAAAAGGGACGCTTCTCGAGGTGAGGCAGGGCACCCAAGGACCCTTTCCAGTAGCCACAGGGATTTTGGGATTCCTATCAGTATTCAAGAGGAGTCAGGCATCGTCACCTTTTGAAGCAATGAACTCCGCGTGCCTCTCGAGGTGTCAGCGCGATGTGAGGCATTCCGTCAAAATGAGTCAGGGACCTAGGGCTTTCTCTAAGGTCTCCACAGGGGATTCAGACATCCCTTCATGTTGTGAGATGAAAGACGAGCCTGTATTCAAGCCACTGCAAGGAAATCCGGCCTCCTTTCAAGTTAGGGCTTCTCGCTGTATATTCCCCTTGAGGCAGCAAACTCGGGGTCCCTCCCACATACCTATTGCTGAGAGAAGCCTCCTCCTGAGGTGCTTCTGGGAAGTTGGCATACGTCTTGAGCCTAAGCCAGGGAATCAGCTCGCATCTCGAGACGATTTGGGGTACACGGAGCATTCCTCGAGTTGCTGTGCTGAAGTTGGTGTTCCTCTAGGCTTGGGACAGTGTTCTCGGGGCATCTCTGGAGTTGCCAGAAGGAAGTCGAGCCACCGGTCGTGTTGAATGGGGAACGGGGAATGGCTCTGGAGTCAATGCAGGGGAATCGGGCCTCATCTCGAGTTGATTTGGGGCACATGGAGCTGCTTTGCGTTGCTGGGGTGACCTCAGGGTCCGTCTAGACTGGTGACAGTGTTCTTGGGGACTGTCTCGAGATCCATTAAGCAAGTCGAAGCTCCTGACTTGTTTGAATGGGATCACGGAATAGCTCTGCATGCACTGCAGGGGAATGGGGCCTCATCTCGCCTCTAGGGGGAAGTCTCATGGTTTTTCTCGAGTTGCGGCGGGGACCTGGGGTATGTTCTCGACTTACGGTGGGGATGGCCCTTCAAAACACGAGTTTCTTCAGTGACGTCAGGACTCCTGTCTAGTAACGAGGGACACCTCAGGAATCTCTTCGAGGCTTGGCAGGGCAAAAGGGACGCTTCTCGAGGTGAGGCAGGGCACCCAAGGACCCTTTCCAGTAGCCACAGGGATTTTGGGATTCCTATCAGTATTCAAGAGGAGTCAGGCATCGTCACCTTTTGAAGCAATGAACTCCGCGTGCCTCTCGAGGTGTCAGCGGGATGTGAGGCATTCCGTCAAAATGAGGCAGGGACCTAGGGCTTTCTCTAAGGTCTCCACAGGGGATTCAGACATCCCTTCATGTTGTGAGATGAAAGACGAGCCTGTATTCAAGCCACAGCAAGGAAATCCGGCCTCCTTTCAAGTTAGGGCTTCTCGCTGTATATTCCCCTTGAGGCAGCAAACTCGGGGTCCCTCCCACATACCTATTGCTGAGAGAAGCCTCCTCCTGAGGTGCTTCTGGGAAGTTGGCATACGTCTTGAGCCTAAGCCAGGGAATCAGCTCGCATCTCGAAACGATTTGGGGTACACGGAGCATTCCTCGAGTTGCTGTGCTGAAGTTGGTGTTCCTCTAGACTTGGGACAGTGTTCTCGGGGCATCTCTGGAGTTGCCTGAAGGTAGTCGAGCCACCGGTCGTGTTGAATGGGGAACGGGGAATGGCTCTGGAGTCAATGCAGGGGAATCGGGCCTCATCTCGAGTTGATTTGGGGCACATGGAGCTGCTTTGCGTTGCTGGGGTGACCTCAGGGTCCGTCTAGACTGGTGACAGTGTTCTTGGGGACTGTCTCGAGATCCATTAAGCAAGTCGAAGCTCCTGACTTGTTTGAATGGGATCACGGAATAGCTCTGCATGCACTGCAGGGGAATGGGGCCTCATCTCGCCTCTAGGGGGAAGTCTCATGGTTTTTCTCGAGTTGCGGCGGGGACCTGGGGTATGTTCTCGACTTACGGCGGGGATGGCCCTTCAAAACACGAGTTTCTTCAGTGACGTCAGGACTCCTGTCTAGTAACGAGGGACACCTCAGGAAAATCTTCGAGGCTTGGCAGGGCAAAAGGGACGCTTCTCGAGGTGAGGCAGGGCACCCAAGGACCCTTTCCAGTAGCCACAGGGATTTTGGGATTCCTATCAGTATTCAAGAGGAGTCAGGCATCGTCACCTTTTGAAGCAATGAACTCCGCGTGCCTCTCGAGGTGTCAGCGCGATGTGAGGCATTCCGTCAAAATGAGTCAGGGACCTAGGGCTTTCTCTAAGGTCTCCACAGGGGATTCAGACATCCCTTCATGTTGTGAGATGAAAGACGAGCCTGTATTCAAGCCACTGCAAGGAAATCCGGCCTCCTTTCAAGTTAGGGCTTCTCGCTGTATATTCCCCTTGAGGCAGCAAACTCGGGGTCCCTCCCACATACCTATTGCTGAGAGAAGCCTCCTCCTGAGGTGCTTCTGGGAAGTTGGCATACGTCTTGAGCCTAAGCCAGGGAATCAGCTCGCATCTCGAGACGATTTGGGGTACACGGAGCATTCCTCGAGTTGCTGTGCTGAAGTTGGTGTTCCTCTAGGCTTGGGACAGTGTTCTCGGGGCATCTCTGGAGTTGCCAGAAGGAAGTCGAGCCACCGGTCGTGTTGAATGGGGAACGGGGAATGGCTCTGGAGTCAATGCAGGGGAATCGGGCCTCATCTCGAGTTGATTTGGGGCACATGGAGCTGCTTTGCGTTGCTGGGGTTACCTCAGGGTCCGTCTAGACTGGTGACAGTGTTCTTGGGGACTGTCTCGAGGTCCATTAAGCAAGTCGAAGCTCCTGACTTGTTTGAATGGGATCACGGAATAGCTCTGCATGCACTGCAGGGGAATGGGGCCTCATCTCGCCTCTAGGGGGAAGTCTCATGGTTTTTCTCGAGTTGCGGCGGGGACCTGGGGTATGTTCTCGACTTACGGCGGGGATGGCCCTTCAAAACACGAGTTTCTTCAGTGACGTCAGGACTCCTGTCTAGTAACGAGGGACACCTCAGGAATCTCTTCGAGGCTTGGCAGGGCAAAAGGGACGCTTCTCGAGGTGAGGCAGGGCACCCAAGGACCCTTTCCAGTAGCCACAGGGATTTTGGGATTCCTATCAGTATTCATGAGGAGTCAGGCATCGTCACCTTTTGAAGCAATGAACTCCGCGTGCCTCTCGAGGTGTCAGCGGGATGTGAGGCATTCCGTCAAAATGAGGCAGGGAACTAGGGCTTTCTCTAAGGTCTCCACAGGGGATTCAGACATCCCTTCATGTTGTGAGATGAAAGACGAGCCTGTATTCAAGCCACTGCAAGGAAATCCGGCCTCCTTTCAAGTTAGGGCTTCTCGCTGTATATTCCCCTTGAGGCAGCAAACTCGGGGTCCCTCCCACATACCTATTGCTGAGAGAAGCCTCCTCCTGAGGTGCTTCTGGGAAGTTGGCATACGTCTTGAGCCTAAGCCAGGAAATCAGCTCGCATCTCGAGACGATTTGGGGTACACGGAGCATTCCTCGAGTTGCTGTGCTGAAGTTGGTGTTCCTCTAGACTTGGGACAGTGTTCTCGGGGCATCTCTGGAGTTGCCTGAAGGAAGTCGAGCCACCGGTCGTGTTGAATGGGGAACGGGGAATGGCTCTGGAGTCAATGCAGGGGAATCGGGCCTCATCTCGAGTTGATTTGGGGCACATGGAGCTGCTTTGCGTTGCTGGGGTGACCTCAGGGTCCGTCTAGACTGGTGACAGTGTTCTTGGGGACTGTCTCGAGATCCATTAAGCAAGTCGAAGCTCCTGACTTGTTTGAATGGGATCACGGAATAGCTCTGCACGCACTGCAGGGGAATGGGGCCTCATCTCGCCTCTAGGGGGAAGTCTCATGGTTTTTCTCGAGTTGCGGCGGGGACCTGGGGTATGTTCTCGACTTACGGCGGGGATGGCCCTTCAAAACACGAGTTTCTTCAGTGACGTCAGGACTCCTGTCTAGTAACGAGGGACACCTCAGGAATCTCTTCGAGGCTTGGCAGGGCAAAAGGGACGCTTCTCGAGGTGAGGCAGGGCACCCAAGGACCCTTTCCAGTAGCCACAGGGATTTTGGGATTCCTATCAGTATTCAAGAGGAGTCAGGCATCGTCACCTTTTGAAGCAATGAACTCTGCGTGCCTCTCGAGGTGTCAGCGCGATGTGAGGCATTCCGTCAAAATGAGGCAGGGACCTAGGGCTTTCTCTAAGGTCTCCACAGGGGATTCAGACATCCCTTCATGTTGTGAGATGAAAGACGAGCCTGTATTCAAGCCACTGCAAGGAAATCCGGCCTCCTTTCAAGTTAGGGCTTCTCGCTGTATATTCCCCTTGAGGCAGCAAACTCGGGGTCCCTCCCACATACCTATTGCTGAGAGAAGCCTCCTCCTGAGGTGCTTCTGGGAAGTTGGCATACGTCTTGAGCCTAAGCAAGGGAATCAGCTCGCATCTCGAGACGATTTGGGGTACACGGAGCATTCCTCGAGTTGCTGTGCTGAAGTTGGTGTTCCTCTAGGCTTGGGACAGTGTTCTCGGGGCATCTCTGGAGTTGCCTGAAGGAAGTCGAGCCACCGGTCGTGTTGAATGGGGAACGGGGAATGGCTCTGGAGTCAATGCAGGGGAATCGGGCCTCATCTCGAGTTGATTTGGGGCACATGGAGCTGCTTTGCGTTGCTGGGGTGACCTCAGGGTCCGTCTAGACTGGTGACAGTGTTCTTGGGGACTGTCTCGAGATCCATTAAGCAAGTCGAAGCTCCTGACTTGTTTGAATGGGATCACGGAATAGCTCTGCACGCACTGCAGGGGAATGGGGCCTCATCTCGCCTCTAGGGGGAAGTCTCATGGTTTTTCTCGAGTTGCGGCGGGGACCTGGGGTATGTTCTCGACTTACGGCGGGGATGGCCCTTCAAAACACGAGTTTCTTCAGTGACGTCAGGACTCCTGTCTAGTAACGAGGGACACCTCAGGAATCTCTTCGAGGCTTGGCAGGGCAAAAGGGACGCTTCTCGAGGTGAGGCAGGGCACCCAAGGACCCTTTCCAGTAGCCACAGGGATTTTGGGATTCCTATCAGTATTCAAGAGGAGTCAGGCATCGTCACCTTTTGAAGCAATGAACTCCGCGTGCCTCTCGAGGTGTCAGCGCGATGTGAGGCATTCCGTCAAAATGAGGCAGGGACCTAGGGCTTTCTCTTAGGTCTCCACAGGGGATTCAGACATCCCTTCATGTTGTGAGATGAAAGACGAGCCTGTATTCAAGCCACTGCAAGGAAATCCGGCCTCCTTTCAAGTTAGGGCTTCTCGCTGTATATTCCCCTTGAGGCAGCAAACTCGGGGTCCCTCCCACATACCTATTGCTGAGAGAAGCCTCCTCCTGAGGTGCTTCTGGGAAGTTGGCATACGTCTTGAGCCTAAGCCAGGGAATCAGCTCGCATCTCGAGACGATTTGGGGTACACGGAGCATTCCTCGAGTTGCTGTGCTGAAGTTGGCGTTCCTCTAGGCTTGGGACAGTGTTCTCGGGGCATCTCTGGAGTTGCCTGAAGGAAGTCGAGCCACCGGTCGTGTTGAATGGGGAATGGGGAATGGCTCTGGAGTCAATGCAGGGGAATCGGGCCTCATCTCGAGTTGATTTGGGGCACATGGAGCTGCTTTGCGTTGCTGGGGTGACCTCAGGGTCCGTCTAGACTGGTGACAGTGTTCTTGGGGACTGTCTCGAGGTCCATTAAGCAAGTCGAAGCTCCTGACTTGTTTGAATGGGATCACGGAATAGCTCTGCATGCACTGCAGGGGAATGGGGCCTCATCTCGCCTCTAGGGGGAAGTCTCATGGTTTTTCTCGAGTTGCGGCGGGGACCTGGGGTATGTTCTCGACTTACGGCGGGGATGTCCCTTCAAAACACGAGTTTCTTCAGTGACGTCAGGACTCCTGTCTAGTAACGAGGGACACCTCAGGAATCTCTTCGAGGCTTGGCAGGGCAAAAGGGACGCTTCTCGAGGTGAGGCAGGGCACCCAAGGACCCTTTCCAGTAGCCACAGGGATTTTGGGATTCCTATCAGTATTCAAGAGGAGTCAGGCATCGTCACCTTTTGAAGCAATGAACTCCGCGTGCCTCTCGAGGTGTCAGCGGGATGTGAGGCATTCCGTCAAAATGAGGCAGGGACCTAGGGCTTTCTCTAAGGTCTCCACAGGGGATTCAGACATCCCTTCATGTTGTGAGATGAAAGACGAGCCTGTATTCAAGCCACTGCAAGGAAATCCGGCCTCCTTTCAAGATAGGGCTTCTCGCTGTATATTCCCCTTGAGGCATCAAACTCGGGGTCCCTCCCACATACCTATTGCTGAGAGAAGCCTCCTCCTGAGGTGCTTCTGGGAAGTTGGCATACGTCTTGAGCCTAAGCCAGGGAATCAGCTCGCATCTCGAGACGATTTGGGGTACACGGAGCATTCCTCGAGTTGCTGTGCTGAAGTTGGTGTTCCTCTAGACTTGGGACAGTGTTCTCGGGGCATCTCTGGAGTTGCCTGAAGGAAGTCGAGCCACCGGTCGTGTTGAATGGGGAACGGGGAATGGCTCTGGAGTCAATGCAGGGGAATCGGGCCTCATCTCGAGTTGATTTGGGGCACATGGAGCTGCTTTGCGTTGCTGGGGTGACCTCAGGGTCCGTCTAGACTGGTGACAGTGTTCTTGGGGACTGTCTCGAGGTCCATTAAGCAAGTCGAAGCTCCTGACTTGTTTGAATGGGATCACGGAATAGCTCTGCATGCACTGCAGGGGAATGGGGCCTCATCTCGCCTCTAGGGGGAAGTCTCATGGTTTTTCTCGAGTTGCGGCGGGGACCTGGGGTATGTTCTCGACTTACGGCGGGGATGGCCCTTCAAAACACGAGTTTCTTCAGTGACGTCAGGACTCCTGTCTAGTAACGAGGGACACCTCAGGAATCTCTTCGAGGCTTGGCAGGGCAAAAGGGACGCTTCTCGAGGTGAGGCAGGGCACCCAAGGACCCTTTCCAGTAGCCACAGGGATTTTGGGATTCCTATCAGTATTCATGAGGAGTCAGGCATCGTCACCTTTTGAAGCAATGAACTCCGCGTGCCTCTCGAGGTGTCAGCGGGATGTGAGGCATTCCGTCAAAATGAGGCAGGGTCCTAGGGCTTTCTCTAAGGACTCCACAGGGGATTCAGACAACCCTTCATGTTGTGAGATGAAAGACGAGCCTGTATTCAAGCCACTGCAAGGAAATCCGGCCTCCTTTCAAGTTAGGGCTTCTCGCTGTATATTCCCCTTGAGGCAGCAAACTCGGGGTCCCTCCCACATACCTATTGCTGAGAGAAGCCTCCTCCTGAGGTGCTTCTGGGAAGTTGGCATACGTCTTGAGCCTAAGCCAGGGAATCAGCTCGCATCTCGAGACGATTTGGGGTACACGGAGCATTCCTCGAGTTGCTGTGCTGAAGTTGGTGTTCCTCTAGACTTGGGACAGTGTTCTCGGGGCATCTCTGGAGTTGCCTGAAGGAAGTCGAGCCACTGGTCGTGTTGAATGGGGAACGGGGAATGGCTCTGGAGTCAATGCAGGGGAATCGGGCCTCATCTCGAGTTGATTTGGGGCACATGGAGCTGCTTTGCGTTGCTGGGGTGACCTCAGGGTCCGTCTAGACTGGTGACAGTGTTCTTGGGGACTGTCTCGAGATCCATTAAGCAAGTCGAAGCTCCTGACTTGTTTGAATGGGATCACGGAATAGCTCTGCATGCACTGCAGGGGAATGGGGCCTCATCTCGCCTCTAGGGGGAAGTCTCATGGTTTTTCTCGAGTTGCGGCGGGGACCTGGGGTATGTTCTCGACTTACGGCGGGGATGGCCCTTCAAAACACGAGTTTCTTCAGTGACGTCAGGACTCCTGTCTAGTAACGAGGGACACCTCAGGAATCTCTTCGAGGCTTGGCAGGGCAAAAGGGACGCTTCTCGAGGTGAGGCAGGGCACCCAAGGACCCTTTCCAGTAGCCACAGGGATTTTGGGATTCCTATCAGTATTCAAGAGGAGTCAGGCATCGTCACCTTTTGAAGCAATGAACTCCGCGTGCCTCTCGAGGTGTCAGCGGGATGTGAGGCATTCCGTCAAAATGAGGCAGGGACCTAGGGCTTTCTCTAAGGTCTCCACAGGGGATTCAGACATCCCTTCATGTTGTGAGATGAAAGACGAGCCTGTATTCAAGCCACAGCAAGGAAATCCGGCCTCCTTTCAAGTTAGGGCTTCTCGCTGTATATTCCCCTTGAGGCAGCAAACTCGGGGTCCCTCCCACATACCTATTGCTGAGAGAAGCCTCCTCCTGAGGTGCTTCTGGGAAGTTGGCATACGTCTTGAGCCTAAGCCAGGGAATCAGCTCGCATCTCGAAACGATTTGGGGTACACGGAGCATTCCTCGAGTTGCTGTGCTGAAGTTGGTGTTCCTCTAGACTTGGGACAGTGTTCTCGGGGCATCTCTGGAGTTGCCTGAAGGTAGTCGAGCCACCGGTCGTGTTGAATGGGGAACGGGGAATGGCTCTGGAGTCAATGCAGGGGAATCGGGCCTCATCTCGAGTTGATTTGGGGCACATGGAGCTGCTTTGCGTTGCTGGGGTGACCTCAGGGTCCGTCTAGACTGGTGACAGTGTTCTTGGGGACTGTCTCGAGATCCATTAAGCAAGTCGAAGCTCCTGACTTGTTTGAATGGGATCACGGAATAGCTCTGCATGCACTGCAGGGGAATGGGGCCTCATCTCGCCTCTAGGGGGAAGTCTCATGGTTTTTCTCGAGTTGCGGCGGGGACCTGGGGTATGTTCTCGACTTACGGCGGGGATGGCCCTTCAAAACACGAGTTTCTTCAGTGACGTCAGGACTCCTGTCTAGTAACGAGGGACACCTCAGGAATCTCTTCGAGGCTTGGCAGGGCAAAAGGGACGCTTCTCGAGGTGAGGCAGGGCACCCAAGGACCCTTTCCAGTAGCCACAGGGATTTTGGGATTCCTATCAGTATTCAAGAGGAGTCAGGCATCGTCACCTTTTGAAGCAATGAACTCCGCGTGCCTCTCGAGGTGTCAGCGCGATGTGAGGCATTCCGTCAAAATGAGGCAGGGACCTAGGGCTTTCTCTAAGGTCTCCACAGGGGATTCAGACATCCCTTCATGTTGTGAGATGAAAGACGAGCCTGTATTCAAGCCACTGCAAGGAAATCCGGCCTCCTTTCAAGTTAGGGCTTCTCGCTGTATATTCCCCTTGAGGCAGCAAACTCGGGGTCCCTCCCACATACCTATTGCTGAGAGAAGCCTCCTCCTGAGGTGCTTCTGGGAAGTTGGCATACGTCTTGAGCCTAAGCCAGGGAATCAGCTCGCATCTCGAGACGATTTGGGGTACACGGAGCATTCCTCGAGTTGCTGTGCTGAAGTTGGTGTTCCTCTAGACTTGGGACAGTGTTCTCGGGGCATCTCTGGAGTTGCCAGAAGGAAGTCGAGCCACCGGTCGTGTTGAATGGGGAACGGGGAATGGCTCTGGAGTCAAGGCAGGGGAATCGGGCCTCATCTCGAGTTGATTTGGGGCACATGGAGCTGCTTTGCGTTGCTGGGGTGACCTCAGGGTCCGTCTAGACTGGTGACAGTGTTCTTGGGGACTGTCTCGAGATCCATTAAGCAAGTCGAAGCTCCTGACTTGTTTGAATGGGATCACGGAATAGCTCTGCATGCACTGCAGGGGAATGGGGCCTCATCTCGCCTCTAGGGGGAAGTCTCATGGTTTTTCTCGAGTTGCGGCGGGGACCTGGGGTATGTTCTCGACTTACGGCGGGGATGGCCCTTCCAAACACGAGTTTCTTCAGTGACGTCAGGACTCCTGTCTAGTAACGAGGGACACCTCAGGAATCTCTTCGAGGCTTGGCAGGGCAAAAGGGACGCTTCTCGAGGTGAGGCAGGGCACCCAAGGACCCTTTCCAGTAGCCACAGGGATTTTGGGATTTCTATCAGTATTCAAGAGGAGTCAGGCATCGTCACCTTTTGAAGCAATGAACTCCGCGTGCCTCTCGAGGTGTCAGCGCGATGTGAGGCATTCCGTCAAAATGAGTCAGGGACCTAGGGCTTTCTCTAAGGTCTCCACAGGGGATTCAGACATCCCTTCATGTTGTGAGATGAAAGACGAGCCTGTATTCAAGCCACTGCAAGGAAATCCGGCCTCCTTTCAAGTTAGGGCTTCTCGCTGTATATTCCCCTTGAGGCAGCAAACTCGGGGTCCCTCCCACATACCTATTGCTGAGAGAAGCCTCCTCCTGAGGTGCTTCTGGGAAGTTGGCATACGTCTTGAGCCTAAGCCAGGGAATCAGCTCGCATCTCGAGACGATTTGGGGTACACGGAGCATTCCTCGAGTTGCTGTGCTGAAGTTGGTGTTCCTCTAGGCTTGGGAGAGTGTTCTCGGGGCATCTCTGGAGTTGCCAGAAGGAAGTCGAGCCACCGGTCGTGTTGAATGGGGAACGGGGAATGGCTCTGGAGTCAATGCAGGGGAATCGGGCCTCATCTCGAGTTGATTTGGGGCACATGGAGCTGCTTTGCGTTGCTGGGGTGACCTCAGGGTCCGTCTAGACTGGTGACAGTGTTCTTGGGGACTGTCTCGAGATCCATTAAGCAAGTCGAAGCTCCTGACTTGTTTGAATGGGATCACGGAATAGCTCTGCATGCACTGCAGGGGAATGGGGCCTCATCTCGCCTCTAGGGGGAAGTCTCATGGTTTTTCTCGAGTTGCGGCGGGGACCTGGGGTATGTTCTCGACTTACGGCGGGGATGGCCCTTCAAAACACGAGTTTCTTCAGTGACGTCAGGACTCCTGTCTAGTAACGAGGGACACCTCAGGAATCTCTTCGAGGCTTGGCAGGGCAAAAGGGACGCTTCTCGAGGTGAGGCAGGGCACCCAAGGACCCTTTCCAGTAGCCACAGGGATTTTGGGATTCCTATCAGTATTCAAGAGGAGTCAGGCATCGTCACCTTTTGAAGCAATGAACTCCGCGTGCCTCTCGAGGTGTCAGCGCGATGTGAGGCATTCCGTCAAAATGAGTCAGGGACCTAGGGCTTTCTCTAAGGTCTCCACAGGGGATTCAGACATCCCTTCATGTTGTGAGATGAAAGACGAGCCTGTATTCAAGCCACTGCAAGGAAATCCGGCCTCCTTTCAAGTTAGGGCTTCTCGCTGTATATTCCCCTTGAGGCAGCAAACTCGGGGTCCCTCCCACATACCTATTGCTGAGAGAAGCCTCCTCCTGAGGTGCTTCTGGGAAGTTGGCATACGTCTTGAGCCTAAGCCAGGGAATCAGCTCGCATCTCGAGACGATTTGGGGTACACGGAGCATTCCTCGAGTTGCTGTGCTGAAGTTGGTGTTCCTCTAGGCTTGGGACAGTGTTCTCGGGGCATCTCTGGAGTTGCCAGAAGGAAGTCGAGCCACCGGTCGTGTTGAATGGGGAACGGGGAATGGCTCTGGAGTCAATGCAGGGGAATCGGGCCTCATCTCGAGTTGATTTGGGGCACATGGAGCTGCTTTGCGTTGCTGGGGTGACCTCAGGGTCCGTCTAGACTGGTGACAGTGTTCTTGGGGACTGTCTCGAGGTCCATTAAGCAAGTCGAAGCTCCTGACTTGTTTGAATGGGATCACGGAATAGCTCTGCATGCACTGCAGGGGAATGGGGCCTCATCTCGCCTCTAGGGGGAAGTCTCATGGTTTTTCTCGAGTTGCGGCGCGGACCTGGGGTATGTTCTCGACTTACGGCGGGGATGGCCCTTCAAAACACGAGTTTCTTCAGTGACGTCAGGACTCCTGTCTAGTAACGAGGGACACCTCAGGAATCTCTTCGAGGCTTGGCAGGGCAAAAGGGACGCTTCTCGAGGTGAGGCAGGGCACCCAAGGACCCTTTCCAGTAGCCACAGGGATTTTGGGATTCCTATCAGTATTCATGAGGAGTCAGGCATCGTCACCTTTTGAAGCAATGAACTCCGCGTGCCTCTCGAGGTGTCAGCGGGATGTGAGGCATTCCGTCAAAATGAGGCAGGGAACTAGGGCTTTCTCTAAGGTCTCCACAGGGGATTCAGACATCCCTTCATGTTGTGAGATGAAAGACGAGCCTGTATTCAAGCCACTGCAAGGAAATCCGGCCTCCTTTCAAGTTAGGGCTTCTCGCTGTATATTCCCCTTGAGGCAGCAAACTCGGGGTCCCTCCCACATACCTATTGCTGAGAGACGCCTCCTCCTGAGGTGCTTCTGGGAAGTTGGCATACGTCTTGAGCCTAAGCCAGGAAATCAGCTCGCATCTCGAGACGATTTGGGGTACACGGAGCATTCCTCGAGTTGCTGTGCTGAAGTTGGTGTTCCTCTAGACTTGGGACAGTGTTCTCGGGGCATCTCTGGAGTTGCCTGAAGGAAGTCGAGCCACCGGTCGTGTTGAATGGGGAACGGGGAATGGCTCTGGAGTCAATGCAGGGGAATCGGGCCTCATCTCGAGTTGATTTGGGGCACATGGAGCTGCTTTGCGTTGCTGGGGTGACCTCAGGGTCCGTCTAGACTGGTGACAGTGTTCTTGGGGACTGTCTCGAGATCCATTAAGCAAGTCGAAGCTCCTGACTTGTTTGAATGGGATCACGGAATAGCTCTGCACGCACTGCAGGGGAATGGGGCCTCATCTCGCCTCTAGGGGGAAGTCTCATGGTTTTTCTCGAGTTGCGGCGGGGACCTGGGGTATGTTCTCGACTTACGGCGGGGATGGCCCTTCAAAACACGAGTTTCTTCAGTGACGTCAGGACTCCTGTCTAGTAACGAGGGACACCTCAGGAATCTCTTCGAGGCTTGGCAGGGCAAAAGGGACGCTTCTCGAGGTGAGGCAGGGCACCCAAGGACCCTTTCCAGTAGCCACAGGGATTTTGGGATTCCTATCAGTATTCAAGAGGAGTCAGGCATCGTCACCTTTTGAAGCAATGAACTCCGCGTGCCTCTCGAGGTGTCAGCGGGATGTGAGGCATTCCGTCAAAATGAGGCAGGGACCTAGGGCTTTCTCTAAGGTCTCCACAGGGGATTCAGACATCCCTTCATGTTGTGAGATGAAAGACGAGCCTGTATTCAAGCCACTGCAAGGAAATCCGGCCTCCTTTCAAGTTAGGGCTTCTCGCTGTATATTCCCCTTGAGGCAGCAAACTCGGGGTCCCTCCCACATACCTATTGCTGAGAGAAGCCTCCTCCTGAGGTGCTTCTGGGAAGTTGGCATACGTCTTGAGCCTAAGCCAGGGAATCAGCTCGCATCTCGAGACGATTTGGGGTACACGGAGCATTCCTCGAGTTGCTGTGCTGAAGCTGGTGTTCCTCTAGACTTGGGACAGTGTTCTCGGGGCATCTCTGGAGTTGCCTGAAGTAAGTCGAGCCACCGGTCGTGTTGAATGGGGAACGGGGAATGGCTCTGGAGTCAATGCAGGGGAATCGGGCCTCATCTCGAGTTGATTTGGGGCACATGGAGCTGTTTGCGTTGCTGGGGTGACCTCAGGGTCCGTCTAGACTGGTGACAGTGTTCTTGGGGACTGTCTCGAGGTCCATTAAGCAAGTCGAAGCTCCTGACTTGTTTGAATGGGATCACGGAATAGCTCTGCATGCACTGCAGGGGAATGGGGCCTCATCTCGCCTCTAGGGGGAAGTCTCATGGTTTTTCTCGAGTTGCGGCGGGGACCTGGGGTATGTTCTCGACTTACGGCGGGGATGGCCCTTCAAAACACGAGTTTCTTCAGTGACGTCAGGACTCCTGTCTAGTAACGAGGGACACCTCAGGAATCTCTTCGAGGCTTGGCAGGGCAAAAGGGACGCTTCTCGAGGTGAGGCAGGGCACCCAAGGACCCTTTCCAGTAGCCACAGGGATTTTGGGATTCCTATCAGTATTCAAGAGGAGTCAGGCATCGTCACCTTTTGAAGCAATGAACTCCGCGTGCCTCTCGAGGTGTCAGCGGGATGTGAGGCATTCCGTCAAAATGAGGCAGGGACCTAGGGCTTTCTCTAAGGTCTCCACAGGGGATTCAGACATCCCTTCATGTTGTGAGATGAAAGACGAGCCTGTATTCAAGCCACTGCAAGGAAATCCGGCCTCCTTTCAAGTTAGGGCTTCTCGCTGTATATTCTCCTTGAGGCAGCAAACTCGGGGTCCCTCCCACATACCTATTGCTGAGAGAAGCCTCCTCCTGAGGTGCTTCTGGGAAGTTGGCATACGTCTTGAGCCTAAGCCAGGGAATCAGCTCGCATCTCGAGACGATTTGGGGTACACGGAGCATTCCTCGAGTTGCTGTGCTGAAGTTGGTGTTCCTCTAGACTTGGGACAGTGTTCTCGGGGCATCTCTGGAGTTGCCTGAAGGAAGTCGAGCCACCGGTCGTGTTGAATGGGGAACGGGGAATGGCTCTGGAGTCAATGCAGGGGAATCGGGCCTCATCTCGAGTTGATTTGGGGCACATGGAGCTGCTGTGCATTGCTGGGGTGACCTCAGGGTCCGTCTAGACTGGTGACAGTGTTCTTGGGGACTGTCTCGAGATCCATTAAGCAAGTCGAAGCTCCTGACTTGTTTGAATGGGATCACGGAATAGCTCTGCACGCACTGCAGGGGAATGGGGCCTCATCTCGCCTCTAGGGGGAAGTCTCATGGTTTTTCTCGAGTTGCGGCGGGGACCTGGGGTATGTTCTCGACTTACGGCGGGGATGGCCCTTCAAAACACGAGTTTCTTCAGTGACGTCAGGACTCCTGTCTAGTAACGAGGGACACCTCAGGAATCTCTTCGAGGCTTGGCAGGGCAAAAGGGACGCTTCTCGAGGTGAGGCAGGGCACCCAAGGACCCTTTCCAGTAGCCACAGGGATTTTGGGATTCCTATCAGTATTCAAGAGGAGTCAGGCATCGTCACCTTTTGAAGCAATGAACTCCGCGTGCCTCTCGAGGTGTCAGCGCGATGTGAGGCATTCCGTCAAAATGAGGCAGGGACCTAGGGCTTTCTCTAAGGTCTCCACAGGGGATTCAGACATCCCTTCATGTTGTGAGATGAAAGACGAGCCTGTATTCAAGCCACTGCAAGGAAATCCGGCCTCCTTTCAAGTTAGGGCTTCTCGCTGTATATTCCCCTTGAGGCAGCAAACTCGGGGTCCCTCCCACATACCTATTGCTGAGAGAAGCCTCCTCCTGAGGTGCTTCTGGGAAGTTGGCATACGTCTTGAGCCTAAGCCAGGGAATCAGCTCGCATCTCGAGACGATTTGGGGTACACGGAGCATTCCTCGAGTTGCTGTGCTGAAGTTGGTGTTCCTCTAGGCTTGGGACAGTGTTCTCGGGGCATCTCTGGAGTTGCCTGAAGGAAGTCGAGCCACCGGTCGTGTTGAATGGGGAACGGGGAATGGCTCTGGAATCAATGCAGGGGAATCGGGCCTCATCTCGAGTTGATTTGGGGCACATGGAGCTGCTTTGCGTTGCTGGGGTGACCTCAGGGTCCGTCTAGACTGGTGACAGTGTTCTTGGGGACTGTCTCGAGATCCATTAAGCAAGTCGAAGCTCCTGACTTGTTTGAATGGGATCACGGAATAGCTCTGCATGCACTGCAGGGGAATGGGGCCTCATCTCGCCTCTAGGGGGAAGTCTCATGGTTTTTCTCGAGTTGCGGCGGGGACCTGGGGTATGTTCTCGACTTACGGCGGGGATGGCCCTTCAAAACACGAGTTTCTTCAGTGACGTCCGGACTCCTGTCTAGTAACGAGGGACACCTCAGGAATCTCTTCGAGGCTTGGCAGGGCAAAAGGGACGCTTCTCGAGGTGAGGCAGGGCACCCAAGGACCCTTTCCAGTAGCCACAGGGATTTTGGGATTCCTATCAGTATTCAAGAGGAGTCAGGAATCGTCACCTTTTGAAGCAATGAACTCCGCGTGCCTCTCGAGGTGTCAGCGGGATGTGAGGCATTCCGTCAAAATGAGGCAGGGACCTAGGGCTTTCTCTAAGGTCTCCACAGGGGATTCAGACATCCCTTCATGTTGTGAGATGAAAGACGAGCCTGTATTCAAGCCACTGCAAGGAAATCCGGCCTCCTTTCAAGTTAGGGCTTCTCGCTGTATATTCCCCTTGAGGCAGCAAACTCGGGGTCCCTCCCACATACCTATTGCTGAGAGAAGCCTCCTCCTGAGGTGCTTCTGGGAAGTTGGCATACGTCTTGAGCCTAAGCCAGGGAATCAGCTCGCATCTCGAGACGATTTGGGGTACACGGAGCATTCCTCGAGTTGCTGTGCTGAAGCTGGTGTTCCTCTAGACTTGGGACAGTGTTCTCGGGGCATCTCTGGAGTTGCCTGAAGTAAGTCGAGCCACCGGTCGTGTTGAATGGGGAACGGGGAATGGCTCTGGAGTCAATGCAGGGGAATCGGGCCTCATCTCGAGTTGATTTGGGGCACATGGAGCTGTTTGCGTTGCTGGGGTGACCTCAGGGTCCGTCTAGACTGGTGACAGTGTTCTTGGGGACTGTCTCGAGGTCCATTAAGCAAGTCGAAGCTCCTGACTTGTTTGAATGGGATCACGGAATAGCTCTGCATGCACTGCAGGGGAATGGGGCCTCATCTCGCCTCTAGGGGGAAGTCTCATGGTTTTTCTCGAGTTGCGGCGGGGACCTGGGGTATGTTCTCGACTTACGGCGGGGATGGCCCTTCAAAACACGAGTTTCTTCAGTGACGTCAGGACTCCTGTCTAGTAACGAGGGACACCTCAGGAATCTCTTCGAGGCTTGGCAGGGCAAAAGGGACGCTTCTCGAGGTGAGGCAGGGCACCCAAGGACCCTTTCCAGTAGCCACAGGGATTTTGGGATTCCTATCAGTATTCAAGAGGAGTCAGGCATCGTCACCTTTTGAAGCAATGAACTCCGCGTGCCTCTCGAGGTGTCAGCGGGATGTGAGGCATTCCGTCAAAATGAGGCAGGGACCTAGGGCTTTCTCTAAGGTCTCCACAGGGGATTCAGACATCCCTTCATGTTGTGAGATGAAAGACGAGCCTGTATTCAAGCCACTGCAAGGAAATCCGGCCTCCTTTCAAGTTAGGGCTTCTCGCTGTATATTCTCCTTGAGGCAGCAAACTCGGGGTCCCTCCCACATACCTATTGCTGAGAGAAGCCTCCTCCTGAGGTGCTTCTGGGAAGTTGGCATACGTCTTGAGCCTAAGCCAGGGAATCAGCTCGCATCTCGAGACGATTTGGGGTACACGGAGCATTCCTCGAGTTGCTGTGCTGAAGTTGGTGTTCCTCTAGACTTGGGACAGTGTTCTCGGGGCATCTCTGGAGTTGCCTGAAGGAAGTCGAGCCACCGGTCGTGTTGAATGGGGAACGGGGAATGGCTCTGGAGTCAATGCAGGGGAATCGGGCCTCATCTCGAGTTGATTTGGGGCACATGGAGCTGCTGTGCATTGCTGGGGTGACCTCAGGGTCCGTCTAGACTGGTGACAGTGTTCTTGGGGACTGTCTCGAGATCCATTAAGCAAGTCGAAGCTCCTGACTTGTTTGAATGGGATCACGGAATAGCTCTGCACGCACTGCAGGGGAATGGGGCCTCATCTCGCCTCTAGGGGGAAGTCTCATGGTTTTTCTCGAGTTGCGGCGGGGACCTGGGGTATGTTCTCGACTTACGGCGGGGATGGCCCTTCAAAACACGAGTTTCTTCAGTGACGTCAGGACTCCTGTCTAGTAACGAGGGACACCTCAGGAATCTCTTCGAGGCTTGGCAGGGCAAAAGGGACGCTTCTCGAGGTGAGGCAGGGCACCCAAGGACCCTTTCCAGTAGCCACAGGGATTTTGGGATTCCTATCAGTATTCAAGAGGAGTCAGGCATCGTCACCTTTTGAAGCAATGAACTCCGCGTGCCTCTCGAGGTGTCAGCGCGATGTGAGGCATTCCGTCAAAATGAGGCAGGGACCTAGGGCTTTCTCTAAGGTCTCCACAGGGGATTCAGACATCCCTTCATGTTGTGAGATGAAAGACGAGCCTGTATTCAAGCCACTGCAAGGAAATCCGGCCTCCTTTCAAGTTAGGGCTTCTCGCTGTATATTCCCCTTGAGGCAGCAAACTCGGGGTCCCTCCCACATACCTATTGCTGAGAGAAGCCTCCTCCTGAGGTGCTTCTGGGAAGTTGGCATACGTCTTGAGCCTAAGCCAGGGAATCAGCTCGCATCTCGAGACGATTTGGGGTACACGGAGCATTCCTCGAGTTGCTGTGCTGAAGTTGGTGTTCCTCTAGGCTTGGGACAGTGTTCTCGGGGCATCTCTGGAGTTGCCTGAAGGAAGTCGAGCCACCGGTCGTGTTGAATGGGGAACGGGGAATGGCTCTGGAATCAATGCAGGGGAATCGGGCCTCATCTCGAGTTGATTTGGGGCACATGGAGCTGCTTTGCGTTGCTGGGGTGACCTCAGGGTCCGTCTAGACTGGTGACAGTGTTCTTGGGGACTGTCTCGAGGTCCATTAAGCAAGTCGAAGCTCCTGACTTGTTTGAATGGGATCACGGAATAGCTCTGCATGCACTGCAGGGGAATGGGGCCTCATCTCGCCTCTAGGGGGAAGTCTCATGGTTTTTCTCGAGTTGCGGCGGGGACCTGGGGTATGTTCTCGACTTACGGCGGGGATGGCCCTTCAAAACACGAGTTTCTTCAGTGACGTCAGGACTCCTGTCTAGTAACGAGGGACACCTCAGGAATCTCTTCGAGGCTTGGCAGGGCAAAAGGGACGCTTCTCGAGGTGAGGCAGGGCACCCAAGGACCCTTTCCAGTAGCCACAGGGATTTTGGGATTCCTATCAGTATTCATGAGGAGTCAGGCATCGTCACCTTTTGAAGCAATGAACTCCGCGTGCCTCTCGAGGTGTCAGCGGGATGTGAGGCATTCCGTCAAAATGAGGCAGGGACCTAGGGCTTTCTCTAAGGTCTCCACAGGGGATTCAGACATCCCTTCATGTTGTGAGATGAAAGACGAGCCTGTATTCAAGCCACTGCAAGGAAATCCGGCCTCCTTTCAAGTTAGGGCTTCTCGCTGTATATTCCCCTTGAGGCAGCAAACTCGGGGTCCCTCCCACATACCTATTGCTGAGAGAAACCTCCTCCTGAGGTGCTTCTGGGAAGTTGGCATACGTCTTGAGCCTAAGCCAGGGAATCAACTCGCATCTCGAGACGATTTGGGGTACACGGAGCATTCCTCGAGTTGCTGTGCTGAAGTTGGTGTTCCTCTAGACTTGGGACAGTGTTCTCGGGGCATCTCTGGAGTTGCCTGAAGGAAGTCGAGCCACCGGTCGTGTTGAATGGGGAACGGGGAATGGCTCTGGAGTCAATGCAGGGGAATCGGGCCTCATCTCGAGTTGATTTGGGGCACATGGAGCTGCTTTGCGTTGCTGGGGTGACCTCAGGGTCCGTCTAGACTGGTGACAGTGTTCTTGGGGACTGTCTCGAGATCCATTAAGCAAGTCGAAGCTCCTGACTTGTTTGAATGGGATCACGGAATAGCTCTGCACGCACTGCAGGGGAATGGGGCCTCATCTCGCCTCTAGGGGGAAGTCTCATGGTTTTTCTCGAGTTGCGGCGGGGACCTGGGGTATGTTCTCGACTTACGGCGGGGATGGCCCTTCAAAACACGAGTTTCTTCAGTGACGTCAGGACTCCTGTCTAGTAACGAGGGACACCTCAGGAATCTCTTCGAGGCTTGGCAGGGCAAAAGGGACGCTTCTCGAGGTGAGGCAGGGCACCCAAGGACCCTTTCCAGTAGCCACAGGGATTTTGGGATTCCTATCAGTATTCAAGAGGAGTCAGGCATCGTCACCTTTTGAAGCAATGAACTCCGCGTGCCTCTCGAGGTGTCAGCGGGATGTGAGGCATTCCGTCAAAATGAGGCAGGGACCTAGGGCTTTCTCTAAGGTCTCCACAGGGGATTCAGACATCCCTTCATGTTGTGAGATGAAAGACGAGCCTGTATTCAAGCCACTGCAAGGAAATCCGGCCTCCTTTCAAGTTAGGGCTTCTCGCTGTATATTCCCCTTGAGGCAGCAAACTCGGGGTCCATCCCACATACCTATTGCTGAGAGAAGCCTCCTGCTGAGGTGCTTCTGGGAAGTTGGCATACGTCTTGAGCCTAAGCCAGGGAATCAGCTCGCATCTCGAGACGATTTGGGGTACACGGAGCATTCCTCGAGTTGCTGTGCTGAAGTTGGTGTTCCTCTAGACTTGGGACAGTGTTCTCGGGGCATCTCTGGAGTTGCCTGAAGGAAGTCGAGCCACCGGTCGTGTTGAATGGGGAACGGGGAATGGCTCTGGAGTCAATGCAGGGGAATCGGGCCTCATCTCGAGTTGATTTGGGGCACATGGAGCTGTTTGCGTTGCTGGGGTGACCTCAGGGTCCGTCTAGACTGGTGACAGTGTTCTTGGGGACTGTCTCGAGGTCCATTAAGCAAGTCGAAGCTCCTGACTTGTTTGAATGGGATCACGGAATAGCTCTGCATGCACTGCAGGGGAATGGGGCCTCATCTCGCCTCTAGGGGGAAGTCTCATGGTTTTTCTCGAGTTGCGGCGGGGACCTGGGGTATGTTCTCGACTTACGGCGGGGATGGCCCTTCAAAACACGAGTTTCTTCAGTGACGTCAGGACTCCTGTCTAGTAACGAGGGACACCTCAGGAATCTCTTCGAGGCTTGGCAGGGCAAAAGGGACGCTTCTCGAGGTGAGGCAGGGCACCCAAGGACCCTTTCCAGTAGCCACAGGGATTTTGGGATTCCTATCAGTATTCAAGAGGAGTCAGGCATCGTCACCTTTTGAAGCAATGAACTCCGCGTGCCTCTCGAGGTGTCAGCGGGATGTGAGGCATTCCGTCAAAATGAGGCAGGGACCTAGGGCTTTCTCTAAGGTCTCCACAGGGGATTCAGACATCCCTTCATGTTGTGAGATGAAAGACGAGCCTGTATTCAAGCCACTGCAAGGAAATCCGGCCTCCTTTCAAGTTAGGGCTTCTCGCTGTATATTCTCCTTGAGGCAGCAAACTCGGGGTCCCTCCCACATACCTATTGCTGAGAGAAGCCTCCTCCTGAGGTGCTTCTGGGAAGTTGGCATACGTCTTGAGCCTAAGCCAGGGAATCAGCTCGCATCTCGAGACGATTTGGGGTACACGGAGCATTCCTCGAGTTGCTGTGCTGAAGTTGGTGTTCCTCTAGACTTGGGACAGTGTTCTCGGGGCATCTCTGGAGTTGCCTGAAGGAAGTCGAGCCACCGGTCGTGTTGAATGGGGAACGGGGAATGGCTCTGGAGTCAATGCAGGGGAATCGGGCCTCATCTCGAGTTGATTTGGGGCACATGGAGCTGCTGTGCATTGCTGGGGTGACCTCAGGGTCCGTCTAGACTGGTGACAGTGTTCTTGGGGACTGTCTCGAGATCCATTAAGCAAGTCGAAGCTCCTGACTTGTTTGAATGGGATCACGGAATAGCTCTGCATGCACTGCAGGGGAATGGGGCCTCATCTCGCCTCTAGGGGGAAGTCTCATGGTTTTTCTCGAGTTGCGGCGGGGACCTGGGGTATGTTCTCGACTTACGGCGGGGATGGCCCTTCAAAACACGAGTTTCTTCAGTGACGTCAGGACTCCTGTCTAGTAACGAGGGACACCTCAGGAATCTCTTCGAGGCTTGGCAGGGCAAAAGGGACGCTTCTCGAGGTGAGGCAGGGCACCCAAGGACCCTTTCCAGTAGCCACAGGGATTTTGGGATTCCTATCAGTATTCAAGAGGAGTCAGGCATCGTCACCTTTTGAAGCAATGAACTCCGCGTGCCTCTCGAGGTGTCAGCGGGATGTGAGGCATTCCGTCAAAATGAGGCAGGGACCTAGGGCTTTCTCTAAGGTCTCCACAGGGGATTCAGACATCCCTTCATGTTGTGAGATGAAAGACGAGCCTGTATTCAAGCCACTGCAAGGAAATCCGGCCTCCTTTCAAGTTAGGGCTTCTCGCTGTATATTCCCCTTGAGGCAGCAAACTCGGGGTCCATCCCACATACCTATTGCTGAGAGAAGCCTCCTCCTGAGGTGCTTCTGGGAAGTTGGCATACGTCTTGAGCCTAAGCCAGGGAATCAGCTCGCATCTCGAGACGATTTGGGGTACACGGAGCATTCCTCGAGTTGCTGTGCTGAAGTTGGTGTTCCTCTAGACTTGGGACAGTGTTCTCGGGGCATCTCTGGAGTTGCCTGAAGGAAGTCGAGCCACCGGTCGTGTTGAATGGGGAACGGGGAATGGCTCTGGAGTCAATGCAGGGGAATCGGGCCTCATCTCGAGTTGATTTGGGGCACATGGAGCTGTTTGCGTTGCTGGGGTGACCTCAGGGTCCGTCTAGACTGGTGACAGTGTTCTTGGGGACTGTCTCGAGGTCCATTAAGCAAGTCGAAGCTCCTGACTTGTTTGAATGGGATCACGGAATAGCTCTGCATGCACTGCAGGGGAATGGGGCCTCATCTCGCCTCTAGGGGGAAGTCTCATGGTTTTTCTCGAGTTCCGGCGGGGACCTGGGGTATGTTCTCGACTTACGGCGGTGATGGCCCTTCAAAACACGAGTTTCTTCAGTGACGTCAGGACTCCTGTCTAGTAACGAGGGACACCTCAGGAATCTCTTCGAAGCTTGGCAGGGCAAAAGGGACGCTTCTCGAGGTGAGGCAGGGCACCCAAGGACCCTTTCCAGTAGCCACAGGGATTTTGGGATTCCTATCAGTATTCAAGAGGAGTCAGGCATCGTCACCTTTTGAAGCAATGAACTCCGCGTGCCTCTCGAGGTGTCAGCGGGATGTGAGGCATTCCGTCAAAATGAGGCAGGGACCTAGGGCTTTCTCTAAGGTCTCCACAGGGGATTCAGACATCCCTTCATGTTGTGAGATGAAAGACGAGCCTGTATTCAAGCCACTGCAAGGAAATCCGGCCTCCTTTCAAGTTAGGGCTTCTCGCTGTATATTCCCCTTGAGGCACCAAACTCGGGGTCCCTCCCACATACCTATTGCTGAGAGAAGCCTCCTCCTGAGGTGCTTCTGGGAAGTTGGCATACGTCTTGAGCCTAAGCCAGGGAATCAGCTCGCATCTCGAGACGATTTGGGGTACACGGAGCATTCCTCGAGTTGCTGTGCTGAAGTTGGTGTTCCTCTAGACTTGGGACAGTGTTCTCGGGGCATCTCTGGAGTTGCCTGAAGGAAGTCGAGCCACCGGTCGTGTTGAATGGGGAACGGGGAATGGCTCTGGAGTCAATGCAGGGGAATCGGGCCTCATCTCGAGTTGATTTGGGGCACATGGAGCTGCTTTGCGTTGCTGGGGTGACCTCAGGGTCCGTCTAGACTGGTGACAGTGTTCTTGGGGACTGTCTCGAGATCCATTAAGCAAGTCGAAGCTCCTGACTTGTTTGAATGGGATCACGGAATAGCTCTGCATGCACTGCAGGGGAATGGGGCCTCATCTCGCCTCTAGGGGGAAGTCTCATGGTTTTTCTCGAGTTGCGGCGGGGACCTGGGGTATGTTCTCGACTTTCGGCGGGGATGGCCCTTCCAAACACGAGTTTCTTCAGTGACGTCAGGACTCCTGTCTAGTAACGAGGGACACCTCAGGAATCTCTTCGAGGCTTGGCAGGGCAAAAGGGACGCTTCTCGAGGTGAGGCAGGGCACCCAAGGACCCTTTCCAGTAGCCACAGGGATTTTGGGATTCCTATCAGTATTCAAGAGGAGTCAGGCATCGTCACCTTTTGAAGCAATGAACTCCGCGTGCCTCTCGAGGTGTCAGCGGGATGTGAGGCATTCCGTCAAAATGAGGCAGGGACCTAGGGCTTTCTCTAAGGTCTCCACAGGGGATTCAGACATCCCTTCATGTTGTGAGATGAAAGACGAGCCTGTATTCAAGCCACTGCAAGGAAATCCGGCCTCCTTTCAAGTTAGGGCTTCTCGCTGTATATTCCCCTTGAGGCAGCAAACTCGGGGTCCCTCCCACATACCTATTGCTGAGAGAAGCCTCCTCCTGAGGTGCTTCTGGGAAGTTGGCATACGTCTTGAGCCTAAGCCAGGGAATCAGCTCGCATCTCGAGACGATTTGGGGTACACGGAGCATTCCTCGAGTTGCTGTGCTGAAGTTGGTGTTCCTCTAGACTTGGGACAGTGTTCTCGGGGCATCTCTGGAGTTGCCAGAAGGAAGTCGAGCCACCGGTCGTGTTGAATGGGGAACGGGGAATGGCTCTGGAGTCAAGGCAGGGGAATCGGGCCTCATCTCGAGTTGATTTGGGGCACATGGAGCTGCTTTGCGTTGCTGGGGTGACCTCAGGGTCCGTCTAGACTGGTGACAGTGTTCTTGGGGACTGTCTCGAGATCCATTAAGCAAGTCGAAGCTCCTGACTTGTTTGAATGGGATCACGGAATAGCTCTGCATGCACTGCAGGGGAATGGGGCCTCATCTCGCCTCTAGGGGGAAGTCTCATGGTTTTTCTCGAGTTGCGGCGGGGACCTGGGGTATGTTCTCGACTTACGGCGGGGATGGCCCTTCCAAACACGAGTTTCTTCAGTGACGTCAGGACTCCTGTCTAGTAACGAGGGACACCTCAGGAATCTCTTCGAGGCTTGGCAGGGCAAAAGGGACGCTTCTCGAGGTGAGGCAGGGCACCCAAGGACCCTTTCCAGTAGCCACAGGGATTTTGGGATTCCTATCAGTATTCAAGAGGAGTCAGGCATCGTCACCTTTTGAAGCAATGAACTCCGCGTGCCTCTCGAGGTGTCAGCGCGATGTGAGGCATTCCGTCAAAATGAGTCAGGGACCTAGGGCTTTCTCTAAGGTCTCCACAGGGGATTCAGACATCCCTTCATGTTGTGAGATGAAAGACGAGCCTGTATTCAAGCCACTGCAAGGAAATCCGGCCTCCTTTCAAGTTAGGGCTTCTCGCTGTATATTCCCCTTGAGGCAGCAAACTCGGGGTCCCTCCCACATACCTATTGCTGAGAGAAGCCTCCTCCTGAGGTGCTTCTGGGAAGTTGGCATACGTCTTGAGCCTAAGCCAGGGAATCAGCTCGCATCTCGAGACGATTTGGGGTACACGGAGCATTCCTCGAGTTGCTGTGCTGAAGTTGGTGTTCCTCTAGGCTTGGGACAGTGTTCTCGGGGCATCTCTGGAGTTGCCAGAAGGAAGTCGAGCCACCGGTCGTGTTGAATGGGGAACGGGGAATGGCTCTGGAGTCAATGCAGGGGAATCGGGCCTCATCTCGAGTTGATTTGGGGCACATGGAGCTGCTTTGCGTTGCTGGGGTGACCTCAGGGTCCGTCTAGACTGGTGACAGTGTTCTTGGGGACTGTCTCGAGATCCATTAAGCAAGTCGAAGCTCCTGACTTGTTTGAATGGGATCACGGAATAGCTCTGCATGCACTGCAGGGGAATGGGGCCTCATCTCGCCTCTAGGGGGAAGTCTCATGGTTTTTCTCGAGTTGCGGCGGGGACCTGGGGTATGTTCTCGACTTACGGTGGGGATGGCCCTTCAAAACACGAGTTTCTTCAGTGACGTCAGGACTCCTGTCTAGTAACGAGGGACACCTCAGGAATCTCTTCGAGGCTTGGCAGGGCAAAAGGGACGCTTCTCGAGGTGAGGCAGGGCACCCAAGGACCCTTTCCAGTAGCCACAGGGATTTTGGGATTCCTATCAGTATTCAAGAGGAGTCAGGCATCGTCACCTTTTGAAGCAATGAACTCCGCGTGCCTCTCGAGGTGTCAGCGGGATGTGAGGCATTCCGTCAAAATGAGGCAGGGACCTAGGGCTTTCTCTAAGGTCTCCACAGGGGATTCAGACATCCCTTCATGTTGTGAGATGAAAGACGAGCCTGTATTCAAGCCACAGCAAGGAAATCCGGCCTCCTTTCAAGTTAGGGCTTCTCGCTGTATATTCCCCTTGAGGCAGCAAACTCGGGGTCCCTCCCACATACCTATTGCTGAGAGAAGCCTCCTCCTGAGGTGCTTCTGGGAAGTTGGCATACGTCTTGAGCCTAAGCCAGGGAATCAGCTCGCATCTCGAAACGATTTGGGGTACACGGAGCATTCCTCGAGTTGCTGTGCTGAAGTTGGTGTTCCTCTAGACTTGGGACAGTGTTCTCGGGGCATCTCTGGAGTTGCCTGAAGGTAGTCGAGCCACCGGTCGTGTTGAATGGGGAACGGGGAATGGCTCTGGAGTCAATGCAGGGGAATCGGGCCTCATCTCGAGTTGATTTGGGGCACATGGAGCTGCTTTGCGTTGCTGGGGTGACCTCAGGGTCCGTCTAGACTGGTGACAGTGTTCTTGGGGACTGTCTCGAGATCCATTAAGCAAGTCGAAGCTCCTGACTTGTTTGAATGGGATCACGGAATAGCTCTGCATGCACTGCAGGGGAATGGGGCCTCATCTCGCCTCTAGGGGGAAGTCTCATGGTTTTTCTCGAGTTGCGGCGGGGACCTGGGGTATGTTCTCGACTTACGGCGGGGATGGCCCTTCAAAACACGAGTTTCTTCAGTGACGTCAGGACTCCTGTCTAGTAACGAGGGACACCTCAGGAAAATCTTCGAGGCTTGGCAGGGCAAAAGGGACGCTTCTCGAGGTGAGGCAGGGCACCCAAGGACCCTTTCCAGTAGCCACAGGGATTTTGGGATTCCTATCAGTATTCAAGAGGAGTCAGGCATCGTCACCTTTTGAAGCAATGAACTCCGCGTGCCTCTCGAGGTGTCAGCGCGATGTGAGGCATTCCGTCAAAATGAGTCAGGGACCTAGGGCTTTCTCTAAGGTCTCCACAGGGGATTCAGACATCCCTTCATGTTGTGAGATGAAAGACGAGCCTGTATTCAAGCCACTGCAAGGAAATCCGGCCTCCTTTCAAGTTAGGGCTTCTCGCTGTATATTCCCCTTGAGGCAGCAAACTCGGGGTCCCTCCCACATACCTATTGCTGAGAGAAGCCTCCTCCTGAGGTGCTTCTGGGAAGTTGGCATACGTCTTGAGCCTAAGCCAGGGAATCAGCTCGCATCTCGAGACGATTTGGGGTACACGGAGCATTCCTCGAGTTGCTGTGCTGAAGTTGGTGTTCCTCTAGGCTTGGGACAGTGTTCTCGGGGCATCTCTGGAGTTGCCAGAAGGAAGTCGAGCCACCGGTCGTGTTGAATGGGGAACGGGGAATGGCTCTGGAGTCAATGCAGGGGAATCGGGCCTCATCTCGAGTTGATTTGGGGCACATGGAGCTGCTTTGCGTTGCTGGGGTTACCTCAGGGTCCGTCTAGACTGGTGACAGTGTTCTTGGGGACTGTCTCGAGGTCCATTAAGCAAGTCGAAGCTCCTGACTTGTTTGAATGGGATCACGGAATAGCTCTGCATGCACTGCAGGGGAATGGGGCCTCATCTCGCCTCTAGGGGGAAGTCTCATGGTTTTTCTCGAGTTGCGGCGGGGACCTGGGGTATGTTCTCGACTTACGGCGGGGATGGCCCTTCAAAACACGAGTTTCTTCAGTGACGTCAGGACTCCTGTCTAGTAACGAGGGACACCTCAGGAATCTCTTCGAGGCTTGGCAGGGCAAAAGGGACGCTTCTCGAGGTGAGGCAGGGCACCCAAGGACCCTTTCCAGTAGCCACAGGGATTTTGGGATTCCTATCAGTATTCATGAGGAGTCAGGCATCGTCACCTTTTGAAGCAATGAACTCCGCGTGCCTCTCGAGGTGTCAGCGGGATGTGAGGCATTCCGTCAAAATGAGGCAGGGAACTAGGGCTTTCTCTAAGGTCTCCACAGGGGATTCAGACATCCCTTCATGTTGTGAGATGAAAGACGAGCCTGTATTCAAGCCACTGCAAGGAAATCCGGCCTCCTTTCAAGTTAGGGCTTCTCGCTGTATATTCCCCTTGAGGCAGCAAACTCGGGGTCCCTCCCACATACCTATTGCTGAGAGAAGCCTCCTCCTGAGGTGCTTCTGGGAAGTTGGCATACGTCTTGAGCCTAAGCCAGGAAATCAGCTCGCATCTCGAGACGATTTGGGGTACACGGAGCATTCCTCGAGTTGCTGTGCTGAAGTTGGTGTTCCTCTAGACTTGGGACAGTGTTCTCGGGGCATCTCTGGAGTTGCCTGAAGGAAGTCGAGCCACCGGTCGTGTTGAATGGGGAACGGGGAATGGCTCTGGAGTCAATGCAGGGGAATCGGGCCTCATCTCGAGTTGATTTGGGGCACATGGAGCTGCTTTGCGTTGCTGGGGTGACCTCAGGGTCCGTCTAGACTGGTGACAGTGTTCTTGGGGACTGTCTCGAGATCCATTAAGCAAGTCGAAGCTCCTGACTTGTTTGAATGGGATCACGGAATAGCTCTGCACGCACTGCAGGGGAATGGGGCCTCATCTCGCCTCTAGGGGGAAGTCTCATGGTTTTTCTCGAGTTGCGGCGGGGACCTGGGGTATGTTCTCGACTTACGGCGGGGATGGCCCTTCAAAACACGAGTTTCTTCAGTGACGTCAGGACTCCTGTCTAGTAAGGAGGGACACCTCAGGAATCTCTTCGAGGCTTGGCAGGGCAAAAGGGACGCTTCTCGAGGTGAGGCAGGGCACCCAAGGACCCTTTCCAGTAGCCACAGGGATTTTGGGATTCCTATCAGTATTCAAGAGGAGTCAGGCATCGTCACCTTTTGAAGCAATGAACTCTGCGTGCCTCTCGAGGTGTCAGCGCGATGTGAGGCATTCCGTCAAAATGAGGCAGGGACCTAGGGCTTTCTCTAAGGTCTCCACAGGGGATTCAGACATCCCTTCATGTTGTGAGATGAAAGACGAGCCTGTATTCAAGCCACTGCAAGGAAATCCGGCCTCCTTTCAAGTTAGGGCTTCTCGCTGTATATTCCCCTTGAGGCAGCAAACTCGGGGTCCCTCCCACATACCTATTGCTGAGAGAAGCCTCCTCCTGAGGTGCTTCTGGGAAGTTGGCATACGTCTTGAGCCTAAGCAAGGGAATCAGCTCGCATCTCGAGACGATTTGGGGTACACGGAGCATTCCTCGAGTTGCTGTGCTGAAGTTGGTGTTCCTCTAGGCTTGGGACAGTGTTCTCGGGGCATCTCTGGAGTTGCCTGAAGGAAGTCGAGCCACCGGTCGTGTTGAATGGGGAACGGGGAATGGCTCTGGAGTCAATGCAGGGGAATCGGGCCTCATCTCGAGTTGATTTGGGGCACATGGAGCTGCTTTGCGTTGCTGGGGTGACCTCAGGGTCCGTCTAGACTGGTGACAGTGTTCTTGGGGACTGTCTCGAGATCCATTAAGCAAGTCGAAGCTCCTGACTTGTTTGAATGGGATCACGGAATAGCTCTGCACGCACTGCAGGGGAATGGGGCCTCATCTCGCCTCTAGGGGGAAGTCTCATGGTTTTTCTCGAGTTGCGGCGGGGACCTGGGGTATGTTCTCGACTTACGGCGGGGATGGCCCTTCAAAACACGAGTTTCTTCAGTGACGTCAGGACTCCTGTCTAGTAACGAGGGACACCTCAGGAATCTCTTCGAGGCTTGGCAGGGCAAAAGGGACGCTTCTCGAGGTGAGGCAGGGCACCCAAGGACCCTTTCCAGTAGCCACAGGGATTTTGGGATTCCTATCAGTATTCAAGAGGAGTCAGGCATCGTCACCTTTTGAAGCAATGAACTCCGCGTGCCTCTCGAGGTGTCAGCGCGATGTGAGGCATTCCGTCAAAATGAGGCAGGGACCTAGGGCTTTCTCTTAGGTCTCCACAGGGGATTCAGACATCCCTTCATGTTGTGAGATGAAAGACGAGCCTGTATTCAAGCCACTGCAAGGAAATCCGGCCTCCTTTCAAGTTAGGGCTTCTCGCTGTATATTCCCCTTGAGGCAGCAAACTCGGGGTCCCTCCCACATACCTATTGCTGAGAGAAGCCTCCTCCTGAGGTGCTTCTGGGAAGTTGGCATACGTCTTGAGCCTAAGCCAGGGAATCAGCTCGCATCTCGAGACGATTTGGGGTACACGGAGCATTCCTCGAGTTGCTGTGCTGAAGTTGGCGTTCCTCTAGGCTTGGGACAGTGTTCTCGGGGCATCTCTGGAGTTGCCTGAAGGAAGTCGAGCCACCGGTCGTGTTGAATGGGGAATGGGGAATTGCTCTGGAGTCAATGCAGGGGAATCGGGCCTCATCTCGAGTTGATTTGGGGCACATGGAGCTGCTTTGCGTTGCTGGGGTGACCTCAGGGTCCGTCTAGACTGGTGACAGTGTTCTTGGGGACTGTCTCGAGGTCCATTAAGCAAGTCGAAGCTCCTGACTTGTTTGAATGGGATCACGGAATAGCTCTGCATGCACTGCAGGGGAATGGGGCCTCATCTCGCCTCTAGGGGGAAGTCTCATGGTTTTTCTCGAGTTGCGGCGGGGACCTGGGGTATGTTCTCGACTTACGGCGGGGATGTCCCTTCAAAACACGAGTTTCTTCAGTGACGTCAGGACTCCTGTCTAGTAACGAGGGACACCTCAGGAATCTCTTCGAGGCTTGGCAGGGCAAAAGGGACGCTTCTCGAGGTGAGGCAGGGCACCCAAGGACCCTTTCCAGTAGCCACAGGGATTTTGGGATTCCTATCAGTATTCAAGAGGAGTCAGGCATCGTCACCTTTTGAAGCAATGAACTCCGCGTGCCTCTCGAGGTGTCAGCGGGATGTGAGGCATTCCGTCAAAATGAGGCAGGGACCTAGGGCTTTCTCTAAGGTCTCCACAGGGGATTCAGACATCCCTTCATGTTGTGAGATGAAAGACGAGCCTGTATTCAAGCCACTGCAAGGAAATCCGGCCTCCTTTCAAGATAGGGCTTCTCGCTGTATATTCCCCTTGAGGCATCAAACTCGGGGTCCCTCCCACATACCTATTGCTGAGAGAAGCCTCCTCCTGAGGTGCTTCTGGGAAGTTGGCATACGTCTTGAGCCTAAGCCAGGGAATCAGCTCGCATCTCGAGACGATTTGGGGTACACGGAGCATTCCTCGAGTTGCTGTGCTGAAGTTGGTGTTCCTCTAGACTTGGGACAGTGTTCTCGGGGCATCTCTGGAGTTGCCTGAAGGAAGTCGAGCCACCGGTCGTGTTGAATGGGGAACGGGGAATGGCTCTGGAGTCAATGCAGGGGAATCGGGCCTCATCTCGAGTTGATTTGGGGCACATGGAGCTGCTTTGCGTTGCTGGGGTGACCTCAGGGTCCGTCTAGACTGGTGACAGTGTTCTTGGGGACTGTCTCGAGGTCCATTAAGCAAGTCGAAGCTCCTGACTTGTTTGAATGGGATCACGGAATAGCTCTGCATGCACTGCAGGGGAATGGGGCCTCATCTCGCCTCTAGGGGGAAGTCTCATGGTTTTTCTCGAGTTGCGGCGGGGACCTGGGGTATGTTCTCGACTTACGGCGGGGATGGCCCTTCAAAACACGAGTTTCTTCAGTGACGTCAGGACTCCTGTCTAGTAACGAGGGACACCTCAGGAATCTCTTCGAGGCTTGGCAGGGCAAAAGGGACGCTTCTCGAGGTGAGGCAGGGCACCCAAGGACCCTTTCCAGTAGCCACAGGGATTTTGGGATTCCTATCAGTATTCATGAGGAGTCAGGCATCGTCACCTTTTGAAGCAATGAACTCCGCGTGCCTCTCGAGGTGTCAGCGGGATGTGAGGCATTCCGTCAAAATGAGGCAGGGTCCTAGGGCTTTCTCTAAGGACTCCACAGGGGATTCAGACATCCCTTCATGTTGTGAGATGAAAGACGAGCCTGTATTCAAGCCACTGCAAGGAAATCCGGCCTCCTTTCAAGTTAGGGCTTCTCGCTGTATATTCCCCTTGAGGCAGCAAACTCGGGGTCCCTCCCACATACCTATTGCTGAGAGAAGCCTCCTCCTGAGGTGCTTCTGGGAAGTTGGCATACGTCTTGAGCCTAAGCCAGGGAATCAGCTCGCATCTCGAGACGATTTGGGGTACACGGAGCATTCCTCGAGTTGCTGTGCTGAAGTTGGTGTTCCTCTAGACTTGGGACAGTGTTCTCGGGGCATCTCTGGAGTTGCCTGAAGGAAGTCGAGCCACTGGTCGTGTTGAATGGGGAACGGGGAATGGCTCTGGAGTCAATGCAGGGGAATCGGGCCTCATCTCGAGTTGATTTGGGGCACATGGAGCTGCTTTGCGTTGCTGGGGTGACCTCAGGGTCCGTCTAGACTGGTGACAGTGTTCTTGGGGACTGTCTCGAGATCCATTAAGCAAGTCGAAGCTCCTGACTTGTTTGAATGGGATCACGGAATAGCTCTGCATGCACTGCAGGGGAATGGGGCCTCATCTCGCCTCTAGGGGGAAGTCTCATGGTTTTTCTCGAGTTGCGGCGGGGACCTGGGGTATGTTCTCGACTTACGGCGGGGATGGCCCTTCAAAACACGAGTTTCTTCAGTGACGTCAGGACTCCTGTCTAGTAACGAGGGACACCTCAGGAATCTCTTCGAGGCTTGGCAGGGCAAAAGGGACGCTTCTCGAGGTGAGGCAGGGCACCCAAGGACCCTTTCCAGTAGCCACAGGGATTTTGGGATTCCTATCAGTATTCAAGAGGAGTCAGGCATCGTCACCTTTTGAAGCAATGAACTCCGCGTGCCTCTCGAGGTGTCAGCGGGATGTGAGGCATTCCGTCAAAATGAGGCAGGGACCTAGGGCTTTCTCTAAGGTCTCCACAGGGGATTCAGACATCCCTTCATGTTGTGAGATGAAAGACGAGCCTGTATTCAAGCCACAGCAAGGAAATCCGGCCTCCTTTCAAGTTAGGGCTTCTCGCTGTATATTCCCCTTGAGGCAGCAAACTCGGGGTCCCTCCCACATACCTATTGCTGAGAGAAGCCTCCTCCTGAGGTGCTTCTGGGAAGTTGGCATACGTCTTGAGCCTAAGCCAGGGAATCAGCTCGCATCTCGAAACGATTTGGGGTACACGGAGCATTCCTCGAGTTGCTGTGCTGAAGTTGGTGTTCCTCTAGACTTGGGACAGTGTTCTCGGGGCATCTCTGGAGTTGCCTGAAGGTAGTCGAGCCACCGGTCGTGTTGAATGGGGAACGGGGAATGGCTCTGGAGTCAATGCAGGGGAATCGGGCCTCATCTCGAGTTGATTTGGGGCACATGGAGCTGCTTTGCGTTGCTGGGGTGACCTCAGGGTCCGTCTAGACTGGTGACAGTGTTCTTGGGGACTGTCTCGAGATCCATTAAGCAAGTCGAAGCTCCTGACTTGTTTGAATGGGATCACGGAATAGCTCTGCATGCACTGCAGGGGAATGGGGCCTCATCTCGCCTCTAGGGGGAAGTCTCATGGTTTTTCTCGAGTTGCGGCGGGGACCTGGGGTATGTTCTCGACTTACGGCGGGGATGGCCCTTCAAAACACGAGTTTCTTCAGTGACGTCAGGACTCCTGTCTAGTAACGAGGGACACCTCAGGAATCTCTTCGAGGCTTGGCAGGGCAAAAGGGACGCTTCTCGAGGTGAGGCAGGGCACCCAAGGACCCTTTCCAGTAGCCACAGGGATTTTGGGATTCCTATCAGTATTCAAGAGGAGTCAGGCATCGTCACCTTTTGAAGCAATGAACTCCGCGTGCCTCTCGAGGTGTCAGCGGGATGTGAGGCATTCCGTCAAAATGAGGCAGGGACCTAGGGCTTTCTCTAAGGTCTCCACAGGGGATTCAGACATCCCTTCATGTTGTGAGATGAAAGACGAGCCTGTATTCAAGCCACTGCAAGGAAATCCGGCCTCCTTTCAAGTTAGGGCTTCTCGCTGTATATTCCCCTTGAGGCAGCAAACTCGGGGTCCCTCCCACATACCTATTGCTGAGAGAAGCCTCCTCCTGAGGTGCTTCTGGGAAGTTGGCATACGTCTTGAGCCTAAGCCAGGGAATCAGCTCGCATCTCGAGACGATTTGGGGTACACGGAGCATTCCTCGAGTTGCTGTGCTGAAGTTGGTGTTCCTCTAGACTTGGGACAGTGTTCTCGGGGCATCTCTGGAGTTGCCAGAAGGAAGTCGAGCCACCGGTCGTGTTGAATGGGGAACGGGGAATGGCTCTGGAGTCAAGGCAGGGGAATCGGGCCTCATCTCGAGTTGATTTGGGGCACATGGAGCTGCTTTGCGTTGCTGGGGTGACCTCAGGGTCCGTCTAGACTGGTGACAGTGTTCTTGGGGACTGTCTCGAGATCCATTAAGCAAGTCGAAGCTCCTGACTTGTTTGAATGGGATCACGGAATAGCTCTGCATGCACTGCAGGGGAATGGGGCCTCATCTCGCCTCTAGGGGGAAGTCTCATGGTTTTTCTCGAGTTGCGGCGGGGACCTGGGGTATGTTCTCGACTTACGGCGGGGATGGCCCTTCCAAACACGAGTTTCTTCAGTGACGTCAGGACTCCTGTCTAGTAACGAGGGACACCTCAGGAATCTCTTCGAGGCTTGGCAGGGCAAAAGGGACGCTTCTCGAGGTGAGGCAGGGCACCCAAGGACCCTTTCCAGTAGCCACAGGGATTTTGGGATTTCTATCAGTATTCAAGAGGAGTCAGGCATCGTCACCTTTTGAAGCAATGAACTCCGCGTGCCTCTCGAGGTGTCAGCGCGATGTGAGGCATTCCGTCAAAATGAGTCAGGGACCTAGGGCTTTCTCTAAGGTCTCCACAGGGGATTCAGACATCCCTTCATGTTGTGAGATGAAAGACGAGCCTGTATTCAAGCCACTGCAAGGAAATCCGGCCTCCTTTCAAGTTAGGGCTTCTCGCTGTATATTCCCCTTGAGGCAGCAAACTCGGGGTCCCTCCCACATACCTATTGCTGAGAGAAGCCTCCTCCTGAGGTGCTTCTGGGAAGTTGGCATACGTCTTGAGCCTAAGCCAGGGAATCAGCTCGCATCTCGAGACGATTTGGGGTACACGGAGCATTCCTCGAGTTGCTGTGCTGAAGTTGGTGTTCCTCTAGGCTTGGGAGAGTGTTCTCGGGGCATCTCTGGAGTTGCCAGAAGGAAGTCGAGCCACCGGTCGTGTTGAATGGGGAACGGGGAATGGCTCTGGAGTCAATGCAGGGGAATCGGGCCTCATCTCGAGTTGATTTGGGGCACATGGAGCTGCTTTGCGTTGCTGGGGTGACCTCAGGGTCCGTCTAGACTGGTGACAGTGTTCTTGGGGACTGTCTCGAGATCCATTAAGCAAGTCGAAGCTCCTGACTTGTTTGAATGGGATCACGGAATAGCTCTGCATGCACTGCAGGGGAATGGGGCCTCATCTCGCCTCTAGGGGGAAGTCTCATGGTTTTTCTCGAGTTGCGGCGGGGACCTGGGGTATGTTCTCGACTTACGGCGGGGATGGCCCTTCAAAACACGAGTTTCTTCAGTGACGTCAGGACTCCTGTCTAGTAACGAGGGACACCTCAGGAATCTCTTCGAGGCTTGGCAGGGCAAAAGGGACGCTTCTCGAGGTGAGGCAGGGCACCCAAGGACCCTTTCCAGTAGCCACAGGGATTTTGGGATTCCTATCAGTATTCAAGAGGAGTCAGGCATCGTCACCTTTTGAAGCAATGAACTCCGCGTGCCTCTCGAGGTGTCAGCGGGATGTGAGGCATTCCGTCAAAATGAGGCAGGGACCTAGGGCTTTCTCTAAGGTCTCCACAGGGGATTCAGACATCCCTTCATGTTGTGAGATGAAAGACGAGCCTGTATTCAAGCCACAGCAAGGAAATCCGGCCTCCTTTCAAGTTAGGGCTTCTCGCTGTATATTCCCCTTGAGGCAGCAAACTCGGGGTCCCTCCCACATACCTATTGCTGAGAGAAGCCTCCTCCTGAGGTGCTTCTGGGAAGTTGGCATACGTCTTGAGCCTAAGCCAGGGAATCAGCTCGCATCTCGAAACGATTTGGGGTACACGGAGCATTCCTCGAGTTGCTGTGCTGAAGTTGGTGTTCCTCTAGACTTGGGACAGTGTTCTCGGGGCATCTCTGGAGTTGCCTGAAGGTAGTCGAGCCACCGGTCGTGTTGAATGGGGAACGGGGAATGGCTCTGGAGTCAATGCAGGGGAATCGGGCCTCATCTCGAGTTGATTTGGGGCACATGGAGCTGCTTTGCGTTGCTGGGGTGACCTCAGGGTCCGTCTAGACTGGTGACAGTGTTCTTGGGGACTGTCTCGAGATCCATTAAGCAAGTCGAAGCTCCTGACTTGTTTGAATGGGATCACGGAATAGCTCTGCATGCACTGCAGGGGAATGGGGCCTCATCTCGCCTCTAGGGGGAAGTCTCATGGTTTTTCTCGAGTTGCGGCGGGGACCTGGGGTATGTTCTCGACTTACGGCGGGGATGGCCCTTCAAAACACGAGTTTCTTCAGTGACGTCAGGACTCCTGTCTAGTAACGAGGGACACCTCAGGAATCTCTTCGAGGCTTGGCAGGGCAAAAGGGACGCTTCTCGAGGTGAGGCAGGGCACCCAAGGACCCTTTCCAGTAGCCACAGGGATTTTGGGATTCCTATCAGTATTCAAGAGGAGTCAGGCATCGTCACCTTTTGAAGCAATGAACTCCGCGTGCCTCTCGAGGTGTCAGCGCGATGTGAGGCATTCCGTCAAAATGAGTCAGGGACCTAGGGCTTTCTCTAAGGTCTCCACAGGGGATTCAGACATCCCTTCATGTTGTGAGATGAAAGACGAGCCTGTATTCAAGCCACTGCAAGGAAATCCGGCCTCCTTTCAAGTTAGGGCTTCTCGCTGTATATTCCCCTTGAGGCAGCAAACTCGGGGTCCCTCCCACATACCTATTGCTGAGAGAAGCCTCCTCCTGAGGTGCTTCTGGGAAGTTGGCATACGTCTTGAGCCTAAGCCAGGGAATCAGCTCGCATCTCGAGACGATTTGGGGTACACGGAGCATTCCTCGAGTTGCTGTGCTGAAGTTGGTGTTCCTCTAGGCTTGGGACAGTGTTCTCGGGGCATCTCTGGAGTTGCCAGAAGGAAGTCGAGCCACCGGTCGTGTTGAATGGGGAACGGGGAATGGCTCTGGAGTCAATGCAGGGGAATCGGGCCTCATCTCGAGTTGATTTGGGGCACATGGAGCTGCTTTGCGTTGCTGGGGTGACCTCAGGGTCCGTCTAGACTGGTGACAGTGTTCTTGGGGACTGTCTCGAGGTCCATTAAGCAAGTCGAAGCTCCTGACTTGTTTGAATGGGATCACGGAATAGCTCTGCATGCACTGCAGGGGAATGGGGCCTCATCTCGCCTCTAGGGGGAAGTCTCATGGTTTTTCTCGAGTTGCGGCGCGGACCTGGGGTATGTTCTCGACTTACGGCGGGGATGGCCCTTCAAAACACGAGTTTCTTCAGTGACGTCAGGACTCCTGTCTAGTAACGAGGGACACCTCAGGAATCTCTTCGAGGCTTGGCAGGGCAAAAGGGACGCTTCTCGAGGTGAGGCAGGGCACCCAAGGACCCTTTCCAGTAGCCACAGGGATTTTGGGATTCCTATCAGTATTCATGAGGAGTCAGGCATCGTCACCTTTTGAAGCAATGAACTCCGCGTGCCTCTCGAGGTGTCAGCGGGATGTGAGGCATTCCGTCAAAATGAGGCAGGGAACTAGGGCTTTCTCTAAGGTCTCCACAGGGGATTCAGACATCCCTTCATGTTGTGAGATGAAAGACGAGCCTGTATTCAAGCCACTGCAAGGAAATCCGGCCTCCTTTCAAGTTAGGGCTTCTCGCTGTATATTCCCCTTGAGGCAGCAAACTCGGGGTCCCTCCCACATACCTATTGCTGAGAGACGCCTCCTCCTGAGGTGCTTCTGGGAAGTTGGCATACGTCTTGAGCCTAAGCCAGGAAATCAGCTCGCATCTCGAGACGATTTGGGGTACACGGAGCATTCCTCGAGTTGCTGTGCTGAAGTTGGTGTTCCTCTAGACTTGGGACAGTGTTCTCGGGGCATCTCTGGAGTTGCCTGAAGGAAGTCGAGCCACCGGTCGTGTTGAATGGGGAACGGGGAATGGCTCTGGAGTCAATGCAGGGGAATCGGGCCTCATCTCGAGTTGATTTGGGGCACATGGAGCTGCTTTGCGTTGCTGGGGTGACCTCAGGGTCCGTCTAGACTGGTGACAGTGTTCTTGGGGACTGTCTCGAGATCCATTAAGCAAGTCGAAGCTCCTGACTTGTTTGAATGGGATCACGGAATAGCTCTGCACGCACTGCAGGGGAATGGGGCCTCATCTCGCCTCTAGGGGGAAGTCTCATGGTTTTTCTCGAGTTGCGGCGGGGACCTGGGGTATGTTCTCGACTTACGGCGGGGATGGCCCTTCAAAACACGAGTTTCTTCAGTGACGTCAGGACTCCTGTCTAGTAACGAGGGACACCTCAGGAATCTCTTCGAGGCTTGGCAGGGCAAAAGGGACGCTTCTCGAGGTGAGGCAGGGCACCCAAGGACCCTTTCCAGTAGCCACAGGGATTTTGGGATTCCTATCAGTATTCAAGAGGAGTCAGGCATCGTCACCTTTTGAAGCAATGAACTCTGCGTGCCTCTCGAGGTGTCAGCGCGATGTGAGGCATTCCGTCAAAATGAGGCAGGGACCTAGGGCTTTCTCTAAGGTCTCCACAGGGGATTCAGACATCCCTTCATGTTGTGAGATGAAAGACGAGCCTGTATTCAAGCCACTGCAAGGAAATCCGGCCTCCTTTCAAGTTAGGGCTTCTCGCTGTATATTCCCCTTGAGGCAGCAAACTCGGGGTCCCTCCCACATACCTATTGCTGAGAGAAGCCTCTTCCTGAGGTGCTTCTGGGAAGTTGGCATACGTCTTGAGCCTAAGCAAGGGAATCAGCTCGCATCTCGAGACGATTTGGGGTACACGGAGCATTCCTCGAGTTGCTGTGCTGAAGTTGGTGTTCCTCTAGGCTTGGGACAGTGTTCTCGGGGCATCTCTGGAGTTGCCTGAAGGAAGTCGAGCCACCGGTCGTGTTGAATGGGGAACGGGGAATGGCTCTGGAGTCAATGCAGGGGAATCGGGCCTCATCTCGAGTTGATTTGGGGCACATGGAGCTGCTTTGCGTTGCTGGGGTGACCTCAGGGTCCGTCTAGACTGGTGACAGTGTTCTTGGGGACTGTCTCGAGGTCCATTAAGCAAGTCGAATCTCCTGACTTGTTTGAATGGGATCACGGAATAGCTCTGCATGCACTGCAGGGGAATGGGGCCTCATCTCGCCTCTAGGGGGAAGTCTCATGGTTTTTCTCGAGTTGCGGCGGGGACCTGGGGTATGTTCTCGACTTACGGCGGGGATGTCCCTTCAAAACACGAGTTTCTTCAGTGACGTCAGGACTCCTGTCTAGTAACGAGGGACACCTCAGAAATCTCTTCGAGGCTTGGCAGGGCAAAAGGGACGCTTCTCGAGGTGAGGCAGGGCACCCAAGGACCCTTTCCAGTAGCCACAGGGATTTTGGGATTCCTATCAGTATTCATGAGGAGTCAGGCATCGTCACCTTTTGAAGCAATGAACTCCGCGTGCCTCTCGAGGTGTCAGCAGGATGTGAGGCATTCCGTCAAAATGAGGCAGGGACCTAGGGCTTTCTCTAAGGTCTCCACAGGGGATTCAGACATCCCTTCATGTTGTGAGATGAAAGACGAGCCTGTATTCAAGCCACTGCAAGGAAATCCGGCCTCCTTTCAAGTTAGGGCTTCTCGCTGTATATTCCCCTTGAGGCAGCAAACTCGGGGTCCCTCCCACATACCTATTGCTGAGAGAAGCCTCCTCCTGAGGTGCTTCTGGGAAGTTGGCATACGTCTTGAGCCTAAGCCAGGGAATCAACTCGCATCTCGAGACGATTTGTGGTACACGGAGCATTCCTCGAGTTGCTGTGCTGAAGTTGGTGTTCCTCTAGACTTGGGACAGTGTTCTCGGGGCATCTCTGGAGTTGCCTGAAGGAAGTCGAGCCACCGGTCGTGTTGAATGGGGAACGGGGAATGGCTCTGGAGTCAATGCAGGGGAATCGGGCCTCATCTCGAGTTGATTTGGGGCACATGGAGCTGCTTTGCGTTGCTGGGGTGACCTCAGGGTCCGTCTAGACTGGTGACAGTGTTCTTGGGGACTGTCTCGAGATCCATTAAGCAAGTCAAAGCTCCTGACTTGTTTGAATGGGATCACGGAATAGCTCTGCATGCACTGCAGGGGAATGGGGCCTCATCTCGCCTCTAGGGGGAAGTCTCATGGTTTTTCTCGAGTTGCGGCGGGGACCTGGGGTATGTTCTCGACTTACGGCGGGGATGGCCCTTCAAAACACGAGTTTCTTCAGTGACGTCCGGACTCCTGTCTAGTAACGAGGGACACCTCAGGAATCTCTTCGAGGCTTGGCAGGGCAAAAGGGACGCTTCTCGAGGTGAGGCAGGGCACCCAAGGACCCTTTCCAGTAGCCACAGGGATTTTGGGATTCCTATCAGTATTCAAGAGGAGTCAGGCATCGTCACCTTTTGAAGCAATGAACTCCGCGTGCCTCTCGAGGTGTCAGCGGGATGTGAGGCATTCCGTCAAAATGAGGCAGGGACCTAGGGCTTTCTCTAAGGTCTCCACAGGGGATTCAGACATCCCTTCATGTTGTGAGATGAAAGACGAGCCTGTATTCAAGCCACTGCAAGGAAATCCGGCCTCCTTTCAAGTTAGGGCTTCTCGCTGTATATTCCCCTTGAGGCAGCAAACTCGGGGTCCCTCCCACATACCTATTGCTGAGAGAAGCCTCCTCCTGAGGTGCTTCTGGGAAGTTGGCATACGTCTTGAGCCTAAGCCAGGGAATCAGCTCGCATCTCGAGACGATTTGGGGTACACGGAGCATTCCTCGAGTTGCTGTGCTGAAGCTGGTGTTCCTCTAGACTTGGGACAGTGTTCTCGGGGCATCTCTGGAGTTGCCTGAAGTAAGTCGAGCCACCGGTCGTGTTGAATGGGGAACGGGGAATGGCTCTGGAGTCAATGCAGGGGAATCGGACCTCATCTCGAGTTGATTTGGGGCACATGGAGCTGTTTGCGTTGCTGGGGTGACCTCAGGGTCCGTCTAGACTGGTGACAGTGTTCTTGGGGACTGTCTCGAGGTCCATTAAGCAAGTCGAAGCTCCTGACTTGTTTGAATGGGATCACGGAATAGCTCTGCATGCACTGCAGGGGAATGGGGCCTCATCTCGCCTCTAGGGGGAAGTCTCATGGTTTTTCTCGAGTTGCGGCGGGGACCTGGGGTATGTTCTCGACTTACGGCGGGGATGGCCCTTCAAAACACGAGTTTCTTCAGTGACGTCAGGACTCCTGTCTAGTAACGAGGGACACCTCAGGAATCTCTTCGAGGCTTGGCAGGGCAAAAGGGACGCTTCTCGAGGTGAGGCAGGGCACCCAAGGACCCTTTCCAGTAGCCACAGGGATTTTGGGATTCCTATCAGTATTCAAGAGGAGTCAGGCATCGTCACCTTTTGAAGCAATGAACTCCGCGTGCCTCTCGAGGTGTCAGCGGGATGTGAGGCATTCCGTCAAAATGAGGCAGGGACCTAGGGCTTTCTCTAAGGTCTCCACAGGGGATTCAGACATCCCTTCATGTTGTGAGATGAAAGACGAGCCTGTATTCAAGCCACTGCAAGGAAATCCGGCCTCCTTTCAAGTTAGGGCTTCTCGCTGTATATTCTCCTTGAGGCAGCAAACTCGGGGTCCCTCCCACATACCTATTGCTGAGAGAAGCCTCCTCCTGAGGTGCTTCTGGGAAGTTGGCATACGTCTTGAGCCTAAGCCAGGGAATCAGCTCGCATCTCGAGACGATTTGGGGTACACGGAGCATTCCTCGAGTTGCTGTGCTGAAGTTGGTGTTCCTCTAGACTTGGGACAGTGTTCTCGGGGCATCTCTGGAGTTGCCTGAAGGAAGTCGAGCCACCGGTCGTGTTGAATGGGGAACGGGGAATGGCTCTGGAGTCAATGCAGGGGAATCGGGCCTCATCTCGAGTTGATTTGGGGCACATGGAGCTGCTGTGCATTGCTGGGGTGACCTCAGGGTCCGTCTAGACTGGTGACAGTGTTCTTGGGGACTGTCTCGAGATCCATTAAGCAAGTCGAAGCTCCTGACTTGTTTGAATGGGATCACGGAATAGCTCTGCACGCACTGCAGGGGAATGGGGCCTCATCTCGCCTCTAGGGGGAAGTCTCATGGTTTTTCTCGAGTTGCGGCGGGGACCTGGGGTATGTTCTCGACTTACGGCGGGGATGGCCCTTCAAAACACGAGTTTCTTCAGTGACGTCAGGACTCCTGTCTAGTAACGAGGGACACCTCAGGAATCTCTTCGAGGCTTGGCAGGGCAAAAGGGACGCTTCTCGAGGTGAGGCAGGGCACCCAAGGACCCTTTCCAGTAGCCACAGGGATTTTGGGATTCCTATCAGTATTCAAGAGGAGTCAGGCATCGTCACCTTTTGAAGCAATGAACTCCGCGTGCCTCTCGAGGTGTCAGCGCGATGTGAGGCATTCCGTCAAAATGAGGCAGGGACCTAGGGCTTTCTCTAAGGTCTCCACAGGGGATTCAGACATCCCTTCATGTTGTGAGATGAAAGAGGAGCCTGTATTCAAGCCACTGCAAGGAAATCCGGCCTCCTTTCAAGTTAGGGCTTCTCGCTGTATATTCCCCTTGAGGCAGCAAACTCGGGGTCCCTCCCACATACCTATTGCTGAGAGAAGCCTCCTCCTGAGGTGCTTCTGGGAAGTTGGCATACGTCTTGAGCCTAAGCCAGGGAATCAGCTCGCATCTCGAGACGATTTGGGGTACACGGAGCATTCCTCGAGTTGCTGTGCTGAAGTTGGTGTTCCTCTAGGCTTGGGACAGTGTTCTCGGGGCATCTCTGGAGTTGCCTGAAGGAAGTCGAGCCACCGGTCGTGTTGAATGGGGAACGGGGAATGGCTCTGGAATCAATGCAGGGGAATCGGGCCTCATCTCGAGTTGATTTGGGGCACATGGAGCTGCTTTGCGTTGCTGGGGTGACCTCAGGGTCCGTCTAGACTGGTGACAGTGTTCTTGGGGACTGTCTCGAGGTCCATTAAGCAAGTCGAAGCTCCTGACTTGTTTGAATGGGATCACGGAATAGCTCTGCATGCACTGCAGGGGAATGGGGCCTCATCTCGCCTCTAGGGGGAAGTCTCATGGTTTTTCTCGAGTTGCGGCGGGGACCTGGGGTATGTTCTCGACTTACGGCGGGGATGGCCCTTCAAAACACGAGTTTCTTCAGTGACGTCAGGACTCCTGTCTAGTAACGAGGGACACCTCAGGAATCTCTTCGAGGCTTGGCAGGGCAAAAGGGACGCTTCTCGAGGTGAGGCAGGGCACCCAAGGACCCTTTCCAGTAGCCACAGGGATTTTGGGATTCCTATCAGTATTCATGAGGAGTCAGGCATCGTCACCTTTTGAAGCAATGAACTCCGCGTGCCTCTCGAGGTGTCAGCGGGATGTGAGGCATTCCGTCAAAATGAGGCAGGGACCTAGGGCTTTCTCTAAGGTCTCCACAGGGGATTCAGACATCCCTTCATGTTGTGAGATGAAAGACGAGCCTGTATTCAAGCCACTGCAAGGAAATCCGGCCTCCTTTCAAGTTAGGGCTTCTCGCTGTATATTCCCCTTGAGGCAGCAAACTCGGGGTCCCTCCCACATACCTATTGCTGAGAGAAACCTCCTCCTGAGGTGCTTCTGGGAAGTTGGCATACGTCTTGAGCCTAAGCCAGGGAATCAACTCGCATCTCGAGACGATTTGGGGTACACGGAGCATTCCTCGAGTTGCTGTGCTGAAGTTGGTGTTCCTCTAGACTTGGGACAGTGTTCTCGGGGCATCTCTGGAGTTGCCTGAAGGAAGTCGAGCCACCGGTCGTGTTGAATGGGGAACGGGGAATGGCTCTGGAGTCAATGCAGGGGAATCGGGCCTCATCTCGAGTTGATTTGGGGCACATGGAGCTGCTTTGCGTTGCTGGGGTGACCTCAGGGTCCGTCTAGACTGGTGACAGTGTTCTTGGGGACTGTCTCGAGATCCATTAAGCAAGTCGAAGCTCCTGACTTGTTTGAATGGGATCACGGAATAGCTCTGCATGCACTGCAGGGGAATGGGGCCTCATCTCGCCTCTAGGGGGAAGTCTCATGGTTTTTCTCGAGTTGCGGCGGGGACCTGGGGTATGTTCTCGACTTACGGCGGGGATGGCCCTTCAAAACACGAGTTTCTTCAGTGACGTCAGGACTCCTGTCTAGTAACGAGGGACACCTCAGGAATCTCTTCGAGGCTTGGCAGGGCAAAAGGGACGCTTCTCGAGGTGAGGCAGGGCACCCAAGGACCCTTTCCAGTAGCCACAGGGATTTTGGGATTCCTATCAGTATTCAAGAGGAGTCAGGCATCGTCACCTTTTGAAGCAATGAACTCCGCGTGCCTCTCGAGGTGTCAGCGCGATGTGAGGCATTCCGTCAAAATGAGGCAGGGACCTAGGGCTTTCTCTAAGGTCTCCACAGGGGATTCAGACATCCCTTCATGTTGTGAGATGAAAGACGAGCCTGTATTCAAGCCACTGCAAGGAAATCCGGCCTCCTTTCAAGTTAGGGCTTCTCGCTGTATATTCCCCTTGAGGCAGCAAACTCGGGGTCCATCCCACATACCTATTGCTGAGAGAAGCCTCCTCCTGAGGTGCTTCTGGGAAGTTGGCATACGTCTTGAGCCTAAGCCAGGGAATCAGCTCGCATCTCGAGACGATTTGGGGTACACGGAGCATTCCTCGAGTTGCTGTGCTGAAGTTGGTGTTCCTCTAGACTTGGGACAGTGTTCTCGGGGCATCTCTGGAGTTGCCTGAAGGAAGTCGAGCCACCGGTCGTGTTGAATGGGGAACGGGGAATGGCTCTGGAGTCAATGCAGGGGAATCGGGCCTCATCTCGAGTTGATTTGGGGCACATGGAGCTGTTTGCGTTGCTGGGGTGACCTCAGGGTCCGTCTAGACTGGTGACAGTGTTCTTGGGGACTGTCTCGAGGTCCATTAAGCAAGTCGAAGCTCCTGACTTGTTTGAATGGGATCACGGAATAGCTCTGCATGCACTGCAGGGGAATGGGGCCTCATCTCGCCTCTAGGGGGAAGTCTCATGGTTTTTCTCGAGTTGCGGCGGGGACCTGGGGTATGTTCTCGACTTACGGCGGGGATGGCCCTTCAAAACACGAGTTTCTTCAGTGACGTCAGGACTCCTGTCTAGTAACGAGGGACACCTCAGGAATCTCTTCGAGGCTTGGCAGGGCAAAAGGGACGCTTCTCGAGGTGAGGCAGGGCACCCAAGGACCCTTTCCAGTAGCCACAGGGATTTTGGGATTCCTATCAGTATTCAAGAGGAGTCAGGCATCGTCACCTTTTGAAGCAATGAACTCCGCGTGCCTCTCGAGGTGTCAGCGGGATGTGAGGCATTCCGTCAAAATGAGGCAGGGACCTAGGGCTTTCTCTAAGGTCTCCACAGGGGATTCAGACATCCCTTCATGTTGTGAGATGAAAGACGAGCCTGTATTCAAGCCACTGCAAGGAAATCCGGCCTCCTTTCAAGTTAGGGCTTCTCGCTGTATATTCTCCTTGAGGCAGCAAACTCGGGGTCCCTCCCACATACCTATTGCTGAGAGAAGCCTCCTCCTGAGGTGCTTCTGGGAAGTTGGCATACGTCTTGAGCCTAAGCCAGGGAATCAGCTCGCATCTCGAGACGATTTGGGGTACACGGAGCATTCCTCGAGTTGCTGTGCTGAAGTTGGTGTTCCTCTAGACTTGGGACAGTGTTCTCGGGGCATCTCTGGAGTTGCCTGAAGGAAGTCGAGCCACCGGTCGTGTTGAATGGGGAACGGGGAATGGCTCTGGAGTCAATGCAGGGGAATCGGGCCTCATCTCGAGTTGATTTGGGGCACATGGAGCTGCTGTGCATTGCTGGGGTGACCTCAGGGTCCGTCTAGACTGGTGACAGTGTTCTTGGGGACTGTCTCGAGATCCATTAAGCAAGTCGAAGCTCCTGACTTGTTTGAATGGGATCACGGAATAGCTCTGCATGCACTGCAGGGGAATGGGGCCTCATCTCGCCTCTAGGGGGAAGTCTCATGGTTTTTCTCGAGTTGCGGCGGGGACCTGGGGTATGTTCTCGACTTACGGCGGGGATGGCCCTTCAAAACACGAGTTTCTTCAGTGACGTCAGGACTCCTGTCTAGTAACGAGGGACACCTCAGGAATCTCTTCGAGGCTTGGCAGGGCAAAAGGGACGCTTCTCGAGGTGAGGCAGGGCACCCAAGGACCCTTTCCAGTAGCCACAGGGATTTTGGGATTCCTATCAGTATTCAAGAGGAGTCAGGCATCGTCACCTTTTGAAGCAATGAACTCCGCGTGCCTCTCGAGGTGTCAGCGGGATGTGAGGCATTCCGTCAAAATGAGGCAGGGACCTAGGGCTTTCTCTAAGGTCTCCACAGGGGATTCAGACATCCCTTCATGTTGTGAGATGAAAGACGAGCCTGTATTCAAGCCACTGCAAGGAAATCCGGCCTCCTTTCAAGTTAGGGCTTCTCGCTGTATATTCCCCTTGAGGCAGCAAACTCGGGGTCCATCCCACATACCTATTGCTGAGAGAAGCCTCCTCCTGAGGTGCTTCTGGGAAGTTGGCATACGTCTTGAGCCTAAGCCAGGGAATCAGCTCGCATCTCGAGACGATTTGGGGTACACGGAGCATTCCTCGAGTTGCTGTGCTGAAGTTGGTGTTCCTCTAGACTTGGGACAGTGTTCTCGGGGCATCTCTGGAGTTGCCTGAAGGAAGTCGAGCCACCGGTCGTGTTGAATGGGGAACGGGGAATGGCTCTGGAGTCAATGCAGGGGAATCGGGCCTCATCTCGAGTTGATTTGGGGCACATGGAGCTGCTTTGCGTTGCTGGGGTGACCTCAGGGTCCGTCTAGACTGGTGACAGTGTTCTTGGGGACTGTCTCGAGATCCATTAAGCAAGTGGAAGCTCCTGACTTGTTTGAATGGGATCACGGAATAGCTCTGCATGCACTGCAGGGGAATGGGGCCTCATCTCGCCTCTAGGGGGAAGTCTCATGGTTTTTCTCGAGTTGCGGCGGGGACCTGGGGTATGTTCTCGACTTACGGCGGGGATGGCCCTTCAAAACACGAGTTTCTTCAGTGACGTCAGGACTCCTGTCTAGTAAGGAGGGACACCTCAGGAATCTCTTCGAGGCTTGGCAGGGCAAAAGGGACGCTTCTCGAGGTGAGGCAGGGCACCCAAGGACCCTTTCCAGTAGCCACAGGGATTTTGGGATTCCTATCAGTATTCAAGAGGAGTCAGGCATCGTGACCTTTTGAAGCAATGAACTCCGCGTGCCTCTCGAGGTGTCAGCGGGATGTGAGGCATTCCGTCAAAATGAGGCAGGGACCTACGGCTTTCTCTAAGGTCTCCACAGGGGATTCAGACATCCCTTCATGTTGTGAGATGAAAGACGAGCCTGTATTCAAGCCACTGCAAGGAAATCCGGCCTCCTTTCAAGTTAGGGCTTCTCGCTGTATATTCCCCTTGAGGCAGCAAACTCAGGGTCCCTCCCACATACCTATTGCTGAGAGAAGCCTCCTCCTGAGGTGCTTCTGGGAAGTTGGCATACGTCTTGAGCCTAAGCCAGGGAATCAGCTCGCATCTCGAGACGATTTGGGGTACACGGAGCATTCCTCGAGTTGCTGTGCTGAAGTTGGTGTTCCTCTAGACTTGGGACAGTGTTCTCGGGGCATCTCTGGAGTTGCCTGAAGGAAGTCGAGCCACCGGTCGTGTTGAATGGGGAACGGGGAATGGCTCTGGAGTCAATGCAGGGGAATCGGGCCTCATCTCGAGTTGATTTGGGGCACATGGAGCTGCTTTGCGTTGCTGGGGTGACCTCAGGGTCCGTCTAGACTGGTGACAGTGTTCTTGGGGACTGTCTCGAGGTCCATTAAGCAAGTCGAAGCTCCTGACTTGTTTGAATGGGATCACGGAATAGCTCTGCATGCACTGCAGGGGAATGGGGCCTCATCTCGCCTCTAGGGGGAAGTCTCATGGTTTTTCTCGAGTTGCGGCGGGGACCTGGGGTATGTTCTCGACTTACGGCGGGGATGGCCCTTCAAAACACGAGTTTCTTCAGTGACGTCAGGACTCCTGTCTAGTAACGAGGGACACCTCAGGAATCTCTTCGAGGCTTGGCAGGGCAAAAGGGACGCTTCTCGAGGTGAGGCAGGGCACCCAAGGACCCTTTCCAGTAGCCACAGGGATTTTGGGATTCCTATCAGTATTCATGAGGAGTCAGGCATCGTCACCTTTTGAAGCAATGAACTCCGCGTGCCTCTCCAGGTGTCAGCGGGATGTGAGGCATTCTGTCAAAATGAGGCAGGGACCTAGGGCTTTCTCTAAGGTCTCCACAGGGGATTCAGACATCCCTTCATGTTGTGAGATGAAAGACGAGCCTGTATTCAAGCCACTGCAAGGAAATCCGGCCTCCTTTCAAGTTAGGGCTTCTCGCTGTATATTCCCCTTGAGGCAGCAAACTCGGGGTCCCTCCCACATACCTATTGCTGAGAGAAGCCTCCTCCTGAGGTGCTTCTGGGAAGTTGGCATACGTCTTGAGCCTAAGCCAGGGAATCAGCTCGCATCTCGAGACGATTTGGGGTACACGGAGCATTCCTCGAGTTGCTGTGCTGAAGTTGGTGTTCCTCTAGACTTGGGACAGTGTTCTCGGGGCATCTCTGGAGTTGCCTGAAGGAAGTCGAGCCACCGGTCGTGTTGAATGGGGAACGGGGAATGGCTCTGGAGTCAATGCAGGGGAATCGGGCCTCATCTCGAGTTGATTTGGGGCACATGGAGCTGCTTTGCGTTGCTGGGGTGACCTCAGGGTCCGTCTAGACTGGTGACAGTGTTCTTGGGGACTGTCTCGAGATCCATTAAGCAAGTCGAAGCTCCTGACTTGTTTGAATGGGATCACGGAATAGCTCTGCATGCACTGCAGGGGAATGGGGCCTCATCTCGCCTCTAGGGGGAAGTCTCATGGTTTTTCTCGAGTTGCGGCGGGGACCTGGGGTATGTTCTCGACTTACGGCGGGGATGGCCCTTCAAAACACGAGTTTCTTCAGTGACGTCAGGACTCCTGTCTAGTAACGAGGGACACCTCACTAATCTCTTCGAGGCTTGGCAGGGCAAAAGGGAATCTTCTCGAGGTGAGTCAGGGCACCCAAGGACACTTTCCAGTAGCCACAGGGATTTTGGGATTCCTATCAGTATTCAAGAGGAGTCAGGCATCGTCACCTTTTGAAGCAATGATCTCCGCGTGCCTCTCGAGGTGTCAGCGGGATGTGAGGCATTCCGTCAAAATGAGGCAGGGACCTAGGGCTTTCTCTAAGGTCTCCACAGGGGATTCAGACATCCCTTCATGTTGTGAGATGAAAGACGAGCCTGTATTCAAGCTACTGCAAGGAAATCCGGCCTCCTTTCAAGTTAGGGCTTCTCGCTGTATATTCCCCTTGAGGCAGCAAACTCGGGGTCCCTCCCACATACCTATTGCTGAGAGAAGCCGCCTCCTGAGGTGCTTCTGGGAAGTTGGCATACGTCTTGAGCCTAAGCCAGGGAATCAGCTCGCATCTCGAGACGATTTGGGGTACACGGAGCATTCCTCGAGTTGCTGTGCTGAAGTTGGTGTTTCTCTAGACTTGGGACAGTGTTCTCGGGGCATCTCTGGAGTTGCCTGAAGGAAGTCGAGCCACCGGTCGTGTTGAATGGGGAACGGGGAATGGCTCTGGAGTCAATGCAGGGGAATCGGGCCTCATCTCGAGTTGATTTGGGGCACATGGAGCTGCTTTGCGTTGCTGGGGTGACCTCAGGGTCCGTCTAGACTGGTGACAGTGTTCTTGGGGACTGTCTCGAGGTCCATTAAGCAAGTCGAAGCTCCTGACTTGTTTGAATGGGATCACGGAATAGCTCTGCATGCACTGCAGGGGAATGGGGCCTCATCTCGCCTCTAGGGGGAAGTCTCATGGTTTTTCTCGAGTTGCGGCGGGGACCTGGGGTATGTTCTCGACTTACGGCGGGGATGGCCCTTCAAAACACGAGTTTCTTCAGTGACGTCAGGACTCCTGTCTAGTAACGAGGGACACCTCAGGAATCTCTTCGAGGCTTGGCAGGGCAAAAGGGACGCTTCTCGAGGTGAGGCAGGGCACCCAAGGACCCTTTCCAGTAGCCACAGGGATTTTGGGATTCCTATCAGTATTCATGAGGAGTCAGGCATCGTCACCTTTTGAAGCAATGAACTCCGCGTGCCTCTCGAGGTGTCAGCGGGATGTGAGGCATTCCGTCAAAATGAGGCAGGGACCTAGGGCTTTCTCTAAGGTCTCCACAGGGGATTCAGACATCCCTTCATGTTGTGAGATGAAAGACGAGCCTGTATTCAAGCCACTGCAAGGAAATCCGGCCTCCTTTCAAGTTAGGGCTTCTCGCTGTATATTCCCCTTGAGGCAGCAAACTCAGGGTCCCTCCCACATACCTATTGCTGAGAGAAGCCTCCTCCTGAGGTGCTTCTGGGAAGTTGGCATACGTCTTGAGCCTAAGCCAGGGAATCAGCTCGCATCTCGAGACGATTTGGGGTACACGGAGCATTCCTCGAGTTGCTGTGCTGAAGTTGGTGTTCCTCTAGACTTGGGACAGTGTTCTCGGGGCATCTCTGGAGTTGCCTGAAGGAAGTCGAGCCACCGGTCGTGTTGAATGGGGAACGGGGAATGGCTCTGGAGTCAATGCAGGGGAATCGGGCCTCATCTCGAGTTGATTTGGGGCACATGGAGCTGCTTTGCGTTGCTGGGGTGACCTCAGGGTCCGTCTAGACTGGTGACAGTGTTCTTGGGGACTGTCTCGAGGTCCATTAAGCAAGTCGAAGCTCCTGACTTGTTTGAATGGGATCACGGAATAGCTCTGCATGCACTGCAGGGGAATGGGGCCTCATCTCGCCTCTAGGGGGAAGTCTCATGGTTTTTCTCGAGTTGCGGCGGGGACCTGGGGTATGTTCTCGACTTACGGCGGGGATGGCCCTTCAAAACACGAGTTTCTTCAGTGACGTCAGGACTCCTGTCTAGTAACGAGGGACACCTCAGGAATCTCTTCGAGGCTTGGCAGGGCAAAAGGGACGCTTCTCGAGGTGAGGCAGGGCACCCAAGGACCCTTTCCAGTAGCCACAGGGATTTTGGGATTCCTATCAGTATTCATGAGGAGTCAGGCATCGTCACCTTTTGAAGCAATGAACTCCGCGTGCCTCTCGAGGTGTCAGCGGGATGTGAGGCATTCCGTCAAAATGAGGCAGGGACCTAGGGCTTTCTCTAAGGTCTCCACAGGGGATTCAGACATCCCTTCATGTTGTGAGATGAAAGACGAGCCTGTATTCAAGCCACTGCAAGGAAATCCGGCCTCCTTTCAAGTTAGGGCTTCTCGCTGTATATTCCCCTTGAGGCAGCAAACTCAGGGTCCCTCCCACATACCTATTGCTGAGAGAAGCCTCCTCCTGAGGTGCTTCTGGGAAGTTGGCATACGTCTTGAGCCTAAGCCAGGGAATCAGCTCGCATCTCGAGACGATTTGGGGTACACGGAGCATTCCTCGAGTTGCTGTGCTGAAGTTGGTGTTCCTCTAGACTTGGGACAGTGTTCTCGGGGCATCTCTGGAGTTGCCTGAAGGAAGTCGAGCCACCGGTCGTGTTGAATGGGGAACGGGGAATGGCTCTGGAGTCAATGCAGGGGAATCGGGCCTCATCTCGAGTTGATTTGGGGCACATGGAGCTGCTTTGCGTTGCTGGGGTGACCTCAGGGTCCGTCTAGACTGGTGACAGTGTTCTTGGGGACTGTCTCGAGGTCCATTAAGCAAGTCGAAGCTCCTGACTTGTTTGAATGGGATCACGGAATAGCTCTGCATGCACTGCAGGGGAATGGGGCCTCATCTCGCCTCTAGGGGGAAGTCTCATGGTTTTTCTCGAGTTGCGGCGGGGACCTGGGGTATGTTCTCGACTTACGGCGGGGATGGCCCTTCAAAACACGAGTTTCTTCAGTGACGTCAGGACTCCTGTCTAGTAACGAGGGACACCTCAGGAATCTCTTCGAGGCTTGGCAGGGCAAAAGGGACGCTTCTCGAGGTGAGGCAGGGCACCCAAGGACCCTTTCCAGTAGCCACAGGGATTTTGGGATTCCTATCAGTATTCATGAGGAGTCAGGCATCGTCACCTTTTGAAGCAATGAACTCCGCGTGCCTCTCGAGGTGTCAGCGGGATGTGAGGCATTCCGTCAAAATGAGGCAGGGACCTAGGGCTTTCTCTAAGGTCTCCACAGTGGATTCAGACATCCCTTCATGTTGTGAGATGAAAGACGAGCCTGTATTCAAGCCACTGCAAGGAAATCCGGCCTCCTTTCAAGTTAGGGCTTCTCGCTGTATATTCCCCTTGAGGCAGCAAACTCGGGGTCCCTCCCACATACCTATTGCTGAGAGAAGCCTCCTCCTGAGGTGCTTCTGGGAAGTTGGCATACGTCTTGAGCCTAAGCCAGGGAATCAGCTCGCATCTCGAGACGATTTGGGGTACACGGAGCATTCCTCAAGTTGCTGTGCTGAAGTTGGTGTTCCTCTAGACTTGGGACAGTGTTCTCGGGGCATCTCTGGAGTTGCCTGAAGGAAGTCGAGCCACCGGTCGTGTTGAATGGGGAACGGGGAATGGCTCTGGAGTCAATGCAGGGGAATCGGGCCTCATCTCGAGTTGATTTGGGGCACATGGAGCTGCTTTGCGTTGCTGGGGTGACCTCAGGGTCCGTCTAGACTGGTGACAGTGTTCTTGGGGACTGTCTCGAGGTCCATTAAGCAAGTCGAAGCTCCTGACTTGTTTGAATGGGATCACGGAATAGCTCTGCATGCACTGCAGGGGAATGGGGCCTCATCTCGCCTCTAGGGGGAAGTCTCATGGTTTTTCTCGAGTTGCGGCGGGGACCTGGGGTATGTTCTCGACTTACGGCGGGGATGGCCCTTCAAAACACGAGTTTCTTCAGTGACGTCAGGACTCCTGTCTAGTAACGAGGGACACCTCAGGAATCTCTTCGAGGCTTGGCAGGGCAAAAGGGAATCTTCTCGAGGTGAGTCAGGGCACCCAAGGACACTTTCCAGTAGCCACAGGGATTTTGGGATTCCTATCAGTATTCAAGAGGAGTCAGGCATCGTCACCTTTTGAAGCAATGATCTCCGCGTGCCTCTCGAGGTGTCAGCGGGATGTGAGGCATTCCGTCAAAATGAGGCAGGGACCTAGGGCTTTCTCTAAGGTCTCCTCAGGGGATTCAGACATCCCTTCATGTTGTGAGATGAAGGACGAGCCTGTATTCAAGCCACTGCAAGGAAATCCGGCCTCCTTTCAAGTTAGGGCTTCTCGCTGTATATTCCCCTTGAGGCAGCAACTTCGGGGTCCCTCCCACATACCTATTGCTGAGAGAAGCCTCCTCCTGAGGTGCTTCTGGGAAGTTGGCATACGTCTTGAGCCTAAGCCAAGGAATCAGCTCGCATCTCGAGACGATTTGGGGTACACGGAGCATTCCTCGAGTTGCTGTGCTGAAGTTGGTGTTCCTCTAGACTTGGGACAGTGTTCTCGGGGCATCTCTGGAGTTGCCTGAAGGAAGTCGAGCCACCGGTCGTGTTGAATGGGGAACGGGGAATGGCTCTGGAGTCAATGCAGGGAAATCGGGCCTCATCTCGAGTTTATTTGGGGCACATGGAGCTGCTTTGCGTTGCTGGGGTGACCTCAGGGTCCGTCTAGACTGGTGACAGTGTTCTTGGGGACTGTCTCGAGATCCATTAAGCAAGTCGAAGCTCCTGACTTGTTTGAATGGGATCACGGAATAGCTCTGCATGCACTGAAGGGGAATGGGGCCTCATCTCGCCTCTAGAGGGAAGTCTCATGGTTTTTCTCGAGTTGCGGCGGGGACCTGGGGTATGTTCTCGACTTACGGCGGGGATGGCCCTTCAAAACACGAGTTTCTTCAGTGACGTCAGGACTCCTGTCTAGTAACGAGGGACACCTCAGGAATCTCTTCGAGGCTTGGCAGGGCAAAAGGGACGCTTCTCGAGGTGAGGCAGGGCACCCAAGGACCCTTTCCAGTAGCCACAGGGATTTTGGGATTCCTATCAGTATTCAAGAGGAGTCAGGCATCGTCACCTTTTGAAGCAATGAACTCCGCGTGCCTCTCGAGGTGTCAGCGCGATGTGAGGCATTCCGTCAAAATGAGGCAGGGACCTAGGGCTTTCTCTAAGGTCTCCACAGGGGATTCAGACATCCCTTCATGTTGTGAGATGAAAGACGAGCCTGTATTCAAGCCACTGCAAGGAAATCCGGCCTCCTTTCAAGTTAGGGCTTCTCGCTGTATATTCCCCTTGAGGCAGCAAACTCGGGGTCCCTCCCACATACCTATTGCTGAGAGAAGCCTCCTCCTGAGGTGCTTCTGGGAAGTTGGCATACGTCTTGAGCCTAAGCCAGGGAATCAGCTCGCATCTCGAGACGATTTGGGGTACACGGAGCATTCCTCGAGTTGCTGTGCTGAAGTTGGTGTTCCTCTAGACTTGGGACAGTGTTCTCGGGGCATCTGTGGAGTTGCCTGAAGGAAGTCGAGCCACCGGTCGTGTTGAATGGGGAACGGGGAATGGCTCTGGAGTCAATGCAGGGGAATCGGGCCTCATCTCGAGTTGATTTGGGGCACATGGAGCTGCTTTGCGTTGCTGGGGTGACCTCAGGGTCCGTCTAGACTGGTGACAGTGTTCTTGGGGACTGTCTCGAGGTCCATTAAGCAAGTCGAAGCTCCTGACTTGTTTGAATGGGATCACGGAATAGCTCTGCATGCACTGCAGGGGAATGGGGCCTCATCTCGCCTCTAGGGGGAAGTCTCATGGTTTTTCTCGAGTTGCGGCGGGGACCTGGGGTATGTTCTCGACTTACGGCGGGGATGGCCCTTCAAAACACGAGTTTCTTCAGTGACGTCAGGACTCCTGTCTAGTAACGAGGGACACCTCAGGAATCTCTTCGAGGCTTGGCAGGGCAAAAGGGACGCTTCTCGAGGTGAGGCAGGGCACCCAAGGACCCTTTCCAGTAGCCACAGGGATTTTGGGATTCCTATCAGTATTCAAGAGGAGTCAGGCATCGTCACCTTTTGAAGCAATGAACTCCGCGTGCCTCTCGAGGTGTCAGCGCGATGTGAGGCATTCCGTCAAAATGAGGCAGGGACCTAGGGCTTTCTCTAAGGTCTCCACAGGGGATTCAGACATCCCTTCATGTTGTGAGATGAAAGACGAGCCTGTATTCAAGCCACTGCAAGGAAATCCGGCCTCCTTTCAAGTTAGGGCTTCTCGCTGTATATTCTCCTTGAGGCAGCAAACTCGGGGTCCCTCCGACATACCTATTGCTGAGAGAAGCCTCCTCCTGAGGTGCTTCTGGGAAGTTGGCATACGTCTTGAGCCTAAGCCAGGGAATCAGCTCGCATCTCGAGACGATTTGGGGTACACGGAGCATTCCTCGAGTTGCTGTGCTGAAGTTGGTGTTCCTCTAGACTTGGGACAGTGTTCTCGGGGCATCTCTGGAGTTGCCTGAAGGAAGTCGAGCCACCGGTCGTGTTGAATGGGGAACGGGGAATGGCTCTGGAGTCAATGCAGGGGAATCGGGCCTCATCTCGAGTTGATTTGGGGCACATGGAGCTGCTTTTCGTTGCTGGGGTGACCTCAGGGTCCGTCTAGACTGGTGACAGTGTTCTTGGGGACTGTCTCGAGGTCCATTAAGCAAGTCGAAGCTCCTGACTTGTTTGAATGGGATCACGGAATAGCTCTGCATGCACTGCAGGGGAATGGGGCCTCATCTCGCCTCTAGGGGGAAGTCTCATGGTTTTTCTCGAGTTGCGGCGGGGACCTGGGGTATGTTCTCGACTTACGGCGGGGATGTCCCTTCAAAACACGAGTTTCTTCAGTGACGTCAGGACTCCTGTCTAGTAACGAGGGACACCTCAGGAATCTCTTCGAGGCTTGGCAGGGCAAAAGGGACGCTTCTCGAGGTGAGGCAGGGCACCCAAGGACCCTTTCCAGTAGCCACAGGGATTTTGGGATTCCTATCAGTATTCATGAGGAGTCAGGCATCGTCACCTTTTGAAGCAATGAACTCCGCGTGCCTCTCGAGGTGTCAGCGGGATGTGAGGCATTCCGTCAAAATGAGGCAGGGACCTAGGGCTTTCTCTAAGGTCTCCACAGGGGATTCAGACATCCCTTCATGTTGTGAGATGAAAGACGAGCCTGTATTCAAGCCACTGCAAGGAAATCCGGCCTCCTTTCAAGTTAGGGCTTCTCGCTGTATATTCCCCTTGAGGCAGCAAACTCGGGGTCCCTCCCACATACCTATTGCTGAGAGAAGCCTCCTCCTGAGGTGCTTCTGGGAAGTTGGCATACGTCTTGAGCCTAAGCCAGGGAATCAGCTCGCATCTCGAGACGATTTGGGGTACACGGAGCATTCCTCGAGTTGCTGTGCTGAAGTTGGTGTTCCTCTAGACTTGGGACAGTGTTCTCGGGGCATCTCTGGAGTTGCCTGAAGGAAGTCGAGCCACCGGTCGTGTTGAATGGGGAACGGGGAATGGCTCTGGAGTCAATGCAGGGGAATCGGGCCTCATCTCGAGTTGATTTGGGGCACATGGAGCTGCTTTGCGTTGCTGGGGTGACCTCAGGGTCCGTCTAGACTGGTGACAGTGTTCTTGGGGACTGTCTCGAGATCCATTAAGCAAGTCGAAGCTCCTGACTTGTTTGAATGGGATCACGGAATAGCTCTGCATGCACTGCAGGGGAATGGGGCCTCATCTCGCCTCTAGGGGGAAGTCTCATGGTTTTTCTCGAGTTGCGGCGGGGACCTGGGGTATGTTCTCGACTTACGGCGGGGATGGCCCTTCAAAACACGAGTTTCTTCAGTGACGTCAGGACTCCTGTCTAGTAACGAGGGACACCTCAGGAATCTCTTCGAGGCTTGGCAGGGCAAAAGGGACGCTTCTCGAGGTGAGGCATGGCACCCAAGGACCCTTTCCAGTAGCCACAGGGATTTTGGGATTCCTATCAGTATTCAAGAGGAGTCAGCCATCGTCACCTTTTGAAGCAATGAACTCCGCGTGCCTCTCGAGGTGTCAGCGGGATGTGAGGCATTCCGTCAAAATGAGGCAGGGACCTAGGGCTTTCTCTAAGGTCTCCACAGGGGATTCAGACATCCCTTCATGTTGTGAGATGAAAGACGAGCCTGTATTCAAGCCACTGCAAGGAAATCCGGCCTCCTTTCAAGTTAGGGCTTCTCGCTGTATATTCCCCTTGAGGCAGCAAACTCGGGGTCCCTCCCACATACCTATTGCTGAGAGAAGCCTCCTCCTGAGGTGCTTCTGGGAAGTTGGCATACGTCTTGAGCCTAAGCCAGGGAATCAGCTCGAATCTCGAGACGATTTGGGGTACACGGAGCATTCCTCGAGTTGCTGTGCTGAAGTTGGTGTTCCTCTAGACTTGGGACAGTGTTCTCGGGGCATCTCTGGAGTTGCCTGAAGGAAGTCGAGCCACCGGTCGTGTTGAATGGGGAACGGGGAATGGCTCTGGAGTCAATGCAGGGGAATCGGGCCTCATCTCGAGTTGATTTGGGGCACATGGAGCTTCTTTGCGTTGCTGGGGTGACCTCAGGGTCCGTCTAGACTGGTGACAGTGTTCTTGGGGACTGTCTCGAGATCCATTAAGCAAGTCGAAGCTCCTGACTTGTTTGAATGGGATCACGGAATAGCTCTGCATGCACTGCAGGGGAATGGGGCCTCATCTCGCCTCTAGGGGGAAGTCTCATGGTTTTTCTCGAGTTGCGGCGGGGACCTGGGGTATGTTCTCGACTTACGGCGGGGATGGCCCTTCAAAACACGAGTTTCTTCAGTGACGTCAGGACTCCTGTCTAGTAACGAGGGACACCTCAGGAATCTCTTCGAGGCTTGGCAGGGCAAAAGGGACGCTTCTCGAGGTGAGGCAGGGCACCCAAGGACCCTTTCCAGTAGCCACAGGGATTTTGGGATTCCTATCAGTATTCGTGAGGAGTCAGGCATCGTCACCTTTTGAAGCAATGAACTCCGCGTGCCTCTCGAGGTGTCAGCGGGATGTGAGGCTTTCCGTCAAAATGAGGCAGGGACCTAGGGCTTTCTCTAAGGTCTCCACAGGGGATTCAGTCATCCCTTCACGTTGTGAGATGAAAGACGAGCCTGTATTCAAGCCACTGCAAGGAAATCCGGCCTCCTTTCAAGTTAGGGCTTCTCGCTGTATATTCCCCTTGAGGCAGCAAACTCGGGGTCCCTCCCACATACCTATTGCTGAGAGAAGCCTCCTCCTGAGGTGCTTCTGGGAAGTTGGCATACGTCTTGAGCCTAAGCCAGGGAATCAGCTCGCATCTCGAGACGATTTGGGGTACACGGAGCATTCCTCGAGTTGCTGTGCTGAAGTTGGTGTTCCTCTAGACTTGGGACAGTGTTCTCGGGGCATCTCTGGAGTTGCCTGAAGGAAGTCGAGCCACCGGTCGTGTTGAATGGGGAACGGGGAATGGCTCTGGAGTCAATGCAGGGGAATCGGGCCTCATCTCGAGTTGATTTGGGGCACATGGAGCTGCTTTGCGTTGCTGGGGTGACCTCAGGATCCGTCTAGACTGGTGACAGTGTTCTTGGGGACTGTCTCGAGATCCATTAAGCAAGTCGAAGCTCCTGACTTGTTTGAATGGGATCACGGAATAGCTCTGCATGCACTGCAGGGGAATGGGGCCACATCTCGCCTCTAGGGGGAAGTCTCATGGTTTTTCTCGAGTTGCGGCGGGGACCTGGGGTATGTTCTCGACTTACGGCGGGGATGGCCCTTCAAAACACGAGTTTCTTCAGTGACGTCAGGACTCCTGTCTAGTAACGAGGGACACCTCAGGAATCTCTTCGAGGCTTGGCAGGGCAAAAGGGACGCTTCTCGAGGTGAGGCAGGGCACCCAAGGACCCTTTCCAGTAGCCACAGGGATTTTGGGATTCCTATCAGTATTCAAGAGGAGTCAGGCATCGTCACCTTTTGAAGCAATGAACTCCGCGTGCCTCTCGAGGTGTCAGCGCGATGTGAGGCATTCCGTCAAAATGAGGCAGGGACCTAGGGCTTTCTCTAAGGTCTCCACAGGGGATTCAGACATCCCTTCATGTTGTGAGATGAAAGACGAGCCTGTATTCAAGCCACTGCAAGGAAATCCGGCCTCCTTTCAAGTTAGGGCTTCTCGCTGTATATTCCCCTTGAGGCAGCAACCTCGGGGTCCCTCCCACATACCTATTGCTGAGAGAAGCCTCCTCCTGAGGTGCTTCTGGGAAGTTGGCATACGTCTTGAGCCTAAGCCAGGGAATCAGCTCGCATCTCGAGACGATTTGGGGTACACGGAGCATTCCTCGAGTTGCTGTGCTGAAGTTGGTGTTCCTCTAGACTTGGGACAGTGTTCTCGGGGCATCTCTGGAGTTGCCTGAAGGAAGTCGAGCCACCGGTCGTGTTGAATGGGGAACGGGGAATGGCTCTGGAGTCAATGCAGGGGAATCGGGCCTCATCTCGAGTTGATTTGGGGCACATGGAGCTGCTTTGCGTTGCTGGGGTGACCTCAGGGTCCGTCTAGACTGGTGACAGTGTTCTTGGGGACTGTCTCGAGGTCCATTAAGCAAGTCGCAGCTCCTGACTTGTTTGAATGGGATCATGGAATAGCTCTGCATGCACTGCAGGGGAATGGGGCCTCATCTCGCCTCTAGGGGGAAGTCTCATGGTTTTTCTCGAGTTGCGGCGGGGACCTGGGGTATGTTCTCGACTTACGGCTGGGATGGCCCTTCAAAACACGAGTTTCTTCAGTGACGTCAGGACTCCTGTCTAGTAACGAGGGACACCTCAGGAATCTCTTCGAGGCTTGGCAGGGCAAAAGGGACGCTTCTCGAGGTGAGGCAGGGCACCCAAGGACCCTTTCCAGTAGCCACAGGGATTTTGGGATTCCTATCAGTATTCATGAGGAGTCAGGCATCGTCACCTTTTGAAGCAATGAACTCCGCGTGCCTCTCGAGGTGTCAGCGGGATGTGAGGCATTCCGTCAAAATGAGGCAGGGACCTAGGGCTTTCTCTAAGGTCTCCACAGGGGATTCAGACATCCCTTCATGTTGTGAGATGAAAGACGAGCCTGTATTCAAGCCACTGCAAGGAAATCCGTCCTCCTTTCAAGTTAGGGCTTCTCGCTGTATATTCCCCTTGAGGCAGCAAACTCGGGGTCCCTCCCACATACCTATTGTTGAGAGAAGCCTCCTCCTGAGGTGCTTCTGGGAAGTTGGCATACTTCTTGAGCCTAAGCCAGGGAATCAGCTCGCATCTCGAGACGATTTGGGGTACACGGAGCATTCCTCGAGTTGCTGTGCTGAAGTTGGTGTTCCTCTAGACTTGGGACAGTGTTCTCGGGGCATCTCTGGAGTTGCCTGAAGGAAGTCGAGCCACCGGTCGTGTTGAATGGGGAACGGGGAATGGCTCTGGAGTCAATGCAGGGGAATCGGGCCTCATCTCGAGTTGATTTGGGGCACATGGAGCTTCTTTGCGTTGCTGGGGTGACCTCAGGGTCCGTCTAGACTGGTGACAGTGTTCTTGGGGACTGTCTCGAGGTCCATTAAGCAAGTCGAAGCTCCTGACTTGTTTGAATGGGATCACGGAATAGCTCTGCATGCACTGCAGGGGAATGGGGCCTCATCTCGCCTCTAGGGGGAAGTCTCATGGTTTTTCTCGAGTTGCGGCGGGGACCTGGGGTATGTTCTCGACTTACGGCAGGGATGGCCCTTCAAAACACGAGTTTCTTCAGTGACGTCAGGACTCCTGTCTAGTAACGAGGGTCACCTCAGGAATCTCTTCGAGGCTTGGCAGGGCAAAAGGGACGCTTCTCGAGGTGAGGCAGGGCACCCAAGGACCCTTTCCAGTAGCCACAGGGATTTTGGGATTCCTATCAGTATTCATGAGGAGTCAGGCATCGTCACCTTTTGAAGCAATGAACTCCGCGTGCCTCTCGAGGTGTCAGCGGGATGTGAGGCATTCCGTCAAAATGAGGCAGGGACCTAGGGCTTTCTCTAAGGTCTCCACAGGGGATTCAGACATCCCTTCATGTTGTGAGATGAAAGACGAGCCTGTATTCAAGCCACTGCAAGGAAATCCGGCCTCCTTTCAAGTTAGGGCTTCTCGCTGTATATTCCCCTTGAGGCAGCAAACTCGGGGTCCCTCCCACATACCTATTGCTGAGAGAAGCCTCCTCCTGAGGTGCTTCTGGGAAGTTGGCATACGTCTTGAGCCTAAGCCAGGGAATCAGCTCGCATCTCGAGACGATTTGGGGTACACGGAGCATACCTCGAGTTGCTGTGCTGAAGTTGGTGTTCCTCTAGACTTGGGACAGTGTTCTCGGGGCATCTCTGGAGTTGCCTGAAGGAAGTCGAGCCACCGGTCGTGTTGAATGGGGAATGGGGAATGGCTCTGGAGTCAATGCAGGGGAATCGGGCCTCATCTCGAGTTGATTTGGGGCACATGGAGCTGCTTTGCGTTGCTGGGGTGACCTCAGGGTCCGTCTAGACTGGTGACAGTGTTCTTGGGGACTGTCTCGAGATCCATTAAGCAAGTCGAAGCTCCTGACTTGTTTGAATGGGATCACGGAATAGCTCTGCATGCACTGCAGGGGAATGGGGCCTCATCTCGCCTCTAGGGGGAAGTCTCATGGTTTTTCTCGAGTTGCGGCGGGGACCTGGGGTATGTTCTCGACTTACGGCGGGGATGGCCCTTCAAAACACGAGTTTCTTCAGTGACGTCAGGACTCCTGTCTAGTAACGAGGGACACCTCAGGAATCTCTTCGAGGCTTGGCAGGGCAAAAGGGACGCTTCTCGAGGTGAGGCAGGGCACCCAAGGACCCTTTCCACTAGCCACAGGGATTTTGGGATTCCTATCAGTATTCAAGAGGAGTCAGGCATCGTCACCTTTTGAAGCAATGAACTCCGCGTGCCTCTCGAGGTGTCAGCGGGATGTGAGGCATTCCGTCAAAATGAGGCAGGGACCTAGGGCTTTCTCTAAGGTCTCCACAGGGGATTCAGACATCCCTTCATGTTGTGAGATGAAAGACGAGCCTGTATTCAAGCCACTGCAAGGAAATCCGGCCTCCTTTCAAGTTAGGGCTTCTCGCTGTATATTCCCCTTGAGGCATCAAACTCGGGGTCCCTCCCACATACCTATTGCTGAGAGAAGCCTCCTCCTGAGGTGCTTCTGGGAAGTTGGCATACGTCTTGAGCCTAAGCCAGGGAATCAGCTCGCATCTCGAGACGATTTGGGGTACACGGAGCATTCCTCGAGTTGCTGTGCTGAAGTTGGTGTTCCTCTAGACTTGGGACAGTGTTCTCGGGGCATCTCTGGAGTTGCCTGAAGGAAGTCGAGCCACCGGTCGTGTTGAATGGGGAACGGGGAATGGCTCTGGAGTCAATGCAGGGGAATCGGGCCTCATCTCGAGTTGATTTGGGGCACATGGAGCTGCTTTGCGTTGCTGGGGTGACCTCAGGGTCCGTCTAGACTGGTGACAGTGTTCTTGGGGACTGTCTCTAGGTTCATTAAGCAAGTCGAAGCTCCTGACTTGTTTGAATGGGATCACGGAATAGCTCTGCATGCACTGCAGGGGAATGGGGCCTCATCTCGCCTCTAGGGGGAAGTCTCATGGTTTTTCTCGAGTTGCGGCGGGGACCTGGGGTATGTTCTCGACTTACGGCGGGGATGGCCCTTCAAAACACGAGTTTCTTCAGTGACGTCAGGACTCCTGTCTAGTAACGAGGGACACCTCAGGAATCTCTTCGAGGCTTGGCAGGGCAAAAGGGACGCTTCTCGAGGTGAGGCAGGGCACCCAAGGACCCTTTCCAGTAGCCACACGGATTTTGGGATTCCTATCAGTATTCATGAGGAGTCAGGCATCGTCACCTTTTGAAGCAATGAACTCCGCGTGCCTCTCGAGGTGTCAGCGGGATGTGAGGCATTCCGTCAAAATGAGGCAGGGACCTAGGGCTTTCTCTAAGGTCTCCACAGGGGATTCAGACATCCCTTCATGTTGTGAGATGAAAGACGAGCCTGTATTCAAGCCACTGCAAGGAAATCCGGCCTCCTTTCAAGTTAGGGCTTCTCGCTGTATATTCCCCTTGAGGCAGCAAACTCGGGGTCCCTCCCACATACCTATTGCTGAGAGAAGCCTCCTCCTGAGGTGCTTCTGGGAAGTTGGCATACGTCTTGAGCCTAAGCCAGGGAATCAGCTCGCATCTCGAGACGATTTGGGGTACACGGAGCATTCCTCGAGTTGCTGTGCTGAAGTTGGTGTTCCTCTAGACTTGGGACAGTGTTCTCGGGGCATCTCTGGAGTTGCCTGAAGGAAGTCGAGCCACCGGTCGTGTTGAATGGGGAACGGGGAATGGCTCTGGAGTCAATGCAGGGGAATCGGGCCTCATCTCGAGTTGATTTGGGGCACATGGAGCTGCTTTGCGTTGCTGGGGTGACCTCAGGGTCCGTCTAGACTGGTGACAGTGTTCTTGGGGACTGTCTCGAGATCCATTAAGCAAGTCGAAGCTCCTGACTTGTTTGAATGGGATCACGGAATAGCTCTGCATGCACTGCAGGGGAATGGGGCCTCATCTCTCCTCTAGGGGGAAGTCTCATGGTTTTTCTCGAGTTGCGGCGGGGACCTGGGGTATGTTCTCGACTTACGGCGGGGATGGCCCTTCAAAACACGAGTTTCTTCAGTGACGTCAGGACTCCTGTCTAGTAACGAGGGACACCTCAGGAATCTCTTCGAGGCTTGGCAGGGCAAAAGGGACGCTTCTCGAGGTGAGGCAGGGCACCCAAGGACCCTTTCCAGTAGCCACAGGGATTTTGGGATTCCTATCAGTATTCAAGAGGAGTCAGGCATCGTCACCTTTTGAAGCAATGAACTCCGCGTGCCTCTCGAGGTGTCAGCGCGATGTGAGGCATTCCGTCAAAATGAGGCAGGGACCTAGGGCTTTCTCTAAGGTCTCCACAGGGGATTCAGACATCCCTTCATGTTGTGAGATGAAAGACGAGCCTGTATTCAAGCCACTGCAAGGAAATCCGGCCTCCATTCAAGTTAGGGATTCTCGCTGTATATTCCCCTTGAGGCAGCAAACTCGGGGTCCCTCCCACATACCTATTGCTGAGAGAAGCCTCCTCCTGAGGTGCTTCTGGGAAGTTGGCATACGTCTTGAGCCTAAGCCAGGGAATCAGCTCGCATCTCGAGACGATTTGGGGTACACGGAGCATTCCTCGAGTTGCTGTGCTGAAGTTGGTGTTCCTCTAGACTTGGGACAGTGTTCTCGGGGCATCTCTGGAGTTGCCTGAAGGAAGTCGAGCCACCGGTCGTGTTGAATGGGGAACGGGGAATGGCTCTGGAGTCAATGCAGGGGAATCGGGCCTCATCTCGAGTTGATTTGGGGCACATGGAGCTTCTTTGCGTTGCTGGGGTGACCTCAGGGTCCGTCTAGACTGGTGACAGTGTTCTTGGGGACTGTCTCGAGGTTCATTAAGCAAGTCGAAGCTCCTGACTTGTTTGAATGGGATCACGGAATAGCTCTGCATGCACTGCAGGGGAATGGGGCCTCATCTCGCCTCTAGGGGGAAGTCTCATGGTTTTTCTCGAGTTGCGGCGGGGACCTGGGGTATGTTCTCGACTTACGGCGGGGATGGCCCTTCAAAACACGAGTTTCTTCAGTGACGTCAGGACTCCTGTCTAGTAACGAGGGACACCTCAGGAATCTCTTCGAGGCTTGGCAGGGCAAAAGGGACGCTTCTCGAGGTGAGGCAGGGCACCCAAGGACCCTTTCCAGTAGCCACAGGGATTTTGGGATTCCTATCAGTATTCAAGAGGAGTCAGGCATCGTCACCTTTTGAAGCAATGAACTCCGCGTGCCTCTCGAGGTGTCAGCGGGATGTGAGGCATTCCGTCAAAATGAGGCAGGGACCTAGGGCTTTCTCTAATGTCTCCACAGGGGATTCAGACATCCCTTCATGTTGTGAGATGAAAGATGAGCGTGTATTCAAGCCACTGCAAGGAAATCCGGCCTCCTTTCAAGTTAGGGCTTCTCGCTGTATATTCCCCTTGAGGCAGCAAAATCGGGGTCCCTCCCACATACCTATTGCTGAGAGAAGCCTCCTCCTGAGGTGCTTCTGGGAAGTTGGCATACGTCTTGAGCCTAAGCCAGGGAATCAGCTCGCATCTCGAGACGATTTGGGGTACACGGAGCATTCCTCGAGTTGCTGTGCTGAAGTTGGTGTTCCTCTAGACTTGGGACAGTGTTCTCGGGGCATCTCTGGAGTTGCCTGAAGGAAGTCGAGCGACCGGTCGTGTTGAATGGGGAACGGGGAATGGCTCTGGAGTCAATGCAGGGGAATCGGGCCTCACCTCGAGTTGATTTGGGGCACATGGAGGTGCTTTGCGTTACTGGGGTGACCTCAGGGTCCGTCTAGACTGGTGACAGTGTTCTTGGGGACTGTCTCGAGATCCATTAAGCAAGTCGAAGCTCCTGACTTGTTTGAATGGGATCACGGAATAGCTCTGCATGCACTGCAGGGGAATGGGGCCTCATCTCGCCTCTAGGGGGAAGTCTCATGGTTTTTCTCGAGTTGCGGCGGGGACCTGGGGTATGTTCTCGACTTACGGCGGGGATGGCCCTTCAAAACACGAGTTTCTTCAGTGACGTCAGGACTCCTGTCTAGTAACGAGGGACACCTCAGGAATCTCTTCGAGGCTTGGCAGGGCAAAAGGGACGCTTCTCGAGGTGAGGCAGGGCACCCAAGGACCCTTTCCAGTAGCCACAGGGATTTTGGGATTCCTATCAGTATTCAAGAGGAGTCAGGCATCGTCACCTTTTGAAGCAATGAACTCCGCGTGCCTCTCGAGGTGTCAGCGGGATGTGAGGCATTCCGTCAAAATGAGGCAGGGACCTAGGGCTTTCTCTAAGGTCTCCACAGGGGATTCAGACATCCCTTCATGTTGTGAGATGAAAGACGAGCCTGTATTCAAGCCACTGCAAGGAAATCTGGCCTCCTTTCAAGTTAGGGCTTCTCGCTGTATATTCCCCTTGAGGCAGCAAACTCGGGGTCCCTCCCACATACCTATTGCTGAGAGAAGCCTCCTCCTGAGGTGCTTCTGGGAAGTTGGCATACGTCTTGAGCCTAAGCCAGGGAATCAGCTCGCATCTAGAGACGATTTGGGGTACACGGAGCATTCCTCGAGTTGCTGTGCTGAAGTTGGTGTTCCTCTAGACTTGGGACAGTGTTCTCGGGGCATCTCTGGAGTTGCCTGAAGGAAGTCGAGCCACCGGTCGTGTTGAATGGGGAACGGGGAATGGCTCTGGAGTCAATGCAGGGGAATCGGGCCTCATCTCGAGTTGATTTGGGGCACATGGAGCTGCTTTGCGTTGCTGGGGTGACCTCAGGGTCCGTCTAGACTGGTGACAGTGTTCTTGGGGACTGTCTCGAGATCCATTAAGCAAGTCGAAGCTCCTGACTTGTTTGAATGGGATCACGGAATAGCTCTGCATGCACTGCAGGGGAATGGGGCCTCATCTCGCCTCTAGGGGGAAGTCTCATGGTTTTTCTCGAGTTGCGGCGGGGACCTGGGGTATGTTCTCGACTTACGGCGGGGATGGCCCTTCAAAACACGAGTTTCTTCAGTGACGTCAGGACTCCTGTCTAGTAACGAGGGACACCTCAGGAATCTCTTCGAGGCTTGGCAGGGCAAAAGGGACGCTTCTCGAGGTGAGGCAGGGCACCCAAGGACCCTTTCCAGTAGCCACACGGATTTTGGGATTCCTATCAGTATTCATGAGGAGTCAGGCATCGTCACCTTTTGAAGCAATGAACTCCGCGTGCCTCTCGAGGTGTCAGCGGGATGTGAGTCAATCCGTCAAAATGAGGCAGGGACCTAGGGCTTTCTCTAAGGTCTCCACAGGGGATTCAGACATCCCTTCATGTTGTGAGATGAAAGACGAGCCTGTATTCAAGCCACTGCAAGGAAATCCGGCCTCCTTTCAAGTTAGGGCTTCTCGCTGTATATTCCCCTTGAGGCAGCAAACTCGGGGTCCCTCCCACATACCTATTGCTGAGAGAAGCCTCCTCCTGAGGTGCTTCTGGGAAGTTGGCATACGTCTTGAGCCTAAGCCAGGGAATCAGCTCGCATCTCGAGACGATTTGGGGTACACGGAGCATTCCTCGAGTTGCTGTGCTGAAGTTGGTGTTCCTCTAGACTTGGGACAGTGTTCTCGGGGCATCTCTGGAGTTGCCTGAAGGAAGTCGAGCCACCGGTCGTGTTGAATGGGGAACGGGGAATGGCTCTGGAGTCAATGCAGGGGAATCGGGCCTCATCTCGAGTTGATTTGGGGCACATGGAGCTGCTTTGCGTTGCTGGGGTGACCTCAGGGTCCGTCTAGACTGGTGACAGTGTTCTTGGGGACTGTCTCGAGATCCATTAAGCAAGTCGAAGCTCCTGACTTGTTTGAATGGGATCACGGAATAGCTCTGCATGCACTGCAGGGGAATGGGGCCTCATCTCTCCTCTAGGGGGAAGTCTCATGGTTTTTCTCGAGTTGCAGCGGGGACCTGGGGTATGTTCTCGACGTACGGCGGGGATGGCCCTTCAAAACACGAGTTTCTTCAGTGACGTCAGGACTCCTGTCTAGTAACGAGGGACACCTCAGGAATCTCTTCGAGGCTTGGCAGGGCAAAAGGGACGCTTCTCGAGGTGAGGCAGGGCACCCAAGGACCCTTTCCAGTAGCCACAGGGATTTTGGGATTCCTATCAGTATTCAAGAGGAGTCAGGCATCGTCACCTTTTGAAGCAATGAACTCCGCGTGCCTCTCGAGGTGTCAGCGGGATGTGAGGCATTCCGTCAAAATGAGGCAGGGACCTAGGGCTTTCTCTAAGGTCTCCACAGGGGATTCAGACATCCCTTCATGTTGTGAGATGAAAGACGAGCCTGTATTCAAGCCACTGCAAGGAAATCCGGCCTCCTTTCAAGTTAGGGCTTCTCGCTGTATATTTCCCTTGAGGCAGCAAACTCGGGGTCCCTCCCACATACCTATTGCTGAGAGAAGCCTCCTCCTGAGGTGCTTCTGGGAAGTTGGCATACGTCTTGAGCCTAAGCCAGGGAATCAGCTCGCATCTCGAGACGATTTGGGGTACACGGAGCATTCCTCGAGTTGCTGTGCTGAAGTTGGTGTTCCTCTAGACTTGGGACAGTGTTCTCGGGGCATCTCTGGAGTTGCCAGAAGGAAGTCGAGCCACCGGTCGTGTTGAATGGGGAACGGGGAATGGCTCTGGAGTCAATGCAGGGGAATCGGGCCTCATCTCGAGTTGATTTGGGGCACATGGAGCTGCTTTGCGTTGCTGGGGTGACCTCAGGGTCCGTCTAGACTGGTGACAGTGTTCTTGGGGACTGTCTCGAGGTTCATTAAGCAAGTCGAAGCTCCTGACTTGTTTGAATGGGATCACGGAATAGCTCTGCATGCACTGCAGGGGAATGGGGCCTCATCTCGCCTCTAGGGGGAAGTCTCATGGTTTTTCTCGAGTTGCGGCGGGGACCTGGGGTATGTTCTCGACTTACGGCGGGGATGGCCCTTCAAAACACGAGTTTCTTCAGTGACGTCAGGACTCCTGTCTAGTAACGAGGGACACCTCAGGAATCTCTTCGAGGCTTGGCAGGGCAAAAGGGACGCTTCTCGAGGTGAGGCAGGGCACCCAAGGACCCTTTCCAGTAGCCACAGGGATTTTGGGATTCCTATCAGTATTCAAGAGGAGTCAGGCATCGTCACCTTTTGAAGCAATGAACTCCGCGTGCCTCTCGAGGTGTCAGCGGGATGTGAGGCATTCCGTCAAAATGAGGCAGGGACCTAGGGCTTTCTCTAATGTCTCCACAGGGGATTCAGACATCCCTTCATGTTGTGAGATGAAAGATGAGCGTGTATTCAAGCCACTGCAAGGAAATCCGGCCTCCTTTCAAGTTAGGGCTTCTCGCTGTATATTCCCCTTGAGGCAGCAAAATCGGGGTCCCTCCCACATACCTATTGCTGAGAGAAGCCTCCTCCTGAGGTGCTTCTGGGAAGTTGGCATACGTCTTGAGCCTAAGCCAGGGAATCAGCTCGCATCTCGAGACGATTTGGGGTACACGGAGCATTCCTCGAGTTGCTGTGCTGAAGTTGGTGTTCCTCTAGACTTGGGACAGTGTTCTCGGGGCATCTCTGGAGTTGCCTGAAGGAAGTCGAGCGACCGTTCGTGTTGAATGGGGAACGGGGAATGGCTCTGGAGTCAATGCAGGGGAATCGGGCCTCACCTCGAGTTGATTTGGGGCACATGGAGGTGCTTTGCGTTACTGGGGTGACCTCAGGGTCCGTCTAGACTGGTGACAGTGTTCTTGGGGACTGTCTCGAGATCCATTAAGCAAGTCGAAGCTCCTGACTTGTTTGAATGGGATCACGGAATAGCTCTGCATGCACTGCAGGGGAATGGGGCCTCATCTCGCCTCTAGGGGGAAGTCTCATGGTTTTTCTCGAGTTGCGGCGGGGACCTGGGGTATGTTCTCGACTTACGGCGGGGATGGCCCTTCAAAACACGAGTTTCTTCAGTGACGTCAGGACTCCTGTCTAGTAACGAGGGACACCTCAGGAATCTCTTCGAGGCTTGGCAGGGCAAAAGGGACGCTTCTCGAGGTGAGGCAGGGCACCCAAGGACCCTTTCCAGTAGCCACAGGGATTTTGGGATTCCTATCAGTATTCAAGAGGAGTCAGGCATCGTCACCTTTTGAAGCAATGAACTCCGCGTGCCTCTCGAGGTGTCAGCGCGATGTGAGGCATTCCGTCAAAATGAGGCAGGGACCTAGGGCTTTCTCTAAGGTCTCCACAGGGGATTCAGACATCCCTTCATGTTGTGAGATGAAAGACGAGCCTGTATTCAAGCCACTGCAAGGAAATCTGGCCTCCTTTCAAGTTAGGGCTTCTCGCTGTATATTCCCCTTGAGGCAGCAAACTCGGGGTCCCTCCCACATACCTATTGCTGAGAGAAGCCTCCTCCTGAGGTGCTTCTGGGAAGTTGGCATACGTCTTGAGCCTAAGCCAGGGAATCAGCTCGCATCTCGAGACGATTTGGGGTACACGGAGCATTCCTCGAGTTGCTGTGCTGAAGTTGGTGTTCCTCTAGAATTGGGACAGTGTTCTCGGGGCATCTCTGGAGTTGCCTGAAGGAAGTCGAGCCACCGGTCGTGTTGAATGGGGAACGGGGAATGGCTCTGGAGTCAATGCAGGGGAATCGGGCCTCATCTCGAGTTGATTTGGGGCACATGGAGCTGCTTTGCGTTGCTGGGGTGACCTCAGGGTCCGTCTAGACTGGTGACAGTGTTCTTGGGGACTGTCTCGAGATCCATTAAGCAAGTCGAAGCTCCTGACTTGTTTGAATGGGATCACGGAATAGCTCTGCATGCACTGCAGGGGAATGGGGCCTCATCTCGCCTCTAGGGGGAAGTCTCATGGTTTTTCTCGAGTTGCGGCGGGGACCTGGGGTATGTTCTCGACTTACAGCGGGGATGGCCCTTCAAAACACGAGTTTCTTCAGTGACGTCAGGACTCCTGTCTAGTAACGAGGGACACCTCAGGAATCTCTTCGAGGCTTGGCAGGGCAAAAGGGACGCTTCTCGAGGTGAGGCAGGGCACCCAAGGACCCTTTCCAGTAGCCACACGGATTTTGGGATTCCTATCAGTATTCATGAGGAGTCAGGCATCGTCACCTTTTGAAGCAATGAACTCCGCGTGCCTCTCGAGGTGTCAGCGGGATGTGAGGCAATCCGTCAAAATGAGGCAGGGACCTAGGGCTTTCTCTAAGGTCTCCACAGGGGATTCAGACATCCCTTCATGTTGTGAGAGGAAAGACGAGCCTGTATTCAAGCCACTGCAAGGAAATCCGGCCTCCTTTCAAGTTAGGGCTTCTCGCTGTATATTCCCCTTGAGGCAGCAAACTCGGGGTCCCTCCCACATACCTATTGCTGAGAGAAGCCTCCTCCTGAGGTGCTTCTGGGAAGTTGGCATACGTCTTGAGCCTAAGCCAGGGAATCAGCTCGCATCTCGAGACGATTTGGGGTACACGGAGCATTCCTCGAGTTGCTGTGCTGAAGTTGGTGTTCCTCTAGACTTGGGACAGTGTTCTCGGGGCATCTCTGGAGTTGCCTGAAGGAAGTCGAGCCACCGGTCGTGTTGAATGGGGAACGGGGAATGGCTCTGGAGTCAATGCAGGGGAATCGGGCCTCATCTCGAGTTGATTTGGGGCACATGGAGCTGCTTTGCGTTGCTGGGGTGACCTCAGGGTCCGTCTAGACTGGTGACAGTGTTCTTGGGGACTGTCTCGAGATCCATTAAGCAAGTCGAAGCTCCTGACTTGTTTGAATGGGATCACGGAATAGCTCTGCATGCACTGCAGGGGAACGGGGCCTCATCTCTCCTCTAGGGGGAAGTCTCATGGTTTTTCTCGAGTTGCAGCGGGGACCTGGGGTATGTTCTCGACTTACGGCGGGGATGGCCCTTCAAAACACGAGTTTCTTCAGTGACGTCAGGACTCCTGTCTAGTAACGAGGGACACCTCAGGAATCTCTTCGAGGCTTGGCAGGGCAAAAGGGACGCTTCTCGAGGTGAGGCAGGGCACCCAAGGACCCTTTCCAGTAGCCACAGGGATTTTGGGATTCCTATCAGTATTCAAGAGGAGTCAGCCATCGTCACCTTTTGAAGCAATGAACTCCGCGTGCCTCTCGAGGTGTCAGCGGGATGTGAGGCATTCCGTCAAAATGAGGCAGGGACCTAGGGCTTTCTCTAAGGTCTCCACAGGGGATTCAGACATCCCTTCATGTTGTGAGATGAAAGACGAGCCTGTATTCAAGCCACTGCAAGGAAATCCGGCCTCCTTTCAAGTTAGGGCTTCTCGCTGTATATTTCCCTTGAGGCAGCAAACTCGGGGTCCCTCCCACATACCTATTGCTGAGAGAAGCCTCCTCCTGAGGTGCTTCTGGGAAGTTGGCATACGTCTTGAGCCTAAGCCAGGGAATCAGCTCGCATCTCGAGACGATTTGGGGTACACGGAGCATTCCTCGAGTTGCTGTGCTGAAGTTGGTGTTCCTCTAGACTTGGGACAGTGTTCTCGGGGCATCTCTGGAGTTGCCTGAAGGAAGTCGAGCCACCGGTCGTGTTGAATGGGGAACGGGGAATGGCTCTGGAGTCAATGCAGGGGAATCGGGCCTCATCTCGAGTTGATTTGGGGCACATGGAGCTTCTTTGCGTTGCTGGGGTGACCTCAGGGTCCGTCTAGACTGGTGACAGTGTTCTTGGGGACTGTCTCGAGGTTCATTAAGCAAGTCGAAGCTCCTGACTTGTTTGAATGGGATCACGGAATAGCTCTGCATGCACTGCAGGGGAATGGGGCCTCATCTCGCCTCTAGGGGGAAGTCTCATGGTTTTTCTCGAGTTGCGGCGGGGACCTGGGGTATGTTCTCGACTTACGGCGGGGATGGCCCTTCAAAACACGAGTTTCTTCAGTGACGTCAGGACTCCTGTCTAGTAACGAGGGACACCTCAGGAATCTCTTCGAGGCTTGGCAGGGCAAAAGGGACGCTTCTCGAGGTGAGGCAGGGCACCCAAGGACCCTTTCCAGTAGCCACAGGGATTTTGGGATTCCTATCAGTATTCAAGAGGAGTCAGGCATCGTCACCTTTTGAAGCAATGAACTCCGCGTGCCTCTCGAGGTGTCAGCGGGATGTGAGGCATTCCGTCAAAATGAGGCAGGGACCTAGGGCTTTCTCTAAGGTCTCCACAGGGGATTCAGACATCCCTTCATGTTTTGAGATGAAAGACGAGCCTGTATTCAAGCCACTGCAAGGAAATCCGGCCTCCATTCAAGTTAGGGCTTCTCGCTGTATATTCCCCTTGAGGCAGCAAACTCGGGGTCCCTCCCACATACCTATTGCTGAGAGAAGCCTCCTCCTGAGGTGCTTCTGGGAAGTTGGCATACGTCTTGAGCCTAAGCCAGGGAATCAGCTCGCATCTCGAGACGATTTGGGGTACACGGAGCATTCCTCGAGTTGCTGTGCTGAAGTTGGTGTTCCTCTAGACTTGGGACAGTGTTCTCGGGGCATCTCTGGAGTTGCCTGAAGGAAGTCGAGCCACCGGTCGTGTTGAATGGGGAACGGGGAATGGCTCTGGAGTCAATGCAGGGGAATCGGGCCTCATCTCGAGTTGATTTGGGGCACATGGAGGTGCTTTGCGTTACTGGGGTGACCTCAGGGTCCGTCTAGACTGGTGACAGTGTTCTTGGGGACTGTCTCGAGATCCATTAAGCAAGTCGAAGCTCCTGACTTGTTTGAATGGGATCACGGAATAGCTCTGCATGCACTGCAGGGGAATGGGGCCTCATCTCGCCTCTAGGGGGAAGTCTCATGGTTTTTCTCGAGTTGCGGCGGGGACCTGAGGTATGTTCTCGACTTACGGCGGGGATGGCCCTTCAAAACACGAGTTTCTTCAGTGACGTCAGGACTCCTGTCTAGTAACGAGGGACACCTCAGGAATCTCTTCGAGGCTTGGCAGGGCAAAAGGGACGCTTCTCGAGGTGAGGCAGGGCACCCAAGGACCCTTTCCAGTAGCCACAGGGATTTTGGGATTCCTATCAGTATTCAAGAGGAGTCAGGCATCGTCACCTTTTGAAGCAATGAACTCCGCGTGCCTCTCGAGGTGTCAGCGGGATGTGAGGCATTCCGTCAAAATGAGGCAGGGACCTAGGGCTTTCTCTAAGGTCTCCACAGGGGATTCAGACATCCCTTCATGTTGTGAGATGAAAGATGAGCCTGTATTCAAGCCACTGCAAGGAAATCCGGCCTCCTTTCAAGTTAGGGCTTCTCGCTGTATATTCCCCTTGAGGCAGCAAACTCGGGGTCCCTCCCACATACCTGTTGCTGAGAGAAGCCTCCTCCTGAGGTGCTTCTGGGAAGTTGGCATACGTCTTGAGCCTAAGCCAGGGAATCAGCTCTCATGTCGAGACGATTTGGGGTACACGGAGCATTCCTCGAGTTGCTGTGCTGAAGTTGGTGTTCCTCTAGACTTGGGACAGTGTTCTCGGGGCATCTCTGGAGTTGCCAGAAGGAAGTCGAGCCTCCGGTCGTGTTGAATGGGGAACGGGGAATGGCTCTGGAGTCAATGCAGGGGAATCGGGCCTCATCTCGATTTGATTTGGGGCACATGGAGCTGCTTTGCGTTGCTGGGGTGACCTCAGGGTCCGTCTAGACTGGTGACAGTGTTCTTGGGGACTGTCTCGAGATCCATTAAGCAAGTCGAAGCTCCTGACTTGTTTGAATGGGATCACGGAATAGCTCTGCATGCACTGCAGGGGAATGGGGCCTCATCTCGCCTCTAGGGGGAAGTCTCATGGTTTTTCTCGAGTTGCGGCGGGGACCTGGGGTATGTTCTCGACTTACGGCGGGGATGGCCCTTCAAGACACGAGTTTCTTCAGTGACGGCAGGACTCCTGTCTAGTAACGAGGGACACCTCAGGAATCTCTTCGAGGCTTGGCAGGGCAAAAGGGACGCTTCTCGAGGTGAGGCAGGGCACCCAAGGACCCTTTCCAGTAGCCACAGGGATTTTGGGATTCCTATCAGTATTCAAGAGGAGTCAGGCATCGTCACCTTTTGAAGCAATGAACTCCGCGTGCCTCTCGAGGTGTCAGCGGGATGTGAGGCATTCCGTCAAAATGAGGCAGGGACCTAGGGCTTTCTCTAAGTTCTCCCCAGGGGATTCAGACATCCCTTCATGTTGTGAGATGAAAGACGAGCCTGTATTCAAGCCACTGCAAGGAAATCCGGCCTCCTTTCAAGTTAGGGCTTCTCGCTGTATATTCCCCTTGAGGCAGCAAACTCGGGGTCCCTCCCACATACCTATTGCTGAGAGAAGCCTCCTCCTGAGGTGCTTCTGGGAAGTTGGCATACGTCTTGAGCCTAAGCCAGGGAATCAGCTCTCATCTCGAGACGATTTGGGGTACACGGAGCATTCCTCGAGTTGCTGTGCTGAAGTTGGTGTTCCTCTAGACTTGGGACAGTGTTCTCGGGGCATCTGTGGAGTTGCCTGAAGGAATTCGAGCCACCGGTCGTGTTGAATGGGGAACGGGGAATGGCTCTGGAGTCAATGCAGGGGAATCGGGCCTCATCTCGAGTTGATTTGGGGCACATGGAGCTGCTTTGCGTTGCTGGGGTGACCTCAGGGTCCGTCTAGACTGGTGACAGTGTTCTTGGGGACTGTCTCGAGATCCATTAAGCAAGTCGAAGCTCCTGACTTGTTTGAATGGGATCACGGAATAGCTCTGCATGCACTGCAGGGGAATGGGGCCTCATCTCGCCTCTAGAGGGAAGTCTCATGGTTTTTCTCGAGTTGCGGCGGGGACCTGGGGTATGTTCTCGACTTACGGCGGGGATGGCCCTTCAAAACACGAGTTTCTTCAGTGACGTCAGGACTCCTGTCTAGTAACGAGGGACACCTCAGGAATCTCTTCGAGGCTTGGCAGGGCAAAAGGGACGCTTCTCGAGGTGAGGCAGGGCACCCAAGGACCCTTTCCAGTAGCCACAGGGATTTTGGGATTCCTATCAGTATTCAAGAGGAGTCAGCCATCGTCACGTTTTGAAGCAATGAACTCCGCCGCGTGCCTCTCGAGGTGTCAGCGCGATGTGAGGCATTCCGTCAAAATGAGGCAGGGACCTAGGGCTTTCTCTAAGGTCTCCACAGGGGATTCAGACATCCCTTCATGTTGTGAGATGAAAGACGAGCCTGTATTCAAGCCACTGCAAAGAAATCCGGCCTCCTTTCAAGTTAGGGCTTCTCGCTGTATATTCCCCTTGAGGCAGCAAACTCGGGGTCCCTCCCACATACCTATTGCTGAGAGAAGCCTCCTCCTGAGGTGCTTCTGGGAAGTTGGCATACGTCTTGAGCCTAAGCCAGGGAATCAGCTCGCATCTCGAGACGATTTGGGGTACACGGACCATTCCTCGAGTTGCTGTGCTGAAGTTGGTGTTCCTCTAGACTTGGGACAGTGTTCTCGGGGCATCTCTGGAGTTGCCTGAAGGAAGTCGAGCCACCGGTCGTGTTGAATGGGGAACGGGGAATGGCTCTGGAGTCAATGCAGGGGAATCGGGCCTCATCTCGAGTTGATTTGGGGCACATGGAGCTGCTTTGCATTGCTGGGGTGACCTCAGTGTCCGTCTAGACTGGTGACAGTGTTCTTGGGGACTGTCTCGAGATCCATTAAGCAAGTCGAAGCTCCTGACTTCTTTGAATGGGATCACGAATAGCTCTGCATGCAGTGCAGGGGAATGGGGCCTCATCTCGCCTCTAGGGGGAAGTCTCATGGTTTTTCTCGAGTTGCGGCGGGGACCTGGGCTATGATCTCGACTTACGGCGGGGATGGCCCTTCAAGACACCAGTTTCTTCAGTGACGTCAGGACTCCTGTCTAGTAACGAGGGACACCTCAGGAATCTCTTCGAGGCTTGGCAGGGCAAAAGGGACGCTTCTCGAGGTGAGGCAGGGCACCCAAGGACCCTTTCCAGTAGCCACAGGGATTTTGGGATTCCTATCAGTATTCATGAGGAGTCAGGCATCGTCACCTTTTGAAGCAATGAACTCCGCGTGCCTCTCGAGGTGTCAGCGCGATGTGAGGCATTCCGTCAAAATGAGGCAGGGACCTAGGGCTTTCTCTAAGGTCTCCACAGGGGATTCAGACATCCCTTCATGTTGTGAGATGAAAGACGAGCCTGTATTCAAGCCACTGCAAGGAAATCCGGCCTCCTTTCAAGTTAGGGCTTCTCGCTGTATATTCCCCTTGAGGCAGCAAACTCGGGGTCCCTCCCACATACCTATTGCTGAGAGAAGCCTCCTCCTGAGGTGCTTCTGGGAAGTTGGCATACGTCTTGAGCCTAAGCCAGGGAATCAGCTCGCATCTAGAGACGATTTGGGGTACACGGAGCATTCCTCGAGTTGCTGTGCTGAAGTTGGTGTTCCTCTAGACTTGGGACAGTGTTCTCGGGGCATCTCTGGAGTTGCCTGAAGGAAGTCGAGCCACCGGTCGTGTTGAATGGGGAACGGGGAATGGCTCTGGAGTCAATGCAGGGGAATCGGGCCTCATCTCGAGTTGATTTGGGGCACATGGAGCTGCTTTGCGTTGCTGGGGTGACCTCAGGGTCCGTCTAGACTGGTGACAGTGTTCTTGGGGACTGTCTCGAGATCCATTAAGCAAGTCGAAGCTCCTGACTTGTTTGAATGGGATCACGGAATAGCTCTGCATGCACTGCAGGGGAATGGGGCCTCATCTGGCCTCTAGGGGGAAGTCTCATGGTTTTTCTCGAGTTGCGGCGGGGACCTGGGGTATGTTCTCGACTTACGGCGGGGATGGCCCTTCAAAACACGAGTTTCTTCAGTGACGTCAGGACTCCTGTCTAGTAACGAGGGACACCTCAGGAATCTCTTCGAGGCTTGGCAGGGCAAAAGGGACGCTTCTCGAGGTGAGGCAGGGCACCCAAGGACCCTTTCCAGTAGCCACAGGGATTTTGGGATTCCTATCAGTATTCATGAGGAGTCAGGCATCGTCACCTTTTGAAGCAATGAACTCCGCGTGCCTCTCGAGGTGTCAGCGCGATGTGAGGCATTCCGTCAAAATGAGGCAGGGACCTAGGGCTTTCTCTAAGGTCTCCACAGGGGATTCAGACATCCCTTCATGTTGTGAGATGAAAGACGAGCCTGTATTCAAGCCACTGCAAGGAAATCCGGCCTCCTTTCAAGTTAGGGCTTCTCGCTGTATATTCCCCTTGAGGCAGCAAACTCGGGGTCCCTCCCACATACCTATTGCTGAGAGAAGCCTCCTCCTGAGGTGCTTCTGGGGAGTTGGCATACGTCTTGAGCCTAAGCCAGGGAATCAGCTCGCATCTCGAGACGATTTGGGGTACACGGAGCATTCCTCGAGTTGCTGTGCTGAAGTTGGTGTTCCTCTAGACTTGGGACAGTGTTCTCGGGGCATCTCTGGAGTTGCCGGAAGGAAGTCGAGCCACCGGTCGTGTTGAATGGGGAACGGGGAATGGCTCTGGAGTCAATGCAGGGGAATCGGGCCTCATCTCGAGTTGATTTGGGGCACATGGAGCTGCTTTGCGTTGCTGGGGTGACCTCAGGGTCCGTCTAGACTGGTGACAGTGTTCTTGGGGACTGTCTCGAGGTCCATTAAGCAAGTCGAAGCTCCTGACTTGTTTGAATGGGATCACGGAATAGCTCTGCATGCACTGCAGGGGAATGGGGCCTCATCTCGCCTCTAGAGGGAAGTCTCATGGTTTTTCTCGAGTTGCGGCGGGGACCTGGGGTATGTTCTCGACTTACGGCGGGGATGGCCCTTCAAAACACGAGTTTCTTCAGTGACGTCAGGACTCCTGTCTAGTAACGAGGGACACCTCAGGAATCTCTTCGAGGCTTGGCAGGGCAAAAGGGACGCTTCTCGAGGTGAGGCAGGGCACCCAAGGACCCTTTCCAGTAGCCACAGGGATTTTGGGATTCCTATCAGTATTCAAGAGGAGTCAGCCATCGTCACGTTTTGAAGCAATGAACTCCGCCGCGTGCCTCTCGAGGTGTCAGCGCGATGTGAGGCATTCCGTCAAAATGAGGCAGGGACCTAGGGCTTTCTCTAAGGTCTCCACAGGGGATTCAGACATCCCTTCATGTTGTGAGATGAAAGACGAGCCTGTATTCAAGCCACTGCAAAGAAATCCGGCCTCCTTTCAAGTTAGGGCTTCTCGCTGTATATTCCCCTTGAGGCAGCAAACTCGGGGTCCCTCCCACATACCTATTGCTGAGAGAAGCCTCCTCCTGAGGTGCTTCTGGGAAGTTGGCATACGTCTTGAGCCTAAGCCAGGGAATCAGCTCGCATCTCGAGACGATTTGGGGTACACGGACCATTCCTCGAGTTGCTGTGCTGAAGTTGGTGTTCCTCTAGACTTGGGACAGTGTTCTCGGGGCATCTCTGGAGTTGCCTGAAGGAAGTCGAGCCACCGGTCGTGTTGAATGGGGAACGGGGAATGGCTCTGGAGTCAATGCAGGGGAATCGGGCCTCATCTCGAGTTGATTTGGGGCACATGGAGCTGCTTTGCATTGCTGGGGTGACCTCAGTGTCCGTCTAGACTGGTGACAGTGTTCTTGGGGACTGTCTCGAGATCCATTAAGCAAGTCGAAGCTCCTGACTTCTTTGAATGGGATCACGAATAGCTCTGCATGCAGTGCAGGGGAATGGGGCCTCATCTCGCCTCTAGGGGGAAGTCTCATGGTTTTTCTCGAGTTGCGGCGGGGACCTGGGCTATGATCTCGACTTACGGCGGGGATGGCCCTTCAAGACACCAGTTTCTTCAGTGACGTCAGGACTCCTGTCTAGTAACGAGGGACACCTCAGGAATCTCTTCGAGGCTTGGCAGGGCAAAAGGGACGCTTCTCGAGGTGAGGCAGGGCACCCAAGGACCCTTTCCAGTAGCCACAGGGATTTTGGGATTCCTATCAGTATTCATGAGGAGTCAGGCATCGTCACCTTTTGAAGCAATGAACTCCGCGTGCCTCTCGAGGTGTCAGCGCGATGTGAGGCATTCCGTCAAAATGAGGCAGGGACCTAGGGCTTTCTCTAAGGTCTCCACAGGGGATTCAGACATCCCTTCATGTTGTGAGATGAAAGACGAGCCTGTATTCAAGCCACTGCAAGGAAATCCGGCCTCCTTTCAAGTTAGGGCTTCTCGCTGTATATTCCCCTTGAGGCAGCAAACTCGGGGTCCCTCCCACATACCTATTGCTGAGAGAAGCCTCCTCCTGAGGTGCTTCTGGGAAGTTGGCATACGTCTTGAGCCTAAGCCAGGGAATCAGCTCGCATCTAGAGACGATTTGGGGTACACGGAGCATTCCTCGAGTTGCTGTGCTGAAGTTGGTGTTCCTCTAGACTTGGGACAGTGTTCTCGGGGCATCTCTGGAGTTGCCTGAAGGAAGTCGAGCCACCGGTCGTGTTGAATGGGGAACGGGGAATGGCTCTGGAGTCAATGCAGGGGAATCGGGCCTCATCTCGAGTTGATTTGGGGCACATGGAGCTGCTTTGCGTTGCTGGGGTGACCTCAGGGTCCGTCTAGACTGGTGACAGTGTTCTTGGGGACTGTCTCGAGATCCATTAAGCAAGTCGAAGCTCCTGACTTGTTTGAATGGGATCACGGAATAGCTCTGCATGCACTGCAGGGGAATGGGGCCTCATCTGGCCTCTAGGGGGAAGTCTCATGGTTTTTCTCGAGTTGCGGCGGGGACCTGGGGTATGTTCTCGACTTACGGCGGGGATGGCCCTTCAAAACACGAGTTTCTTCAGTGACGTCAGGACTCCTGTCTAGTAACGAGGGACACCTCAGGAATCTCTTCGAGGCTTGGCAGGGCAAAAGGGACGCTTCTCGAGGTGAGGCAGGGCACCCAAGGACCCTTTCCAGTAGCCACAGGGATTTTGGGATTCCTATCAGTATTCATGAGGAGTCAGGCATCGTCACCTTTTGAAGCAATGAACTCCGCGTGCCTCTCGAGGTGTCAGCGCGATGTGAGGCATTCCGTCAAAATGAGGCAGGGACCTAGGGCTTTCTCTAAGGTCTCCACAGGGGATTCAGACATCCCTTCATGTTGTGAGATGAAAGACGAGCCTGTATTCAAGCCACTGCAAGGAAATCCGGCCTCCTTTCAAGTTAGGGCTTCTCGCTGTATATTCCCCTTGAGGCAGCAAACTCGGGGTCCCTCCCACATACCTATTGCTGAGAGAAGCCTCCTCCTGAGGTGCTTCTGGGGAGTTGGCATACGTCTTGAGCCTAAGCCAGGGAATCAGCTCGCATCTCGAGACGATTTGGGGTACACGGAGCATTCCTCGAGTTGCTGTGCTGAAGTTGGTGTTCCTCTAGACTTGGGACAGTGTTCTCGGGGCATCTCTGGAGTTGCCGGAAGGAAGTCGAGCCACCGGTCGTGTTGAATGGGGAACGGGGAATGGCTCTGGAGTCAATGCAGGGGAATCGGGCCTCATCTCGAGTTGATTTGGGGCACATGGAGCTGCTTTGCGTTGCTGGGGTGACCTCAGGGTCCGTCTAGACTGGTGACAGTGTTCTTGGGGACTGTCTCGAGGTCCATTAAGCAAGTCGAAGCTCCTGACTTGTTTGAATGGGATCACGGAATAGCTCTGCATGCACTGCAGGGGAATGGGGCCTCATCTCGCCTCTAGGGGGAAGTCTCATGGTTTTTCTCGAGTTGCGGCGGGGACCTGGGGTATGTTCTCGACTTACGGCGGGGATGGCCCTTCAAAACACGAGTTTCTTCAGTGACGTCAGGACTCCTGTCTAGTAACGAGGGACACCTCAGGAATCTCTTCGAGGCTTGGCAGGGCAAAAGGGACGCTTCTCGAGGTGAGGCAGGGCACCCAAGGACCCTTTCCAGTAGCCACAGGGATTTTGGGATTCCTATCAGTATTCAAGAGGAGTCAGGCATCGTCACCTTTTGAAGCAATGAACTCCGCGTGCCTCTCGAGGTGTCAGCGCGATGTGAGGCATTCCGTCAAAATGAGGCAGGGACCTAGGGCTTTCTCTAAGGTCTCCACAGGGGATTCAGACATCCCTTCATGTTGTGAGATGAAAGACGAGCCTGTATTCAAGCCACTGCAAGGAAATCCGGCCTCTTTTCAAGTTAGGGCTTCTCGCTGTATATTCCCCTTGAGGCAGCAAACTCGGGGTCCCTCCCACATACCTATTGCTGAGAGAAGCCTCCTCCTGAGGTGCTTCTGGGAAGTTGGCGTACGTCTTGAGCCTAAGCCAGGGAATCAGCTCGCATCTCGAGACGATTTGGGGTACACGGAGCATTCCTCGAGTTGCTGTGCTGAAGTTGGTGTTCCTCTAGACTTGGGACAGTGTTCTCGGGGCATCTCTGGAGTTGCCTGAAGGAAGTCGAGCCACCGGTCGTGTTGAATGGGGAACGGGGAATGGCTCTGGAGTCAATGCAGGGGAATCGGGCCTCATCTCGAGTTGATTTGGGGCACATGGAGCTTCTTTGCGTTGCTGGGGTGACCTCAGGGTCCGTCTAGACTGGTGACAGTGTTCTTGGGGACTGTCTCGAGGTCCATTAAGCAAGTCGAAGCTCCTGACTTGTTTGAATGGGATCACGGAATAGCTCTGCATGCACTGCAGGGGAATGGGGCCTCATCTCGCCTCTAGGGGGAAGTCTCATGGTTTTTCTCGAGTTGCGGCGGGGACCTGGGGTATGTTCTCGACTTACGGCGGGGATGGCCCTTCAAAACACGAGTTTCTTCAGTGACGTCAGGACTCCTGTCTAGTAACGAGGGACACCTCAGGAATCTCTTCGAGGCTTGGCAGGGCAAAAGGGACGCTTCTCGAGGTGAGGCAGGGCACCCAAGGACCCTTTCCAGTAGCCACAGGGATTTTGGGATTCCTATCAGTATTCAAGAGGAGTCAGGCATCGTCACCTTTTGAAGCAATGAACTCCGCGTGCCTCTCGAGGTGTCAGCGGGATGTGAGGCATTCCGTCAAAATGAGGCAGGGACCTAGGGCTTTCTCTAAGGTCTCCACAGGGGATTCAGACATCCCTTCATGTTGTGAGATGAAAGACGAGCCTGTATTCAAGCCACTGCAAGGAAATCCGGCCTCCTTTCAAGTTAGGGCTTCTCGCTGTATATTCCCCTTGAGGCAGCAAACTCGGGGTCCCTCCCACATACCTATTGCTGAGAGAAGCCTCCTCCTGAGGTGCTTCTGGGAACTTGGCATCCGTCTTGAGCCTAAGATAGGGAATCAGCTCGCATCTCGAGACGATTTGGGGTACACGGAGCATTCCTCGAGTTGCTGTGCTGAAGTTGGTGTTCCTCTAGACTTGGGACAGTGTTCTCGGGGCATCTCTGGAGTTGCCTGAAGGAAGTCGAGCCACCGGTCGTGTTGAATGGGGAATGGGGAATGGCTCTGGAGTCAATGCAGGGGAATCGGGCCTCATCTCGAGTTGATTTGGGGCACATGGAGCTGCTTTGCGTTGCTGGGGTGACCTCAGGGTCCGTCTAGACTGGTGACAGTGTTCTTGGGGACTGTCTCGAGATCCATTAAGCAAGTCGAAGCTCCTGACTTGTTTGAATGGGATCACGGAATAGCTCTGCATGCACTGCAGGGGAATGGGGCCTCATCTCGCCTCTAGGGGGAAGTCTCATGGTTTTTCTCGAGTTGCGGCGGGGACCTGGGGTATGTTCTCGACTTACGGCGGGGATGGCCCTTCAAAACACGAGTTTCTTCAGTGACGTCAGGACTCCTGTCTAGTAACGAGGGACACCTCAGGAATCTCTTCGAGGCTTGGCAGGGCAAAAGGGACGCTTCTCGAGGTGAGGCAGGGCACCCAAGGACCCTTTCCAGTAGCCACAGGGATTTTGGGATTCCTATCAGTATTCAAGAGGAGTCAGGCATCGTCACCTTTTGAAGCAATGAACTCCGCGTGCCTCTCGAGTTGTCAGCGCGATGTGAGGCATTACGTCAAAATGAGGCAGGGACCTAGGGCTTTCTCTAAGGTCTCCACAGGGGATTCAGACATCCCTTCATGTTGTGAGATGAAAGACGAGCCTGTATTCAAGCCACTGCAAGGAAATCCGGCCTCCTTTCAAGTTAGGGCTTCTCGCTGTATATTCCCCTTGAGGCATCAAACTCGGGGTCCCTCCCACATACCTATTGCTGAGAGAAGCCTCCTCCTGAGGTGCTTCTGGGAAGTTGGCATACGTCTTGAGCCTAAGCCAGGGAATCAGCTCGCATCTCGAGACGATTTGGGGTACACGGAGCATTCCTCGAGTTGCTGTGCTGAAGTTGGTGTTCCTCTAGACTTGGGACAGTGTTCTCGGGGCATCTCTGGAGTTGCCTGAAGGAAGTCGAGCCACCGGTCGTGTTGAATGGGGAACGGGGAATGGCTCTGGAGTCAATGCAGGGGAATCGGGCCTCATCTAGAGTTGATTTGGGGCACATGGAGCTTCTTTGCGTTGCTGGGGTGACCTCAGGGTCCGCCTAGACTGGTGACAGTGTTCTTGGGGACTGTCTCGAGGTTCATTAAGCAAGTCGAAGCTCCTGACTTGTTTGAATGGGTTCACGGAATAGCTCTGCATGCACTGCAGGGGAATGGGGCCTCATCTCGCCTCTAGGGGGAAGTCTCATGGTTTTTCTCGAGTTGCGGCGGGGACCTGGGGTATGTTCTCGACTTACGGCGGGGATGGCCCTTCAAAACACGAGTTTCTTCAGTGACGTCAGGACTCCTGTCTAGTAACGAGGGACACCTCAGGAATCTCTTCGAGGCTTGGCAGGGCAAAAGGGACGCTTCTGGAGGTGAGGCAGGGCACCCAAGGACCCTTTCCAGTAGCCACAGGGATTTTGGGATTCCTATCAGTATTCATGAGGAGTCAGGCATCGTCACCTTTTGAAGCAATGAACTCCGCGTGCCTCTCGAGGTGTCAGCGGGATGTGAGGCATTCCGTCAAAATGAGGCAGGGACCTAGGGCTTTCTCTAAGGTCTCCACAGGGGATTCAGACATCCCTTCATGTTGTGAGATGAAAGACGAGCCTGTATTCAAGCCACTGCAAGGAAATCCGGCCTCCTTTCAAGTTAGGGCTTCTCGCTGTATATTCCCCTTGAGGCAGCAAACTCGGGGTCCCTCCCATATACCTATTGCTGAGAGAAGCCTCCTCCTGAGGTGCTTCTGGGAAGTTGGCATACGTCTTGAGCCTAAGCCAGGGAATCAGCTCGCATCTCGAGACGATTTGGGGTACACGGAGCATTCCTCGAGTTCCTGTGCTGAAGTTGGTGTTCCTCTAGACTTGGGACAGTGTTCTCGGGGCATCTCTGGAGTTGCCTGAAGGAAGTCGAGCCACTGGTCGTGTTGAATGGGGAACGGGGAATGGCTCTGGAGTCAATGCAGGGGAATCGGGCCTCATCTCGAGTTGATTTGGGGCACATGGAGCTGCTTTGCGTTGCTGGGGTGACCTCAGGGTCCGTCTAGACTGGTGACAGTGTTCTTGGGGACTGTCTCGAGATCCATTAAGCAAGTCGAAGCTCCTGACTTGTTTCAATGGGATCACGGAATAGCTCTGCATGCACTGCAGGGGAATGGGGCCTCATCTCGCCTCTAGGGGGAGGTCTCATGGTTTTTCTCGAGTTGCGGCGGGGACCTGGGGTATGTTCTCGACTTACGGCGGGGATGGCCCTTCAAAACACGAGTTTCTTCAGTGACGTCAGGACTCCTGTCTAGTAACGAGGGACACCTCAGGAATCTCTTCGAGGCTTGGCAGGGCAAAAGGGACGCTTCTCGAGGTGAGGCAGGGCACCCAAGGACCCTTTCCAGTAGCCACAGGGATTTTGGGATTCCTATCAGTATTCAAGAGGAGTCAGGCATCGTCACCTTTTGAAGCAATGAACTCCGCGTGCCTCTCGAGGTGTCAGCGCGATGTGAGGCATTCCGTCAAAATGAGGCAGGGACCTAGGGCTTTCTCTAAGGTCTCCACAGGGGATTCAGACATCCCTTCATGTTGTGAGATGAAAGACGAGCCTGTATTCAAGCCACTGCAAGGAAATCCGGCCTCCTTTCAAGTTAGGGCTTCTCGCTGTATATTCCCCTTGAGGCAGCAAACTCGGGGTCCCTCCCACATACCTATTGCTGAGAGAAGCCTCCTCCTGAGGTGCTTCTGGGAAGTTGGCATATGTCTTGAGCCTAAGCCAGGGAATCAGCTCGCATCTCGAGACGATTTGGGGTACACGGAGCATTCCTCGAGTTGCTGTGCTGAAGTTGGTGTTCCTCTAGACTTGGGACAGTGTTCTCGGGGCATCTCTGGAGTTGCCTGAAGGAAGTCGAGCCACCGGTCGTGTTGAGTGGGGAACGGGGAATGGCTCTGGAGTCAATGCAGGGGAATCGGGCCTCATCTCGAGTTGATTTGGGGCACATGGAGCTGCTTTGCGTTGCTGGCGTGACCTCAGGGTCCGTCTAGACTGGTGACAGTGTTCTTGGGGACTGTCTCGAGATCCATTAAGCAAGTGGAAGCTCCTGACTTTTTGAATGGGATCACGGAATAGCTCTGCATGCACTGCAGGGGAATGGGGCCTCATCTCGCCTCTAGGGGGAAGTCTCATGGTTTTTCTCGAGTTGCGGCGGGGACCTGGGGTATGTTCTCGACTTACGGCGGGGATGGCCCTTCAAAACACGAGTTTCTTCAGTGACGTCAGGACTCCTGTCTAGTAACGAGGGACACCTCAGGAATCTCTTCGAGGCTTGGCAGGGCAAAAGGGACGCTTCTCGAGGTGAGGCAGGGCACCCAAGGACCCTTTCCAGTAGCCACAGGGATTTTGGGATTCCTATCAGTATTCAAGAGGAGTCAGGCATCGTCACCTTTTGAAGCAATGAACTCCGCGTGCCTCTCGAGGTGTCAGCGCGATGTGAGGCATTCCGTCAAAATGAGGCAGGGACCTAGGGCTTTCTCTAAGGTCTCCACAGGGGATTCAGACATCCCATCATGTTGTGAGATGAAAGACGAGCCTGTATTCAAGCCACTGCAAGGAAATCCGGCCTCCTTTCAAGTTAGGGCTTCTCGCTGTATATTCCCCTTGAGGCAGCAAACTCGGGGTCCCTCCCACATACATATTGCTGAGAGAAGCCTCCTCCTGAGGTGCTTCTGGGAAGTTGGCATACGTCTTGAGCCTAAGCCAGGGAATCAGCTCGCATCTCGAGACGATTTGGGGTACACGGAGCATTCCTCAAGTTGCTGTGCTGAAGTTGGTGTTCCTCTAGACTTGGGACAGTGTTCTCGGGGCATCTCTGGAGTTGCCTGAAGGAAGTCGAGCCACCGGTCGTGTTGAATGGGGAACGGGGAATGGCTCTGGAGTCAATGCAGGGGAATCGGGCCTCATCTTGAGTTGATTTGGGGCACATGGAGCTGCTTTGCTTTGCTGGGGTGACCTCAGGGTCCGTCTAGACTGGTGACAGTGTTCTTGGGGACTGTCTCGAGATCCATTAAGCAAGTGGAAGCTCCTGACTTGTTTGAATGGGATCACGGAATAGCTCTGCATGCACTGCAGGGGAATGGGGCCTCATCTCGCCTCTAGGGGGAAGTCTCATGGTTTTTCTCGAGTTGCGGCGGGGACCTGGGGTATGTTCTCGACTTACGGCGGGGATGGCCCTTCAAAACACGAGTTTCTTCAGTGACGTCAGGACTCCTGTCTAGTAACGAGGGACACCTCAGGAATCTCTTCAAGGCTTGGCAGGGCAAAAGGGACGCTTCTCGAGGTGAGGCAGGGCACCCAAGGACCCTTTCCAGTAGCCACAGGGATTTTGGGATTCCTATCAGTATTCAAGAGGAGTCAGGCATCGTCACCTTTTGAAGCAATGAACTCCGCGTGCCTCTCGAGGTGTCAGCGGGATGTGAGGCATTCCGTCAAAATGAGGCAGGGACCTAGGGCTTTCTCTAATGTCTCCACAGGGGATTCAGACATCCCTTCATGTTGTGAGATGAAAGACGAGCCTGTATTCAAGCCACTGCAAGGAAATCCGGCCTCCTTTCAAGTTAGGGCTTCTCGCTGTATATTCCCCTTGAGGCAGCAAACTCGGGGTCCCTCCCACATACCTATTGCTGAGAGAAGCCTCCTCCTGAGGTGCTTCTGGGAAGTTGGCATACGTCTTGAGCCTAAGCCAGGGAATCAGCTCGCATCTCGAGACGATTTGGGGTACACGGAGCATTCCTCGAGTTGCTGTGCTGAAGTTGGTGTTCCTCTAGACTTGGGACAGTGTTCTCGGGGCATCTGTGGAGTTGCCTGAAGGAAGTCGAGCCACCGGTCGTGTTGAATGGGGAACGGGGAATGGCTCTGGAGTCAATGCAGGGGAATCGGGCCTCATCTCGAGTTGATTTGGGGCACATGGAGCTGCTTTGCGTTGCTGGGGTGACCTCAGGGTCCGTCTAGACTGGTGACAGTGTTCTTGGGGACTGTCTCGAGATCCATTAAGCAAGTCAAAGCTCCTGACTTGTTTGAATGGGATCACGGAATAGCTCTGCATGCACTGCAGGGGAATGGGGCCTCATCTCGCCTCTAGGGGGAAGTCTCATGGTTTTTCTCGAGTTGCGGCGGGGACCTGGGGTATGTTCTCGACTTACGGCGGGGATGGCCCTTCAAAACACGAGTTTCTTCAGTGACGTCAGGACTCCTGTCTAGTAACGAGGGACACCTCAGGAATCTCTTCGAGGCTTGGCAGGGCAAAAGGGACGCTTCTCGAGGTGAGGCAGGGCACCCAAGGACCCTTTCCAGTAGCCACAGTGATTTTGGGATTCCTATCAGTATTCAAGAGGAGTCAGGCATCGTCACCTTTTGAAGCAATGAACTCCGCGTGCCTCTCGAGGTGTCAGCGCGATGTGAGGCATTCCGTCAAAATGAGGCAGGGACCTAGGGCTTTCTCTAAGGTCTCCACAGGGGATTCAGACATCCCTTCATGTTGTGAGATGAAAGACGAGCCTGTATTCAAGCCACTGCAAGGAAATCCGGCCTCGTTTCAAGTTAGGGCTTCTCGCTGTATATTCCCCTTGAGGCAGCAAACTCGGGGTCCCTCCCACATACCTATTGCTGAGAGAAGCCTCCTCCTGAGGTGCTTCTGGGAAGTTGGCATACGTCTTGAGCCTAAGCCAGGGAATCAGCTCTCATCTCGAGACGATTTGGGGTACACGGAGCATTCCTCGAGTTGCTGTGCTGAAGTTGGTGTTCCTCTAGATTTGGGACAGTGTTCTCGGGGCATCTCTGGAGTTGCCTGAAGGAAGTCGAGCCACCGGTCGTGTTGAGTGGGGAACGGGGAATGGCTCTGGAGTCAATGCAGGGGAATCGGGCCTCATCTCGAGTTGATTTGGGGCACATGGAGCTGCTTTGCTTTGCTGGGGTGACCTCAGGGTCCGTCTAGACTGGTGACAGTGTTCTTGGGGACTGTCTCGAGATCCATTAAGCAAGTGGAAGGTCCTGACTTGTTTGAATGGGATCACGGAATAGCTCTGCATGCACTGCAAGGGAATGGGGCCTCATCTCGCCTCTAGGGGGAAGTCTCATGGTTTTTCTCGAGTTGCGGCGGGGACCTGGGGTATGTTCTCGACTTACGGCGGGGATGGCCCTTCAAAACACGAGTTTCTTCAGTGACGTCAGGACTCCTGTCTAGTAACGAGGGACACCTCAGGAATCTCTTCGAGGCTTGGCAGGGCAAAAGGGACGCTTCTCGAGGTGAGGCAGGGCACCCAAGGACCCTTTCCAGTAGCCACACGGATTTTGGGATTCCTATCAGTATTCATGAGGAGTCAGGCATCGTCACCTTTTGAAGCAATGAACTCCGCGTGCCTCTCGAGGTGTCAGCGGGATGTGAGGCATTCCGTCAAAATGAGGCAGGGACCTAGGGCTTTCTCTAAGGTCTCCACAGGGGATTCAGACATCCCTTCATGTTGTGAGATGAAAGACGAGCCTGTATTCAAGCCACTGCAAGGAAATCCGGCCTCCTTTCAAGTTAGGGCTTCTCGCTGTATATTCCCCTTGAGGCAGCAAACTCGGGGTCCCTCCCATATACCTATTGCTGAGAGAAGCCTCCTCCTGAGGTGCTTCTGGGAAGTTGGCATACGTCTTGAGCCTAAGCCAGGGAATCAGCTCGCATCTCGAGACGATTTGGGGTACACGGAGCATTCCTCGAGTTGCTGTGCTGAAGTTGGTGTTCCTCTAGACTTGGGACAGTGTTCTCGGGGCATCTCTGGAGTTGCCTGAAGGAAGTCGAGCCACTGGTCGTGTTGAATGGGGAACGGGGAATGGCTCTGGAGTCAATGCAGGGGAATCGGGCCTCATCTCGAGTTGATTTGGGGCACATGGAGCTGCTTTGCGTTGCTGGGGTGACCTCAGGGTCCGTCTAGACTGGTGACAGTGTTCTTGGGGACTGTCTCGAGATCCATTAAGCAAGTCGAAGCTCCTGACTTGTTTCAATGGGATCACGGAATAGCTCTGCATGCACTGCAGGGGAATGGGGCCTCATCTCGCCTCTAGGGGGAGGTCTCATGGTTTTTCTCGAGTTGCGGCGGGGACCTGGGGTATGTTCTCGACTTACGGCGGGGATGGCCCTTCAAAACACGAGTTTCTTCAGTGACGTCAGGACTCCTGTCTAGTAACGAGGGACACCTCAGGAATCTCTTCGAGGCTTGGCAGGGCAAAAGGGACGCTTCTCGAGGTGAGGCAGGGCACCCAAGGACCCTTTCCAGTAGCCACAGGGATTTTGGGATTCCTATCAGCATTCAAGAGGAGTCAGGCATCGTCACCTTTTGAAGCAATGAACTCCGCGTGCCTCTCGAGGTGTCAGCGGGATGTGAGGCATTCCGTCAAAATGAGGCAGGGACCTAGGTCTTTCTCTAAGGTCTCCACAGGGGATTCAGACATCCCTTCATGTTGTGAGATGAAAGACGAGCCTGTATTCAAGCCACTGCAAGGAAATCCGGCCTCCTTTCAAGTTAGGGCTTCTCGCTGTATATTTCCCTTGAGGCAGCAAACTCGGGGTCCCTCCCACATACCTATTGCTGAGAGAAGCCTCCTCCTGAGGTTCTTCTGGGAAGTTGGCATACGTCTTGAGCCTAAGCCAGGGAATCAGCTCGCATCTCGAGACGATTTGGGGTACACGGAGCATTCCTCGAGTTGCTGTGCTGAAGTTGGTGTTCCTCTAGACTTGGGACAGTGTTCTCGGGGCATCTCTGGAGTTGCCTGAAGGAAGTCGAGCCACCGGTCGTGTTGAATGGGGAACGGGGAATGGCTCTGGAGTCAATGCAGGGGAATCGGGCCTCATCTCGAGTTGATTTGGGGCACATGGAGCTGCTTTGCGTTGCTGGGGTGACCTCAGGGTCCGTCTAGACTGGTGACAGTGTTCTTGGGGACTGTCTCGAGATCCATTAAGCAAGTCGAAGCTCCTGACTTGTTTGAATGGGATCACGGAATAGCTCTGCATGCACTGCAGGGGAATGGGGCCTCATCTCGCCTCTAGGGGGAAGTCTCATGGTTTTTCTCGAGTTGCGGCGGGGACCTGGGGTATGTTCTCGACTTATGGCGGGGATGGCCCTTCAAAACACGAGTTTCTTCAGTGACGTCAGGACTCCTGTCTAGTAACGAGGGACACCTCAGGAATCTCTTCGAGGCTTGGCATGGCAAAAGGGACGCTTCTTGAGGTGAGGCAGGGCACCCAAGGACCTTTTCCAGTAGCCACAGGGATGTTGGGATTCCTATCAGCATTCAAGAGGAGTCAGGCATCGTCACCTTTTGAAGCAATGAACTCCGCGTGCCTCTCGAGGTGTCAGCGGGATGTGAGGCATTCCGTCAAAATGAGGCAGGGACCTAGGTCTTTCTCTAAGGTCTCCACAGGGGATTCAGACATCCCTTCATGTTGTGAGATGAAAGACGAGCCTGTATTCAAGCCACTGCAAGGAAATCCGGCCTCCTTTCAAGTTAGGGCTTCTCGCTGTATATTCCCCTTGAGGCAGCAAACTCGGGGTCCCTCCCACATACCTATTGCTGAGAGAAGCCTCCTGCTGAGGTGCTTCTGGGAAGTTGGCATACGTCTTGAGCCTAAGCCAGGGAATCAGCTCGCATCTCGAGACGATTTGGGGTACACGGAGCATTCCTCGAGTTGCTGTGCTGAAGTTGGTGTTCCTCTAGACTTGGGACAGTGTTCTCGGGGCATCTCTGGAGTTGCCTGAAGGAAGTCGAGCCACCGGTCGTGTTGAGTGGGGAACGGGGAATGGCTCTGGAGTCAATGCAGGGGAATCGGGCCTCATCTCGAGTTGATTTGGGGCACATGGAGCTGCTTTGCTTTGCTGGGGTGACCTCAGGGTCCGTCTAGACTGGTGACATTGTTCTTGGGGACTGTCTCGAGATCCATTAAGCAAGTCGAAGCTCCTGATTTGTTTGAATGGGATCACGGAATAGCTCTGCATGCACTGCAGGGGAATGGGGCCTCTTCTCGCCTCTAGAGGAAGTCTCATGGTTTTTCTCGAGTTGCGGCGGGGACCTGGGGTATGTTCTCGACTTACGGCGGGGATGGCCCTTCAAAACACGAGTTTCTTCAGTGACGTCAGGACTCCTGTCTAGTAACGAGGGACACCTCAGGAATCTCTTCGAGGCTTGGCAGGGCAAAAGGGACGCTTCTCGAGGTGAGGCAGGGCACCCAAGGACCCTTTCCAGTAGCCACAGGGATTTTGGGATTCCTATCAGTATTCAAGAGGAGTCAGGCATCGTCACCTTTTGAAGCAATGAACTCCGCGTGCCTCTCGAGGTGTCAGCGGGATGTGAGGCATTCCGTCAAAATGAGGCAGGGACCTAGGGCTTTCTCTAAGGTCTCCACAGGGGATTCAGACATCCCTTCATGTTGTGAGATGAAAGATGTGCCCGTATTCAAGCCACTGCAAGGAAATCCGGCCTCCTTTCAAGTTAGGGCTTCTCGCTGTATATTCCCCTTGAGGCAGCAAACTCGGGGTCCCTCCCACATACCTATTGCTGAGAGAAGCCTCCTCCTGAGGTGCTTCTGGGAAGTTGGCATACGTCTTGAGCCTAAGCCAGGGAATCAGCTCGCATCTCGAGACGATTTGGGGTACACGGAGCATTCCTCGAGTTGCTGTGCTGAAGTTGGTGTTCCTCTAGACTTGGGACAGTGTTCTCGGGGCATCTCTGGAGTTGCCTGAAGGAAGTCGAGCCACCGGTCGTGTTGAATGGGGAACGGGGAATGGCTCTGGAGTCAATGCAGGGGAATCGGGCCTCATCTCGAGTTGATTTGGGGCACATGGAGCTGCTTTGCGTTGCTGGGGTGACCTCAGGGTCCGTCTAGACTGGTGACAGTGTTCTTGGGGACTGTCTCGAGATCCATTAAGCAAGTCGAAGCTCCTGACTTGTTTGAATGGGATCACGGAATAGCTCTGCATGCACTGCAGGGGAATGGGGCCTCATCTCGCGTCTAGGGGGAAGTCTCATGGTTTTTCTCGAGTTGCGGCGGGGACCTGGGGTATGTTCTCGACTTACGGCGGGGATGGCCCTTCAAAACACGAGTTTCTTCAGTGACGTCAGGACTCCTGTCTAGTAACGAGGGACACCTCAGGAATCTCTTCGAGGCTTGGCAGGGCAAAAGGGACGCTTCTCGAGGTGAGGCAGGGCACCCAAGGACCCTTTCCAGTAGCCACAGGGATTTTGGGATTCCTATCAGTATTCAAGAGGAGTCAGGCATCGTCACCTTTTGAAGCAATGAACTCCGCGTGCCTCTCGAGGTGTCAGCGCGATGTGAGGCATTCCGTCAAAATGAGGCAGGGACCTAGGGCTTTCTCTAAGGTCTCCACAGGGGATTCAGACATCCCTTCATGTTGTGAGATGAAAGACGAGCCTGTATTCAAGCCACTGCAAGGAAATCCGGCCTCCTTTCAAGTTAGGGCTTCTCGCTGCATATGTCCCTTGAGGCAGCAAACTCGGGGTCCCTCCCACATACCTATTGCTGAGAGAAGCCTCCTCCTGAGGTGCTTCTGGGAAGTTGGCATACGTCTTGAGCCTAAGCCAGGGAATCAGCTCTCATCTCGAGATGATTTGGGGTACACGGAGCATTCCTCGAGTTGCTGTGCTGAAGTTGGTGTTCCTCTAGACTTGGGAAATTGTTCTCGGGGCATCTGTGGAGTTGCCTGAAGGAAGTCGAGCCACCGGTCGTGTTGAATGGGGAACGGGGAATGGCTCTGGAGTCAATGCAGGGGAATCGGGCCTCATCTCGAGTTGATTTGGGGCACATGGAGCTGCTTTGCGTTGCTGGGGTGACCTCAGGGTCCGTCTAGACTGGTGACAGTGTTCTTGGGGACTGTCTCGAGGTCCATTAAGCAAGTCGAAGCTCCTGACTTGTTTGAATGGGATCACGGAATAGCTCTGCATGCACTGCAGGGGAATGGGGCCTCATCTCGCCTCTAGGGGGAAGTCTCATGGTTTTTCTCGAGTTGCGGTGGGGACCTGGGGTATGTTCTCGACTTACGGCGGGGATGGCCCTTCAAAACACGAGTTTCTTCAGTGACGTCAGGACTCCTGTCTAGTAACGAGGGACACCTCAGGAATCTCTTCGAGGCTTGGCAGGGCAAAAGGGACGCTTCTCGAGGTGAGGCAGGGCACCCAAGGACCCTTTCCAGTAGCCACAGGGATATTGGGATTCCTATCAGCATTCAAGAGGAGTCAGGCATCGTCACCTTTTGAAGCAATGAACTCCGCGTGCCTCTCGAGGTGTCAGCGGGATGTGAGGCATTCCGTCAAAATGAGGCAGGGACCTAGGGCTTTCTCTAAGGTCTCCACAGGGGATTCAGACATCCCTTCATGTTGTGAGATGAAAGATGAGCCCGTATTCAAGCCACTGCAAGGAAATCCGGCCTCCTTTCAAGTTAGGGCTTCTCGCTGTATATTCCCCTTGAGGCAGCAAACTCGGGGTCCCTCCCACATACCTATTGCTGAGAGAAGCCTCCTCCTGAGGTGCTTCTGGGAAGTTGGCATACGTCTTGAGCCTAAGCCAGGGAATCAGCTCGCATCTCGAGACGATTTGGGGTACACGGAGCATTCCTCGAGTTGCTGTGCTGAAGTTGGTGTTCCTCTAGACTTGGGACAGTGTTCTCGGGGCATCTCTGGAGTTGCCTGAAGGAAGTCGAGCCACCGGTCGTGTTGAATGGGGAACGGGGAATGGCTCTGGAGTCAATGCAGGGGAATCGGGCCTCATCTCGAGTTGATTTGGGGCACATGGAGCTGCTTTGCGTTGCTGGGGTGACCTCAGGGTCCGTCTAGACTGGTGACAGTGTTCTTGGGGACTGTCTCGAGATCCATTAAGCAAGTCGAAGCTCCTGACTTGTTTGAATGGGATCACGGAATAGCTCTGCATGCACTGCAGGGGAATGGGGCCTCATCTCGCCTCTAGGGGGAAGTCTCATGGTTTTTCTCGAGTTGCGGCGGGGACCTGGGGTATGTTCTCGACTTACGGCGGGGATGGCCCTTCAAAACACGAGTTTCTTCAGTGACGTCAGGACTCCTGTCTAGTAACGAGGGACACCTCAGGAATCTCTTCGAGGCTTGGCAGGGCAAAAGGGACGCTTCTCGAGGTGAGGCAGGGCACCCAAGGACCCTTTCCAGTAGCCACAGGGATTTTGGGATTCCTATCAGTATTCAAGAGGAGTCAGGCATCGTCACCTTTTGAAGCAATGAACTCCGCGTGCCTCTCGAGGTGTCAGCGCGATGTGAGGCATTCCGTCAAAATGAGGCAGGGACCTAGGGCTTTCTCTAAGGTCTCCACAGGGGATTCAGACATCCCTTCATGTTGTGAGATGAAAGACGAGCCTGTATTCAAGCCACTGCAAGGAAATCCGGCCTCCTTTCAAGTTAGGGCTTCTCGCTGCATATGTCCCTTGAGGCAGCAAACTCGGGGTCCCTCCCACATACCTATTGCTGAGAGAAGCCTCCTCCTGAGGTGCTTCTGGGAAGTTGGCATACGTCTTGAGCCTAAGCCAGGGAATCAGCTCTCATCTCGAGATGATTTGGGGTACACGGAGCATTCCTCGAGTTGCTGTGCTGAAGTTGGTGTTCCTCTAGACTTGGGAAATTGTTCTCGGGGCATCTGTGGAGTTGCCTGAAGGAAGTCGAGCCACCGGTCGTGTTGAATGGGGAACGGGGAATGGCTCTGGAGTCAATGCAGGGGAATCGGGCCTCATCTCGAGTTGATTTGGGGCACATGGAGCTGCTTTGCGTTGCTGGGGTGACCTCAGGGTCCGTCTAGACTGGTGACAGTGTTCTTGGGGACTGTCTCGAGGTCCATTAAGCAAGTCGAAGCTCCTGACTTGTTTGAATGGGATCACGGAATAGCTCTGCATGCACTGCAGGGGAATGGGGCCTCATCTCGCCTCTAGGGGGAAGTCTCATGGTTTTTCTCGAGTTGCGGTGGGGACCTGGGGTATGTTCTCGACTTACGGCGGGGATGGCCCTTCAAAACACGAGTTTCTTCAGTGACGTCAGGACTCCTGTCTAGTAACGAGGGACACCTCAGGAATCTCTTCGAGGCTTGGCAGGGCAAAAGGGACGCTTCTCGAGGTGAGGCAGGGCACCCAAGGACCCTTTCCAGTAGCCACAGGGATATTGGGATTCCTATCAGCATTCAAGAGGAGTCAGGCATCGTCACCTTTTGAAGCAATGAACTCCGCGTGCCTCTCGAGGTGTCAGCGGGATGTGAGGCATTCCGTCAAAATGAGGCAGGGACCTAGGGCTTTCTCTAAGGTCTCCACAGGGGATTCAGACATCCCTTCATGTTGTGAGATGAAAGATGAGCCCGTATTCAAGCCACTGCAAGGAAATCCGGCCTCCTTTCAAGTTAGGGCTTCTCGCTGTATATTCCCCTTGAGGCAGCAAACTCGGGGTCCCTCCCACATACCTATTGCTGAGAGAAGCCTCCTCCTGAGGTGCTTCTGGGAAGTTGGCATACGTCTTGAGCCTAAGCCAGGGAATCAGCTCGCATCTCGAGACGATTTGGGGTACACGGAGCATTCCTCGAGTTGCTGTGCTGAAGTTGGTGTTCCTCTAGACTTGGGACAGTGTTCTCGGGGCATCTCTGGAGTTGCCTGAAGGAAGTCGAGCCACCGGTCGTGTTGAATGGGGAACGGGGAATGGCTCTGGAGTCAATGCAGGGGAATCGGGCCTCATCTCGAGTTGATTTGGGGCACATGGAGCTGCTTTGCGTTGCTGGGGTGACCTCAGGGTCCGTCTAGACTGGTGACAGTGTTCTTGGGGACTGTCTCGAGATCCATTAAGCAAGTCGAAGCTCCTGACTTGTTTGAATGGGATCACGGAATAGCTCTGCATGCACTGCAGGGGAATGGGGCCTCATCTCGCCTCTAGGGGGAAGTCTCATGGTTTTTCTCGAGTTGCGGCGGGGACCTGGGGTATGTTCTCGACTTACGGCGGGGATGGCCCTTCAAAACACGAGTTTCTTCAGTGACGTCAGGACTCCTGTCTAGTAACGAGGGACACCTCAGGAATCTCTTCGAGGCTTGGCAGGGCAAAAGGGACGCTTCTCGAGGTGAGGCAGGGCACCCAAGGACCCTTTCCAGTAGCCACAGGGATTTTGGGATTCCTATCAGTATTCAAGAGGAGTCAGGCATCGTCACCTTTTGAAGCAATGAACTCCGCGTGCCTCTCGAGGTGTCAGCGCGATGTGAGGCATTCCGTCAAAATGAGGCAGGGACCTAGGGCTTTCTCTAAGGTCTCCACAGGGGATTCAGACATCCCTTCATGTTGTGAGATGAAAGACGAGCCTGTATTCAAGCCACTGCAAGGAAATCCGGCCTCCTTTCAAGTTAGGGCTTCTCGCTGCATATGTCCCTTGAGGCAGCAAACTCGGGGTCCCTCCCACATACCTATTGCTGAGAGAAGCCTCCTCCTGAGGTGCTTCTGGGAAGTTGGCATACGTCTTGAGCCTAAGCCAGGGAATCAGCTCTCATCTCGAGATGATTTGGGGTACACGGAGCATTCCTCGAGTTGCTGTGCTGAAGTTGGTGTTCCTCTAGACTTGGGAAATTGTTCTCGGGGCATCTGTGGAGTTGCCTGAAGGAAGTCGAGCCACCGGTCGTGTTGAATGGGGAACGGGGAATGGCTCTGGAGTCAATGCAGGGGAATCGGGCCTCATCTCGAGTTGATTTGGGGCACATGGAGCTGCTTTGCGTTGCTGGGGTGACCTCAGGGTCCGTCTAGACTGGTGACAGTGTTCTTGGGGACTGTCTCGAGGTCCATTAAGCAAGTCGAAGCTCCTGACTTGTTTGAATGGGATCACGGAATAGCTCTGCATGCACTGCAGGGGAATGGGGCCTCATCTCGCCTCTAGGGGGAAGTCTCATGGTTTTTCTCGAGTTGCGGTGGGGACCTGGGGTATGTTCTCGACTTACGGCGGGGATGGCCCTTCAAAACACGAGTTTCTTCAGTGACGTCAGGACTCCTGTCTAGTAACGAGGGACACCTCAGGAATCTCTTCGAGGCTTGGCAGGGCAAAAGGGACGCTTCTCGAGGTGAGGCAGGGCACCCAAGGACCCTTTCCAGTAGCCACAGGGATATTGGGATTCCTATCAACATTCAAGAGGAGTCAGGCATCGTCACCTTTTGAAGCAATGAACTCCGCGTGCCTCTCGAGGTGTCAGCGGGATGTGAGGCATTCCGTCAAAATGAGGCAGGGACCTAGGGCTTTCTCTAAGGTCTCCACAGGGGATTCAGACATCCCTTCATGTTGTGAGATGAAAGACGAGCCTGTATTCAAGCCACTGCAAGGAAATCCGGCCTCCTTTCAAGTTAGGGCTTCTCGCTGTATATTCCCCTTGAGGCAGCAAACTCGGGGTCCCTCCCACATACCTATTGCTGAGAGAAGCCTCCTCCTGAGGTGCTTCTGGGAAGTTGGCATACGTCTTGAGCCTAAGCCAGGGAATCAGCTCTCATCTCGAGACGATTTGGGGTACAAGGAGCATTCCTCGAGTTGCTGTGCTGAAGTTCGTGTTCCTCTAGATTTGGGACAGTGTTCTCGGGGCATCTCTGGAGTTGCCTGAAGGAAGTCGAGCCACCGGTCGTGTTGAGTGGGGAACGGGGAATGGCTCTGGAGTCAATGCAGGGGAATCGGGCCTCATCTCGAGTTGATTTGGGGCACATGGAGCTGCTTTGCTTTGCTGGGGTGACCTCAGGGTCCGTCTAGACTGGTGACATTGTTCTTGGGGACTGTCTCGAGATCCATTAAGCAAGTCGAAGCCCCTGATTTGTTTGAATGGGATCACGGAATAGCTCTGCATGCACTGCAGGGGAATGGGGCCTCATCTCGCCTCTAGAGGAAGTCTCATGGTTTTTCTCGAGTTGCGGCGGGGACCTGGGGTATGTTCTCGACTTACGGCAGGGATATCCCTTCAAAACACGAGTTTCTTCAGTGACGTCAGGACTCCTGTCTAGTAACGAGGGACACCTCAGGAATCTCTTCGAGGCTTGGCAGGGCAAAAGGGACGCTTCTCGAGGTGAGGCAGGGCACCCAAGGACCCTTTCCAGTAGCCACAGGGATTTTGGGATTCCTATCAGTATTCAAGAGGAGTCAGGCATCGTCACCTTTTGAAGCAATGAACTCCGCGTGCCTCTCGAGGTGTCAGCGGGATGTGAGGCATTCCGTCAAAATGAGGCAGGGACCTAGGGCTTTCTCTAAGGTCTCCACAGGGGATTCAGACATCCCTTCATGTTGTGAGATGAAAGACGAGCCTGTATTCAAGCCACTGCAAGGAAATCCGGCCTCCTTTCAAGTTAGGGCTTCTCGCTGTATATTCCCCTTGAGGCAGCAAACTCGGGGTCCCTGCCACATACCTATTGCTGAGAGAAGCCTCCTCCTGAGGTGCTTCTGGGAAGTTGGCATACGTCTTGAGCCTAAGCCAGGGAATCAGCTCTCATCTTGAGACGATTTGGGGTACACAGAGCATTCCTCGAGTTGCTGTGCTGAAGTTGGTGTTCCTCTAGACTTGGGACACTGTTCTCGGGGCATCTCTGGAGTTGCCAGAAGGAAGTCGAGCCACCGGTCGTGTTGAATGGGGAACGGGGAATGGCTCTGGAGTCGATGCAGGGGAATCGGGCCTCATCTCGAGTTGATTTGGGGCACATGGAGCTGCTTTGCGTTGCTGGGGTGACCTCAGGGTCCGTCTAGACTGGTGACAGTGTTCTTGGGGACTGTCTCGAGATCCATTAAGCAAGTCGAAGCTCCTGACTTGTTTGAATGGGATCACGGAAGAGCTCTGCATGCACTGCAGGGGAATGGGGCCTCATCTCGCCTCTAGAGGGAAGTCTCATGGTTTTTCTTGAGTTGCGGCGGGGACCTGGGGTATGTTCTCGACTTACGGCGGGGATGGCCCTTCAAAACACGAGTTTCTTCAGTGACGTCAGGACTCCTGTCTAGTAACGAGGGACACCTCAGGAATCTCTTCGAGGCTTGGCAGGGCAAAAGGGACGCTTCTCGAGGTGAGGCAGGGCACCCAAGGACCCTTTCCAGTAGCCACAGGGATTTTGGGATTCCTATCAGTATTCAAGAGGAGTCAGGCATCGTCACCTTTTGAAGCAATGAACTCCGCGTGCCTCTCGAGGTGTCAGCGCGATGTGAGGCATTCCGTCAAAATGAGGCAGGGACCTAGGGCTTTCTCTAAGGTCTCCACAGGGGATTCAGACATCCCTTCATGTTGTGAGATGAAAGACGAGCCTGTATTCAAGCCACTGCAAGGAAATCTGGCCTCCTTTCAAGTTAGGGCTTCTCGCTGTATATTCCCCTTGAGGCATCAAACTCGGGGTCCCTCCCACATACCTATTGCTGAGAGAAGCCTCCTGCTGAGGTGCTTCTGGGAAGTTGGCATACGTCTTGAGCCTAAGCCAGGGAATCAGCTCGCATCTCGAGACGATTTGGGGTACACGGAGCATTCCTCGAGTTGCTGTGCTGAAGTTGGTGTTCCTCTAGACTTGGGACAGTGTTCTCGGGGCATCTTTGGAGTTGCCTGAAGGAAGTCGAGCCACCGGTCGTGTTGAATGGGGAACGGGGAATGGCTCTGGAGTCAATGCAGGGGAATCGGGCCTCATCTCGAGTTGATTTGGGGCACATGGAGCTGCTTTGCGTTGCTGGGGTGACCTCAGGGTCCGTCTAGACTGGTGACAGTGTTCTTGGGGACTGTCTCGAGATCCATTAAGCAAGTCGAAGCTCCTGACTTGTTTGAATGGGATCACGGAATAGCTCTGCATGCACTGCAGGGGAATGGGGCCTCATCTCGCCTCTAGAGGAAGTCTCATGGTTTTTCTCGAGTTGCGGCGGGGACCTGGGGTATGTTCTCGACTTATGGCGGGGATGGCCCTTCAAAACACGAGTTTCTTCAGTGACGTCAGGACTCCTGTCTAGTAACGAGGGACACCTCAGGAATCTCTTCGAGGCTTGGCAGGGCAAAAGGGACGCTTCTCGAGGTGAGGCAGGGCACCCAAGGACCCTTTCCAGTAGCCACAGGGATTTTGGGATTCCTATCAGTATTCAAGAGGAGTCAGGCATCGTCACCTTTTGAAGCAATGAACTCCACGTGCCTCTCGAGGTGTCAGCGGGATGTGAGGCATTCCGTCAAAATGAGCCAGGGACCTAGGGCTTTCTCTAAGGTCTCCACAGGGGATTCAGACATCCCTTCATGTTGTGAGATGAAAGACGAGCCTGTATTCAAGCCACTGCAAGGAAATCCGGCCTCCTTTCAAGTTAGGGCTTCTCGCTGTATATTCCCCTTGAGGCAGCAAACTCGGGGTCCCTCCCACATACCTGTTGCTGAGAGAAGCCTCCTCCTGAAGTGCTTCTGGGAAGTTGGCATACGTCTTGAGCCTAAGCCAGGGAATCAGCTCTCATCTCGAGACGATTTGGGGTACACGGAGCATTCCTCGAGTTGCTGTGCTGAAGTTGGTGTTCCTCTAGACTTGGGACAGTGTTCTCGGGGCATCTCTGGAGTTGCCTGAAGGAAGTCGAGCCACCGGTCGTGTTGAATGGGGAACGGGGAATGGCTCTGGAGTCAATGCAGGGGAATCGGGCCTCATCTCGAGTTGATTTGGGGCACATGGAGCTGCTTTGCGTTGCTGGGGTGACCTCAGGGTCCGTCTAGACTGGTGACAGTGTTCTTGGGGACTGTCTCGAGATCCATTAAGCAAGTCGAAGCTCCTGACTTGTTTGAATGGGATCACGGAATAGCTCTGCATGCACTGCAGGGGAATGGGGCCTCATCTCGCCTCTAGGGGGAAGTCTCATGATTTTTTTCGAGTTGCGGTGGGGACCTGGGGTATGTTCTCGACTTACGGAGGGGATGGCCCTTCAAAACACGAGTTTCTTCAGTGACGTCAGGACTCCTGTCTAGTAACGAGGGACACCTCAGGAATCTCTTCGAGGCTTGGCAGGGCAAAAGGGACGCTTCTCGAGGTGAGGCAGGGCACCCAAGGACCCTTTCCAGTAGCCACAGGGATATTGGGATTCCTATCAGCATTCAAGAGGAGTCAGGCATCGTCACCTTTTGAAGCAATGAACTCCGCGTGCCTCTCGAGGTGTCAGCGGGATGTGAGGCATTCCGTCAAAATGAGGCAGGGACCTAGGGCTTTCTCTAAGGTCTCCACAGGGGATTCAGACATCCCTTCATGTTGTGAGATGAAAGACGAGCCTGTATTCAAGCCACTGCAAGGAAATCCGGCCTCCTTTCAAGTTAGGGCTTCTCGCTGTATATTCCCCTTGAGGCAGCAAACTCGGGGTCCCTCCCACATACCTATTGCTGAGAGAAGCCTCCTCCTGAGGTGCTTCTGGGAAGTTGGCATACGTCTTGAGCCTAAGCCAGGGAATCAGCTCTCATGTCGAGACGATTTGGGGTACAAGGAGCATTCCTCGAGTTGCTGTGCTGAAGTTCGTGTTCCTCTAGATTTGGGACAGTGTTCTCGGGGCATCTCTGGAGTTGCCTGAAGGAAGTCGAGCCACCGGTCGTGTTGAATGGGGAACGGGGAATGGCTCTGGAGTCAATGCAGGGGAATCGGGCCTCATCTCGAGTTGATTTGGGGCACATGGAGCTGCTTTGCTTTCCTGGGGTGACCTCAGGGTCCGTCTAGACTGGTGACATTGTTCTTGGGGACTGTCTCGAGATCCATTAAGCAAGTCGAAGCCCCTGATTTGTTTGAATGGGATCACGGAATAGCTCTGCATGCACTGCAGGGGAATGGGGCCTCATCTCGCCTCTAGAGGAAGTCTCATGGTTTTTCTCGAGTTGCGGCGGGGACCTGGGGTATGTTCTCGACTTACGGCAGGGATGGCCCTTCAAAACACGAGTTTCTTCAGTGACGTCAGGACTCCTGTCTAGTAACGAGGGACACCTCAGGAATCTCTTCGAGGCTTGGCAGGGCAAAAGGGACGCTTCTCGAGGTGAGGCAGGGCACCCAAGGACCCTTTCCAGTAGCCACAGGGATTTTGGGATTCCTATCAGTATTCAAGAGGAGTCAGGCATCGTCACCTTTTGAAGCAATGAACTCCGCGTGCCTCTCGAGGTGTCAGCGGGATGTGAGGCATTCCGTCAAAATGAGGCAGGGACCTAGGGCTTTCTCTAAGGTCTCCACAGGGGATTCAGACATCCCTTCATGTTGTGAGATGAAAGACGAGCCTGTATTCAAGCCACTGCAAGGAAATCCGGCCTCCTTTCAAGTTAGGGCTTCTCGCTGTATATTCCCCTTGAGGCAGCAAACTCGGGGTCCCTCCCACATACCTATTGCTGAGAGAAGCCTCCTCCTGAGGTGCTTCTGGGAAGTTGGCATACGTCTTGAGCCTAAGCCAGGGAATCAGCTCTCATCTCGAGACGATTTGGGGTACAAGGAGCATTCCTCGAGTTGCTGTGCTGAAGTTCGTGTTCCTCTAGATTTGGGACAGTGTTCTCGGGGCATCTCTGGAGTTGCCTGAAGGAAGTCGAGCCACCGGTCGTGTTGAGTGGGGAACGGGGAATGGCTCTGGAGTCAATGCAGGGGAATCGGGCCTCATCTCGAGTTGATTTGGGGCACATGGAGCTGCTTTGCTTTGCTGGGGTGACCTCAGGGTCCGTCTAGACTGGTGACATTGTTCTTGGGGACTGTCTCGAGATCCATTAAGCAAGTCGAAGCCCCTGATTTGTTTGAATGGGATCACGGAATAGCTCTGCATGCACTGCAGGGGAATGGGGCCTCATCTCGCCTCTAGAGGAAGTCTCATGGTTTTTCTCGAGTTGCGGCGGGGACCTGGGGTATGTTCTCGACTTACGGCAGGGATGGCCCTTCAAAACACGAGTTTCTTCAGTGACGTCAGGACTCCTGTCTAGTAACGAGGGACACCTCAGGAATCTCTTCGAGGCTTGGCAGGGCAAAAGGGACGCTTCTCGAGGTGAGGCAGGGCACCCAAGGACCCTTTCCAGTAGCCACAGGGATTTTGGGATTCCTATCAGTATTCAAGAGGAGTCAGGCATCGTCACCTTTTGAAGCAATGAACTCCACGTGCCTCTCGAGGTGTCAGCGGGATGTGAGGCATTCCGTCAAAATGAGGCAGGGACCTAGGGCTTTCTCTAAGGTCTCCACAGGGGATTCAGACATCCCTTCATGTTGTGAGATGAAAGACGAGCCTGTATTCAAGCCACTGCAAGGAAATCCGGCCTCCTTTCAAGTTAGGGCTTCTCGCTGTATATTCCCCTTGAGGCAGCAAACTCGGGGTCCCTCCCACATACCTGTTGCTGAGAGAAGCCTCCTCCTGAAGTGCTTCTGGGAAGTTGGCATACGTCTTGAGCCTAAGCCAGGGAATCAGCTCTCATCTCGAGACGATTTGGGGTACACGGAGCATTCCTCGAGTTGCTGTGCTGAAGTTGGTGTTCCTCTAGACTTGGGACAGTGTTCTCGGGGCATCTCTGGAGTTGCCTGAAGGAAGTCGAGCCACCGGTCGTGTTGAATGGGGAACGGGGAATGGCTCTGGAGTCAATGCAGGGGAATCGGGCCTCATCTCGAGTTGATTTGGGGCACATGGAGCTGCTTTGCGTTGCTGGGGTGACCTCAGGGTCCGTCTAGACTGGTGACAGTGTTCTTGGGGACTGTCTCGAGATCCATTAAGCAAGTCGAAGCTCCTGACTTGTTTGAATGGGATCACGGAATAGCTCTGCATGCACTGCAGGGGAATGGGGCCTCATCTCGCCTCTAGGGGGAAGTCTCATGGTTTTTCTCGAGTTGCGGTGGGGACCTGGGGTATGTTCTCGACTTACGGAGGGGATGGCCCTTCAAAACACGAGTTTCTTCAGTGACGTCAGGACTCCTGTCTAGTAACGAGGGACACCTCAGGAATCTCTTCGAGGCTTGGCAGGGCAAAAGGGACGCTTCTCGAGGTGAGGCAGGGCACCCAAGGACCCTTTCCAGTAGCCACAGGGATATTGGGATTCCTATCAGCATTCAAGAGGAGTCAGGCATCGTCACCTTTTGAAGCAATGAACTCCGCGTGCCTCTCGAGGTGTCAGCGGGATGTGAGGCATTCCGTCAAAATGAGGCAGGGACCTAGGGCTTTCTCTAAGGTCTCCACAGGGGATTCAGACATCCCTTCATGTTGTGAGATGAAAGACGAGCCTGTATTCAAGCTACTGCAAGGAAATCCGGCCTCCTTTCAAGTTAGGGCTTCTCGCTGTATATTACCCTTGAGGCAGCAAACTCGGGGTCCCTCCCACATACCTATTGCTGAGAGAAGCCTCCTCCTGAGGTGCTTCTGGGAAGTTGGCATACGTCTTGAGCCTAAGCCAGGGAATCAGCTCTCATGTCGAGACGATTTGGGGTACAAGGAGCATTCCTCGAGTTGCTGTGCTGAAGTTCGTGTTCCTCTAGATTTGGGACAGTGTTCTCGGGGCATCTCTGGAGTTGCCTGAAGGAAGTCGAGCCACCGGTCGTGTTGAATGGGGAACGGGGAATGGCTCTGGAGTCAATGCAGGGGAATCGGGCCTCATCTCGAGTTGATTTGGGGCACATGGAGCTGCTTTGCTTTGCTGGGGTGACCTCAGGGTCCGTCTAGACTGGTGACATTGTTCTTGGGGACTGTCTCGAGATCCATTAAGCAAGTCGAAGCCCCTGATTTGTTTGAATGGGATCACGGAATAGCTCTGCATGCACTGCAGGGGAATGGGGCCTCATCTCGCCTCTAGAGGAAGTCTCATGGTTTTTCTCGAGTTGCGGCGGGGACCTGGGGTATGTTCTCGACTTACGGCAGGGATGGCCCTTCAACACACGAGTTTCTTCAGTGACGTCAGGACTCCTGTCTAGTAACGAGGGACACCTCAGGAATCTCTTCGAGGCTTGGCAGGGCAAAAGGGACGCTTCTCGAGGTGAGGCAGGGCACCCAAGGACCCTTTCCAGTAGCCACAGGGATTTTGGGATTCCTATCAGTATTCAAGAGGAGTCAGGCATCGTCACCTTTTGAAGCAATGAACTCCGCGTGCCTCTCGAGGTGTCAGCGGGATGTGAGGCATTCCGTCAAAATGAGGCAGGGACCTAGGGCTTTCTCTAAGGTCTCCACAGGGGATTCAGACATCCCTTCATGTTGTGAGATGAAAGACGAGCCTGTATTCAAGCCACTGCAAGGAAATCCGGCCTCCTTTCAAGTTAGGGCTTCTCGCTGTATATTCCCCTTGAGGCAGCAAACTCGGGGTCCCTGCCACATACCTGTTGCTGAGAGAAGCCTCCTCCTGAGGTGCTTCTGGGAAGTTGGCATACGTCTTGAGCCTAAGCCAGGGAATCAGCTCGCATCTCGAGACGATTTGGGGTACACGGAGCATTCCTCGAGTTGCTGTGCTGAAGTTGGTGTTCCTCTAGACTTGGGACAGTGTTCTCGGGGCATCTCTGGAGTTGCCTGAAGGAAGTCGAGCCACCGGTCGTGTTGAATGGGGAACGGGGAATGGCTCTGGAGTCAATGCAGGGGAATCGGGCCTCATCTCGAGTTGATTTGGGGCACATGGAGCTGCTTTGCGTTGCTGGGGTGACCTCAGGGTCCGTCTAGACTGGTGACAGTGTTCTTGGGGACTGTCTCGAGATCCATTAAGCAAGTCGAAGCTCCTGACTTGTTTGAATGGGATCACGGAATAGCTCTGCATGCACTGCAGGGGAATGGGGCCTCATCTCGCCTCTAGGGGGAAGTCTCATGGTTTTTCTCGAGTTGCGGCGGGGACCTGGGGTATGTTCTCGACTTACGGCGGGGATGGCCCTTCAAAACACGAGTTTCTTCAGTGACGTCAGGACTCCTGTCTAGTAACGAGGGACACCTCAGGAATCTCTTCGAGGCTTGGCAGGGCAAAAGGGACGCTTCTCGAGGTGAGGCAGGGCACCCAAGGACCCTTTCCAGTAGCCACAGGGATTTTGGGATTCCTATCAGTATTCAAGAGGAGTCAGGCATCGTCACCTTTTGAAGCAATGAACTCCGCGTGCCTCTCGAGGTGTCAGCGCGATGTGAGGCATTCCGTCAAAATGAGGCAGGGACCTAGGGCTTTCTCTAAGGTCTCCACAGGGGATTCAGACATCCCTTCATGTTGTGAGATGAAAGACGAGCCTGTATTCAAGCCACTGCAAGGAAATCCGGCCTCCTTTCAAGTTAGGGCTTCTCGCTGCATATGTCCCTTGAGGCAGCAAACTCGGGGTCCCTCCCACATACCTATTGCTGAGAGAAGCCTCCTCCTGAGGTGCTTCTGGGAAGTTGGCATACGTCTTGAGCCTAAGCCAGGGAATCAGCTCTCATCTCGAGATGATTTGGGGTACACGGAGCATTCCTCGAGTTGCTGTGCTGAAGTTGGTGTTCCTCTAGACTTGGGAAAGTGTTCTCGGGGCATCTGTGGAGTTGCCTGAAGGAAGTCGAGCCACCGGTCGTGTTGAATGGGGAACGGGGAATGGCTCTGGAGTCAATGCAGGGGAATCGGGCCTCATCTCGAGTTGATTTGGGGCACATGGAGCTGCTTTGCGTTGCTGGGGTGACCTCAGGGTCCGTCTAGACTGGTGACAGTGTTCTTGGGGACTGTCTCGAGGTCCATTAAGCAAGTCGAAGCTCCTGACTTGTTTGAATGGGATCACGGAATAGCTCTGCATGCACTGCAGGGGAATGGGGCCTAATCTCGCCTCTAGGGGGAAGTCTCATGGTTTTTCTTGAGTTGCGGTGGGGACCTTGGGTATGTTCTCGACTTACGGCGGGGATGGCCCTTCAAAACACGAGTTTCTTCAGTGACGTCAGGACTCCTGTCTAGTAACGAGGGACACCTCAGGAATCTCTTCGAGGCTTGGCAGGGCAAAAGGGACGCTTCTCGAGGTGAGGCAGGGCACCCAAGGACCCTTTCCAGTAGCCACAGGGATATTGGGATTCCTATCAGCATTCAAGAGGAGTCAGGCATCGTCACCTTTTGAAGCAATGAACTCCGCGTGCCTCTCGAGGTGTCAGCGGGATGTGAGGCATTCCGTCAAAATGAGGCAGGGACCTAGGGCTTTCTCTAAGGTCTCCACAGGGGATTCAGACATCCCTTCATGTTGTGAGATGAAAGACGAGCCTGTATTCAAGCCACTGCAAGGAAATCCGGCCTCCTTTCAAGTTAGGGCTTCTCGCTGTATATTCCCCTTGAGGCAGCAAACTCGGGGTGCCTCCCACATACCTATTGCTGAGAGAAGCCTCCTCCTGAGGTGCTTCTGGGAAGTTGGCATACGTCTTGAGCCTAAGCCAGGGAATCAGCTCTCATCTCGAGACGATTTGGGGTACAAGGTGCATTCTTCGAGTTGCTGTGCTGAAGTTCGTGTTCCTCTAGATTTGGGACAGTGTTCTTGGGGCATCTCTGGAGTTGCCTGAAGGAAGTCGAGCCACCGGTCGTGTTGAGTGGGGAACGGGGAATGGCTCTGGAGTCAATGCAGGGGAATCGGGCCTCATCTCGAGTTGATTTGGGGCACATGGAGCTGCTTTGCTTTGCTGGGGTGACCTCAGGGTCCGTCTAGACTGGTGACATTGTTCTTGGGGACTGTCTCGAGATCCATTAAGCAAGTCGAAGCCCCTGATTTGTTTGAATGGGATCACGGAATAGCTCTGCATGCACTGCAGGGGAATGGGGCCTCATCTCGCCTCTAGAGGAAGTCTCATGGTTTTTCTCGAGTTGCGGCGGGGACCTGGGGTATGTTCTCGACTTACGGCAGGGATGGCCCTTCAACACACGAGTTTCTTCAGTGACGTCAGGACTCCTGTCTAGTAACGAGGGACACCTCAGGAATCTCTTCGAGGCTTGGCAGGGCAAAAGGGACGCTTCTCGAGGTGAGGCAGGGCACCCAAGGACCCTTTCCAGTAGCCACAGGGATTTTGGGATTCCTATCAGTATTCAAGAGGAGTCAGGCATCGTCACCTTTTGAAGCAATGAACTCCGCGTGCCTCTCGAGGTGTCAGCGGGATGTGAGGCATTCCGTCAAAATGAGGCAGGGACCTAGGGCTTTCTCTAAGGTCTCCACAGGGGATTCAGACATCCCTTCATGTTGTGAGATGAAAGACGAGCCTGTATTCAAGCCACTGCAAGGAAATCCGGCCTCCTTTCAAGTTAGGGCTTCTCGCTGTATATTCCCCTTGAGGCAGCAAACTCGGGGTCCCTGCCACATACCTGTTGCTGAGAGAAGCCTCCTCCTGAGGTGCTTCTGGGAAGTTGGCATACGTCTTGAGCCTAAGCCAGGGAATCAGCTCGCATCTCGAGACGATTTGGGGTACACGGAGCATTCCTCGAGTTGCTGTGCTGAAGTTGGTGTTCCTCTAGACTTGGGACAGTGTTCTCGGGGCATCTCTGGAGTTGCCTGAAGGAAGTCGAGCCACCGGTCGTGTTGAATGGGGAACGGGGAATGGCTCTGGAGTCAATGCAGGGGAATCGGGCCTCATCTCGAGTTGATTTGGGGCACATGGAGCTGCTTTGCGTTGCTGGGGTGACCTCAGGGTCCGTCTAGACTGGTGACAGTGTTCTTGGGGACTGTCTCGAGATCCATTAAGCAAGTCGAAGCTCCTGACTTGTTTGAATGGGATCATGGAATAGCTCTGCATGCACTGCAGGGGAATGGGGCCTCATCTCGCCTCTAGGGGGAAGTCTCATGGTTTTTCTCGAGTTGCGGCGGGGACCTGGGGTATGTTCTCGACTTACGGCGGGGATGGCCCTTCAAAACACGAGTTTCTTCAGTGACGTCAGGACTCCTGTCTAGTAACGAGGGACACCTCAGGAATCTCTTCGAGGCTTGGCAGGGCAAAAGGGACGCTTCTCGAGGTGAGGCAGGGCACCCAAGGACCCTTTCCAGTAGCCACAGTGATTTTGGGATTCCTATCAGTATTCAAGAGGAGTCAGGCATCGTCACCTTTTGAAGCAATGAACTCCGCGTGCCTCTCGAGGTGTCAGCGCGATGTGAGGCATTCCGTCAAAATGAGGCAGGGACCTAGGGCTTTCTCTAAGGTCTCCACAGGGGATTCAGACATCCCTTCATGTTGTGAGATGAAAGACGAGCCTGTATTCAAGCCACTGCAAGGAAATCCGGCCTCCTTTCAAGTTAGGGCTTCTCGCTGCATATGTCCCTTGAGGCAGCAAACTCGGGGTCCCTCCCACATACCTATTGCTGAGAGAAGCCTCCTCCTGAGGTGCTTCTGGGAAGTTGGCATACGTCTTGAGCCTAAGCCAGGGAATCAGCTCTCATCTCGAGATGATTTGGGGTACACGGAGCATTCCTCGAGTTGCTGTGCTGAAGTTGGTGTTCCTCTAGACTTGGGACAGTGTTCTCGGGGCATCTCTGGAGTTGCCTGAAGGAAGTCGAGCCACCGGTCGTGTTGAGTGGGGAACGGGGAATGGCTCTGGAGTCAATGCAGGGGAATCGGGCCTCATCTCGAGTTGATTTGGGGCACATGGAGCTGCTTTGCGTTGCTGGGGTGACCTCAGGGTCCGTCTAGACTGGTGACAGTGTTCTTGGGGACTGTCTCGAGATCCATTAAGCAAGTGGAAGCTCCTGACTTGTTTGAATGGGATCACGGAATAGCTCTGCATGCACTGCAGGGGAATATGGCCTCATCTCGCCTCTAGGGGGAAGTCTCATGGTTTTTCTCGAGTTGCGGCGGGGACCTGGGGTATGTTCTCGACTTACGGCGGGCATGGCCCTTCAAGACACGAGTTTCTTCAGTGACGTCAGGACTCCTGTCTAGTAACGAGGGACACCTCAGGAATCTCTTCGAGGCTTGGCAGGGCAAAAGGGACGCTTCTCGAGGTGAGGCAGGGCACCCAAGGACCCTTTCCAGTAGCCACAGGGATTTTGGGATTCCTATCAGTATTCAAGAGGAGTCAGGCATCGTCACCTTTTGAAGCAATGAACTCCGCGTGCCTCTCGAGGTGTCAGCGGGATGTGAGGCATTCCGTCAAAATGAGGCAGGGACCTAGGGCTTTCTCTAAGGTCTCCACAGGGGATTCAGACATCCCTTCATGTTGTGAGATGAAAGACGAGCCTGTATTCAAGCCACTGCAAGGAAATCCGGCCTCCTTTCAAGTTAGGGCTTCTCGCTGTATATTCCCCTTGAGGCAGCAAACTCGGGGTCCCTCCCACATACCTATTGCTGAGAGAAGCCTCCTCCTGAGGTGCTTCTGGGAAGTTGGCATACGTCTTGAGCCTAAGCCAGGGAATCAGCTCGCATCTCGAGACGATTTGGGGTACACGGAGCATTCCTCGAGTTGCTGTGCTGAAGTTGGTGTTCCTCTAGACTTGGGACAGTGTTCTCGGGGCATCTCTGGAGTTGCCTGAAGGAAGTCGAGCCACCGGTCGTGTTGAATGGGGAACGGGGAATGGCTCTGGAGTCAATGCAGGGGAATCGGGCCTCATCTCGAGTTGATTTGGGGCACATGGAGCTTCTTCGCGTTGCTGGGGTGACCTCAGGGTCCGTCTAGGCTGGTGACAGTGTTCTTGGGGACTGTCTCGAGATCCATTAAGCAAGTCGAAGCTCCTGACTTGTTTAAATGGGATCACGGAATAGCTCTGCATGCACTGCAGGGGAATGGGGCCTCATCTCGCCTCTAGGGGGAAGTCTCATGGTTTTTCTCGAGTTGCGGCGGGGACCTGGGGTATGTTCTCGACTTACGGCGGGGATGGCCCTTCAAAACGCGAGTTTCTTCAGTGACGTCAGGACTCCTGTCTAGTAACGAGGGACACCTCAGGAATCTCTCCGAGGCTTGGCAGGGCAAAAGGGACGCTTCTGGAGGTGAGGCAGGGCACCCAAGGACCCTTTCCAGTAGACACAGGAATTTTGGGATTCCTATCAGTATTCAAGAGGAGTCAGGCATCGTCACCTTTTGAAGCAATGAACTCCGCGTGCCTCTCGAGGTGTCAGCGGGATGTGAGGCATTCCGTCAAAATGAGGCAGGGACCTAGGGCTTTCTCTAAGGTCTCCACAGGGGATTCAGACATCCCTTCATGTTGTGAGATGAAAGACGAGCCTGTATTCAAGCCACTGCAAGGAAATCCGGCCTCCTTTCAAGTTAGGGCTTCTCGCTGTATATTCCCCTTGAGGCAGCAAACTCGGGGTCCCTCCCACATACCTATTGCTGAGAGAAGCCTCCTCCTGAGGTGCTTCTGGGAAGTTGGCATACGTCTTGAGCCTAAGCCAGGGAATCAGCTCTCATCTCGAGACGATTTGGGGTACACGGAGCATTCCTCGAGTTGCTGTGCTGAAGTTGGTGTTCCTCTAGACTTGGGACAGTGTTCTCGGGGCATCTCTGGAGCTGCCTGAAGGAAGTCGAGCCACCGGTCGTGTTGAATGGGGAACGGGGAATGGCTCTGGAGTCAATGCAGGGGAATCGGGCCTCATCTCGAGTTGATTTGTGGCACATGGAGCTGCTTTGCGTTGCTGGGGTGACCTCAGGGTCCGTCTAGACTGGTGACAGTGTTCTTGGGGACTGTCTCGAGGTCCATTAAGCAAGTCGCAGCTCCTGACTTGTTTGAATGGGATCATGGAATAGCTCTGCATGCACTGCAGGGGAATGGGGCCTCATCTCGCCTCTAGGGGGAAGTCTCATGGTTTTTCTCGAGTTGCGGCGGGGACCTGGGGTATGTTCTCGACTTACGGCGGGGATGGCCCTTCAAAACACGAGTTTCTTCAGTGACGTCAGGACTCCTGTCTAGTAACGAGGGACACCTCAGGAATCTCTTCGAGGCTTGGCAGGGCAAAAGGGACGCTTCTCGAGGTGTGGCAGGGCACCCAAGGACCCTTTCCAGTAGACACAGGTATTTTGGGATTCCTATCAGTATTCAAGAGGAGTCAGGCATCGTCACCTTTTGAAGCAATGAACTCCGCGTGCCTCTCGAGGTGTCAGCGGGATGTGAGGCATTCCGTCAAAATGAGGCAGGGACCTAGGGCTTTCTCTAAGGTCTCCACAGGGGATTCAGACATCCCTTCATGTTGTGAGATGAAAGACGAGCCTGTATTCAAGCCACTGCAAGGAAATCCGGCCTCCTTTCAAGTTAGGGCTTCTCGCTGTATATTCCCCTTGAGGCAGCAAACTCGGGGTCCCTCCCACATACCTATTGCTGAGAGAAGCCTCCTCCTGAGGTGCTTCTGGGAAGTTGGCATACGTCTTGAGCCTTAGCCAGGGAATCAGCTCTCATCTCGAGACGATTTGGGGTACACGGAGCATTCCTCGAGTTGCTGTGCTGAAGTTGGTGTTCCTCTAGACTTGGGGCAGTGTTCTCGGGGCATCTCTGGAGTTGCCTGAAGGAAGTCGAGCCACCGGTCGTGTTGAATGGGGAACGGGGAATGGCTCTGGAGTCAATGCAGGGGAATCGGGCCTCATCTCGAGTTGATTTGGGGCACATGGAGCTGCTTTGCGTTGCTGGGGTGACCTCAGGGTCCGTCTAGACTGGTGACAGTGTTCTTGGGGACTGTCTCGAGATCCATTAAGCAAGTCGAAGCTCCTGACTTGTTTGAATGGGATCACGGAATAGCTCTGCATGCACTGCAGGGTAATGGGGCCTCATCTCGCCTCTAGAGGGAAATCTCATGGTTTTTCTCGAGTTGCGGCGGGGACCTGGGGTATGTTCTCGACTTACGGCGGGGATGGCCCTTCAAAACACGAGTTTCTTCAGTGACGTCAGGACTCCTGTCTAGTAACGAGGGACACCTCAGGAATCTCTTCGAGGCTTGGCAGGGCAAAAGGGACGCTTCTCGAGGTGAGGCAGGGCACCCAAGGACCCTTTCCAGTAGCCACAGGGATTTTGGGATTCCTTTCAGTATTCAAGAGGAGTCAGGCATCGTCACCTTTTGAAGCAATGAACTCCGCGTGCCTCTCGAGGTGTCAGCGCGATGTGAGGCATTCCGTCAAAATGAGGCAGGGACCTAGGGCTTTCTCTAAGGTCTCCACAGGGGATTCAGACATCCCTTCATGTTGTGAGATGAAAAACGAGCCTGTATTCAAGCCACTGCAAGGAAATCCGGCCTCCTTTCAAGTTAGGGCTTCTCGCTGTATATTCCCCCTGAGGCATAAAACTCGGGGTCCCTCCCACATACCTATTGCTGAGAGAAGCCTCCTGCTGAGGTGCTTCTGGGAAGTTGGCATACGTCTTGAGCCTAAGATAGGGAATCAGCTCGCATCTCGAGACGATTTGGGGTACACGGAGCATTCCTCGAGTTTCTGTGCTGAAGTTGGTGTTCCTCTAGACTTGGGACAGTGTTCTCGGGGCATCTCTGGAGTTGCCTGAAGGAAGTCGAGCGACCGGTCGTGTTGAATGGGGAACGGGGAATGGCTCTGGAGTCAATGCAGGGGAATCGGGCCTCATCTCGAGTTGATTTGGGGCACATGGAGCTGCTTTGCGTTGCTGGGGTGACCTCAGGGTCCGTCTAGACTGGTGACAGTGTTCTTGGGGACTGTCTCGAGATCCATTAAGCAAGTCGAAGCTCCTGACTTGTTTGAATGGGATCACGGAATAGCTCTGCATGCACTGCAGGGGAATGGGGCCTCATCTCGCCTCTAGAGGAAGTCTCATGGTTTTTCTCGAGTTGCGGCGGGGACCTTGGGTATGTTCTCGACTTACGGCGGGGATGGCCCTTCAAAACACGAGTCTCTTCAGTGACGTCAGGACTCCTGTCTAGTAACGAGGGACACCTCAGGAATCTCTTCGAGGCTTGGCAGGGCAAAAGGGACGCTTCTCGAGGTGAGGCAGGGCACCCAAGGACCCTTTCCAGTAGCCACAGGGATTTTGGGATTCCTATCAGTATTCAAGAGAAGTCAGGCATCGTCACCTTTTGAAGCAATGAACTCCGCGTGCCTCTCGAGGTGTCAGCGGGATGTGAGGCATTCCGTCAAAATGAGGCAGGGACCTAGGGCTTTCTCTAAGGTCTCCACAGGGGATTCAGACATCCCTTCATGTTGTGAGATGAAAGACGAGCCTGTATTCAAGCAACTGCAAGGAAATCCGGCCTCCTTTCAAGTTAGGGCTTCTCGCTGTATATTCCCCTTGAGGCAGCAAACTCGGGGTCCCTCCCACATACCTGTTGCTGAGAGAAGCCTCCTCCTGAGGTGCTTCTGGGAAGTTGGCATACGTCTTGAGCCTAAGCCAGGGAATCAGCTCGCATCTCGAGACGATTTGGGGTACACGGAGCATTCCTCGAGTTGCTGTGCTGAAGTTGGTGTTCCTCTAGACTTGGGACAGTGTTCTCGGGGCATCTCTGGAGTTGCCTGAAGAAAGTCGAGCCACCGGTCGTGTTGAATGGGGAACGGGGAATGGCTCTGGAGTCAATGCAGGGGAATCGGGCCTCATCTCGAGTTGATTTGGGGCACATGGAGCTGCTTTGCGTTGCTGGGGTGACCTCAGGGTCCGTCTAGACTGGTGACAGTGTTCTTGGGGACTGTCTCGAGATCCATTAAGCAAGTCGAAGCTCCTGACTTGTTTGAATGGGATCACGGAATAGCTCTGCATGCACTGCAGGGGAATGGGGCCTCATCTCGCCTCTAGGGGGAAGTCTCATGGTTTTTCTCGAGTTGCGGCGGGGCCCTGGGGTATGTTCTCGACTTACGGCGGGGATGGCCCTTCAAGACACGAGTTTCTTCAGTGACGTCAGGACTCCTGTCTAGTAACGAGGGACACCTCAGGAATCTCTTCGAGGCTTGGCAGGGCAAAAGGGACGCTTCTCGAGGTGAGGCAGGGCACCCAAGGACCCTTTCCAGTAGCCACAGGGATTTTGGGATTCCTATCAGTATTCAAGAGGAGTCAGGCATCGTCACCTTTTGAAGCAATGAACTCCGCGTGCCTCTCGAGGTGTCAGCGGGATGTGAGGCATTCCGTCAAAATGAGGCAGGGACCTAGGGCTTTCTCTAAGGTCTCCACAGGGGATTCAGACATCCCTTCATGTTGTGAGATGAAAGACGAGCCTGTATTCAAGCCACTGCAAGGAAATCCGGCCTCCTTTCAAGTTAGGGCTTCTCGCTGTATATTCCCCTTGAGGCAGCAAACTCGGGGTCCCTCCCACATACCTATTGCTGAGAGAAGCCTCCTCCTGAGGTGCTTCTGGGAAGTTGGCATACGTCTTGAGCCTAAGCCAGGGAATCAGCTCTCATCTCGAGACGATTTGGGGTACACGGAGCATTCCTCGAGTTGCTGTGCTGAAGTTGGTGTTCCTCTAGACTTGGGACAGTGTTCTCGGGGCATCTCTGGAGTTGCCTGAAGGAAGTCGAGCCACCGGTCGTGTTGAATGGGGAACGGGGAATGGCTCTGGAGTCAATGCAGGGGAATCGGGCCTCATCTCGAGTTGATTTGGGGCACATGGAGCTGCTTTGCGTTGCTGGGGTGACCTCAGGGTCCGTGTAGACTGGGGACAGTGTTCTTGGGGACTGTCTCGAGATCCATTAAGCAAGTCAAAGCTCCTGACTTGTTTGAATGGGATCACGGAATAGCTCTGCATGCACTGCAGGGGAATGGGGCCTCATCTCGCCTCTAGAGGGAAGTCTCATGGTTTTTCTCGAGTTGCGGCGGGGACCTGGGGTATGTTCTCGACTTACGGCGGGGATGGCCCTTCAAAACACGAGTTTCTTCAGTGACGTCAGGACTCCTGTCTAGTAACGAGGGACACCTCAGGAATCTCTTCGAGGCTTGGCAGGGCAAAAGGGACGCTTCTCGAGGTGAGGCAGGGCACCCAAGGACCCTTTCCAGTAGCCACAGGGATTTTGGGATTCCTATCAGTATTCAAGAGGAGTCAGGCATCGTCACCTTTTGAAGCAATGAACTCCGCGTGCCTCTCGAGGTGTCAGCGGGATGTGAGGCATTCCGTCAAAATGAGGCAGGGACCTAGGGCTTTCTCTAAGGTCTCCACAGGGGATTCAGACATCCCTTCATGTTGTGAGATGAAAGACGAGCCTGTATTCAAGCCACTGCAAGGAAATCCGGCCTCCTTTCAAGTTAGGGCTTCTCGCTGTATATTCCCCTTGAGGCAGCAAACTCGGGGTCCCTCCCACATACCTATTGCTGAGAGAAGCCTCCTCCTGAGGTGCTTCTGGGAAGTTGGCATACGTCTTGAGCCTAAGCCAGGGAATCAGCTCGCATCTCGAGACGATTTGGGGTACACGGAGCATTCCTCGAGTTGCTGTGCTGAAGTTGGTGTTCCTCTAGACTTGGGACAGTGTTCTCGGGGCATCTCTGGAGTTGCCTGAAGGAAGTCGAGCCACCGGTCGTGTTGAATGGGGAACGGGGAATGGCTCTGGAGTCAATGCAGGGGAATCGGGCCTCATCTCGAGTTGATTTGGGGCACATGGAGCTGCTTTGCGTTGCTGGGGTGACCTCAGGGTCCGTCTAGACTGGTGACAGTGTTCTTGGGGACTGTCTCGAGATCCATTAAGCAAGTGGAAGCTCCTGACTTGTTTGAATGGGATCACGGAATAGCTCTGCATGCACTGCAGGGGAATGGGGCCTCATCTCGCCTCTAGGGGGAAGTCTCATGGTTTTTCTCGAGTTGCGGCGGGGACCTGGGGTATGTTCTCGACTTACGGCGGGGATGGCCCTTCAAAACACGAGTTTCTTCAGTGACGTCAGGACTCCTGTCTAGTAACGAGGGACACCTCAGGAATCGCTTTGAGGCTTGGCAGGGCAAAAGGGACGCTTCTCGAGGTGAGGCAGGGCACCCAAGGACTCTTTCCAGTAGCCACAGGGATTTTGGGATTCCTATCAGTATTCAAGAGGAGTCAGGCATCATCACCTTTTGAAGCAATGAACTCCGCGTGCCTCTCGAGGTGTCAGCGGGATGTGAGGCATTCCGTCAAAATGAGGCAGGGACCTAGGGCTTTCTCTAATGTCTCCACAGGGGATTCAGACATCCCTTCATGTTGTGAGATGAAAGATGAGCCTGTATTCAAGCCACTGGAAGGAAATCCGGCCTCCTTTCAAGTTAGGGCTTCTCGCTGTATATTCCCCTTGAGGCAGCAAAATCGGGGTCCCTCCCACATACCTATTGCTGAGAGAAGCCTCCTCCTGAGGTGCTTCTGGGAAGTTGGCATACGTCTTGAGCCTAAGCCAGGGAATCAGCTCGCATCTCGAGACGATTTGGGGTACACGGAGCATTCCTCGAGTTGCTGTGCTGAAGTTGGTGTTCCTCTAGACTTGGGACAGTGTTCTCGGGGCATCTCTGGAGTTGCCTGAAGGAAGTCGAGCCACCGGTCGTGTTGAATGGGGAACGGGGAATGGCTCTGGAGTCAATGCAGGGGAATCGGGCCTCATCTCGAGTTGATTTGGGGCACATGGAGCTGCTTTGCGTTGCTGGGGTGACCTCAGGGTCCGTCTAGACTGGTGACAGTGTTCTTGGGGACTGTCTCGAGATCCATTAAGCAAGTCGAAGCTCCTGACTTGTTTGAATGGGATCACGGAATAGCTCTGCATGCACTGCAGGGGAATGGGGCCTCATCTCGCCTCTAGGGGGAAGTCTCATGGTTTTTCTCGAGTTGCGGCGGGGACCTGGGGTATGTTCTCGACTTACGGCGGGGATGGCCCTTCAAAACACGAGTTTCTTCAGTGACGTCAGGACTCCTGTCTAGTAACGAGGGACACCTCAGGAATCTCTTCGAGGCTTGGCAGGGCAAAAGGGACGCTTCTCGAGGTGAGGCAGGGCACCCAAGGACCCTTTCCAGTAGCCACAGGGATTTTGGGATTCCTATCAGTATTCAAGAGGAGTCAGGCATCGTCACCTTTTGAAGCAATGAACTCCGCGTGCCTCTCGAGGTGTCAGCGCGATGTGAGGCATTCCGTCAAAATGAGGCAGGGACCTAGGGCTTTCTCTAAGGTCTCCACAGGGGATTCAGACATCCCTTCATGTTGTGAGATGAAAGACGAGCCTGTATTCAAGCCATTGCAAGGAAATCCGGCCTCCTTTCAAGTTAGGGCTTCTCGCTGTATATTTCCCTTGAGGCAGCAAAATCGGGGTCCCTCCCACATACCTATTGCTGAGAGAAGCCTCCTCCTGAGGTGCTTCTGGGAAGTTGGCATACGTCTTGAGCCTAAGCCAGGGAATCAGCTCTCATCTCGAGACGATTTGGGGTACACGGAGCATTCCTCGAGTTGCTGTGGTGAAGTTGGTGTTCCTCTAGACTTGGGACAGTGTTCTCGGGGCATCTCTGGAGTTGCCTGAAGGAAGTCGAGCCACCGGTCGTGTTGAATGGGGAACGGGGAATGGCTCTGGAGTCAATGCAGGGGAATCGGGCCTCATCTCGAGTTGATTTGGGGCACATGGAGCTGCTTTGCGTTGCTGGGGTGACCTCAGGGTCCGTCTAGACTGGTGACAGTGTTCTTGGGGACTGTCTCGAGATCCATTAAGCAAGTCGAAGCTCCTGACTTGTTTGAATGGGATCACGGAATAGCTCTGCATGCACTGCAGGGGAATGGGGCCTCATCTCGCCTCTAGAGGGAAGTCTCATGTTTTTTCTCGAGTTGCGGCGGGGACCTTGGGTATGTTCTCGACTTACGGCGGGGATGGCCCTTCAAAACACGAGTTTCTTCAGTGACGTCAGGACTCCTGTCTAGTAACGAGGGACACCTCAGGAATCTCTTCGAGGCTTGGCAGGGCAAAAGGGACGCTTCTCGAGGTGAGGCAGGGCACCCAAGGACCCTTTCCAGTAGCCACAGGGATTTTGGGATTCCTATCAGTATTCAAGAGGAGTCAGGCATCGTCACCTTTTGAAGCAATGAACTCCGCGTGCCTCTCGAGGTGTCAGCGCGATGTGAGGCATTCCGTCAAAATGAGGCAGGGACCTAGGGCTTTCTCTAAGGTCTCCACAGGGGATTCAGACATCCCTTCATGTTGTGAGATGAAAGACGAGCCTGTATTCAAGCCACTGCAAGGAAATCCGGCCTCCTTTCAAGTTAGGGCTTCTCGCTGTATATTCCCCTTGAGGCAGCAAACTCGGGGTCCCTCCCACATACCTATTGCTGAGAGAAGCCTCCTCCTGAGGTGCTTCTGGGAAGTTGGCATACGTCTTGAGCCTAAGCCAGGGAATCAGCTCTCATCTCGAGACGATTTGGGGTACACGGAGCATTCCTCGAGTTGCTGTGCTGAAGTTGGTGTTCCTCTAGACTTGGGACAGTGTTCTCGGGGCATCTCTGGAGTTGCCTGAAGGAAGTCGAGCCACCGGTCGTGTTGAATGGAGAACGGGGAATGGCTCTGGAGTCAATGCAGGGGAATCGGGCCTCATCTCGAGTTGATTTGGGGCACATGGAGCTGCTTTGCGTTGCTGGGGTGACCTCAGGGTCCGTCTAGACTGGTGACAGTGTTCTTGGGGACTGTCTCGAGATCCATTAAGCAAGTCGAAGCTCCTGACTTGTTTGAATGGGATCACGGAATAGCTCTGCATGCACTGCAGGGGAATGGGGCCTCATCTCGCCTCTAGGGGGAAGTCTCATGGTTTTTCTCGAGTTGCGGCGGGGACCTGGGGTATGATCTCGACTTACGGCGGGGATGGCCCCTCAAGACACGAGTTTCTTCAGTGACGTCAGGACTCCTGTCTAGTAACGAGGGACACCTCAGGAATCTCTTCGAGGCTTGGCAGGGCAAAAGGGACGCTTCTCGAGGTGAGGCAGGGCACCCAAGGACCCTTTCCAGTAGCCACAGGGATTTTGGGATTCCTATCAGTATTCAAGAGGAGTCAGGCATCGTCACCTTTTGAATCAATGAACTCCGTGTGCCTCTCAAGGTGTCAGCGGGATGTGAGGCATTCCGTCAAAATGAGGCAGGGACCTAGGGCTTTCTCTAAGGTCTCCACAGGGGATTCAGACATCCCTTCATGTTGTGAGATGAAAGACGAGCCTGTATTCAAGCCACTGCAAGGAAATCCGGCCTCCTTTCAAGTTAGGGCTTCTCGCTGTATATTTCCCTTGAGGCAGCAAACTCGGGGTCCCTCCCACATACCTATTGCTGAGAGAAGCCTCCTCCTGAGGTGCTTCTGGGAAGTTGGCATACGTCTTGAGCCTAAGCCAGGGAATCAGCTCGCATCTCGAGACGATTTGGGGTACACGGAGCATTCCTCGAGTTGCTGTGCTGAAGTTGGTGTTCCTCTAGACTTGGGACAGTGTTCTCGGGGCATCTCTGGAGTTGCCTGAAGGAAGTCGAGCCACCGGTCGTGTTGAGTGGGGAACGGGGAATGGCTCTGGAGTCAATGCAGGGGAATCGGGCCTCATCTCGAGTTGATTTGGGGCACATGGAGCTGCTTTGCTTTGCTGGGGTGACCTCAGGGTCCGTCTAGACTGGTGACATTGTTCTTGGGTACTGTCTCGAGATCCATTAAGCAAGTCGAAGCTCCTGATTTGTTTGAATGGGATCACGGAATAGCTCTGCATGCACTGCAGGGGAATGGGGCCTCATCTCGCCTCTAGAGGAAGTCTCATGGTTTTTCTCGAGTTGCGGCGGGGACCTGGGGTATGTTCTCGACTTACGGCGGGGATGGCCCTTCAAAACACGAGTTTCTTCAGTGACGTCAGGACTCCTGTCTAGTAACGAGGGACACCTCAGTAATCTCTTCGAGGCTTGGCAGGGCAAAAGGGACGCTTCTCGAGGTGAGGCAGGGCACCCAAGGACCCTTTCCAGTAGCCACAGGGATTTTGGGATTCCTATCAGTATTCAAGAGGAGTCAGGCATCGTCACCTTTTGAAGCAATGAACTCCGCGTGCCTCTCGAGGTGTCAGCGGGATGTGAGGCATTCCGTCAAAATGAGGCAGGGACCTAGGGCTTTCTCTAAGGTCTCCACAGGGGATTCAGACATCCCTTCATGTTGTGAGATGAAAGACGAGCCTGTATTCAAGCCACTGCAAGGAAATCCGGCCTCCTTTCAAGTTAGGGCTTCTCGCTGTATATTCCCCTTGAGGCAGCAAACTCGGGGTCCCTCCCACATACCTATTGCTGAGAGAAGCCTCCTCCTGAGGTGCTTCTGGGAAGTTGGCATACGTCTTGAGCCTAAGCCAGGGAATCAGCTCTCATCTCGAGACGATTTGGGGTACACGGAGCATTCCTCGAGTTGCTGTGGTGAAGTTGGTGTTCCTCTAGACTTGGGACAGTGTTCTCCGGGCATCTCTGGAGTTGCCTGAAGGAAGTCGAGCCACTGGTCGTGTTGAATGGGGAACGGGGAATGGCTCTGGAGTCAATGCAGGGGAATCGGGCCTCATCTCGAGTTGATTTGGGGCACATGGAGCTGCTTTGCGTTGCTGGGGTGACCTCAGGGTCCGTCTAGACTGGTGACAGTGTTCTTGGGGACTGTCTCGAGATCCATTAAGCAAGTCGAAGCTCCTGACTTGTTTGAATGGGATCACGGAATAGCTCTGCATGCACTGCAGGGGAATGGGGCCTCATCTCGCCTCTAGAGGGAAGTCTCATGGTTTTTCTCGAGTTGCGGCGGGGACCTGGGGTATGTTCTCGACTTACGGCGGGGATGGCCCTTCAAAACACGAGTTTCTTCAGTGACGTCAGGACTCCTGTCTAGTAACGAGGGACACCTCAGGAATCTCTTCGAGGCTTGGCAGGGCAAAAGGGACGCTTCTCGAGGTGAGGCAGGGCACCCAAGGACCCTTTCCAGTAGCCACAGGGATTTTGGGATTCCTATCAGTATTCAAGAGGAGTCAGGCATCGTCACCTTTTGAAGCAATGAACTCCGCGTGCCTGTCGAGGTGTCAGCGCGATGTGAGGCATTCCGTCAAAATGAGGCAGGGACCTAGGGCTTTCTCTAAGGTCTCCACAGGGGATTCAGACATCCCTTCATGTTGTGAGATGAAAGACGAGCCTGTATTCAAGCCACTGCAAGGAAATCCGGCCTCCTTTCAAGTTAGGGCTTCTCGCTGTATATTCCCCTTGAGGCAGCAAACTCGGGGTCCCTCCCACATACCTATTGCTGAGAGAAGCCTCCTCCTGAGGTGCTTCTGGGAAGTTGGCATACGTCTTGAGCCTAAGCCAGGGAATCAGCTCTCATCTCGAGACGATTTGGGGTACACGGAGCATTCCTCGAGTTGCTGTGCTGAAGTTGGTGTTCCTCTAGACTTGGGACAGTGTTCTCGGGGCATCTCTGGAGTTGCCTGAAGGAAGTCGAGCCACCGGTCGTGTTGAATGGAGAACGGGGAATGGCTCTGGAGTCAATGCAGGGGAATCGGGCCTCATCTCGAGTTGATTTGGGGCACATGGAGCTGCTTTGCGTTGCTGGGGTGACCTCAGGGTCCGTCTAGACTGGTGACAGTGTTCTTGGGGACTGTCTCGAGATCCATTAAGCAAGTCGAAGCTCCTGACTTGTTTGAATGGGATCACGGAATAGCTCTGCATGCACTGCAGGGGAATGGGGCCTCATCTCGCCTGTAGGGGGAAGTCTCATGGTTTTTCTCGAGTTGCGGCGGGGACCTGGGGTATGTTCTCGACTTACGGCGGGGATGGCCCCTCAAGACACGAGTTTCTTCAGTGACGTCAGGACTCCTGTCTAGTAACGAGGGACACCTCAGGAATCTCTTCGAGGCTTGGCAGGGCAAAAGGGACGCTTCTCGAGGTGAGGCAGGGCACCCAAGGACCCTTTCCAGTAGCCACAGGGATTTTGGGATTCCTATCAGTATTCAAGAGAGGTCAGGCATCGTCACCTTTTGAAGCAATGAACTCCGTGTGCCTCTCAAGGTGTCAGCGGGATGTGAGGCATTCCGTCAAAATGAGGCAGGGACCTAGGGCTTTCTCTAAGGTCTCCACAGGGGATTCAGACATCCCTTCATGTTGTGAGATGAAAGACGAGCCTGTATTCAAGCCACTGCAAGGAAATCCGGCCTCCTTTCAAGTTAGGGCTTCTCGCTGTATATTTCCCTTGAGGCAGCAAACTCGGGGTCCCTCCCACATACCTATTGCTGAGAGAAGCCTCCTCCTGAGGTGCTTCTGGGAAGTTGGCATACGTCTTGAGCCTAAGCCAGGGAATCAGCTCGCATCTCGAGACGATTTGGGGTACACGGAGCATTCCTCGAGTTGCTGTGCTGAAGTTGGTGTTCCTCTAGACTTGGGACAGTGTTCTCGGGGCATCTCTGGAGTTGCCTGAAGGAAGTCGAGCCACCGGTCGTGTTGAGTGGGGAACGGGGAATGGCTCTGGAGTCAATGCAGGGGAATCGGGCCTCATCTCGAGTTGATTTGGGGCACATGGAGCTGCTTTGCTTTGCTGGGGTGACCTCAGGGTCCGTCTAGACTGGTGACATTGTTCTTGGGGACTGTCTCGAAATCCATTAAGCAAGTCGAAGCTCCTGATTTGTTTGAATTGGATCACGGAATAGCTCTGCATGCACTGCAGGGGAATGGGGCCTCATCTCGCCTCTAGAGGAAGTCTCATGGTTTTTCTCGAGTTGCGGCGGGGACCTGGGGTATGTTCTCGACTTACGGCAGGGATGGCCCTTCAAAACACGAGTTTCTTCAGTGACGTCAGGACTCCTGTCTAGTAACGAGGGACACCTCAGGAATCTCTTCGAGGCTTGGCAGGGCAAAAGGGACGCTTCTCGAGGTGAGGCAGGGCACCCAAGGACCCTTTCCAGTAGCCACAGGGATTTTGGGATTCCTATCAGTATTCAAGAGGAGTCAGGCATCGTCACCTTTTGAAGCAATGAACTCCGCGTGCCTCTCGAGGTGTCAGCGGGATGTGAGGCATTCCGTCAAAATGAGGCAGGGACCTAGGGCTTTCTCTAAGGTCTCCACAGGGGATTCAGACATCCCTTCATGTTGTGAGATGAAAGACGAGCCTGTATTCAAGCCACTGCAAGGAAATCCGGCCTCCTTTCAAGTTAGGGCTTCTCGCTGTATATTCCCCTTGAGGCAGCAAACTCGGGGTCCCTCCCACATACCTGTTGCTGAGAGAAGCCTCCTCCTGAGGTGCTTCTGGGAAGTTGGCATACGTCTTGAGCCTAAGCCAGGGAATCAGCTCTCATCTCGAGACGATTTGGGGTACACGGAGCATTTCTCGAGTTGCTGTGCTGAAGTTGGTGTTCCTCTAGACTTGGGACAGTGTTCTCGGGGCATCTCTGGAGTTGCCTGAAGGAAGTCGAGCCACCGGTCGTGTTGAATGGGGAACGGGGAATGGCTCTGGAGTCAATGCAGGGGAATCGGGCCTCATCTCGAGTTGATTTGGGGCACATGGAGCTGCTTTGCGTTGCTGGGGTGACCTCAGGGTCCGTCTAGACTGGTGACAGTGTTCTTGGGGACTGTCTCGAGATCCATTAAGCAAGTCGAAGCTCCTGACTTGTTTGAATGGGATCACGGAATAGCTCTGCATGCACTGCAGGGGAATGGGGCCTCATCTCGCCTCTAGGGGGAAGTCTCATGGTTTTTCTCGAGTTGCGGCGGGGACCTGGGGTATGTTCTCGACTTATGGCGGGGATGGCCCTTCAAGACACGAGTTTCTTCAGTGACGTCAGGACTCCTGTCTAGTAACGAGGGACACCTCAGGAATCTCTTCGAGGCTTGGCAGGGCAAAAGGGACGCTTCTCGAGGTGAGGCAGGGCACCCAAGGACCCTTTCCAGTAGCCACAGGGATTTTGGGATTCCTATCAGTATTCAAGAGGAGTCAGGCATCGTCACCTTTTGAAGCAATGAACTCCGCGTGCCTCTCCAGGTGTCAGCGCGATGTGAGGCATTCCGTCAAAATGAGGCAGGGACCTAGGGCTTTCTCTAAGGTCTCCACAGGGGATTCAGACATCCCTTCATGTTGTGAGATGAAAGACGAGCCTGTATTCAAGCCACTGCAAGGAAATCCGGCCTCCTTTCAAGTTAGGGCTTCTCGCTGTATATTCCCCTTGAGGCAGCAAACTCGGGGTCCCTCCCACATACCTATTGCTGAGAGAAGCCTCCTCCTGAGGTGCTTCTGGGAAGTTGGCATACGTCTTGAGCCTAAGCCAGGGAATCAGCTCTCATCTCGAGACGATTTGGGGTACACGGAGCATTCCTCGAGTTGCTGTGCTGAAGTTGGTGTTCCTCTAGACTTGGGACAGTGTTCTCGGGGCATCTCTGGAGTTGCCTGAAGGAAGTCGAGCCACCGGTCGTGTTGAATGGGGAACGGGGAATGGCTCTGGAGTCAATGCAGGGGAATCGGGCCTCATCTCGAGTTGATTTGGGGCACATGGAGAAGCTTTGCGTTGCTGGGGTAACCTCAGGGTCCGTCTAGACTGGTGACAGTGTTCTTGGGGACTGTCTCGAGATCCATTAAGCAAGTCGAAGCTCCTGACTTGTTTGAATGGGATCACGGAATAGCTCTGCATGCACTGCAGGGGAATGGGGCCTCATCTCGCCTCTAGAGGGAAGTCTCATGGTTTTTCTCGAGTTGCGGCGGGGACCTGGGGTATGTTCTCGACTTACGGCGGGGATGGCCCTTCAAAACACGAGTTTCTTCAGTGACGTCAGGACTCCTGTCTAGTAACGAGGGACACCTCAGGTATCTCTTCGAGGCTTGGCAGGGCAAAAGGGACGCTTCTCGAGGTGAGGCAGGGCACCCAAGGACCCTTTCCAGTAGCCACAGGGATTTTGCGATTCCTATCAGTATTCAAGAGGAGTCAGGCATCGTCACCTTTTGAAGCAATGAACTCCGCGTGCCTCTCGAGGTGTCAGCGCGATGTGAGGCATTCCGTCAAAATGAGGCAGGGACCTAGGGCTTTCTCTAAGGTCTCCACAGGGGATTCAGACATCCCTTCATGTTGTGAGATGAAAGACGAGCCTGTATTCAAGCCACTGCAAGGAAATCCGGCCTCCTTTCAAGTTAGGGCTTCTCGCTGTATATTCCCCTTGAGGCATCAAACTCGGGGTCCCTCCCACATACCTATTGCTGAGAGAAGCCTCCTGCTAAGGTGCTTCTGGGAAGTTGGCATACGTCTTGAGCCTAAGATAGGGAATCAGCTCGCATCTCGAGACGATTTGGGGTACACGGAGCATTCCTCGAGTTGCTGTGCTGAAGTTGGTGTTCCTCTAGACTTGCGACAGTGTTCTCGGGGCATCTCTGGAGTTGCCTGAAGGAAGTCGAGCCACCGGTCGTGTTGAATGGGGAACGGGGAATGGCTCTGGAGTCAATGCAGGGGAATCGGGCCTCATCTCGAGTTGATTTGGGGCACATGGAGCTGCTTTGAGTTGCTGGGGTGACCTCAGGGTCCGTCTAGACTGGTGACAGTGTTCTTGGGGACTGTCTCGAGATCCATTAAGCAAGTCGAAGCTCCTGACTTGTTTGAATGGGATCACGGAATAGCTCTGCATGCACTGCAGGGGAATGGGGCCTCATCTTGCCTCTAGGGGGAAGTCTCATGGTTTTTCTCGAGTTGCGGCGGGGACCTGGGGTATGTTCTCGACTTACGGCGGGGATGGCCCTTCAAAACACGAGTTTCTTCAGTGACGTCAGGACTGCTGTCTAGTAACGAGGGACACCTCAGGAATTTCTTCGAGGCTTGGCAGGGCAAAAGGGACGCTTCTCGAGGTGAGGCAGGGCACCCAAGGACCCTTTCCAGTAGCCACAGGGATTTTGGGATTCCTATCAGTATTCAAGAGGAGTCAGGCATCGTCACCTTTTGAAGCAATGAACTCCGCGTGCCTCTCGAGGTGTCAGCGGGATGTGAGGCATTCCGTCAAAATGAGGCAGGGACCTAGGGCTTTCTCTAAGGTCTCCACAGGGGATTCAGACATCCCTTCATGTTGTGAGATGAAAGACGAGCCTGTATTCAAGCCACTGCAAGGAAATCCGGCCTCCTTTCAAGTTAGGGCTTCTCGCTGTATATTCCCCTTGAGGCAGCAAACTCGGGGTCCCTCCCACATACCTATTGCTGAGAGAAGCCTCCTCCTGAGGTGCTTCTGGGAAGTTGGCATACGTCTTGAGCCTAAGCCAGGGAATCAGCTCGCATCTCGAGACGATTTGGGGTACACGGAGCATTCCTCGAGTTGCTGTGCTGAAGTTGGTGTTCCTCTAGACTTGGGACAGTGTTCTCGGGGCATCTCTGGAGTTGCCTGAAGGAAGTCGAGCCACCGGTCGTGTTGAGTGGGGAACGGGGAATGGCTCTGGAGTCAATGCAGGGGAATCGGGCCTCATCTCGAGTTGATTTGGGGCACATGGAGCTGCTTTGCTTTGCTGGGGTGACCTCAGGGTCCGTCTAGACTGGTGACATTGTTCTTGGGGACTGTCTCGAGATCCATTAAGCAAGTCGAAGCTCCTGATTTGTTTGAATGGGATCACGGAATAGCTCTGCATGCACTGCAGGGGAATGGGGCCTCATCTCGCCTCTAGAGGAAGTCTCATGGTTTTTCTCGAGTTGCGGCGGGGACCTGGGGTATGTTCTCGACTTACGGCAGGGATGGCCCTTCAAAACACGAGTTTCTTCAGTGACGTCAGGACTCCTGTCTAGTAACGAGGGATACCTCAGGAATCTCTTCGAGGCTTGGCAGGGCAAAAGGGACGCTTCTCGAGTTGAGGCAGGGCACCCAAGGACCCTTTCCAGTAGCCACAGGGATTTTGGGATTCCTATCAGTATTCAAGAGGAGTCAGGCATCGTCACCTTTTGAAGCAATGAACTCCGCGTGCCTCTCGAGGTGTCAGCGGGATGTGAGGCATTCCGTCAAAATGAGGCAGGGACCTAGGGATTTCTCTAAGGTCTCCACAGGGGATTCAGACATCCCTTCATGTTGTGAGATGAAAGACGAGCCTGTATTCAAGCCACTGCAAGGAAATCCGGCCTCCTTTCAAGTTAGGGCTTCTCGCTGTATATTCCCCTTGAGGCAGCAAACTCGGGGTCCCTCCCACATAACTGTTGCTGAGAGAAGCCTCCTCCTGAGGTGCTTCTGGGAAGTTGGCATACGTCTTGAGCCTAAGCCAGGGAATCAGCTCTCATCTCGAGACGATTTGGGGTACACGGAGCATTCCTCGAGTTGCTGTGCTGAAGTTGGTGTTCCTCTAGACTTGGGACAGTGTTCTCGGGGCATCTCTGGAGTTGCCTGAAGGAAGTCGAGCCACCGGTCGTGTTGAATGGGGAACGGGGAATGGCTCTGGAGTCAATGCAGGGGAATCGGGCCTCATCTCGAGTTGATTTGGGGCACATGGAGCTGCTTTGCGTTGCTGGGGTGACCTTAGGGTCCGTCTAGACTGGTGACAGTGTTCTTGGGGACTGTCTCGAGATCCATTAAGCAAGTCGAAGCTCCTGACTTGTTTGAATGGGATCACGGAATAGCTCTGCATGCACTGCAGGGGAATGGGGCCTCATCTCGCCTCTAGGGGGAAGTCTCATGGTTTTTCTCGAGTTGCGGCGGGGACCTGGGGTATGTTCTCGACTTATGGCGGGGATGGCCCTTCAAGACACGAGTTTCTTCAGTGACGTCAGGACTCCTGTCTAGTAACGAGGGACACCTCAGGAATCTCTTCGAGGCTTGGCAGGGCAAAAGGGACGCTTCTCGAGGTGAGGCAGGGCACCCAAGGACCCTTTCCAGTAGCCACAGGGATTTTGGGATTCCTATCAGTATTCAAGAGGAGTCAGGCATCGTCACCTTTTGAAGCAATGAACTCCGCGTGCCTCTCGAGGTGTCAGCGCGATGTGAGGCATTCCGTCAAAATGAGGCAGGGACCTAGGGCTTTCTCTAAGGTCTCCACAGGGGATTCAGACATCCCTTCATGTTGTGAGATGAAAGACGAGCCTGTATTCAAGCCACTGCAAGGAAATCCGGCCTCCTTTCAAGTTAGGGCTTCTCGCTGTATATTCCCCTTGAGGCAGCAAACTCGGGGTCCCTCCCACATACCTATTGCTGAGAGAAGCCTCCTCCTGAGGTGCTTCTGGGAAGTTGGCATACGTCTTGAGCCTAAGCCAGGGAATCAGCTCTCATCTCGAGACGATTTGGGGTACACGGAGCATTCCTCGAGTTGCTGTGCTGAAGTTGGTGTTCCTCTAGACTTGGGACAGTGTTCTCGGGGCATCTCTGGAGTTGCCTGAAGGAAGTCGAGCCACCGGTCGTGTTGAATGGGGAACGGGGAATGGCTCTGGAGTCAATGCAGGGGAATCGGGCCTCATCTCGAGTTGATTTGGGGCACATGGAGCTGCTTTGCGTTGCTGGGGTGACCTCAGGGTCCGTCTAGACTGGTGACAGTGTTCTTGGGGACTGTCTCGAGATCCATTAAGCAAGTCGAAGCTCCTGACTTGTTTGAATGGGATCACGGAATAGCTCTGCATGCACTGCAGGGGAATGGGGCCTCATCTCGCCTCTAGAGGGAAGTCTCATGGTTTTTCTCGAGTTGCGGCGGGGACCTGGGGTATGTTCTCGACTTACGGCGGGGATGGCCCTTCAAAACACGAGTTTCTTCAGTGACGTCAGGACTGCTGTCTAGTAACGAGGGACACCTCAGGAATCTCTTCGAGGCTTGGCAGGGCAAAAGGGACGCTTCTCGAGGTGAGGCAGGGCACCCAAGGACCCTTTCCAGTAGCCACAGGGATTTTGGGATTCCTATCAGTATTCAAGAGGAGTCAGGCATCGTCACCTTTTGAAGCAATGAACTCCGCGTGCCTCTCCAGGTGTCAGCGGGATGTGAGGCATTCCGTCAAAATGAGGCAGGGACCTAGGGCTTTCTCTAAGGTCTCCACAGGGGATTCAGACATCCCTTCATGTTGTGAGATGAAAGACGAGCCTGTATTCAAGCCACTGCAAGGAAATCCGGCCTCCTTTCAAGTTAGGGCTTCTCGCTGTATATTCCCCTTGAGGCAGCAAACTCGGGGTCCCTCCCACATACCTATTGCTGAGAGAAGCCTCCTCCTGAGGTGCTTCTGGGAAGTTGGCATACGTCTTGAGCCTAAGCCAGGGAATCAGCTCTCATCTCGAGACGATTTGGGGTACACGGAGCATTCCTCGAGTTGCTGTGCTGAAGTTGGTGTTCCTCTAGACTTGGGACAGTGTTCTCGGGGCATCTCTGGAGTTGCCTGAAGGAAGTCGAGCCACCGGTCGTGTTGAATGGGGAACGGGGAATGGCTCTGGAGTCAATGCAGGGGAATCGGGCCTCATCTCGAGTTGATTTGGGGCACATGGAGATGCTTTGCGTTGCTGGGGTGACCTCAGGGTCCGTCTAGACTGGTGACAGTGTTCTTGGGGACTGTCTCGAGATCCATTAAGCAAGTCGAAGCTCCTGACTTGTTTGAATGGGATCACGGAATAGCTCTGCATGCACTGCAGGGGAATGGGGCCTCATCTCGCCTCTAGGGGGAAGTCTCATGGTTTTTCTCGAGTTGCGGTGGGGACCTGGGGTATGTTCTCGACTTACGGCGGGGATGGCCCTTCAAAACACGAGTTTCTTCAGTGACGTCAGGACTCCTGTCTAGTAACGAGGGACACCTCAGGAATCTCTTCGAGGCTTGGCAGGGCAAAAGGGACGCTTCTCGAGGTGAGGCAGGGCACCCAAGGACCCTTTCCAGTAGCCACAGGGATATTGGGATTCCTATCAGCATTCAAGAGGAGTCAGGCATCGTCACCTTTTGAAGCAATGAACTCCGCGTGCCTCTCGAGGTGTCAACGGGATGTGAGGCATTCCGTCAAAATGAGGCAGGGACCTAGGGCTTTCTCTAAGGTCTCCACAGGGGATTCAGACATCCCTTCATGTTGTGAGATGAAAGACGAGCCTGTATTCAAGCCACTGCAAGGAAATCCGGCCTCCTTTCAAGTTAGGGCTTCTCGCTGTATATTCCCCTTGAGGCAGCAAACTCGGGATCCCTCCCACATACCTATTGCTGAGAGAAGCCTCCTCCTGAGGTGCTTCTGGGAAGTTGGCATACGTCTTGAGCCTAAGCCAGGGAATCAGCTCTCATGTCGAGACGATTTGGGGTACAAGGAGCATTCCTCGAGTTGCTGTGCTGAAGTTCGTGTTCCTCTAGATTTGGGACAGTGTTCTCGGGGCATCTCTGGAGTTGCCTGAAGGAAGTCGAGCCACCGGTCGTGTTGAATGGGGAACGGGGAATGGCTCTGGAGTCAATGCAGGGGAATCGGGCCTCATCTCGAGTTGATTTGGGGCACATGGAGCTGCTTTGCTTTGCTGGGGTGACCTCAGGGTCCGTCTAGACTGGTGACATTGTTCTTGGGGACTGTCTCGAGATCCATTAAGCAAGTCGAAGCCCCTGATTTGTTTGAATGGGATCACGGAATAGCTCTGCATGCACTGCAGGGGAATGGGGCCTCATCTCGCCTCTAGAGGAAGTCTCATGGTTTTTCTCGAGTTGCGGCGGGGACCTGGGGTATGTTCTCGACTTACGGCAGGGATGGCCCTTCAAAACACGAGTTTCTTCAGTGACGTCAGGACTCCTGTCTAGTAACGAGGGACACCTCAGGAATCTCTTCGAGGCTTGGCAGGGCAAAAGGGACGCTTCTCGAAGTGAGGCAGGGCACCCAAGGACCCTTTCCAGTAGCCACAGGGATTTTGGGATTCCTATCAGTATTCAAGAGGAGTCAGGCATCGTCACCTTTTGAAGCAATGAACTCCGCGTGCCTCTCGAGGTGTCAGCGGGATGTGAGGCATTCCGTCAAAATGAGGCAGGGACCTAGGGCTTTCTCTAAGGTCTCCACAGGGGATTCAGACATCCCTTCATGTTGTGAGATGAAAGACGAGCCTGTATTCAAGCCACTGCAAGGAAATCCGGCCTCCTTTCAAGTTAGGGCTTCTCGCTGTATATTCCCCTTGAGGCAGCAAACTCGGGGTCCCTCCCACATACCTATTGCTGAGAGAAGCCTCCTCCTGAGGTGCTTCTGGGAAGTTGGCATACGTCTTGAGCCTAAGCCAGGGAATCAGCTCTCATCTCGAGACGATTTGGGGTACACGGAGCATTCCTCGAGTTGCTGTGCTGAAGTTGGTGTTCCTCTAGACTTGGGGCAGTGTTCTCGGGGCATCTCTGGAGTTGCCTGAAGGAAGTCGAGCGACCGGTCGTGTTGAATGGGGAACGGGGAATGGCTCTGGAGTCAATGCAGGGGAATCGGGCCTCATCTCGAGTTGATTTGGGGCACATGGAGCTGCTTTGCGTTGCTGGGGTGACCTCAGGGTCCGTCTAGACTGGTGACAGTGTTCTTGCGGACTGTCTCGAGATCCATTAAGCAAGTCGAAGCTCCTGACTTGTTTGAATGGGATCACGGAATAGCTCTGCATGCACTGCAGGGGAATGGGGCCTCATCTCGCCTCTAGGGGGAAGTCTCATGGTTTTTCTCGAGTTGCGGCGGGGACCTGGGGTATGTTCTCGACTTACGGCGGGGATGGCCCTTCAAGACACGAGTTTCTTCAGTGACGTCAGGACTCCTGTCTAGTAACGAGGGACACCTCAGGAATCTCTTCGAGGCTTGGCAGGGCAAAAGGGACGCTTCTCGAGGTGAGGCAGGGCACCCAAGGACCCTTTCCAGTAGCCACAGGGATTTTGGGATTCCTATCAGTATTCAAGAGGAGTCAGGCATCGTCACCTTTTGAAGCAATGAACTCCGCGTGCCTCTCGAGGTGTCAGCGGGATGTGAGGCATTCCGTCAAAATGAGGCAGGGACCTAGGGCTTTCTCTAAGGCCTCCACAGGGGATTCAGACATCCCTTCATGTTGTGAGATGAAAGACGAGCCTGTATTCAAGACACTGCAAGGAAATCCGGCCTCCTTTCAAGTTAGGGCTTCTCGCTGTATATTCCCCTTGAGGCAGCAAACTCGGGGTCCCTCCCACATACCTATTGCTGAGAGAAGCCTCCTCCTGAGGTGCTTCTGGGAAGTTGGCATACGTCTTGAGCCTAAGCCAGGGAATCAGCTCGCATCTCGAGACGATTTGGGGTACACGGAGCTTTCCTCGAGTTGCTGTGCTGAAGTTGGTGTTCCTCTAGACTTGGGACAGTGTTCTCGGGGCATCTCTGGAGTTGCCTGAAGGAAGTCGAGCCACCGGTCGTGTTGAATGGGGAACGGGGAATGGCTCTGGAGTCAATGCAGGGGAATCGGGCCTCATCTCGAGTTGATTTGGGGCACATGGAGCTGCTTTGCATTGCTGGGGTGACCTCAGGGTCCGTCTAGACTGGTGACAGTGTTCTTGGGGACTGTCTCGAGATCCATTAAGCAAGTCGAAGCTCCTGATTTGTTTGAATGGGATCACGGAATAGCTCTGCATGCACTGCAGGGGAATGGGGCCTCATCTCTCCTCTAGAGGAAGTCTCATGGTTTTTCTCGAGTTGCGGCGGGGACCTTGGGTATGTTCTCGACTTACGGCGGGGATGGCCCTTCAAAACACGAGTCTCTTCAGTGACGTCAGGACTCCTGTCTAGTAACGAGGGACACCTCAGGAATCTCTTCGAGGCTTGGCAGGGCAAAAGGGACGCTTCTCGAGGTGAGGCAGGGCACCCAAGGACCCTTTCCAGTAGCCACAGGGATTTTGGGATTCCTATCAGTATTCAAGAGGAGTCAGGCATCGTCACCTTTTGAAGCAATGAACTCCGCGTGCCTCTCGAGGTGTCAGCGGGATGTGAGGCATTCCGTCAAAATGAGGCAGGGACCTAGGGCTTTCTCTAAGGTCTCCACAGGGGATTCAGACATCCCTTCATGTTGTGAGATGAAAGACGAGCCTGTATTCAAGCCACTGCAAGGAAATCCGGCCTCCTTTCAAGTTAGGGCTTCTCGCTGTATATTCCCCTTGACGCAGCAAACTCGGGGTCCCTCCCACATACCTGTTGCTGAGAGAAGCCTCCTCCTGAGGTGCTTCTGGGAAGTTGGCATACGTCTTGAGCCTAAGCCAGGGAATCAGCTCTCATCTCGAGACGATTTGGGGTACACGGAGCATTCCTCGAGTTGCTGTGCTGAAGTTGGTGTTCCTCTAGACTTGGGACAGTGTTCTCGGGGCATCTCTGGAGTTGCCTGAAGAAAGTCGAGCCACCGGTCGTGTTGAATGGGGAACGGGGAATGGCTCTGGAGTCAATGCAGGGGAATCGGGCCTCATCTCGATTTGATTTGGGGCACATGGTGCTGCTTTGCGTTGCTGGGGTGACCTCAGGGTCCGTCTAGACTGGTGACAGTGTTCTTGGGGACTGTCTCGAGATCCATTAAGCAAGTCGAAGCTCCTGACTTGTTTGAATGGGATCACGGAATAGCTCTGCATGCACTGCAGGGGAATGGGGCCTCATCTCGCCTCTAGGGGGAAGTCTCATGGTTTTTCTCGAGTTGCGGCGGGGCCCTGGGGTATGTTCTCGACTTACGGCGGGGATGGCCCTTCAAGACACGAGTTTCTTCAGTGACGTCAGGACTCCTGTCTAGTAACGAGGGACACCTCAGGAATCTCTTCGAGGCTTGGCAGGGCAAAAGGGACGCTTCTCGAGGTGAGGCAGGGCACCCAAGGACCCTTTCCAGTAGCCACAGGGATTTTGGGATTCCTATCAGTATTCAAGAGGAGTCAGGCATCGTCACCTTTTGAAGCAATGAACTCCGCGTGCCTCTCGAGGTGTCAGCGGGATGTGAGGCATTCCGTCAAAATGAGGCAGGGACCTAGGGCTTTCTCTAAGGTCTCCACAGGGGATTCAGACATCCCTTCATGTTGTGAGATGAAAGACGAGCCTGTATTCAAGCCACTGCAAGGAAATCCGGCCTCCTTTCAAGTTAGGGCTTCTCGCTGTATATTCCCCTTGAGGCAGCAAACTCGGGGTCCCTCCCACATACCTATTGCTGAGAGAAGCCTCCTCCTGAGGTGCTTCTGGGAAGTTGGCATACGTCTTGAGCCTAAGCCAGGGAATCAGCTCGCATCTCGAGACGATTTGGGGTACACGGAGCATTCCTCGAGTTGCTGTGCTGAAGTTGGTGTTCCTCTAGACTTGGGACAGTGTTCTCGGGGCATCTCTGGAGTTGCCTGAAGGAAGTCGAGCCACCGGTCGTGTTGAATGGGGAACGGGGAATGGCTCTGGAGTCAATGCAGGGGAATCGGGCCTCATCTCGATTTGATTTGGGGCACATGGAGCTGCTTTGCATTGCTGGGGTGACCTCAGGGTCCGTCTAGACTGGTGACAGTGTTCTTGGGGACTGTCTCGAGATCCATTAAGCAAGTCGAAGCTCCTGACTTGTTTGAATGGGATCACGGAATAGCTCTGCATGCACTGCAGGGGAATGGGGCCTCATCTCGCCTCTAGGGGGAAGTCTCATGGTTTTTCTCGTGTTGCGGCGGGGCCCTGGGGTATGTTCTCGACTTACGGCGGGGATGGCCCTTCAAGACACGAGTTTCTTCAGTGACGTCAGGACTCCTGTCTAGTAACGAGGGACACCTCAGGAATCTCTTCGAGGCTTGGCAGGGCAAAAGGGACGCTTCTCGAGGTGAGGCAGGGCACCCAAGGACCCTTTCCAGTAGCCACAGGGATTTTGGGATTCCTATCAGTATTCAAGAGGAGTCAGGCATCGTCACCTTTTGAAGCAATGAACTCCGCGTGCCTCTCGAGGTGTCAGCGGGATGTGAGGCATTCCGTCAAAATGAGGCAGGGACCTAGGGCTTTCTCTAAGGTCTCCACAGGGGATTCAGACATCCCTTCATGTTGTGAGATGAAAGACGAGCCTGTATTCAAGCCACTGCAAGGAAATCCGGCCTCCTTTCAAGTTAGGGCTTCTCGCTGTATATTCCCCTTGAGGCAGCAAACTCGGGGTCCCTCCCACATACCTATTGCTGAGAGAAGCCTCCTCCTGAGGTGCTTCTGGGAAGTTGGCATACGTCTTGAGCCTAAGCCAGGGAATCAGCTCGCATCTCGAGACGATTTGGGGTACACGGAGCATTCCTCGAGTTGCTGTGCTGAAGTTGGTGTTCCTCTAGACTTGGGACAGTGTTCTCGGGGCATCTGTGGAGTTGCCTGAAGGAAGTCGAGCCACCGGTCGTGTTGAATGGGGAACGGGGAATGGCTCTGGAGTCAATGCAGGGGAATCGGGCCTCATCTCGAGTTGATTTGGGGCACATGGAGCTGCTTTGCGTTGCTGGGGTGACCTCAGGGTCCGTCTAGACTGGTGACAGTGTTCTTGGGGACTGTCTCGAGATCCATTAAGCAAGTGGAAGCTCCTGACTTGTTTGAATGGGATCACGGAATAGCTCTGCATGCACTGCAGGGGAATGGGGCCTCATCTCGCCTCTAGGGGGAAGTCTCATGGTTTTTCTCGAGTTGCGGCGGGGACCTGGGGTATGTTCTCGACTTACGGCGGGGATGGCCCTTCAAAACACGAGTTTCTTCAGTGACGTCAGGACTCCTGTCTAGTAACGAGGGACACCTCAGGAATCTCTTTGAGGCTTGGCAGGGCAAAAGGGACGCTTCTCGAGGTGAGGCAGGGCACCCAAGGACTCTTTCCAGTAGCCACAGGGATTTTGGGATTCCTATCAGTATTCAAGAGGAGTCAGGCATCGTCACCTTTTGAAGCAATGAACTCCTTGTGCCTCTCGAGGTGTCAGCGGGATGTGAGGCATTCCGTCAAAATGAGGCAGGGACCTAGGGCTTTCTCTAATGTCTCCACAGGGGATTCAGACATCCCTTCATGTTGTGAGATGAAAGATGAGCCTGTATTCAAGCCACTGGAAGGAAATTCGGCCTCCTTTCAAGTTAGGGCTTCTCGCTGTATATTCCCCTTGAGGCAGCAAAATCGGGGTCCCTCCCACATACCTATTGCTGAGAGAAGCCTCCTCCTGAGGTGCTTCTGGGAAGTTGGCATACGTCTTGAGCCTAAGCCAGGGAATCAGCTCGCATCTCGAGACGATTTGGGGTACACGGAGCATTCCTCGAGTTGCTGTGCTGAAGTTGGTGTTCCTCTAGACTTGGGACAGTGTTCTCGGGGCATCTCTGGAGTTGCCTGAAGGAAGTCGAGCCACCGGTCGTGTTGAATGGGGAACGGGGAATGGCTCTGGAGTCAATGCAGGGGAATCGGGCCTCATCTCGAGTTGATTTGGGGCACATGGAGGTGCTTTGCGTTGCTGGGGTGACCTCAGGGTCCGTCTAGACTGGTGACAGTGTTCTTGGGGACTGTCTCGAGATCCATTAAGCAAGTCGAAGCTCCTGACTTGTTTGAATGGGATCACGGAATAGCTCTGCATGCACTGCAGGGGAATGGGGCCTCATCTCGCCTCTAGGGGGAAGTCTCATGGTTTTTCTCGAGTTGCGGTGGGGACCTGGGGTATGTTCTCGACTTACGGCGGGGATGGCCCTTCAAAACACGAGTTTCTTCAGTGACGTCAGGACTCCTGTCTAGTAACGAGGGACACCTCAGGAATCTCTTCGAGGCTTGGCAGGGCCAAAGGGACGCTTCTCGAGGTGAGGCAGGGCACCCAAGGACCCTTTCCAGTAGCCACAGGGATGTTGGGATTCATATCAGCATTCAAGAGGAGTCAGGCATCGTCACCTTTTGAAGCAATGAACTCCGCGTGCCTCTCGAGGTGTCAGCGGGATGTGAGGCATTCCGTCAAAATGAGGCAGGGACCTAGGGCTTTCTCTAAGGTCTCCACAGGGGATTCAGACATCCCTTCATGTTGTGAGATGAAAGACGAGCCTGTATTCAAGCCACTGCAAGGAAATCCGGCCTCCTTTCAAGTTAGGGCTTCTCGCTGTATATTCCCCTTGAGGCAGCAAAATCGGGGTCCCTCCCACATACCTATTGCTGAGAGAAGCCTCCTCCTGAGGTGCTTCTGGGAAGTTGGCATACGTCTTGAGCCTAAGCCAGGGAATCAGCTCTCATCTCGAGACGATTTGGGGTACACGGAGCATTCCTCGAGTTGCTGTGCTGAAGTTGGTGTTCCTCTAGACTTGGGACAGTGTTCTCAGGGCATCTCTGGAGTTGCCTGAAGGAAGTCGAGCCACCGGTCGTGTTGAATGGGGAACGGGGAATGGCTCTGGAGTCAATGCAGGGGAATCGGGCCTCATCTCGAGTTGATTTGGGGCACATGGAGGTGCTTTGCGTTGCTGGGGTGACCTCAGGGTCCGTCTAGACTGGTGACAGTGTTCTTGGGGACTGTCTCGAGATCCATTAAGCAAGTCGAAGCTCCTGACTTGTTTGAATGGGATCACGGAATAGCTCTGCATGCACTGCAGGGGAATGGGGCCTCATCTCGCCTCTAGGGGGAAGTCTCATGGTTTTTCTCGAGTTGCGGCGGGGACCTGGGGTATGTTCTCGACTTACGGCGGGTATGGCCCTTCAAAACACGAGTTTCTTCAGTGACGTCAGGTCTCCTGTCTAGTAACGAGGGACACCTCAGGAATCTCTTCGAGGCTTGGCAGGGCAAAAGGGACGCTTCTCGAGGTGAGGCAGGGCACCCAAGGACCCTTTCCAGTAGCCACAGGGATTTTGGGATTCCTATCAGTATTCAAGAGGAGTCAGGCATCGTCACCTTTTGAAGCAATGAACTCCGCGTGCCTCTCGAGGTGTCAGCGCGATGTGAGGCATTCCGTCAAAATGAGGCAGGGACCTAGGGCTTTCTCTAAGGTCTCCACAGGGGATTCAGACATCCCTTCATGTTGTGAGATGAAAGACGAGCCTGTATTCAAGCCATTGCAAGGAAATCCGGCCTCCTTTCAAGTTAGGGCTTCTCGCTGTATATTTCCCTTGAGGCAGCAAACTCGGGGTCCCTCCCACATACCTATTGCTGAGAGAAGCCTCCTCCTGAGGTGCTTCTGGGAAGTTGGCATACGTCTTGAGCCTAAGCCAGGGAATCAGCTCGCATCTCGAGACGATTTGGGGTACACGGAGCATTCCTCGAGTTGCTGTGCTGAAGTTGGTGTTCCTCTAGACTTGGGACAGTGTTCTCGGGGCATCTGTGGAGTTGCCTGAAGGAAGTCGAGCCACCGGTCGTGTTGAATGGGGAACGGGGAATGGCTCTGGAGTCAATGCAGGGGAATCGGGCCTCATCTCGAGTTGATTTGGGGCACATGGAGCTGCTTTGCGTTGCTGGGGTGACCTCAGGGTCCGTCTAGACTGGTGACAGTGTTCTTGGGGACTGTCTCGAGATCCATTAAGCAAGTCGAAGCTCCTGAATTGTTTGAATGGGATCACGGAATAGCTCTGCATGCACTGCAGGGGAATGGGGCCTCATCTCGCCTCTAGGGGGAAGTCTCATGGTTTTTCTCGAGTTGCGGTGGGGACCTGGGGTATGTTCTCGACTTACGGCGGGGATGGCCCTTCAAAACACGAGTTTCTTCAGTGACGTCAGGACTCCTGTCTAGTAACGAGGGACACCTCAGGAATCTCTTCGAGGCTTGGCAGGGCCAAAGGGACGCTTCTCGAGGTGAGGCAGGGCACCCAAGGACCCTTTCCAGTAGCCACAGGGATGTTGGGATTCATATCAGCATTCAAGAGGAGTCAGGCATCGTCACCTTTTGAAGCAATGAACTCCGCGTGCCTCTCGAGGTGTCAGCGGGATGTGAGGCATTCCGTCAAAATGAGGCAGGGACCTAGGGCTTTCTCTAAGGTCTCCACAGGGGATTCAGACATCCCTTCATGTTGTGAGATGAAAGACGAGCCTGTATTCAAGCCACTGCAAGGAAATCCGGCCTCCTTTCAAGTTAGGGCTTCTCGCTGTATATTCCCCTTGAGGCAGCAAACTCGGGGTCCCTCCCACATACCTATTGCTGAGAGAAGCCTCCTCCTGAGGTGCTTCTGGGAAGTTGGCATACGTCTTGAGCCTAAGCCAGGGAATCAGCTCTAATCTCGAGACGATTTGGGGTACACGGAGCATTCCTCGAGTTGCTGTGCTGAAGTTGGTGTTCCTCTAGACTTGGGACAGTGTTCTCGGGGCATCTCTGGAGTTGCCTGAAGGAAGTCGAGCCACCGGTCGTGTTGAGTGGGGAACGGGGAATGGCTCTGGAGTCAATGCAGGGGAATCGGGCCTCATCTCGAGTTGATTTGGGGCACATGGAGGTGCTTTGCGTTGCTGGGGTGACCTCAGGGTCCGTCTAGACTGGTGACAGTGTTCTTGGGGACTGTCTCGAGATCCATTAAGCAAGTCGAAGCTCCTGACTTGTTTGAATGGGATCACGGAATAGCTCTGCATGCACTGCAGGGGAATGGGGCCTCATCTCGCCTCTAGGGGGAAGTCTCATGGTTTTTCTCGAGTTGCGGCGGGGACCTGGGGTATGTTCTCGACTTACGGCGGGGATGGCCCTTCAAAACACGAGTTTCTTCAGTGACGTCAGGACTCCTGTCTAGTAACGAGGGACACCTCAGGAATCTCTTCGAGGCTTGGCAGGGCAAAAGGGACGCTTCTCGAGGTGAGGCAGGGCACCCAAGGACCCTTTCCAGTAGCCACAGGGATTTTGGGATTCCTATCAGTATTCAAGAGGAGTCAGGCATCGTCACCTTTTGAAGCAATGAACTCCGCGTGCCTCTCGAGGTGTCAGCCCGATGTGAGGCATTCCGTCAAAATGAGGCAGGGACCTAGGGCTTTCTCTAAGGTCTCCACAGGGGATTCAGACATCCCTTCATGTTGTGAGATGAAAGACGAGCCTGTATTCAAGCCATTGCAAGGAAATCCGGCCTCCTTTCAAGTTAGGGCTTCTCGCTGTATATTTCCCTTGAGGCAGCAAACTCGGGGTCCCTCCCACATACCTATTGCTGAGAGAAGCCTCCTCCTGAGGTGCTTCTGGGAAGTTGGCATACGTCTTGAGCCTAAGCCAGGGAATCAGCTCGCATCTCGAGACGATTTGGGGTACACGGAGCATTCCTCGAGTTGCTGTGCTGAAGTTGGTGTTCCTCTAGACTTGGGACAGTGTTCTCGGGGCATCTGTGGAGTTGCCTGAAGGAAGTCGAGCCACCGGTCGTGTTGAATGGGGAACGGGGAATGGCTCTGGAGTCAATGCAGGGGAATCGGGCCTCATCTCGAGTTGATTTGGGGCACATGGAGCTGCTTTGCGTTGCTGGGGTGACCTCAGGGTCCGTCTAGACTGGTGACAGTGTTCTTGGGGACTGTCTCGAGATCCATTAAGCAACTCGAAGCTCCTGAATTGTTTGAATGGGATCATGGAATAGCTCTGCATGCACTGCAGGGGAATGGGGCCTCATCTCGCCTCTAGGGGGAAGTCTCATGGTTTTTCTCGAGTTGCGGTGGGGACCTGGGATATGTTCTCGACTTACGGCGGGGATGGCCCTTCAAAACACGAGTTTCTTCAGTGACGTCAGGACTCCTGTCTAGTAACGAGGGACACCTCAGGAATCTCTTCGAGGCTTGGCAGGGCCAAAGGGACGCTTCTCGAGGTGAGGCAGGGCACCCAAGGACCCTTTCCAGTAACCACAGGGATGTTGGGATTCATATCAGCATTCAAGAGGAGTCAGGCATCGTCACCTTTTGAAGCAATGAACTCCGCGTGCCTCTCGAGGTGTCAGCGGGATGTGAGGCATTCCGTCAAAATGAGGCAGGGACCTAGGGCTTTCTCTAAGGTCTCCACAGGGGATTCAGACATCCCTTCATGTTGTGAGATGAAAGACGAGCCTGTATTCAAGCCACTGCAAGGAAATCCGGCCTCCTTTCAAGTTAGGGCTTCTCGCTGTATATTCCCCTTTAGGCAGCAAACTCGGGGTCCCTCCCACATACCTATTGCTGAGAGAAGCCTCCTCCTGAGGTGCTTCTGGGAAGTTGGCATACGTCTTGAGCCTAAGCCAGGGAATCAGCTCTCATCTCGAGACGATTTGGGGTACACGGAACATTCCTCGAGTTGCTGTGCTGAAGTTCGTGTTCCTCTAGATTTGGGACAGTGTTCTCGGGGCATCTCTGGAGTTGCCTGAAGGAAGTCGAGCCACCGGTCGTGTTGAGTGGGGAACGGGGAATGGCTCTGGAGTCAATGCAGGGGAATCGGGCCTCATCTCGAGTTGATTTGGGGCACATGGATCTGCTTTGCTTTGCTGGGGTGACCTCAGGGTCCGTCTAGACTGGTGACATTGTTCTTGGGGACTGTCTCGTGATCCATTAAGCAAGTCGAAGCCCCTGACTTGTTTGAATGGGATCACGGAATAGCTCTGCATGCACTGCAGGGGAATGGGGCCTCATCTCGCCTCTAGAGGAAGTCTCATGGTTTTTCTCGAGTTGCGGCGGGGACCTGGGGTATGTTCTCGACTTACGGCGGGGATGGCCCTTCAAAACACCAGTTTCTTCAGTGACGTCAGGACTCCTGTCTAGTAACGAGGGACACCTCAGGAATCTCTTCGAGGCTTGGCAGGGCAAAAGGGACGCTTCTCGAGGTGAGGCAGGGCACCCAAGGACCCTTTCCAGTAGCCACAGGGATTTTGGGATTCCTATCAGTATTCAAGAGGAGTCAGGCATCGTCACCTTTTGAAGCAATGAACTCCACGTGCCTCTCGAAGTGTCAGCGGGATGTGAGGCATTCCGTCAAAATGAGGCAGGGACCTAGGGCTTTCTCTAAGGTCTCCACAGGGGATTCAGACATCCCTTCATGTTGTGAGATGAAAGACGAGCCTGTATTCAAGCCACTGCAAGGAAATCCGGCCTCCTTTCAAGTTAGGGCTTCTCGCTGTATATTCCCCTTGAGGCAGCAAACTCGGGGTCCCTCCCACATACCTATTGCTGAGAGAAGCCTCCTCCTGAGGTGCTTCTGGGAAGTTGGCATACGTCTTGAGCCTAAGCCAGGGAATCAGCTCTCATCTCGAGACGATTTGGGGTACACGGAGCATTCCTCGAGTTGCTGTGGTGAAGTTGGTGTTCCTCTAGACTTGGGACAGTGTTCTCGGGGCATCTCTGGAGTTGCCTGAAGGAAGTCGAGCCACCGGTCGTGTTGAATGGGGAACGGGGAATGGCTCTGGAGTCAATGCAGGGGAATCGGGCCTCATCTCGAGTTGATTTGGGGCACATGGAGCTGCTTTGCGTTGCTGGGGTGACCTCAGGGTCCGTCTAGACTGGTGACAGTGTTCTTGGGGACTGTCTCGAGATCCATTAAGCAAGTCGAAGCTCCTGACTTGTTTGAATGGGATCACGGAATAGCTCTGCATGCACTGCAGGGGAATGGGGCCTCATCTCGCCTCTAGAGGGAAGTCTCATGGTTTTTCTCGAGTTGCGGCGGGGACCTGGGGTATGTTCTCGACTTACGGCGGGGATGGCCCTTCAAAACACGAGTTTCTTCAGTGACGTCAGGACTCCTGTCTAGTAACGAGGGACACCTCAGGAATCTCTTCGAGGCTTGGCAGGGCAAAAGGGACGCTTCTCGAGGTGAGGCAGGGCACCCAAGGACCCTTTCCAGTAGCCACAGGGATTTTGGGATTCCTATCAGTATTCAAGAGGAGTCAGGCATCGTCACCTTTTGAAGCAATGAACTCCGCGTGCCTCTCGAGGTGTCAGCGCGATGTGAGGCATTCCGTCAAAATGAGGCAGGGACCTAGGGCTTTCTCTAAGGTCTCCACAGGGGATTCAGACATCCCTTCATGTTGTGAGATGAAAGACGAGCCTGTATTCAAGCCACTGCAAGGAAATCCGGCCTCCTTTCAAGTTAGGGCTTCTCGCTGTATATTCCCCTTGAGGCAGCAAACTCGGGGTCCCTCCCACATACCTATTGCTGAGAGAAGCCTCCTCCTGAGGTGCTTCTGGGAAGTTGGCATACGTCTTGAGCCTAAGCCAGGGAATCAGCTCTCATCTCGAGACGATTTGGGGTACACGGAGCATTCCTCGAGTTGCTGTGCTGAAGTTGGTGTTCCTCTAGACTTGGGACAGTGTTCTCGGGGCATCTCTGGAGTTGCCTGAAGGAAGTCGAGCCACCGGTCGTGTTGAATGGAGAACGGGGAATGGCTCTGGAGTCAATGCAGGGGAATCGGGCCTCATCTCGAGTTGATTTGGGGCACATGGAGCTGCTTTGCGTTGCTGGGGTGACCTCAGGGTCCGTCTAGACTGGTGACAGTGTTCTTGGGGACTGTCTCGAGATCCATTAAGCAAGTCGAAGCTCCTGACTTGTTTGAATGGGATCACGGAATAGCTCTGCATGCACTGCAGGGGAATGGGGCCTCATCTCGCCTGTAGGGGGAAGTCTCATGGTTTTTCTCGAGTTGCGGCGGGGACCTGGGGTATGTTCTCGACTTACGGCGGGGATGGCCCCTCAAGACACGAGTTTCTTCAGTGACGTCAGGAGTCCTGTCTAGTAACGAGGGACACCTCAGGAATCTCTTCGAGGCTTGGCAGGGCAAAAGGGACGCTTCTCGAGGTGAGGCAGGGCACCCAAGGACCCTTTCCAGTAGCCACAGGGATTTTGGGATTCCTATCAGTATTCAAGAGGAGTCAGGCATCGTCACCTTTTGAAGCAATGAACTCCGTGTGCCTCTCAAGGTGTCAGCGGGATGTGAGGCATTCCGTCAAAATGAGGCAGGGACCTAGGGCTTTCTCTAAGGTCTCCACAGGGGATTCAGACATCCCTTCATGTTGTGAGATGAAAGACGAGCCTGTATTCAAGCCACTGCAAGGAAATCCGGCCTCCTTTCAAGTTAGGGCTTCTCGCTGTATATTTCCCTTGAGGCAGCAAACTCGGGGTCCCTCCCACATACCTATTGCTGAGAGAAGCCTCCTCCTGAGGTGCTTCTGGGAAGTTGGCATACGTCTTGAGCCTAAGCCAGGGAATCAGCTCGCATCTCGAGACGATTTGGGGTACACGGAGCATTCCTCGAGTTGCTGTGCTGAAGTTGGTGTTCCTCTAGACTTGGGACAGTGTTCTCGGGGCATCTCTGGAGTTGCCTGAAGGAAGTCGAGCCACCGGTCGTGTTGAGTGGGGAACGGGGAATGGCTCTGGAGTCAATGCAGGGGAATCGGGCCTCATCTCGAGTTGATTTGGGGCACATGGAGCTGCTTTGCTTTGCTGGGGTGACCTCAGGGTCCGTCTAGACTGGTGACATTGTTCTTGGGGACTGTCTCGAGATCCATTAAGCAAGTCGAAGCTCCTGATTTGTTTGAATGGGATCACGGAATAGCTCTGCATGCACTGCAGGGGAATGGGGCCTCATCTCGCCTCTAGGGGGAAGTCTCATGGTTTTTCTCGAGTTGCGGCGGGGACCTGGGGTATGTTCTCGACTTATGGCGGGGATGGCCCTTCAAGACACGAGTTTCTTCAGTGACGTCAGGACTCCTGTCTAGTAACGAGGGACACCTCAGGAATCTCTTCGAGGCTTGGCAGGGCAAAAGGGACGCTTCTCGAGGTGAGGCAGGGCACCCAAGGACCCTTTCCAGTAGCCACAGGGATTTTGGGATTCCTATCAGTATTCAAGAGGAGTCAGGCATCGTCACCTTTTGAAGCAATGAACTCCGCGTGCCTCTCGAGGTGTCAGCGCGATGTGAGGCATTCCGTCAAAATGAGGCAGGGACCTAGGGCTTTCTCTAAGGTCTCCACAGGGGATTCAGACATCCCTTCATGTTGTGAGATGAAAGACGAGCCTGTATTCAAGCCACTGCAAGGAAATCCGGCCTCCTTTCAAGTTAGGGCTTCTCGCTGTATATTCCCCTTGAGGCAGCAAACTCGGGGTCCCTCCCACATACCTATTGCTGAGAGAAGCCTCCTCCTGAGGTGCTTCTGGGAAGTTGGCATACGTCTTGAGCCTAAGCCAGGGAATCAGCTCTCATCTCGAGACGATTTGGGGTACACGGAGCATTCCTCGAGTTGCTGTGCTGAAGTTGGTGTTCCTCTAGACTTGGGACAGTGTTCTCGGGGCATCTCTGGAGTTGCCTGAAGGAAGTCGAGCCACCGGTCGTGTTGAATGGGGAACGGGGAATGGCTCTGGAGTCAATGCAGGGGAATCGGGCCTCATCTCGAGTTGATTTGGGGCACATGGAGCTGCTTTGCGTTGCTGGGGTGACCTCAGGGTCCGTCTAGGCTGGTGACAGTGTTCTTGGGGACTGTCTCGAGATCCATTAAGCAAGTCGAAGCTCCTGACTTGTTTGAATGGGATCACGGAATAGCTCTGCATGCACTGCAGGGGAATGGGGCCTCATCTCGCCTCTAGAGGGAAGTCTCATGGTTTTTCTCGAGTTGCGGCGGGGACCTGGGGTATGTTCTCGACTTACGGCGGGGATGGCCCTTCAAAACACGAGTTTCTTCAGTGACGTCAGGACTCCTGTCTAGTAACGAGGGACACCTCAGGAATCTCTTCGAGGCTTGGCAGGGCAAAAGGGACGCTTCTCGAGGTGAGGCAGGGCACCCAAGGACCCTTTCCAGTAGCCACAGTGATTTTGGGATTCCTATCAGTATTCAAGAGGAGTCAGGCATCGTCACCTTTTGAAGCAATGAACTCCGCGTGCCTCTCGAGTTGTCAGCGCGATGTGAGGCATTCCGTCAAAATGAGGCAGGGACCTAGGGCTTTCTCTAAGGTCTCCACAGGGGATTCAGACATCCCTTCATGTTGTGAGATGAAAGACGAGCCTGTATTCAAGCCACTGCAAGGAAATCCGGCCTCCTTTCAAGTTAGGGCTTCTCGCTGTATATTCCCCTTCAGGCATCAAACTCGGGGTCCCTCCCACATACCTATTGCTGAGAGAAGCCTCCTGCTAAGGTGCTTCTGGGAAGTTGGCATACGTCTTGAGCCTAAGATAGGGAATCAGCTCGCATCTCGAGACGATTTGGGGTACACGGAGCATTCCTCGAGTTGCTGTGCTGAAGTTGGTGTTCCTCTAGACTTGGGACAGTGTTCTCGGGGCATCTCTGGAGTTGCCTGAAGGAAGTCGAGCCACCGGTCGTGTTGAATGGGGAACGGGGAATGGCTCTGGAGTCAATGCAGGGGAATCGGGCCTCATCTCGAGTTGATTTGGGGCACATGGAGCTGCTTTGCGTTGCTGGGGTGACCTCAGGGTCCGTCTAGACTGGTGACAGTGTTCTTGGGGACTGTCTCGAGATCCATTAAGCAAGTCGAAGCTCCTGACTTGTTTGAATGGGATCACGGAATAGCTCTGCATGCACTGCAGGGGAATGGGGCCTCATCTCGCCTCTAGAGGAAGTCTCATGGTTTTTCTCGAGTTGCGGCGGGGACCTGGGGTATGTTCTCGACTTACGGCGGGGATGGCCCTTCAAAACACGAGTTTCTTCAGTGACGTCAGGACTCCTGTCTAGTAACGAGGGACACCTCAGGAATCTCTTCGAGGCTTGGCAGGGCAAAAGGGACGCTTCTCGAGGTGAGGCAGGGCACCCAAGGACCCTTTCCAGTAGCCACAGGGATTTTGGGATTCCTATCAGTATTCAAGAGGAGTCAGGCATCGTCACCTTTTGAAGCAATGAACTCCGCGTGCCTCTCGAGGTGTCAGCGGGATGTGAGGCATTCCGTCAAAATGAGGCAGGGACCTAGGGCTTTCTCTAAGGTCTCCACAGGGGATTCAGACATCCCTTCATGTTGTGAGATGAAAGACGAGCCTGTATTCAAGCCACTGCAAGGAAATCCGGCCTCCTTTCAAGTTAGGGCTTCTCGCTGTATATTCCCCTTGAGGCAGCAAACTCGGGGTCCCTCCCACATACCTATTGCTGAGAGAAGCCTCCTCCTGAGGTGCTTCTGGGAAGTTGGCATACGTCTTGAGCCTAAGCCAGGGAATCAGCTCGCATCTCGAGACGATTTGGGGTACACGGAGCATTCCTCGAGTTGCTGTGCTGAAGTTGGTGTTCCTCTAGACTTGGGACAGTGTTCTCGGGGCATCTCTGGAGTTGCCTGAAGGAAGTCGAGCCACCGGTCGTGTTGAGTGGGGAACGGGGAATGGCTCTGGAGTCAATGCAGGGGAATCGGGCCTCATCTCGAGTTGATTTGGGGCACATGGAGCTGCTTTGCTTTGCTGGGGTGACCTCAGGGTCCGTCTAGACTGGTGACATTGTTCTTGGGGACTGTCTCGAGATCCATTAAGCAAGTCGAAGCTCCTGATTTGTTTGAATGGGATCACGGAATAGCTCTGCATGCACTGCAGGGGAATGGGGCCTCATCTCGCCTCTAGAGGAAGTCTCATGGTTTTTCTCGAGTTGCGGCGGGGACCTGGGGTATGTTCTCGACTTACGGCGGGGATGGCCCTTCAAAACACGAGTTTCTTCAGTGACGTCAGGACTCCTGTCTAGTAACGAGGGACACCTCAGGAATCTCTTCGAGGCTTGGCAGGGCAAAAGGGACGCTTCTCGAGGTGAGGCAGGGCACCCAAGGACCCTTTCCAGTAGCCACAGGGATTTTGGGATTCCTATCCGTATTCAAGAGGAGTCAGGCATCGTCACCTTTTGAAGCAATGAACTCCGCGTGCCTCTCGAGGTGTCAGCGGGATGTGAGGCATTCCGTCAAAATGAGGCAGGGACCTAGGGATTTCTCTAAGGTCTCCACAGGGGATTCAGACATCCCTTCATGTTGTGAGATGAAAGACGAGCCTGTATTCAAGCCACTGCAAGGAAATCCGGCCTCCTTTCAAGTTAGGGCTTCTCGCTGTATATTACCCTTGAGGCAGCAAACTCGGGGTCCCTCCCACATACCTGTTGCTGAGAGAAGCCTCCTCCTGAGGTGCTTCTGGGAAGTTGGCATACGTCTTGAGCCTAAGCCAGGGAATCAGCTCTCATCTCGAGACGATTTGGGGTACACGGAGCATTCCTCGAGTTGCTGTGCTGAAGTTGGTGTTCCTCTAGACTTGGGACAGTGTTCTCGGGGCATCTCTGGAGTTGCCTGAAGGAAGTCGAGCCACCGGTCGTGTTGAATGGGGAACGGGGAATGGCTCTGGAGTCAATGCAGGGGAATCGGGCCTCATCTCGAGTTGATTTGGGGCACATGGAGCTGCTTTGCGTTGCTGATGTGACCTCAGGGTCCGTCTAGACTGGTGACAGTGTTCTTGGGGACTGTCTCGAGATCCATTAAGCAAGTCGAAGCTCCTGACTTGTTTGAATGGGATCACGGAATAGCTCTGCATGCACTGCAGGGGAATGGGGCCTCATCTCGCCTCTAGGGGGAAGTCTCATGGTTTTTCTCGAGTTGCGGCGGGGACCTGGGGTATGTTCTCGACTTATGGCGGGGATGGCCCTTCAAGACACGAGTTTCTTCAGTGACGTCAGGACTCCTGTCTAGTAACGAGGGACTCCTCAGGAATCTCTTCGAGGCTTGGCAGGGCAAAAGGGACGCTTCTCGAGGTGAGGCAGGGCACCCAAGGACCCTTTCCAGTAGCCACAGGGATTTTGGGATTCCTATCAGTATTCAAGAGGAGTCAGGCATCGTCACCTTTTGAAGCAATGAACTCCGCGTGCCTCTCGAGGTGTCAGCGCGATGTGAGGCATTCCGTCAAAATGAGGCAGGGACCTAGGGCTTTCTCTAAGGTCTCCACAGGGGATTCAGACATCCCTTCATGTTGTGAGATGAAAGACGAGCCTGTATTCAAGCCACTGCAAGGAAATCCGGCCTCCTTTCAAGTTAGGGCTTCTCGCTGTATATTCCCCTTGAGGCATCAAACTCGGGGTCCCTCCCACATACCTATTGCTGAGAGAAGCCTCCTGCTAAGGTGCTTCTGGGAAGTTGGCATACGTCTTGAGCCTAAGATAGGGAATCAGCTCGCATCTCGAGACGATTTGGGGTACACGGAGCATTCCTCGAGTTGCTGTGCTGAAGTTGGTGTTCCTCTAGACTTGGGACAGTGTTCTCGGGGCATCTCTGGAGTTGCCTGAAGGAAGTCGAGCCACCGGTCGTGTTGAATGGGGAACGGGGAATGGCTCTGGAGTCAATGCAGGGGAATCGGGCCTCATCTCGAGTTGATTTGGGGCACATGGAGCTGCTTTGCTTTGCTGGGGTGACCTCAGGGTCCGTCTAGACTGGTGACATTGTTCTTGGGGACTGTCTCGAGATCCATTAAGCAAGTCGAAGCTCCTGATTTGTTTGAATGGGATCACGGAATAGCTCTGCATGCACTGCAGGGGAATGGGGCCTCATCTCGCCTCTAGAGGAAGTCTCATGGTTTTTCTCGAGTTGCGGCGGGGACCTGGGGTATGTTCTCGACTTACGGCGGGGATGGCCCTTCAAAACACGAGTTTCTTCAGTGACGTCAGGACTCCTGTCTAGTAACGAGGGACACCTCAGGAATCTCTTCGAGGCTTGGCAGGGCAAAAGGGACGCTTCTCGAGGTGAGGCAGGGCACCCAAGGACCCTTTCCAGTAGCCACAGGGATTTTGGGATTCCTATCAGTATTCAAGAGGAGTCAGGCATCGTCACCTTTTGAAGCAATGAACTCCGCGTGCCTCTCGAGGTGTCAGCGGGATGTGAGGCATTCCGTCAAAATGAGGCAGGGACCTAGGGATTTCTCTAAGGTCTCCACAGGGGATTCAGACATCCCTTCATGTTGTGAGATGAAAGACGAGCCTGTATTCAAGCCACTGCAAGGAAATCCGGCCTCCTTTCAAGTTAGGGCTTCTCGCTGTATATTCCCCTTGAGGCAGCAAACTCGGGGTCCCTCCCACATACCTGTTGCTGAGAGAAGCCTCCTCCTGAGGTGCTTCTGGGAAGTTGGCATACGTCTTGAGCCTAAGCCAGGGAATCAGCTCTCATCTCGAGACGATTTGGGGTACACGGAGCATTCCTCGAGTTGCTGTGCTGAAGTTGGTGTTCCTCTAGACTTGGGACAGTGTTCTCGGGGCATCTCTGGAGTTGCCTGAAGGAAGTCGAGCCACCGGTCGTGTTGAATGGGGAACGGGGAATGGCTCTGGAGTCAATGCAGGGGAATCGGGCCTCATCTCGAGTTGATTTGGGGCACATGGAGCTGCTTTGCGTTGCTGATGTGACCTCAGGGTCCGTCTAGACTGGTGACAGTGTTCTTGGGGACTGTCTCGAGATCCATTAAGCAAGTCGAAGCTCCTGACTTGTTTGAATGGGATCACGGAATAGCTCTGCATGCACTGCAGGGGAATGGGGCCTCATCTCGCCTCTAGGGGGAAGTCTCATGGTTTTTCTCGAGTTGCGGCGGGGACCTGGGGTATGTTCTCGACTTATGGCGGGGATGGCCCTTCAAGACACGAGTTTCTTCAGTGACGTCAGGACTCCTGTCTAGTAACGAGGGACACCTCAGGAATCTCTTCGAGGCTTGGCAGGGCAAAAGGGACGCTTCTCGAGGTGAGGCAGGGCACCCAAGGACCCTTTCCAGTAGCCACAGGGATTTTGGGATTCCTATCAGTATTCAAGAGGAGTCAGGCATCGTCACCTTTTGAAGCAATGAACTCCGCGTGCCTCTCGAGGTGTCAGCGCGATGTGAGGCATTCCGTCAAAATGAGGCAGGGACCTAGGGCTTTCTCTAAGGTCTCCACAGGGGATTCAGACATCCCTTCATGTTGTGAGATGAAAGACGAGCCTGTATTCAAGCCACTGCAAGGAAATCCGGCCTCCTTTCAAGTTAGGGCTTCTCGCTGTATATTCCCCTTGAGGCAGCAAACTCGGGGTCCCTCCCACATACCTATTGCTGAGAGAAGCCTCCTCCTGAGGTGCTTCTGGGAAGTTGGCATACGTCTTGAGCCTAAGCCAGGGAATCAGCTCTCATCTCGAGACGATTTGGGGTACACGGAGCATTCCTCGAGTTGCTGTGCTGAAGTTGGTGTTCCTCTAGACTTGGGACAGTGTTCTCGGGGCATCTCTGGAGTTGCCTGAAGGAAGTCGAGCCACCGGTCGTGTTGAATGGGGAACGGGGAATGGCTCTGGAGTCAATGCAGGGGAATCGGGCCTCATCTCGAGTTGATTTGGGGCACATGGAGCTGCTTTGCGTTGCTGGGGTGACCTCAGGGTCCGTCTAGGCTGGTGACATTGTTCTTGGGGACTGTCTCGAGATCCATTAAGCAAGTCGAAGCTCCTGATTTGTTTGAATGGGATCACGGAATAGCTCTGCATGCACTGCAGGGGAATGGGGCCTCATCTCGCCTCTAGAGGAAGTCTCATGGTTTTTCTCGAGTTGCGGCGGGGACCTGGGGTATGTTCTCGACTTACGGCGGGGATGGCCCTTCAAAACACGAGTTTCTTCAGTGACGTCAGGACTCCTGTCTAGTAACGAGGGACACCTCAGGAATCTCTTCGAGGCTTGGCAGGGCAAAAGGGACGCTTCTCGAGGTGAGGCAGGGCACCCAAGGACCCTTTCCAGTAGCCACAGGGATTTTGGGATTCCTATCAGTATTCAAGAGGAGTCAGGCATCGTCACCTTTTGAAGCAATGAACTCCGCGTGCCTCTCGAGGTGTCAGCGGGATGTGAGGCATTCCGTCAAAATGAGGCAGGGACCTAGGGATTTCTCTAAGGTCTCCACAGGGGATTCAGACATCCCTTCATGTTGTGAGATGAAAGACGAGCCTGTATTCAAGCCACTGCAAGGAAATCCGGCCTCCTTTCAAGTTAGGGCTTCTCGCTGTATATTCCCCTTGAGGCAGCAAACTCGGGGTCCCTCCCACATACCTGTTGCTGAGAGAAGCCTCCTCCTGAGGTGCTTCTGGGAAGTTGGCATACGTCTTGAGCCTAAGCCAGGGAATCAGCTCTCATCTCGAGACGATTTGGGGTACACGGAGCATTCCTCGAGTTGCTGTGCTGAAGTTGGTGTTCCTCTAGACTTGGGACAGTGTTCTCGGGGCATCTCTGGAGTTGCCTGAAGGAAGTCGAGCCACCGGTCGTGTTGAATGGGGAACGGGGAATGGCTCTGGAGTCAATGCAGGGGAATCGGGCCTCATCTCGAGTTGATTTGGGGCACATGGAGCTGCTTTGCGTTGCTGGGGTGACCTCAGGGTCCGTCTAGACTGGTGACAGTGTTCTTGGGGACTGTCTCGAGATCCATTAAGCAAGTCGAAGCTCCTGACTTGTTTGAATGGGATCACGGAATAGCTCTGCATGCACTGCAGGGGAATGGGGCCTCATCTCGCCTCTAGGGGGAAGTCTCATGGTTTTTCTCGAGTTGCGGCGGGGACCTGGGGTATGTTCTCTACTTATGGCGGGGATGGCACTTCAAAACACGAGTTTCTTCAGTGACGTCAGGACTCCTGTCTAGTAACGAGGGACACCTCAGGAATCTCTTAGAGGCTTGGCAGGGCAAAAGGGACGCTTCTCGAGGTGAGGCAGGGCACCCAAGGACCCTTTCCAGTAGCCACAGGGATTTTGGGATTCCTATCAGTATTCAAGAGGAGTCAGGCATCGTCACCTTTTGAAGCAATGAACTCCGCGTGCCTCTCGAGGTGTCAGCGCGATGTGAGGCATTCCGTCAAAATGAGGCAGGGACCTAGGGCTTTCTCTAAGGTCTCCACAGGGGATTCAGACATCCCTTCATGTTGTGAGATGAAAGACGAGCCTGTATTCAAGCCACTGCAAGGAAATCCGGCCTCCTTTCAAGTTAGGGCTTCTCGCTGTATATTCCCCTTGAGGCAGCAAACTCGGGGTCCCTCCCACATACCTGTTGCTGAGAGAAGCCTCCTCCTGAGGTGCTTCTGGGAAGTTGGCATACGTCTTGAGCCTAAGCCAGGGAATCAGCTCTCATCTCGAGACGATTTGGGGTACACGGAGCATTCCTCGAGTTGCTGTGCTGAAGTTGGTGTTCCTCTAGACTTGGGACAGTGTTCTCGGGGCATCTCTGGAGTTGCCTGAAGGAAGTCGAGCCACCGGTCGTGTTGAATGGGGAACGGGGAATGGCTCTGGAGTCAATGCAGGGGAATCGGGCCTCATCTCGAGTTGATTTGGGGCACATGGAGCTGCTTTGCGTTGCTGGGGTGACCTCAGGGTCCGTCTAGACTGGTGACAGTGTTCTTGGGGACTGTCTCGAGATCCATTAAGCAAGTCGAAGCTCCTGACTTGTTTGAATGGGATCACGGAATAGCTCTGCATGCACTGCAGGGGAATGGGGCCTCATCTCGCCTCTAGGGGGAAGTCTCATGGTTTTTCTCGAGTTGCGGCGGGGACCTGGGGTATGTTCTCGACTTACGGCGGGGATGGCCCTTCAAAACACGAGTTTCTTCAGTGACGTCAGGACTGCTGTCTAGTAACGAGGGACACCTCAGGAATCTCTTCGAGGCTTGGCAGGGCAAAAGGGACGCTTCTCGAGGTGAGGCAGGGCACCCAAGGACCCTTTCCAGTAGCCACAGGGATTTTGGGATTCCTATCAGTATTCAAGAGGAGTCAGGCATCGTCACCTTTTGAAGCAATGAACTCCGCGTGCCTCTCGAGGTGTCAGCGCGATGTGAGGCATTCCGTCAAAATGAGGCAGGGACCTAGGGCTTTCTCTAAGGTCTCCACAGGGGATTCAGACATCCCTTCATGTTGTGAGATGAAAGACGAGCCTGTATTCAAGCCACTGCAAGGAAATCCGGCCTCCTTTCAAGTTAGGGCTTCTCGCTGTATATTCCCCTTGAGGCATCAAACTCGGGGTCCCTCCCACATACCTATTGCTGAGAGAAGCCTCCTCCTGAGGTGCTTCTGGGAAGTTGGCATACGTCTTGAGCCTAAGCCAGGGAATCAGCTCGCATCTCGAGACGATTTGGGGTACACGGAGCATTCCTCGAGTTGCTGTGCTGAAGTTGGTGTTCCTCTAGACTTGGGACAGTGTTCTCGGGGCATCTCTGGAGTTGCCTGAAGGAAGTCGAGCCACCGGTCGTGTTGAATGGGGAACGGGGAATGGCTCTGGAGTCAATGCAGGGGAATCGGGCCTCATCTCGAGTTGATTTGGGGCACATGGAGCTGCTTTGCGTTGCTGGGGTGACCTCAGGGTCCGTCTAGACTGGTGACAGTGTTCTTGGGGACTGTCTCGAGATCCATTAAGCAAGTCGAAGCTCCTGACTTGTTTGAATGGGATCACGGAATAGCTCTGCATGCACTGCAGGGGAATGGGGCCTCATCTCGCCTCTAGGGGGAAGTCTCATGGTTTTTCTCGAGTTGCGGCGGGGACCTGGGGTATGTTCTCGACTTACGGCGGGGATGGCCCTTCAAAACACGAGTTTCTTCAGTGACGTCAGGACTGCTGTCTAGTAACGAGGGACACCTCAGGAATCTCTTCGAGGCTTGGCAGGGCAAAAGGGACGCTTCTCGAGGTGAGGCAGGGCACCCAAGGACCCTTTCCAGTAGCCACAGGGATTTTGGGATTCCTATCAGTATTCAAGAGGAGTCAGGCATCGTCACCTTTTGAAGCAATGAACTCCGCGTGCCTCTCGAGGTGTCAGCGGGATGTGAGGCATTCCGTCAAAATGAGGCAGGGACCTAGGGCTTTCTCTAAGGTCTCCACAGGGGATTCAGACATCCCTTCATGTTGTGAGATGAAAGACGAGCCTGTATTCAAGCCACTGCAAGGAAATCCGGCCTCCTTTCAAGTTAGGGCTTCTCGCTGTATATTCCCCTTGAGGCAGCAAACTCGGGGTCCCTCCCACATACCTATTGCTGAGAGAAGCCTCCTCCTGAGGTGCTTCTGGGAAGTTGGCATACGTCTTGAGCCTAAGCCAGGGAATCAGCTCGCATCTCGAGACGATTTGGGGTACACGGAGCATTCCTCCAGTTGCTGTGCTGAAGTTGGTGTTCCTCTAGACTTGGGACAGTGTTCTCGGGGCATCTCTGGAGTTGCCTGAAGGAAGTCGAGCCACCGGTCGTGTTGAATGGGGAACGGGGAATGGCTCTGGAGTCAATGCAGGGGAATCGGGCCTCATCTCGAGTTGATTTGGGGCACATGGAGCTGCTTTGCGTTGCTGGGGTGACCTCAGGGTCCGTCTAGACTGGTGACAGTGTTCTTGGGGACTGTCTCGAGATCCATTAAGCAAGTCGAAGCTCCTGACTTGTTTGAATGGGATCACGGAATAGCTCTGCATGCACTGCAGGGGAATGGGGCCTCATCTCGCCTCTAGGGGGAAGTCTCATGGTTTTTCTCGAGTTGCGGCGGGGACCTGGGGTATGTTCTCGACTTACGGCGGGGATGGCCCTTCAAAACACGAGTTTCTTCAGTGACGTCAGGACTGCTGTCTAGTAACGAGGGACACCTCAGGAATCTCTTCGAGGCTTGGCAGGGCAAAAGGGACGCTTCTCGAGGTGAGGCAGGGCACCCAAGGACCCTTTCCAGTAGCCACAGGGATTTTGGGATTCCTATCAGTATTCAAGAGGAGTCAGGCATCGTCACCTTTTGAAGCAATGAACTCCGCGTGCCTCTCGAGGTGTCAGCGGGATGTGAGGCATTCCGTCAAAATGAGGCAGGGACCTAGGGCTTTCTCTAAGGTCTCCACAGGGGATTCAGACATCCCTTCATGTTGTGAGATGAAAGACGAGCCTGTATTCAAGCCACTGCAAGGAAATCCGGCCTCCTTTCAAGTTAGGGCTTCTCGCTGTATATTCCCCTTGAGGCAGCAAACTCGGGGTCCCTCCCACATACCTATTGCTGAGAGAAGCCTCCTCCTGAGGTGCTTCTGGGAAGTTGGCATACGTCTTGAGCCTAAGCCAGGGAATCAGCTCGCATCTCGAGACGATTTGGGGTACACGGAGCATTCCTCGAGTTGCTGTGCTGAAGTTGGTGTTCCTCTAGACTTGGGACAGTGTTCTCGGGGCATCTCTGGAGTTGCCTGAAGGAAGTCGAGCCACCGGTCGTGTTGAGTGGGGAACGGGGAATGGCTCTGGAGTCAATGCAGGGGAATCGGGCCTCATCTCGAGTTGATTTGGGGCACATGGAGCTGCTTTGCTTTGCTGGGGTGACCTCAGGGTCCGTCTAGACTGGTGACATTGTTCTTGGGGACTGTCTCGAGATCCATTAAGCAAGTCGAAGCTCCTGATTTGTTTGAATGGGATCACGGAATAGCTCTGCATGCACTGCAGGGGAATGGGGCCTCATCTCGCCTCTAGAGGAAGTCTCATGGTTTTTCTCGAGTTGCGGCGGGGACCTGGGGTATGTTCTCGACTTAAGGCGGGGATGGCCCTTCAAAACACGAGTTTCTTCAGTGACGTCAGGACTCCTGTCTAGTAACGAGGGACACCTCAGGAATCTCTTCGAGGCTTGGCAGGGCAAAAGGGACGCTTCTCGAGGTGAGGCAGGGCACCCAAGGACCCTTTCCAGTAGCCACAGGGATTTTGGGATTCCTATCAGTATTCAAGAGGAGTCAGGCATCGTCACCTTTTGAAGCAATGAACTCCGCGTGCCTCTCGAGGTGTCAGCGGGATGTGAGGCATTCCGTCAAAATGAGGCAGGGACCTAGGGATTTCTCTAAGGTCTCCACAGGGGATTCAGACATCCCTTCATGTTGTGAGATGAAAGACGAGCCTGTATTCAAGCCACTGCAAGGAAATCCGGCCTCCTTTCAAGTTAGGGCTTCTCGCTGTATATTCCCCTTGAGGCAGCAAACTCGGGGTCCCTCCCACATACCTGTTGCTGAGAGAAGCCTCCTCCTGAGGTGCTTCTGGGAAGTTGGCATACGTCTTGAGCCTAAGCCAGGGAATCAGCTCTCATCTCGAGACGATTTGGGGTACACGGAGCATTCCTCGAGTTGCTGTGCTGAAGTTGGTGTTCCTCTAGACTTGGGACAGTGTTCTCGGGGCATCTCTGGAGTTGCCTGAAGGAAGTCGAGCCACCGGTCGTGTTGAATGGGGAACGGGGAATGGCTCTGGAGTCAATGCAGGGGAATCGGGCCTCATCTCGAGTTGATTTGGGGCACATGGAGCTGCTTTGCGTTGCTGGGGTGACCTCAGGGTCCGTCTAGACTGGTGACAGTGTTCTTGGGGACTGTCTCGAGATCCATTAAGCAAGTCGAAGCTCCTGACTTGTTTGAATGGGATCACGGAATAGCTCTGCATGCACTGCAGGGGAATGGGGCCTCATCTCGCCTCTAGGGGGAAGTCTCATGGTTTTTCTCGAGTTGCGGCGGGGACCTGGGGTATATTCTCGACTTATGGCGGGGATGGCCCTTCAAGACACGAGTTTCTTCAGTGACGTCAGGACTCCTGTCTAGTAACGAGGGACACCTCAGGAATCTCTTCGAGGCTTGGCAGGGCAAAAGGGACGCTTCTCGAGGTGAGGCAGGGCACCCAAGGACCCTTTCCAGTAGCCACAGGGATTTTGGGATTCCTATCAGTATTCAAGAGGAGTCAGGCATCGTCACCTTTTGAAGCAATGAACTCCGCGTGCCTCTCGAGGTGTCAGCGCGATGTGAGGCATTCCGTCAAAATGAGGCAGGGACCTAGGGCTTTCTCTAAGGTCTCCACAGGGGATTCAGACATCCCTTCATGTTGTGAGATGAAAGACGAGCCTGTATTCAAGCCACTGCAAGGAAATCCGGCCTCCTTTCAAGTTAGGGCTTCTCGCTGTATATTCCCCTTGAGGCAGCAAACTCGGGGTCCCTCCCACATACCTATTGCTGAGAGAAGCCTCCTCCTGAGGTGCTTCTGGGAAGTTGGCATACGTCTTGAGCCTAAGCCAGGGAATCAGCTCTCATCTCGAGACGATTTGGGGTACACGGAGCATTCCTCGAGTTGCTGTGCTGAAGTTGGTGTTCCTCTAGACTTGGGACAGTGTTCTCGGGGCATCTCTGGAGTTGCCTGAAGGAAGTCGAGCCACCGGTCGTGTTGAATGGGGAACGGGGAATGGCTCTGGAGTCAATGCAGGGGAATCGGGCCTCATCTCGAGTTGATTTGGGGCACATGGAGCTGCTTTGCGTTGCTGGGGTGACCTCAGGGTCCGTCTAGACTGGTGACAGTGTTCTTGGGGACTGTCTCGAGATCCATTAAGCAAGTCGAAGCTCCTGACTTGTTTGAATGGGATCACGGAATAGCTCTGCATACACTGCAGGGGAATGGGGCCTCATCTCGCCTCTAGGGGGAAGTCTCATGGTTTTTCTCGAGTTGCGGCGGGGACCTGGGGTATGTTCTCGACTTACGGCGGGGATGGCCCTTCAAAACACGAGTTTCTTCAGTGACGTCAGGACTGCTGTCTAGTAACGAGGGACACCTCAGGAATCTCTTCGAGGCTTGGCAGGGCAAAAGGGACGCTTCTCGAGGTGAGGCAGGGCACCCAAGGACCCTTTCCAGTAGCCACAGGGATTTTGGGATTCCTATCAGTATTCAAGAGGAGTCAGGCATCGTCACCTTTTGAAGCAATGAACTCCGCGTGCCTCTCGAGGTGTCAGCGCGATGTGAGGCATTCCGTCAAAATGAGGCAGGGACCTAGGGCTTTCTCTAAGGTCTCCACAGGGGATTCAGACATCCCTTCATGTTGTGAGATGAAAGATGAGCCTGTATTCAAGCCACTGCAAGGAAATCCGGCCTCCTTTCAAGTTAGGGCTTCTCGCTGTATATTCCCCTTGAGGCAGCAAACTCGGGGTCCCTCCCACATACCTATTGCTGAGAGAAGCCTCCTCCTGAGGTGCTTCTGGGAAGTTGGCATACGTCTTGAGCCTAAGCCAGGGAATCAGCTCGCATCTCGAGACGATTTGGGGTACACGGAGCATTCCTCGAGTTGCTGTGCTGAAGTTGGTGTTCCTCTAGACTTGGGACAGTGTTCTCGGGGCATCTCTGGAGTTGCCTGAAGGAAGTCGAGCCACCGGTCGTGTTGAGTGGGGAACGGGGAATGGCTCTGGAGTCAATGCAGGGGAATCGGGCCTCATCTCGAGTTGATTTGGGGCACATGGAGCTGCTTTGCTTTGCTGGGGTGACCTCAGGGTCCGTCTAGACTGGTGACATTGTTCTTGGGGACTGTCTCGAGATCCATTAAGCAAGTCGAAGCTCCTGATTTGTTTGAATGGGATCACGGAATAGCTCTGCATGCACTGCAGGGGAATGGGGCCTCATCTCGCCTCTAGAGGAAGTCTCATGGTTTTTCTCGAGTTGCGGCGGGGACCTGGGGTATGTTCTCGACTTACGGCGGGGATGGCCCTTCAAAACACGAGTTTCTTCAGTGACGTCAGGACTCCTGTCTAGTAACGAGGGACACCTCAGGAATCTCTTCGAGGCTTGGCAGGGCAAAAGGGACGCTTCTCGAGGTGAGGCAGGGCACCCAAGGACCCTTTCCAGTAGCCACAGGGATTTTGGGATTCCTATCAGTATTCAAGAGGAGTCAGGCATCGTCACCTTTTGAAGCAATGAACTCCGCGTGCCTCTCGAGGTGTCAGCGGGATGTGAGGCATTCCGTCAAAATGAGGCAGGGACCTAGGGCTTTCTCTAAGGTCTCCACAGGGGATTCAGACATCCCTTCATGTTGTGAGATGAAAGACGAGCCTGTATTCAAGCCACTGCAAGGAAATCCGGCCTCCTTTCAAGTTAGGGCTTCTCGCTGTATATTCCCCTTGAGGCAGCAAACTCGGGGTCCCTCCCACATACCTGTTGCTGAGAGAAGCCTCCTCCTGAGGTGCTTCTGGGAAGTTGGCATACGTCTTGAGCCTAAGCCAGGGAATCAGCTCTCATCTCGAGACGATTTGGGGTACACGGAGCATTCGTCGAGTTGCTGTGCTGAAGTTGGTGTTCCTCTAGACTTGGGACAGTGTTCTCGGGGCATCTCTGGAGTTGCCTGAAGGAAGTCGAGCCACCAGTCGTGTTGAATGGGGAACGGGGAATGGCTCTGGAGTCAATGCAGGGGAATCGGGCCTCATCTCGAGTTGATTTGGGGCACATGGAGCTGCTTTGCGTTGCTGGGGTGACCTCAGGGTCCGTCTAGACTGGTGACAGTGTCCTTGGGGACTGTCTCGAGATCCATTAAGCAAGTCGAAGCTCCTGACTTGTTTGAATGGGATCACGGAATAGCTCTGCATGCACTGCAGGGGAATGGGGCCTCATCTCGCCTCTAGAGGGAAGTCTCATGGTTTTTCTCGAGTTGCGGCGGGGACCTGGGGTATGTTCTCGACTTACGGCGGGGATGGCCCTTCAAAACACGAGTTTCTTCAGTGACGTCAGGACTCCTGTCTAGTAACGAGGGACACCTCAGGAATTTCTTCGAGGCTTGGCAGGGCAAAAGGGACGCTTCTCGAGGTGAGGCAGGGCACCCAAGGACCCTTTCCAGTAGCCACAGGGATTTTGGGATTCCTATCAGTATTCAAGAGGAGTCAGGCATCGTCACCTTTTGAAGCAATGAACTCCGCGTGCCTCTCGAGGTGTCAGCGCGATGTGAGGCATTCCGTCAAAATGAGGCAGGGACCTAGGGCTTTCTCTAAGGTCTCCACAGGGGATTCAGACATCCCTTCATGTTGTGAGATGAAAGACGAGCCTGTATTCAAGCCACTGCAAGGAAATCCGGCCTCCTTTCAAGTTAGGGCTTCTCGCTGTATATTCCCCTTGAGGCATCAAACTCGGGGTCCCTCCCACAAACCTATTGCTGAGAGAAGCCTCCTGCTAAGGTGCTTCTGGGAAGTTGGCATACGTCTTGAGCCTAAGATAGGGAATCAGCTTGCATCTCGAGACGATTTGGGGTACACGGAGCATTCCTCGAGTTGCTGTGCTGAAGTTGGTGTTCCTCTAGACTTGGGACAGTGTTCTCGGGGCATCTCTGGAGTTGCCTGAAGGAAGTCGAGCCACCGGTCGTGTTGAATGGGGAACGGGGAATGGCTCTGGAGTCAATGCAGGGGAATCGGGCCTCATCTCGAGTTGATTTGGGGCACATGGAGCTGCTTTGCGTTGCTGGGGTGACCTCAGGGTCCGTCTAGACTGGTGACAGTGTTCTTGGGGACTGTCTCGAGATCCATTAAGTAAGTCGAAGCTCCTGACTTGTTTGAATGGGATCACGGAATAGCTCTGCATGCACTGCAGGGGAATGGGGCCTCATCTCGCCTCTAGGGGGAAGTCTCATGGTTTTTCTCGAGTTGCGGCGGGGACCTGGGGTATGTTCTCGACTTACGGCGGGGATGGCCCTTCAAAACACGAGTTTCTTCAGTGACGTCAGGACTGCTGTCTAGTAACGAGGGACACCTCAGGAATCTCTTCGAGGCTTGGCAGGGCAAAAGGGACGCTTCTCGAGGTGAGGCAGGGCACCCAAGGACCCTTTCCAGTAGCCACAGGGATTTTGGGATTCCTATCAGTATTCAAGAGGAGTCAGGCATCGTCACCTTTTGAAGCAATGAACTCCGCGTGCCTCTCGAGGTGTCAGCGGGATGTGAGGCATTCCGTCAAAATGAGGCAGGGACCTAGGGCTTTCTCTAAGGTCTCCACAGGGGATTCAGACATCCCTTCATGTTGTGAGATGAAAGACGAGCCTGTATTCAAGCCACTGCAAGGAAATCCGGCCTCCTTTCAAGTTAGGGCTTCTCGCTGTATATTCCCCTTGAGGCAGCAAACTCGGGGTCCCTCCCACATACCTATTGCTGAGAGAAGCCTCCTCCTGAGGTGCTTCTGGGAAGTTGGCATACGTCTTGAGCCTAAGCCAGGGAATCAGCTCGCATCTCGAGACGATTTGGGGTACACGGAGCATTCCTCGAGTTGCTGTGCTGAAGTTGGTGTTCCTCTAGACTTGGGACAGTGTTCTCGGGGCATCTCTGGAGTTGCCTGAAGGAAGTCGAGCCACCGGTCGTGTTGAATGGGGAACGGGGAATGGCTCTGGAGTCAATGCAGGGGAATCGGGCCTCATCTCGAGTTGATTTGGGGCACATGGAGCTGCTTTGCGTTGCTGGGGTGACCTCAGGGTCCGTCTAGACTGGTGACAGTGTTCTTGGGGACTGTCTCGAGATCCATTAAGCAAGTCGAAGCTCCTGACTTGTTTGAATGGGATCACGGAATAGCTCTGCATGCACTGCAGGGGAATGGGGCCTCATCTCGCCTCTAGGGGGAAGTCTCATGGTTTTTCTCGAGTTGCGGCGGGGACCTGGGGTATGTTCTCGACTTACGGCGGGGATGGCCCTTCAAAACACGAGTTTCTTCAGTGACGTCAGGACTCCTGTCTAGTAACGAGGGACACCTCAGGAATCTCTTCGAGGCTTGGCAGGGCAAAAGGGACGCTTCTCGAGGTGAGGCAGGGCACCCAAGGACCCTTTCCAGTAGCCACAGGGATTTTGGGATTCCTATCAGTATTCAAGAGGAGTCAGGCATCGTCACCTTTTGAAGCAATGAACTCCGCGTGCCTCTCGAGGTGTCAGCGCGATGTGAGGCATTCCGTCAAAATGAGGCAGGGACCTAGGGCTTTCTCTAAGGTCTCCACAGGGGATTCAGACATCCCTTCATGTTGTGAGATGAAAGACGAGCCTGTATTCAAGCCACTGCAAGGAAATCCGGCCTCCTTTCAAGTTAGGGCTTCTCGCTGTATATTTCCCTTCAGGCAGCAAACTCGGGGTCCCTCCCACATACCTATTGCTGAGAGAAGCCTCCTCCTGAGGTGCTTCTGGGAAGTTGGCATACGTCTTCAGCCTAAGCCAGGGAATCAGCTCGCATCTCGAGACGATTTGGGGTACACGGAGCATTCCTCGAGTTGCTGTGCTGAAGTTGGTGTTCCTCTAGACTTGGGACAGTGTTCTCGGGGCATCTGTGGAGTTGCCTGAAGGAAGTCGAGCCACCGGTCGTGTTGAATGGGGAACGGGGAATGGCTCTGGAGTCAATGCAGGGGAATCGGGCCTCATCTCGAGTTGATTTGGGGCACATGGAGCTGCTTTGCGTTGCTGGGGTGACCTCAGGGTCCGTCTAGACTGGTGACAGTGTTCTTGGGGACTGTCTCGAGATCCATTAAGCAAGTGGAAGCTCCTGACTTGTTTGAATGGGATCACGGAATAGCTCTGCATGCACTGCAGGGGAATGGGGCCTCATCTCGCCTCTAGGGGGAAGTCTCATGGTTTTTCTCGAGTTGCGGTGGGGACCTGGGGTATGTTCTCGACTTACGGCGGGGATGGCCCTTCAAAACACGAGTTTCTTCAGTGACGTCAGGACTCCTGTCTAGTAACGAGGGACACCTCAGGAATCTCTTCGAGGCTTGGCAGGGCAAAAGGGACGCTTCTCGAGGTGAGGCAGGGCACCCAAGGACCCTTTCCAGTAGCCACAGGGATGTTGGGATTCCTATCAGCATTCAAGAGGAGTCAGGCATCGTCACCTTTTGAAGCAATGAACTCCGCGTGCCTCTCGAGGTGTCAGCGGGATGTGAGGCATTCCGTCAAAATGAGGCAGGGACCTAGGGCTTTCTCTAAGGTCTCCACAGGGGATTCAGACATCCCTTCATGTTGTGAGATGAAAGACGAGCCTGTATTCAAGCCACTGCAAGGAAATCCGGCCTCCTTTCAAGTTAGGGCTTCTCGCTGTATGTTCCCCTTGAGGCAGCAAACTCGGGGTCCCTCCCACATACCTATTGCTGAGAGAAGCCTCCTCCTGAGGTGCTTCTGGGAAGTTGGCATACGTCTTGAGCCTAAGCCAGGGAATCAGCTCGCATCTCGAGACGATTTGGGGTACACGGAGCATTCCTCGAGTTGCTGTGCTGAAGTTGGTGTTCCTCTAGACTTGGGACAGTGTTCCCGGGGCATCTCTGGAGTTGCCTGAAGGAAGTCGAGCCACCGGTCGTGTTGAATGGGGAACGGGGAATGTCTCTGGAGTCAATGCAGGGGAATCGGGCCTCATCTCGAGTTGATTTGGGGCACATGGAGATGCTTTGCTTTGCTGGGGTGACCTCAGGGTCCGTCTAGACTGGTGACATTGTTCTTGGGGACTGTCTCGAGATCCATTAAGCAAGTCGAAGCTCCTGACTTGTTTGAATGGGATCACGGAATAGCTCTGCATGCACTGCAGGGGAATGGGGCCTCATCTCGCCTCTAGAGGAAGTCTCATGGTTTTTCTCGAGTTGCGGCGGGGACCTGGGGTATGTTCTCGACTTACGGCGGGGATGGCCCTTCAAGACACGAGTTTCTTCAGTGACGTCAGGACTCCTGTCTAGTAATGAGGGACACCTCAGGAATCTCTTCGAGGCTTGGCAGGGCAAAAGGGACGCTTCTCGAGGTGAGGCAGGGCACCCAAGGACCCTTTCCAGTAGCCACAGGGATTTTGGGATTCCTATCAGTATTCAAGAGAAGTCAGGCATCGTCACCTTTTGAAGCAATGAACTCCGCGTGCCTCTCGAGGTGTCAGCGGGATGTGAGGCATTCCGTCAAAATGAGGCATTGACCTAGGGCTTTCTCTAAAGTCCACAGGGGATTCAGACATCCCTTCATGTTGTGAGATGAAAGACGAGCCTGTATTCAAGCCACTGCAAGGAAATCCGGCCTCCTTTCAAGTTAGGGCTTCTCGCTGTATATTCCCCTTGAGGCAGCAAACTCGGGGTCCCTCCACATACCTGTTGCTGAGAGAAGCCTCCTCCTGAGGTGCTTCCGGGAAGTTGGCATACGTCTTGAGCCTAAGCCAGGGAATCAGCTCTCATCTCGAGACGACTTGGGTACACGGAGCATTCCTCGAGTTGCTGTGCTGAAGTTGGTGTTCCTCTAGACTTGGGACAGTGTTCTCGGGGCATCTCTGGAGTTGCCTGAAGGAAGTCGAGCCACCGGTCGTGTTGAATGGGGAACGGGGAATGGCTCTGGAGTCAATGCAGGGGAATCGGGCCTCATCTCGAGTTGATTTGGGGCACATGGAGCTGCTTTGCGTTGCTGGGGTGACCTCAGGGTCCGTCTAGACTGGTGGCAGTGTTCTTGGGGACTGTCTCGAGATCCATTAAGCAAGTGGAAGCTCCTGACTTGTTTGAATGGGATCACGGAATAGCTCTGCATGCACTGCAGGGGAATGGGGCCTCATCTCGCCTCTAGGGGGAAGTCTCATGGTTTTTCTCGAGTTGCGGCGGGGACCTCGGGTATGTTCTCGACTTACGGCGGGGATGGCCCTTCAAAACACGAGTTTCTTCAGTGACGTCAGGACTCCTGTCTAGTAACGAGGGACACCTCAGGAATCTCTTCGAGGCTTGGCAGGGCAAAAGGGACGCTTCTCGAGGTGAGGCAGGGCACCCAAGGACCCTTTCCAGTAGCCACAGGGATTTTGGGTTTCCTATCAGTATTCAAGAGGAGTCAGGCATCGACACCTTTTGAAGCAATGAACTCCGCGTGCCTCTCGAGGTGTCAGCGGGATGTGAGGCATTCCGTCAAAATGAGGCAGGGACCTAGGGCTTTCTCTAAGGTCTCCTCAGGGGATTCAGACATCCCTTCATGTTGTGAGATGAAAGACGAGCCTGTATTCAAGCCACTGCAAGGAAATCCGGCCTCCTTTCAAGTTAGGGCTTCTCGCTGTATATTCCCCTTGAGGCAGCAAACTCGGGGTCCCTCCCACATACCTATTGCTGAGAGAAGCCTCCTCCTGAGGTGCTTCTGGGAAGTTGGCATACGTCTTGAGCCTAAGCCAGGGAATCAGCTCGCATCTCGAGACGATTTGTGGTACACGGAGCATTCCTCGAGTTGCTGTGCTGAAGTTGGTGTTCCTCTAGACTTGGGACAGTGTTCTCGGGGCATCTCTGGAGTTGCCTGAAGGAAGTCGAGCCACCGGTCGTGTTGAATGGGGAACGGGGAATGGCTCTGGAGTCAATGCAGGGGAATCGGGCCTCATCTCGAGTTGATTTGGGGCACATGGAGCTGCTTTGCATTGCTGGGGTGACCTCAGGGTCCGTCTAGACTGGTGACAGTGTTCTTGGGGACTGTCTCGAGATCCATTAAGCAAGTCGAAGCTCCTGACTTGTTTGAATGGGATCACGGAATAGCTCTGCATGCACTGCAGGGGAATGGGGCCTCATCTCGCCTCTAGGGGGAAGTCTCATGGTTTTTCTCGAGTTGCGGCGGGGACCTGGGGTATGTTCTCGACTTACGGCGGGGATGGCCCTTCAAAACACGAGTTTCTTCAGTGACGTCAGGACTCCTGTCTAGTAACGAGGGACAGCTCAGGAATCTCTTCGAGGCTTGGCAGGGCAAAAGGGACGCTTCTCGAGGTGAGGCAGGGCACCCAAGGACCCTTTCCAGTAGCCACAGGGATTTTGGGATTCCTATCAGTATTCAAGAGGAGTCAGGCATCGTCACCTTTTGAAGCAATGAACTCCGCGTGCCTCTCGAGGTGTCAGCGCGATGTGAGGCATTCCGTCAAAATGAGGCAGGGACCTAGGGCTTTCTCTAAGGTCTCCACAGGGGATTCAGACATCCCTTCATGTTGTGAGATGAAAGACGAGCCTGTATTCAAGCCACTGCAAGGAAATCCGGCCTCCTTTCAAGTTAGGGCTTCTCGCTGTATATTCCCCTTGAGGCAGCAAACTCGGGGTCCCTCCCACATACCTATTGCTGAGAGAAGCCTCCTCCTGAGGTGCTTCTGGGAAGTTGGCATACGTCTTGAGCCTACGCCAGGGAATTAGCTCGCATCTCGAGACGATTTGGGGTACACGGAGCATTCCTCGAGTTGCTGTGCTGAAGTTGGTGTTCCTCTAGACTTGGGACAGTGTTCTCGGGGCATCTCTGGAGTTGCCTGAAGGAAGTCGAGCCACCGGTCGTGTTGAATGGGGAACAGGGAATGGCTCTGGAGTCAATGCAGGGGAATTGGGCCTCATCTCGAGTTGATTTGGGGCACATGGAGCTGCTTTGCGTTGCTGGGGTGACCTCAGGGTCCGTCTAGACTGGTGACAGTGTTCTTGGGGATGTCTCGAGATCCATTAAGCAAGTCGAAGCTCCTGACTTGTTTGAATGGGATCACGGAATAGCTCTGCATGCACTGCAGGGGAATGGGGCCTCATCTCGCCTCTAGGGGGAAGTCTCATGGTTTTTCTCGAGTTGCGGCGGGGACCTGGGGTATGTTCTCGACTTACGGCGGGGATGGCCCTTCAAAACACGAGTTTCTTCAGTGACGTCAGGACTCCTGTCTAGTAACGAGGGACACCTCAGGAATCTCTTCGAGGCTTGGCAGGGCAAAAGGGACGCTTCTCGAGGTGAGGCAGGGCACCCAAGGACCCTTTCCAGTAGCCACAGGGATTTTGGGATTCCTATCAGTATTCAAGAGGAGTCAGGCATCGTCACCTTTTGAAGCAATGAACTCCGCGTGCCTCTCGAGGTGTCAGCGCGATGTGAGGCATTCCGTCAAAATGAGGCAGGGACCTAGGGCTTTCTCTAAGGTCTCCACAGGGGATTCAGACATCCCTTCATGTTGTGAGATGAAAGACGAGCCTGTATTCAAGCCACTGCAAGGAAATCCGGCCTCCTTTCAAGTTAGGGCTTCTCGCTGTATATTCCCCTTGAGGCAGCAAACTCGGGGTCCCTCCCACATACCTATTGCTGAGAGAAGCCTCCTCCTGAGGTGCTTCTGGGAAGTTGGCATACGTCTTGAGCCTAAGCCAGGGAATCAGCTCTCATCTCGAGACGATTTGGGGTACACGGAGCATTCCTCGAGTTGCTGTGCTGAAGTTGGTGTTCCTCTAGACTTGGGACAGTGTTCTCGGGGCATCTCTGGAGTTGCCTGAAGGAAGTCGAGCCACCGGTCGTGTTGAATGGGGAACGGGGAATGGCTCTGGAGTCAATGCAGGGGAATCGGGCCTCATCTCGAGTTGATTTGGGGCACATGGAGCTGCTTTGCGTTGCTGGGGTGACCTCAGGGTCCGTCTAGACTGGTGACAGTGTTCTTGGGGACTGTCTCGAGATCCATTAAGCAAGTCGAAACTCCTGACTTGTTTGAATGGGATCACGGAATAGCTCTGCATGCACTGCAGGGGAATGGGGCCTCATCTCGCCTCTAGGGGGAAGTCTCATGGTTTTTCTCGAGTTGCGGCGGGGACTTGGGGTATGTTCTCGACTTACGGCGGGGATGGCCCTTCAAAACACGAGTTTCTTCAGTGACGTCAGGACTCCTGTCTAGTAACGAGGGACACCTCAGGAATCTCTTCGAGGCTTGGCAGGGCAAAAGGGACGCTTCTCGAGGTGAGGCAGGGCACACAAGGACCCTTTCTAGTAGCCACAGGGATTTTGGGATTCCTATCAGTATTCAAGAGGAGTCAGGCATCGTCACCTTTTGAAGCAATGAACTCCGCGTGCCTCTCGAGGTGTCAGCGAGATGTGAGGCATTCCGTCAAAATGAGGCAGGGACCTAGGGCTTTCTCTAAGGTCTCCACAGGGGATTCAGACATCCCTTCATGTTGTGAGATGAAAGATGAGCCTGTATTCAAGCCACTGCAAGGAAATCCGGCCTCCTTTCAACTTAGGGCTTCTCGCTGTATATTCCCCTTGAGGCAGCAAACTCGGGGTCCCTCCCACATACCTATTGCTGAGAGAAGCCTCCTCCTGAGGTGCTTCTGGGAAGTTGGCATACGTCTTGAGCCTAAGCCAGGGAATCAGCTCGCATCTCGAGACGATTTGGGGTACACGGAGCATTCCTCGAGTTGCTGTGCTGAAGTTGGTGTTCCTCTAGACTTGGGACAGTGTTCTTGGGGCATCTCTGGAGTTGCCTGAAGGAAGTCGAGCCACCGGTCGTGTTGAATGGGGAACGGGGAATGGCTCTGGAGTCAATGCAGGGGAATCGGGCCTCATCTCGAGTTGATTTGGGGCACATGGAGCTGCTTTGCGTTGCTGGGGTGACCTCAGGGTCCGTCTAGACTGGTGACAGTGTTCTTGGGGACTGTCTCGAGATCCATTAAGCAAGTCGAAGCTCCTGACTTGTTTGAATGGGATCACGGAATAGCTCTGCATGCACTGCAGGGAAATGGGGCCTCATCTCGCCTCTAGGGGGAAGTCTCATGGTTTTTCTCGAGTTGCGGCGGGGACATGGGGTATGTTCTCGACTTACGGCGGGGATGGCCCTTCAAAACACGAGTTTCTTCAGGGACGTCAGGACTACTGTCTAGTAACGAGGGACACCTCAGGAATCTCTTCGAGGCTTGGCAGGGCAAAAGGGACGCTTCTCGAGGTGAGGCAGGGCACCCAAGGACCCTTTCCAGTAGCCACAGGGATTTTGGGATTCCTATCAGTATTCAAGAGGAGTCAGGCATCGTCACCTTTTGAAGCAATGAACTCCGCGTGCTTCTCGAAGTGTCAGCGGGATGTGAGGCATTCCGTCAAAATGAGGCAGGGACCTAGGGCTTTCTCTAAGGTCTCCACAGGGGATTCAGACATCCCTTCATGTTGTGAGATGAAAGACGAGCCTGTATTCAAGCCACTGCAAGGAAATCCGGCCTCCTTTCAAGTTAGGGCTTCTCGCTGTATATTCCCCTTGAGGCAGCAAACTCGGGGTCCCTCCCACATACCTATTGCTGAGAGAAGCCTCCTCCTGAGGTGCTTCTGGGAAGTTGGCATACGTCTTGAGCCTAAGCCAGGGAATCAGCTCGCATCTCGAGACGATTTGGGGTACACGGAGCATTCCTCGAGTTGCTGTGCTGAAGTTGGTGTTCCTCTAGACTTGGGACAGTGTTCTCGGGGCATCTCTGGAGTTGCCTGAAGGAAGTCGAGCCACCGGTCGTGTTGAATGGGGAACGGGGAATGGCTCTGGAGTCAATGCAGGGGAATCGGGCCTCATCTCGAGTTGATTTGGGGCACATGGAGCTGCTTTGCATTGCTGGGGTGACCTCAGGGTCCGTCTAGACTGGTGACAGTGTTCTTGGGGACTGTCTCGAGATCCATTAAGCAAGTGGAAGCTCCTGACTTGTTTGAATGGGATCACGGAATAGCTCTGCATGCACTGCAGGGGAATGGGGCCTCATCTCGCCTCTAGGGGGAAGTCTCATGGTTTTTCTCGAGTTGCGGCGGGGACCTGGGGTATGTTCTCGACTTACGGCGGGGATGGCCCTTCAAAACACGAGTTTCTTCAGTGACGTCAGGACTCCTGTCTAGTAACGAGGGACACCTCAGGAATCTCTTCGAGGCTTGGCAGGGCAAAAGGGACGCTTCTCGAGGTGAGGCAGGGCACCCAAGGACCCTTTCCAGTAGCCACAGGGATTTTGGGATTCCTATCAGTATTCAAGAGGAGTCAGGCATCGTCACCTTTTGAAGCAATGAACTCCGCGTGCCTCTCGAGGTGTCAGCGCGATGTGAGGCATTCCGTCAAAATGAGGCAGGGACCTAGGGCTTTCTCTAAGGTCTCCACAGGGGATTCAGACATCCCTTCATGTTGTGAGATGAAAGACGAGCCTGTATTCAAGCCACTGCAAGGAAATCCGGCCTCCTTTCAAGTTAGGGCTTCTCGCTGTATATTCCCCTTGAGGCAGCAAACTCGGGGTCCCTCCCACATACCTATTGCTGAGAGAAGCCTCCTCCTGAGGTGCTTCTGGGAAGTTGGCATACGTCTTGAGCCTAAGCCAGGGAATTAGCTCGCATCTCGAGACGATTTGGGGTACACGGAGCATTCCTCGAGTTGCTGTGCTGAAGTTGGTGTTCCTCTAGACTTCGGACAGTGTTCTCGGGGCATCTCTGGAGTTGCCTGAAGGAAGTCCAGCCACCGGTCGTGTTGAATGGGGAACAGGGAATGGCTCTGGAGTCAATGCAGGGGAATTGGGCCTCATCTCGAGTTGATTTGGGGCACATGGAGCTGCTTTGCGTTGCTGGGGTGACCTCAGGGTCCGTCTAGACTGGTGACAGTGTTCTTGGGGATGTCTCGAGATCCATTAAGCAAGTCGAAGCTCCTGACTTGTTTGAATGGGATCACGGAATAGCTCTGCATGCACTGCAGGGGAATGGGGCCTCATCTCGCCTCTAGGGGGAAGTCTCATGGTTTTTCTCGAGTTGCGGCGGGGACCTGGGGTATGTTCTCGACTTACGGCGGGGATGGCCCTTCAAAACACGAGTTTCTTCAGTGACGTCAGGACTCCTGTCTAGTAACGAGGGACACCTCAGGAATCTCTTCGAGGCTTGGCAGGGCAAAAGGGACGCTTCTCGAGGTGAGGCAGGGCACCCAAGGACCCTTTCCAGTAGCCACAGGGATTTTGGGATTCCTATCAGTATTCAAGAGGAGTCAGGCATCGTCACCTTTTGAAGCAATGAACTCCGCGTGCCTCTCGAGGTGTCAGCGCGATGTGAGGCATTCCGTCAAAATGAGGCAGGGACCTAGGGCTTTCTCTAAGGTCTCCACAGGGGATTCAGACATCCCTTCATGTTGTGAGATGAAAGACGAGCCTGTATTCAAGCCACTGCAAGGAAATCCGGCCTCCTTTCAAGTTAGGGCTTCTCGCTGTATATTCCCCTTGAGGCAGCAAACTCGGGGTCCCTCCCACATACCTATTGCTGAGAGAAGCCTCCTCCTGAGGTGCTTCTGGGAAGTTGGCATACATCTTGAGCCTAAGCCAGGGAATCAGCTCTCATCTCGAGACGATTTGGGGTACACGGAGCATTCCTCGAGTTGCTGTGCTGAAGTTGGTGTTCCTCTTGACTTGGGACAGTGTTCTCGGGGCATCTCTGGAGTTGCCTGAAGGAAGTCGAGCCACCGGTCGTGTTGAATGGGGAACGGGGAATGGCTCTGGAGTCAATGCAGGGGAATCGGGCCTCATCTCGAGTTGATTTGGGGCACATGGAGCTGCTTTGCGTTGCTGGGGTGACCTCAGGGTCCGTCTAGACTGGTGACAGTGTTCTTGGGGACTGTCTCGAGATCCATTAAGCAAGTCGAAGCTCCTGACTTGTTTGAATGGGATCACGGAATAGCTCTGCATGCACTGCAGGGAAATGGGGCCTCATCTCGCCTCTAGGGGGAAGTCTCATGGTTTTTCTCGAGTTGCGGCGGGGACATGGGGTATGTTCTCGACTTACGGCGGGGATGGCCCTTCAAAACACGAGTTTCTTCAGGGACGTCAGGACTACTGTCTAGTAACGAGGGACACCTCAGGAATCTCTTCGAGGCTTGGCAGGGCAAAAGGGACGCTTCTCGAGGTGAGGCAGGGCACCCAAGGACCCTTTCCAGTAGCCACAGGGATTTTGGGATTCCTATCAGTATTCAAGAGGAGTCAGGCATCGTCACCTTTTGAAGCAATGAACTCCGCGTGCTTCTCGAAGTGTCAGCGGGATGTGAGGCATTCCGTCAAAATGAGGCAGGGACCTAGGGCTTTCTCTAAGGTCTCCACAGGGGATTCAGACATCCCTTCATGTTGTGAGATGAAAGACGAGCCTGTATTCAAGCCACTGCAAGGAAATCCGGCCTCCTTTCAAGTTAGGGCTTCTCGCTGTATATTCCCCTTGAGGCAGCAAACTCGGGGTCCCTCCCACATACCTATTGCTGAGAGAAGCCTCCTCCTGAGGTGCTTCTGGGAAGTTGGCATACGTCTTGAGCCTAAGCCAGGGAATCAGCTCGCATCTCGAGACGATTTGGGGTACACGGAGCATTCCTCGAGTTGCTGTGCTGAAGTTGGTGTTCCTCTAGACTTGGGACAGTGTTCTCGGGGCATCTCTGGAGTTGCCTGAAGGAAGTCGAGCCACCGGTCGTGTTGAATGGGGAACGGGGAATGGCTCTGGAGTCAATGCAGGGGAATCGGGCCTCATCTCGAGTTGATTTGGGGCACATGGAGCTGCTTTGCATTGCTGGGGTGACCTCAGGGTCCGTCTAGACTGGTGACAGTGTTCTTGGGGACTGTCTCGAGATCCATTAAGCAAGTGGAAGCTCCTGACTTGTTTGAATGGGATCACGGAATAGCTCTGCATGCACTGCAGGGGAATGGGGCCTCATCTCGCCTCTAGGGGGAAGTCTCATGGTTTTTCTCGAGTTGCGGCGGGGACCTGGGGTATGTTCTCGACTTACGGCGGGGATGGCCCTTCAAAACACGAGTTTCTTCAGTGACGTCAGGACTCCTGTCTAGTAACGAGGGACACCTCAGGAATCTCTTCGAGGCTTGGCAGGGCAAAAGGGACGCTTCTCGAGGTGAGGCAGGGCACCCAAGGACCCTTTCCAGTAGCCACAGGGATTTTGGGATTCCTATCAGTATTCAAGAGGAGTCAGGCATCGTCACCTTTTGAAGCAATGAACTCCGCGTGCCTCTCGAGGTGTCAGCGCGATGTGAGGCATTCCGTCAAAATGAGGCAGGGACCTAGGGCTTTCTCTAAGGTCTCCACAGGGGATTCAGACATCCCTTCATGTTGTGAGATGAAAGACGAGCCTGTATTCAAGCCACTGCAAGGAAATCCGGCCTCCTTTCAAGTTAGGGCTTCTCGCTGTATATTCCCCTTGAGGCAGCAAACTCGGGGTCCCTCCCACATACCTATTGCTGAGAGAAGCCTCCTCCTGAGGTGCTTCTGGGAAGTTGGCATACGTCTTGAGCCTAAGCCAGGGAATTAGCTCGCATCTCGAGACGATTTGGGGTACACGGAGCATTCCTCGAGTTGCTGTGCTGAAGTTGGTGTTCCTCTAGACTTCGGACAGTGTTCTCGGGGCATCTCTGGAGTTGCCTGAAGGAAGTCCAGCCACCGGTCGTGTTGAATGGGGAACAGGGAATGGCTCTGGAGTCAATGCAGGGGAATTGGGCCTCATCTCGAGTTGATTTGGGGCACATGGAGCTGCTTTGCGTTGCTGGGGTGACCTCAGGGTCCGTCTAGACTGGTGACAGTGTTCTTGGGGATGTCTCGAGATCCATTAAGCAAGTCGAAGCTCCTGACTTGTTTGAATGGGATCACGGAATAGCTCTGCATGCACTGCAGGGGAATGGGGCCTCATCTCGCCTCTAGGGGGAAGTCTCATGGTTTTTCTCGAGTTGCGGCGGGGACCTGGGGTATGTTCTCGACTTACGGCGGGGATGGCCCTTCAAAACACGAGTTTCTTCAGTGACGTCAGGACTCCTGTCTAGTAACGAGGGACACCTCAGGAATCTCTTCGAGGCTTGGCAGGGCAAAAGGGACGCTTCTCGAGGTGAGGCAGGGCACCCAAGGACCCTTTCCAGTAGCCACAGGGATTTTGGGATTCCTATCAGTATTCAAGAGGAGTCAGGCATCGTCACCTTTTGAAGCAATGAACTCCGCGTGCCTCTCGAGGTGTCAGCGCGATGTGAGGCATTCCGTCAAAATGAGGCAGGGACCTAGGGCTTTCTCTAAGGTCTCCACAGGGGATTCAGACATCCCTTCATGTTGTGAGATGAAAGACGAGCCTGTATTCAAGCCACTGCAAGGAAATCCGGCCTCCTTTCAAGTTAGGGCTTCTCGCTGTATATTCCCCTTGAGGCAGCAAACTCGGGGTCCCTCCCACATACCTATTGCTGAGAGAAGCCTCCTCCTGAGGTGCTTCTGGGAAGTTGGCATACATCTTGAGCCTAAGCCAGGGAATCAGCTCTCATCTCGAGACGATTTGGGGTACACGGAGCATTCCTCGAGTTGCTGTGCTGAAGTTGGTGTTCCTCTTGACTTGGGACAGTGTTCTCGGGGCATCTCTGGAGTTGCCTGAAGGAAGTCGAGCCACCGGTCGTGTTGAATGGGGAACGGGGAATGGCTCTGGAGTCAATGCAGGGGAATCGGGCCTCATCTCGAGTTGATTTGGGGCACATGGAGCTGCTTTGCGTTGCTGGGGTGACCTCAGGGTCCGTCTAGACTGGTGACAGTGTTCTTGGGGACTGTCTCGAGATCCATTAAGCAAGTCGAAACTCCTGACTTGTTTGAATGGGATCACGGAATAGCTCTGCATGCACTGCAGGGGAATGGGGCGTCATCTCGCCTCTAGGGGGAAGTCTCATGGTTTTTCTCGAGTTGCGGCGGGGACTTGGGGTATGTTCTCGACTTACGGCGGGGATGGCCCTTCAAAACACGAGTTTCTTCAGTGACGTCAGGACTCCTGTCTAGTAACGAGGGACACCTCAGGAATCTCTTCGAGGCTTGGCAGGGCAAAAGGGACGCTTCTCGAGGTGAGGCAGGGCACCCAAGGACCCTTTCCAGTAGCCACAGGGATTTTGGGATTCCTATCAGTATTCAAGAGGAGTCAGGCATCGTCACCTTTTGAAGCAATGAACTCCGCGTGCCTCTCGAGGTGTCAGCGCGATGTGAGGCATTCCGTCAAAATGAGGCAGGGACCTAGGGCTTTCTCTAAGGTCTCCACAGGGGATTCAGACATCCCTTCATGTTGTGAGATGAAAGATGAGCCTGTATTCAAGCCACTGCAAGGAAATCCGGCCTCCTTTCAACTTAGGGCTTCTCGCTGTATATTCCCCTTGAGGCAGCAAACTCGGGGTCCCTCCCACATACCTATTGCTGAGAGAAGCCTCCTCCTGAGGTGCTTCTGGGAAGTTGGCATACGTCTTGAGCCTAAGCCAGGGAATCAGCTCGCATCTCGAGACGATTTGGGGTACACGGAGCATTCCTCGAGTTGCTGTGCTGAAGTTGGTGTTCCTCTAGACTTGGGACAGTGTTCTCGGGGCATCTCTGGAGTTGCCTGAAGGAAGTCGAGCCACCGGTCGTGTTGAATGGGGAACGGGGAATGGCTCTGGAGTCAATGCAGGGGAATCGGGCCTCATCTCGAGTTGATTTGGGGCACATGGAGCTGCTTTGCGTTGCTGGGGTGACCTCAGGGTCCGTCTAGACTGGTGACAGTGTTCTTGGGGACTGTCTCGAGATCCATTAAGCAAGTCGAAGCTCCTGACTTGTTTGAATGGGATCACGGAATAGCTCTGCATGCACTGCAGGGGAATGGGGCCTCATCTCGCCTCTAGGGGGAAGTCTCATGGTTTTTCTCGAGTTGCGGCGGGGACCTGGGGTATGTTCTCGACTTACGGCGGGGATGGCCCTTCAAAACACGAGTTTCTTCAGTGACGTCAGGACTCCTGTCTAGTAACGAGGGACACCTCAGGAATCTCTTCGAGGCTTGGCAGGGCAAAAGGGACGCTTCTCGAGGTGAGGCAGGGCACCCAAGGACCCTTTCCAGTAGCCACAGGGATTTTGGGATTCCTATCAGTATTCAAGAGGAGTCAGGCATCGTCACCTTTTGAAGCAATGAACTCCGCGTGCTTCTCGAGGTGTCAGCGGGATGTGAGGCATTCCGTCAAAATGAGGCAGGGACCTAGGGCTTTCTCTAACGTCTCCACAGAGGATTCAGACATCCCTTCATGTTGTGAGATGAAAGACGAGCCTGTATTCAAGCCACTGCAAGGAAATCCGGCCTCCTTTCAAGTTAGGGCTTCTCGCTGTATATTCCCCTTGAGGCAGCAAACTCGGGGTCCCTCCCACATACCTATTGCTGAGAGTAGCCTCCTCCTGAGGTGCTTCTGGGAAGTTGGCATACGTCTTGAGCCTAAGCCAGGGAATCAGCTCTCATCTCGAGACGATTTGGGGTACACGGAGCATTCCTCGAGTTGCTGTGCTGAAGTTGGTGTTCCTCTAGACTTGGGACAGTGTTCTCGGGGCATCTCTGGAGTTGCCTGAAGGAAGTCGAGCCACCGGACGTGTTGAATGGGGAACGGGGAATGGCTCTGGAGTCAATGCAGGGGAATCGGGCCTCATCTCGAGTTGATTTGGGGCACATGGAGCTGCTTTGCGTTGCTGGGGTGACCTCAGGGTCCGTCTAGACTGGTGACAGTGTTCTTGGGGACTGTCTCGAGATCCATTAAGCAAGTCGAAGCTCCTGACTTGTTTGAATGGGATCACGGAATATCTCTGCATGCACTGCAGGGGAATGGGGCCTCATCTCGCCTCTAGGGGGAAGTCTCATGGTTTTTCTCGAGTTGCGGTGGGGACCTGGGGTATGTTCTCGACTTACGGCAGGGATGGCCCTTCAAAACACGAGTTTCTTCAGTGACGTCAGGACTCCTGTCTAGTAACGAGGGACACCTCAGGAATCTCTTCGAGGCTTGGCAGGGCAAAAGGGACGCTTCTCGAGGTGAGGCAGGGCACCCAAGGACACTTTCCAGTAGCCACAGGGATTTTGGGATTCCTATCAGTATTCAAGAGGAGTCAGGCATCATCACCTTTTGAAGCAATGAACTCCACGTGCCTCTCGAGGTGTCAGCGGGATGTGAGGCATTCCGTCAAAATGAGGCAGGGACCTAGGGCTTTCTCTAAAGTCTCCACAGGGGATTCAGACACCCCTTCATGTTGTGAGATGAAAGACGAGCCTGTATTCAAGCCACTGCAAGGAAATCCGGCCTCCTTTCAAGTTAGGGCTTCTCGCTGTATATTCCCCTTGAGGCAGCAAACTCGGGGTCCCTCCCACATACCTATTGCTGAGAGAAGCCTCCTCCTGAGGTGCTTCTGGGAAGTTGGCATACGTCTTGACCCTAAGCCAGGGAATCAGCTCTCATCTCGAGACGATTTGGGATACACGGAGCATTCCTCGAGTTGCTGTGCTGAAGTTCGTGTTCCTCTAGACTTGGGACAGTGTTCCCGGGGCATCTCTGGAGTTGCCTGAAGGAAGTCGAGCCACCGGTCGTGTTGAATGGGGAACGGGGAATGGCTCTGGAGTCAATGCAGGGGAATCGGGCCTCATCTCGAGTTGATTTGGGGCACATGGAGCTGCTTTGCTTTGCTGGGGTGACCTCAGGGTCCGTCTAGACTGGTGACATTGTTCTTGGGGACTGTCTCGAGATCCATTAAGCAAGTCGAAGCTCCTGACTTGTTTGAATGGGATCACGGAATAGCTCTGCATGCACTGCAGGGGAATGGGGCCTCATCTCGCCTCTAGAGGAAGTCTCATGGTTTTTCTCGAGTTGCGGCGGGGACCTGGGGTATGTTCTCGACTTACGGCGGGGATGGCCCTTCAAAACACGAGTTTCTTCAGTGACATCAGGACTCCTGTCTAGTAACGAGGGACACCTCAGGAATCTCTTCGAGGCTTGGCAGGGCAAAAGGGACGCTTCTCGAGGTGAGGCAGGGCACCCAAGGACCCTTTCCAGTAGCCACAGGGATTTTGGGATTCCTATCAGTATTCAAGAGGAGTCAGGCATCGTCACCTTTTGAAGCAATGAACTCCGCGTGCCTCTCGAGGTGTCAGCGCGATGTGAGGCATTCCGTCAAAATGAGGCAGGGACCTAGGGCTTTCTCTAAGGTCTCCACAGGGGATTCAGACATCCCTTCATGTTGTGAGATGAAAGACGAGCCTGTATTCAAGCCACTGCAAGGAAATCCGCCCTCCTTTCAAGTTAGGGCTTCTCGCTGTATATTCCCCTTGCGGCAGCAAACTCGGGGTCCCTCCCACATACCTATTGCTGAGAGAAGCCTCCTCCTGAGGTGCTTCTGGGAAGTTGGCATATGTCTTGAGCCTAAGCCAGGGAATCAGCTCGCATCTCGAGACGATTTGGGGTACACGGAGCATTCCTCGAGTTGCTCTGCTGAAGTTGGTGTTCCTCTAGACTTGGGACAGTGTTCTCGGGGCATCTCTGGAGTTGCCTGAAGGAAGTCGAGCCACCGGTCGTGTTGAATGGAGAACGGGGAATGGCTCTGGAGTCAATGCAGGGGAATCGGGCCTCATCTCGAGTTGATTTGGGGCACATGGAGCTGCTTTGCGTTGCTGGGGTGACCTCAGGGTCCGTCTAGACTGGTGACAGTGTTCTTGGGGACTGTCTCGAGATCCATTAAGCAAGTCGAAGCTCCTGACTTGTTTGAATGGGATCACGGAATAGCTCTGCATGCACTGCAGGGGAATGGGGCCTCATCTCGCCTCTAGGGGGAAGACTCATGGTTTTTCTCGAGTTGCGGCGGGGACCTGGGGTATGTTCTCGACTTACGGCGGGGATGGCCCTTCAAGACACGAGTTTCTTCAGTGACGTCAGGACTCCTGCCTAGTAACGAGGGACACCTCAGGAATCTCTTCGAGGCTTGGCAGGGCAAAAGGGACGCTTCTCGAGGTGAGGCAGGGCACCCAAGGACCCTTTCCAGTAGCCACAGGGATTTTGGGATTCCTATCAGTATTCAAGAGGAGTCAGGCATCGTCACCTTTTGAAGCAATGAACTCCGCGTGTCTCTCGAGGTGTCAGCTGGATGTGAGGCATTCCGTCAAAATGAGGCAGGGACCTAGGGCTTTCTCTAAGGTCTCCACAAGGGATTCAGACATCCCTTCATGTTGTGAGATGAAAGACGAGCCTGTATTCAAGCCACTGCAAGGAAATCCGGCAACCTTTCAAGTTAGGGCTTCTCGCTGTATATTCCCCTTGCGGCAGCAAACTCGGGGTCCCTCCCACATACCTATTGCTGAGAGAAGCCTCCTCCTGAGGTGCTTCTGGGAAGTTGGCATACGTCTTGAGCCTAAGCCAGGGAATCAGCTCGCATCTCGAGACGATTTGGGGTACACGGAGCATTCCTCGAGTTGCTGTGCTGAAGTTGGTGTTCCTCTAGACTTGGGACAGTGTTCTCGGGGCATCTCTGGAGTTGCCTGAAGGAAGTTGAGCCACCGGTCGTGTTGAATGGGGAACGGGGAATGGCTCTGGAGTCAATGCAGGGGAATCGGGCCTCATCTCGAGTTGATTTGGGGCACATGACAGCTTTGCATTGCTGGGGTGACCTCAGGGTCCGTCTAGACTGGTGACAGTGTTCTTGGGGACTGTCTCGAGATCCATTAAGCAAGTCGAAGTTCCTGACTTGTTTGAATGGGATCACGGAATAGCTCTGCATGCCCTGCAGGGGAATGGGGCCTCATCTCGCCTCTAGGGGAAAGTCTCATGGTTTTTCTCGAGTTGCGGCGGGGACCTGGGGTATGTTCTCGACTTACGGCGGGGATGGCCCTTCAAGACACGAGTTTCTTCAGTGACGTCAGGACTCCTGTCTAGTAACGAGGGACACCTCAGGAATCTCTTCGAGGCTTGGCAGGGCAAAAGGGACGCTTCTCGAGGTGAGGCAGGGCACCCAAGGACCCTTTCCAGTACCCACAGGGATTTTGGGATTCCTATCAGTATTCAAGAGGAGTCAGGCATCGTCACCTTTTGAGGCAATGAACTCCGCGTGCCTCTCGAGGTGTCAGCGGGATTTGAGGCATTCCGTCAAAATGAGGCAGGGACCTAGGGCTTTCTCTAAGGTCTCCACAGGGGATTCAGACATCCCTTCATGTTGTGAGATGAAAGACGAGCCTGTATTCAAGCCACTGCAAGGAAATCCGGCCTCGTTTTAAGTTAGGGCTTCTCGCTGTATATTCCCCTTGAGGCAGCAAACTCGGGGTCCCTCCCACATACCTATTGCTGAGAGAAGCCTCCTCCTGAGGTACTTCTGGGAAGTTGGCATACGTCTTGAGCCTAAGCCAGGGAATCAGCTCGCATCTCGAGACGATTTGGGGTACACGGAGCATTCCTCGAGTTGCTGTGCTGAAGTTGGTGTTCCTCTAGACTTGGGACAGTGTTCTCGGGGCATCTCTGGAGTTGCCTGAAGGAAGTCGAGCCACCGGTCGTGTTGAATGGGGAACGGGGAATGGCTCTGGAGTCAATGCAGGGGAATCGGGCCTCATCTCGAGTTGATTTGGGGCACATGGAGCTGCTTTGCGTTGCTGGGGTGACCTCAGGGTCCGTCTAGACTGGTGACAGTGTTCTTGGGGACTGTCTCGAGATCCATTAAGCAAGTCGAAGCTCCTGACTTGTTTGAATGGGATCACGGAATAGCTCTGCATGCACTGCAGGGGAATGGGGCCTCATCTCGCCTCTAGAGGAAGTCTCATGGTTTTTCTCGAGTTGCGGCGGGGACCTGGGGTATGTTCTCGACTTACGGCGGGGATGGCCCTTCAAAACACGAGTTTCTTCAGTGACGTCAGGACTCCTGTCTAGTAACGAGGGACACCTCAGGAATCTCTTCGAGGCTTGGCAGGGCAAAAGGGACGCTTCTCGAGGTGAGGCAGGGCACCCAAGGACCCTTTCCAGTAGCCACAGGGATTTTGGGATTCCTATCAGTATTCAAGAGGAGTCAGGCATCGTCACCTTTTGAAGCAATGAACTCCGCGTGCCTCTCGAGGTGTCAGCGGGATGTGAGGCATTCCGTCAAAATGAGGCAGGGACCTAGGGCTTTCTCTAAGGTCTCCACAGGGGATTCAGACATCCCTTCATGTTGTGAGATGAAAGACGAGCCTGTATTCAAGCCACTGCAAGGAAATCCGGCCTCCTTTCAAGTTAGGGCTTCTTGCTGTATATTCCCCTTGAGGCAGCAAACTCGGGGTCCCTCCCACATACCTGTTGCTGAGAGAAGCCTCCTCCTGAGGTGCTTCTGGGAAGTTGGCATACGTCTTGAGCCTAAGCCAGGGAATCAGCTCTCATCTCGAGACGATTTGGGGTACACGGAGCATTCCTCGAGTTGCTGTGCTGAAGTTGGTGTTCCTCTAGACTTGGGACAGTGTACTCGGGGCATCTCTGGAGTTGCCTGAAGGAAGTCGAGCCACCGGTCGTGTTGAATGGGGAACGGGGAATGGCTCTGGAGTCAATGCAGGGGAATCGGGCCTCATCTCGATTTGATTTGGGGCACATGGAGCTGCTTTGCGTTGCTGGGGTGACCTCAGGGTCCGTCTAGCCTGGTGACAGTGTTCTTGGGGACTGTCTCGAGATCCATTAAGCAAGTCGAAGCTCCTGACTTGTTTGAATGGGATCACGGAATAGCTCTGCATGCACTGCAGGGGAATGGGGCCTCATCTCGCCTCTAGGGGGAAGTCTCATGGTTTTTCTCGAGTTGCGGCGGGGACCTGGGGTATGTTCTCGACTTACGGCGGGGATGGCCCTTCAAAACACGAGTTTCTTCAGTGACGTCAGGACTCCTGTCTAGTAACGAGGGACACCTCAGGAATCTCTTCGAGGCTTGGCAGGGCAAAAGGGACGCTTCTCGAGGTGAGGCAGGACACGCAAGGACCCTTTCCAGTAGCCACAGGGATTTTGGGATTCCTATCAGTATTCAAGAGGAGTCAGGAATCGTCACCTTTTGAAGCAATGAACTCCGCGTGCCTCTCGAGGTGTCAGCGCGATGTGAGGCATTCCGTCAAAATGAGGCAGGGACCTAGGGCTTTCTCTAAGGTCTCCACAGGGGATTCAGACATCCCTTCATGTTGTGAGATGAAAGACGAGCCTGTATTCAAGCCACTGCAAGGAAATCCGGCCTCCTTTCAAGTTAGGGCTTCTCGCTGTATATTCCCCTTGAGGCAGCAAACTCGGGGTCCCTCCCACATACCTATTGCTGAGAGAAGCCTCCTCCTGAGGTGCTTCTGGGAAGTTGGCATACGTCTTGAGCCTAAGCCAGGGAATCAGCTCGCATCTCGAGACGATTTGGGGTACACGGAGCATTCCTCGAGTTGCTGTGCTGAAGTTGGTGTTCCTCTAGACTTGGGACAGTGTACTCGGGGCATCTCTGGAGTTGCCTGAAGGAAGTCGAGCCACCGGTCGTGTTGAATGGGGAACGGGGAATGGCTCTGGAGTCAATGCAGGGGAATCGGGCCTCATCTCGAGTTGATTTGGGGCACATGGAGCTGCTTTGCGTTGCTGGGGTGACCTCAGGGTCCGTCTAGACTGGTGACAGTGTTCTTGGGGACTGTCTCGAGATCCATTAAGCAAGTCGAAGCTCCTGACTTGTTTGAATGGGATCACGGAATAGCTCTGCATGCACTGCAGGGGAATGGGGCCTCATCTCGCCTCTAGGGGGAAGTCTCATGGTTTTTCTCGAGTTGCGGCGGGGACCTGGGGTATGTTCTCGACTTACGGCGGGGATGGCCCTTCAAAACACGAGTTTCTTCAGTGACGTCAGGACTCCTGTCTAGTAACGAGGGACACCTCAGGAATCTCTTCGAGGCTTGGCAGGGCAAAAGGGACACTTCTCGAGGTGAGGCAGGGCACCCAAGGACCCTTTCCAGTAGCCACAGGGATTTTGGGATTCCTATCAGTATTCAAGAGGAGTCAGGCATCATCACCTTTTGAAGCAATGAACTCCGCGTGCCTCTCGAGGTGTCAGCGGGATGTGAGGCATTCCGTCAAAATGAGGCAGGGACCTAGGGCTTTCTCTAAGGTCTCCACAGGGGATTCAGACATCCCTTCATGTTGTGAGATGAAAGACGAGCCTGTATTCAAGCCACTGCAAGGAAATCCGGCCTCCTTTCAAGTTAGGGCTTCTCGCTGTATATTCCCCTTGAGGCAGCAAACTCGGGGTCCCTCCCACATACCTATTGCTGAGAGAAGCCTCCTCCTGAGGTGCTTCTGGGAAGTTGGCATACGTCTTGAGCCTAAGCCAGGGAATCAGCTCGCATCTCGAGACGATTTGGGGTACACGGAGCATTCCTCGAGTTGCTGTGCTGAAGTTGGTGTTCCTCTAGACTTGGGACAGTGTACTCGGGGCATCTCTGGAGTTGCCTGAAGGAAGTCGAGCCACCGGTCGTGTTGAATGGGGAACGGGGAATGGCTCTGGAGTCAATGCAGGGGAATCGGGCCTCATCTCGAGTTGATTTGGGGCACATGGAGCTGCTTTGCGTTGCTGGGGTGACCTCAGGGTCCGTCTAGACTGGTGACAGTGTTCTTGGGGACTGTCTCGAGATCCATTAAGCAAGTCGAAGCTCCTGACTTGTTTGAATGGGATCACGGAATAGCTCTGCATGCACTGCAGGGGAATGGGGCCTCATCTCGCCTCTAGGGGGAAGTCTCATGGTTTTTCTCGAGTTGCGGTGGGGACCTGGGGTATGTTCTCGACTTACGGCGGGGATGGCCCTTCAAAACACGAGTTTCTTCAGTGACGTCAGGACTCCTGTCTAGTAACGAGGGACACCTCAGGAATCTCTTCGAGGCTTGGCAGGGCAAAAGGGACGCTTCTCGAGGTGAGGCAGGGCACCCAAGGACCCTTTCCAGTAGCCACAGGGATTTTGGGATTCCTATCAGTATTCAAGAGGAGTCAGGCATCATCACCTTTTGAAGCAATGAACTCCGCGTGCCTCTCGAGGTGTCAGCGGGATGTGAGGCATTCCGTCAAAATGAGGCAGGGACCTAGGGCTTTCTCTAAGGTCTCCACAGGGGATTCAGACATCCCTTCATGTTGTGAGATGAAAGACGAGCCTGTATTCAAGCCACTGCAAGGAAATCCGGCCTCCTTTCAAGTTAGGGCTTCTCGCTGTATATTCCCCTTGAGGCAGCAAACTCGGGGTCCCTCCCACATACCTATTGCTGAGAGAAGCCTCCTCCTGAGGTGCTTCTGGGAAGTTGGCATACGTCTTGAGCCTAAGCCAGGGAATCAGCTCTCATCTCGAGATGATTTGGGATACACGGAGCATTCCTCGAGTTGCTGTGCTGAAGTTCGTGTTCCTCTAGACTTGGGACAGTGTTCCCGGGGCATCTCTGGAGTTGCCTGAAGGAAGTCGAGCCACCGGTCGTGTTGAATGGGGAACGGGGAATGTCTCTGGAGTCAATGCAGGGGAATCGGGCCTCATCTCGAGTTGATTTGGGCCACATGGAGCTGCTTTGCTTTGCTGGGGTGACCTCAGGGTCCGTCTAGACTGGTGACATTGTTCTTGGGGACTGTCTCGAGATCCATTAAGCAAGTCGAAGCTCCTGACTTCTTTGAATGGGATCACGGAATAGCTCTGCATGCACTGCAGGGGAATGGGGCCTCATCTCGCCTCTAGAGGAAGTCTCATGGTTTTTCTCGAGTTGCGGCGGGGACCTGGGGTATGTTCTCGACTTACGGCGGGGATGGCCCTTCAAAACACGAGTTTCTTCAGTGACGTCAGGACTCCTGTCTAGTAATGAGGGACACCTCAGGAATCTCTTCGAGGCTTGGCAGGGCAAAAGGGACGCTTCTCGAGGTGAGGCAGGGCACCCAAGGACCCTTTCCAGTAGCCACAGGGATTTTGGGATTCCTATCAGTATTCAAGAGGAGTCAGGCATCGTCACCTTTTGAAGCAATGAACTCCGCGTGCCTCTCGAGGTGTCAGCGCGATGTGAGGCATTCCGTCAAAATGAGGCAGGGACCTAGGGCTTTCTCTAAGGTCTCCACAGGGGATTCAGACATCCCTTCATGTTGTGAGATGAAAGACGAGCCTGTATTCAAGCCACTGCAAGGAAATCCGGCCTCCTTTCAAGTTAGGGCTTCTCGCTGTATATTCCCCTTGAGGCAGCAAACTCGGGGTCCCTCCCACATACCTATTGCTGAGAGAAGCCTCCTCCTGAGGTGCTTCTGGGAAGTTGGCATACGTCTTGAGCCTAAGCCAGGGAATCAGCTCTCATCTCGAGACGATTTGGGGTACACGGAGCATTCCTCGAGTTGCTGTGCTGAAGTTGGTGTTCCTCTAGACTTGGGACAGTGTACTCGGGGCATCTCTGGAGTTGCCTGAAGGAAGTCGAGCCACCGGTCGTGTTGAATGGGGAACGGGGAATGGCTCTGGTGTCAATGCAGGGGAATCGGGCCTCATCTCGATTTGATTTGGGGCACATGGAGCTGCTTTGCGTTGCTGGGGTGACCTCAGGGTCCGTCTAGACTGGTGACAGTGTTCTTGGGGACTGTCTCGAGATCCATTAAGCAAGTCGAAGCTCCTGACTTGTTTGAATGGGATCACGGAATAGCTCTGCATGCACTGCAGGGGAATGGGGCCTCATCTCGCCTCTAGGGGGAAGTCTCATGGTTTTTCTCGAGTTGCGGCGGGGACCTGGGGTATGTTCTCGACTTACGGCGGGGATGGCCCTTCAAAACACGAGTTTCTTCAGGGACGTCAGGACTCCTGTCTAGTAACGAGGGACACCTCAGGAATCTCTTCGAGGCTTGGCAGGGCAAAAGGGACGCTTCTCGAGGTGAGGCAGGGCACCCAAGGACCCTTTCCAGTAGCCACAGGGATTTTGGGATTCCTATCAGTATTCAACAGGAGTCAGGCATCATCACCTTTTGAAGCAATGAACTCCGCGTGCCTCTCGACGTGTCAGCGGGATGTGAGGCATTCCGTCAAAATGAGGCAGGGACCTAGGGCTTTCTCTAAGGTCTCCACAGGGGATTCAGACATCCCTTCATGTTGTGAGATGAAAGACGAGCCTGTATTCAAGCCACTGCAAGGAAATCCGGCCTCCTTTCAAGTTAGGGCTTCTCGCTGTATATTCCCCTTGAGGCAGCAAACTCGGGGTCCCTCGCACATACCTATTGCTGAGAGAAGCCTCCTCCTGAGGTGCTTCTGGGAAGTTGGCATACGTCTTGAGCCTAAGCCAGGGAATCAGCTCTCATCTCGAGACGATTTGGGATACACGGAGCATTCCTCGAGTTGCTGTGCTGAAGTTCGTGTTCCTCTAGACTTGGGACAGTGTTCCCGGGGCATCTCTGGAGTTGCCTGAAGGAAGTCGAGCCACCGGTCGTGTTGAATGGGGAACGGGGAATGTCTCTGGAGTCAATGCAGGGGAATCGGGCCTCATCTCGAGTTGATTTGGGCCACATGGAGCTGCTTTGCTTTGCTGGGGTGACCTCAGGGTCCGTCTAGACTGGTGACATTGTTCTTGGGGACTGTCTCGAGATCCATTAAGCAAGTCGAAGCTCCTGACTTGTTTGAATGGGATCACGGAATAGCTCTGCATGCACTGCAGGGGAATGGGGCCTCATCTCGCCTCTAGAGGAAGTCTCATGGTTTTTCTCGAGTTGCGGCGGGGACCTGGGGTATGTTCTCGACTTACGGCGGGGATGGCCCTTCAAAACACGAGTTTCTTCAGTGACGTCAGGACTCCTGTCTAGTAATGAGGGACACCTCAGGAATCTCTTCGAGGCTTGGCAGGGCAAAAGGGACGCTTCTCGAGGTGAGGCAGGGCACCCAAGGACCCTTTCCAGTAGCCACAGGGATTTTGGGATTCCTATCAGTATTCAAGAGGAGTCAGGCATCGTCACCTTTTGAAGCAATGAACTCCGCGTGCCTCTCGAGGTGTCAGCGCGATGTGAGGCATTCCGTCAAAATGAGGCAGGGACCTAGGGCTTTCTCTAAGGTCTCCACAGGGGATTCAGACATCCCTTCATGTTGTGAGATGAAAGACGAGCCTGTATTCAAGCCACTGCAAGGAAATCCGGCCTCCTTTCAAGTTAGGGCTTCTCGCTGTATATTCCCCTTGAGGCAGCAAACTCGGGGTCCCTCCCACATACCTGTTGCTGAGAGAAGCCTCCTCCTGAGGTGCTTCTGGGAAGTTGGCATACGTCTTGAGCCTAAGCCAGGGAATCAGCTCTCATCTCGAGACGATTTGGGGTACACGGAGCATTCCTCGAGTTGCTGTGCTGAAGTTGGTGTTCCTCTAGACTTGGGACAGTGTACTCGGGGCATCTCTGGAGTTGCCTGAAGGAAGTCGAGCCACCGGTCGTGTTGAATGGGGAACGGGGAATGGCTCTGGAGTCAATGCAGGGGAATCGGGCCTCATCTCGATTTGATTTGGGGCACATGGAGCTGCTTTGCGTTGCTGGGGTGACCTCAGGGTCCGTCTAGACTGGTGACAGTGTTCTTGGGGACTGTCTCGAGATCCATTAAGCAAGTCGAAGCTCCTGACTTGTTTGAATGGGATCACGGAATAGCTCTGCATGCACTGCAGGGGAATGGGGCCTCATCTCGCCTCTAGGGGGAAGTCTCATGGTTTTTCTCGAGTTGCGGCGGGGACCTGGGGTATGTTCTCGACTTACGGCGGGGATGGCCCTTCAAAACACGAGTTTCTTCAGTGACGTCAGGACTCCTGTCTAGTAACGAGGGACACCTCAGGAATCTCTTCGAGGCTTGGCAGGGCAAAAGGGACGCTTCTCTAGGTGAGGCAGGGCACCCAAGGACCCTTTCCAGTAGCCACAGGGATTTTGGGATTCCTATCAGTATTCAACAGGAGTCAGGCATCATCACCTTTTGAAGCAATGAACTCCGCGTGCCTCTCGAGGTGTCAGCGGGATGTGAGGCATTCCGTCAAAATGAGGCAGGGACCTAGGGCTTTCTCTAAGGTCTCCACAGGGGATTCAGACATCCCTTCATGTTGTGAGATGAAAGACGAGCCTGTATTCAAGCCACTGCAAGGAAATCCGGCCTCCTTTCAAGTTAGGGCTTCTCGCTGTATATTCCCCTTGAGGCAGCAAACTCGGGGTCCCTCGCACATACCTATTGCTGAGAGAAGCCTCCTCCTGAGGTGCTTCTGGGAAGTTGGCATACGTCTTGAGCCTAAGCCAGGGAATCAGCTCTCATCTCGAGACGATTTGGGATACACGGAGCATTCCTCGAGTTGCTGTGCTGAAGTTCGTGTTCCTCTAGACATGGGACAGTGTTCCCGGGGCATCTCTGGAGTTGCCTGAAGGAAGTCGAGCCACCGGTCGTGTTGAATGGGGAACGGGGAATGTCTCTGGAGTCAATGCAGGGGAATCGGGCCTCATCTCGAGTTGATTTGGGGCACATGGAGCTGCTTTGCTTTGCTGGGGTGACCTCAGGGTCCGTCTAGACTGGTGACATTGTTCTTGGGGACTGTCTCGAGATCCATTAAGCAAGTCGAAGCTCCTGACTTCTTTGAATGGGATCACGGAATAGCTCTGCATGCACTGCAGGGGAATGGGGCCTCATCTCGCCTCTAGAGGAAGTCTCATGGTTTTTCTCGAGTTGCGGCGGGGACCTGGGGTATGTTCTCGACTTACGGCGGGGATGGCCCTTCAAAACACGAGTTTCTTCAGTGATGTCAGGACTCCTGTCTAGTAACGAGGGACACCTCAGGAATCTCTTCGAGTCTTGGCAGGGCAAAAGGGACGCTTCTCGAGGTGAGGCAGGGCACCCAAGGACCCTTTCCAGTAGCCACAGGGATTTTGGGATTCCTATCAGTATTCAACAGGAGTCAGGCATCATCACCTTTTGAAGCAATGAACTCCGCGTGCCTCTCGACGTGTCAGCGGGATGTGAGGCATTCCGTCAAAATGAGGCAGGGACCTAGGGCTTTCTCTAAGGTCTCCACAGGGGATTCAGACATCCCTTCATGTTGTGAGATGAAAGACGAGCCTGTATTCAAGACACTGCAAGGAAATCCGGCCTCCTTTCAAGTTAGGGCTTCTCGCTGTATATTCCCCTTGAGGCAGCAAACTCGGGGTCCCTCGCACATACCTATTGCTGAGAGAAGCCTCCTCCTGAGGTGCTTCTGGGAAGTTGGCATACGTCTTGAGCCTAAGCCAGGGAATCAGCTCTCATCTCGAGACGATTTGGGATACACGGAGCATTCCTCGAGTTGCTGTGCTGAAGTTCGTGTTCCTCTAGACTTGGGACAGTATTCCCGGGGCATCTCTGGAGTTGCCTGAAGGAAGTCGAGCCACCGGTCGTGTTGAATGGGGAACGGGGAATGGCTCTGGAGTCAATGCAGGGGAATCGGGCCTCATCTCGATTTGATTTGGGGCACATGGAGCTGCTTTGCGTTGCTGGGGTGACCTCAGGGTCCGTCTAGACTGGTGACAGTGTTCTTGGGGACTGTCTCGAGATCCATTAAGCAAGTCGAAGCTCCTGACTTCTTTGAATGGGATCACGGAATAGCTCTGCATGCACTGCAGGGGAATGGGGCCTCATCTCGCCTCTAGAGGAAGTCTCATGGTTTTTCTCGAGTTGCGGCGGGGACCTGGGGTATGTTCTCGACTTACGGCGGGGATGGCCCTTCAAAACACGAGTTTCTTCGGTGACGTCAGGACTCCTGTCTAGTAACGAGGGACACCTCAGGAATCTCTTCGAGGCTTGGCAGGGCAAAAGGGACGCTTCTCGAGGTGAGGCAGGGCACCCAAGGACCCTTTCCAGTAGCCACAGGGATTTTGGGATTCCTATCAGTATGCAACAGGAGTCAGGCATCATCACCTTTTGAAGCAATGAACTCCGCGTGCCTCTCGAGGTGTCAGCGTTATGTGAGGCATTCGGTCAAAATGAGGCAGGGACCTAGGGCTTTCTCTAAGGTCTCCACAGAGGATTCAGACATCCCTTCATGTTGTGAGATGAAAGACGAGCCTGTATTCAAGCCACTGCAAGGAAATCCGGCCTCCTTTCAAGTTAGGGCTTCTCGCTGTATTTCCCCTTGAGGCAGCAAACTCGGGGTCCCTCCCACATACCTATTGCTGAGAGAAGCCTCCTCCTGAGGTGCTTCTGGGAAGTTGGCATACGTCTTGAGCCTAAGCCAGGGAATCAGCTCTCATCTCGAGACGATTTGCGTACACGGAGCATTCCTCGAGTTGCTGTGCTGAAGTTGGTGTTCCTCTAGACTTGGGACAGTGTTCTCGGGGCATCTCTGGAGTTGCCTGAAGGAAGTCGAGCCACCGGTCATGTTGAATGGGGAACGGGGAATGGCTCTGGAGTCAATGCAGGGGAATCGGGCCTCATCTCGAGTTGATTTGGGGCACATGGAGCTGCTTTGCGTTGCTGGGGTGACCTCAGGGTCCGTCTAGACTGGTGACAGTGTTCTTGGGGACTGTCTCGAGATCCATTAAGCAAGTCGAAGCTCCTGACTTGTTTGAATGGGATCACGGAATAGCTCTGCATGCACTGCAGGGGAATGGGGCCTCATCTCGCCTCTAGGGGGAAGTCTCATGGTTTTTCTCGAGTTGCGGCGGGGACCTGGGGTATGTTCTCGACTTACGGCAGGGATGGCCCTTCCAAACACGAGTTTCTTCAGTGACGTCAGGACTCCTGTCTAGTAACGAGGGACACCTCAGGAATCTCTTCGAGGCTTGGCAGGGCAAAAGGGACGCTTCTCGAGGTGAGGCAGGGCACCCAAGGACCCTTTCCAGTAGCCACAGGGATTTTGGGATTCCTATCAGTATTCAAGAGGAGTCAGGCATCGTCACCTTTTGAAGCAATGAACTCCGCGTGCCTCTCGAGGTGTCAGCGTTATGTGAGGCATTCCGTCAAAATGAGGCAGGGACCTAGGGCTTTCTCTAAGGTCTCCACAGAGGATTCAGACATCCCTTCATGTTGTGAGATGAAAGACGAGCCTGTATTCAAGCCACTGCAAGGAAATCCGGCCTCCTTTCAAGTTAGGGCTTCTCGCTGTATATTCCCCTTGAGGCAGCAAACTCGGGGTCCCTCCCACATACCTATTGCTGAGAGAAGCCTCCTCCTGAGGTGCTTCTGGGAAGTTGGCATACGTCTTGAGCCTAAGCCAGGGAATCAGCTCTCATCTCGAGACGATTTGGGGTACACGGAGCATTCCTCGAGTTGCTCTGCTGAAGTTGGTGTTCCTCTAGACTTGGGACAGTGTTCTCGGGGCATCTCTGGAGTTGCCTGAAGGAAGTCGAGCCACCGGTCGTGTTGAATGGGGAACGGGGAATGGCTCTGGAGTCAATGCAGGGGAATCGGGCCTCATCTCGAGTTGATTTGGGGCACATGGAGCTGCTTTGCGTTGCTGGGGTGACCTCAGGGTCCGTCTAGACTGGTGACAGTGTTCTTGGGGACTGTCTCGAGATCCATTAAGCAAGTCGAAGCTCCTGACTTGTTTGAATGGGATCACGGAATAGCTCTGCATGCACTGCAGGGGAATGGGGCGTCATCTCGCCTCTAGGGGGAAGTCTCATGGTTTTTCTCGAGTTGCGGCGGGGACCTGGGGTATGTTCTCGACTTACGGCGGGGATGGCCCTTCAAGACACGAGTTTCTTCAGTGACGTCAGGACTCCTGTCTAGTAACGAGGGACACCTCAGGAATATCTTCGAGGCTTGGCAGGGCAAAAGGGACGCTTCTCGAGGTGAGGCAGGGCACCCAAGGACCCTTTCCAGTAGCCACAGGGATTTTGGGATTCCTATCAGTATTCAAGAGGAGTCAGGCATCGTCACCTTTTGAAGCAATGAACTCCGCGTGCCTCTCGAGGTGTCAGCTGGATGTGAGGCATTCCGTCAAAATGAGGCAGGGACCTAGGGCTTTCTCTAAGGTCTCCACAAGGGATTCAGACATCCCTTCATGTTGTGAGATGAAAGACGAGCCTGTATTCAAGCCACTGCAAGGAAATCCGGCAACCTTTCAAGTTAGGGCTTCTCGCTGTATATTCCCCTTGCGGCAGCAAACTCGAGGTCCCTCCCACATACCTATTGCTGAGAGAAGCCTCCTCCTGAGGTGCTTCTGGGAAGTTGGCATACGTCTTGAGCCTAAGCCAGGGAATCAGCTCGCATCTCGAGACGATTTGGGGTACACGGAGCATTCCTCGAGTTGCTGTGCTGAAGTTGGTGTTCCTCTAGACTTGGGACAGTGTTCTCGGGGCATCTCTGGAGTTGCCTGAAGGAAGTCGAGCCACCGGTCGTGTTGAATGGGGAACGGGGAATGGCTCTGGAGTCAATGCAGGGGAATCGGGCCTCATCTCGAGTTGATTTGGGGCACATGGAGCTGCTTTGCATTGCTGGGGTGACCTCAGGGTCCGTCTAGACTGGTGACAGTGTTCTTGGGGACTGTCTCGAGATCCATTAAGCAAGTCGAAGTTCCTGACTTGTTTGAATGGGTTCACGGAATAGCTCTGCATGCACTGCAGGGGAATGGGGCCTCATCTCGCCTCTAGGGGAAAGTCTCATGGTTTTTCTCGAGTTGCGGCGGGGACCTGGGTTATGTTCTCGACTTACGGCGGGGATGGCCCTTCAAGACACGAGTTTCTTCAGTGACGTCAGGACTCCGGTCTAGTAACGAGGGACACCTCAGGAATCTCTTCGAGGCTTGGCAGGGCAAAAGGGACGCTTCTCGAGGTGAGGCAGGGCACCCAAGGACCCTTTCCAGTAGCCACAGGGATTTTGGGATTCCTATCAGTATTCAAGAGGAGTCAGGCCTCGTCACCTTTTGAAGCAATGAACTCCGCGTGCCTCTCGAGGTGTCAGCGGGATTTGAGGCATTCCGTCAAAATGAGGCAGGGACCTAGGGCTTTCTCTAAGGTCTCCACAGGGGATTCAGACATCCCTTCATGTTGTGAGATGAAAGACGAGCCTGTATTCAAGCCACTGCAAGGAAATCCGGCCTCGTTTCAAGTTAGGGCTTCTCGCTGTATATTCCCCTTGAGGCAGCAAACTCGGGGTCCCTCCCACATACCTATTGCTGAGAGAAGCCTCCTCCTGAGGTACTTCTGGGAAGTTGGCATACGTCTTGAGCCTAAGCCAGGGAATCAGCTCGCATCTCGAGACGATTTGGGGTACACGGAGCATTCCTCGAGTTGCTGTGCTGAAGTTGGTGTTCCTCTAGACTTGGGACAGTGTTCTCGGGGCATCTCTGGAGTTGCCTGAAGGAAGTCGAGCCACCGGTCGTGTTGAATGGGGAACGGGGAATGGCTCTGGAGTCAATTCAGGGGAATCGGGCCTCATCTCGAGTTGATTTGGGGCACATGGAGCTGCTTTGCTTTGCTGCGGTGACCTCAGGGTCCGTCTAGACTGGTGACAGTGTTCTTGGGGACTGTCTCGAGATCCATTAAGCAAGTGGAAGCTCCTGACTTGTTTGAATGGGATCACGGAATAGCTCTGCAATCACTGCAGGGGAATGGGGCCTCATCTCGCCTCTAGAGGAAGTCTCATGGTTTTTCTCGAGTTGCGGCGGGGACCTGGGGTATGTTCTCGACTTACGGCGGGGCTGGCCCTTCAAAACACGAGTTTCTTCAGTGACGTCAGGACTCCTGTCTAGTAATGAGGGACACCTCAGGAATCTCTTCGAGGCTTGGCAGGGCAAAAGGGACGCTTCTCGAGGTGAGGCAGGGCACCCAAGGACCCTTTCCAGTAGCCACAGGGATTTTGGGATTCCTATCAGTATTCAAGAGGAGTCAGGCATCGTCACCTTTTGAAGCAATGAACTCCGCGTGCCTCTCGAGGTGTCAGCGGGATGTGAGGCATTCCGTCAAAATGAGGCAGGGACCTAGGGCTTTCTCTAAGGTCTCCACAGGGGATTCAGACATCCCTTCATGTTGTGAGATGAAAGACGAGCCTGTATTCAAGCCACTGCAAGGAAATCCGGCCTCCTTTCAAGTTAGGGCTTCTCGCTGTATATTCCCCTTGAGGCAGCAAACTCGGGGTCCCTCCCACACACCTATTGCTGAGAGAAGCCTCCTCCTGAGGTGCTTCTGGGAAGTTGGCATCCGTCTTGAGCCTAAGCCAGGGAATCAGCTCGCATCTCGAGACGATTTGGGGTACACGGAGCATTCCTCGAGTTGCTGTGCTGAAGTTGGTGTTCCTCTAGACTTGGGACAGTGTTCTCGGGGCATCTCTGGAGTTGCCTGAAGGAAGTCGAGCCACCGGTCGTGTTGAATGGGGAACGGGGAATGGCTCTGGAGTCAATGCAGGGGAATCGGGCCTCATCTCGAGTTGATTTGGGGCACATGGAGCTGCTTTGCGTTGCTGGGGTGACCTCAGGGTTCGTCTAGACTGGTGACAGTGCTCTTGGGGACTGTCTCGAGATCCATTAAGCAAGTCGAAGCTCCTGACTTGTTTGAATGGGATCACGGAATAGCTCTGCATGCACTGCAGGGGAATGGGGCCTCATCTCGCCTCTAGGGGGAAGTCTCATGGTTTTTCTCGAGTTGCGGCGGGGACCTGGGGTATGTTCTCGACTTACGGCGGGGATGGCCCTTCAAAACACGAGTTTCTTCAGTGACGTCAGGACTCCTGTCTAGTAACGAGGGACAGCTCAGGAATCTCTTCGAGGCTTGGCAGGGTAAAAGGGACGCTTCTCGAGGTGAGGCAGGGCACCCAAGGACCCTTTCCAGTAGCCACAGGGATTTTGGGATTCCTATCAGTATTCAAGAGGAGTCAGGAATCGTCACCTTTTGAAGCAATGAACTCCGCGTGCCTCTCGAGGTGTCAGCGGGATGTGAGGCATTCCGTCAAAATGAGGCAGGGACCTAGGGCTTTCTCTAAGGTCTCCACAGGGGATTCAGACATCCCTTCATGTTGTGAGATGAAAGACGAGCCTGTATTCAAGCCACTGCAAGGAAATCCGGCCTCCTTTCAAGTTAGGGCTTCTCGCTGTATATTCCCCTTGAGGCAGCAAACTCGGGGTCCCTCCCACACACCTATTGCTGAGAGAAGCCTCCTCCTGAGGTGCTTCTGGGAAGTTGGCATACGTCTTGAGCCTAAGCCAGGGAATCAGCTCTCATCTCGAGACGATTTGGGGTACACGGAGCATTCCTCGAGTTGCTGTGCTGAAGTTGGTGTTCCTCTAGACTTGGGACAGTGTTCTCGGGGCATCTCTGGAGTTGCCTGAAGGAAGTCGAGCCACCGGTCGTGTTGAATGGGGAACGGGGAATGGCTCTGGAGTCAATGCAGGGGAATCGGGCCTCATCTCGGGTTGATTTGGGGCACATGGAGCTGCTTTGCGTTGCTGGGGTGACCTCAGGGTCCGTCTAGACTGGTGACAGTGTTCTTGGGGACTGTCTCGAGATCCATTAAGCAAGTCGAAGCTCCTGACTTGTTTGAATGGGATCACGGAATAGCTCTGCATGCACTGCACGGGAATGGGGCCTCATCTCGCCTCTAGGGGGAAGTCTCATGGTTTTTCTCGAGTTGCGGCGGGGACTTGGGGTATGTTCTCGACTTACGGCGGGGATGGCCCTTCAAAGCACGAGTTTCTTCAGTGACGTCAGGACTCCTGTCTAGTAACGAGGGACACCTCAGGAATCTCTTCGAGGCTTGGCAGGGCAAAAGGGACGCTTCTCGAGGTGAGGCAGGGCACCCAAGGACCCTTTCCAGTAGCCACAGGGATTTTGGGATTCCTATCAGTATTCAAGAGGAGTCAGGCATCGTCACCTTTTGAGGCAATGAACTCCGCGTGCCTCTCGAGGTGTCAGCGCGATGTGAGGCATTCCGTCAAAATGAGGCAGGGACCTAGGGCTTTCTCTAAGGACTCCACAGGGGATTCAGACATCCCTTCATGTTGTGAGATGAAAGACGAGCCTGTATTCAAGCCACTGCAAGGAAATCCGGCCTCCTTTCAAGTTAGGGCTTCTCGCTGTATATTCCCCTTGAGGCAGCAAACTCGGGGTCCCTCCCACACACCTATTGCTGAGAGAAGCCTCCTCCTGAGGTGCTTCTGGGAAGTTGGCATACGTCTTGAGCCTAAGCCAGGGAATCAGCTCTCATCTCGAGACGATTTGGGGCACACGGAGCATTCCTCGAGTTGCTGTGCTGAAGTTGGTGTTCCTCTAGACTTGGGACAGTGTTCTCGGGGCATCTCTGGAGTTGCCTGAAGGAAGTCGAGCCACCGGTCGTGTTGAATGGGGAACGGGGAATGGCTCTGGAGTCAATGCAGGGGAATCGGGCCTCATCTCGGGTTGATTTGGGGCACATGGAGCTGCTTTGCGTTGCTGGGGTGACCTCAGGGTCCGTCTAGACTGGTGACAGTGTTCTTGGGGACTGTCTCGAGATCCATTAAGCAAGTCGAAGCTCCTGACTTGTTTGAATGGGATCACGGAATAGCTCTGCATGCACTGCACGGGAATGGGGCCTCATCTCGCCTCTAGGGGGAAGTCTCATGGTTTTTCTCGAGTTGCGGCGGGGACTTGGGGTATGTTCTCGACTTACGGCGGGGATGGCCCTTCAAAGCACGAGTTTCTTCAGTGACGTCAGGACTCCTGTCTAGTAACGAGGGACACCTCAGGAATCTCTTCGAGGCTTGGCAGGGCAAAAGGGACGCTTCTCGAGGTGAGGCAGGGCACCCAAGGACCCTTTCCAGTAGCCACAGGGATTTTGGGATTCCTATCAGTATTCAAGAGGAGTCAGGCATCGTCACATTTTGAGGCAATGAACTCCGCGTGCCTCTCGAGGTGTCAGCGCGATGTGAGGCATTCCGTCAAAATGAGGCAGGGACCTAGGGCTTTCTCTAAGGACTCCACAGGGGATTCAGACATCCCTTCATGTTGTGAGATGAAAGACGAGCCTGTATTCAAGCCACTGCAAGGAAATCCGGCCTCCTTTCAAGTTAGGGCTTCTCGCTGTATATTCCCCTTGAGGCAGCAAACTCGGGGTCCCTCCCACATACCTATTGCTGAGAGAAGCCTCCTCCTGAGGTGCTTCTGGGAAGTTGGCATACGTCTTGAGCCTAAGCCAGGGAATCAGCTCGCATCTCGAGACGATTTGGGGTACACGGAGCATTCCTCGAGTTGCTGTGCTGAAGTTGGTGTTCCTCTAGACTTGGGACAGTGTTCTCGGGGCATCTCTGGAGTTGCCTGAAGGAAGTCGAGCCACCGGTCGTGTTGAATGGGGAACGGGGAATGGCTCTGGAGTCAATGCAGGGGAACCGGGCCTCATCTCGAGTTGATTTGGGGCACATGGAGCTGCTTTGCGTTGCTGGGGTGACCTCAGGGTCCGTCTAGACTGGTGACAGTGTTCTTGGGGACTGTCTCGAGATCCATTAAGCAAGTCGAAGCTCCTGACTTGTTTGAATGGGATCACGGAATAGCTCTGCATGCACTGCACGGGAATGGGGCCTCATCTCGCCTCTAGGGGGAAGTCTCATGGTTTTTCTCGAGTTGCGGCGGGGACTTGGGGTATGTTCTCGACTTACGGCGGGGATGGCCCTTCAAAGCACGAGTTTCTTCAGTGACGTCAGGACTCCTGTCTAGTAACGAGGGACACCTCAGGAATCTCTTCGAGGCTTGGCAGGGCAAAAGGGACGCTTCTCGAGGTGAGGCAGGGCACCCAAGGACCCTTTCCAGTAGCCACAGGGATTTTGGGATTCCTATCAGTATTCAAGAGGAGTCAGGCATCGTCACATTTTGAGGCAATGAACTCCGCGTGCCTCTCGAGGTGTCAGCGCGATGTGAGGCATTCCGTCAAAATGAGGCAGGGACCTAGGGCTTTCTCTAAGGACTCCACAGGGGATTCAGACATCCCTTCATGTTGTGAGATGAAAGACGAGCCTGTATTCAAGCCACTGCAAGGAAATCCGGCCTCCTTTCAAGTTAGGGCTTCTCGCTGTATATTCCCCTTGAGGCAGCAAACTCGGGGTCCCTCCCACATACCTATTGCTGAGAGAAGCCTCCTCCTGAGGTGCTTCTGGGAAGTTGGCATACGTCTTGAGCCTAAGCCAGGGAATCAGCTCGCATCTCGAGACGATTTGGGGTACACGGAGCATTCCTCGAGTTGCTGTGCTGAAGTTGGTGTTCCTCTAGACTTGGGACAGTGTTCTCGGGGCATCTCTGGAGTTGCCTGAAGGAAGTCGAGCCACCGGTCGTGTTGAATGGGGAACGGGGAATGGCTCTGGAGTCAATGCAGGGGAACCGGGCCTCATCTCGAGTTGATTTGGGGCACATGGAGCTGCTTTGCGTTGCTGGGGTGACCTCAGGGTCCGTCTAGACTGGTGACAGTGTTCTTGGGGACTGTCTCGAGATCCATTAAGCAAGTCGAAGCTCCTGACTTGTTTGAATGGGATCACGGAATAGCTCTGCATGCACTGCAGGGGAATGGGGCCTCATCTCGCCTCTAGGGGGAAGTCTCATGGTTTTTCTCGAGTTGCGGCGGGGACCTGGGGTATGTTCTCGACTTACGGCGGGGATGGCCCTTCAAAACACGAGTTTCTTCAGTGACGTCAGGACTCCTGTCTAGTAACGAGGGACACCTCAGGAATCTCTTCGAGGCTTGGCAGGGCAAAAGGGACGCTTCTCGAGGTGAGGCAGGGCACCCAAGGACCCTTTCCAGTAGCCACAGGGATTTTGGGATTCCTATCAGTATTCAAGAGGAGTCAGGCATCGTCACCTTTTGAAGCAATGAACTCCGCGTGCCTCTCGAGGTGTCAGCGCGATGTGAGGCATTCCGTCAAAATGAGGCAGGGACCTAGGGCTTTCTCTAAGGTCTCCACAGGGGATTCACACATCCCTTCATGTTGTGAGATGAAAGAAGAGCCTGTATTCAAGCCACTGCAAGGAAATCCGGCCTCCTTTCAAGTTAGGGCTTCTCGCTGTATATTCCCCTTGAGGCAGCAAACTCGGGGTCCCTCCCACATACCTATTGCTGAGAGAAGCCTCCTCCTGAGGTGCTTCTGGGAAGTTGGCATACGTCTTGAGCCTAAGCCAGGGAATCAGCTCGCATCTCGAGACGATTTGGGGTACATGGGGCATTCCTCGAGTTGCTGTGCTGAAGTTGGTGTTCCTCTAGACTTCGGACAGTGTTCTCGTGGCATCTCTGGAGTTGCCTGAAGGAAGTCGAGCCACCGGTCGTGTTGAATGGGGAACGGGGAATGGCTCTGGAGTCAATGCAGGGGAATCGGGCCTCATCTCGAGTTGATTTGGGGCACATGGAGCTGCTTTGCGTTGCTGGGGTGACCTCAGGGTCCGTCTAGACTGGTGACAGTGTTCTTGGGGACTGTCTCGAGATCCATTAAGCAAGTCGAAGCTCCTGACTTGTTTGAATGGGATCACGGAATAGCTCTGCATGCACTGCAGGGGAATGGGGCCTCATCTCGCCTCTAGGGGGAAGTCTCATGGTTTTTCTCGAGTTGCGGCGGGGACCTGGGGTATGTTCTCGACTTACGGCGGGGATGGCCCTTCAAAACACGAGTTTCTTCAGTGACGTCAGGACTCCTGTCTAGTAACGAGGGACAGCTCAGGAATCTCTTCGAGGCTTGGCAGGGCAAAAGGGACGCTTCTCGAGGTGAGGCAGGGCACCCAAGGACCCTTTCCAGTAGCCACAGGGATTTTGGGATTCCTATCAGTATTCAAGAGGAGTCAGGCATCGTCACCTTTTGAAGCAATGAACTCCGCGTGCCTCTCGAGGTGTCAGCGCGATGTGAGGCATTCCGTCAAAATGAGGCAGGGACCTAGGGCTTTCTCTAAGGTCTCCACAGGGGATTCAGACATCCCTTCATGTTGTGAGATGAAAGACGAGCCTGTATTCAAGCCACTGCAAGGAAATCCGGCCTCCTTTCAAGTTAGGGCTTCTCGCTGTATATTCCCCTTGAGGCAGCAAACTCGGGGTCCCTCCCACATACCTATTGCTGAGAGAAGCCTCCTCCTGAGGTGCTTCTGGGAAGTTGGCATACGTCTTGAGCCTAAGCCAGGGAATTAGCTCGCATCTCGAGACGATTTGGGGTACACGGAGCATTCCTCGAGTTGCTGTGCTGAAGTTGGTGTTCCTCTAGACTTGGGACAGTGTTCTCGGGGCATCTCTGGAGTTGCCTGAAGGAAGTCGAGCCACCGGTCGTGTTGAATGGGGAACAGGGAATGGCTCTGGAGTCAATGCAGGGGAATTGGGCCTCATCTCGAGTTGATTTGGGGCACATGGAGCTGCTTTGCGTTGCTGGGGTGACCTCAGGGTCCGTCTAGACTGGTGACAGTGTTCTTGGGGATGTCTCGAGATCCATTAAGCAAGTCGAAGCTCCTGACTTGTTTGAATGGGATCACGGAATAGCTCTGCATGCACTGCAGGGGAATGGGGCCTTATCTCGCCTCTAGGGGGAAGTCTCATGGTTTTTCTCGAGTTGCGGCGGGGACCTGGGGTATGTTCTCGACTTACGGCGGGGATGGCCCTTCAAAACACGAGTTTCTTCAGTGACGTCAGGACTCCTGTCTAGTAACGAGGGACACCTCAGGAATCTCTTCGAGGCTTGGCAGGGCAAAAGGGACGCTTCTCGAGGTGAGGCAGGGCACCCAAGGACCCTTTCCAGTAGCCACAGGGATTTTGGGATTCCTATCAGTATTCAAGAGGAGTCAGGCATCGTCACCTTTTGAAGCAATGAACTCCGCGTGCCTCTCGAGGTGTCAGCGCGATGTGAGGCATTCCGTCAAATGAGGCAGGGACCTAGGGCTTTCTCTAAGGTCTCCACAGGGGATTCAGACATCCCTTCATGTTGTGAGATGAAAGACGAGCCTGTATTCAAGCCACTGCAAGGAAATCCGGCCTCCTTTCAAGTTAGGGCTTCTCGCTGTATATTCCCCTTGAGGCAGCAAACTCGGGGTCCCTCCCACATACCTATTGCTGAGAGAAGCCTCCTCCTGAGGTGCTTCTGGGAAGTTGGCATACGTCTTGAGCCTAAGCCAGGGAATCAGCTCTCATCTCGAGACGATTTGGGGTACACGGAGCATTCCTCGAGTTGCTGTGCTGAAGTTGGTGTTCCTTTAGACTTGGGACAGTGTGCTCGGGGCATCTCTGGAGTTGCCTGAAGGAAGTCGAGCCACCGGTCGTGTTGAATGGGGAACGGGGAATGGCTCTGGAGTCAATGCAGGGGAATCGGGCCTCATCTCGAGTTGATTTGGGGCACATGGAGCTGCTTTGCGTTGCTGGGGTGACCTCAGGGTCCGTCTAGACTGGTGACAGTGTTCTTGGGGACTGTCTCGAGATCCATTAAGCAAGTCGAAACTCCTGACTTGTTTGAATGGGATCACGGAATAGCTCTGCATGCACTGCAGGGGAATGGGGCCTCATCTCGCCTCTAGGGGGAAGTCTCATGGTTTTTCTCGAGTTGCGGCGGGGACTTGGGGTATGTTCTCGACTTACGGCGGGGATGGCCCTTCAAAATACGAGTTTCTTCAGTGACGTCAGGACTCCTGTCTAGTAACGAGGGACACCTCAGGAATCTCTTCGAGGCTTGGCAGGGCAAAAGGGACGCTTCTCGAGGTGAGGCAGGGCACCCAAGGACCCTTTCCAGTAGCCACAGGGATTTTGAGATTCCTATCAGTATTCAAGAGGAGTCAGGCATCGTCACCTTTAAAGCAATGAACTCCGCGTGCCTCTCGAGGTGTCAGCGCGATGTGAGGCATTCCGTCAAAATGAGGCAGGGACCTAGGGCTTTCTCTAAGGTCTCCACAGGGGATTCAGACATCCCTTCATGTTGTGAGATGAAAGATGAGCCTGTATTCAAGCCACTGCAAGGAAATCCGGCCTCCTTTCAAGTTAGGGCTTCTCGCTGTATATTCCCCTTGAGGCAGCAAACTCGGGGTCCCTCCCACATACCTATTGCTGAGAGAAGCCTCCTCCTGAGGTGCTTCTGGGAAGTTGGCATACGTCTTGAGCCTAAGCCAGGGAATCAGCTCGCATCTCGAGACGATTTGGGGTACACGGAGCATTCCTCGAGTTGCTGTGCTGAAGTTGGTGTTCCTCTAGACTTGGGACAGTGTTCTCGGGGCATCTCTGGAGTTGCCTGAAGGAAGTCGAGCCACCGGTCGTGTTGAATGGGGAACGGGGAATGGCTCTGGAGTCAATGCAGGGGAATCGGGCCTCATCTCGAGTTGATTTGGGGCACATGGAGCTGCTTTGCGTTGCTGGGGTGACCTCAGGGTCCGTCTAGACTGGTGACAGTGTTCTTGGGGACTGTCTCGAGATCCATTAAGCAAGTCGAAGCTCCTGACTTGTTTGAATGGGATCACGGAATAGCTCTGCATGCACTGCAGGGGAATGGGGCCTCATCTCGCCTCTAGGGGGAAGTCTCATGGTTTTTCTCGAGTTGCGGCGGGGACCTGGGGTATGTTCTCGACTTACGGCGGGGATGGCCCTTCAAAACACGAGTTTCTTCAGTGACGTCAGGACTCCTGTCTAGTAACGAGGGACACCTCAGGAATCTCTTCGAGGCTTGGCAGGGCAAAAGGGACGCTTCTCGAGGTGAGGCAGGGCACCCAAGGACCCTTTCCAGTAGCCACAGGGATTTTGGGATTCCTATCAGTATTCAAGAGGAGTCAGGCATCGTCACCTTTTGAAGCAATGAACTCCGCGTGCTTCTCGAGGTGTCAGCGCGATGTGAGGCATTCCGTCAAAATGAGGCAGGGACCTAGGGCTTTCTCTAAGGTCTCCACAGGGGATTCAGACATCCCTTCATGTTGTGAGATGAAAGACGAGCCTGTATTCAAGCCACTGCAAGGAAATCCGGCCTCCTTTCAAGTTAGGGCTTCTCGCTGTATATTCCCCTTTAGGCAGCAAACTCGGGGTCCCTCCCACATACCTGTTGCTGAGAGAAGCCTCCTCCTGAGGTGCTTCTGGGAAGTTGGCATATGTCTTGAGCCTAAGCCAGGGAATCAGCTCTCATCTCGAGACGATTTGGGGTACACGGAGCATTCCTCGAGTTGCTGTGCTGAAGTTGGTGTTCCTCTAGACTTGGGACAGTGTACTCGGGGCATCTCTGGAGTTGCCTGAAGGAAGTCGAGCCACCGGTCGTGTTGAATGGGGAACGGGGAGTGGCTCTGGAGTCAATGCAGGGGAATCGGGCCTCATCTCGATTTGATTTGGGGCACATGGAGCTGCTTTGCGTTGCTGGGGTGACCTCAGGGTCCATCTAGACTGGTGACAGTGTTCTTGGGGACTGTCTCGAGATCCATTAAGCAAGTCGAAGCTCCTGACTTGTTTGAATGGGATCACGGAATAGCTCTGCATGCACTGCAGGGGAATGGGGCCTCATCTCGCCTCTAGGGGGAAGTCTCATGGTTTTTCTCGAGTTGCGGCGGGGACCTGGGGTATGTTCTCGACTTACGGCGGGGATGGCCCTTCAAAACACGAGTTTCTTCAGTGACGTCAGGACTCCTGTCTAGTAACGAGGGACACCTCAGGAATCTCTTCGAGGCTTGGCAGGGCAAAAGGGACGCTTCTCGAGGTGAGGCAGGGCACCCAAGGACCCTTTCCAGTAGCCACAGGGATTTTGGGATTCCTATCAGTATTCAAGAGGAGTCAGGCATCATCACCTTTTGAAGCAATGAACTCCGCGTGCCTCTCGAGGTGTCAGCGGGATGTGAGGCATTCCGTCAAAATGACGCAGGGACCTAGGGCTTTCTCTAAGGTCTCCACAGGGGATTCAGACATCCCTTCATGTTGTGAGATGAAAGACGAGCCTGTATTCAAGCCACTGCAAGGAAATCCGGCCTCCTTTCAAGTTAGGGCTTCTCGCTGTATATTCCCCTTGAGGCAGCAAACTCGGGGTCCCTCGCACATACCTATTGCTGAGAGAAGCCTCCTCCTGAGGTGCTTCTGGGAAGTTGGCATACGTCTTGAGCCTAAGCCAGGGAATCAGCTCTCATCTCGAGACGATTTGGGATACACGGAGCATTCTTCGAGTTGCTGTGCTGAAGTTGGTGTTCCTCTAGACTTGGGACAGTGTTCCCGGGGCATCTCTGGAGTTGCCTGAAGGAAGTCGAGCCACCGGTCGTGTTGAATGGGGAACGGGGAATGTCTCTGGAGTCAATGCAGGGGAATCGGGCCTCATCTCGAGTTGATTTGGGGCACATGGAGCTACTTTGCTTTGCTGGGGTGACCTCAGGGTCCGTCTAGACTGGTGACATTGTTCTTGGGGACTGTCTCGAGATCCATTAAGCAAGTCGAAGCTCCTGACTTCTTTGAATGGGATCACGGAATAGCTCTGCATGCACTGCAGGGGAATGGAGCCTCATCTCGCCTCTAGGGGGAAGTCTCATGGTTTTTCTCGAGTTGCGGCGGGGACCTGGGGTATGTTCTCGACTTACGGCGGGGATGGCCCTTCAAAACACGAGTTTCTTCAGTGACGTCAGGACTCCTGTCTAGTAACGAGGGACACCTCAGGAATCTCTTCGAGGCTTGGCAGGGCAAAAGGGACGCTTCTCTAGGTGAGGCAGGGCACCCAAGGACCCTTTCCAGTAGCCACAGGGATTTTGGGATTCCTATCAGTATTCAACAGGAGTCAGGCATCATCACCTTTTGAAGCAATGAACTCCGCGTGCCTCTCGACGTGTCAGCGGGATGTGAGGCATTCCGTCAAAATGAGGCAGGGACCTAGGGCTTTCTCTAAGGTCTCCACAGGGGATTCAGACATCCCTTCATGTTGTGAGATGAAAGACGAGCCTGTATTCAAGCCACTGCAAGGAAATCCGGCCTCCTTTCAAGTTAGGGCTTCTCGCTGTATATTCCCCTTGAGGCAGCAAACTCGGGGTCCCTCGCACATACCTATTGCTGAGAGAAGCCTCCTCCTGAGGTGCTTCTGGGAAGTTGGCATACGTCTTGAGCCTAAGCCAGGGAATCAGCTCTCATCTCGAGACGATTTGGGATACACGGAGCATTCCTCGAGTTGCTGTGCTGAAGTTCGTGTTCCTCTAGACATGGGACAGTGTTCCCGGGGCATCTCTGGAGTTGCCTGAAGGAAGTCGAGCCACCGGTCGTGTTGAATGGGGAACGGGGAATGTCTCTGGAGTCAATGCAGGGGAATCGGGCCTCATCTCGAGTTGATTTGGGGCACATGGAGCTGCTTTGCTTTGCTGGGGTGACCTCAGGGTCCGTCTAGACTGGTGACATTGTTCTTGGGGACTGTCTCGAGATCCATTAAGCAAGTCGAAGCTCCTGACTTGTTTGAATGGGATCACGGAATAGCTCTGCATGCACTGCAGGGGAATGGGGCCTCATCTCGCCTCTAGAGGAAGTCTCATGGTTTTTCTCGAGTTGCGGCGGGGACCTGGGGTATGTTCTCGACTTACGGCGGGGATGGCCCTTCAAAACACGAGTTTCTTCAGTGATGTCAGGACTCCTGTCTAGTAACGAGGGACACCTCAGGAATCTCTTCGAGGCTTGGCAGGGCAAAAGGGACGCTTCTCGAGGTGAGGCAGGGCACCCAAGGACCCTTTCCAGTAGCCACAGGGATTTTGGGATTCCTATCAGTATTCAACAGGAGTCAGGCATCATCACCTTTTGAAGCAATGAACTCCGCGTGCCTCTCGACGTGTCAGCGGGATGTGAGGCATTCCGTCAAAATGAGGCAGGGACCTAGGGCTTTCTCTAAGGTCTCCACAGGGGATTCAGACATCCCTTCATGTTGTGAGATGAAAGACGAGCCTGTATTCAAGCCACTGCAAGGAAATCCGGCCTCCTTTCAAGTTAGGGCTTCTCGCTGTATATTCCCCTTGAGGCAGCAAACTCGGGGTCCCTCGCACATACCTATTGCTGAGAGAAGCCTCCTCCTGAGGTGCTTCTGGGAAGTTGGCATACGTCTTGAGCCTAAGCCAGGGAATCAGCTCTCATCTCGAGACGATTTGGGATACACGGAGCATTCCTCGAGTTGCTGTCCTGAAGTTCGTGTTCCTCTAGACTTGGGACAGTATTCCCGGGGCATCTCTGGAGTTGCCTGAAGGAAGTCGAGCCACCGGTCGTGTTGAATGGGGAACGGGGAATGGCTCTGGAGTCAATGCAGGGGAATCGGGCCTCATCTCGAGTTGATTTGGGGCACATGGAGCTGCTTTGCGTTGCTGGGGTGACCTCAGGGTCCGTCTAGACTGGTGACAGTGTTCTTGGGGACTGTCTCGAGATCCATTAAGCAAGTCGAAGCTCCTGACTTCTTTGAATGGGATCACGGAATAGCTCTGCATGCACTGCAGGGGAATGGGGCCTCATCTCGCCTCTAGAGGAAGTCTCATGGTTTTTCTCGAGTTGCGGCGGGGACCTGGGGTATGTTCTCGACTTACGGCGGGGATGGCCCTTCAAAACACGAGTTTCTTCGGTGACGTCAGGACTCCTGTCTAGTAACGAGGGACACCTCAGGAATCTCTTCGAGGCTTGGCAGGGCAAAAGGGACGCTTCTCGAGGTGAGGCAGGGCACCCAAGGACCCTTTCCAGTAGCCACAGGGATTTTGGGATTCCTATCAGTATGCAACAGGAGTCAGGCATCATCACCTTTTGAAGCAATGAACTCCGCGTGCCTCTCGACGTGTCAGCGGGATGTGAGGCATTCCGTCAAAATGAGGCAGGGACCTAGGGCTTTCTCTAAGGTCTCCACAGGGGATTCAGACATCCCTTCATGTTGTGAGATGAAAGACGAGCCTGTATTCAAGCCACTGCAAGGAAATCCGGCCTCCTTTCAAGTTAGGGCTTCTCGCTGTATATTCCCCTTGAGGCAGCAAACTCGGGGTCCCTCGCACATACCTATTGCTGAGAGAAGCCTCCTCCTGAGGTGCTTCTGGGAAGTTGGCATACGTCTTGAGCCTAAGCCAGGGAATCAGCTCTCATCTCGAGACGATTTGGGATACACGGAGCATTCCTCGAGTTGCTGTGCTGAAGTTCGTGTTCCTCTAGACTTGGGACAGTATTCCCGGGGCATCTCTGGAGTTGCCTGAAGGAAGTCGAGCCACCGGTCGTGTTGAATGGGGAACGGGGAATGGCTCTGGAGTCAATGCAGGGGAATCGGGCCTCATCTCGATTTCATTTGGGGCACATGGAGCTGCTTTGCGTTGCTGGGGTGACCTCAGGGTCCGTCTAGACTGGTGACAGTGTTCTTGGGGACTGTCTCGAGAACCATTAAGCAAGTCGAAGCTCCTGACTTGATTGAATGGGATCACGGAATAGCTCTGCATGCACTGCAGGGGAATGGGGCCTCATCTCGCCTCTAGGGGGAAGTCTCATGGTTTTTCTCGAGTTGCGGCGGGGACCTGGGGTATGTTCTCGACTTACGGCGGGGATGGCCCTTCAAAACACGAGTTTCTTCAGTGACGTCAGGACTCCTGTCTAGTAACGAGGGACACCTCAGGAATCTCTTCGAGGCTTGGCAGGGCAAAAGGGACGCTTCTCGATGTGAGGCAGGACACGCAAGGACCCTTTCCAGTAGCCACAGGGATTTTGGGATTCCTATCAGTATTCAAGAGGAGTCAGGCATCGTCACCTTTTGAAGCAATGAACTCCGCGTGCCTCTCGAGGTGTCAGCGCGATGTGAGGCATTCCGTCAAAATGAGGCAGGGACCTAGGGCTTTCTCTAAGGTCTCCACAGGGGATTCAGACATCCCTTCATGTTGTGAGATGAAAGACGAGCCTGTATTCAAGCCACTGCAAGGAAATCCGGCCTCCTTTCAAGTTAGGGCTTCTCGCTGTATATTCCCCTTGAGGCAGCAAACTCGGGGTCCCTCCCACATACCTATTGCTGAGAGAAGCCTCCTCCTGAGGTGCTTCTGGGAAGTTGGCATACGTCTTGAGCCTAAGCCAGCGAATCAGCTCGCATCTCGAGACGATTTGGGGTACACGGAGCATTCCTCGAGTTGCTGTGCTGAAGTTGGTGTTCCTCTAGACTTGAGACAGTGTTCTCGGGGCATCTCTGGAGTTGCCTGAAGGAAGTCGAGCCACCGGTCGTGTTGAATGGGGAACGGGGAATGGCTCTGGAGTCAATGCAGGGGAATCGGGCCTCATCTCGAGTTGATTTGGGGCACATGGAGCTGCTTTGCGTTGCTGGGGTGACCTCAGGGTCCGTCTAGACTGGTGACAGTGTTCTTGGGGACTGTCTCGAGATCCATTAAGCAAGTCGAAGCTCCTGACTTGTTTGAATGGGATCACGGAATAGCTCTGCATGCACTGCAGGGGAATGGGGCCTCATCTCGCCTCTAGGGGGAAGTCTCATGGTTTTTCTCGAGTTGCGGCGGGGACCTGGGGTATGTTCTCGACTTACGGCGGGGATGGCCCTTCAAAACACGAGTTTCTTCAGTGACGTCAGGACTCCTGTCTAGTAACGAGGGACACCTCAGGAATCTCTTCGAGGCTTGGCAGGGCAAAAGGGACGCTTCTCGAGGTGAGGCAGGGCACCCAAGGACCCTTTCCAGTAGCCACAGTGATTTTGGGATTCCTATCAGTATTCAAGAGGAGTCAGGCATCGTCACCTTTTGAAGCAATGAACTCCGCGTGCCTCTCGAGGTGTCAGCGTTATGTGAGGCATTCGGTCAAAATGAGGCAGGGACCTAGGGCTTTCTCTAAGGTCTCCACAGAGGATTCAGACATCCCTTCATGTTGTGAGATGAAAGACGAGCCTGTATTCAAGCCACTGCAAGGAAATCCGGCCTCCTTTCAAGTTAGGGCTTCTCGCTGTATTTCCCCTTGAGGCAGCAAACTCGGGGTCCCTCCCACATACCTATTGCTGAGAGAAGCCTCCTCCTGAGGTGCTTCTGGGAAGTTGGCATACGTCTTGAGCCTAAGCCAGGGAATCAGCTCTCATCTCGAGACGATTTGGGGTACACGGAGCATTCCTCGAGTTGCTGTGCTGAAGTTGGTGTTCCTCTAGACTTGGGACAGTGTTCTCGGGGCATCTCTGGAGTTGCCTGAAGGAAGTCGAGCCACCGGTCATGTTGAATGGGGAACGGGGAATGGCTCTGGAGTCAATGCAGGGGAATCGGGCCTCATCTCGAGTTGATTTGGGGCACATGGAGCTGCTTTGCGTTGCTGGGGTGACCTCAGGGTCCGTCTAGACTGGTGACAGTGTTCTTGGGGACTGTCTCGAGATCCATTAAGCAAGTCGAAGCTCCTGACTTGTTTGAATGGGATCACGGAATAGCTCTGCATGCACTGCAGGGGAATGGGGCCTCATCTCGCCTCTAGGGGGAAGTCTCATGGTTTTTCTCGAGTTGCGGCGGGGACCTGGGGTATGTTCTCGACTTACGGCGGGGATGGCCCTTCAAGACACGAGTTTCTTCAGTGACGTCAGGACTCCTGTCTAGTAACGAGGGACAACTCAGGAATATCTTCGAGGCTTGGCAGGGCAAAAGGGACGCTTCTCGAGGTGAGGCAGGGCACCCAAGGACCCTTTCCAGTAGCCACAGGGATTTTGGGATTCCTATCAGTATTCAAGAGGAGTCAGGCATCGTCACCTTTTGAAGCAATGAACTCCGCGTGCCTCTCGAGGTGTCAGCTGGATGTGAGGCATTCCGTCAAAATGAGGCAGGGACCTAGGGCTTTCTCTAAGGTCTCCACAAGGGATTCAGACATCCCTTCATGTTGTGAGATGAAAGACGAGCCTGTATTCAAGCCACTGCAAGGAAATCCGGCAACCTTTCAAGTTAGGGCTTCTCGCTGTATATTCCCCTTGCGGCAGCAAACTCGAGGTCCCTCCCACATACCTATTGCTGAGAGAAGCCTCCTCCTGAGGTGCTTCTGGGAAGTTGGCATACGTCTTGAGCCTAAGCCAGGGAATCAGCTCGCATCTCGAGACGATTTGGGGTACACGGAGCATTCCTCGAGTTGCTGTGCTGAAGTTGGTGTTCCTCTAGACTTGGGACAGTGTTCTCGGGGCATCTCTGGAGTTGCCTGAAGGAAGTCGAGCCACCGGTCGTGTTGAATGGGGAACGGGGAATGGCTCTGGAGTCAATGCAGGGGAATCGGGCCTCATCTCGAGTTGATTTGGGGCACATGGAGCTGCTTTGCATTGCTGGGGTGACCTCAGGGTCCGTCTAGACTGGTGACAGTGTTCTTGGGGACTGTCTCGAGATCCATTAAGCAAGTCGAAGTTCCTGACTTGTTTGAATGGGTTCACGGAATAGCTCTGCATGCACTGCAGGGGAATGGGGCCTCATCTCACCTCTAGGGGAAAGTCTCATGGTTTTTCTCGAGTTGCGGCGGGGACCTGGGTTATGTTCTCGACTTACGGCGGGGATGGCCCTTCAAGACACGAGTTTCTTCAGTGACGTCAGGACTCCTGTCTAGTAACGAGGGACACCTCAGGAATCTCTTCGAGGCTTGGCAGGGCAAAAGGGACGCTTCTCGAGGTGAGGCAGGGCACCCAAGGACCCTTTCCAGTAGCCACAGGGATTTTGGGATTCCTATCAGTATTCAAGAGGAGTCAGGCCTCGTCACCTTTTGAAGCAATGAACTCCGCGTGCCTCTCGAGGTGTCAGCGGGATTTGAGGCATTCCTTTAAAATGAGGCAGGGACCTAGGGCTTTCTCTAAGGTCTCCACAGGGGATTCAGACATCCCTTCATGTTGTGAGATGAAAGACGAGCCTGTATTCAAGCCACTGCAAGGAAATCCGGCCTCGTTTCAAGTTAGGGCTTCTCGCTGTATATTCCCCTTGAGGCAGCAAACTCGGGGTCCCTCCCACATACCTATTGCTGAGAGAAGCCTCCTCCTGAGGTACTTCTGGGAAGTTGGCATACGTCTTGAGCCTAAGCCAGGGAATCAGCTCGCATCTCGAGACGATTTGGGGTACACGGAGCATTCCTCGAGTTGCTGTGCTGAAGTTGGTGTTCCTCTAGACTTGGGACAGTGTTCTCGGGGCATCTCTGGAGTTGCCTGAAGGAAGTCGAGCCACCGGTCGTGTTGAATGGGGAACGGGGAATGGCTCTGGAGTCAATTCAGGGGAATCGGGCCTCATCTCGAGTTGATTTGGGGCACATGGAGCTGCTTTGCTTTGCTGGGGTGACCTCAGGGTCCGTCTAGACTGGTGACAGTGTTCTTGGGGACTGTCTCGAGATCCATTAAGCAAGTGGAAGCTCCTGACTTGTTTGAATGGGATCACGGAATAGCTCTGCAATCACTGCAGGGGAATGGGGCCTCATCTCGCCTCTAGAGGAAGTCTCATGGTTTTTCTCGAGTTGCGGCGGGGACCTGGGGTATGTTCTCGACTTACGGCGGGGCTGGCCCTTCAAAACACGAGTTTCTTCAGTGACGTCAGGACTCCTGTCTAGTAATGAGGGACACCTCAGGAATCTCTTCGAGGCTTGGCAGGGCAAAAGGGACGCTTCTCGAGGTGAGGCAGGGCACCCAAGGACCCTTTCCAGTAGCCACAGGGATTTTGGGATTCCTATCAGTATTCAAGAGGAGTCAGGCATCGTCACCTTTTGAAGCAATGAACTCCGCGTGCCTCTCGAGGTGTCAGCGGGATGTGAGGCATTCCGTCAAAATGAGGCAGGGACCTAGGGCTTTCTCTAAGGTCTCCACAGGGGATTCAGACATCCCTTCATGTTGTGAGATGAAAGACGAGCCTGTATTCAAGCCACTGCAAGGAAATCCGGCCTCCTTTCAAGTTAGGGCTTCTTGCTGTATATTCCCCTTGAGGCAGCAAACTCGGGGTCCCTCCCACATACCTGTTGCTGAGAGAAGCCTCCTCCTGAGGTGCTTCTGGGAAGTTGGCATACGTCTTGAGCCTAAGCCAGGGAATCAGCTCTCATCTCGAGACGATTTGGGGTACACGGAGCATTCCTCGAGTTGCTGTGCTGAAGTTGGTGTTCCTCTAGACTTGGGACAGTGTACTCGGGGCATCTCTGGAGTTGCCTGAAGGAAGTCGAGCCACCGGTCGTGTTGAATGGGGAACGGGGAATGGCTCTGGAGTCAATGCAGGGGAATCGGGCCTCATCTCGATTTGATTTGGGGCACATGGAGCTGCTTTGCGTTGCTGGGGTGACCTCAGGGTCCATCTAGACTGGTGACAGTGTTCTTGGGGACTGTCTCGAGATCCATTAAGCAAGTCGAAGCTCCTGACTTGTTTGAATGGGATCACGGAATAGCTCTGCATGCACTGCAGGGGAATGGGGCCTCATCTCGCCTCTAGGGGGAAGTCTCATGGTTTTTCTCGAGTTGCGGCGGGGACCTGGGGTATGTTCTCGACTTACGGCGGGGATGGCCCTTCAAAACACGAGTTTCTTCAGTGACGTCAGGACTCCTGTCTAGTAACGAGGGACACCTCAGGAATCTCTTCGAGGCTTGGCAGGGCAAAAGGGACGCTTCTCGAGGTGAGGCAGGACACACAAGGACCCTTTCCAGTAGGCACAGGGATTTTGGGATTCCTATCAGTATTCAAGAGGAGTCAGGAATCGTCACCTTTTGAAGCAATGAACTCCGCGTGCCTCTCGAGGTGTCAGCGTGATGTGAGGCATTCCGTCAAAATGAGGCAGGGACCTAGGGCTTTCTCTAAGGTCTCCACAGGGGATTCAGACATCCCTTCATGTTGTGAGATGAAAGACGAGCCTGTATTCAAGCCACTGCAAGGAAATCCGGCCTCCTTTCAAGTTAGGGCTTCTCGCTGTATTTCCCCTTGAGGCAGCAAACTCGGGGTCCCTCCCACATACCTATTGCTGAGAGAAGCCTCCTCCTGAGGTGCTTCTGGGAAGTTGGCATACGTCTTGAGCCTAAGCCAGGGAATCAGCTCTCATCTCGAGACGATTTGGGGTACACGGAGCATTCCTCGAGTTGCTGTGCTGAAGTTGGTGTTCCTCTAGACTTGGGACAGTGTTCTCGGGGCATCTCTGGAGTTGCCTGAAGGAAGTCGAGCCACCGGTCATGTTGAATGGGGAACGGGGAATGGCTCTGGAGTCAATGCAGGGGAATCGGGCCTCATCTCGAGTTGATTTGGGGCACATGGAGCTGCTTTGCGTTGCTGGGGTGACCTCAGGGTCCGTCTAGACTGGTGACAGTGTTCTTGGGGACTGTCTCGAGATCCATTAAGCAAGTCGAAGCTCCTGACTTGTTTGAATGGGATCACGGAATAGCTCTGCATGCACTGCAGGGGAATGGGGCCTCATCTCGCCTCTAGGGGGAAGTCTCATGGTTTTTCTCGAGTTGCGGCGGGGACCTGGGGTATGTTCTCGACTTACGGCGGGGATGGCCCTTCCAAACACGAGTTTCTTCAGTGACGTCAGGACTCCTGTCTAGTAACGAGGGACACCTCAGGAATCTCTTCGAGGCTTGGCAGGGCAAAAGGGACGCTTCTCGAGGTGAGGCAGGGCACCCAAGGACCCTTTCCAGTAGCCACAGGGATTTTGGGATTCCTATCAGTATTCAAGAGGAGTCAGGCATCGTCACCTTTTGAAGCAATGAACTCCGCGTGCCTCTCGAGGTGTCAGCGTTATGTGAGGCATTCCGTCAAAATGAGGCAGGGACCTAGGGCTTTCTCTAAGGTCTCCACAGAGGATTCAGACATCCCTTCATGTTGTGAGATGAAAGACGAGCCTGTATTCAAGCCACTGCAAGGAAATCCGGCCTCCTTTCAAGTTAGGGCTTCTCGCTGTATATTCCCCTTGAGGCAGCAAACTCGGGGTCCCTCCCACATACCTATTGCTGAGAGAAGCCTCCTCCTGAGGTGCTTCTGGGAAGTTGGCATACGTCTTGAGCCTAAGCCAGGGAATCAGCTCTCATCTCGAAACGATTTGGGGTACACGGAGCATTCCTCGAGTTGCTGTGCTGAAGTTGGTGTTCCTCTAGACTTGGGACAGTGTTCTCGGGGCATCTCTGGAGTTGCCTGAAGGAAGTCGAGCCACCGGTCATGTTGAATGGGGAACGGGGAATGGCTCTGGAGTCAATGCAGGGGAATCGGGCCTCATCTCGAGTTGATTTGGGGCACATGGAGCTGCTTTGCGTTGCTGGGGTGACCTCAGGGTCCGTCTAGACTGGTGACAGTGTTCTTGGGGACTGTCTCGAGATCCATTAAGCAAGTCGAAGCTCCTGACTTGTTTGAATGGGATCACGGAATAGCTCTGCATGCACTGCAGGGGAATGGGGCCTCATCTCGCCTCTAGGGGGAAGTCTCATGGTTTTTCTCGAGTTGCGGCGGGGACCTGGGGTATGTTCTCGACTTACGGCGGGGATGGCCCTTCAAGACACGAGTTTCTTCAGTGACGTCAGGACTCCTGTCTAGTAACGAGGGACACCTCAGGAATATCTTCGAGGCTTGGCAGGGCAAAAGGGACGCTTCTCGAGGTGAGGCAGGGCACCCAAGGACCCTTTCCAGTAGCCACAGGGATTTTGGGATTCCTATCAGTATTCAAGAGGAGTCAGGCATCGTCACCTTTTGAAGCAATGAACTCCGCGTGCCTCTCGAGGTGTCAGCTGGATGTGAGGCATTCCGTCAAAATGAGGCAGGGACCTAGGGCTTTCTCTAAGGTCTCCACAAGGGATTCAGACATCCCTTCATGTTGTGAGATGAAAGACGAGCCTGTATTCAAGCCACTGCAAGGAAATCCGGCAACCTTTCAAGTTAGGGCTTCTCGCTGTATATTCCCCTTGCGGCAGCAAACTCGAGGTCCCTCCCACATACCTATTGCTGAGAGAAGCCTCCTCCTGAGGTGCTTCTGGGAAGTTGGCATACGTCTTGAGCCTAAGCCAGGGAATCAGCTCGCATCTCGAGACGATTTGGGGTACACGGAGCATTCCTCGAGTTGCTGTGCTGAAGTTGGTGTTCCTCTAGACTTGGGACAGTGTTCTCGGGGCATCTCTGGAGTTGCCTGAAGGAAGTCGAGCCACCGGTCGTGTTGAATGGGGAACGGGGAATGGCTCTGGAGTCAATGCAGGGGAATCGGGCCTCATCTCGAGTTGATTTGGGGCACATGGAGCTGCTTTGCATTGCTGGGGTGACCTCAGGGTCCGTCTAGACTGGTGACAGTGTTCTTGGGGACTGTCTCGAGATCCATTAAGCAAGTCGAAGTTCCTGACTTGTTTGAATGGGATCACGGAATAGCTCTGCATGCACTGCAGGGGAATGGGGCCTCATCTCGCCTCTAGGGGAAAGTCTCATGGTTTTTCTCGAGTTGCGGCGGGGACCTGGGGTATGTTCTCGACTTACGGCGGGGATGGCTCTTCAAGACACGAGTTTCTTCAGTGACGTCAGGACTCCTGTCTAGTAATGAGGGACACCTCAGGAATCTCTTCGAGGCTTGGCAGGGAAAAAGGGACGATTCTCGAGGTGAGGCAGGGCACCCAAGGACCCTTTCCAGTAGCCACAGGGATTTTGGGATTCCTATCAGTATTCAAGAGGAGTCAGGCCTCGTCACCTTTTGAAGCAATGAACTCCGCGTGCCTCTCGAGGTGTCAGCGGGATTTGAGGCATTCCGTCAAAATGAGGCAGGGACCTAGGGCTTTCTCTAAGGTCTCCACAGGGGATTCAGACATCCCTTCATGTTGTGAGATGAAAGACGAGCCTGTATTCAAGCCACTGCAAGGAAATCCGGCCTCGTTTCAAGTTAGGGCTTCTCGCTGTATATTCCCCTTGAGGCAGCAAACTCGGGGTCCCTCCCACATACCTATTGCTGAGAGAAGCCTCCTCCTGAGGTACTTCTGGGAAGTTGGCATACGTCTTGAGCCTAAGCCAGGGAATCAGCTCGCATCTCGAGACGATTTGGGGTACACGGAGCATTCCTCGAGTTGCTGTGCTGAAGTTGGTGTTCCTCTAGACTTGGGACAGTGTTCTCGGGGCATCTCTGGAGTTGCCTGAAGGAAGTCGAGCCACCGGTCGTGTTGAATGGGGAACGGGGAATGGCTCTGGAGTCAATTCAGGGGAATCGGGCCTCATCTCGAGTTGATTTGGGGCACATGGAGCTGCTTTGCTTTGCTGCGGTGACCTCAGGGTCCGTCTAGACTGGTGACAGTGTTCTTGGGGACTGTCTCGAGATCCATTAAGCAAGTGGAAGCTCCTGACTTGTTTGAATGGGATCACGGAATAGCTCTGCATGCACTGCAGGTGAATGGGGCCTCATCTCGCCTCTAGAGGAAGTCTCATGGTTTTTCTCGAGTTGCGGCGGGGACCTGGGGTATGTTCTCGACTTACGGCGGGGCTGGCCCTTCAAAACACGAGTTTCTTCAGTGACGTCAGGACTCCTGTCTAGTAATGAGGGACACCTCAGGAATCTCTTCGAGGCTTGGCAGGGCAAAAGGGACGCTTCTCGAGGTGAGGCAGGGCACCCAAGGACCCTTTCCAGTAGCCACAGGGATTTTGGGATTCCTATCAGTATTCAAGAGGAGTCAGGCATCGTCACCTTTTGAAGCAATGAACTCCGCGTGCCTCTCGAGGTGTCAGCGGGATGTGAGGCATTCCGTCAAAATGAGGCAGGGACCTAGGGCTTTCTCTAAGGTCTCCACAGGGGATTCAGACATCCCTTCATGTTGTGAGATGAAAGACGAGCCTGTATTCAAGCCACTGCAAGGAAATCCGGCCTCCTTTCAAGTTAGGGCTTCTTGCTGTATATTCCCCTTGAGGCAGCAAACTCGGGGTCCCTCCCACATACCTGTTGCTGAGAGAAGCCTCCTCCTGAGGTGCTTCTGGGAAGTTGGCATACGTCTTGAGCCTAAGCCAGGGAATCAGCTCTCATCTCGAGACGATTTGGGGTACACGGAGCATTCCTCGAGTTGCTGTGCTGAAGTTGGTGTTCCTCTAGACTTGGGACAGTGTACTCGGGGCATCTCTGGAGTTGCCTGAAGGAAGTCGAGCCACCGGTCGTGTTGAATGGGGAACGGGGAATGGCTCTGGAGTCAATGCAGGGGAATCGGGCCTCATCTCGATTTGATTTGGGGCACATGGAGCTGCTTTGCGTTGCTGGGGTGACCTCAGGGTCCATCTAGACTGGTGACAGTGTTCTTGGGGACTGTCTCGAGATCCATTAAGCAAGTCGAAGCTCCTGACTTGTTTGAATGGGATCACGGAATAGCTCTGCATGCACTGCAGGGGAATGGGGCCTCATCTCGCCTCTAGGGGGAAGTCTCATGGTTTTTCTCGAGTTGCGGCGGGGACCTGGGGTATGTTCTCGACTTACGGCGGGGATGGCCCTTCAAAACACGAGTTTCTTCAGTGACGTCAGGACTCCTGTCTAGTAATGAGGGACACCTCAGGAATCTCTTCGAGGCTTGGCAGGGCAAAAGGGACGCTTCTCGAGGTGAGGCAGGACACACAAGGACCCTATCCAGTAGGCACAGGGATTTTGGGATTCCTATCAGTATTCAAGAGGAGTCAGGAATCGTCACCTTTTGAAGCAATGAACTCCGCGTGCCTCTCGAGGTGTCAGCGCGATGTGAGGCATTCCGTCAAAATGAGGCAGGGACCTAGGGCTTTCTCTAAGGTCTCCACCGGGGATTCAGACATCCCTTCATGTTGTGAGATGAAAGACGAGCCTGTATTCAAGCCACTGCAAGGAAATCCGGCCTCCTTTCAAGTTAGGGCTTCTCGCTGTATATTCCCCTTGCGACAGCAAACTCGGGGTCCCTCCCACATACCTATTGCTGAGAGAAGCCTCCTCCTGAGGTGCTTCTGGGAAGTTGGCATACGTCTTGAGCCTAAGCCAGGGAATCAGCTCTCATCTCGAGACGATTTGGGATACACGGAGCATTCCTCGAGTTGCTGTGCTGTAGTTCGTGTTCCTCTAGACTTGGGACAGTGTACTCGGGGCATCTCTGGAGTTGCCTGAAGGAAGTCGAGCCACCGGTCGTGTTGAATGGGGAACGGGGAATGGCTCTGGAGTCAATGCAGGGGAATCGGGCCTCATCTCGATTTGATTTGGGGCACATGGAGCTGCTTTGCGTTGCTGGGTTGACCTCAGGGTCCATCTAGACTGGTGACAGTGTTCTTGGGGACTGTCTCGAGATCCATTAAGCAAGTCGAAGCTCCTGACTTGTTTGAATGGGATCACGGAATAGCTCTGCATGCACTGCAGGGGAATGGGGCCTCATCTCGCCTCTAGGGGGAAGTCTCATGGTTTTTCTCGAGTTGCGGCGGGGACCTGGGGTATGTTCTCGACTTACGGCGGGGATGGCCCTTCAAAACACGAGTTTCTTCAGTGACGTCAGGACTCCTGTCTAGTAACGAGGGACACCTCAGGAATCTCTTCGAGGCTTGGCAGGGCAAAAGGGACGCTTCTCGAGGTGAGGCAGGACACACAAGGACCCTTTCCAGTAGGCACAGGGATTTTGGGATTCCTATCAGTATTCAAGAGGAGTCAGGAATCGTCACCTTTTGAAGCAATGAACTCCGCGTGCCTCTCGAGGTGTCAGCGTGATGTGAGGCATTCCGTCAAAATGAGGCAGGGACCTAGGGCTTTCTCTAAGGTCTCCACAGGGCATTCAGACATCCCTTCATGTTGTGAGATGAAAGACGAGCCTGTATTCAAGCCACTGCAAGGAAATCCAGCCTCCTTTCAACTTAGGGCTTCTCGCTGTATTTCCCCTTGAGGCAGCAAACTCGGGGTCCCTCCCACATACCTATTGCTGAGAGAAGCCTCCTCCTGAGGTGCTTCTGGGAAGTTGGCATACGTCTTGAGCCTAAGCCAGGGAATCAGCTCTCATCTCGAGACGATTTGGGGTACACGGAGCATTCCTCGAGTTGCTGTGCTGAAGTTGGTGTTCCTCTAGACTTGGGACAGTGTTCTCGGGGCATCTCTGGAGTTGCCTGAAGGAAGTCGAGCCACCGGTCATGTTGAATGGGGAACGGGGAATGGCTCTGGAGTCAATGCAGGGGAATCGGGCCTCATCTCGAGTTGATTTGGGGCACATGGAGCTGCTTTGCGTTGCTGGGGTGACCTCAGGGTCCGTCTAGACTGGTGACAGTGTTCTTGGGGACTGTCTCGAGATCCATTAAGCAAGTCGAAGCTCCTGACTTGTTTGAATGGGATCACGGAATAGCTCTGCATGCACTGCAGGGGAATGGGGCCTCATCTCGCCTCTAGGGGGAAGTCTCATGGTTTTTCTCGAGTTGCGGCGGGGACCTGGGGTATGTTCTCGACTTACGGCGGGGATGGCCCTTCCAAACACGAGTTTCTTCAGTGACGTCAGGACTCCTGTCTAGTAACGAGGGACACCTCAGGAATCTCTTCGAGGCTTGGCAGGGCAAAAGGGACGCTTCTCGAGGTGAGGCAGGGCACCCAAGGACCCTTTCCAGTAGCCACAGGGATTTTGGGATTCCTATCAGTATTCAAGAGGAGTCAGGCATCGTCACCTTTTGAAGCAATGAACTCCGCGTGCCTCTCGAGGTGTCAGCGTTATGTGAGGCATTCCGTCAAAATGAGGCAGGGACCTAGGGCTTTCTCTAAGGTCTCCACAGAGGATTCAGACATCCCTTCATGTTGTGAGATGAAAGACGAGCCTGTATTCAAGCCACTGCAAGGAAATCCGGCCTCCTTTCAAGTTAGGGCTTCTCGCTGTATATTCCCCTTGAGGCAGCAAACTCGGGGTCCCTCCCACATACCTATTGCTGAGAGAAGCCTCCTCCTGAGGTGCTTCTGGGAAGTTGGCATACGTCTTGAGCCTAAGCCAGGGAATCAGCTCTCATCTCGAAACGATTTGGGGTACACGGAGCATTCCTCGAGTTGCTGTGCTGAAGTTGGTGTTCCTCTAGACTTGGGACAGTGTTCTCGGGGCATCTCTGGAGTTGCCTGAAGGAAGTCGAGCCACCGGTCATGTTGAATGGGGAACGGGGAATGGCTCTGGAGTCAATGCAGGGGAATCGGGCCTCATCTCGAGTTGATTTGGGGCACATGGAGCTGCTTTGCGTTGCTGGGGTGACCTCAGGGTCCGTCTAGACTGGTGACAGTGTTCTTGGGGACTGTCTCGAGATCCATTAAGCAAGTCGAAGCTCCTGACTTGTTTGAATGGGATCACGGAATAGCTCTGCATGCACTGCAGGGGAATGGGGCCTCATCTCGCCTCTAGGGGGAAGTCTCATGGTTTTTCTCGAGTTGCGGCGGGGACCTGGGGTATGTTCTCGACTTACGGCGGGGATGGCCCTTCAAGACACGAGTTTCTTCAGTGACGTCAGGACTCCTGTCTAGTAACGAGGGACACCTCAGGAATATCTTCGAGGCTTGGCAGGGCAAAAGGGACGCTTCTCGAGGTGAGGCAGGGCACCCAAGGACCCTTTCCAGTAGCCACAGGGATTTTGGGATTCCTATCAGTATTCAAGAGGAGTCAGGCATCGTCACCTTTTGAAGCAATGAACTCCGCGTGCCTCTCGAGGTGTCAGCTGGATGTGAGGCATTCCGTCAAAATGAGGCAGGGACCTAGGGCTTTCTCTAAGGTCTCCACAAGGGATTCAGACATCCCTTCATGTTGTGAGATGAAAGACGAGCCTGTATTCAAGCCACTGCAAGGAAATCCGGCAACCTTTCAAGTTAGGGCTTCTCGCTGTATATTCCCCTTGCGGCAGCAAACTCGAGGTCCCTCCCACATACCTATTGCTGAGAGAAGCCTCCTCCTGAGGTGCTTCTGGGAAGTTGGCATACGTCTTGAGCCTAAGCCAGGGAATCAGCTCGCATCTCGAGACGATTTGGGGTACACGGAGCATTCCTCGAGTTGCTGTGCTGAAGTTGGTGTTCCTCTAGACTTGGGACAGTGTTCTCGGGGCATCTCTGGAGTTGCCTGAAGGAAGTCGAGCCACCGGTCGTGTTGAATGGGGAACGGGGAATGGCTCTGGAGTCAATGCAGGGGAATCGGGCCTCATCTCGAGTTGATTTGGGGCACATGGAGCTGCTTTGCATTGCTGGGGTGACCTCAGGGTCCGTCTAGACTGGTGACAGTGTTCTTGGGGACTGTCTCGAGATCCATTAAGCAAGTCGAAGTTCCTGACTTGTTTGAATGGGATCACGGAATAGCTCTGCATGCACTGCAGGGGAATGGGGCCTCATCTCGCCTCTAGGGGAAAGTCTCATGGTTTTTCTCGAGTTGCGGCGGGGACCTGGGGTATGTTCTCGACTTACGGCGGGGATGGCTCTTCAAGACACGAGTTTCTTCAGTGACGTCAGGACTCCTGTCTAGTAATGAGGGACACCTCAGGAATCTCTTCGAGGCTTGGCAGGGAAAAAGGGACGCTTCTCGAGGTGAGGCAGGGCACCCAAGGACCCTTTCCAGTAGCCACAGGGATTTTGGGATTCCTATCAGTATTCAAGAGGAGTCAGGCCTCGTCACCTTTTGAAGCAATGAACTCCGCGTGCCTCTCGAGGTGTCAGCGGGATTTGAGGCATTCCGTCAAAATGAGGCAGGGACCTAGGGCTTTCTCTAAGGTCTCCGCAGGGGATTCAGACATCCCTTCATGTTGTGAGATGAAAGACGAGCCTGTATTCAAGCCACTGCAAGGAAATCCGGCCTCGTTTCAAGTTAGGGCTTCTCGCTGTATATTCCCCTTGAGGCAGCAAACTCGGGGTCCCTCCCACATACCTATTGCTGAGAGAAGCCTCCTCCTGAGGTACTTCTGGGAAGTTGGCATACGTCTTGAGCCTAAGCCAGGGAATCAGCTCGCATCTCGAGACGATTTGGGGTACACGGAGCATTCCTCGAGTTGCTGTGCTGAAGTTGGTGTTCCTCTAGACTTGGGACAGTGTTCTCGGGGCATCTCTGGAGTTGCCTGAAGGAAGTCGAGCCACCGGTCGTGTTGAATGGGGAACGGGGAATGGCTCTGGAGTCAATTCAGGGGAATCGGGCCTCATCTCGAGTTGATTTGGGGCACATGGAGCTGCTTTGCTTTGCTGCGGTGACCTCAGGGTCCGTCTAGACTGGTGACAGTGTTCTTGGGGACTGTCTCGAGATCCATTAAGCAAGTCGAAGCTCCTGACTTGTTTGAATGGGATCACGGAATAGCTCTGCATGCACTGCAGGTGAATGGGGCCTCATCTCGCCTCTAGAGGAAGTCTCATGGTTTTTCTCGAGTTGCGGCGGGGACCTGGGGTATGTTCTCGACTTACGGCGGGGCTGGCCCTTCAAAACACGAGTTTCTTCAGTGACGTCAGGACTCCTGTCTAGTAATGAGGGACACCTCAGGAATCTCTTCGAGGCTTGGCAGGGCAAAAGGGACGCTTCTCGAGGTGAGGCAGGGCACCCAAGGACCCTTTCCAGTAGCCACAGGGATTTTGGGATTCCTATCAGTATTCAAGAGGAGTCAGGCATCGTCACCTTTTGAAGCAATGAACTCCGCGTGCCTCTCGAGGTGTCAGCGGGATGTGAGGCATTCCGTCAAAATGAGGCAGGGACCTAGGGCTTTCTCTAAGGTCTCCACAGGGGATTCAGACATCCCTTCATGTTGTGAGATGAAAGACGAGCCTGTACTCAAGCCACTGCAAGGAAATCCGGCCTCCTTTCAAGTTAGGGCTTCTTGCTGTATATTCCCCTTGAGGCAGCAAACTCGGGGTCCCTCCCACATACCTGTTGCTGAGAGAAGCCTCCTCCTGAGGTGCTTCTGGGAAGTTGGCATACGTCTTGAGCCTAAGCCAGGGAATCAGCTCTCATCTCGAGACGATTTGGGGTACACGGAGCATTCCTCGAGTTGCTGTGCTGAAGTTGGTGTTCCTCTAGACTTGGGACAGTGTACTCGGGGCATCTCTGGAGTTGCCTGAAGGAAGTCGAGCCACCGGTCGTGTTGAATGGGGAACGGGGAATGGCTCTGGAGTCAATGCAGGGGAATCGGGCCTCATCTCGATTTGATTTGGGGCACATGGAGCTGCTTTGCGTTGCTGGGGTGACCTCAGGGTCCATCTAGACTGGTGACAGTGTTCTTGGGGACTGTCTCGAGATCCATTAAGCAAGTCGAAGCTCCTGACTTGTTTGAATGGGATCACGGAATAGCTCTGCATGCACTGCAGGGGAATGGGGCCTCATCTCGCCTCTAGGGGGAAGTCTCATGGTTTTTCTCGAGTTGCGGCGGGGACCTGGGGTATGTTCTCGACTTACGGCGGGGATGGCCCTTCAAAACACGAGTTTCTTCAGTGACGTCAGGACTCCTGTCTAGTAACGAGGGACACCTCAGGAATCTCTTCGAGGCTTGGCAGGGCAAAAGGGACGCTTCTCGAGGTGAGGCAGGACACACAAGGACCCTTTCCAGTAGGCACAGGGATTTTGGGATTCCTATCAGTATTCAAGAGGAGTCAGGAATCGTCACCTTTTGAAGCAATGAACTCCGCGTGCCTCTCGAGGTGTCAGCGCGATGTGAGGCATTCCGTCAAAATGAGGCAGGGACCTAGGGCTTTCTCTAAGGTCTCCACCGGGGATTCAGACATCCCTTCATGTTGTGAGATGAAAGACGAGCCTGTATTCAAGCCACTGCAAGGAAATCCGGCCTCCTTTCAAGTTAGGGCTTCTCGCTGTATATTCCCCTTGCGACAGCAAACTCGGGGTCCCTCCCACATACCTATTGCTGAGAGAAGCCTCCTCCTGAGGTGCTTCTGGGAAGTTGGCATACGTCTTGAGCCTAAGCCAGGGAATCAGCTCTCATCTCGAGACGATTTGGGATACACGGAGCATTCCTCGAGTTGCTGTGCTGAAGTTCGTGTTCCTCTAGACTTGGGACAGTGTTCTCGGGGCATCTCTGGAGTTGCCTGAAGGAAGTCGAGCCACCGGTCGTGTTGAATGGGGAACGGGGAATGGCTCTGGAGTCAATGCAGGGGAATCGGGCCTCATCTCGAGTTGATTTGGGGCACATGGAGCTGCTTTGCGTTGCTGGGGTGACCTCAGGTTCCGTCTAGACTGGTGACAGTGTTCTTGGGGACTGTCTCGAGATCCATTAAGCAAGTCGAAGCTCCTGACTTGTTTGAATGGGATCACGGAATAGCTCTGCATGCACTGCAGGGGAATGGGGCCTCATCTCGCCTCTAGGGGGAAGTCTCATGGTTTTTCTCGAGTTGCGGCGGGGACCTGGGGTATGTTCTCGACTTACGGCGGGGATGGCCCTTCAAAACACGAGTTTCTTCAGTGACGTCAGGACTCCTGTCTAGTAACGAGGGACACCTCAGGAATCTCTTCGAGGCTTGGCAGGGCAAAAGGGACGCTTCTCGAGGTGAGGCAGGGCACCAAAGGACCCTTTCCAGTAGCCACAGGGATTTTGGGATTCCTATCAGTATTCAAGAGGAGTCAGGCATCATCACCTTTTGAAGCAATGAACTCCGCGTGCCTCTCGAGGTGTCAGCGGGATGTGAGGCATTCCGTCAAAATGAGGCAGGGACCTAGGGCTTTCTCTAAGGTCTCCACAGGGGATTCAGACATCCCTTCATGTTGTGAGGTGAAAGACGAGCCTGTATTCAAGCCACTGCAAGGAAATCCGGCCTCCTTTCAAGTTAGGGCTTCTCGCTGTATATTCCCCTTGAGGCAGCAAACTCGGGGTCCCTCCCACATACCTGTTGCTGAGAGAAGCCTCTTCCTGAGGTGCTTCTGGGAAGTTGGCATACGTCTTGAGCCTAAGCCAGGGAATCAGCTCTCATCTCGAGACGATTTGGGGTACACGGAGCATTCCTCGAGTTGCTGTGCTGAAGTTGGTGTTCCTCTAGACTTGGGACAGTGTACTCGGGGAATCTCTGGAGTTGCCTGAAGGAAGTCGAGCCACCGGTCGTGTTGAATGGGGAACGGGGAATGGCTCTGGAGTCAATGCAGGGGAATCGGGCCTCATCTCGAGTTGATTTGGGGCACATGGAGCTGCTTTGCGTTGCTGGGGTGACCTCACGGTCCGTCTAGACTGGTGACAGTGTTCTTGGGGACTGTCTCGAGATCCATTAAGCAAGTGGAAGCTCCTGACTTGTTTGAATGGGATCACGGAATAGCTCTGCATGCACTGCAGGGGAATGGGGCCTCATCTCGCCTCTAGGGGGAAGTCTCATGGTTTTTCTCGAGTTGCGGCGGGGACCTGGGGTATGTTCTCGACTTACAGCGGGGATGGCCCTTCAAAACACGAGTTTCTTCAGTGACGTCAGGACTCCTGTCTAGTAACGAGGGACAGCTCAGGAATCTCTTCGAGGCTTGGCAGGGCAAAAGGGACGCTTCTCGAGGTGAGGCAGGGCACCCAAGGACCCTTTCCAGTAGCCACAGGGATTTTGGGATTCCTATCAGTATTCAAGAGGAGTCAGGCATCGTCACCTTTTGAAGCAATGAACTCCGCGTGCCTCTCGAGGTGTCAGCGCGATGTGAGGCATTCCGTCAAAATGAGGCAGGGACCTAGGGCTTTCTCTAAGGTCTCCACAGGGGATTCAGACATCCCTTCATGTTGTGAGATGAAAGACGAGCCTGTATTCAAGCCACTGCAAGGAAATCCGGCCTCCTTTCAAGTTAGGGCTTCTCGCTGTATATTCCCCTTGAGGCAGCAAACTCGGGGTCCCTCCCACATACCTATTGCTGAGAGAAGCCTCCTCCTGAGGTGCTTCTGGGAAGTTGGCATACGTCTTGAGCCTAAGCCAGGGAATCAGCTCGCATCTCGAGACGATTTGGGGTGCACGGAGCATTCCTCGAGTTGCTGTGCTGAAGTTGGTGTTCCTCTAGACTTGGGACAGTGTTCTCGAGGCATCTCTAGAGTTGCCTGAAGGAAGTCGAGCCACCGGTCGTGTTGAATGGGGAACGGGGAATGGCTCTGGAGTCAATGCAGGGGAATCGGGCCTCATCTCGAGTTGATTTGGGGCACATTGAGCTGCTTTGCGTTGCTGGGGTGACCTCAGGTTCCGTCTAGACTGGTGACAGTGTTCTTGGGGACTGTCTCGAGATCCATTAAGCAAGTCGAAGCTCCTGACTTGTTTGAATGTGATCACGGAATAGCTCTGCATGCACTGCAGGGGAATGGGGCCTCATCTCGCCTCTAGGGGGAAGTCTCATGGTTTTTCTCGAGTTGCGGCGGGGACCTGGGGTATGTTCTCGACTTACGGCGGGGATGGCCCTTCAAAACACGAGTTTCTTCAGTGACGTCAGGACTCTTGTCTAGTAACGAGGGACACCTCAGGAATCTCTTCGAGGCTTGGGAGGGCAAAAGGGACGCTTCTCGAGGTGAGGCAGGGCACCCAAGTACCCTTTCCACTAGCCACAGGGATTTTGGGATTCCTATCAGTATTCAAGAGGAGTCAGGCATCGTCACCTTTTGAAGCAATGAACTCCGCGTGCCTCTCGAGGTGTCAGCGGGATGTGAGGCATTCCGTCAAAATGAGGCAGGGACCTAGGGCTTTCTCTAAGGTCTCCACAGGGGATTCAGACATCCCTTCATGTTGTGAGATGAAAGACGAGCCTGTATTCAAGCCACTGCAAGGAAATCCGGCCTCCTTTCAAGTTAGGGCTTTTCGCTGTATATTCCCCTTTGGGCAGCAAACTCGGGGTCCCTCCCACATACCTATTGCTGAGAGAAGCCTCCTCCTGAGGTGCTTCTGGGAAGTTGGCATACGTCTTGAGCCTAAGCCAGGGAATCAGCTCGCATCTCGAGACGATTTGGGGTACACGGAGCATTCCTCGAGTTGCTGTGCTGAAGTTGGTGTTCCTCTAGACTTGGGACAGTGTTCTCGGGGCATCTCTGGAGTTGCCTGAAGGAAGTCGAGCCACCGGTCGTGTTGAATGGGGAACGGGGAACGGCTCTGGAGTCAATGCAGGGGAATCGGGCCTCATCTCGAGTTGATTTGGGGCACATGGAGCTGCTTTGCGTTGCTGGGGTGACCTCAGGGTCCGTCTAGACTGGTGACAGTGTTCTTGGGGACTGTCTCGAGATCCATTAAGCAAGTCGAAGCTCCTGACTTGTTTGAATGGGATCACGGAATACCTCTGCATGCACTGCAGGGGAATGGGGCCTCATCTCGCCTCTAGGGGGAAGTCTCATGGTTTTTCTCGAGTTGCGGCGGCGACCTGGGGTATGTTCTCGACTTACGGCGGGGATGGCCCTTCAAAACACGAGTTTCTTCAGTGACGTCAGGACTCCTGTCTAGTAACGAGGGACAGCTCAGGAATCTCTTCGAGGCTTGGCAGGGCAAAAGGGACGCTTCTCGAGGTGAGGCAGGGCACCCAAGGACCCTTTCCAGTAGCCACAGGGATTTTGGGATTCCTATCAGTATTCAAGAGGAGTCAGGCATCGTCACCTTTTGAAGCAATGAACTCCGCGTGCCTCTCGAGGTGTCAGCGCGATGTGAGGCATTCCGTCAAAATGAGGCAGGGACCTAGGGCTTTCTCTAAGGTCTCCACAGGGGATTCAGACATCCCTTCATGTTGTGAGATGAAAGACGAGCCTGTATTCAAGCCACTGCAAGGAAATCCGGCCTCCTTTCAAGTTAGGGCTTCTCGCTGTATATTCCCCTTGAGGCAGCAAACTCGGGGTCCCTCCCACATACCTATTGCTGAGAGAAGCCTCCTCCTGAGGTGCTTCTGGGAAGTTGGCATACGTCTTGAGCCTAAGCCAGGGAATCAGCTCGCATCTCGAGACGATTTGGGGTGCACGGAGCATTCCTCGAGTTGCTGTGCTGAAGTTGGTGTTCCTCTAGACTTGGGACAGTGTTCTCGAGGCATCTCTAGAGTTGCCTGAAGGAAGTCGAGCCACCGGTCGTGTTGAATGGGGAACGGGGAATGGCTCTGGAGTCAATGCAGGGGAATCGGGCCTCATCTCGAGTTGATTTGGGGCACATTGAGCTGCTTTGCGTTGCTGGGGTGACCTCAGGTTCCGTCTAGACTGGTGACAGTGTTCTTGGGGACTGTCTCGAGATCCATTAAGCAAGTCGAAGCTCCTGACTTGTTTGAATGTGATCACGGAATAGCTCTGCATGCACTGCAGGGGAATGGGGCCTCATCTCGCCTCTAGGGGGAAGTCTCATGGTTTTTCTCGAGTTGCGGCGGGGACCTGGGGTATGTTCTCGACTTACGGCGGGGATGGCCCTTCAAAACACGAGTTTCTTCAGTGACGTCAGGACTCTTGTCTAGTAACGAGGGACACCTCAGGAATCTCTTCGAGGCTTGGGAGGGCAAAAGGGACGCTTCTCGAGGTGAGGCAGGGCACCCAAGTACCCTTTCCACTAGCCACAGGGATTTTGGGATTCCTATCAGTATTCAAGAGGAGTCAGGCATCGTCACCTTTTGAAGCAATGAACTCCGCGTGCCTCTCGAGGTGTCAGCGGGATGTGAGGCATTCCGTCAAAATGAGGCAGGGACCTAGGGCTTTCTCTAAGGTCTCCACAGGGGATTCAGACATCCCTTCATGTTGTGAGATGAAAGACGAGCCTGTATTCAAGCCACTGCAAGGAAATCCGGCCTCCTTTCAAGTTAGGGCTTTTCGCTGTATATTCCCCTTTGGGCAGCAAACTCGGGGTCCCTCCCACATACCTATTGCTGAGAGAAGCCTCCTCCTGAGGTGCTTCTGGGAAGTTGGCATACGTCTTGAGCCTAAGCCAGGGAATCAGCTCGCATCTCGAGACGATTTGGGGTACACGGAGCATTCCTCGAGTTGCTGTGCTGAAGTTGGTGTTCCTCTAGACTTGGGACAGTGTTCTCGGGGCATCTCTGGAGTTGCCTGAAGGAAGTCGAGCCACCGGTCGTGTTGAATGGGGAACGGGGAACGGCTCTGGAGTCAATGCAGGGGAATCGGGCCTCATCTCGAGTTGATTTGGGGCACATGGAGCTGCTTTGCGTTGCTGGGGTGACCTCAGGGTCCGTCTAGACTGGTGACAGTGTTCTTGGGGACTGTCTCGAGATCCATTAAGCAAGTCGAAGCTCCTGACTTGTTTGAATGGGATCACGGAATACCTCTGCATGCACTGCAGGGGAATGGGGCCTCATCTCGCCTCTAGGGGGAAGTCTCATGGTTTTTCTCGAGTTGCGGCGGGGACCTGGGGTATGTTCTCGACTTACGGCGGGGATGGCCCTTCAAAACACGAGTTTCTTCAGTGACGTCAGGACTCCTGTCTAGTAACGAGGGACAGCTCAGGAATCTCTTCGAGGCTTGGCAGGGCAAAAGGGACGCTTCTCGAGGTGAGGCAGGGCACCCAAGGACCCTTTCCAGTAGCCACAGGGATTTTGGGATTCCTATCAGTATTCAAGAGGAGTCAGGCATCGTCACCTTTTGAAGCAATGAACTCCGCGTGCCTCTCGAGGTGTCAGCGCGATGTGAGGCATTCCGTCAAAATGAGGCAGGGACCTAGGGCTTTCTCTAAGGTCTCCACAGGGGATTCAGACATCCCTTCATGTTGTGAGATGAAAGACGAGCCTGTATTCAAGCCACTGCAAGGAAATCCGGCCTCCTTTCAAGTTAGGGCTTCTCGCTGTATATTCCCCTTGAGGCAGCAAACTCGGGGTCCCTCCCACATACCTATTGCTGAGAGAAGCCTCCTCCTGAGGTGCTTCTGGGAAGTTGGCATACGTCTTGAGCCTAAGCCAGGGAATCAGCTCGCATCTCGAGACGATTTGGGGTGCACGGAGCATTCCTCGAGTTGCTGTGCTGAAGTTGGTGTTCCTCTAGACTTGGGACAGTGTTCTCGAGGCATCTCTAGAGTTGCCTGAAGGAAGTCGAGCCACCGGTCGTGTTGAATGGGGAACGGGGAATGGCTCTGGAGTCAATGCAGGGGAATCGGGCCTCATCTCGAGTTGATTTGGGGCACATTGAGCTGCTTTGCGTTGCTGGGGTGACCTCAGGTTCCGTCTAGACTGGTGACAGTGTTCTTGGGGACTGTCTCGAGATCCATTAAGCAAGTCGAAGCTCCTGACTTGTTTGAATGTGATCACGGAATAGCTCTGCATGCACTGCAGGGGAATGGGGCCTCATCTCGCCTCTAGGGGGAAGTCTCATGGTTTTTCTCGAGTTGCGGCGGGGACCTGGGGTATGTTCTCGACTTACGGCGGGGATGGCCCTTCAAAACACGAGTTTCTTCAGTGACGTCAGGACTCTTGTCTAGTAACGAGGGACACCTCAGGAATCTCTTCGAGGCTTGGGAGGGCAAAAGGGACGCTTCTCGAGGTGAGGCAGGGCACCCAAGTACCCTTTCCACTAGCCACAGGGATTTTGGGATTCCTATCAGTATTCAAGAGGAGTCAGGCATCGTCACCTTTTGAAGCAATGAACTCCGCGTGCCTCTCGAGGTGTCAGCGGGATGTGAGGCATTCCGTCAAAATGAGGCAGGGACCTAGGGCTTTCTCTAAGGTCTCCACAGGGGATTCAGACATCCCTTCATGTTGTGAGATGAAAGACGAGCCTGTATTCAAGCCACTGCAAGGAAATCCGGCCTCCTTTCAAGTTAGGGCTTTTCGCTGTATATTCCCCTTTGGGCAGCAAACTCGGGGTCCCTCCCACATACCTATTGCTGAGAGAAGCCTCCTCCTGAGGTGCTTCTGGGAAGTTGGCATACGTCTTGAGCCTAAGCCAGGGAATCAGCTCGCATCTCGAGACGATTTGGGGTACACGGAGCATTCCTCGAGTTGCTGTGCTGAAGTTGGTGTTCCTCTAGACTTGGGACAGTGTTCTCGGGGCATCTCTGGAGTTGCCTGAAGGAAGTCGAGCCACCGGTCGTGTTGAATGGGGAACGGGGAACGGCTCTGGAGTCAATGCAGGGGAATCGGGCCTCATCTCGAGTTGATTTGGGGCACATGGAGCTGCTTTGCGTTGCTGGGGTGACCTCAGGGTCCGTCTAGACTGGTGACAGTGTTCTTGGGGACTGTCTCGAGATCCATTAAGCAAGTCGAAGCTCCTGACTTGTTTGAATGGGATCACGGAATAGCTCTGCATGCACTGCAGGGGAATGGGGCCTCATCTCGCCTCTAGGGGGAAGTCTCATGGTTTTTCTCGAGTTGCGGCAGGGACCTGGGGTATGTTCTCGACTTACGGCGGGGATGGCCCTTCCAAACACGAGTTTCTTCAGTGACGTCAGGACTCCTGTCTAGTATCGAGGGACACCACAGGAATCTCTTCGAGGCTTGGCAGGGCAAAAGGGACGCTTCTCGAGGTGAGGCAGGGCACCCAAGGACCCTTTCCAGTAGCCACAGGGATTTTGGGATTCCTATCAGTATTCAAGAGGAGTCAGGCATCGTCACCTTTTGAAGCAATGAACTCCGCGTGCCTCTCGAGGTGTCAGCGGGATGTGAGGCATTCCGTCAAAATGAGGCAGGGACCTAGGGCTTTCTCTAAGGTCTCCACAGGGGATTCAGACATCCCTTCATGTTGTGAGATGAAAGACGAGCCTGTATTCAAGCCACTGCAAGGAAATCCGGCCTCCTTTCAAGTTAGGGCTTCTCGCTGTATATTCCCCTTGAGGCAGCAAACTCGGGGTCCCTCCCACATACCTATTGCTGAGAGAAGCCTCCTCCTGAGGTGCTTCTGGGAAGTTGGCATACGTCTTGAGCCTAAGCCAGGGAATCAGCTCGCATCTCGAGACGATTTGGGGTACACGGAACATTCCTCGAGTTGCTGTGCTGAAGTTGGTGTTCCTCTAGACTTGGGACAGTGTTCTCGGGGCATCTCTGGAGTTGCCTGAAGGAAGTCGAGCCACCGGTCGTGTTGAATGGGGAACGCGGAATGGCTCTGGAGTCAATGCAGGGAAATGGGCCTCATCTCGAGTTGATTTGGGGCACATGGAGCTGCTTTGCGTTGCTGGGGTGACCTCAGGGTCCGTCTAGACTGGTGACAGTGTTCTTGGGGACTGTCTCGAGATCCATTAAGCAAGTCGAAGTTCCTGACTTGTTTGAATGGGATCACGGAATAGCTCTGCATGCACTGCAGGGGAATGGGGCCTCATCTCGCCTCTAGGGGGAAGTCTCATGGTTTTTCTCGAGTTGCGGCGGGGACCTGGGGTATGTTCTCGACTTACGGCGGGGATGGCCCTTCAAAACACGAGTGTCTTCAGTGACGTCAGGACTCCTGTCTAGTAACGAGGGACACCTCAGGAATCTCTTCGAGGCTTGGCAGGGCAAAAGGGACGCTTCTCGAGGTGAGGCAGGGCACCCAAGGACCCTTTCCAGTAGCCACAGGGATTTTGGGATTCCTATCAGTATTCAAGAGGAGTCAGACATCGTCACCTTTTGAAGCAATGAACTCCGCGTGCCTCTCGAGGTGTCAGCGGGATGTGAGGCATTCCGTCAAAATGAGGCAGGGACCTAGGGCTTTCTCTAAGGTCTCCACAGGGGATTCAGACATCCCTTCATGTTGTGAGATGAAAGACGAGCCTGTATTCAAGCCACTGCAAGGAAATCCGGCCTCCTTTCAAGTTAGGGCTTCTCGCTGTATATTCCCCTTGAGGCAGCAAACTCGGGGTCCCTCCCACATACCTATTGCTGAGAGAAGCCTCCTCCTGAGGTGCTTCTGGGAAGTTGGCATACGTCTTGAGCCTAAGCCAGGGAATCAGCTCGCATCTCGAGACGATTTGGGGTACACGGGGCATTCCTCGAGTTGCTGTGCTGAAGTTGGTGTTCCTCTAGACTTGGGACAGTGTTCTCGGGGCATCTCTGGAGTTGCCTGAAGGAAGTCGAGCCACCGGTCGTGTTGAATGGGGAACGGGGAATGGCTCTGGAGTCAATGCAGGGGAATCGGGCCTCATCTCGAGTTGATTTGGGGCACATGGAGCTGCTTTGCGTTGCTGGGGTGACCTCAGGGTCCGTCTAGACTGGTGACAGTGTTCTTGGGGACTGTCTCGAGATCCATTGAGCAAGTGGAAGCTCCTGACTTGTTTGAATGGGATCACGGAATAGCTCTGCATGCACTGCAGGGGAATGGGGCCTCATCTCGCCTCTAGGGGGAAGTCTCATGGTTTTTCTCGAGTTGCGGCGGGGACCTGGGGTATGTTCTCGACTTACGGCGGGGATGGCCCTTCAAAACACGAGTTTCTTCAGTGACGTCAGGACTCCTGTCTAGTAACGAGGGTCAGCTTAGGAATCTCTTCGAGGCTTGGCAGGGCAAAAGGGACGCTTCTCGAGGTGAGGCAGGGCACCCAAGGACCCTTTCCAGTAGCCACAGGGATTTTGGGTTTCCTATCAGTATTTAAGAGGAGTCAGGCATCGACACCTTTTGAAGCAATGAAGTCCGCGTGCCTCTCGAGGTGTCAGCGGGATGTGAGGCATTCCGTCAAAATGAGGCAGGGACCTAGGGCTTTCTCTAAGGTCTCCACAGGGGATTCAGACATCCCTTCATGTTGTGAGATGAAAGACGAGCCTGTATTCAAGCCACTGCAAGGAAATCCGGCCTCCTTTCAAATTAGGGCTTCTCGCTGTATATTCCCCTTGAGGCAGCAAACTCGGGGTCCCTCCCACATACCTATTGCTGAGAGAAGCCTCCTCCTGAGGTGCTTCTGGGAAGTTGGCATACGTCTTGAGCCTAAGCCAGGGAATCAGCTCGCATCTCGAGACGATTTGGGGTACACGGAGCATTCCTCGAGTTGCTGTGCTGAAGTTGGTGTTCCTCTAGACTTGGGACAGTGTTCTCGGGGCATCTCTGGAGTTGCCTGAAGGAAGTCGAGCCACCGGTCGTGTTGAATGGGGAACGGGGAATGGCTCTGGAGTCAATGCAGGGGAATCGGGCCTCATCTCGAGTTGATTTGGGGCACATGGAGCTGCTTTGCGTTGCTGGGGTGACCTCAGGGTCCGTCTAGACTGGTGACAGTGTTCTTGGGGACTGTCTCGAGATCCATTAAGCAAGTCGAAGCTCCTGACTTGTTTGAATGGGATCACGGAATAGCTCTGCATGCACTGCAGGGGAATGGGGCCTCATCTCGCCTCTAGGGGGAAGTCTCATGGTTTTTCTCGAGTTGCGGCGGGGACCTGGGGTATGTTCTCGACTTACGGCGGGGATGGCCCTTCAAAACACGAGTTTCTTCAGTGACGTCAGGACTCCTGTCTAGTAACGAGGGACAGCTCAGGAATCTCTTCGAGGCTTGGCAGGGTAAAAGGGACGCTTCTCGAGGTGAGGCAGGGCACCCAAGGACCCTTTCCAGTAGCCACAGGGATTTTGGGATTCCTATCAGTATTCAAGAGGAGTCAGGAATCGTCACCTTTTGAAGCAATGAACTCCGCGTGCCTCTCGAGGTGTCAGCGGGATGTGAGGCATTCCGTCAAAATGAGGCAGGGACCTAGGGCTTTCTCTAAGGTCTCCACAGGGGATTCAGACATCCCTTCATGTTGTGAGATGAAAGACGAGCCTGTATTCAAGCCACTGCAAGGAAATCCGGCCTCCTTTCAAGTTAGGGCTTCTCGCTGTATATTCCCCTTGAGGCAGCAAACTCGGGGTCCCTCCCACATACCTATTGCTGAGAGAAGCCTCCTCCTGAGGTGCTTCTGGGTAGTTGGCATACGTCTTGAGCCTAAGCCAGGGAATCAGCTCGCATCTCGAGACGATTTGGGGTACACGGAGCATTCCTCGAGTTGCTGTGCTGACGTTGGTGTTCCTCTAGACTTGGGACAGTGTTCTCGGGGCATCTCTGGAGTTGCCTGAAGGAAGTCGAGCCACCGGTCGTGTTGAATGGGGAACAGGGAATGGCTCTGGAGTCAATGCAGGGGAATCGGGCCTCATCTCGAGTTGATTTGGGGCACATGGAGCTGCTTTGCGTTGCTGGGGTGACCTCAGGGTCCGTCTAGACTGGTGACAGTGTTCTTGGGGACTGTCTCGAGATCCATTGAGCAAGTGGAAGCTCCTGACTTGTTTGAATGGGATCACGGAATAGCTCTGCATGCACTGCAGGGGAATGGGGCCTCATCTCGCCTCTAGGGGGAAGTCTCATGGTTTTTCTCGAGTTGCGGCGGGGACCTGGGGTATGTTCTCGACTTACGGCGGGGATGGCCCTTCAAAACACGAGTTTCTTCAGTGACGTCAGGACTCATGTCTAGTAACGAGGGACACCTCAGGAATCTCTTCGAGGCTTGGCAGGGCAAAAGGGACGCTTCTCGAGGTGAGGCAGGGCACCCAAGGACCCTTTCCAGTAGCCACAGGGATTTTGGGATTCCTATCAGTATTCAAGAGGAGTCAGGCATCGTCACCTTTTGAAGCAATGAACTCCGCGTGCCTCTCGAGGTTTCAGCGCGATGTGAGGCATTCCGTCAAAATGAGGCAGGGACCTAGGGCTTTCTCTAAGGTCTCCACAGGGGATTCAGACATCCCTTCATGTTGTGAGATGAAAGACGAGCCTGTATTCAAGCCACTGCAAGGAAATCCGGCCTCCTTTCAAGTTAGGGCTTCTCGCTGTATATTCCCCTTGAGGCAGCAAACTCGGGGTCCCTCCCACACACCTATTGCTGAGAGAAGCCTCCTCCTGAGGTGCTTCTGGGAAGTTGGCATACGTCTTGAGCCTAAGCCAGGGAATCAGCTCTCATCTCGAGACGATTTGGGGTACACGGAGCATTCCTCCAGTTGCTGTGCTGAAGTTGGTGTTCCTCTAGACTTGGGACAGTGTTCTCGGGGCATCTCTGGAGTTGCCTGAAGGAAGTCGAGCCACCGGTCGTGTTGAATGGGGAACGGGGAATGGCTCTTGAGTCAATGCAGGGGAATCGGGCCTCATCTCGAGTTGATTTGGGGCACATGGAGCTGCTTTGCGTTGCTGGGGTGACCTCAGGGTCCGTCTAGACTGGTGACAGTGTTCTTGGGGACTGTCTCGAGATCCATTAAGCAAGTCGAAGCTCCTGACTTGTTTGAATGGGATCACGGAATAGCTCTGCATGCACTGCAGGGGAATGGGGCCTCATCTCGCCTCTAGGGGGAAGTCTCATGGTTTTTCTCGAGTTGCGGCGGGGACTTGGGGTATGTTCTCGACTTACGGCGGGGATGGCCCTTCAAAGCACGAGTTTCTTCAGTGACGTCAGGACTCCTGTCTAGTAACGAGGGACACCTCAGGAATCTCTTCGAGGCTTGGCAGGGCAAAAGGGACGCTTCTCGAGGTGAGGCAGGGCACCCAAGGACCCTTTCCAGTAGCCACAGGGATTTTGGGATTCCTATCAGTATTCAAGAGGAGTCAGGCATCGTCACCTTTTGAGGCAATGAACTCCGCGTGCCTCTCGAGGTGTCAGCGCGATGTGAGGCATTCCGTCAAAATGAGGCAGGGACCTAGGGCTTTCTCTAAGGTCTCCACAGGGGATTCAGACATCCCTTCATGTTGTGAGATGAAAGATGAGCCTGTATTCAAGCCACTGCAAGGAAATCCGGCCTCCTTTCAAGTTAGGGCTTCTCGCTGTATATTCCCCTTGAGGCAGCAAACTCGGGGTCCCTCCCACATACCTATTGCTGAGAGAAGCCTCCTCCTGAGGTGCTTCTGGGAAGTTGGCATACGTCTTGAGCCTAAGCCGGGGAATCAGCTCGCATCTCGAGACGATTTGGGGTACACGGAGCATTCCTCGAGTTGCTGTGCTGAAGTTGGTGTTCCTCTAGACTTGGGACAGTGTTCTCGGGGCATCTCTGGAGTTGCCTGAAGGAAGTCGAGCCACCGGTCGTGTTGAATGGGGAACGGGGAATGGCTCTGGAGTCAATGCAGGGGAATCGGGCCTCATCTCGAGTTGATTTGGGGCACATGGAGCTGCTTTGCGTTGCTGGGGTGACCTCAGGGTCCGTCTAGACTGGTGACAGTGTTCTTGGGGACTGTCTCGAGATCCATTAAGCAAGTCGAAGCTCCTGACTTGTTTGAATGGGATCACGGAATAGCTCTGCATGCACTGCAGGGGAATGGGGCCTCATCTCGCCTCTAGGGGGAAGTCTCATGGTTTTTCTCGAGTTGCGGCGGGGACCTGGGGTATGTTCTCGACTTACGGCGGGGATGGCCCTTCAAAACACGAGTTTCTTCAGTGACGTCAGGACTCCTGTCTAGTAACGAGGGACAGCTCAGGAATCTCTTCGAGGCTTGGCAGGGTAAAAGGGACGCTTCTCGAGGTGAGGCAGGGCACCCAAGGACCCTTTCCAGTAGCCACAGGGATTTTGGGATTCCTATCAGTATTCAAGAGGAGTCAGGAATCGTCACCTTTTGAAGCAATGAACTCCGCGTGCCTCTCGAGGTGTCAGCGGGATGTGAGGCATTCCGTCAAAATGAGGCAGGGACCTAGGGCTTTCTCTAAGGTCTCCACAGGGGATTCAGACATCCCTTCATGTTGTGAGATGAAAGACGAGCCTGTATTCAAGCCACTGCAAGGAAATCCGGCCTCCTTTCAAGTTAGGGCTTCTCGCTGTATATTCCCCTTGAGGCAGCAAACTCGGGGTCCCTCCCACATACCTATTGCTGATAGAAGCCTCCTCCTGAGGTGCTTCTGGGAAGTTGGCATACGTCTTGAGCCTAAGCCAGGGAATCAGCTCGCATCTCGAGACGATTTGGGGTACACGGAGCATTCCTCGAGTTGCTGTGCTGACGTTGGTGTTCCTCTAGACTTGGGACAGTGTTCTCGGGGCATCTCTGGAGTTTCCTGAAGGAAGTCGAGCCACCGGTCGTGTTGAATGGGGAACAGGGAATGGCTCTGGAGTCAATGCAGGGGAATTGGGCCTCATCTCGAGTTGATTTGGGGCACATGGAGCTGCTTTGCGTTGCTGGGGTGACCTCAGGGTCCGTCTAGACTGGTGACAGTGTTCTTGGGGATGTCTCGAGATCCATTAAGCAAGTCGAAGCTCCTGACTTGTTTGAATGGGATCACGGAATAGCTCTGCATGCACTGCAGGGGAATGGGGCCTCATCTCGCCTCTAGGGGGAAGTCTCATGGTTTTTCTCGAGTTGCGGCGGGGACCTGGGGTATGTTCTCGACTTACGGCGGGGATGGCCCTTCAAAACACGAGTTTCTTCAGTGACGTCAGGACTCATGTCTAGTAACGAGGGACACCTCAGGAATCTCTTCGAGGCTTGGCAGGGCAAAAGGGACGCTTCTCGAGGTGAGGCAGGGCACCCAAGAACCCTTTCCAGTAGCCACAGGGATTTTGGGATTCCTATCAGTATTCAAGAGGAGTCAGGCATCGTCACCTTTTGAAGCAATGAACTCCGCGTGCCTCTCGAGGTTTCAGCGCGATGTGAGGCATTCCGTCAAAATGAGGCAGGGACCTAGGGCTTTCTCTAAGGTCTCCAGAGGGGATTCAGACATCCCTTCATGTTGTGAGATGAAAGACGAGCCTGTATTCAAGCCACTGCAAGGAAATCCGGCCTCCTTTCAAGTTAGGGCTTCTCGCTGTATATTCCCCTTGAGGCAGCAAACTCGGGGTCCCTCCCACACACCTATTGCTGAGAGAAGCCTCCTCCTGAGGTGCTTCTGGGAAGTTGGCATACGTCTTGAGCCTAAGCCAGGGAATCAGCTCTCATCTCGAGACGATTTGGGGTACACGGAGCATTCCTCGAGTTGCTGTGCTGAAGTTGGTGTTCCTCTAGACTTGGGACAGTGTTCTCGGGGCATCTCTGGAGTTGCCTGAAGGAAGTCGAGCCACCGGTCGTGTTGAATGGGGAACGGGGAATGGCTCTGGAGTCAATGCAGGGGAATCGGGCCTCATCTCGGGTTGATTTGGGGCACATGGAGCTGCTTTGCGTTGCTGGGGTGACCTCAGGGTCCGTCTAGACTGGTGACAGTGTTCTTGGGGACTGTCTCGAGATCCATTAAGCAAGTCGAAGCTCCTGACTTGTTTGAATGGGATCACGTAATAGCTCTGCATGCACTGCACGGGAATGGGGCCTCATCTCGCCTCTAGGGGGAAGTCTCATGGTTTTTCTCGAGTTGCGGCGGGGACTTGGGGTATGTTCTCGACTTACGGCGGAGATGGCCCTTCAAAGCACGAGTTTCTTCAGTGACGTCAGGACTCCTGTCTAGTAACGAGGGACACCTCAGGAATCTCTTCGAGGCTTGGCAGGGCAAAAGGGACGCTTCTCGAGGTGAGGCAGGGCACCCAAGGACCCTTTCCAGTAGCCACAGGGATTTTGGGATTCCTATCAGTATTCAAGAGGAGTCAGGCATCGTCACCTTTTGAGGTAATGAACTCCGCGTGCCTCTCGAGGTGTCAGCGCGATGTGAGGCATTCCGTCAAAATGAGGCAGGGACCTAGGGCTTTCTCTAAGGACTCCACAGGGGATTCAGACATCCCTTCATGTTGTGAGATGAAAGACGAGCCTGTATTCAAGCCACTGCAAGGAAATCCGGCCTCCTTTCAAGTTAGGGCTTCTCGCTGTATATTCCCCTTGAGGCAGCAAACTCGGGGTCCCTCCCACACACCTATTGCTGAGAGAAGCCTCCTCCTGAGGTGCTTCTGGGAAGTTGGCATACGTCTTGAGCCTAAGCCAGGGAATCAGCTCTCATCTCGAGACGATTTGGGGTACACGGAGCATTCCTCGAGTTGCTGTGCTGAAGTTGGTGTTCCTCTAGACTTGGGACAGTGTTCTCGGGGCATCTCTGGAGTTGCCTGAAGGAAGTCGAGCCACCGGTCGTGTTGAATGGGGAACGGGGAATGGCTCTGGAGTCAATGCAGGGGAATCGGGCCTCATCTCGGGTTGATTTGGGGCACATGGAGCTGCTTTGCGTTGCTAGGGTGACCTCAGGGTCCGTCTAGACTGGTGACAGTGTTCTTGGGGACTGTCTCGAGATCCATTAAGCAAGTCGAAGCTCCTGACTTGTTGAATGGGATCACGGAATAGCTCTGCATGCACTGCACGGGAATGGGGCCTCATCTCGCCTCTAGGGGGAAGTCTCATGGTTTTTCTCGAGTTGCGGCGGGGACTTGGGGTATGTTCTCGACTTACGGCGGGGATGGCCCTTCAAAGCACGAGTTTCTTCAGTGACGTCAGGACTCCTGTCTAGTAACGAGGGACACCTCAGGAATCTCTTCGAGGCTTGGCAGGGCAAAAGGGACGCTTCTCGAGGTGAGGCAGGGCACCCAAGGACCCTTTCCAGTAGCCACAGGGATTTTGGGATTCCTATCAGTATTCAAGAGGACTCAGGCATCGTCACCTTTTGAGGCAATGAACTCCGCGTGCCTCTCGAGGTGTCAGCGCGATGTGAGGCATTCCGTCAAAATGAGGCAGGGACCTAGGGCTTTCTCTAAGGACTCCACAGGGGATTCAGACATCCCTTCTTGTTGTGAGATGAAAGACGAGCCTGTATTCAAGCCACTGCAAGGAAATCCGGCCTCCTTTCAAGTTAGGGCTTCTCGCTGTATATTCCCCTTGAGGCAGCAAACTCGGGGTCCCTCCCACATACCTATTGCTGAGAGAAGCCTCCTCCTGAGGTGCTTCTGGGAAGTTGGCATACGTCTTGAGCCTAAGCCAGGGAATCAGCTCGCATCTCGAGACGATTTGGGGTACACGGAGCATTCCTCGAGTTGCTGTGCTGAAGTTGGTGTTCCTCTAGACTTGGGACAGTGTTCTCGGGGCATCTCTGGAGTTGCCTGAAGGAAGTCGAGCCACCGGTCGTGTTGAATGGGGAACGGGGAATGGCTCTGGAGTCAATGCAGGGGAACCGGGCCTCATCTCGAGTTGATTTGGGGCACATGGAGCTGCTTTGCGTTGCTGGGGTGACCTCAGGGTCCGTCTAGACTGGTGACAGTGTTCTTGGGGACTGTCTCGAGATCCATTAAGCAAGTCGAAGCTCCTGACTTGTTTGAATGGGATCACGGAATAGCTCTGCATGCACTGCAGGGGAATGGGGCCTCATCTCGCCTTTAGGGGGAAGTCTCATGGTTTTTCTCGAGTTGCGGCGGGGACCTGGGGTATGTTCTCGACTTATGGCGGGGATGGCCCTTCAAAACACGAGTTTCTTCAGTGACGTCAGGACTCCTGTCTAGTAACGAGGGACACCTCAGGAATCTCTTCGAGGCTTGGCAGGGCAAAAGGGACGCTTCTCGAGGTGAGGCAGGGCACCCAAGGACCCTTTCCAGTAGCCACAGGGATTTTGGGATTCCTATCAGTATTCAAGAGGAGTCAGGCATCGTCACCTTTTGAAGCAATGAACTCCGCGTGCCTCTCGAGGTGTCAGCGCGATGTGAGGCATTCCGTCAAAATGAGGCAGGGACCTAGGGCTTTCTCTAAGGTCTCCACAGGGGATTCAGACATCCCTTCATGTTGTGAGATGAAAGACGAGCCTGTATTCAAGCCACTGCAAGGAAATCCGGCCTCCTTTCAAGTTAGGGCTTCTCGCTGTATATTCCCCTTGAGGCAGCAAACTCGGGGTCCCTCCCACATACCTATTGCTGAGAGAAGCCTCCTCCTGAGGTGCTTCTGGGAAGTTGGCATACGTCTTGAGCCTAAGCCAGGGAATCAGCTCGCATCTCGAGACGATTTGGGGTACACGGGGCATTCCTCGAGTTGCTGTGCTGAAGTTGGTGTTCCTCTAGACTTCGGACAGTGTTCTCGGGGCATCTCTGGAGTTGCCTGAAGGAAGTCGAGCCACCGGTCGTGTTGAGTGGGGAACGGGGAATGGCTCTGGAGTCAATGCAGGGGAATCGGGCCTCATCTCGAGTTGATTTGGGGCACATGGAGCTGCTTTGCGTTGCTGGGGTGACCTCAGGGTCCGTCTAGACTGGTGACAGTGTTCTTGGGGACTGTCTCGAGATCCATTAAGCAAGTGGAAGCTCCTGACTTGTTTGAATGGGATCACGGAATAGCTCTGCATGCACTGCAGGGGAATGGGGCCTCATCTCGCCTCTAGGGGGAAGTCTCATGGTTTTTCTCGAGTTGCGGCGGGGACCTGGGGTATGTTCTCGACTTACGGCGGGGATGGCCCTTCAAAACACGAGTTTCTTCAGTGACGTCAGGACTCCTGTCTAGTAACGAGGGACACCTCAGGAATCTCTTCGAGGCTTGGCAGGGCAAAAGGGACGCTTCTCGAGGTGAGGCAGGGCACCCAAGGACCCTTTCCAGTAGCCACAGGGATTTTGGGATTCCTATCAGTATTCAAGAGGAGTCAGGCATCGTCACCTTTTGAAGCAATGAACTCCGCGTGCCTCTCGAGGTGTCAGCGCGATGTGAGGCATTCCGTCAAAATGAGGCAGGGACCTAGGGCTTTCTCTAAGGTCTCCACAGGGGATTCAGACATCCCTTCATGTTGTGAGATGAAAGACGAGCCTGTATTCAAGCCACTGCAAGGAAATCCGGCCTCCTTTCAAGTTAGGGCTGCTCGCTGTATATTCCCCTTGAGGCAGCAAACTCGGGGTCCCTCCCACATACCTATTGCTGAGAGAAGCCTCCTCCTGAGGTGCTTCTGGGAAGTTGGCATACGTCTTGAGCCTAAGCCAGGGAATCAGCTCGCATCTCGAGACGATTTGGGGTACACGGGGCATTCCTCGAGTTGCTGTGCTGAAGTTGGTGTTCCTCTAGACTTGGGACAGTGTTCTCGGGGCATCTCTGGAGTTGCCTGAAGGAAGTCGAGCCACCGGTCGTGTTGAATGGGGAACGGGGAATGGCTCTGGAGTCAATGCAGGGGAATCGGGCCTCATCTCGAGTTGATTTGGGGCACATGGAGCTGCTTTGCGTTGCTGGGGTGACCTCAGGGTCCGTCTAGACTGGTGACAGTGTTCTTGGGGACTGTCTCGAGATCCATTAAGCAAGTCGAAGCTCCTGACTTGTTTGAATGGGATCACGGAATAGCTCTGCATGCACTGCAGGGGAATGGGGCCTCATCTCGCCTCTAGGGGGAAGTCTCATGGTTTTTCTCGAGTTGCGGCGGGGACCTGGGGTATGTTCTCGACTTACGGCGGGGATGGCCCTTCAAAACACGAGTTTCTTCAGTGACGTCAGGACTCCTGTCTAGTAACGAGGGACAGCTCAGGAATCTCTTCGAGGCTTGGCAGGGCAAAAGGGACGCTTCTCGAGGTGAGGCAGGGCACCCAAGGACCCTTTCCAGTAGCCACAGGGATTTTGGGATTCCTATCAGTATTCAAGAGGAGTCAGGCATCGTCACCTTTTGAAGCAATGAACTCCGCGTGCCTCTCGAGGTGTCAGCGCGATGTGAGGCATTCCGTCAAAATGAGGCAGGGACCTAGGGCTTTCTCTAAGGTCTCCACAGGGGATTCAGACATCCCTTCATGTTGTGAGATGAAAGACGAGCCTGTATTCAAGCCACTGCAAGGAAATCCGGCCTCCTTTCAAGTTAGGGCTTCTCGCTGTATATTCCCCTTGAGGCAGCAAACTCGGGGTCCCTCCCACATACCTATTGCTGAGAGAAGCCTCCTCCTGAGGTGCTTCTGGGAAGTTGGCATACGTCTTGAGCCTAAGCCAGGGAATTAGCTCGCATCTCGAGACGATTTGGGGTACACGGAGCATTCCTCGAGTTGCTGTGCTGAAGTTGGTGTTCCTCTAGACTTGGGACAGTGTTCTCGGGGCATCTCTGGAGTTGCCTGAAGGAAGTCGAGCCACCGGTCGTGTTGAATGGGGAACAGGGAATGGCTCTGGAGTCAATGCAGGGGAATTGGGCCTCATCTCGAGTTGATTTGGGGCACATGGAGCTGCTTTGCGTTGCTGGGGTGACCTCAGGGTCCGTCTAGACTGGTGACAGTGTTCTTGGGGATGTCTCGAGATCCATTAAGCAAGTCGAAGCTCCTGACTTGTTTGAATGGGATCACGGAATAGCTCTGCATGCACTGCAGGGGAATGGGGCCTCATCTCGCCTCTAGGGGGAAGTCTCATGGTTTTTCTCGAGTTGCGGCGGGGACCTGGGGTATGTTCTCGACTTACGGCGGGGATGGCCCTTCAAAACACGAGTTTCTTCAGTGACGTCAGGACTCCTGTCTAGTAACGAGGGACACCTCAGGAATCTCTTCGAGGCTTGGCAGGGCAAAAGGGACGCTTCTCGAGGTGAGGCAGGGCACCCAAGGACCCTTTCCAGTAGCCACAGGGATTTTGGGATTCCTATCAGTATTCAAGAGGAGTCAGGCATCGTCACCTTTTGAAGCAATGAACTCCGCGTGCCTCTCGAGGTGTCAGCGCGATGTGAGGCATTCCGTCAAAATGAGGCAGGGACCTAGGGCTTTCTCTAAGGTCTCCACAGGGGATTCAGACATCCCTTCATGTTGTGAGATGAAAGACGAGCCTGTATTCAAGCCACTGCAAGGAAATCCGGCCTCCTTTCAAGTTAGGGCTTCTCGCTGTATATTCCCCTTGAGGCAGCAAACTCGGGGTCCCTCCCACATACCTATTGCTGAGAGAAGCCTCCTCCTGAGGTGCTTCTGGGAAGTTGGCATACGTCTTGAGCCTAAGCCAGGGAATCAGCTCTCATCTCGAGACGATTTGGGGTACACGGAGCATTCCTCGAGTTGCTGTGCTGAAGTTGGTGTTCCTTTAGACTTGGGACAGTGTTCTCGGGGCATCTCTGGAGTTGCCTGAAGGAAGTCGAGCCACCGGTCGTGTTGAATGGGGAACGGGGAATGGCTCTGGAGTCAATGCAGGGGAATCGGGCCTCATCTCGAGTTGATTTGGGGCACATGGAGCTGCTTTGCGTTGCTGGGGTGACCTCAGGGTCCGTCTAGACTGGTGACAGTGTTCTTGGGGACTGTCTCGAGATCCATTAAGCAAGTCGAAACTCCTGACTTGTTTGAATGGGATCACGGAATAGCTCTGCATGCACTGCAGGGGAATGGGGCCTCATCTCGCCTCTAGGGGGAAGTCTCATGGTTTTTCTCGAGTTGCGGCGGGGACTTGGGGTATGTTCTCGACTTACGGCGGGGATGGCCCTTCAAAATACGAGTTTCTTCAGTGACGTCAGGACTCCTGTCTAGTAACGAGGGACACCTCAGGAATCTCTTCGAGGCTTGGCAGGGCAAAAGGGACGCTTCTCGAGGTGAGGCAGGGCACCCAAGGACCCTTTCCAGTAGCCACAGGGATTTTGAGATTCCTATCAGTATTCAAGAGGAGTCAGGCATCGTCACCTTTAAAGCAATGAACTCCGCGTGCCTCTCGAGGTGTCAGCGCGATGTGAGGCATTCCGTCAAAATGATGCAGGGACCTAGGGCTTTCTCTAAGGTCTCCACAGGGGATTCAGACATCCCTTCATGTTGTGAGATGAAAGATGAGCCTGTATTCAAGCCACTGCAAGGAAATCCGGCCTCCTTTCAACTTAGGGCTTCTCGCTGTATATTCCCCTTGAGGCAGCAAACTCGGGGTCCCTCCCACATACCTATTGCTGAGAGAAGCCTCCTCCTGAGGTGCTTCTGGGAAGTTGGCATACGTCTTGAGCCTAAGCCAGGGAATCAGCTCGCATCTCGAGACGATTTGGGGTACACGGAGCATTCCTCGAGTTGCTGTGCTGAAGTTGGTGTTCCTCTAGACTTGGGACAGTGTTCTCGGGGCATCTCTGGAGTTGCCTGAAGGAAGTCGAGCCACCGGTCGTGTTGAATGGGGAACGGGGAATGGCTCTGGAGTCAATGCAGGGGAATCGGGCCTCATCTCGAGTTGATTTGGGGCACATGGAGCTGCTTTGCGTTGCTGGGGTGACCTCAGGGTCCGTCTAGACTGGTGACAGTGTTCTTGGGGACTGTCTCGAGATCCATTAAGCAAGTCGAAGCTCCTGACTTGTTTGAATGGGATCACGGAATAGCTCTGCATGCACTGCAGGGGAATGGGGCCTCATCTCGCCTCTAGGGGGAAGTCTCATGGTTTTTCTCGAGTTGCGGCGGGGACCTGGGGTATGTTCTCGACTTACGGCGGGGATGGCCCTTCCAAACACGAGTTTCTTCAGTGACGTCAGGACTCCTGTCTAGTAACGAGGGACACCTCAGGAATCTCTTCGAGGCTTGGCAGGGCAAAAGGGACGCTTCTCGAGGTGAGGCAGGGCACCCAAGGACCCTTTCCAGTAGCCACAGGGATTTTGGGATTCCTATCAGTATTCAAGAGGAGTCAGGCATCGTCACCTTTTGAGGCAATGAACTCCGCGTGCCTCTCGAGGTGTCAGCGCGATGTGAGGCATTCCGTCAAAATGAGGCAGGGACCTAGGGCTTTCTCTAAGGACTCCACAGGGGATTCAGACATCCCTTCATGTTGTGAGATGAAAGACGAGCCTGTATTCAAGCCACTGCCAGGAAATCCGGCCTCCTTTCAAGTTAGGGCTTCTCGCTGTATATTCCCCTTGAGGCAGCAAACTCGGGGTCCCTCCCACACACCTATTGCTGAGAGAAGCCTCCTCCTGAGGTGCTTCTGGGAAGTTGGCATACGTCTTGAGCCTAAGCCAGGGAATCAGCTCGCATCTCGAGACGATTTGGGGTACACGGAGCATTCCTCGAGTTGCTGTGCTGAAGTTGGTGTTCCTCTAGACTTGGGACAGTGTTCTCGGGGCATCTCTGGAGTTGCCTGAAGGAAGTCGAGCCACCGGTCGTGTTGAATGGGGAACGGGGAATGGCTCTGGAGTCAATGCAGGGGAATCGGGCCTCATCTCGGGTTGATTTGGGGCACATGGAGCTGCTTTGCGTTGCTGGGGTGACCTCAGGGTCCGTCTAGACTGGTGACAGTGTTCTTGGGGACTGTCTCGAGATCCATTAAGCAAGTCGAAGCTCCTGACTTGTTTGAATGGGATCACGGAATAGCTCTGCATGCACTGCACGGGAATGGGGCCTCATCTCGCCTCTAGGGGGAAGTCTCATGGTTTTTCTCGAGTTGCGGCGGGGACTTGGGGTATGTTCTCGACTTACGGCGGGGATGGCCCTTCAAAGCACGAGTTTCTTCAGTGACGTCAGGACTCCTGTCTAGTAACGAGGGACACCTCAGGAATCTCTTCGAGGCTTGGCAGGGCAAAAGGGACGCTTCTCGAGGTGAGGCAGGGCACCCAAGGACCCTTTCCAGTAGCCACAGGGATTTTGGGATTCCTATCAGTATTCAAGAGGACTCAGGCATCGTCACCTTTTGAGGCAATGAACTCCGCGTGCCTCTCGAGGTGTCAGCGCGATGTGAGGCATTCCGTCAAAATGAGGCAGGGACCTAGGGCTTTCTCTAAGGACTCCACAGGGGATTCAGACATCCCTTCATGTTGTGAGATGAAAGACGAGCCTGTATTCAAGCCACTGCAAGGAAATCCGGCCTCCTTTCAAGTTAGGGCTTCTCGCTGTATATTCCCCTTGAGGCAGCAAACTCGGGGTCCCTCCCACATACCTATTGCTGAGAGAAGCCTCCTCCTGAGGTGCTTCTGGGTAGTTGGCATACGTCTTGAGCCTAAGCCAGGGAATCAGCTCGCATCTCGAGACGATTTGGGGTACAAGGAGCATTCCTCGAGTTGCTGTGCTGAAGTTGGTGTTCCTCTAGACTTGGGACAGTGTTCTCGGGGCATCTCTGGAGTTGCCTGAAGGAAGTCGAGCCACCGGTCGTGTTGAATGGGGAACGGGGAATGGCTCTGGAGTCAATGCAGGGGAACCGGGCCTCATCTCGAGTTGATTTGGGGCACATGGAGCTGCTTTGCGTTGCTGGGGTGACCTCAGGGTCCGTCTAGACTGGTGACAGTGTTCTTGGGGACTGTCTCGAGATCCATTAAGCAAGTCGAAGCTCCTGACTTGTTTGAATGGGATCACGGAATAGCTCTGCATGCACTGCAGGGGAATGGGGCCTCATCTCGCCTCTAGGGGGAAGTCTCATGGTTTTTCTCGAGTTGCGGCGGGGACCTGGGGTATGTTCTCGACTTACGGCGGGGATGGCCCTTCAAAACACGAGTTTCTTCAGTGACGTCAGGACTCCTGTCTAGTAACGAGGGACACCTCAGGAATCTCTTCGAGGCTTGGCAGGGCAAAAGGGACGCTTCTCGAGGTGAGGCAGGGCACCCAAGGACCCTTTCCAGTAGCCACAGGGATTTTGGGATTCCTATCAGTATTCAAGAGGAGTCAGGCATCGTCACCTTTTGAAGCAATGAACTCCGCGTGCCTCTCGAGGTGTCAGCGCGATGTGAGGCATTCCGTCAAAATGAGGCAGGGACCTAGGGCTTTCTCTAAGGTCTCCACAGGGGATTCAGACATCCCTTCATGTTGTGAGATGAAAGACGAGCCTGTATTCAAGCCACTGCAAGGAAATCCGGCCTCCTTTCAAGTTAGGGCTTCTCGCTGTATATTCCCCTTGAGGCAGCAAACTCGGGGTCCCTCCCACATACCTATTGCTGAGAGAAGCCTCCTCCTGAGGTGCTTCTGGGAAGTTGGCATACGTCTTGAGCCTAAGCCAGGGAATCAGCTCGCATCTCGAGACGATTTGGGGTACACGGGGCATTCCTCGAGTTGCTGTGCTGAAGTTGGTGTTCCTCTAGACTTCGGACAGTGTTCTCGGGGCATCTCTGGAGTTGCCTGAAGGAAGTCGAGCCACCGGTCGTGTTGAATGGGGAACGGGGAATGGCTCTGGAGTCAATGCAGGGGAATCGGGCCTCATCTCGAGTTGATTTGGGGCACATGGAGCTGCTTTGCGTTGCTGGGGTGACCTCAGGGTCCGTCTAGACTGGTGACAGTGTTCTTGGGGACTGTCTCGAGATCCATTAAGCAAGTGGAAGCTCCTGACTTGTTTGAATGGGATCACGGAATAGCTCTGCATGCACTGCAGGGGAATGGGGCCTCATCTCGCCTCTAGGGGGAAGTCTCATGGTTTTTCTCGAGTTGCGGCGGGGACCTGGGGTATGTTCTCGACTGACGGCGGGGATGGCCCTTCCAAACACGAGTTTCTTCAGTGACGTCAGGACTCCTGTCTAGTAATGAGGGACACCTCAGGAATCTCTTCGAGGCTTGGCAGGGCAAAAGGGACGCTTCTCGAGGTGAGGCAGGGCACCCAAGGACCCTTTCCAGTAGCCACAGGGATTTTGGGATTCCTATCAGTATTCAAGAGGAGTCAGGCATCGTCACCTTTTGAAGCAATGAACTCCGCGTGCCTCTCGAGGTGTCAGCGCGATGTGAGGCATTCCGTCAAAATGAGGCAGGGACCTAGGGCTTTCTCTAAGGTCTCCACAGGGGATTCAGACATCCCTTCATGTTGTGAGATGAAAGACGAGCCTGTATTCAAGCCACTGCAAGGAAATCCGGCCTCCTTTCAAGTTAGGGCTGCTCGCTGTATATTCCCCTTGAGGCAGCAAACTCGGGGTCCCTCCCACATACCTATTGCTGAGAGAAGCCTCCTCCTGAGGTGCTTCTGGGAAGTTGGCATACGTCTTGAGCCTAAGCCAGGGAATCAGCTCGCATCTCGAGACGATTTGGGGTACACGGGGCATTCCTCGAGTTGCTGTGCTGAAGTTGGTGTTCCTCTAGACTTGGGACAGTGTTCTCGGGGCATCTCTGGAGTTGCCTGAAGGAAGTCGAGCCACCGGTCGTGTTGAATGGGGAACGGGGAATGGCTCTGGAGTCAATGCAGGGGAATCGGGCCTCATCTCGAGTTGATTTGGGGCACATGGAGCTGCTTTGCGTTGCTGGGGTGACCTCAGGGTCCGTCTAGACTGGTGACAGTGTTCTTGGGGACTGTCTCGAGATCCATTAAGCAAGTCGAAGCTCCTGACTTGTTTGAATGGGATCACGGAATAGCTCTGCATGCACTGCAGGGGAATGGGGCCTCATCTCGCCTCTAGGGGGAAGTCTCATGGTTTTTCTCGAGTTGCGGCGGGGACCTGGGGTATGTTCTCGACTTACGGCGGGGATGGCCCTTCAAAACACGAGTTTCTTCAGTGACGTCAGGACTCCTGTCTAGTAACGAGGGACAGCTCAGGAATCTCTTCGAGGCTTGGCAGGGCAAAAGGGACGCTTCTCGAGGTGAGGCAGGGCACCCAAGGACCCTTTCCAGTAGCCACAGGGATTTTGGGATTCCTATCAGTATTCAAGAGGAGTCAGGCATCGTCACCTTTTGAAGCAATGAACTCCGCGTGCCTCTCGAGGTGTCAGCGCGATGTGAGGCATTCCGTCAAAATGAGGCAGGGACCTAGGGCTTTCTCTAAGGTCTCCACAGGGGATTCAGACATCCCTTCATGTTGTGAGATGAAAGACGAGCCTGTATTCAAGCCACTGCAAGGAAATCCGGCCTCCTTTCAAGTTAGGGCTTCTCGCTGTATATTCCCCTTGAGGCAGCAAACTCGGGGTCCCTCCCACATACCTATTGCTGAGAGAAGCCTCCTCCTGAGGTGCTTCTGGGAAGTTGGCATACGTCTTGAGCCTAAGCCAGGGAATTAGCTCGCATCTCGAGACGATTTGGGGTACACGGAGCATTCCTCGAGTTGCTGTGCTGAAGTTGGTGTTCCTCTAGACTTGGGACAGTGTTCTCGGGGCATCTCTGGAGTTGCCTGAAGGAAGTCGAGCCACCGGTCGTGTTGAATGGGGAACAGGGAATGGCTCTGGAGTCAATGCAGGGGAATTGGGCCTCATCTCGAGTTGATTTGGGGCACATGGAGCTGCTTTGCGTTGCTGGGGTGACCTCAGGGTCCGTCTAGACTGGTGACAGTGTTCTTGGGGATGTCTCGAGATCCATTAAGCAAGTCGAAGCTCCTGACTTGTTTGAATGGGATCACGGAATAGCTCTGCATGCACTGCAGGGGAATGGGGCCTCATCTCGCCTCTAGGGGGAAGTCTCATGGTTTTTCTCGAGTTGCGGCGGGGACCTGGGGTATGTTCTCGACTTACGGCGGGGATGGCCCTTCAAAACACGAGTTTCTTCAGTGACGTCAGGACTCCTGTCTAGTAACGAGGGACACCTCAGGAATCTCTTCGAGGCTTGGCAGGGCAAAAGGGACGCTTCTCGAGGTGAGGCAGGGCACCCAAGGACCCTTTCCAGTAGCCACAGGGATTTTGGGATTCCTATCAGTATTCAAGAGGAGTCAGGCATCGTCACCTTTTGAAGCAATGAACTCCGCGTGCCTCTCGGGGTGTCAGCGCGATGTGAGGCATTCCGTCAAAATGAGGCAGGGACCTAGGGCTTTCTCTAAGGTCTCCACAGGGGATTCAGACATCCCTTCATGTTGTGAGATGAAAGACGAGCCTGTATTCAAGCCACTGCAAGGAAATCCGGACTCCTTTCAAGTTAGGGCTTCTCGCTGTATATTCCCCTTGAGGCAGCAAACTCGGGGTCCCTCCCACATACCTATTGCTGAGAGAAGCCTCCTCCTGAGGTGCTTCTGGGAAGTTGGCATACGTCTTGAGCCTAAGCCAGGGAATCAGCTCTCATCTCGAGACGATTTGGGGTACACGGAGCATTCCTCGAGTTGCTGTGCTGAAGTTGGTGTTCCTTTAGACTTGGGACAGTGTTCTCGGGGCATCTCTGGAGTTGCCTGAAGGAAGTCGAGCCACCGGTCGTGTTGAATGGGGAACGGGGAATGGCTCTGGAGTCAATGCAGGGGAATCGGGCCTCATCTCGAGTTGATTTGGGGCACATGGAGCTGCTTTGCGTTGCTGGGGTGACCTCAGGGTCCGTCTAGACTGGTGACAGTGTTCTTGGGGACTGTCTCGAGATCCATTAAGCAAGTCGAAACTCCTGACTTGTTTGAATGGGATCACGGAATAGCTCTGCATGCACTGCAGGGGAATGGGGCCTCATCTCGCCTCTAGGGGGAAGTCTCATGGTTTTTCTCGAGTTGCGGCGGGGACTTGGGGTATGTTCTCGACTTACGGCGGGGATGGCCCTTCAAAATACGAGTTTCTTCAGTGACGTCAGGACTCCTGTCTAGTAACGAGGGACACCTCAGGAATCTCTTCGAGGCTTGGCAGGGCAAAAGGGACGCTTCTCGAGGTGAGGCAGGGCACCCAAGGACCCTTTCCAGTAGCCACAGGGATTTTGAGATTCCTATCAGTATTCAAGAGGAGTCAGGCATCGTCACCTTTAAAGCAGTGAACTCCGCGTGCCTCTCGAGGTGTCAGCGCGATGTGAGGCATTCCGTCAAAATGAGGCAGGGACCTAGGGCTTTCTCTAAGGTCTCCACAGGGGATTCAGACATCCCTTCATGTTGTGAGATGAAAGATGAGCCTGTATTCAAGCCACTGCAAGGAAATCCGGCCTCCTTTCAACTTAGGGCTTCTCGCTGTATATTCCCCTTGAGGCAGCAAACTCGGGGTCCCTCCCACATACCTATTGCTGAGAGAAGCCTCCTCCTGAGGTGCTTCTGGGAAGTTGGCATACGTCTTGAGCCTAAGCCAGGGAATCAGCTCGCATCTCGAGACGATTTTGGGTACACGGAGCATTCCTCGAGTTGCTGTGCTGAAGTTGGTGTTCCTCTAGACTTGGGACAGTGTTCTCGGGGCATCTCTGGAGTTGCCTGAAGGAAGTCGAGCCACCGGTCGTGTTGAATGGGGAACGGGGAATGGCTCTGGAGTCAATGCAGGGGAATCGGGCCTCATCTCGAGTTGATTTGGGGCACATGGAGCTGCTTTGCGTTGCTGGGGTGACCTCAGGGTCCGTCTAGACTGGTGACAGTGTTCTTGGGGACTGTCTCGAGATCCATTAAGCAAGTCGAAGCTCCTGACTTGTTTGAATGGGATCACGGAATAGCTCTGCATGCACTGCAGGGGAATGGGGCCTCATCTCGCCTCTAGGGGGAAGTCTCATGGTTTTTCTCGAGTTGCGGCGGGGACCTGGGGTATGTTCTCGACTTACGGCGGGGATGGCCCTTCAAAACACGAGTTTCTTCAGTGACGTCAGGACTCCTGTCTAGTAACGAGGGACACCTCAGGAATCTCTTCGAGGCTTGGCAGGGCAAAAGGGACGCTTCTCGAGGTGAGGCAGGGCACCCAAGGACCCTTTCCAGTAGCCACAGGGATTTTGGGATTCCTATCAGTATTCAAGAGGAGTCAGGCATCGTCACCTTTTGAGGCAATGAACTCCGCGTGCCTCTCGAGGTGTCAGCGCGATGTGAGGCATTCCGTCAAAATGAGGCAGGGACCTAGGGCTTTCTCTAAGGACTCCACAGGGGATTCAGACATCCCTTCATGTTGTGAGATGAAAGACGAGCCTGTATTCAAGCCACTGCCAGGAAATCCGGCCTCCTTTCAAGTTAGGGCTTCTCGCTGTATATTCCCCTTGAGGCAGCAAACTCGGGGTCCCTCCCACACACCTATTGCTGAGAGAAGCCTCCTCCTGAGGTGCTTCTGGGAAGTTGGCATACGTCTTGAGCCTAAGCCAGGGAATCAGCTCGCATCTCGAGACGATTTGGGGTACACGGGGCATTCCTCGAGTTGCTGTGCTGAAGTTGGTGTTCCTCTAGACTTGGGACAGTGTTCTCGGGGCATCTCTGGAGTTGCCTGAAGGAAGTCGAGCCACCGGTCGTGTTGAATGGGGAACGGGGAATGGCTCTGGAGTCAATGCAGGGGAATCGGGCCTCATCTCGAGTTGATTTGGGGCACATGGAGCTGCTTTGCGTTGCTGGGGTGACCTCAGGGTCCGTCTAGACTGGTGACAGTGTTCTTGGGGACTGTCTCGAGATCCATTAAGCAAGTGGAAGCTCCTGACTTGTTTGAATGGGATCACGGAATAGCTCTGCATGCACTGCAGGGGAATGGGGCCTCATCTCGCCTCTAGGGGGAAGTCTCATGGTTTTTCTCGAGTTGCGGCGGGGACCTGGGGTATGTTCTCGACTGACGGCGGGGATGGCCCTTCCAAACACGAGTTTCTTCAGTGACGTCAGGACTCCTGTCTAGTAATGAGGGACACCTCAGGAATCTCTTCGAGGCTTGGCAGGGCAAAAGGGACGCTTCTCGAGGTGAGGCAGGGCACCCAAGGACCCTTTCCAGTAGCCACAGGGATTTTGGGATTCCTATCAGTATTCAAGAGGAGTCAGGCATCGTCACCTTTTGAAGCAATGAACTCCGCGTGCCTCTCGAGGTGTCAGCGCGATGTGAGGCATTCCGTCAAAATGAGGCAGGGACCTAGGGCTTTCTCTAAGGTCTCCACAGGGGATTCAGACATCCCTTCATGTTGTGAGATGAAAGACGAGCCTGTATTCAAGCCACTGCAAGGAAATCCGGCCTCCTTTCAAGTTAGGGCTGCTCGCTGTATATTCCCCTTGAGGCAGCAAACTCGGGGTCCCTCCCACATACGTATTGCTGAGAGAAGCCTCCTCCTGAGGTGCTTCTGGGAAGTTGGCATACGTCTTGAGCCTAAGCCAGGGAATCAGCTCGCATCTCGAGACGATTTGGGGTACACGGGGCATTCCTCGAGTTGCTGTGCTGAAGTTGGTGTTCCTCTAGACTTGGGACAGTGTTCTCGGGGCATCTCTGGAGTTGCCTGAAGGAAGTCGAGGCACCGGTCGTGTTGAATGGGGAACGGGGAATGGCTCTGGAGTCAATGCAGGGGAATCGGGCCTCATCTCGAGTTGATTTGGGGCACATGGAGCTGCTTTGCGTTGCTGGGGTGACCTCAGGGTCCGTCTAGACTGGTGACAGTGTTCTTGGGGACTGTCTCGAGATCCATTAAGCAAGTCGAAGCTCCTGACTTGTTTGAATGGGATCACGGAATAGCTCTGCATGCACTGCAGGGGAATGGGGCCTCATCTCGCCTCTAGGGGGAAGTCTCATGGTTTTTCTCGAGTTGCGGCGGGGACCTGGGGTATGTTCTCGACTTACGGCGGGGATGGCCCTTCAAAACACGAGTTTCTTCAGTGACGTCAGGACTCCTGTCTAGTAACGAGGGACAGCTCAGGAATCTCTTCGAGGCTTGGCAGGGCAAAAGGGACGCTTCTCGAGGTGAGGCAGGGCACCCAAGGACCCTTTCCAGTAGCCACAGGGATTTTGGGATTCCTATCAGTATTCAAGAGGAGTCAGGCATCGTCACCTTTTGAAGCAATGAACTCCGCGTGCCTCTCGAGGTGTCAGCGCGATGTGAGGCATTCCGTCAAAATGAGGCAGGGACCTAGGGCTTTCTCTAAGGTCTCCACAGGGGATTCAGACATCCCTTCATGTTGTGAGATGAAAGACGAGCCTGTATTCAAGCCACTGCAAGGAAATCCGGCCTCCTTTCAAGTTAGGGCTTCTCGCTGTATATTCCCCTTGAGGCAGCAAACTCGGGGTCCCTCCCACATACCTATTGCTGAGAGAAGCCTCCTCCTGAGGTGCTTCTGGGAAGTTGGCATACGTCTTGAGCCTAAGCCAGGGAATTAGCTCGCATCTCGAGACGATTTGGGGTACACGGAGCATTCCTCGAGTTGCTGTGCTGAAGTTGGTGTTCCTCTAGACTTGGGACAGTGTTCTCGGGGCATCTCTGGAGTTGCCTGAAGGAAGTCGAGCCACCGGTCGTGTTGAATGGGGAACAGGGAATGGCTCTGGAGTCAATGCAGGGGAATTGGGCCTCATCTCGAGTTGATTTGGGGCACATGGAGCTGCTTTGCGTTGCTGGGGTGACCTCAGGGTCCGTCTAGACTGGTGACAGTGTTCTTGGGGATGTCTCGAGATCCATTAAGCAAGTCGAAGCTCCTGACTTGTTTGAATGGGATCACGGAATAGCTCTGCATGCACTGCAGGGGAATGGGGCCTCATCTCGCCTCTAGGGGGAAGTCTCATGGTTTTTCTCGAGTTGCGGCGGGGACCTGGGGTATGTTCTCGACTTACGGCGGGGATGGCCCTTCAAAACACGAGTTTCTTCAGTGACGTCAGGACTCCTGTCTAGTAACGAGGGACACCTCAGGAATCTCTTCGAGGCTTGGCAGGGCAAAAGGGACGCTTCTCGAGGTGAGGCAGGGCACCCAAGGACCCTTTCCAGTAGCCACAGGGATTTTGGGATTCCTATCAGTATTCAAGAGGAGTCAGGCATCGTCACCTTTTGAAGCAATGAACTCCGCGTGCCTCTCGGGGTGTCAGCGCGATGTGAGGCATTCCGTCAAAATGAGGCAGGGACCTAGGGCTTTCTCTAAGGTCTCCACAGGGGATTCAGACATCCCTTCATGTTGTGAGATGAAAGACGAGCCTGTATTCAAGCCACTGCAAGGAAATCCGGCCTCCTTTCAAGTTAGGGCTTCTCGCTGTATATTCCCCTTGAGGCAGCAAACTCGGGGTCCCTCCCACATACCTATTGCTGAGAGAAGCCTCCTCCTGAGGTGCTTCTGGGAAGTTGGCATACGTCTTGAGCCTAAGCCAGGGAATCAGCTCTCATCTCGAGACGATTTGGGGTACACGGAGCATTCCTCGAGTTGCTGTGCTGAAGTTGGTGTTCCTTTAGACTTGGGACAGTGTTCTCGGGGCATCTCTGGAGTTGCCTGAAGGAAGTCGAGCCACCGGTCGTGTTGAATGGGGAACGGGGAATGGCTCTGGAGTCAATGCAGGGGAATCGGGCCTCATCTCGAGTTGATTTGGGGCACATGGAGCTGCTTTGCGTTGCTGGGGTGACCTCAGGGTCCGTCTAGACTGGTGACAGTGTTCTTGGGGACTGTCTCGAGATCCATTAAGCAAGTCGAAACTCCTGACTTGTTTGAATGGGATCACGGAATAGCTCTGCATGCACTGCAGGGGAATGGGGCCTCATCTCGCCTCTAGGGGGAAGTCTCATGGTTTTTCTCGAGTTGCGGCGGGGACTTGGGGTATGTTCTCGACTTACGGCGGGGATGGCCCTTCAAAATACGAGTTTCTTCAGTGACGTCAGGACTCCTGTCTAGTAACGAGGGACACCTCAGGAATCTCTTCGAGGCTTGGCAGGGCAAAAGGGACGCTTCTCGAGGTGAGGCAGGGCACCCAAGGACCCTTTCCAGTAGCCACAGGGATTTTGAGATTCCTATCAGTATTCAAGAGGAGTCAGGCATCGTCACCTTTAAAGCAGTGAACTCCGCGTGCCTCTCGAGGTGTCAGCGCGATGTGAGGCATTCCGTCAAAATGAGGCAGGGACCTAGGGCTTTCTCTAAGGTCTCCACAGGGGATTCAGACATCCCTTCATGTTGTGAGATGAAAGATGAGCCTGTATTCAAGCCACTGCAAGGAAATCCGGCCTCCTTTCAACTTAGGGCTTCTCGCTGTATATTCCCCTTGAGGCAGCAAACTCGGGGTCCCTCCCACATACCTATTGCTGAGAGAAGCCTCCTCCTGAGGTGCTTCTGGGAAGTTGGCATACGTCTTGAGCCTAAGCCAGGGAATCAGCTCGCATCTCGAGACGATTTGGGGTACACGGAGCATTCCTCGAGTTGCTGTGCTGAAGTTGGTGTTCCTCTAGACTTGGGACAGTGTTCTCGGGGCATCTCTGGAGTTGCCTGAAGGAAGTCGAGCCACCGGTCGTGTTGAATGGGGAACGGGGAATGGCTCTGGAGTCAATGCAGGGGAATCGGGCCTCATCTCGAGTTGATTTGGGGCACATGGAGCTGCTTTGCGTTGCTGGGGTGACCTCAGGGTCCGTCTAGACTGGTGACAGTGTTCTTGGGGACTGTCTCGAGATCCATTAAGCAAGTCGAAGCTCCTGACTTGTTTGAATGGGATCACGGAATAGCTCTGCATGCACTGCAGGGGAATGGGGCCTCATCTCGCCTCTAGGGGGAAGTCTCATGGTTTTTCTCGAGTTGCGGCGGGGACCTGGGGTATGTTCTCGACTTACGGCGGGGATGGCCCTTCAAAACACGAGTTTCTTCAGTGACGTCAGGACTCCTGTCTAGTAACGAGGGACACCTCAGGAATCTCTTCGAGGCTTGGCAGGGCAAAAGGGACGCTTCTCGAGGTGAGGCAGGGCACCCAAGGACCCTTTCCAGTAGCCACAGGGATTTTGGGATTCCTATCAGTATTCAAGAGGAGTCAGGCATCGTCACCTTTTGAGGCAATGAACTCCGCGTGCCTCTCGAGGTGTCAGCGCGATGTGAGGCATTCCGTCAAAATGAGGCAGGGACCTAGGGCTTTCTCTAAGGACTCCACAGGGGATTCAGACATCCCTTCATGTTGTGAGATGAAAGACGAGCCTGTATTCAAGCCACTGCCAGGAAATCCGGCCTCCTTTCAAGTTAGGGCTTCTCGCTGTATATTCCCCTTGAGGCAGCAAACTCGGGGTCCCTCCCACACACCTATTGCTGAGAGAAGCCTCCTCCTGAGGTGCTTCTGGGAAGTTGGCATACGTCTTGAGCCTAAGCCAGGGAATCAGCTCTCATCTCGAGACGATTTGGGGTACACGGAGCATTCCTCGAGTTGCTGTGCTGAAGTTTGTGTTCCTCTAGACTTGGGACAGTGTTCTCGGGGCATCTCTGGAGTTGCCTGAAGGAAGTCGAGCCACCGGTCGTGTTGAATGGGGAACGGGGAATGGCTCTGGAGTCAATGCAGGGGAATCGGGCCTCATCTCGGGTTGATTTGGGGCACATGGAGCTGCTTTGCGTTGCTGGGGTGACCTCAGGGTCCGTCTAGACTGGTGACAGTGTTCTTGGGGACTGTCTCGAGATCCATTAAGCAAGTCGAAGCTCCTGACTTGTTTGAATGGGATCACGGAATAGCTCTGCATGCACTGCACGGGAATGGGGCCTCATCTCGCCTCTAGGGGGAAGTCTCATGGTTTTTCTCGAGTTGCGGCGGGGACTTGGGGTATGTTCTCGACTTACGGCGGGGATGGCCCTTCAAAGCACGAGTTTCTTCAGTGACGTCAGGACTCCTGTCTAGTAACGAGGGACACCTCAGGAATCTCTTCGAGGCTTGGCAGGGCAAAAGGGACGCTTCTCGAGGTGAGGCAGGGCACCCAAGGACCCTTTCCAGTAGCCACAGGGATTTTGGGATTCCTATCAGTATTCAAGAGGACTCAGGCATCGTCACCTTTTGAGGCAATGAACTCCGCGTGCCTCTCGAGGTGTCAGCGCGATGTGAGGCATTCCGTCAAAATGAGGCAGGGACCTAGGGCTTTCTCTAAGGACTCCACAGGGGATTCAGACATCCCTTCATGTTGTGAGATGAAAGACGAGCCTGTATTCAAGCCACTGCAAGGAAATCCGGCCTCCTTTCAAGTTAGGGCTTCTCGCTGTATATTCCCCTTGAGGCAGCAAACTCGGGGTCCCTCCCACATACCTATTGCTGAGAGAAGCCTCCTCCTGAGGTGCTTCTGGGAAGTTGGCATACGTCTTGAGCCAAAGCCAGGGAATCAGCTCGCATCTCGAGACGATTTGGGGTACAAGGAGCATTCCTCGAGTTGCTGTGCTGAAGTTGGTGTTCCTCTAGACTTGGGACAGTGTTCTCGGGGCATCTCTGGAGTTGCCTGAAGGAAGTCGAGCCACCGGTCGTGTTGAATGGGGAACGGGGAATGGCTCTGGAGTCAATGCAGGGGAATCGGGCCTCATCTCGAGTTGATTTGGGGCACATGGAGCTGCTTTGCGTTGCTGGGGTGACCTCAGGGTCCGTCTAGACTGGTGACAGTGTTCTTGGGGACTGTCTCGAGATCCATTAAGCAAGTGGAAGCTCCTGACTTGTTTGAATGGGATCACGGAATAGCTCTGCATGCACTGCAGGGGAATGGGGCCTCATCTCGCCTCTAGGGGGAAGTCTCATGGTTTTTCTCGAGTTGCGGCGGGGACCTGGGGTATGTTCTCGACTGACGGCGGGGATGGCCCTTCCAAACACGAGTTTCTTCAGTGACGTCAGGACTCCTGTCTAGTAACGAGGGACACCTCAGGAATCTCTTCGAGGCTTGGCAGGGCAAAAGGGACGCTTCTCGAGGTGAGGCAGGGCACCCAAGGACCCTTTCCAGTAGCCACAGGGATTTTGGGATTCCTATCAGTATTCAAGAGGAGTCAGGCATCGTCACCTTTTGAAGCAATGAACTCCGCGTGCCTCTCGAGGTGTCAGCGCGATGTGAGGCATTCCGTCAAAATGAGGCAGGGACCTAGGGCTTTCTCTAAGGTCTCCACAGGGGATTCAGACATCCCTTCATGTTGTGAGATGAAAGACGAGCCTGTATTCAAGCCACTGCAAGGAAATCCGGCCTCCTTTCAAGTTAGGGCTGCTCGCTGTATATTCCCCTTGAGGCAGCAAACTCGGGGTCCCTCCCACATACCTATTGCTGAGAGAAGCCTCCTCCTGAGGTGCTTCTGGGAAGTTGGCATACGTCTTGAGCCTAAGCCAGGGAATCAGCTCGCATCTCGAGACGATTTGGGGTACACGGGGCATTCCTCGAGTTGCTGTGCTGAAGTTGGTGTTCCTCTAGACTTGGGACAGTGTTCTCGGGGCATCTCTGGAGTTGCCTGAAGGAAGTCGAGCCACCGGTCGTGTTGAATGGGGAACGGGGAATGGCTCTGGAGTCAATGCAGGGGAATCGGGCCTCATCTCGAGTTGATTTGGGGCACATGGAGCTGCTTTGCGTTGCTGGGGTGACCTCAGGGTCCGTCTAGACTGGTGACAGTGTTCTTGGGGACTGTCTCGAGATCCATTAAGCAAGTCGAAGCTCCTGACTTGTTTGAATGGGATCACGGAATAGCTCTGCATGCACTGCAGCGGAATGGGGCCTCATCTCGCCTCTAGGGGGAAGTCTCATGGTTTTTCTCGAGTTGCGGCGGGGACCTGGGGTATGTTCTCGACTTACGGCGGGGATGGCCCTTCAAAACACGAGTTTCTTCAGTGACGTCAGGACTCCTGTCTAGTAACGAGGGACACCTCAGGAATCTCTTCGAGGCTTGGCAGGGCAAAAGGGACGCTTCTCGAGGTGAGGCAGGGCACCCAAGGACCCTTTCCAGTAGCCACAGGGATTTTGGGATTCCTATCAGTATTCAAGAGGAGTCAGGCATCGTCACCTTTTGAAGCAATGAACTCCGCGTGCCTCTCGAGGTGTCAGCGCGATGTGAGGCATTCCGTCAAAATGAGGCAGGGACCTAGGGCTTTCTCTAAGGTCTCCACAGGGGATTCAGACATCCCTTCATGTTGTGAGATGAAAGACGAGCCTGTATTCAAGCCACTGCAAGGAAATCCGGCCTCCTTTCAAGTTAGGGCTTCTCGCTGTATATTCCCCTTGAGGCAGCAAACTCGGGGTCCCTCCCACATACCTATTGCTGAGAGAAGCCTCCTCCTGAGGTGCTTCTGGGAAGTTGGCATACGTCTTGAGCCTAAGCCAGGGAATCAGCTCTCATCTCGAGACGATTTGGGGTACACGGAGCATTCCTCGAGTTGCTGTGCTGAAGTTGGTGTTCCTTTAGACTTGGGACAGTGTTCTCGGGGCATCTCTGGAGTTGCCTGAAGGAAGTCGAGCCACCGGTCGTGTTGAATGGGGAACGGGGAATGGCTCTGGAGTCAATGCAGGGGAATCGGGCCTCATCTCGAGTTGATTTGGGGCACATGGAGCTGCTTTGCGTTGCTGGGGTGACCTCAGGGTCCGTCTAGACTGGTGACAGTGTTCTTGGGGACTGTCTCGAGATCCATTAAGCAAGTCGAAACTCCTGACTTGTTTGAATGGGATCACGGAATAGCTCTGCATGCACTGCAGGGGAATGGGGCCTCATCTCGCCTCTAGGGGGAAGTCTCATGGTTTTTCTCGAGTTGCGGCGGGGACTTGGGGTATGTTCTCGACTTACGGCGGGGATGGCCCTTCAAAATACGAGTTTCTTCAGTGACGTCAGGACTCCTGTCTAGTAACGAGGGACACCTCAGGAATCTCTTCGAGGCTTGGCAGGGCAAAAGGGACGCTTCTCGAGGTGAGGCAGGGCACCCAAGGACCCTTTCCAGTAGCCACAGGGATTTTGAGATTCCTATCAGTATTCAAGAGGAGTCAGGCATCGTCACCTTTAAAGCAATGAACTCCGCGTGCCTCTCGAGGTGTCAGCGCGATGTGAGGCATTCCGTCAAAATGAGGCAGGGACCTAGGGCTTTCTCTAAGGTCTCCACAGGGGATTCAGACATCCCTTCATGTTGTGAGATGAAAGATGAGCCTGTATTCAAGCCACTGCAAGGAAATCCGGCCTCCTTTCAAGTTAGGGCTTCTCGCTGTATATTCCCCTTGAGGCAGCAAACTCGGGGTCCCTCCCACATACCTATTGCTGAGAGAAGCCTCCTCCTGAGGTGCTTCTGGGAAGTTGGCATACGTCTTGAGCCTAAGCCAGGGAATCAGCTCGCATCTCGAGACGATTTGGGGTACACGGAGCATTCCTCGAGTTGCTGTGCTGAAGTTGGTGTTCCTCTAGACTTGGGACAGTGTTCTCGGGGCATCTCTGGAGTTGCCTGAAGGAAGTCGAGCCACCGGTCGTGTTGAATGGGGAACGGGGAATGGCTCTGGAGTCAATGCAGGGGAATCGGGCCTCATCTCGAGTTGATTTGGGGCACATGGAGCTGCTTTGCGTTGCTGGGGTGACCTCAGGGTCCGTCTAGACTGGTGACAGTGTTCTTGGGGACTGTCTCGAGATCCATTAAGCAAGTCGAAGCTCCTGACTTCTTTGAATGGGATCACGGAATAGCTCTGCATGCACTGCAGGGGAATGGAGCCTCATCTCGCCTCTAGAGGAAGTCTCATGGTTTTTCTCGAGTTGCGGCGGGGACCTGGGGTATGTTCTCGACTTACGGCGGGGATGGCCCTTCAAAACACGAGTTTCTTCAGTGACGTCAGGACTCCTGTCTAGTAATGAGGGACACCTCAGGAATCTCTTCGAGGCTTGGCAGGGCAAAAGGGACGCTTCTCGAGGTGAGGCAGGGCACCCAAGGACCCTTTCCAGTAGCCACAGGGATTTTGGGATTCCTATCAGTATTCAAGAGGAGTCAGGCATCGTCACCTTTTGAAGCAATGAACTCCGTGTGCCTCTCGAGGTGTCAGCGGGATGTGAGGCATTCCGTCAAAATGAGGCAGGGACCTAGGGCTTTCTCTAAGGTCTCCACAGGGGATTCAGACATCCCTTCATGTTGTGAGATGAAAGACGAGCCTGTATTCAAGCCACTGCAAGGAAATCCGGCCTCCTTTCAAGTTAGGGCTTCTCGCTGTATATTCCCCTTGAGGCAGCAAACTCGGGGTCCCTCCCACATACCTGTTGCTGAGAGAAGCCTCCTCCTGAGGTGCTTCTGGGAAGTTGGCATACGTCTTGAGCCTAAGCCAGGGAATCAGCTCTCATCTCGAGACGATTTGGGGTACACGGAGCATTCCTCGAGTTGCTCTGCTGAAGTTGGTGTTCCTCTAGACTTGGGACAGTGTACTCGGGGCATCTCTGGAGTTGCCTGAAGGAAGTCGAGCCACCGGTCGTGTTGAATGGGGAACGGGGAATGGCTCTGGAGTCAATGCAGGGGAATCGGGCCTCATCTCGAGTTGATTTGGGGCACATGGAGCTGCTTTGCGTTGCTGGGGTGACCTCAGGGTCCGTCTAGACTGGTGACAGTGTTCTTGGGGACTGTCTCGAGATCCATTAAGCAAGTCGAAGCTCCTGACTTGTTTGAATGGGATCACGGAATAGCTCTGCATGCACTGCAGGGGAATGGGGCCTCATCTCGCCTCTAGGGGTAAGTCTCATGGTTTTTCTCGAGTTGCGGCGGGGACCTGGGGTATGTTCTCGACTTACGGCGGGGATGGCCCTTCAAAACACGAGTTTCTTCAGTGACGTCAGGACTCCTGTCTAGTAACGAGGGACACCTCAGTAATCTCTTCGAGGCTTGGCAGGGCAAAAGGGACGCTTCTCGAGGTGAGGCAGGGCACCCAAGGACCCTTTCCAGTAGCCACAGGGATTTTGGGATTCCTATCAGTATTCAAGAGGAGTCAGGCATCGTCACCTTTTGAAGCAATGAACTCCGCGTGCCTCTCGAGGTGTCAGCGCGATGTGAGGCATTCCGTCAAAATGAGGCAGGGACCTAGGGCTTTCTCTAAGGTCTCCACAGGGGATTCAGACATCCCTTCATGTTGTGAGATGAAAGACGAGCCTGTATTCAAGCCACTGCAAGGAAATCCGGCCTCCTTTCAAGTTAGGGCTTCTCGCTGTATATTCCCCTTGAGGCAGCAAACTCGGGGTCCCTCCCACATACCTATTGCTGAGAGAAGCCTCCTCCTGAGGTGCTTCTGGGAAGTTGGCATACGTCTTGAGCCTAAGCCAGGGAATCAGCTCGCATCTCGAGACGATTTGGGGTACACGGAGCATTCCTCGAGTTGCTGTGCTGAAGTTGGTGTTCCTCTAGACTTGGGACAGTGTTCTCGGGGCATCTCTGGAGTTGCCTGAAGGAAGTCGAGCCACCGGTCGTGTTGAATGGGGAACAGGGAATGGCTCTGGAGTAAATGCAGGGGAATCGGGCCTCATCTCGAGTTGATTTGGGGCACATGGAGCTGCTTTGCGTTGCTGGGGTGACCTCAGGGTCCGTCTAGACTGGTGACAGTGTTCTTGGGGACTGTCTCGAGATCCATTAAGCAAGTCGAAGCTCCTGACTTCTTTGAATGGGATCACGGAATAGCTCTGCATGCACTGCAGGGGAATGGGGCCTCATCTCGCCTCTAGGGGGAAGTCTCATGGTTTTTCTCGAGTTGCGGCGGGGACCTGGGGTATGTTCTCGACTTACGGCGGGGATGGCCCTTCAAAACACGAGTTTCTTCAGTGACGTCAGGACTCCTGTCTAGTAACGAGGGACACCTCAGGAATCTCTTCGAGGCTTGGCAGGGCAAAAGGGACGCTTCTCGAGGTGAGGCAGGGCACCCAAGGACCCTTTCCAGTAGCCACAGGGATTTTGGGATTCCTATCAGTATTCAAGAGGAGTCAGGCATCGTCACCTTTTGAAGCAATGAACTCCGCGTGCCTCTCGAGGTGTCAGCGTTATGTGAGGCATTCCGTCAAAATGAGGCAGGGACCTAGGGCTTTCTCTAAGGTCTCCACAGAGGATTCAGACATCCCTTCAGGTTGTGAGATGAAAGACGAGCCTGTATTCAAGCCACTGCAAGGAAATCCGGCCTCCTTTCAAGTTAGGGCTTCTCACTGTATATTCCCCTTGAGGCAGCAAACTCGGGGTCCCTCCCACATACCTATTGCTGAGAGAAGCCTCCTCCTGAGGTGCTTCTGGGAAGTTGGCATACGTCTTGAGCCTAAGCCAGGGAATCAGCTCTCATCTCGAGACGATTTGGGGTACACGGAGCATTCCTCGAGTTGCTGTGCTGAAGTTGGTGTTCCTCTAGACTTGGGACAGTGTTCTCGGGGCATCTCTGGAGTTGCCTGAAGGAAGTCGAGCCACCGGTCATGTTGAATGGGGAACGGGGAATGGCTCTGGAGTCAATGCAGGGGAATCGGGCCTCATCTCGAGTTGATTTGGGGCACATGGAGCTGCTTTGCGTTGCAGGGGTGACCTCAGTGTCCGTCTAGACTGGTGACAGTGTTCTTGGGGACTGTCTCGAGATCCATTAAGCAAGTCGAAGCTCCTGACTTGTTTGAATGGGATCACGGAATAGCTCTGCATGCACTGCAGGGGAATGGGGCCTCATCTCGCCTCTAGGGGGAAGTCTCATGGTTTTTCTCGAGTTGCGGTGGGGACCTGGGGTATGTTCTCGACTTACGGCGGGGATGGCCCTTCAAGACACGAGTTTCTTCAGTGACGTCAGGACTCCTGTCTAGTAACGAGGGACACCTCAGGAATCTCTTCGAGGCTTGGCAGGGCAAAAGGGACGCTTCTCGAGGTGAGGCAGGGCACCCAAGGACCCTTTCCAGTAGCCACAGGGATTTTGGGATTCCTATCAGTATTCAAGAGGAGTCAGGCATCGTCACCTTTTGAAGCAATGAACTCCGCGTGCCTCTCGAGGTGTCAGCTGGATGTGAGGCATTCCGTCAAAATGAGGCAGGGACCTAGGTCTTTCTCTAAGGTCTCCACAAGGGATTCAGACATCCCTTCATGTTGTGAGATGAAAGACGAGCCTGTATTCAAGCCACTGCAAGGAAATCCGGCAACCTTTCAAGTTAGGGCTTCTCGCTGTATATTCCCCTTGCGGCAGCAAACTCGGGGTCCCTCCCACATACCTATTGCTGAGAGAAGCCTCCTCCTGAGGTGCTTCTGGGAAGTTGGCATACGTCTTGAGCCTAAGCCAGGGAATCAGCTCGCATCTCGAGACGATTTGGGGTACACGGAGCATTCCTCGAGTTGCTGTGCTGAAGTTGGTGTTCCTCTAGACTTGGGACAGTGTTCTCGGGGCATCTCTGGAGTTGCCTGAAGGAAGTCGAGCCACCGGTCGTGTTGAATGGGGAACGGGGAATGGCTCTGGAGTCAATGCAGGGGAATCGGGCCTCATCTCGAGTTGATTTGGGGCACATGGAGCTGCTTTGCATTGCTGGGGTGACCTCAGGGTCCGTCTAGACTGGTGACAGTGTTCTTGGGGACTGTCTCGAGATCCATTAAGCAAGTCGAAGTTCCTGACTTGTTTGAATGGGATCACGGAATAGCTCTGCATGCACTGCAGGGGAATGGGGCCTCATCTCGCCTCTAGGGGAAAGTCTCATGGTTTTTCTCGAGTTGCGGCGGGGACCTGGGGTATGTTCTCGACTTACGGCGGGGATGGCCCTTCAAGACACGAGTTTCTTCAGTGACGTCAGGACTCCTGTCTAGTAACGAGGGACACCTCAGGAATCTCTTCGAGGCTTGGCAGGGCAAAAGGGACGCTTCTCGAGGTGAGGCAGGGCACCCAAGGACCCTTTCCAGTAGCCACAGGGATTTTGGGATTCCTATCAGTATTCAAGAGGAGTCAGGCATCGTCACCTTTTGAAGCAATGAACTCCGCGTGCCTCTCGAGGTGTCAGCGGGATTTGAGGCATTCCGTCAAAATGAGGCAGGGACCTAGGGCTTTCTCTAAGGTCTCCACAGGGGATTCAGACATCCCTTCATGTTGTGAGATGAAAGACGAGCCTGTATTCAAGCCACTGCAAGGAAATCCGGCCTCGTTTCAAGTTAGAGCTTCTCGCTGTATATTCCCCTTGAGGCAGCAAACTCGGGGTCCCTCCCACATACCTATTGCTGAGAGAAGCCTCCTCCTGAGGTACTTCTGGGAAGTTGGCATACGTCTTGAGCCTAAGCCAGGGAATCAGCTCGCATCTCGAGACGATTTGGGGTACACGGAGCATTCCTCGAGTTGCTGTGCCGAAGTTGGTGTTCCTCTAGACTTGGGACAGTGTTCTCGGGGCATCTCTGGAGTTGCCTGAAGGAAGTCGAGCCACCGGTCGTGTTGAATGGGGAACGGGGAATGGCTCTGGAGTCAATTCAGGGGAATCGGGCCTCATCTCGAGTTGATTTGGGGCACATGGAGCTGCTTTGCGTTGCTGGGGTGACCTCAGGGTCCGTCTAGACTGGTGACAGTGTTCTTGGGGACTGTCTCGAGATCCATTAAGCAAGTCGAAGCTCCTGACTTGTTTGAATGGGATCACGGAATAGCTCTGCATGCACTGCAGGGGAATGGGGCCTCATCTCGCCTCTAGGGGGAAGTCTCATGGTTTTTCTCGAGTTGCGGCGGGGACCTGGGGTATGTTCTCGACTTACGGCGGGGATGGCCCTTCAAGACACGAGTTTCTTCAGTGACGTCAGGACTCCTGTCTAGTAACGAGGGACACCTCAGGAATCTCTTCGAGGCTTGGCAGGGCAAAAGGGACGCTTCTCGAGGTGAGGCAGGGCACCCAAGGACCCTTTCCAGTAGCCACAGGGATTTTGGGATTCCTATCAGTATTCAAGAGGAGTCAGGCATCGTCACCTTTTAAAGCAATGAACTCCGCGTGCCTCTCGAGGTGTCAGCGGGATGTGAGGCATTCCGTCAAAATGAGGCAGGGACCTAGGGCTTTCTATAAGGTCTCCACAGAGGATTCAGACATCCCTTCATGTTGTGAGATGAAAGACGAGCCTGTATTCAAGCCACTGCAAGGAAATCCGGCCTCCTTTCAAGTTAGGGCTTCTCGCTGTATATTCCCCTTGAGGCAGCAAACTCGGGGTCCCTCCCACATACCTATTGCTGAGAGAAGCCTCCTCCTGAGGTGCTTCTGGGAAGTTGGCATACGTCTTGAGCCTAAGCCAGGGAATCAGCTCGCATCTCGAGACGATTTGGGGTACACGGGGCATTCCTCGAGTTGCTGTGCTGAAGTTGGTGTTCCTCTAGACTTGGGACAGTGTTCTCGGGGCATCTCTGGAGTTGCCTGAAGGAAGTCGAGCCACCGGTCGTGTTGAATGGGGAACGGGGAATGGCTCTGGAGTCAATGCAGGGGAATCGGGCCTCATCTCGAGTTGATTTGGGGCACATGGAGCTGCTTTGCGTTGCTGGGGTGACCTCAGGGTCCGTCTAGACTGGTGACAGTGTTCTTGGGGACTGTCTCGAGATCCATTAAGCAAGTCGAAACTCCTGACTTGTTTGAATGGGATCACGGAATAGCTCTGCATGCACTGCAGGGGAATGGGGCCTCATCTCGCCTCTAGGGGGAAGTCTCATGGTTTTTCTCGAGTTGCGGCGGGGACCTGGGGTATGTTCTCGACTTACGGCGGGGATGGCCCTTCAACACACGAGTCTCTTCAGTGACGTCAGGACTCCTGTCTAGTAACGAGGGACACCTCAGGAATCTCTTCGAGGCTTGGCAGGGCAAAAGGGACGCTTCTCGAGGTGAGGCAGGGCACCCAAGGACCCTTTCCAGTAGCCACAGGGATTTTGGGATTCCTATCAGTATTCAAGAGGAGTCAGGCATCGTCACCTTTTGAAGCAATGAACTCCGCGTGCCTCTCGAGGTGTCAGCGCGATGTGAGGCATTCCGTCAAAATGAGGCAGGGACCTAGGGCTTTCTCTAAGGTCTCCACAGGGGATTCAGACATCCCTTCATGTTGTGAGATGAAAGACGAGCCTGTATTCAAGCCACTGCAAGGAAATCCGGCCTCCTTTCAAGTTAGGGCTTCTCGCTGTATATTCCCCTTGAGGCAGCAAACTCGGGGTCCCTCCCACATACCTATTGCTGAGAGAAGCCTCCTCCTGAGGTGCTTCTGGGAAGTTGGCATACGTCTTGAGCCTAAGCCAGGGAATCAGCTCTCATCTCGAGACGATTTGGGGTACACGGAGCATTCCTCGAGTTGCTCTGCTGAAGTTGGTGTTCCTCTAGACTTGGGACAGTGTTCTCGGGGCATCTCTGGAGTTGCCTGAAGGAAGTCGAGCCACTGGTCATGTTGAATGGGGAACGGGGAATGGCTCTGGAGTTAATGCAGGGGAATCGGGCCTCATCTCGAGTTGATTTGGGGCACATGGAGCTGCTTTGCGTTGCTGGGGTGACCTCAGGGTCCGTCTAGACTGGTGACAGTGTTCTTGGGGACTGTCTCGAGATCCATTAAGCAAGTCGAAGCTCCTGACTTGTTTGAATGGGATCACGGAATAGCTCTGCATGCACTGCAGGGGAATGGGGCCTCATCTCGCCTCTAGGGGGAAGTCTCATGGTTTTTCTCGAGTTGCGGCGGGGACCTGGGGTATGTTCTCGACTTACGGCGGGGATGGCCCTTCAAGACACGAGTTTCTTCAGTGACGTCAGGACTCCTGTCTAGTAACGAGGGACACCTCAGGAATCTCTTCGAGGCTTGGCAGGGCAAAAGGGACGCTTCTCGAGGTGAGGCAGGGCACCCAAGGACCCTTTCCAGTAGCCACAGGGATTTTGGGATTCCTATCAGTATTCAAGAGGAGTCAGGCATCGTCACCTTTTGAAGCAATGAACTCCGCGTGCCTCTCGAGGTGTCAGCTGGATGTGAGGCATTCCGTCAAAATGAGGCAGGGACCTAGGGCTTTCTCTAAGGTCTCCACAAGGGATTCAGACATCCCTTCATGTTGTGAGATGAAAGACGAGCCTGTATTCAAGCCACTGCAAGGAAATCCGGCAACCTTTCAAGTTAGGGCTTCTCGCTGTATATTCCCCTTGCGGCAGCAAACTCGAGGTCCCTCCCACATACCTATTGCTGAGAGAAGCCTCCTCCTGAGGTGCTTCTGGGAAGTTGGCATACGTCTTGAGCCTAAGCCAGGGAATCAGCTCGCATCTCGAGACGATTTGGGGTACACGGAGCATTCCTCGAGTTGCTGTGCTGAAGTTGGTGTTCCTCTAGACTTGGGACAGTGTTCTCGGGGCATCTCTGGAGTTGCCTGAAGGAAGTCGAGCCACCGGTCGTGTTGAATGGGGAACGGGGAATGGCTCTGGAGTCAATGCAGGGGAATCGGGCCTCATCTCGAGTTGATTTGGGGCACATGGAGCTGCTTTGCGTTGCTGGGGTGACCTCAGGGTCCGTCTAGACTGCTGACAGTGTTCTTGGGGACTGTCTCGAGATCCATTAAGCAAGTCGAAGTTCCTGACTTGTTTGAATGGGATCACGGAATAGCTCTGCATGCACTGCAGGGGAATGGGGCCTCATCTCGCCTCTAGGGGAAAGTCTCATGGTTTTTCTCGAGTTGCGGCGGGGACCTGGGGTATGTTCTCGACTTACGGCGGGGATGGCCCTTCAAGACACGAGTTTCTTCAGTGACGTCAGGACTCCTGTGTAGTAACGAGGGACACCTCAGGAATCTCTTCGAGGCTTGGCAGGGCAAAAGGGACGCTTCTCGAGGTGAGGCAGGGCACCCAAGGACCCTTTCCAGTAGCCACAGGGATTTTGGGATTCCTATCAGTATTCAAGAGGAGTCAGGCCTCGTCACCTTTTCAAGCAATGAACTCCGCGTGCCTCTCGAGGTGTCAGCGGGATTTGAGGCATTCCGTCAAAATGAGGCAGGGACCTAGGGCTTTCTCTAAGGTCTCCACAGGGGATTCAGACATCCCTTCATGTTGTGAGATGAAAGACGAGCCTGTATTCAAGCCACTGCAAGGAAATCCGGCCTCATTTCAAGTTAGGGCTTCTCGCTGTATATTCCCCTTGAGGCAGCAAACTCGGGGTCCCTCCCACATACCTATTGCTGAGAGAAGCCTCCTCCTGAGGTACTTCTGGGAAGTTGGCATACGTCTTGAGCCTAAGCCAGGGAATCAGCTCGCATCTCGAGACGATTTGGGGTACACGGAGCATTCCTCGAGTTGCTGTGCTGAAGTTGGTGTTCCTCTAGACTTGGGACAGTGTTCTCGGGGCATCTCTGGAGTTGCCTGAAGGAAGTCGAGCCACCGGTCGTGTTGAATGGGGAACGGGAAATGGCTCTGGAGTCAATTCAGGGGAATCGGGCCTCATCTCGAGTTGATTTGGGGCACATGGAGCTGCTTTGCTTTGCTGGGGTGACCTCAGGGTCCGTCTAGACTGGTGACAGTGTTCTTGGGGACTGTCTCGAGATCCGTTAAGCAAGTCGAAGCTCCTGACTTGTTTGAATGGGATCACGGAATAGCTCTGCATGCACTGCAGGGGAATGGGGCCTCATCTCGCCTCTAGAGGAAGTCTCATGGTTTTTCTCGAGTTGCGGCGGGGACCTGGGGTATGTTCTCGACTTACGGCGGGGCTGGCCCTTCAAAACACGAGTTTCTTCAGTGACGTCAGGACTCCTGTCTAGTAACGAGGGACACCTCAGGAATCTCTTCGAGGCTTGGCAGGGCAAAAGGGACGCTTCTCGAGGTGAGGCAGGGCACCCAAGGACCCTTTCCAGTAGCCACAGGGATTTTGGGATTCCTATCAGTATTCAAGAGGAGTCAGGCATCGTCACCTTTTGAAGCAATGAACTCCGCGTGCCTCTCGAGGTGTCAGCGCGATGTGAGGCATTCCGTCAAAATGAGGCAGGGACCTAGGGCTTTCTCTAAGGTCTCCACAGGGGATTCAGACATCCCTTCATGTTGTGAGATGAAAGACGAGCCTGTATTCAAGCCACTGCAAGGAAATCCGGCCTCCTTTCAAGTTAGGGCTTCTCGCTGTATATTCCCCTTGAGGCAGCAAACTCGGGGTCCCTCCCACATACCTATTGCTGAGAGAAGCCTCCTCCTGAGGTGCTTCTGGGAAGTTGGCATACGTCTTGAGCCTAAGCCAGGGAATCAGCTCTCATCTCGAGACGATTTGGGGTACACGGAGCATTCCTCGAGTTGCTCTGCTGAAGTTGGTGTTCCTCTAGACTTGGGACAGTGTTCTCGGGGCATCTCTGGAGTTGCCTGAAGGAAGTCGAGCCACTGGTCATGTTGAATGGGGAACGGGGAATGGCTCTGGAGTTAATGCAGGGGAATCGGGCCTCATCTCGAGTTGATTTGGGGCACATGGAGCTGCTTTGCGTTGCTGGGGTGACCTCAGGGTCCGTCTAGACTGGTGACAGTGTTCTTGGGGCTGTCTCGAGATCCATTAAGCAAGTCGAAGCTCCTGACTTGTTTGAATGGGATCACGGAATAGCTCTGCATGCACTGCAGGGGAATGGGGCCTCATCTCGCCTCTAGGGGGAAGTCTCATGGTTTTTCTCGAGTTGCGGCGGGGACCTGGGGTATGTTCTCGACTTACGGCGGGGATGGCCCTTCAAGACACGAGTTTCTTCAGTGACGTCAGGACTCCTGTCTAGTAACGAGGGACACCTCAGGAATCTCTTCGAGGCTTGGCAGGGCAAAAGGGACGCTTCTCGAGGTGAGGCAGGGCACCCAAGGACCCTTTCCAGTAGCCACAGGGATTTTGGGATTCCTATCAGTATTCAAGAGGAGTCAGGCATCGTCACCTTTTGAAGCAATGAACTCCGCGTGCCTCTCGAGGTGTCAGCTGGATGTGAGGCATTCCGTCAAAATGAGGCAGGGACCTAGGGCTTTCTCTAAGGTCTCCACAAGGGATTCAGACATCCCTTCATGTTGTGAGATGAAAGACGAGCCTGTATTCAAGCCACTGCAAGGAAATCCGGCAACCTTTCAAGTTAGGGCTTCTCGCTGTATATTCCCCTTGCGGCAGCAAACTCGAGGTCCCTCCCACATACCTATTGCTGAGAGAAGCCTCCTCCTGAGGTGCTTCTGGGAAGTTGGCATACGTCTTGAGCCTAAGCCAGGGAATCAGCTCGCATCTCGAGACGATTTGGGGTACACGGAGCATTCCTCGAGTTGCTGTGCTGAAGTTGGTGTTCCTCTAGACTTGGGACAGTGTTCTCGGGGCATCTCTGGAGTTGCCTGAAGGAAGTCGAGCCACCGGTCGTGTTGAATGGGGAACGGGGAATGGCTCTGGAGTCAATGCAGGGGAATCGGGCCTCATCTCGAGTTGATTTGGGGCACATGGAGCTGCTTGGCGTTGCTGGGGTGACCTCAGGGTCCGTCTAGACTGGTGACAGTGTTCTTGGGGACTGTCTCGAGATCCATTAAGCAAGTCGAAGTTCCTGACTTGTTTGAATGGGATCACGGAATAGCTCTGCATGCACTGCAGGGGAATGGGGCCTCATCTCGCCTCTAGGGGAAAGTCTCATGGTTTTTCTCGAGTTGCGGCGGGGACCTGGGGTATGTTCTCGACTTACGGCGGGGCTGGCCCTTCAAGACACGAGTTTCTTCAGTGACGTCAGGACTCCTGTCTAGTAACGAGGGACACCTCAGGAATCTCTTCGAGGCTTGGCAGGGCAAAAGGGACGCTTCTCGAGGTGAGGCAGGGCACCCAAGGACCCTTTCCAGTAGCCACAGGGATTTTGGGATTCCTATCAGTATTCAAGAGGAGTCAGGCATCGTCACCTTTTGAAGCAATGAACTCCGCGTGCCTCTCGAGGTGTCAGCGCGATGTGAGGCATTCCGTCAAAATGAGGCAGGGACCTAGGGCTTTCTCTAAGGTCTCCACAGGGGATTCAGACATCCCTTCATGTTGTGAGATGAAAGACGAGCCTGTATTCAAGCCACTGCAAGGAAATCCGGCCTCCTTTCAAGTTAGGGCTTCTCGCTGTATATTCCCCTTGAGGCAGCAAACTCGGGGTCCCTCCCACATACCTATTGCTGAGAGAAGCCTCCTCCTGAGGTGCTTCTGGGAAGTTGGCATACGTCTTGAGCCTAAGCCAGGGAATCAGCTCTCATCTCGAGACGATTTGGGGTACACGGAGCCTTCCTCGAGTTGCTGTGCTGAAGTTGGTGTTCCTCTAGACTTGGGACAGTGTTCTCGGGGCATCTCTGGAGTTGCCTGAAGGAAGTCGAGCCACCGGTCGTGTTGAATGGGGAACGGGGAATGGCTCTGGAGTCAATTCAGGGGAATCGGGCCTCATCTCGAGTTGATTTGGGGCACATGGAGCTGCTTTGCGTTGCTGGGGTGACCTCAGGGTCCGTCTAGACTGGTGACATTGTTCTTGGGGACTGTCTCGAGATCCATTAAGCAAGTCGAAGCTCCTGACTTCTTCGAATGGGATCACGGAATAGCTCTGCATGCACTGCAGGGGAATGGGGCCTCATCTCGCCTCTAGAGGAAGTCTCATGGTTTTTCTCGAGTTGCGGCGGGGACCTGGGGTATGTTCTCGACTTACGGCAGGGATGGCCCTTCAAAACACGAGTTTCTTCAGTGACGTCAGGACTCCTGTCTAGTAATGAGGGACACCTCAGGAATCTCTTCGAGGCTTGGCAGGGCAAAAGGGACGCTTCTCGAGGTGAGGCAGGGCACCCAAGGACCCTTTCCAGTAGCCACAGGGATTTTGGGATTCCTATCAGTATTCAAGAGGAGTCAGGCATCGTCACCTTTTGAAGCAATGAACTCCGCGTGCCTCTCGAGGTGTCAGCGCGATGTGAGGCATTCCGTCAAAATGAGGCAGGGACCTAGGGCTTTCTCTAAGGTCTCCACAGGGGATTCAGACATCCCTTCATGTTGTGAGATGAAAGACGAGCCTGTATTCAAGCCACTGCAAGGAAATCCGGCCTCCTTTCAAGTTAGGGCTTCTCGCTGTATATTCCCCTTGAGGCAGCAAACTCGGGGTCCCTCCCACATACCTATTGCTGAGAGAAGCCTCCTCCTGAGGTGCTTCTGGGAAGTTGGCATACGTCTTGAGCCTAAGCCAGGGAATCAGCTCTCATCTCGAGACGATTTGGGGTACACGGAGCATTCCTCGAGTTGCTGTGCTGAAGTTGGTGTTCCTCTAGACTTGGGACAGTGTTCTCGGGGCATCTCTGGAGTTGCCTGAAGGAAGTCGAGCCACCGGTCGTGTTGAATGGGGAACGGGGAATGGCTCTGGAGTCAATGCAGGGGAATCGGGCCTCATCTCGAGTTGATTTGGGGCACATGGAGCTGCTTTGCATTGCTGGGGTGACCTCAGGGTCCGTCTAGACTGGTGACAGTGTTCTTGGGGACTGTCTCGAGATCCATTAAGCAAGTCGAAGTTCCTGACTTGTTTGAATGGGATCACGGAATAGCTCTGCATGCACTGCAGGGGAATGGGGCCTCATCTCGCCTCTAGGGGAAAGTCTCATGGTTTTTCTCGAGTTGCGGCGGGGACCTGGGGTATGTTCTCGACTTACGGCGGGGATGGCCCTTCAAGACACGAGTTTCTTCAGTGACGTCAGGACTCCTGTCTAGTAACGAGGGACACCTCAGGAATCTCTTCGAGGCTTGGCAGGGCAAAAGGGACGCTTCTCGAGGTGAGGCAGGGCACCCAAGGACCCTTTCCAGTAGCCACAGGGATTTTGGGATTCCTATCAGTATTCAAGAGGAGTCAGGCCTCGTCACCTTTTGAAGCAATGAACTCCGCGTGCCTCTCGAGGTGTCAGCGGGATTTGAGGCATTCCGTCAAAATGAGGCAGGGACCTAGGGCTTTCTCTAAGGTCTCCACAGGGGATTCAGACATCCCTTCATGTTGTGAGATGAAAGACGAGCCTGTATTCAAGCCACTGCAAGGAAATCCGGCCTCCTTTCAAGTTAGGGCTTCTCGCTGTATATTCCCCTTGAGGCAGCAAACTCGGGGTCCCTCCCACATACCTATTGCTGAGAGAAGCCTCCTCCTGAGGTACTTCTGGGAAGTTGGCATACGTCTTGAGCCTAAGCCAGGGAATCAGCTCGCATCTCGAGACGATTTGGGGTACACGGAGCATTCCTCGAGTTGCTGTGCTGAAGTTGGTGTTCCTCTAGACTTGGGACAGTGTTCTCGGGGCATCTCTGGAGTTGCCTGAAGGAAGTCGAGCCACCGGTCGTGTTGAATGGGGAACGGGGAATGGCTCTGGAGTCAATTCAGGGGAATCGGGCCTCATCTCTAGTTGATTTGGGGCACATGGAGCTGCTTTGCTTTGCTGGGGTGACCTCAGGGTCGGTCTAGACTGGTGACAGTGTTCTTGGGGACTGTCTCGAGATCCATTAAGCAAGTCGAAGCTCCTGACTTGTTTGAATGGGATCACGGAATAGCTCTGCATGCACTGCAGGGGAATGGGGCCTCATCTCGCCTCTAGAGGAAGTCTCATGGTTTTTCTCGAGTTGCGGCGGGGACCTGGGGTATGTTCTCGACTTACGGCGGGGCTGGCCCTTCAAAACACGAGTTTCTTCAGTGACGTCAGAACTCCTGTCTACTAATGAGGGACACCTCAGGAATCTCTTCGAGGCTTGGCAGGGCAAAAGGGACGCTTCTCGAGGTGAGGCAGGGCACCCAAGGACCCTTTCCAGTAGCCACAGGGATTTTGGGATTCCTATCAGTATTCAAGAGGAGTCAGGCATCGTCACCTTTTGAAGCAATGAACTCCGCGTGCCTCTCGAGGTGTCAGCGGGATGTGAGGCATTCCGTCAAAATGAGGCAGGGACCTAGGGCTTTCTCTAAGGTCTCCACAGGGGATTCAGACATCCCTTCATGTTGTGAGATGAAAGACGAGCCTGTATTCAAGCCACTGCAAGGAAATCCGGCCTCCTTTCAAGTTAGGGCTTCTTGCTGTATATTCCCCTTGAGGCAGCAAACTCGGGGTCTCTCCCACATACCTATTGCTGAGAGAAGCCTCCTCCTGAGGTGCTTCTGGGAAGTTGGCATACGTCTTGAGCCTAAGCCAGGGAATCAGCTCGCATCTCGAGACGATTTGGGGTACACGGAGCATTCCTCGAGTTGCTGTGCTGAAGTTGGTGTTCCTCTAGACTTGGGACAGTGTTCTCGGGGCATCTCTGGAGTTGCCTGAAGGAAGTCGAGCCACCGGTCGTGTTGAATGGGGAACGGGGAATGGCTCTGGAGTCAATGCAGGGGAATCGGGCCTCATCTCGAGTTGATTTGGGGCACATGGAGCTGCTTTGCTTTGCTGGGGTGACCTCAGGGTCCGTCTAGACTGGTGACAGTGTTCTTGGGGACTGTCTCGAGATCCATTAAGCAAGTCGAAGGTCCTGACTTGTTTGAATGGGATCACGGAATAGCTCTGCATGCACTGCAGGGGAATGGGGCCTCATCTCGCCTCTAGAGGAAGTCTCATGGTTTTTCTCGAGTTGCGGCGGGGACCTGGGGTATGTTCTCGACTTACGGCGGGGCTGGCCCTTCAAAACACGAGTTTCTTCAGTGACGTCAGAACTCCTGTCTACTAATGAGGGACACCTCAGGAATCTCTTCGAGGCTTGGCAGGGCAAAAGGGACGCTTCTCGAGGTGAGGCAGGGCACCCAAGGACCCTTTCCAGTAGCCACAGGGATTTTGGGATTCCTATCAGTATTCAAGAGGAGTCAGGCATCGTCACCTTTTGAAGCAATGAACTCCGCGTGCCTCTCGAGGTGTCAGCGGGATGTGAGGCATTCCGTCAAAATGAGGCAGGGACCTAGGGCTTTCTCTAAGGTCTCCACAGGGGATTCAGACATCCCTTCATGTTGTGAGATGAAAGACGAGCCTGTATTCAAGCCACTGCAAGGAAATCCGGCCTCCTTTCAAGTTAGGGCTTCTTGCTGTATATTCCCCTTGAGGCAGCAAACTCGGGGTCTCTCCCACATACCTATTGCTGAGAGAAGCCTCCTCCTGAGGTGCTTCTGGGAAGTTGGCATACGTCTTGAGCCTAAGCCAGGGAATCAGCTCGCATCTCGAGACGATTTGGGGTACACGGAGCATTCCTCGAGTTGCTGTGCTGAAGTTGGTGTTCCTCTAGACTTGGGACAGTGTTCTCGGGGCATCTCTGGAGTTGCCTGAAGGAAGTCGAGCCACCGGTCGTGTTGAATGGGGAACGGGGAATGGCTCTGGAGTCAATGCAGGGGAATCGGGCCTCATCTCGAGTTGATTTGGGGCACATGGAGCTGCTTTGCGTTGCTGGGGTGACCTCAGGGTCCGTCTAGACTGGTGACAGTGTTCTTGGGGACTGTCTCGAGATCCATTAAGCAAGTCGAAGCTCCTGACTTGTTTGAATGGGATCACGGAATAGCTCTGCATGCACTGCAGGGGAATGGGGCCTCATCTCGCCTCTAGAGGAAGTCTCATGGTTTTTCTCGAGTTGCGGCGGGGACCTGGGGTATGTTCTCGACTTACGGCGGGGCTGGCCCTTCAAAACACGAGTTTCTTCAGTGACGTCAGGACTCCTGTCTAGTAACGAGGGACACCTCAGGAATCTCTTCGAGGCTTGGCAGGGCAAAAGGGACGCTTCTCGAGGTGAGGCAGGGCACCCAAGGACCCTTTCCAGTAGCCACAGGGATTTTGGGATTCCTATCAGTATTCAAGAGGAGTCAGGCATCGTCACCTTTTGAAGCAATGAACTCCGCGTGCCTCTCGAGGTGTCAGCGGGATGTGAGGCATTCCGTCAAAATGAGGCAGGGACCTAGGGCTTTCTCTAAGGTCTCCACAGGGGATTCAGACATCCCTTCATGTTGTGAGATGAAAGACGAGCCTGTATTCAAGCCACTGCAAGGAAATCCGGCCTCCTTTCAAGTTAGGGCTTCTCGCTGTATATTCCCCTTGAGGCAGCAAACTCGGGGTCCCTCCCACATACCTATTGCTGAGAGAAGCCTCCTCCTGAGGTGCTTCTGGGAAGTTGGCATACGTCTTGAGCCTAAGCCAGGGAATCAGCTCTCATCTCGAGACGATTTGGGGTACACGGAGCATTCCTCGAGTTGCTGTGCTGAAGTTGGTGTTCCTCTAGACTTGGGACAGTGTTCTCGGGGCATCTCTGGAGTTGCCTGAAGGAAGTCGAGCCACCGGTCGTGTTGAATGGGGAACGGGGAATGGCTCTGGAGTCAATGCAGGGGAATCGGGCCTCATCTCGAGTTGATTTGGGGCACATGGAGCTGCTTTGCATTGCTGGGGTGACCTCAGGGTCCGTCTAGACTGGTGACAGTGTTCTTGGGGACTGTCTCGAGATCCATTAAGCAAGTCGAAGTTCCTGACTTGTTTGAATGGGATCACGGAATAGCTCTGCATGCACTGCAGGGAAATGGGGCCTCATCTCGCCTCTAGGGGGAAGTCTCATGGTTTTTCTCGAGTTGCGGCGGGGACCTGGGGTATGTTCTCGACTTACGGCGGGGATGGCCCTTCAAGACACGAGTTTCTTCAGTGACGTCAGGACTCCTGTCTAGTAACGAGGGACACCTCAGGAATCTCTTCGAGGCTTGGCAGGGCAAAAGGGACGCTTCTCGAGGTGAGGCAGGGCACCCAAGGACCCTTTCCAGTAGCCACAGGGATTTTGGGATTCCTATCAGTATTCAAGAGGAGTCAGGCATCGTCACCTTTTGAAGCAATGAACTCCGCGTGCCTCTCGAGGTGTCAGCGGGATGTGAGGCATTCCGTCAAAATGAGGCAGGGACCTAGGGCTTTCTCTAAGGTCTCCACAGGGGATTCAGACATCCCTTCATGTTGTGAGATGAAAGACGAGCCTGTATTCAAGCCACTGCAAGGAAATCCGGCCTCCTTTCAAGTTAGGGCTTCTTGCTGTATATTCCCCTTGAGGCAGCAAACTCGGGGTCTCTCCCACATACCTATTGCTGAGAGAAGCCTCCTCCTGAGGTGCTTCTGGGAAGTTGGCATACGTCTTGAGCCTAAGCCAGGGAATCAGCTCGCATCTCGAGACGATTTGGGGTACACGGAGCATTCCTCGAGTTGCTGTGCTGAAGTTGGTGTTCCTCTAGACTTGGGACAGTGTTCTCGGGGCATCTCTGGAGTTGCCTGAAGGAAGTCGAGCCACCGGTCGTGTTGAATGGGGAACGGGGAATGGCTCTGGAGTCAATGCAGGGGAATCGGGCCTCATCTCGAGTTGATTTGGGGCACATGGAGCTGCTTTGCGTTGCTGGGGTGACCTCAGGGTCCGTCTAGACTGGTGACAGTGTTCTTGGGGACTGTCTCGAGATCCATTAAGCAAGTCGAAGCTCCTGACTTGTTTGAATGGGATCACGGAATAGCTCTGCATGCACTGCAGGGGAATGGGGCCTCATCTCGCCTCTAGAGGAAGTCTCATGGTTTTTCTCGAGTTGCGGCGGGGACCTGGGGTATGTTCTCGACTTACGGCGGGGCTGGCCCTTCAAAACACGAGTTTCTTCAGTGACGTCAGGACTCCTGTCTAGTAATGAGGGACACCTCAGGAATCTCTTCGAGGCTTGGCAGGGCAAAAGGGACGCTTCTCGAGGTGAGGCAGGGCACCCAAGGACCCTTTCCAGTAGCCACAGGGATTTTGGGATTCCTATCAGTATTCAAGAGGAGTCAGGCATCGTCACCTTTTGAAGCAATGAACTCCGCGTGCCTCTCGAGGTGTCAGCGGGATGTGAGGCATTCCGTCAAAATGAGGCAGGGACCTAGGGCTTTCTCTAAGGTCTCCACAGGGGATTCAGACATCCCTTCATGTTGTGAGATGAAAGACGAGCCTGTATTCAAGCCACTGCAAGGAAATCCGGCCTCCTTTCAAGTTAGGGCTTCTTGCTGTATATTCCCCTTGAGGCAGCAAACTCGGGGTCCCTCCCACATACCTGTTGCTGAGAGAAGCCTCCTCCTGAGGTGCTTCTGGGAAGTTGGCATACGTCTTGAGCCTAAGCCAGGGAATCAGCTCTCATCTCGAGACGATTTGGGGTACACGGAGCATTCCTCGAGTTGCTGTGCTGAAGTTGGTGTTCCTCTAGACTTGGGACAGTGTACTCGGGGCATCTCTGGAGTTGCCTGAAGGAAGTCGAGCCACCGGTCGTGTTGAATGGGGAACGGGGAATGGCTCTGGAGTCAATGCAGGGGAATCGGACCTCAATCTCGATTTGATTTGGGGCACATGGAGCTGCTTTGCGTTGCTGGGGTGACCTCAGGGTCCGTCTAGACTGGTGACAGTGTTCTTGGGGACTGTCTCGAGATCCATTAAGCAAGTCGAAGCTCCTGACTTGTTTGAATGGGATCACGGAATAGCTCTGCATGCACTGCAGGGGAATGGGGCCTCATCTCGCCTCTAGGGGGAAGTCTCATGGTTTTTCTCGAGTTGCGGCGGGGACCTGGGGTATGTTCTCGACTTACGGCGGGGATGGCCCTTCAAAACACGAGTTTCTTCAGTGACGTCAGGACTCCTGTCTAGTAACGAGGGACACCTCAGGAATCTCTTCGAGGCTTGGCAGGGCAAAAGGGATGCTTCTCGAGGTGAGGCAGGGCACCCAAGGACCCTTTCCAGTAGCCACAGTGATTTTGGGATTCCTATCAGTATTCAAGAGGAGTCAGGCATCGTCACCTTTTGAAGCAATGAACTCCGCGTGCCTCTCGAGGTGTCAGCGTTATGTGAGGCATTCCGTCAAAATGAGGCAGGGACCTAGGGCTTTCTCTAAGGTCTCCACAGAGGATTCAGACATCCCTTCATGTTGTGAGATGAAAGACGAGCCTGTATTCAAGCCACTGCAAGGAAATCCGGCCTCCTTTCAAGTTAGGGCTTCTCGCTGTATATTCCCCTTGAGGCAGCAAACTCGGGGTCCCTCCCACATACCTATTGCTGAGAGAAGCCTCCTCCTGAGGTGCTTCTGGGAAGTTGGCATACGTCTTGAGCCTAAGCCAGGGAATCAGCTCTCATCTCGAGACGATTTGGGGTACACGGAGCATTCCTCGAGTTGCTGTGCTGAAGTTGGTGTTCCTCTAGACTTGGGACAGTGTTCTCGGGGCATCTCTGGAGTTGCCTGAAGGAAGACGAGCCACCGGTCGTGTTGAATGGGGAATGGGGAATGGCTCTGGAGTCAATGCAGGGGAATCGGGCCTCATCTCGAGTTGATTTGGGGCACATGGAGCTGCTTTGCGTTGCTGGGGTGACCTCAGGGTCCGTCTAGACTGGTGACAGTGTTCTTGGGGACTGTCTCGAGATCCATTAAGCAAGTCGAAGCTCCTGACTTGTTTGAATGGGATCACGGAATAGCTCTGCATGCACTGCAGGGGAATGGGGCCTCATCTCGCCTCTAGAGGAAGTCTCATGGTTTTTCTCGAGTTGCGGCGGGGACCTGGGGTATGTTCTCGACTTACGGCGGGGCTGGCCCTTCAAAACACGAGTTTCTTCAGTGACGTCAGGACTCCTGTCTAGTAATGAGGGACACCTCAGGAATCTCTTCGAGGCTTGGCAGGGCAAAAGGGACGCTTCTCGAGGTGAGGCAGGGCACCCAAGGACCCTTTCCAGTAGCCACAGGGATTTTGGGATTCCTATCAGTATTCAAGAGGAGTCAGGCATCGTCACCTTTTGAAGCAATGAACTCCGCGTGCCTCTCGAGGTGTCAGCGGGATGTGAGGCATTCCGTCAAAATGAGGCAGGGACCTAGGGCTTTCTCTAAGGTCTCCACAGGGGATTCAGACATCCCTTCATGTTGTGAGATGAAAGACGAGCCTGTATTCAAGCCACTGCAAGGAAATCCGGCCTCCTTTCAAGTTAGGGCTTCTTGCTGTATATTCCCCTTGAGGCAGCAAACTCGGGGTCCCTCCCACATACCTGTTGCTGAGAGAAGCCTCCTCCTGAGGTGCTTCTGGGAAGTTGGCATACGTCTTGAGCCTAAGCCAGGGAATCAGCTCTCATCTCGAGACGATTTGGGGTACACGGAGCATTCCTCGAGTTGCTGTGCTGAAGTTGGTGTTCCTCTAGACTTGGGACAGTGTACTCGGGGCATCTCTGGAGTTGCCTGAAGGAAGTCGAGCCACCGGTCGTGTTGAATGGGGAACGGGGAATGGCTCTGGAGTCAATGCAGGGGAATCGGGCCTCAATCTCGATTTGATTTGGGGCACATGGAGCTGCTTTGCGTTGCTGGGGTGACCTCAGGGTCCGTCTAGACTGGTGACAGTGTTCTTGGGGACTGTCTCGAGATCCATTAAGCAAGTCGAAGCTCCTGACTTGTTTGAATGGGATCACGGAATAGCTCTGCATGCACTGCAGGGGAATGGGGCCTCATCTCGCCTCTAGGGGGAAGTCTCATGGTTTTTCTCGAGTTGCGGCGGGGACCTGGGGTATGTTCTCGACTTACGGCGGGGATGGCCCTTCAAAACACGAGTTTCTTCAGTGACGTCAGGACTCCTGTCTAGTAACGAGGGACACCTCAGGAATCTCTTCGAGGCTTGGCAGGGCAAAAGGGACGCTTCTCGAGGTGAGGCAGGACACGCAAGGACCCTTTCCAGTAGCCACAGGGATTTTGGGATTCCTATCAGTATTCAAGAGGAGTCAGGAATCGTCACCTTTTGAAGCAATGAACTCCGCGTGCCTCTCGAGGTGTCAGCGCGATGTGAGGCATTCCGTCAAAATGAGGCAGGGACCTAGGGCTTTCTCTAAGGTCTCCACAGGGGATTCAGACATCCCTTCATGTTGTGAGATGAAAGACGAGCCTGTATTCAAGCCACTGCAAGGAAATCCGGCCTCCTTTCAAGTTAGGGCTTCTCGCTGTATATTCCCCTTGAGGCAGCAAACTCGGGGTCCCTCCCACATACCTATTGCTGAGAGAAGCCTCCTCCTGAGGTGCTTCTGGGAAGTTGGCATACGTCTTGAGCCTAAGCCAGGGAATCAGCTCTCATCTCGAGACGATTTGGGGTACACGGAGCATTCCTCGAGTTGCTGTGCTGAAGTTGGTGTTCCTCTAGACTTGGGACAGTGTTCTCGGGGCATCTCTGGAGTTGCCTGAAGGAAGACGAGCCACCGGTCGTGTTGAACGGGGAATGGGGAATGGCTCTGGAGTCAATGCAGGGGAATCGGGCCTCATCTCGAGTTGATTTGGGGCACATGGAGCTGCTTTGCGTTGCTGGGGTGACCTCAGGGTCCGTCTAGACTGGTGACAGTGTTCTTGGGGACTGTCTCGAGATCCATTAAGCAAGTCGAAGCTCCTGACTTGTTTGAATGGGATCACGGAATAGCTCTGCATGCACTGCAGGGGAATGGGGCCTCATCTCGCCTCTAGAGGAAGTCTCATGGTTTTTCTCGAGTTGCGGCGGGGACCTGGGGTATGTTCTCGACTTACGGCGGGGCTGGCCCTTCAAAACACGAGTTTCTTCAGTGACGTCAGGACTCCTGTCTAGTAATGAGGGACATCTCAGGAATCTCTTCGAGGCTTGGCAGGGCAAAAGGGACGCTTCTCGAGGTGAGGCAGGGCACCCAAGGACCCTTTCCAGTAGCCACAGGGATTTTGGGATTCCTATCATTATTCAAGAGGAGTCAGGCATCGTCACCTTTTGAAGCAATGAACTCCGCGTGCCTCTCGAGGTGTCAGCGGGATGTGACGCATTCCGTCAAAATGAGGCAGGGACCTAGGGCTTTCTCTAAGGTCTCCACAGGGGATTCAGACATCCCTTCATGTTGTGAGATGAAAGACGAGCCTGTATTCAAGCCACTGCAAGGAAATCCGGCCTCCTTTCAAGTTAGGGCTTCTTGCTGTATATTCCCCTTGAGGCAGCAAACTCGGGGTCCCTCCCACATACCTGTTGCTGAGAGAAGCCTCCTCCTGAGGTGCTTCTGGGAAGTTGGCATACGTCTTGAGCCTAAGCCAGGGAATCAGCTCTCATCTCGAGACGATTTGGGGTACACGGAGCATTCCTCGAGTTGCTGTGCTGAAGTTGGTGTTCCTCTAGACTTGGGACAGTGTACTCGGGGCATCTCTGGAGTTGCCTGAAGGAAGTCGAACCACCGGTCGTGTTGAATGGGGAACGGGGAATGGCTCTGGAGTCAATGCAGGGGAATCGGGCCTCATCTCGATTTAATTTGGGGCACATGGAGCTGCTTTGCGTTGCTGGGGTGACCTCAGGGTCCGTCTAGACTGGTGACAGTGTTCTTGGGGACTGTCTCGAGATCCATTAAGCAAGTCGAAGCTCCTGACTTGTTTGAATGGGATCACGGAATAGCTCTGCATGCACTGCAGGGGAATGGGGCCTCATCTCGCCTCTAGGGGGAAGTCTCATGGTTTTTCTCGAGTTGCGGCGGGGACCTGGGGTATGTTCTCGACTTACGGCGGGGATGGCCCTTCAAAACACGAGTTTCTTCAGTGACGTCAGGACTCCTGTCTAGTAACGAGGGACACCTCAGGAATCTCTTCGAGGCTTCGCAGGGCAAAAGGGACGCTTCTCGAGGTGAGGCAGGACACGCAAGGACCCTTTCCAGTAGCCACAGGGATTTTGGGATTCCTATCAGTATTCAAGAGGAGTCAGGAATCGTCACCTTTTGAAGCAATGAACTCCGCGTGCCTCTCGAGGTGTCAGCGCGATGTGAGGCATTCCGTCAAAATGAGGCAGGGACCTAGGGCTTTCTCTAAGGTCTCCACAGGGGATTCAGACATCCCTTCATGTTGTGAGATGAAAGACGAGCCTGTATTCAAGCCACTGCAAGGAAATCCGGCCTCCTTTCAAGTTAGGGCTTCTCGCTGTATATTCCCCTTGAGGCAGCAAACTCGGGGTCCCTCCCACATACCTATTGCTGAGAGAAGCCTCCTCCTGAGGTGCTTCTGGGAAGTTGGCATACGTCTTGAGCCTAAGCCAGGGAATCAGCTCGCATCTCGAGACGATTTGGGGTACACGGAGCATTACTCGAGTGGCTGTGCTGAAGTTGGTGTTCCTCTAGACTTGAGACAGTGTTCTCGGGGCATCTCTGGAGTTGCCTGAAGGAAGTCGAGCCACCGGTCGTGTTGAATGGGGAACGGGGAATGGCTCTGGAGTCAATGCAGGGGAATCGGGCCTCATCTCGAGTTGATTTGGGGCACATGGAGCTGCTTTGCGTTGCTGGGGTGACCTCAGGGTCCGTCTAGACTGGTGACAGTGTTCTTGGGGACTGTCTCGAGATCCATTAAGCAAGTCGAAGCTCCTGACTTGTTTGAATGGGATCACGGAATAGCTCTGCATGCACTGCAGGGGAATGGGGCCTCATCTCGCCTCTAGGGGGAAGTCTCATGGTTTTTCTCGAGTTGCGGTGGGGACCTGGGGTATGTTCTCGACTTACGGCGGGGATGGCCCTTCAAAACACGAGTTTCTTCAGTGACGTCAGGACTCCTGTCTAGTAACGAGGGACACCTCAGGAATCTCTTCGAGGCTTGGCAGGGCAAAAAGGACGCTTCTCGAGGTGAGGCAGGGCACCCAAGGACCCTTTCCAGTAGCCACAGGGATTTTGGGATTCCTATCAGTATTCAAGAGGAGTCAGGCATCGTCACCTTTTGAAGCAATGAACTCCGCGTGCCTCTCGAGGTGTCAGCGCGATGTGAGGCATTCCGTCAAAATGAGGCAGGGACCTAGGGCTTTCTCTAAGGTCTCCACAGGGGATTCAGACATCCCTTCATGTTGTGAGATGAAAGACGAGCCTCTATTCAAGCCACTGCAAGGAAATCCGGCCTCCTTTCAAGTGAGGGCTTCTCGCTGTATATTCCCCTTGAGGCAGCAAACTCGGGGTCCCTCGCACATACCTATTGCTGAGAGAAGCCTCCTCCTGAGGTGCTTCTGGGAAGTTGGCATACGTCTTGAGCCTAAGCCAGGGAATCAGCTCTCATCTCGAGACGATTTGGGATACACGGAGCATTCCTCGAGTTGCTGTGCTGAAGTTCGTGTTCCTCTAGACTTGGGACAGTGTTCCCGGGGCATCTCTGGAGTTGCCTGAAGGAAGTCGAGCCACCGGTCGTGTTGAATGGGGAACGGGGAATGTCTCTGGAGTCAATGCAGGGGAATCGGGCCTCATCTCGAGTTGATTTGGGGCACATGGAGCTGCTTTGCTTTGCTGGGGTGACCTCAGGGTCCGTCTAGACTGGTGACATTGTTCTTGGGGACTGTCTCGAAATCCATTAAGCAAGTCGAAGCTCCTGACTTCTTTGAATGGGATCACGGAATAGCTCTGCATGCACTGCAGGGGAATGGGGCCTCATCTCGCCTCTAGGGGGAAGTCTCATGGTTTTTCTCGAGTTGCGGCGGGGACCTGGGGTATGTTCTCGACTTACGGCGGGGATGGCCCTTCAAAACACGAGTTTCTTCAGTGACGTCAGGACTCCTGTCTAGTAACGAGGGACACCTCAGTAATCTCTTCGAGGCTTGGCAGGGCAAAAGGGACGCTTCTCGAGGTGAGGCAGGACACGCAAGGACCCTTTCCAGTAGCCACAGGGATTTTGGGATTCCTATCAGTATTCAAGAGGAGTCAGGCATCGTCACCTTTTGAAGCAATGAACTCCGCGTGCCTCTCGAGGTGTCAGCGCGATGTGAGGCATTCCGTCAAAATGAGGCAGGGACCTAGGGCTTTCTCTAAGGTCTCCACAGGGGATTCAGACATCCCTTCATGTTGTGAGATGAAAGACGAGCCTGTATTCAAGCCACTGCAAGGAAATCCGGCCTCCTTTCAAGTTAGGGCTTCTCGCTGTATATTCCCCTTGAGGCAGCAAACTCGGGGTCCCTCCCACATACCTATTGCTGAGAGAAGCCTCCTCCTGAGGTGCTTCTGGGAAGTTGGCATACGTCTTGAGCCTAAGCCAGGGAATCAGCTCGCATCTCGAGACGATTTGGGGTACACGGAGCATTCCTCGAGTTGCTGTGCTGAAGTTGGTGTTCCTCTAGACTTGGGAAAGTGTTCTCGGGGCATCTCTGGAGTTGCCTGAAGGAAGTCGAGCCACCGGTCGTGTTGAATGGGGAACGGGGAATGGCTCTGGAGTCAATGCAGGGGAATCGGGCCTCATCTCGAGTTGATTTGGGGCACATGGAGCTGCTTTGCGTTGCTGGGGTGACCTCAGGGTCCGTCTAGACTGGTGACAGTGTTCTTGGGGACTGTCTCGAGATCCATTAAGCAAGTCGAAGCTCCTGACTTGTTTGAATGGGATCACGGAATAGCTCTGCATGCACTGCAGGGGAATGGGGCCTCATCTCGCCTCTAGGGGGAAGTCTCATGGTTTTTCTCGAGTTGCGGCGGGGACCTGGGGTATGTTCTCGACTTACGGCGGGGATGGCCCTTCAAAACACGAGTTTCTTCAGTGACGTCAGGACTCCTGTCTAGTAACGAGGGACACCTCAGGAATCTCTTCGAGGCTTGGCAGGGCAAAAGGGACGCTTCTCGAGGTGAGGCAGGGCACCCAAGGACCCTTTCCAGTAGCCACAGTGATTTTGGGATTCCTATCAGTATTCAAGAGGAGTCAGGCATCGTCACCTTTTGAAGCAATGAACTCCGCGTGCCTCTCGAGGTGTCAGCGTTATGTGAGGCATTCCGTCAAAATGAGGCAGGGACCTAGGGCTTTCTCTAAGGTCTCCACAGAGGATTCAGACATCCCTTCATGTTGTGAGATGAAAGACGAGCCTGTATTCAAGCCACTGCAAGGAAATCCGGCCTCCTTTCAATTTAGGGCTTCTCGCTGTATATTCCCCTTGAGGCAGCAAACTCGGGGTCCCTCCCACATACCTATTGCTGAGAGAAGCCTCCTCCTGAGGTGCTTCTGGGAAGTTGGCATACGTCTTGAGCCTAAGCCAGGGAATCAGCTCTCATCTCGAGACGATTTGGGGTACACGGAGCATTCCTCGAGTTGCTGTGCTGAAGTTGGTGTTCCTCTAGACTTGGGACAGTGTTCTCGGGGCATCTCTGGAGTTGCCTGAAGGAAGACGAGCCACCGGTCGTGTTGAATGGGGAATGGGGAATGGCTCTGGAGTCAATGCAGGGGAATCGGGCCTCATCTCGAGTTGATTTGGGGCACATGGAGCTGCTTTGCGTTGCTGGGGTGACCTCAGGGTCCGTCTAGACTGGTGACAGTGTTCTTGGGGACTGTCTCGAGATCCATTAAGCAAGTCGAAGCTCCTGACTTGTTTGAATGGGATCACGGAATAGCTCTGCATGCACTGCAGGGGAATGGGGCCTCATCTCGCCTCTAGAGGAAGTCTCATGGTTTTTCTCGAGTTGCGGCGGGGACCTGGGGTATGTTCTCGACTTACGGCGGGGCTGGCCCTTCAAAACACGAGTTTCTTCAGTGACATCAGGACTCCTGTCTAGTAATGAGGGACACCTCAGGAATCTCTTCGAGGCTTGGCAGGGCAAAAGGGACGCTTCTCGAGGTGAGGCAGGGCACCCAAGGACCCTTTCCAGTAGCCACAGGGATTTTGGGATTCCTATCAGTATTCAAGAGGAGTCAGGCATCGTCACCTTTTGAAGCAATGAACTCCGCGTGCCTCTCGAGGTGTCAGCGGGATGTGAGGCATTCCGTCAAAATGAGGCAGGGACCTAGGGCTTTCTCTAAGGTCTCCACAGGGGATTCAGACATCCCTTCATGTTGTGAGATGAAAGACGAGCCTGTATTCAAGCCACTGCAAGGAAATCCGGCCTCCTTTCAAGTTAGGGCTTCTTGCTGTATATTCCCCTTGAGGCAGCAAACTCGGGGTCCCTCCCACATACCTGTTGCTGAGAGAAGCCTCCTCCTGAGGTGCTTCTGGGAAGTTGGCATACGTCTTGAGCCTAAGCCAGGGAATCAGCTCTCATCTCGAGACGATTTGGGGTACACGGAGCATTCCTCGAGTTGCTGTGCTGAAGTTGGTGTTCCTCTAGACTTGGGACAGTGTACTCGGGGCATCTCTGGAGTTGCCTGAAGGAAGTCGAGCCACCGGTCGTGTTGAATGGGGAACGGGGAATGGCTCTGGAGTCAATGCAGGGGAATCGGGCCTCAATCACGATTTGATTTGGGGCACATGGAGCTGCTTTGCGTTGCTGGGGTGACCTCAGGGTCCGTCTAGACTGGTGACAGTGTTCTTGGGGACTGTCTCGAGATCCATTAAGCAAGTCGAAGCTCCTGACTTGTTTGAATGGGATCACGGAATAGCTCTGCATGCACTGCAGGGGAATGGGGCCTCATCTCGCCTCTAGGGGGAAGTCTCATGGTTTTTCTCGAGTTGCGGCGGGGACCTGGGGTATGTTCTCGACTTACGGCGGGGATGGCCCTTCAAAACACGAGTTTCTTCAGTGACGTCAGGACTCCTGTCTAGTAACGAGGGACACCTCAGGAATCTCTTCGAGGCTTGGCAGGGCAAAAGGGACGCTTCTCGAGGTGAGGCAGGACACGCAAGGACCCTTTCCAGTAGCCACAGGGATTTTGGGATTCCTATCAGTATTCAAGAGGAGTCAGGAATCGTCACCTTTTGAAGCAATGAACTCCGCGTGCCTCTCAAGGTGTCAGCGCGATGTGAGGCATTCCGTCAAAATGAGGCAGGGACCTAGGGCTTTCTCTAAGGTCTCCACAGGGGATTCAGACATCCCTTCATGTTGTGAGATGAAAGACGAGCCTGTATTCAAGCCACTGCAAGGAAATCCGGCCTCCTTTCAAGTTAGGGCTTCTCGCTGTATATTCCCCTTGAGGCAGCAAACTCGGGGTCCCTCCCACATACCTATTGCTGAGAGAAGCCTCCTCCTGAGGTGCTTCTGGGAAGTTGGCATACGTCTTGAGCCTAAGCCAGGGAATCAGCTCTCATCTCGAGACGATTTGGGGTACACGGAGCATTCCTCGAGTTGCTGTGCTGAAGTTGGTGTTCCTCTAGACTTGGGACAGTGTTCTCGGGGCATCTCTGGAGTTGCCTGAAGGAAGACGAGTCACCGGTCGTGTTGAACGGGGAATGGGGAATGGCTCTGGAGTCAATGCAGGGGAATCGGGCCTCATCTCGAGTTGATTTGGGGCACATGGAGCTGCTTTGCGTTGCTGGGGTGACCTCAGGGTCCGTCTAGACTGGTGACAGTGTTCTTGGGGACTGTCTCGAGATCCATTAAGCAAGTCGAAGCTCCTGACTTGTTTGAATGGGATCACGGAATAGCTCTGCATGCACTGCAGGGGAATGGGGCCTCATCTCGCCTCTAGAGGAAGTCTCATGGTTTTTCTCGAGTTGCGGCGGGGACCTGGGGTATGTTCTCGACTTACGGCGGGGCTGGCCCTTCAAAACACGAGTTTCTTCAGTGACGTCAGGACTCCTGTCTAGTAATGAGGGACATCTCAGGAATCTCTTCGAGGCTTGGCAGGGCAAAAGGGACGCTTCTCGAGGTGAGGCAGGGCACCCAAGGACCCTTTCCAGTAGCCACAGGGATTTTGGGATTCCTATCATTATTCAAGAGGAGTCAGGCATCGTCACCTTTTGAAGCAATGAACTCCGCGTGCCTCTCGAGGTGTCAGCGGGATGTGAGGCATTCCGTCAAAATGAGGCAGGGACCTAGGGCTTTCTCTAAGGTCTCCACAGGGGATTCAGACATCCCTTCATGTTGTGAGATGAAAGACGAGCCTGTATTCAAGCCACTGCAAGGAAATCCGGCCTCCTTTCAAGTTAGGGCTTCTTGCTGTATATTCCCCTTGAGGCAGCAAACTCGGGGTCCCTCCCACATACCTGTTGCTGAGAGAATCCTCCTCCTGAGGTGCTTCTGGGAAGTTGGCATACGTCTTGAGCCTAAGCCAGGGAATCAGCTCTCATCTCGAGACGATTTGGGGTACACGGAGCATTCCTCGAGTTGCTGTGCTGAAGTTGGTGTTCCTCTAGACTTGGGACAGTGTACTCGGGGCATCTCTGGAGTTGCCTGAAGGAAGTCGAGCCACCGGTCGTGTTGAATGGGGAACGGGGAATGGCTCTGGAGTCAATGCAGGGGAATCGGGCCTCATCTCGAGTTGATTTGGGGCACATGGAGCTGCTTTGCGTTGCTGGGGTGACCTCAGGGTCCGTCTAGACTGGTGACAGTGTTCTTGGGGACTGTCTCGAGATCCATTAAGCAAGTCGAAGCTCCTGACTTGTTTGAATGGGATCACGGAATAGCTCTGCATGCACTGCAGGGGAATGGGGCCTCATCTCGCCTCTAGGGGGAAGTCTCATGGTTTTTCTCGAGTTGCGGCGGGGACCTGGGGTATGTTCTCGACTTACGGCGGGGATGGCCCTTCAAAACACGAGTTTCTTCAGTGACGTCAGGACTCCTGTCTAGTAACGAGGGACACCTCAGGAATCTCTTCGAGGCTTGGCAGGGCAAAAGGGACGCTTCTCGAGGTGAGGCAGGGCACCCAAGGACCCTTTCCAGTAGCCACAGGGATTTTGGGATTCCTATCAGTATTCAAGAGGAGTCAGGAATCGTCACCTTTTGAAGCAATGAACTCCGCGTGCCTCTCGAGGTGTCAGCGCGATGTGAGGCATTCCGTCAAAATGAGGCAGGGACCTAGGGCTTTCTCTAAGCTCTCCACAGGGGATTCAGACATCCCTTCATGTTGTGAGATGAAAGACGAGCCTGTATTCAAGCCACTGCAAGGAAATCCGGCCTCCTTTCAAGTTAGGGCTTCTCGCTGTATATTCCCCTTGAGGCAGCAAACTCGGGGTCCCTCCCACATACCTATTGCTGAGAGAAGCCTCCTCCTGAGGTGCTTCTGGGAAGTTGGCATACGTCTTGAGCCTAAGCCAGGGAATCAGCTCTCATCTCGAGACGATTTGGGGTACACGGAGCATTCCTCGAGTTGCTGTGCTGAAGTTGGTGTTCCTCTAGACTTGGGACAGTGTTCTCGGGGCATCTCTGGAGTTGCCTGAAGGAAGACGAGCCACCGGTCGTGTTGAACGGGGAATGGGGAATGGCTCTGGAGTCAATGCAGGGGAATCGGGCCTCATCTCGAGTTGATTTGGGGCACATGGAGCTGCTTTGCGTTGCTGGGGTGACCTCAGGGTCCGTCTAGACTGGTGACAGTGTTCTTGGGGACTGTCTCGAGATCCATTAAGCAAGTCGAAGCTCCTGACTTGTTTGAATGGGATCACGGAATAGCTCTGCATGCACTGCAGGGGAATGGGGCCTCATCTCGCCTCTAGAGGAAGTCTCATGGTTTTTCTCGAGTTGCGGCGGGGACCTGGGGTATGTTCTCGACTTACGGCGGGGCTGGCCCTTCAAAACACGAGTTTCTTCAGTGACGTCAGGACTCCTGTCTAGTAATGAGGGACATCTCAGGAATCTCTTCGAGGCTTGGCAGGGCAAAAGGGACGCTTCTCGAGGTGAGGCAGGGCACCCAAGGACCCTTTCCAGTAGCCACAGGGATTTTGGGATTCCTATCATTATTCAAGAGGAGTCAGGCATCGTCACCTTTTGAAGCAATGAACTCCGCGTGCCTCTCGAGGTGTCAGCGGGATGTGAGGCATTCCGTCAAAATGAGGCAGGGACCTAGGGCTTTCTCTAAGGTCTCCACAGGGGATTCAGACATCCCTTCATGTTGTGAGATGAAAGACGAGCCTGTATTCAAGCCACTGCAAGGAAATCCGGCCTCCTTTCAAGTTAGGGCTTCTTGCTGTATATTCCCCTTGAGGCAGCAAACTCGGGGTCCCTCCCACATACCTGTTGCTGAGAGAAGCCTCCTCCTGAGGTGCTTCTGGGCAGTTGGCATACGTCTTGAGCCTAAGCCAGGGAATCAGCTCTCATCTCGAGACGATTTGGGGTACACGGAGCATTCCTCGAGTTGCTGTGCTGAAGTTGGTGTTCCTCTAGACTTGGGACAGTGTTCTCGGGGCATCTCTGGAGTTGCCTGAAGGAAGTCGAGCCACCGGTCGTGTTGAGTGGGGAACGGGGAATGGCTCTGGAGTCAATGCAGGGGAATCGGGCCTCATCTCGAGTTGATTTGGGGCACATGGAGCTGCTTTGCTTTGCTGGGGTGACCTCAGGGTCCGTCTAGACTGGTGACATTGTTCTTGGGGACTGTCTCGAAATCCATTAAGCAAGTCGAAGCTCCTGACTTCTTTGAATGGGATCACGGAATAGCTCTGCATGCACTGCAGGGGAATGGGGCCTCATCTCGCCTCTAGAGGAAGTCTCATGGTTTTTCTCGAGTTGCGGCGGGGACCTGGGGTATGTTTTCGACTTACGGCGGGGATGGCCCTTCAAAACACGAGTTTCTTCAGTGACGTCAGGACTCCTGTCTAGTAATGAGGGACACCTCAGGAATCTCTTCGAGGCTTGGCAGGGCAAAAGGGACGCTTCTCCAGGTGAGGCAGGGCACCCAAGGACCCTTTCCAGTAGCCACAGGGATTTTGGGATTCCTATCAGTATTCAAGAGGAGTCAGGCATCGTCACCTTTTGAAGCAATGAACTCCGCGTGCCTCTCGAGGTGTCAGCGGGATGTGAGGCATTCCGTCAAAATGAGGCAGGGACCTAGGGCTTTCTCTAAGGTCTCCACAGGGGATTCAGACATCCCTTCATGTTGTGAGATGAAAGACGAGCCTGTATTCAAGCCACTGCAAGGAAATCCGGCCTCCTTTCAAGTTAGGGCTTCTCGCTGTATATTCCCCTTGAGGCAGCAAACTCGGGGTCCCTCCCACATACCTGTTGCTGAGAGAAGCCTCCTCCTGAGGTGCTTCTGGGAAGTTGGCATACGTCTTGAGCCTAAGCTAGGGAATCAGCTCTCATCTCGAGACGATTTGGGGTACACGGAGCATTCCTCGAGTTGCTGTGCTGAAGTTGGTGTTCCTCTAGACTTGGGACAGTGTACTCGGGGCATCTCTGGAGTTGCCTGAAGGATGTCGAGCCACCGGTCGTGTTGAATGGGGAACGGGGAATGGCTCTGGAGTCAATACAGGGGAATCGGGCCTCATCTCGATTTGATTTGGGGCACATGGAGCTGCTTTGCGTTGCTGGGGTGACCTCAGGGTCCGTCTAGACTGGTGACAGTGTTCTTGGGGACTGTCTCGAGATCCATTAAGCAAGTCGAAGCTCCTGACTTGTTTGAATGGGATCACGGAATAGCTCTGCATGCACTGCAGGGGAATGGGGCCTCATCTCGCCTCTAGGGGGAAGTCTCATGGTTTTTCTCGAGTTGCGGCGGGGACCTGGGTTATGTTCTCGACTTACGGCGGGGATGGCCCTTCAAAACACGAGTTTCTTCAGTGACGTCAGGACTCCTGTCTAGTAACGAGGGACACCTCAGGAATCTCTTCGAGGCTTGGCAGGGCAAAAGGGACGCTTCTCGAGGTGAGGCAGGACACGCAAGGACCCTTTCCAGTAGCCACAGGGATTTTGGGATTCCTATCAGTATTCAAGAGGAGTCAGGCATCGTCACCTTTTGAAGCAATGAACTCCGCGTGCCTCTCGAGGTGTCAGCGGGATGTGAGGCATTCCGTCAAAATGAGGCAGGGACCTAGGGCTTTCTCTAAGGTCTCCACAGGGGATTCAGACATCCCTTCATGTTGTGAGATGAAAGACGAGCCTGTATTCAAGCCACTGCAAGGAAATCCGGCCTCCTTTCAAGTTAGGGCTTCTCGCTGTATATTCCCCTTGAGGCAGCAAACTCGGGGTCCCTCGCACATACCTGTTGCTGAGAGAAGCCTCCTCTTGAGGTGCTTCTGGGAAGTTGGCATACGTCTTGAGCCTAAGCCAGGGAATCAGCTCTCATCTCGAGACGATTTGGGATACACGGAGCATTCCTCGAGTTGCTGTGCTGAAGTTCGTGTTCCTCTAGACTTGGGACAGTGTTCCCGGGGCATCTCTGGAGTTGCCTGAAGGAAGTCGAGCCACCGGTCGTGTTGAATGGGGAACGGGGAATGTCTCTGGAGTCAATGCAGGGGAATCGGGCCTCATCTCGAGTTGATTTGGGGCACATGGAGCTGCTTTGCTTTGCTGGGGTGACCTCAGGGTCCGTCTAGACTGGTGACATTGTTCTTGGGGACTGTCTCGAGATCCATTAAGCAAGTCGAAGCTCCTGACTTCTTTGAATGGGATCACGGAATAGCTCTGCATGCACTGCAGGGGAATGGGGCCTCATCTCGCCTCTAGAGGAAGTCTCATGGTTTTTCTCGAGTTGCGGCGGGGACCTGGGGTATGTTCTCGACTTACGGCGGGGATGGCCCTTCAAAACACGAGTTTCTTCAGTGACGTCAGGACTCCTGTCTAGTAATGAGGGACACCTCAGGAATCTCTTCGAGGCTTGGCAGGGCAAAAGGGACGCTTCTCGAGGTGAGGCAGGGCACCCAAGGACCCTTTCCAGTAGCCACAGGGATTTTGGGATTCCTATCAGTATTCAAGAGGAGTCAGGCCTCGTCACCTTTTGAAGCAATGAACTCCGCGTGCCTCTCGAGGTGTCAGCGGGATGTGAGGCATTCCGTCAAAATGAGGCAGGGACCTAGGGCTTTCTCTAAGGTCTCCACAGGGGATTCAGACATCCCTTCATGTTGTGAGATGAAAGACGAGCCTGTATTCAAGCCACTGCAAGGAAATCCGGCCTCCTTTCAAGTTAGGGCTTCTCGCTGTATATTCCCCTTGAGGCAGCAAACTCGGGGTCCCTCCCACATACCTATTGCTGAGAGAAGCCTCCTCCTGAGGTGCTTCTGGGAAGTTGGCATACGTCTTGAGCCTTAGCCAGGGAATTAGCTCTCATCTCGAGACGATTTGGGGTACACGGAGCATTCCTCGAGTTGCTGTGCTGAAGTTGGTGTTCCTCTAGACTTGGGACAGTGTACTCGGGGCATCTCTGGAGTTGCCTGAAGGAAGTCGAGCCACCGGTCGTGTTGAATGGGGAACGGGGAATGGCTCTGGAGTCAATGCAGGGGAATCGGGCCTCATCTCGAGTTGATTTGGGGCACATGGAGCTGCTTTGCGTTGCTGGGGTGACCTCAGGGTCCGTCTAGACTGGTGACAGTGTTCTTGGGGACTGTCTCGAGATCCATTAAGCAAGTCGAAGCTCCTGACTTGTTTGAATGGGATCACGGAATAGCTCTGCATGCACTGCAGGGGAATGGGGCCTCATCTCGCCTCTAGGGGGAAGTCTCATGGTTTTTCTCGAGTTGCGGTGGGGACCTGGGGTATGTTCTCGACTTACGGCGGGGATGGCCCTTCAAAACACGAGTTTCTTCAGTGACGTCAGGACTCCTGTCTAGTAACGAGGGACACCTCAGGAATCTCTTCGAGGCTTGGCAGGGCAAAAGGGACGCTTCTCGAGGTGAGGCAGGACACGCAAGGACCCTTTCCAGTAGCCACAGGGATTTTGAGATTCCTATCAGTATTCTAGAGGAGTCAGGCATCGTCACCTTTTGAAGCAATGAACTCCGCGTGCCTCTCGAGGTGTCAGCGCGATGTGAGGCATTCCGTCAAAATGAGGCAGGGACCTAGGGCTTTCTCTAAGGTCTCCACAGGGGATTCAGACATCCCTTCATGTTGTGAGATGAAAGACGAGCCTGTATTCAAGCCACTGCAAGGAAATCCGGCCTCCTTTCAAGTTAGGGCTTCTCGCTGTATATTCCCCTTGAGGCAGCAAACTCGGGGTCCCTCCCACATACCTATTGCTGAGAGAAGCCTCCTCCTGAGGTGCTTCTGGGAAGTTGGCATACGTCTTGAGCCTAAGCCAGGGAATCAGCTCGCATCTCGAGACGATTTGGGGTACACGGAGCATTCCTCGAGTTGCTGTGCTGAAGTTGGTGTTCCTCTAGACTTGGGACAGTGTTCTCGGGGCATCTCTGGAGTTGCCTGAAGGAAGTCGAGCCACCGGTCGTGTTGAATGGGGAACGGGGAATGGCTCTGGAGTCAATGCAGGGGAATCGGGCCTCATCTCGAGTTGATTTGGGGCACATGGAGCTGCTTTGCGTTGCTGGGGTGACCTCAGGGTCCGTCTAGACTGGTTACAGTGTTCTTGGGGACTGTCTCGAGATCCATTAAGCAAGTCGAAGCTCCTGACTTGTTTGAATGGGATCACGGAATAGCTCTGCATGCACTGCAGGGGAATGGGGCCTCATCTCGCCTCTAGGGGGAAGTCTCATGGTTTTTCTCGAGTTGCGGCGGGGACCTGGGGTATGTTCTCGACTTACGGCGGGGATGGCCCTTCAAAACACGAGTTTCTTCAGTGACGTCAGGACTCCTGTCTAGTAACGAGGGACACTTCAGGAATCTCTTCGAGGCTTGGCAGGGCAAAAGGGACGCTTCTCGAGGTGAGGCAGGGCACCCAAGGACCCTTTCCAGTAGCCACAGGGATTTTGGGATTCCTATCAGTATTCAAGAGGAGTCAGGCATCGTCACCTTTTGAAGCAATGAACTCCGCGTGCCTCTCGAGGTGTCAGCTGGATGTGAGGCATTCCGTCAAAATGAGGCAGGGACCTAGGTCTTTCTATAAGGTCTCCACAAGGGATTCAGACATCCCTTCATGTTGTGAGATGAAAGACGAGCCTGTATTCAAGCCACTGCAAGGAAATCCGGCAACCTTTCAAGTTAGGGCTTCTCGCTGTATATTCCCCTTGCGGCAGCAAACTCGGGGTCCCTCCCACATACATATTGCTGAGAGAAGCCTCCTCCTGAGGTGCTTCTGGGAAGTTGGCATACGTCTTGAGCCTAAGCCAGGGAATCAGCTCGCATCTCGAGACGATTTGGGGTACACGGAGCATTCCTCGAGTTGCTGTGCTGAAGTTGGTGTTCCTCTAGACTTGGGACAGTGTTCTCGGGGCATCTCTGGAGTTGCCTGAAGGAAGTCGAGCCACCGGTCGTGTTGAATGGGGAACGGGGAATGGCTCTGGAGTCAATGCAGGGGAATCGGGCCTCATCTCGAGTTGATTTGGGGCACATGGAGCTGCTTTGCATTGCTGGGGAGACGTCAGGGTCCGTCTAGACTGGTGACAGTGTTCTTGGGGACTGTCTCGAGATCCATTAAGCAAGTCGAAGCTCCTGACTTGTTTGAATGGGATCACGGAATAGCTCTGCATGCACTGCAGGGGAATGGGGCCTCATCTCGCCTCTAGGGGGAAGTCTCATGGTTTTTCTCGAGTTGCGGCGGGGACCTGGGGTATGTTCTCGACTTACGGCGGGGATGGCCCTTCAAAAGACGAGTTTCTTCAGTGACGTCAGGACTCCTGTCTAGTAATGAGGGACACTTCAACAATCTCTTCGAGGCTTGGCAGGTCAAAAGGGACGCTTCTCGAGGTGAGCCAGGGCACCCAAGGACCCTTTCCAGAAGCCACAGGGATTTTGGGATTCCTATCAGTATTCAAGAGGAGTCAGGCGTCGTCACCTTTTCAAGCAATGAACTCTGCGTGCCTCTCGAGGTGTCAGGGGGATGTGAGGTATTCCGTCAAAATGAGGCAGGGACCTAGGGCTACCTCTAAGGACTCCACAGGGGATTCAGACATCCCTTCATGTTGTCAGATCAAAGACGAGCGTGTATTCAAGCCACTGCAAGGAAATCTGGCCTCCGTTCACATTAGGGCTTCTCCCTGTGTATTCCCCTTGAGGCAGCAAACTCGGGGTCCCTCCCACATACCAATTGCTGAGAGAAGCCTCCTCCTGAGGTGCTTCTGGAAAGTTGGCATACGTCTTGAGCCTAAGTCAGGGAATCAGCTCTCATCTCGAGATGATTTGTGGTACAGAGAGCATTCCTCGAGTTGCTGTGCTGAAGTTGGTGTTCCTCTAGACTTGGGACAGTGTTCTCGGGGCATCTATGGAGTTGCCTGAAGGAAGGCGAGCCACCGGTCGTGTTGAACGGGGAACAGGGAATGGCTCTGGAGTCAATGCAGGGGAATCGGGCCTCATCTCGAGTTGATGTGGGGCACATGGAGCAGCTTTGCGTTGCTGGGGTGACCTCAGGCTCCGTCTAGACTGGTGACAGTGTTCTTGGGGACTGTCTCGAGATCCATTAAGCAAGTCGAAGCTCCTGACTTGTTTGAATGGGATCTCGGAATAGCTCTCCATGCACTGCAGGGGAATGGGGCCTCATCTCGCCTATAGGGGGAAGTCTCATGGTTTTTCTCGAGTTGCGGCGGGGACCTGGGGTATGTTCTCGACTTACGGCGGGGATGGCCCTCCAAAACACGAGTTTCTTCAGTGACGTCAGGACTCCTGCCTAGTAACGAGGGACACCTCAGGAATCTCTTCGAGGCTTGGCAGGGCAAAAGGGACGCTTCTCGAGGTGAGGCAGGGCACCCAAGGACCCTTTCCAGTAGCCACAGGGATTTTGGGATTCCTATCAGTATTCAAGAGGAGTCAGGCATCGTCACCTTTTGAAGTAATGAACTCCGCGTGCCTCTCGAGGTGTCAGCGGGATGTGAGGCATTCCGTCAAAATGAGGCAGGGACCTAGGGCTTTCTCTAAGGTCTCCACAGGGGATTCAGAAATCCCTTCATGTTGTGAGATGAAAGACAAGCCTGTATTCAAGCTACTGCAAGGAAATCCGGCCTCCTTTCAAGTTAGGGCTTCTCGATGTATATTCCCCTTGAGGCAGCAAACTCGGAGTCCCTCCCACATACCTATTGCTGATAAGCCTCCTCCTGAGGTGCTTCTGGAAATTTGACATACGTCTTGAGCCTAAGCCAGGGAATCAGCTCTCATCTCGAGACGATTTGGGGTACACAGATCATTCCTCGAGTTGCTGTGCTGAAGTTGGTGTTCCTCTAGATTTGGGACAGTGTTCTCGGGGCATCTCTGAAGTTGCCTGAAGGAAGGCGAGCCTCCGTTCGTGTTGAACGGGGAACGGGGGATGGCTCTGGAGTCAATGCAGGGGAATCGGGCCTCATCTCGAGTTGATTTGGGGCACATGGAGCTGCTTTGCATTGCTGGGGTGACCTCAGGGTCCGTCTAGACCGGTGACAGTGTTCTTGGGGACTGTCTCGAGATCCATTAAGCAAGTCGAAGCTCCTGACTTGTTTGAATGGGATCACGGAATAGCTCTGCATGCACTGCAGGGGAATGGGGCCTCATCTCGCCTATAGGGGGATGTCTCATGGTTTTTCTCGAGTTGCGGCAGGGACCTGGGGTATGTTCTCGACTTACGGCGGGGATGGCCCTTCAAAACACGAGTTTCTTCAGTGACGTCAGGACTCCTGTCTAGTAATGAGGGACACCTCAGCAATCTCTTCGAGGCTTGGCAGGGCAAAAGGGACGCTTCTAGAGGTGAGCCAGGGCACCCAAGGACCCTTTCCAGTAGCAACAGGGATTTTGGGATTCCTATAAGTATTCAAGAGGAGTCAGGCATCGTCATCTTTTGAAGCAATGAACTCTGCGTGCCTCTCGAGGTGTCAGGGGGATGTGAGGTATTCCGTCAAAATGAGGCAGGGACCTAGGGCTTCCTCTAAGGTCTCCACAGGGGATTCAGACATCCCTTCATGTTGTCAGATCAAAGACGAGCCTGTATTCAACCCTCTGCAAGGAAATCTGGCCTCCGTTCACATTAGGGCTTCTCCCTGTGTATTCCCCTTGAGGCAGCAAACACAGGGTCCCTCCCACATACCTATTGCTGAGAGAAGCCTCCTCCTGAGATGCTTCTGGAAAGTTGGCATACGTCTTGAGCCTAAGCCAGTGAATCAGCTCTCATCTCGAGATGATTTGGGGTACACGGATCATTCCTCGAGTTGCTGTGCTGAAGTTGGTGTTCCTCTAGCCTTGGGACAGTGTTCTCGGGGAAACTCTGGAGTTGCCTGAAGGAAGTCGAGCCACCGGTCGTCTTGAATGGGGAACGGGGAATGGCTCTGGAGTCAATGCAGGGGAATCGGGCCTCATCTCGAGTTGATTTGTGGCACATGGAGCAGCTTTGCGTTGCTGGGGTGACCTCAGGGTCCGTCTAGACTGGTGACAGTGTTCTTGGGGACTGTCTCGAGATCCATTAAGCAAGTCGAAGCTCCTGACTTGTTTGAATGGGATCACGGAATAGCTCTGCATGCACTGCAGGGGAATGGGGCTTCATCTCGCCTCTAGGGGGAAGTCTCACGGTTTTTCTCGAGTTGCGTCGGGAACCTCTGATATGTTCTCGACTTACGGCGGGGATGGCCCTTCAAAACACGAGTTTCTCCAGTGACGTCAGTACTCCTGTCTAGTAACGCGGGACACCTCAGCAATCTCTTCGAGGCTTGGCAGGGCAAAGGGGACGCTTCTCGAGGAGAGCCAGGGCACCCAAGGACCCTTTCCAGTAGCAACAGGGATTTTGGGATTCCTATAAGTATTCAAGAGGAGTCAGGCATCGTCACCTTTTGAAGCAATGAACTCTGCGTGCCTCTCGAGGTGTCAGGGGGATGTGAGGTATTCCGTCAAAATGAGGCAGGGAACTAGGGCTTCGTCTAAGGTCTCCACAGGGTATTCAGACATCCCTTAATGTTGTCAGATCAAAGACGAGCCTGTATTCAACCCTCTGCAAGGAAATCTGGCCTCCGTTCACATTAGGGCTTCTTCCTGTGTATTCCCCTTGAGGCAGCAAACACGGGGTCCCTCCCACATACCTATTGCTGAGAGAAGCCTCCTCCTGAGATGCTTCTGGAAAGTTGGCATACGTCTTGAGCCTAAGCCAGGGAATCAGCTCTCATCTCGAGATGATTTGGGGTACACGGAGCATTCCTCGAGTTGCTGTGCTGAAGTTGGTGTTCCTCTATCCTTGGGACAGTGTTCTCGGGGAATCTCTGGAGTTGCCTGAATGAAGTCGAGCCACCGGTCGTCTTGAATGGGGAATGGGGAACGGCTCTGGAGTCAATGCAGGGGAATCGGGCCTCATCTCGAGTTGATTTGGGGCACATGGAGCCCCTTTGCGTTGCTGGGTTGACCTCAGGCTCCGTCTAGACTGGTGACAGTGTTCTTGGGGACTGTCTCGAGATCCATTAACCAAGTCGAAGCTCCTGACTTGTTTGAATGGGATCACGGAATAGCTCTGCATGCACTGCAGGGGAATGGGGCCTCATCTCGCCTCTAGGGGGAAGTCTCACGGTTTTTCTCGAGTTGCAGCGGGGACCTGGGGTATGTTCTTGACTTACGGCGGGGATGGCCCTTCAAAACACGAGTTTCTCCAGTGACATCAGGACTCCTGCCTAGTAACGAGGGACACCTCAGCAATCTCTTCGAGGATTGGCAGGGCAAAAGGGACGCTTCTCGAGGTGAGGCAGGACACCCAAGGACCCTTTCCAGTAGCCACAGGGATTTTGGGATTCCTATCAGTATTCAAGAGGAGTCAGGCATCGTCACCTTTTGAAGCAATGAACTCCGCGTGCCTCTCGAGGTGTCAGCGGGATGTGAGGCATTCCGTCAAAATGAGGCAGGGACCTAGGGCTTTCTCTAAGGTCTCCACAGGGGATTCAGACATCCCTTCATGTTGTGAGATGAAAGACAAGCCTGTATTCAAGCTACTGCAAGGAAATCCGGCCTCCTTTCAAGTTAGGGCTTCTCGATGTATATTCCCCTTGAGGCAGCAAACTCGGAGTCCCTCCCACATACCTATTGCTGAGAAGCCTCCTCCTGAGGTGCTTCTGGAAACTTGGCATACGTCTTGAGCCTAAGCCAGGGAATCAGCTCTCATCTCGAGACGATTTGGGGTACACAGAGCATTCCTCGAGTTGCTGTGCTGAAGTTGGTGTTCCTCTAGACTTGGGACAGTGTTCTCGGGGCATCTCTGGAGTTGCCTGAAGGAAGGCGAGCCTCCGTTCGTGTTGATCGGGGAACGGGGAATGGCTCTGGAGTCAATGCAGGGGAATCGGGCCTCATCTCGAGTTGATTTGGGGCACATGGAGCTGCTTTGCGTTGCTGGGGTGACCTCAGGGTCCGTCTAGACTGGTGACAGTGTTCTTGGGGACTGTCTCGAGATCCATTAAGCAAGTCGAAGCTCCTGACTTGTTTGAATGGGATCACGGAATAGCTCTGCATGCACTGCAGGGGAATGGGGCCTCATCTCGCCTCTAGGGGGAAGTCTCATGGTTTTTCTCGAGTTGCGGCGGGGACCTGGGGTATGTTCTCGACTTATGGCGGGGATGGCCCTTCAAAACACGAGTTTCTTCAGTGACGTCAGTACTCCTGTCTAGTAACGAGGGACACCTCAGCAATCTCTTCGAGGCTTGGCAGGGCAAAGGGGACGCTTCTCGAGGTGAGGCAGGGCACCCAAGGACCCTTTCCAGTAGCAACAGGGATTTTGGGATTCCTATAAGTATTCAAGAGGAGTCAGATATCGTCACCTTTTGAAGCAATGAACTCTGCGTGCCTCTCGAGGTGTCAGGGGGATGTGAGGTATTCCGTCAAAATGAGGCAGGGAACTAGGGCTTCCTCTAAGGTCTCCACAGGGGATTCAGACATCCCTTCATGTTGTCTGTTCAAAGACGAGCCTGTATTCAACCCACTGCAAGGAAATCTGGCCTCCGTTCACATTAGGGCTTCTCCCTGTGTATTCCCCTTGAGGCAGCAAACTCGGGGTCCCTCCCACATACCTATTGCTGAGAGAAGCCTCCTCCTGAGATGCTTCTGGAAAGTTGGCATACGTCTTGAGCCTAAGCCAGTGAATCAGCTCTCATCTCGAGATGATTTGGGGTACACGGAGCATTCCTCGAGTTGCTGTGCTGAAGTTGGTGTTCCTCTAGCCTTGGGACAGTGTTCTCGGGGAATCTCTGGAGTTGCCTGAAGGAAGTCGAGACACCGGTCGTCTTGAATGGGGAACGGGGAATGGCTCTGGAGTCAATGCAGGGGAATCGGGCCTCATCTCGAGTTGATTTGGGGCACATGGAGCAGCTTTGCGTTGCTGGGGTGACCTCAGTGTCCGTCTAGACTGGTGACAGTGTTCTTGGGGACTGTCTCGAGATCCATTAAGCAAGTCGAAGCTCCTGACTTGTTTGAATGGGATCACGGAATAGCTCTGCATGCACTGCAGGGGAATGGGGCCTCATCTCGCCTCTAGGGGAAAGTCTCACGGTTTTTCTCGAGTTGCGGCGGGGCCCTGGGGTATGTTCTCGACTTACGGCGGGGATGGCACTTCAAAACACGAGTTTCTCCAGTGACGTCAGGACTCCTGCCTAGTAACGAGGGACACCTCAGGAATCTCTTCGAGGCTTGGCAGGGCAAAAGGGACGCTTCTCGAGGTGAGGCAGGGCACCCAAGGACCCTTTCCAGTAGCCACAGGGATTTTGGGATTCCTATCAGTATTCAAGAGGAGTCAGGCATCGTCACCTTTTGAAGCAATGAACTCCGCGTGCCTCTCCAGGTGTCAGCGGGATGTGAGGCATTCCGTCAAAATGAGGAAGGGACCTAGGGCTTTCTCTAAGGTCTACACAGGGGATTCAGACATCCCTTCATGTTGTCAAATCAAAGACGAGCCTGTATTCAAGCCACTGCAAGGAAATCCGGCCTCCTTTCAAGTTAGGGCTTCTCGCTGTATATTCCCCTTGAGGCAGCAAACTCGGGGTCCCTCCCACATACCTATTGCTGAGAGAAGCCTCCTCCTGAGGTGCTTCAGGAAAGTTGGCATACGTCTTGAGCCTAAGCCAGGGAATCAGCTCTCATCTCGAGACGATTTGGGGTACACAGAGCATTCCTCGAGTTGCTGTGCTGAAGCTGGTGTTCCTCTAGACTTGGGACAGTGTTCTCGGGGCATCTCTGGAGTTGCCTGAAGGAAGGCGAGCCTCCGTTCGTGTTGAACGGGGAACGGGGAATGGCTCTGGAGTCAATGCAGGGGAATCGGGCCTCATCTCGAGTTGATTTGGGGCACATGGAGCTGCTTTGCGTTGCTGGGGTGACCTCAGGGTCCGTCTAGACTGGTGACAGTGTTCTTGGGGACTGTCTCGAGATCCATTAAGCAAGTCGAAGCTCCTGACTTGTTTGAATGGGATCACGGAATAGCTCTGCATGCACTGCAGGGGAATGGGGCCTCATCTCGCCTCTAGGGGGAAGTCTCATGGTTTTTCTCGAGTTGCGGCGGGGACCTGGGGTATGTTCTCGACTTACGGCGGGGATGGCCCTTCAAAACACGAGTTTCTTCAGTGACGTCAGGACTCCTCTCTAGTAACGAGGGACACCTCAGCAATCTCTTCGAGGCTTGGCAGGGCAAAAGGGACGCTTCTCGAGGTGAGGCAGGGCACCCAAGGACCCTTTCCAGTAGCCACAGGGATTTTGGGATTCCTATCAGTATTCAAGAGGAGTCAGGCATCGTCACCTTTTGAAGCAATGAACTCCGCGTGCCTCTCCAGGTGTCAGCGGGATGTGAGGCATTCCGTCAAAATGAGGAAGGGACCTAGGGCTTTCTCTAAGGTCTACACAGGGGATTCAGACATCCCTTCATGTTGTCAGATCAAAGACGAGCCTGTATTCAAGCCACTGCAAGGAAATCCGGCCTCCTTTCAAGTTAGGGCTTCTCGCTGTATATTCCCCTTGAGGCAGCAAACTCGGGGTCCCTCCCACATACCTATTGCTGAGAGAAGCCTCCTCCTGAGGTGCTTCTGGAAAGTTGGCATACGTCTTGAGCCTAAGCCAGTGAATCAGCTCTCATCTCGAGATGATTTGGAGTACTCGGAGCATTCCTCGAGTTGCTGTGCTGAAGCTGGTGTTCCTCTAGACTTGGGAAAGTGTTCTCTGGGCATCTCTGGAGTTGCCTGAAGGAAGTCGAGCCACCGGTCGTGTTGAATGGGGAACGGGGAATGGCTCTGGAGTCAATGCAGGGGAATCGGGCCTCATCTCGAGTTGATTTGGGGCACATGGAGCAGCTTTGCGTTGCTGGGGTGACCTCAGGCTCCGTCTCGACTGGTGACAGTGTTCTTGGGGACTGTGTCGAGATCCATTAAGCAAGTCGAAGCTCCTGACTTGTTTGAATGGGATCACGGAACAGATCTGCATGCACTGCAGGTGAATGGATCCTCATCTCGCCTCTAGGGCGAAGTCTCACGGTTTTTCTCGAGTTGCGGCGGGGACCTGGGGTATGTTCTCGACTGACGGCGGGGATGGCCCTTCAAAACACGAGTTTCTCCAGTGACGTCAGGACTCCTGCCTAGTAACGAGGGACACCTCAGGAATCTCTTCGAGGCTTGGCAGGGCAAAAGGGACGCTTCTCGAGGTGAGGCAGGACACCCAAGGACCCTTTCCAGTAGCCACAGGGATTTTGGGATTCCTATCAGTATTCAAGAGGAGTCAGGCATTGTCACCTTTTGAAGCAATGAACTCCGAGTGCCTCTCGAGGTGTCAGCGGGATGTGAGGCATTCCGTCAAAATGAGGCAGGGACCTAGGGCTTTCTCTAAGGTCTCCACAGGGGATTCAGACATCCCTTCATGTTGTGAGATGAAAGACAAGCCTGTATTCAACCCACTGCAAGGAAATCTGGCCTCCGTTCACATTAGGGCTTCTCCCTGTGTATTCCCCTTGAGGCAGCAAACTCGGGGTCCCTCCCACATACCTATTGCTGAGAGAAGCCTCCTCCTGAGGTGCTTCTGGAAAGTTGGCATACGTCTTGAGCCTAAGCCAGGGAATCAGCTCTCATCTCGAGATGATTTGGGGTACACGGGGCATTCCTCGAGTTTTTGGGCTGAAGTTGGTGTTCCTCTAGACTTGGGACAGTGTTCTCGGGGCATCTCTGGAGTTGCCTGAAGGAAGTCGAGCCACCGGTCGTGTTGAATGGGGAATGGGGAATGGCTCTGGAGTCAATGCAGGGGAATCGGGCCTCATCTCGAGTTGATGTGGGGCACATGGAGCAGCTTTGCGTTGCTGGGGTGACCTCAGGGTCCGTCTAGACTGGTGAAAGTGTTCTTGGGGACTGTCTCGAGATCCATTAAGCAAGTCGAAGCTCCTGACTTGTTTGAATGGGATCACGGAATAGCTCAGCATGCACTGCAGGGGAATGGGGCCTCATCTCACCTCTAGGGGGAAGTCTCATGGTTTTTCTCGAGTTGCGGCAGGGACCTGGGGTATGTTCTCGACTTACGGCGGGGATGGCCCTTCAAAACACGAGTTTCTTCAGTGACGTCAGGACTCCTGCCTAGTAATGAGGGACACCTCAGGAATCTCTTCGAGGCTTGGCAGGGCAAAAGGGACGCTTCTCGAGGTGAGGCAGGACACCCAAGGACCCTTTCCAGTAGCCACGGGGATTTTGGGATTCCTATCAGTATTCAAGAGGAGTCAGGCATTGTCACCTTTTGAAGCAATGAACTCCGAGTGCCTCTCGAGGTGTCAGCGGGATGTAAGGCATTCCGTCAAAATGAGGCAGGGACCTAGGGCTTTCTCTAAGGTCTCCACAGGGGATTCAGACATCCCTTCATGTTGTGAGATGAAAGACAAGCCTGTATTCAAGCTACTGCAAGGAAATCCGGCCTCCTTTCAAGTTAGGGCTTCTCGATGTATATTCCCCTTGAGGCAGCACACTCGGAGTCCCTCCCACATACCTATTGCTGAGAAGCCTCCTCCTGAGGTGCTTCTGGAAAGTCGGCATACGTCTTGAGCCTAAGCCAGGGAATCAGCTCTCATCTCGAGACGATTTGGGGTACACAGAGCATTCCTCGAGTTGCTGTGCTGAAGTTGGTGTTCCTCTAGACTTGGGACAGTGTTCTCGGGGCATCTCTGGAGTTGCCTGAAGGAAGGCGAGCCTCCGTTCGTGTTGAACGGGGAACGGGGAATGGCTCTGGAGTCAATGCAGGGGAATCGGGCCTCATCTCGAGTTGATTTGGGGCACATGGAGCTGCTTTGCGTTGCTGGGGTGACCTCAGGGTCCGTCTAGACTGGTGACAGTGTTCTTGGGGACTGTCTCGAGATCCATTAAGCAAGTCGAAGCTCCTGACTTGTTTGAATGGGATCACGGAATAGCTCTGCATGCACTGCAGGGGAATGGGGCCTCATCTCGCCTCTAGGGGGAAGTCTCATGGTTTTTCTCGAGTTGCGGCGGGGACCTGGGGTATGTTCTCGACTTACGGCGGGGATGGCCCTTCAAAACACGAGTTTCTTCAGTGACGTCAGGACTCCTCTCTAGTAACGAGGGACACCTCAGCAATCTCTTCGAGGCTTGGCAGGGCAAAAGGGACGCTTCTCGAGGTGAGCCAGGGAACCCAAGGAAGCTTTCCAGTAGCAACAGGGATTTTGGGATTCCTATCAGTATGCAAGAGGAGTCAGGCATCGTCACCTTTTGAAGCAATGAACTCTGCGTGCCTCTCGAGGTGTCAGGGGGATGTGAGGTATTCCGTCAAAATGAGGCAGGGAACTAGGGCTTCCTCTAAGTTCTCCACAGGGGATTCAGACATCCCTTCATGTTGTCTGATCAAAGACGAGCCTGTATTCAACCCACTGCAAGGAAATCTGGCCTCCGTTCACATTAGGGCTTCTCCCTGTGTATTCCCCTTGAGGCAGCAAACTCGGGGTCCCTCCCACATACCTATTGCTGAGAGAAGCCTCCTCCTGAGGTGCTTCTGGAAAGTTGGCATACGTCTTGAGCCTAAGCCAGGGAATCAGCTCTCATCTCGAGATGATTTGGGGTACACGGAGCATTCCTCGAGTTTTTGGGCTGAAGTTGGTGTTCCTCTAGACTTGGGACAGTGTTCTCGGGGCATCTCTGGAGTTGCCTGAAGGAAGTCGAGCCACCGGTCGTCTTGAATGGGGAACGGGGAATGGCTCTGGAGTCAATGCAGGGGAATCGGGCCCCATCTCGAGTTGATTTGGGGCACATGGAGCAGCTTTGCGTTGCTGGGGTGACTTCAGGGTCCGTCTAGACTGGTGACAGTGTTCTTGGGGACTGTCTCGAGATCCATTAAGCAAGTCGAAGCTCCTGACTTGTTTGAATGGGATCACGGAATAGCTCTGCATGCACTGCAGGGGAATGGGGCCTCATCTCGCCTCTAGGGGAAAGTCTCACGGTTTTTCTCGAGTTGCGGCGGGGCCCTGGGGTATGTTCTCGACTTACGGCGGGGATGGCACTTCAAAACACGAGTTTCTCCAGTGACGTCAGGACTCCTGCCTAGTAACGAGGGACACCTCAGGAATCTCTTCGAGGCTTGGCAGGGCAAAAGGGACGCTTCTCGAGGTGAGGCAGGGCACCCAAGGACCCTTTCCAGTAGCCACAGGGATTTTGGGATTCCTATCAGTATTCAAGAGGAGTCAGGCATCGTCACCTTTTGAAGCAATGAACTCCGCGTGCCTCTCCAGGTGTCAGCGGGATGTGAGGCATTCCGTCAAAATGAGGAAGGGACCTAGGGCTTTCTCTAAGGTCTACACAGGGGATTCAGACATCCCTTCATGTTGTCAGATCAAAGACGAGCCTGTATTCAAGCCACTGCAAGGAAATCCGGCCTCCTTTCAAGTTAGGGCTTCTCGCTGTATATTCCCCTTGAGGCAGCAAACTCGGGGTCCCTCCCACATACCTATTGCTGAGAGAAGCCTCCTCCTGAGGTGCTTCTGGAAAGTTGGCATACGTCTTGAGCCTAAGCCAGTGAATCAGCTCTCATCTCGAGATGATTTGGAGTACTCGGAGCATTCCTCGAGTTGCTGTGCTGAAGCTGGTGTTCCTCTAGACTTGGGAAAGTGTTCTCTGGGCATCTCTGGAGTTGCCTGAAGGAAGTCGAGCCACCGGTCGTGTTGAATGGGGAACGGGGAATGGCTCTGGAGTCAATGCAGGGGAATCGGGCCTCATCTCGAGTTGATTTGGGGCACATGGAGCAGCTTTGCGTTGCTGGGGTGACCTCAGGCTCCGTCTCGACTGGTGACAGTGTTCTTGGGGACTGTCTCGAGATCCATTAAGCAAGTCGAAGCTCCTGACTTGTTTGAATGGGATCACGGAATAGCTCTGCATGCACTGCAGGGGAATGGGGCCTCATCTCGCCTCTAGGGCGAAGTCTCACGGTTTTTCTCGAGTTGCGGCGGGGACCTGGGGTATGTTCTCGACTTACGGCGGGGATGGCCCTTCAAAACACGAGTTTCTTCAGTGACGTCAGGACTCCTGCCTAGTAACGAGGGACACCTCAGGAATCTCTTCGAGGCTTGGCAGGGCAAAAGGGACGCTTCTCGAGGTGAGGCAGGACACCCAAGGACCCTTTCCAGTAGCAACAGGGATTTTGGGATTCCTATCAGTATTCAAGAGGAGTCAGGCATTGTCACCTTTTGAAGCAATGAACTCCGAGTGCCTCTCGAGGTGTCAGCGGGATGTGAGGCATTCCGTCAAAATGAGGCAGGGACCTAGGGCTTTCTCTAAGGTCTCCACAGGGGATTCAGACATCCCTTCATGTTGTGAGATGAAAGACAAGCCTGTATTCAAGCTACTGCAAGGAAATCCAGCCTCCTTTCAAGTTAGGGCTTCTCGATGTATATTCCCCTTGAGGCAGCACACTCGGAGTCCCTCCCACATACCTATTGCTGAGAAGCCTCCTCCTGAGGTGCTTCTGGAAAGTCGGCATACGTCTTGAGCCTAAGCCAGGGAATCAGCTCTCATCTCGAGACGATTTGGGGTACACAGAGCATTCCTCGAGTTGCTGTGCTGAAGTTGGTGTTCCTCTAGACTTGGGACAGTGTTCTCGGGGCATCTCTGGAGTTGCCTGAAGGAAGGCGAGCCTCCGTTCGTGTTGAACGGGGAACGGGGAATGGCTCTGGAGTCAATGCAGGGGAATCGGGCCTCATCTCGAGTTGATTTGGGGCACATGGAGCTGCTTTGCGTTGCTGGGGTGACCTCAGGGTCCGTCTAGACTGGTGACAGTGTTCTTGGGGACTGTCTCGAGATCCATTAAGCAAGTCGAAGCTCCTGACTTGTTTGAATGGGATCACGGAATAGCTCTGCATGCACTGCAGGGGAATGGGGCCTCATCTCGCCTCTAGGGGGAAGTCTCATGGTTTTTCTCGAGTTGCGGCGGGGACCTGGGGTATGTTCTCGACTTACGGCGGGGATGGCCCTTCAAAACACGAGTTTCTTCAGTGACGTCAGGACTCCTCTCTAGTAACGAGGGACACCTCAGCAATCTCTTCGAGGCTTGGCAGGGCAAAAGGGACGCTTCTCGAGGTGAGCCAGGGCACCCAAGGAAGCTTTCCAGTAGCAACAGGGATTTTGGGATTCCTATCAGTATGCAAGAGGAGTCAGGCATCGTCACCTTTTGAAGCAATGAACTCTGCGTGCCTCTCGAGGTGTCAGGGGGATGTGAGGTATTCCGTCAAAATGAGGCAGGGAACTAGGGCTTCCTCTAAGGTCTCCACAGGGGATTCAGACATCCCTTCATGTTGTCTGATCAAAGACGAGCCTGTATTCAACCCACTGCAAGGAAATCTGGCCTCCGTTCACATTAGGGCTTCTCCCTGTGTATTCCCCTTGAGGCAGCAAACTCGGGGTCCCTCCCACATACCTATTGCTGAGAGAAGCCTCCTCCTGAGGTGCTTCTGGAAAGTTGGCATACGTCTTGAGCCTAAGCCAGGGAATCAGCTCTCATCTCGAGATGATTTGGGGTACACGGGGCATTCCTCGCGTTTTTGGGCTGAAGTTGGTGTTCCTCTAGACTTGGGACAGTGTTCTCGGGGCATCTCTGGAGTTGCCTGAAGGAAGTCGAGCCACCGGTCGTGTTGAATGGGGAACGGGGAATGGCTCTGGAGTCAATGCAGGGGAATCCGGCCCCATCTCGAGTTGATTTGGGGCACATGGAGCTGCTTTGCATTGCTGGGTGACCTCAGGGTCCGTCTAGACTGGTGACACTGTTCTTGGGGACTGTCTCGAGATCCATTAACCAAGTCGAAGCTCCTGACTTGTTTGAATGGGATCACGGAATAGCTCTGCATGCACTGCAGGGGAATGGGGCCTCATCTCGCCTCTAGGGGGAAGTCTCACGGTTTTTCTCGAGTTGCGGCGGGGACCTGGGGTATGTTCTCGACTTACGGCGGGGATGGCCCTTCAAAACACGAGTTTCTCCAGTGACGTCAGGACTCCTGCCTAGTAACGAGGGACACCTCAGCAATCTCTTCGAGGCTTGGCAGGGCAAAAGGGACGCTTCTCGAGGTGAGGCAGGGCACCCAAGGACCCTTTCCAGTAGCCACAGGGATTTTGGGATTCCTATCAGTATTCAAGAGGAGTCAGGCATCGTCACCTTTTGAAGCAATGAACTCTGCGTGCCTCTCGAGGTGTCAGGGGGATGTGAGGTATTCCGTCAAAATGAGGCAGGGACCTAGGGCTTCCTCTAAGGTCTCCACAGGGGATTCAGACATCCCTTCATGTTGTCAGATCAAAGAAGAGCCTGTATTCAAGCCACTGCAAGGAAATCTGGCCTCCGTTCACATTAGGGCTTCTCCCTGTGTATTCCCCTTGAGGCAGCAAACTCGGAGTCCCTCCCACATACCTATTGCTGAGAAGCCTCCTCCTGAGGTGCTTCTGGAAAGTTGGCATACGTCTTGAGCCTAAGCCAGGGAATCAGCTCTCATCTCGAGACGATTTGGCATACACAGAGCATTCCTCGAGTTGCTGTGCTGAAGTTGGTGTTCCTCTAGACTTGGGACAGTGTTCCCGGGGCATCTCTGGAGTTGCCTGAAAGAAGGCGAGCCTCCGTTCGTGTTGAATGGGGAACGGGGAATGGCTCTGGAGTCAATGCAGGGGAATCGGGCCTCATCTCGAGTTGATTTGGGGCACATGGAGCTGCTTTGCGTTGCTGGGGTGACCTCAGGGTCCGTCTAGACTGGTGACAGTGTTCTTGGGGACTGTGTCGAGATCCATTAAGCAAGTCGAAGCTCCTGACTTGTTTGAATGGGATCACGGAATAACTCTGCATGCACTGCAGGGGAATGGGGCCTCATCTCGCCTATAGGGGAAGTCTCATGGTTTTTCTCGAGTTGCGGCGGGGACCTGGGGTATGTTCTCGACTTACGGCGGTGATGGCCCTTCAAAACACGAGTTTCTTCAGTGACGTCAGTACTCCTGTCTAGTAACGAGGGACACCTCAGGAATCTCTTCGAGGCTTGGCAGGGCAAAGGGGACGCTTCTCGAGGTGAGCCAGGGCACCCAAGGACCCTTTCCAGTAGCAACAGGGATTTTGGGATTCCTATAAGTATTCAAGAGGAGTCAGGCATCGTCACCTTTTGAAGCAATAAACTCTGCGTGCCTCTCGAGGTGTCAAGGGGATGTGAGGTATTCCGTCAAAATGAGGCAGGGACCTAGGGCTTCCTCTAAGGTCTCCACACTGTATTCAGACATCCCTTAATGTTGTCAGATCAAAGACGAGCCTGTATTCAACCCTCTGCAAGGAAATCTGGCCTCCGTTCACATTAGGGCTTCTCCCTGTGTATTCCCCTTGAGGCAGCAAACACGGGGTCCCTCCCACATACCTATTGCTGAGAGAAGCCTCCTCCTGAGATGCTTCTGGAAAGTTGGCATACGTCTTGAGCGTAAGCCAGGGAATCAGCTCTCATCTCGAGATGATTTGGGGTACTCGGAGCATTCCTCGAGTTGCTGTGCTGAAGCTGGTGTTCCTCTAGACTTGGGAAAGTGTTCTCTGGGCATCTCTGGAGTTGCCTGAAGGAAGTCGAACCACCGGTCGTGTTGAATGGGGAACCGGGAATGGCTCTGGAGTCAATGCAGGGGAATCGGGCCTCATCTCGAGTCGATTTGGGGCACATGGAGCAGCTTTGCGTTGCTGGGGTGACCTCAGGCTCCGTCTAGACTGGTGACAGTGTTCTTGGGGACTGTCTCGAGATCCATTAAGCAAGTCGAAGCTCCTGACTTGTTTGAATGGGATCACGGAATAGCTCTGCATGCACTGCAGGGGAATGGGGCCTCATCTCGCCTCTAGGGTGAAGTCTCACGGTTTTTCTCGAGTTGCGGCGGGGACCTGGGGTATGTTCTCGACTTAAGGCGGGGATGGCCCTTCAAAACACGAGTTTCTCCAGTGACGTCAGGCCTCCTGCCTAGTAACGAGGGACACCTCAGGAATCTCTTCGAGGCTTGGCAGGGCAAAAGGGACGCTTCTCGAGGTGAGGCAGGGCACCCAAGGACCCTTTCCAGTAGCCACAGGGATTTTGGGATTCCTATCAGTATTCAAGAGGAGTCAGGCATCGTCACCTTTTGAAGCAATGAACTTCGCGTGCTTCTCCAGGTGTCAGCGGGATGTGACGATTCCGTCAAAATGAGGCAGGGACCTAGGGATTTCTCTAAGGTCTCCACAGCGGATTCAGACATCCCTTCATGTTGTGAGATGAAAGACGAGCCTGTATTCACGCCACTGCAAGGAAATCCGGCCTCCTTTCAAGTTAGGGCTTCTCGGTGTATATTCCCCTTGAGGCAGCAAACTCGGGGTCCCTCCCACATACCTATTGCTGAGAGAAGCCTCCTCCTGAGGTGCTTCTGGAAAGTTGGCATACGTCTTGAGCCTAAGCCAGGGAATCAGCTCTCATCTCGAGATGATTTGGGGTACACGGAGCATTCCTCGAGTTGCTGTGCTGAAGTTGGTGTTCCTCTAGACTTGGGACAGTGTTCTCGGGGCATCTCTGGAGTTGCCTGAAGGAAGTCGAGCCACCGGTCTTGTTGAATGGGGAACGGGGAATGGCTCTGGAGTCAATGCAGGGGAATCGGGGCTCATCTCGAGTTGATTTGGGGCACATGGAGCAGCTTTGCATTGCTGGGGTGACCTCAGGGTCCGTCTAGACTGGTGACAGTGTTCTTGGGGACTCTCTCGAGATCCATTAAGCAAGTCGAAGGTCCTGACTTGTTTGAATGGGATCACAGAATAGCTCTGCATGCACTGCAGGGGAATGGGGCCTCATCTCGCCTCTAGGGGGAAGGCTCACGGTTTTTGTCGACTTGCGGCGGGGACCTGGGGTATGTTCTCGACTTACGGCGGGGATGGCCCTTCAAAACACGAGTTTCTTCAGTGACGTCAGGACTCCTGCCTAGTAACGAGGGACACCTCAGGAATCTCTTCGAGGCTTGGCAGGGCAAAAGGGACGCTTCTCGAGGTGAGGCAGGGCACCCAAGGACCCTTTCCAGTAGCCACAGGGATTTTGGGATTCCTATCAGTATTCAAGAGGAGTCAGGCATCCTCACCTTTTGAAGCAATGAACTCCGCGTGCCTCTCGAGGTGTCAGCGGGATGTGAGGCATTCCGTCAAAATGAGGCAGGGACCTAGGGCTTTCTTTAAGGTCTCCACAGGGGATTCAGACATCCCTTCATGTTGTCTGATCAAAGACAAGCCTGTATTCAAGCTACTGCAAGGAAATCCAGCCTCCTTTCAAGTTAGGGCTTCTCGATGTATATTCCCCTTGAGGCAGCAAACTCGGAGTCCCTCCCACATACCTATTGCTGAGAAGCCTCCTCCTGAGGTGCTTCTGGAAAGTTGGCATACGTCTTGAGCCTAAGCCAGGGAATCAGCTCTCATCTCGAGACGATTTGGGGTACACAGAGCATTCCTCGAGTTGCTGTGCTGAAGTTGGTGTTCCTCTAGACTTGGGACAGTGTTCTCGGGGCATCTCTGGAGTTGCCTGAAGGAAGGCGAGCCTCCGTTCGTGTTGAAAGGGGAACGGGAATGGCTCTGGAGTCAATGCAGGGGAATCGGGCCTCATCTCGAGTTGATTTGGGGCACATGGAGCTGCTTTGCGTTGCTGGGGTGACCTCAGGGTCCGTCTAGACTGGTGACAGTGTTCTTGGGGACTGTCTCGAGATCCATTAAGCAAGTCGAAGCTCCTGACTTGTTTGAATGGGATCACGGAATAGCTCTGCATGCACTGCAGGGGAATGGGGCCTCTTCTCGCCTCTAGGGGGAAGTCTCATGGTTTTTCTCGAGTTGCGGCGGGGACCTGGGGTATGTTCTCGACTTACGGCGAGGATGGCCCTTCAAAACACGAGTTTCTTCCGTGACGTCAGGACTCCTGTCTAGTAATGAGGGACACCTCAGCAATCTCTTCGAGGCTTGGCAGGGCAAAAGGGACGCTTCTCGAGGTGAGCCAGGGCACCCAAGGACCCTTTCCAGTAGCCACAGGGATTTTGGGATTCCTATAAGTATTCAAGAGGAGTCAGGCATCGTCACCTTTTCAAGCAATGAACTCTGCGTGCCTCTCGAGGTGTCAGGGGGATGTGAGGTATTCTGTCAAAATGAGGCAGGGACCTAGGGCTTCCTCTAAGGTCTCCACAGGGGATTCAGACATCCCTTCATGTTGTCAGATCAAAGACGAGCCTGTATTCAAGCCACTGCAAGGAAATCTGGCCTCCGTTCACATTAGGGCTTCTCCCTGTGTATTCCCCTTGAGGCAGCACACTCGGGGTCCCTCCCACATACCTATTGCTGAGAGAAGCCTCCTCCTGAGGTGCTTCTGGAAAGTTGGAATACGTCTTGAGCCTAAGCCAGGGAATCAGCTCTCATCTCGAGATGATTTGGGGTACACGGAGCATTCCTCGAGTTGCTGTGCTGAAGTTGGTGTTCCTCTAGACTTGGGACAGTGTTCTCGGGGCATCTCTGGAGTTGCCTAAAGGAAGTCGAGCCACCGGTCGTGTTGAATGGGGAACGGGGAATGGCTCTGGAGTCAATGCAGGGGAATCGGGCCTCATCTCGAGTTGATTTGGGGCACATGGAGCAGCTTTGCGTTGCTGGGGTGACCTCAGGCTCCGTCTAGACTGGTGACAGTGTTCTTGGGGACTGTCTCGAGATCCATTAAGCAAGTCGAAGCTCCTGACTTGTTTGAATGGGATCACGGAATAGCTCTGCATGCACTGCAGGGGAATGGGGCCTCATCTCGCCTCTAGGGCGAAGTCTCACGGTTTTTCTCGAGGTGCGGCGGGGACCTGGGGTATGTTCTCGACTTATGGCGGGGATGGCCCTTCAAAACACGAGTTTCTCCAGTGACGTCAGGACTCCTGCCTAGTAACGAGGGACACCTCAGCAATCTCTTCGAGGCTTGGCAGGGCAAAAGGGACGCTTCTCGAGGTGAGGCAGGGCACCCAAGGACACTTTCCAGTAGCCAAAGGGATTTTGGGATTCCTATCAGTATTCAAGAGGAGTCAGGCATCGTCACCTTTTGAAGCAATGAACTCTGCGTGCCTCTCGAGGTGTCAGCGGGATGTGACGATTCCGTCAAAATGAGGCAGGGACCTAGGGATTTCTCTAAGGTCTCCACAGCGGATTCAGACATCCCTTCATGTTGTGAGATCAAAGACGAGCCTGTATTCAAGCCACTGCAAGGAAATCCGGCCTCCTTTCAAGTTAGGGCTTCTCGCTGTATATTCCCCTTGAGGCAGCAAACTCGGGGTCCCTCCCACATACCTATTGTTGAGAGAAGCCTCCTCCTGAGGTGCTTCTGGAAAGTTGGCATACGTCTTGAGCCTAAGCCAGGGAATCAGCTCTCATCTCGAGATGATTTGGGGTACACGGAGCATTCCTCGAGTTGCTGTGCTGAAGTTGGTGTTCCTCTAGACTTGGGACAGTGTTCTCGGGGCATCTCTGGAGTTGCCTGAAGGAAGTCGAGCCACCGGTCGTGTTGAATGGGGAACGGGGAATGGCTCTGGAGTCAATGCAGGGGAATCGGGGCTCATCTCGAGTTGATTTGGGGCACATGGAGCAGCTTTGCATTGCTGGGGTGACCTCAGGGTCCGTCTAGACTGGTGACAGTGTTCTTGGGGACTGTCTCGAGATCCATTAAGCAAGTCGAAGCTCCTGACTTGTTTGAATGGGATCACGGAATAGCTCTGCATGCACTGCAGGGGAATGGGGCCTCATCTCGCCTCTAGGGGGAAGGCTCACGGTTTTTGTCGACTTGCGGCGGGGACCTGGGGTATGTTCTCGACTTACGGCGGGGATGGCCCTTCAAAACACGAGTTTCTTCAGTGACGTCAGGACTCCTGCCTAGTAACGAGGGACACCTCAGGAATCTCTTCGAGGCTTGGCAGGGCAAAAGGGACGCTTCTCGAGGTGAGGCAGGGCACCCAAGGACCCTTTCCAGTAGCCACAGGGATTTTGGGATTCCTATCAGTATTCAAGAGGAGTCAGGCATCGTCACCTTTTGAAGCAATGAACTCTGCGTGCCTCTCGAGGTGTCAGCGGGATGTGAGGCATTCCGTCAAAATGAGGCAGGGACCTAGGGCTTTCTTTAAGGTCTCCACAGGGGATTCAGACATCCCTTCATGTTGTCTGATCAAAGACAAGCCTGTATTCAAGCTACTGCAAGGAAATCCAGCCTCCTTTCAAGTTAGGGCTTCTCGATGTATATTCCCCTTGAGGCAGCACACTCGGAGTCCCTCCCACATACCTATTGCTGAGAAGCCTCCTCCTGAGGTGCTTCTGGAAAGTTGGCATACGTCTTGAGCCTAAGCCAGGGAATCAGCTCTCATCTCGAGACGATTTGGGGTACACAGAGCATTCCTCGAGTTGCTGTGCTGAAGTTGGTGTTCCTCTAGACTTGGGACAGTGTTCTCGGGGCATCTCTGGAGTTGCCTGAAGGAAGGCGAGCCTCCGTTCGTGTTGAAGGGGGAACGGGAATGGCTCTGGAGTCAATGCAGGGGAATCGGGCCTCATCTCGAGTTGATTTGGGGCACATGGAGCTGCTTTGCGTTGCTGGGGTGACCTCAGGGTCCGTCTAGACTGGTGACAGTGTTCTTGGGGACTGTCTCGAGATCCATTAAGCAAGTCGAAGCTCCTGACTTGTTTGAATGGGATCACGGAATAGCTCTGCATGCACTGCAGGGGAATGGGGCCTCTTCTCGCCTCTAGGGGGAAGTCTCATGGTTTTTCTCGAGTTGCGGCGGGGACCTGGGTTATGTTCTCGACTTATGGCGGGGATGGCCCTTCAAAACACGAGTTTCTTCCGTGAGGTCAGGACTCCTGTCTAGTAATGAGGGACACCTCAGCAATCTCTTCGAGGCTTGGCAGGGCAAAAGGGACGCTTCTCGAGGTGAGCCAGGGCACCCAAGGACCCTTTCCAGTAGCCACAGGGATTTTGGGATTCCTGTAAGTATTCAAGAGGAGTCAGGCATCGTCACCTTTTCAAGCAATGAACTCTGCGTGCCTCTCGAGGTGTCAGGGGGATGTGAGGTATTCCGTCAAAATGAGGCAGGGACCTAGGGCTTCCTCTAAGGTCTCCACAGGGGATTCAGACATCCCTTCATGTTGTCAGATCAAAGACGAGCCTGTATTCAAGCCACTGCAAGGAAATCTGGCCTCCGTTCACATTAGGGCTTCTCCCTGTGTATTCCCCTTGAGGCAGCAAACTCGGGGTCCCTCCCACATACCTATTGCTGAGAGAAGCCTCCTCCTGAGGTGCTTCTGGAAAGTTGGAATACGTCTTGAGCCTAAGCCAGGGAATCAGCTCTCATCTCGAGATGATTTGGGGTACACGGAGCATTCCTCGAGTTGCTGTGCTGAAGTTGGTGTTCCTCTAGACTTGGGACAGTGTTCTCGGGGCATCTCTGGAGTTGCCTGAAGGAAGTCGAGCCACCGGTCGTCTTGAATGGGGAACGGGGAATGGCTCTGGAGTCAATGCAGGGGAATCGGGCCTCATCTCGAGTTGATTTGGGGCACATGGAGCAGCTTTGCGTTGCTGGGGTGACCTCAGGCTCCGTCTAGACTGGTGACAGTGTTCTTGGGGACTGTCTCGAGATCCATTAAGCAAGTCGAAGCTCCTGACTTGTTTGAATGGGATCACGGAATAGCTCTGCATGCACTGCAGGGGAATGGGGCCTCATCTCGCCTCTAGGGCGAAGTCTCACGGTTTTTCTCGAGTTGCGGCGGGGACCTGGGGTATGTTCTCGACTTACGGCGTGGATGGCCCTTCAAAACACGAGTTTCTCCAGTGACGTCAGGACTCCTGCCTAGTAACGAGGGACACCTCAAGAATCACTTCGAGGCTTGGCATGGCAAAAGGGACGCTTCTCGAGGTGAGGCAGGACACCCAAGGACCCTTTCCAGTAGCCACAGGAATTTTGGGATTCCTATCAGTATTCAAGAGGAGTCAGGCATCGTCACCTTTTGAAGCAATGAACTCCGCGTGCCTCTCGAGGTGTCAGCGGGATGTGAGGCATTCCGTCAAAATGAGGCAGGGACCTAGGGCTTTCTCTAAGGTCTCGACAGGGGATTCAGACATCCCTTCATGTTGTCAGATCAAAGACGAGCCTGTATTCAAGCCACTGCAAGGAAATCCGGCCTCCTTTCAAGTTAGGGCTTCTCGCTGTATATTCCCCTTGAGGCAGCAAACTTGGGGTCCCTCCCACATACCTATTGCTGAGAGAAGCCTCCTCCTGAGGTGCTTCTGGAAAGTTGGCATACGTCTTGAGCCTAAGCCAGGGAATCAGCTCTCATCTCGAGATGATTTGGGGTACTCGGAGCATTCCTGGAGTTGCTGTGCTGAAGCTGGTGTTCCTCTAGACTTGGGAAAGTGTTCTCTGGGCATCTCTGGAGTTGCCTGAAGGAAGTCGAACCACCGGTCGTGTTGAATGGGGAACCGGGAATGGCTCTGGAGTCAATGCAGCGGAATCGGGCCTCATCTCGAGTCGATTTGGGGCACATGGAGCTGCTTTGCGTTGCTGGGGTGACCTCAGGCTCCGTCTAGACTGGTGACAGTGTTCTTGGGGACTGTCTCGAGATCCATTAAGCAAGTCGAAGCTCCTGACTTGTTTGAATGGGATCACGGAATAGCTCTGCATGCACTGCAGGGGAATGGGGCCTCATCTCGCCTCTAGGGTGAAGTCTCACGGTTTTTCTCGAGTTGCGGCGGGGACCTGGGGTATGTTCTCGACTTAAGGCGGGGATGGCCCTTCAAAACACGAGTTTCTCCAGTGACGTCAGGCCTCCTGCCTAGTAACGAGGGACACCTCAGGAATCTCTTCGAGGCTTGGCAGGGCAAAAGGGACGCTTCTCGAGGTGAGGCAGGGCACCCAAGGACCCTTTCCAGTAGCCACAGGGATTTTGGGATTCCTATCAGTATTCAAGAGGAGTCAGGCATCATCACCTTTTGAAGCAATGAACTCCGCGTGCCTCTCCAGGTGTCAGCGGGATGTGACGATTCCGTCAAAATGAGGCAGGGACCTAGGGATTTCTCTAAGGACTCCACAGCGGATTCAGACATCCCTTCATGTTGTGAGATCAAAGACGAGCCTGTATTCAAGCCACTGCAAGGAAATCCGGCCTCCTTTCAAGTTAGGGCTTCTCGGTGTATATTCCCCTTGAGGCAGCAAACTCGGGGTCCCTCCCACATACCTATTGCTGAGAGAAGCCTCCTCCTGAGGTGCTTCTGGAAAGTTGGCATACGTCTTGAGCCTAAGCCAGGGAATCAGCTCTCATCTCGAGATGATTTGGGGTACACGGAGCATTCCTCGAGTTGCTGTGCTGAAGTTGGTGTTCCTCTAGACTTGGGACAGTGTTCTCGGGGCATCTCTGGAGTTGCCTGAAGGAAGTCGAGCCACCGGTCGTGTTGAATGGGGAACGGGGAATGGCTCTGGAGTCAATGCAGGGGAATCGGGGCTCATCTCGAGTTGATTTGGGGCACATGGAGCAGCTTTGCATTGCTGGGGTGACCTCAGGGTCCGTCTAGACTGGTGACAGTGTTCTTGGGGACTGTCTCGAGATCCATTAAGCAAGTCGAAGCTCCTGACTTGTTTGAATGGGATCACGGAATAGCTCTGCATGCACTGCAGGGGAATGGGGCCTCATCTCGCCTCTAGGGGGAAGGCTCACGGTTTTTGTCGACTTGCGGCGGGGACCTGGGGTATGTTCTCGACTTACGGCGGGGATGGCCCTTCAAAACACGAGTTTCTTCAGGGACGTCAGGACTCCTGCCTAGTAACGAGGGACACCTCAGGAATCTCTTCGAGGCTTGGCAGGGCAAAAGGGACGCTTCTCGAGGTGAGGCAGGGCACCCAAGGACCCTTTCCAGTAGCCACAGGGATTTTGGGATTCCTATCAGTATTCAAGAGGAGTCAGGCATCGTCACCTTTTGAAGCAATGAACTCCGCGTGCCTCTCGAGGTGTCAGCGGGATGTGAGGCATTCCGTCAAAATGAGGCAGGGACCTAGGGCTTTCTTTAAGGTCTCCACAGGGGATTCAGACATCCCTTCATGTTGTCTGATCAAAGACAAGCCTGTATTCAAGCTACTGCAAGGAAATCCAGCCTCCTTTCAAGTTAGGGCTTCTCGATGTATATTCCCCTTGAGGCAGCACACTCGGAGTCCCTCCCACATACCTATTGCTGAGAAGCCTCCTCCTGAGGTGCTTCTGGAAAGTTGGCATACGTCTTGAGCCTAAGCCAGGGAATCAGCTCTCATCTCGAGACGATTTGGGGTACACAGAGCATTCCTCGAGTTGCTGTGCTGAAGTTGGTGTTCCTCTAGACTTGGGACAGTGTTCTCGGGGCATCTCTGGAGTTGCCTGAAGGAAGGCGAGCCTCCGTTCGTGTTGAAGGGGGAACGGGAATGGCTCTGGAGTCAATGCAGGGGAATCGGGCCTCATCTCGAGTTGATTTGGGGCACATGGAGCTGCTTTGCGTTGCTGGGGTGACCTCAGGGTCCGTCTAGACTGGTGACAGTGTTCTTGGGGACTGTCTCGAGATCCATTAAGCAAGTCGAAGCTCCTGACTTGTTTGAATGGGATCACGGAATAGCTCTGCATGCACTGCAGGGGAATGGGGCCTCTTCTCGCCTCTAGGGGGAAGTCTCATGGTTTTTCTCGAGTTGCGGCGGGGACCTGGGGTATGTTCTCGACTTACGGCGGGGATGGCCCTTCAAAACACGAGTTTCTTCCGTGACGTCAGGACTCCTGTCTAGTAATGAGGGACACCTCAGCAATCTCTTCGAGGCTTGGCAGGGCAAAAGGGACGCTTCTCGAGGTGAGCCAGGGCACCCAAGGACCCTTTCCAGTAGCCACAGGGATTTTGGGATTCCTATAAGTATTCAAGAGGAGTCAGGCATCGTCACCTTTTCAAGCAATGAACTCTGCGTGCCTCTCGAGGTGTCAGGGGGATGTGAGGTATTCCATCAAAATGAGGCAGGGACCTAGGGCTTCCTCTAAGGTCTCCACAGGGGATTCAGACATCCCTTCATGTTGTCAGATCAAAGACGAGCCTGTATTCAAGCCACTGCAAGGAAATCTGGCCTCCGTTCACATTAGGGCTTCTCCCTGTGTATTCCCCTTGAGGCAGCAAACTCGGGGTCCCTCCCACATACCTATTGCTGAGAGAAGCCTCCTCCTGAGGTGCTTCTGGAAAGTTGGAATACGTCTTGAGCCTAAGCCAGGGAATCAGCTCTCATCTCGAGATGATTTGGGGTACACGGAGCATTCCTCGAGTTGCTGTGCTGAAGTTGGTGTTCCTCTAGACTTGGGACAGTGTTCTCGGGGCATCTCTGGAGTTGCCTGAAGGAAGTCGAGCCACCGGTCGTGTTGAATGGGGAACGGGGAATGGCTCTGGAGTCAATGCAGGGGAATCGGGCCTCATCTCGAGTTGATTTGGGGCACATGGAGCAGCTTTGCGTTGCTGGGGTGACCTCAGGCTCCGTCTAGACTGGTGACAGTGTTCTTGGGGACTGTCTCGAGATCCATTAAGCAAGTCGAAGCTCCTGACTTGTTTGAATGGGATCACAGAATAGCTCTGCATGCACTGCAGGGGAATGGGGCCTCATCTCGCCTCTAGGGCGAAGTCTCACGGTTTTTCTCGAGTTGCGGCGGGGACCTGGGGTATGTTCTCGACTTACGGCGGGGATGGCCCTTCAAAACACGAGTTTCTCCAGTGACGTCAGGACTCCTGCCTAGTAACGAGGGACACCTCAAGAATCACTTCGAGGCTTGGCAGGGCAAAAGGGACGCTTCTCGAGGTGAGGCAGGACACCCAAGGACCCTTTCCAGTAGCCACAGGAATTTTGGGATTCCTATCAGTATTCAAGAGGAGTCAGGCATCGTCACCTTTTGAAGCAATGAACTCCGCGTGCCTCTCGAGGTGTCAGCGGGATGTGAGGCATTCCGTCAAAATGAGGCAGGGACCTAGGGCTTTCTCTAAGGTCTCGACAGGGGATTCAGACATCCCTTCATGTTGTCAGATCAAAGACGAGCCTGTATTCAAGCCACTGCAAGGAAATCCGGCCTCCTTTCAAGTTAGGGCTTCTCGCTGTATATTCCCCTTGAGGCAGCAAACTTGGGGTCCCTCCCACATACCTATTGCTGAGAGAAGCCTCCTCCTGAGGTGCTTCTGGAAAGTTGGCATACGTCTTGAGCCTAAGCCAGGGAATCAGCTCTCATCTCGAGATGATTTGGGGTACTCGGAGCATTCCTCCAGTTGCTGTGCTGAAGCTGGTGTTCCTCTAGATTTGGGAAAGTGTTCTCTGGGCATCTCTGGAGTTGCCTGAAGGAAGTCGAACCACCGGTCGTGTTGAATGGGGAACGGGGAATGGCTCTGGAGTCAATGCAGGGGATTCGGGCCTCATCTCGAGTTGATTGGGGCACATGGGGCAGCTTTGCGTTGCTGGGGTGACCTCAGGCTCCGTCTAGACTGGTGACAGTGTTCTTGGGGACTGTCTCGAGATCCATTAAGCAAGTCGAAGCTCCTGACTTGTTTGAATGGGATCACGGAATAGCTCTGCATGCACTGCAGGGGAATGGGGCCTCATCTCGCCTCTAGGGCGAAGTCTCACGGTTTTTCTCGAGTTGCGGTGGGGACCTGGGGTATGTTCTCGACTTACGGCGGTGATGGCCCTTCAAAACACGAGTTTCTCCAGTGACGTCAGGACTCCTGCCTAGTAACGAGGGACACCTCAGGAATCTCTTCGAGGCTTGGCAGGGCAAAAGGGACGCTTCTCGAGGTGAGGCAGGACACCCAAGGACCCTTTCCAGTAGCCACAGGGATTTTGGGATTCCTATCAGTATTCAAGAGGAGTCAGGCATCGTCACCTTTTGAAGCAATGAACTCCGCGTGCCTCTCGAGGTGTCAGCGGGATGTGAGGCATTCCGTCAAAATGAGGCAGGGACCTAGGGCTTTCTCTAAGGTCTCCACAGGGGATTCAGACATCCCTTCATGTTGTGAGATGAAAGACGAGCCTGTATTCAAGCCACTGCAAGGAAATCCGGCCTCCTTTCAAGTTAGGGCTTCTCGATGTATATTCCCCTTGAGGCAGCACACTCGGAGTCCCTCCCACATACCTATTGCTGAGAAGCCTCCCCCTGAGGTGCTTCTGGAAAGTCGGCATACGTCTTGAGCCTAAGCCAGGGAATCAGCTCTCATCTCGAGACGATTTGGGGTACACAGAGCATTCCTCGAGTTGCTGTGCTGAAGTTGGTGTTCCTCTAGACTTGGGACAGTGTTCTCGGGGCATCTCTGGAGTTGCCTGAAGGAAGGCGAGCCTCCGTTCGTGTTGAACGGGGAACGGGGAATGGCTCTGGAGTCAATGCAGGGGAATCGGGCCTCATCTCGAGTTGATTTGGGGCACATGGAGCTGCTTAGCGTTGCTGGGGTGACCTCAGGGTCCGTCTAGACTGGTGACAGTGTTCTTGGGGACTGTCTCGAGATCCATTAAGCAAGTCAAAGCTCCTGACTTGTTTGAATGGGATCACGGAATAGCTCTGCATGCACTGCAGGGGAATGGGACCTCATCTCGCCTCTAGGGGGAAGTCTCATGGTTTTTCTCGAGTTGCGGCGGGGACCTGGGGTATGTTCTCGACTTATGGCGGGGATGGCCCTTCAAAACACGAGTTTCTTCAGTGACGTCAGGACTCCTCTCTAGTAACGACGGACACCTCAGCAATCTCTTCGAGGCTTGGCAGGGCAAAAGGGACGCTTCTCGAGGTGAGCCAGGGCACCCAAGGAAGCTTTCCAGTAGCAACAGGGATTTTGGTATTCCTATCAGTATTCAAGAGGAGTCAGGCATCGTCACCTTTTGAAGCAATGAACTCTGCGTGCCTCTCGAGGTGTCAGGGGGATGTGAGGTATTCCGTCAAAATGAGGCAGGGAACTAGGGCTTCCTCTAAGGTCTCCACAGGGGATTCAGACATCCCTTCATGTTGTCTGATCAAAGACGAGCCTGTATTCCAGCCACTGCAAGGAAATCTGGCCTCCGTTCACATTAGGGCTTCTCCCTGTGTATTCCCCTTGAGGCAGCAAATTCGGGGTCCCTCCCACATACCTATTGCTGAGAGATGCCTCCTCCTGAGATGCTTCTGGAAAGTTGGCATACGCCTTGAGCCTAAGCCAGGGAATCAGCTCTCATCTCGAGATGATTTGGGGTACACGGAGCATTCCTCGAGTTGCTATGCTGAAGTTGGTGTTCCTCTAGCCTTGGGACAGTGTTCTCGGGGAATCTCTGGAGTTGCCTGAAGGAAGTCGAGCCACCGGTCGTGTTGAATGGGGAATGGGGAATGGCTCTGGAGTCAATGCAGTGGAATCGGGCCTCATCTCGAGTTGATTTGGGGCACATGGAGCAGCTTGGCGTTGCTGGGGTGACCTCAGGGTCCGTCTAGACTGGTGACAGTGTTCTTGGGGACTGTCTCGAGATCCATTAAGCAAGTCGAAGCTCCTGACTTGTTTGAATGGGATCACGGAATAGCTCTGCATGCACTGCAGGGGAATGGGGCCTCATCTCGCCTCTAGGGGGAAGTCTCATGGTTTTTCTCGAGTTGCGGCTGGGACCTGGGGTATGTTCTCGACTTACGGCGGGGATGGCCCTTCAAAACACGAGTTTCTTCAGTGACGTCAGGACTCCTGTCTAGTAATGAGGGACACCTCAGCAATCTCTTCGAGGCTTGCCAGGGCAAAAGGGACGCTTCTCGAGGTGAGCCAGGGCACCCAAGGACCCTTTCCAGTATCCACAGGGATTTTGGGATTCCTATAAGTATTCAAGAGGAGTCAGGCATCGTCACCTTTTGAAGCAATGAACTCTGCGTGCCTCTCGAGGTGTCAGGGGGATGTGAGGTATTCCGTCAAAATGAGGCAGGGACCTAGGGCTTCCTCTAAGGTCTCCACAGGGGATTCAGACATCCCATCATGTTGTCAGATCAAAGACGAGCCTGTATTCCAGCCACTGCAAGGAAATCTGGCCTCCTTTCACATAAGGGCTTCTCCCTGTGTATTCCCCTTGAGGCAGCAAATTCGGGGTCCCTCCCACATACCTATTGCTGAGAGAAGCCTCCTCCTGAGATGCTTCTGGAAAGTTGGCATACGCCTTGAACCTAAGCCAGGGAATCAGCTCTCATCTCGAGATGATTTGGGGTACACGGAGCATTCCTCGAGTTGCTGTGCTGAAGTTGGTGTTCCTCTAGCATTGGGACAGTGTTCTCGGGGAATCTCTGGAGTTGCCTGAAGGAAGTCGAGCCACCGGTCGTGTTGAATGGGGAATGGGGAATGGCTCTGGAGTCAATGCAGTGGAATCGGGCCTCATCTCGAGTTGATTTGGGGCACATGGAGCAGCTTGGCGTTGCTGGGGTGACCTCAGGGTCCGTCTAGACTGGTGACAGTGTTCTTGGGGACTGTCTCGAGATCCATTAAGCAAGTCGAAGCTCCTGACTTGTTTAAATGGGATCACGGAATAGCTCTGCATGCACTGAAGGGGAATGGGGCCTCATCTCGCATCTAGGGGGAAGGCTCACGGTTTTTCTCGAGTTGCGGCGGGGACCTGGGGTATGTTCTCGACTTACGGCGGGGATGGCCCTTCAAAACACGAGTTTCTTCAGTGACGTCAGGACTCCTGCCTAGTAACGACGGATATCTCAGGAATCTCTTCGCGTCTTGGCAGGGCAAAAGGGACGCTTCTCGAGGTGAGGCAGGGCACCCAAGGACCCTTTCCAGTAGCCACAGGGATTTTGGGATTCCTATCAGTATTCAAGAGGAGTCAGGCATCGTCACCTTTTGAAGCAATGAACTCCGCGTGCCTCTCGAGGTGTCAGCGGGATGTGAGGCATTCCGTCAAAATGAGGCAGGGACCTAGGGCTTTCTCTAAGGTCTCCACAGGGGATTCAGACATCCCTTCATGTTGTGAGATGAAAGACAAGCCTGTATTCAAGCTACTGCAAGGAAATCCGGCCTCCTTTCAAGTTAGGTCTTCTCGATGTATATTCCCCTTGAGGCAGCAAACTCGGAGTCTCTCCCACATACCTATTGCTGAGAAGCCTCCTCCTGAGGTGCTTCTGGAAATTTGGCATACGTCATGAGCCTAAGCCAGGGAATCAGCTCTCATCTCGAGACGATTTGGGGTACACAGAGCATTCCTCGAGTTGCTGTGCTGAAGTTGGTGTTCCTCTAGCCTTGGGACAGTGTTCTCGGGGAATCTCTGGAGTTGCCTGAAGGAAGTCGAGCCACCGGTCGTGTTGAATGGGGAATGGGGAATGGCTCTGGAGTCAATGCAGTGGAATCGGGCCTCATCTCGAGTTGATTTGGGGCACATGGAGCAGCTTGGCGTTGCTGGGGTGACCTCAGGGTCCGTCTAGACTGGTGACAGTGTTCTTGGGGACTGTCTCGAGATCCATTAAGCAAGTCGAAGCTCCTGACTTGTTTGAATGGGATCACGGAATAGCTCTGCATGCACTGAAGGGGAATGGGGCCTCATCTCGCCTCTAGGGGGAAGTCTCACGGTTTTTCTCGAGTTGCGGCGGGGACCTGGGGTATGTTCTCGACTTACGGCGGGGATGGCCCTCCAAAACACGAGTTTCTTCAGTGACGTCAGGACTCCTGCCTAGTAACGAGGGACACCTCAGGAATCTCTTCGAGGCTTGGCAGGGCAAAAGGGACGCTTCTCGAGGTGAGGCAGGGCACCCAAGGACCCTTTCCCGTAGCCACAGGGATTTTGGGATTCCTATCAGTATTCAAGAGGAGTCTGGCATCGTCACCTTTTGAAGTAATGAACTCCGCGTGCCTCTCGAGGTGTCAGCGGGATGTGAGGCATTCCGTCAAAATGAGGCAGGGACCTAGGGCTTTCTCTAAGGTCTCCACAGGGGATTCAGACATCCCTTCATGTTGTGAGATGAACGACAAGCCTGTATTCAAGCTACTGCAAGGAAATCCGGCCTCCTTTCAAGTTAGGGCTTCTCGATGTATATTCCCCTTGAGGCAGCAAACTCGGAGTCCCTCCGACATACCTATTGCTGAGAAGCCTCCTCCTGAGGTGCTTCTGGAAATTTGGCATACGTCTTGAGCCTAAGCCAGGGAATCAGCTCTCATCTCGAGATGATTTGGGGTACACAGATCATTCCTCGAGTTGCTGTGCTGAAGTTGGTGTTCCTCTAGATTTGGGACAGTGTTCTCGGGGAATCTCTGGAGTTGCCTGAAGGAAGTCGAGCCACCGGTCGTCTTGAATGGGGAACGGGGAATGGCTCTGGAGTCAATGCAGGGGAATCGGGCCTCATCTCGAGTTGATTTGGGGCACATGGGGCAGCTTTGCGATGCTGGGGTGACCTCAGGGTCCGTCTAGACTGGTGACAGTGTTCCTGGGGACTGTCTCGAGATCCATTAAGCAAGTCGAAGCTCCTGACTTGTTTGAATGGGATCACGGAATAGCTCTGCATGCACTGCAGGGGAATGGGGCCTCATCTCGCCTCTAGGGGGAAGTCTCATGGTTTTTCTCGAGTTGCGGCGGGGACCTGGGGTATGTTCTCGACTTACGGCGGGGATGGCCCTTCAAAACACGAGTTTCTCCAGTGACGTCAGGACTCCTGCCTAGTAACGAGGGACACCTCAGGAATCTCTTCGAGGCTTGGCAGGGCAAAAGGGACGCTTCTCGAGGCGAGGCAGGGCACCCAAGGACCCTTTCCAGTAGCCACAGGGATTTTGGGATTCCTATCAGTATTCAAGAGGAGTCAGGCATCGTCACCTTTTGAAGCAATGAAATCCGCGAGCTTCTCGAGGTGTCAGCGGGATGTGAGGCATTCCGTCAAAATGAGGCAGGGACCTAGGGCTTTCTCTAAGGTCTCCACAGGGGATTCAGACATCCCTTCATATTGTCAGATCAAAGACGAGCCTGTATTCAAGCCACTGCAAGGAAATCTGGCCTCCTTTCAAGTTAGGGCTTCTCGCTGTATATTCCCCTTGAGGCAGCAAACTCGGGGTCCCTCCCACTTACCTATTGCTGAGAGAAGCCTCCTCCTGAGGTGCTTCTGGAAAGTTGGCATACGTCTTGAACCTAAGCCAGGGAATCAGCTCTCATCTCGAGATGATTTGGGGTACACGGAGCATTCCTCGAGTTGCTGTGTTGAAGTTTTTGTTCCTTTAGACTTGGGACAGTGTTCTCGGGGCATCTCTGGAGTTGCCTGAAGGAAGTCGAGCCCCCGGTCGTGTTGAATGGGGAACGGGGAATGGCTCTGGAGTCAATGCAGGGGAATCGGGCCTCATCTCGAGTTGATTTGGGGCACATGGAGCAGCTTTGCGTTGCTGGGGTGACCTCAGGGTCCGTCTAGACTGGTGACAGTGTCCTTGGGGACTGTCTCGAGATCCATTAAGCAAGTCGAAGCTCCTGACTTGTTTGAATGGGATCACGGAATAGCTCTGCATGCACTGCAGGGGAATGGGGCCTCATCTCGCCTCTAGGGGGAAGTCTCATGGTTTTTCTCGAGTTGCGGCGGGGACCTGGGGTATGTTCTCGACTTACGGCGGGGATGGCCCTTCAAAACACGAGTTTCTTCACTGACGTCAGGACTCCTGCCTAGTAACGAGGGACACCTCAGGAATCTCTTCGAGGCTTGGCAGGGCAAAAGGGACGCTTCTCGAGGTGAGGCAGGGCACCCAAGGACCCTTTCCAGTAGCCACAGGGATTTTGGGATTCCTATCAGTATTCAAGAGGAGTCAGGCATCGTCACCTTTTGAAGCAATGAACTCCGCGTGCCTCTCGATGTGTCAGCGGGATGTGAGGCATTCCGTCAAAATGACGCAGGGACCTAGGGCTTTCTCTAAGGTCTCGACAGGGGATTCAGACATTCCTTCAAGTTGTGAGATGAAAGACGAGCCTAGTATTCAAGCCACTGCAAAGAAATCCGGCCTCCTTTCAAGTTAGGGCTTCTCCCTGTGTATTCCCCTTGAGGCAGCAAACTCGGGGTCCCTCCCACATACCTATTGCTGAGAGAAGCCTCCTCCTGAGGTGCTTCTGGAAAGTTGGCATACGTCTTGAGCCTAAGCCAGGGAATCAGCTCTCATCTCGAGACGATTTGGGGTACACGGAGCTTTCCTCGATTTGCTGTGCTGAAGTTGGTGTTCCTCTAGACTTGGGACAGTGTTATCGGGGCATCTCTGGAGTTGCCTGAAGGAAGTCGAGCCACCGGTCGTGTTGAATGGGGAAAGGGGAATGGCTCTGGAGTCAATGCAGGGGAATCGGGCCTCATCTCCAGTTGATGTGGGGCACATGGAGCTGCTTTGCGTTGCTGGGATGACCTCAGGGTCCGTCTAGACTGGTGACAGTGTTCTTGGGGACTGTCTCGAGATCCATTAAGCAAGTCGAAGCTCCTGACTTGTTTGAATGGGATCACGGAATAGATCTGCATGCACTGCAGGGGAATGGGGCCTCATCTCGCCTCTAGGGGGAAGTCTCATGGTGTTTCTCGAGTTGCGGCGGGGACCTGAGGTATGTTCTCGACTTACAGAGGGGAGGGCCCTTCAAAACACGAGTTTCTTCAGTGACGTCAGGACTCCTGTCTAGTAACGAGGGACACCTCAGCAATCACTTCGAGGCTTGGCAGGGCAAAAGGGACGCTTCTCGAGGTGAGGCAGGGCACCCAAGGTCCTTTCCAGTAGTCACAGGGATTTTGGGATTCCTATCAGTATTCAAGAGGAGTCAGGTATCCTCACATTTTGAAGCAATGAACTCCGCATGCAAGCACTCTCGCCGGGTGTTCCCGCAAGGCTCGCAATCTGGTCTCAAAGCCAGGAGAAAAGCGCTTTGGGGTGGGCCTCTCTCAGGGCGCATGGCCCTGAGCCTGTGGACCAGCTAGGGGGTCCACACTCCCAGGCCAAGGCAGAACCACATGCACACGTCTGTTCCTGCCCCCTGCACCTTCAGACAGCTCGGCTGATCCGCAGTCTCTCAGGCAGTTTCCTAGCAGCCCCGGCAGCACTGCCTGTGTGGGAAGGGGGAGAGCTGACCTAGGTGCACTGTGGGCCTCCTGATCTCCCTGCTGCCCTGAGGCTGCTGGGCCAAAGAGGGCTTGGCTACCTACCCCCTTTCTCCCCTCTTCCCTCTGCCAGTAGGCTCTGCCCCCGGGGCTGTTGCACTGTGGAGACAGCCCCTGCCAGCACCTCCACTCCCAGTAGGCCTCAGCAGAGGCCTATGCCCAGGGAACGGCCCAGGCAGGGCTGCGTTGAGGGAGGCGCAAGGGCATGTCTGGAGACACTCCCCACAGCCTGTTCCTTCATGGGGCAGTTACACTGGAGGCCAGGAAGGCCTGGGCAGGGCTGGCCAAGAGCAGGGGCATTGCTGGGATCTGCCTCTGGCCTGTGGGTCCTCTGAGCAGGACCTGCCCTCTCCCTCTGGAAGACCTCCCCGCCTGCGTCCAAATCCACGTTTGCAAGCACTCTGGCCGGGTGTTCCCGCAAGCCTCGCACTCTGGTCTCAAAGCCGGGAGAAAAGCGCTTTGGGGTGGGCCTCTCTCAGGGCCCATGGACCTGAGCCAGGGGACCAGCTAGGGGGTCCACACTCCCAGGTCAGGGAAGAACCACATGCACACGTCTGTTCCTGCCCCCTGCCCCTTCAGAGAGCTCGGCTGAGCCGCAGTCTCTCAGGCAGTTCCCTGGCAGCCCCGGCAGCACTGCCTGTGTGGGAAGGGGGAGAGCCGACCTAGGGGCACTGTGGGCCTCTTGCTCTCCCTGCTGCCCTGAGGCTGCTGGGCCAAAGAGGGCTTGGCTACCTACCCCCTTTCTCCCCCCTTCCCTCTGCCAGAAGGCTCTCCCCCGGGGCTGTTGCAGTGTGGAGACAGCCCCTGCCAGCACCTCCACTCCCAGTAGGCCTCAGCAGAGGCCTAGGCCCAGGGAACGGCCCAGGCACGGCTGCGTTAAGGGAGGCGCAAGGACATGTCTGGACACACTCCCCACAGCCTGTTCCTTCATGGGGCAGTTACCCTGGAGGCCAGGAAGGCCTGGGCAAGGCTGGCCAAGAGCAGGGGCATTGCTGGGTTCTGCCTCTGGCCTGTGGGGCCTCTGAGCAGGACCTGCCCTCTCCCTCTGGAAGACCTCCCAGCCTGCGTGCAAATCCCCGTTTGCAAGCACTCTGGCCGGGTGCTCCCGCAAGCCTCGCACTCTGGTCTCAAAGCCGGGAGAAAAGCGCTTTGGGGTGGGCCTCTCTCAGGGCCCATGGCCCTGAGCCTGGGGACCAGCTAGGGGGTCCACACTCCCAGGCCAGGGCAGAACCACATGCACACGTCTGTTCCTGCCCCCTGCCCCTTCAGAGAGCTCGGCTGAGCCGCAGTCTCTCAGGCAGTTCCCTGGCAGCCCCGGCAGCACTGCCTGTGTGGGAAGGGGGAGAGCCGACCTAGGGGCACTGTGGGCCTCTTGCTCTCCCTGCTGCCCTGAGGCTGCTGGGCCAAAGAGGGCTTGGCTATCTACCCCCTTTCTCCCCTCTTCCCTCTGCCAGAAGGCTCTGCCCCCGGGGCTGTTGCAGTGTGGAGACAGCCCCTGCCAGCACCTCCACTCCCAGTAGGCCTCAGCAGAGGCCTAGGCCCAGGGAAAGGCCCAGGCAGGGCTGCGTTGAGGGAGGCGCAAGGGCATGTCTGGACACACTCCCCACAGCCTGTTCCTTCATGGGGCAGTTACACTGGAGGCCAGGAAGGCCTGGGCAGGGCTGGCCAAGAGAGGGGCATTGCTGGGTTCTGCCTCTGGCCTGTGGGGCCTCTGAGCAGGACCTGCCCTCTCCCTCTGGAAGACCTCCCCGCCTGCGTGCAAATCCCCGTTTGCAAGCACTCTGGCCGGGTGTTCCCGCAAGGCTCGCACTCTGGTCTCCAAGCCGGGAGAAAAGCGCTTTGGGGTGGGCCTCTCTCAGGGCCCATGGCCCTGAGCCTGGGGACCAGCTAGGGGGTCCACACTCCCAGCCCAAGGCAGAACCACATGCACACGTCTGTTCCTGCCCCCTGCCCCTTCAGAGAGCTCGGCTGAGCCGCAGTCTCTCAGGCAGTTCCCTGGCAGCCCCGGCAGCACTGCCTGTGTGGGAAGGGGGAGAACCGACCTAGGGGCACTGTGGGCCTCTTGCTCTCCCTGCTGCCCTGAGGCTGCTGGGCCGAAGAGGGCTTGGCTACCTACCCCCTTTCTCCCCTCTTCCCTCTGCCAGAAGGCTCTGCCCCCGGGGCTGTTGCAGTGTGGAGACAGCCCCTGCCAGCACCTCCACTCCCAGTAGGCCTCAGCAGAGGCCTAGGCCCAGGGAAAGGCCCAGGCAGGGCTGCGTTGAATGAGGCGCAAGGGCATGTCTGGACACACTCCCCACAGCCTGTTCCTTCATGGGGCAGTTACACTGGAGGCCAGGAAGGCCTGGGCAGGGCTGGCCAAGAGCAGGGGCATTGCTGGGTTCTGCCTCTGGCCTGTGGGGCCTCTGAGCAGGACCTGCCCTCTCCCTCGGGAAGACCTCCCCGCCTGCGTGCAAATCCCCGTTTGCAAGCACTCTGGCCGGGTGTTCCCGCAAGGCTCGCACTCTGGTCTCCAAGCCGGGAGAAAAGCGCTTTGGGGTGGGCCTCTCTCAGGGCCCATGGCCCTGAGCCTGGGGACCAGCTAGGGGGTCCACACTCCCAGGCCAGGGCAGAACCACATGCACACGTCTGTTCCTGCCCCCTGCCCCTTCAGAGAGCTCGGCTGAGCTGCAGTCTCTCAGGCAGTTCCCTGGCAGCCCCGGCAGCACTGCCTGTGTGGGAAGGGGGAGAGCCGACCTAGGGGCACTGTGGGCCTCTTGCTCTCCCTGCTGCCCTGAGGCTGCTGGGCCAAAGAGGGCTTGGCTTCCTACCCCCTTTCTCCCCTCTTCCCTCTGCCAGAAGGCTCTGCCCCCGGGGCTTTTGCAGTGTGGAGACATCCCCTGCCAGCACCTCCACTCCCAGAAGGCCTCAGCAGAGGCCTAGGCCCAGGGAACGGACCAGGCAGGGCTGCGTTGAGGGAGGCGCAAGGGCATGTCTGGACACACTCCCCACAGCCTGTTCCTTCATGGGGCAGTTACCCTGGAGGCCAGGAAGGCCTGGGCAAGGCTGGCCAAGAGCAGGGGCATTGCTGGGTTCTGCCTCTGGCCTGTGGGGCCTCTGAGCAGGACCTGCCCTCTCCCTCTGGAAGACCTCCCCGCCTGCGTGCAAATCCCCGTTTGCAAGCACTCTGGCCGGGTGTTCCCGCAAGGCTCGCACTCTGGTCTCAAAGCCGGGAGAAAAGCGCTTTGGGGTGGGCCTCTCTCAGGGCCCATGGCCCTGAGCCTGGGGACCAGCTAGGGGGTCCACACTCCCAGGCCAGGGCAGAACCACATGCACACGTCTGTTCCTGCCCCCTGAACCTTCAGAGAGCTCGGCTGAGCCGCAGTCTCTCAGGCAGTTCCCTGGCAGCCCCGGCAGCACTGCCTGTGTGGGAAGCGGGAGAGCCGACCTAGGTGCACTGTGGGCCCCTTGCTCTCCCTGCTGCCCTGAGGCTGCTGGGCCAAAGAGGGCTTGGCTATCTACCCCCTTTCTCCCCTCTTCCCTCTGCCAGAAGGCTCTGCCCCCGGGGCTGTTGCAGTGTGGAGACAGCCCCTGGCAGCACCTCCACTCCCAGTAGGCCTCAGCAGAGGCCTAGGCCCAGGGAAAGGCCCAGGCAGGGCTGCGTTGAGGGAGGCGCAAGGGCATGTCTGGACACACTCCCCACAGCCTGTTCCTTCATGGGGCAGTTACCCTGGAGGCCAGGAAGGCCTGGGCAAGGCTGGCCAAGAGCAGGGGCATTGCTGGGTTCTGCCTCTGGCCTGTGGGGCCTCTGAGCAGGACCTGCCCTCTCCCTCTGGAAGACCTCCCCGCCTGCGTGCAAATCCCCGTTTGCAAGCACTCTGGCCGGGTGTTCCCGCAAGGCTCGCACTCTGGTCTCAAAGCCGGGAGAAAAGCGCTTTGGGGTGGGCCTCTCTCAGGGCCCATGGCCCTGAGCCTGGGGACCAGCTAGGGGGTCCACACTCCCAGGCCAGGGCAGAACCACATGCACACGTCTGTTCCTGCCCCCTGCCCCTTCAGAGAGCTCGGCTGAGCCGCAGCCTCTCAGGCAGTTCCCTGGCAGCCCCGGCAGCACTGCCTGTGTGGGAAGGGGGAGAGCCGACCTAGGGGCACTGTGGGCCCCTTGCTCTCCCTGCTGCCCTGAGGCTGCTGGGCCAAAGAGGGCTTGGCTATCTACCCCCTTTCTCCCCTCTTCCCTCTGCCAGAAGGCTCTGCCCCCGGGGCTGTTGCAGTGTGGAGACAGGCCCTGCCAGCACCTCCACTCCCAGTAGGCCTCAGCAGAGGCCTAGGCCCAGGGAAAGGCCCAGGCAGGGCTGCGTTGAGGGAGGCGCAAGGGCATGTCTGGACACACTCCCCACAGCCTGTTCCTTCATGGGGCACTTACCCTGGAGGCCAGGAAGGCCTGGGCAAGGCTGGCCAAGAGCAGGGGCATTGCTGGGTTCTGCCTCTGGCCTGTGGGGCCTCTGAGCAGGACCTGCCCTCTCCCTCGGGAAGACCTCCCCGCCTGCGTGCAAATCCCCGTTTGCAAGCACTCTGGCCGGGTGTTCCCGCAAGGCTCGCACTCTGGTCTCAAAGCCGGGAGAAAAGCGCTTTGGGGTGGGCCTCTCTCAGGGCCCATGGCCCTGAGCCTGGGGACCAGCTAGGGGGTCCACACTCCCAGGCCAAGGCAGAACCACATGCACACGTGTGTTCCTGCCCCCTGCCCCTTCAGAGAGCTCGGCTGAGCCGCAGTCTCTCAGGCAGTTCCCTGGCAGCCCCGGCAGCACTGCCTGTGTGGGAAGTGGGAGAGCCGACCTAGGTGCACTGTGGGCCCCTTGCTCTCCCTGCTGCCCTGAGGCTGCTGGGCCAAAGAGGGCTTGGCTATCTACCCCCTTTCTCCCCTCTTCCCTCTGCCAGAAGGCTCTGCCCCCGGGGCTGTTGCAGTGTGGAGACAGCCCCTGCCAGCACCTCCCCTCCCAGTAGGCCTCAGCAGAGGCCTAGGCCCAGGGAAAGGCCCAGGCAGGGCTGCGTTGAGGGAGGCGCAAGGGCATGTCTGGACACACTCCCCACAGCCTGTTCCTTCATGGGGCAGTTACCCTGGAGGCCAGGAAGGCCTGGGCAAGGCTGGCCAAGAGCAGGGGCATTGCTGGGTTCTGCCTCTGGCCTGTGGGGCCTCTGAGCAGGACCTGCCCTCTCCCTCTGGAAGACCTCCCCGCCTGCGTGCAAATCCCCGTTTGCAAGCACTCTGGCCGGGTGTTCCCGCAAGGCTCGCACTCTGGTCTCAAAGCCGGGAGAAAAGCGCTTTGGGGTGGGCCTCTCTCAGGGCCCATGGCCCTGAGCCTGGGGACCAGCTAGGGGGTCCACACTCCCAGGCCAGGGCAGAACCACATGCACACGTCTGTTCCTGCCCCCTGCCCCTTCAGAGAGCTCGGCTGAGCCGCAGTCTCTCAGGCAGTTCCCTGGCAGCCCCGGCAGCACTGCCTGTGTGGGAAGCAGGAGAGCCGACCTAGGTGCACTGTGGGCCCCTTGCTCTCCCTGCTGCCCTGAGGCTGCTGGGCCAAAGAGGGCTTGGCTATCTACCCCCTTTCTCCCCTCTTCCCTCTGCCAGAAGGCTCTGCCCCCGGGGCTGTTGCAGTGTGGAGACAGCCCCTGCCAGCCCCTCCACTCCCAGTAGGCCTCAGCAGAGGCCTAGGCCCAGGGAAAGGCCTAGGCAGGGCTGCGTTGAGGGAGGCGCAAGGGCATGTCTGGACACACTCCCCACAGCCTGTTCCTTCATGGGGCAGTTACCCTGGAGGCCAGGAAGGCCTGGGCAAGGCTGGCCAAGAGCAGGGGCATTGCTGGGTTCTGCCTCT